GAGTAAGCAATCTGCACAATTCAATTGAAAATCATTGATATAACTTGGACATGGCATGCATTTATTATCAATTTAGAATTCCCCATACTTACATTTGAAAGTATTGTTTTAATAGGTTTAATTCATAATAGGATACAATTCATTCATTTTATTACATCTCTGATCTAAATCTAAATCTACAAATCCGAATTCACAAGCACAAAACCCATATTTCCATGATCTGTGGGTATCTAATGGACATGTGATGCAATCACTCTGAGTTGGACCATTACATGTTAAACATGAATAATGGCATCTAATTTAAAATGGCTACTCTTCCTCATAATTATACGTTATTTCTAATTAGATTTTGCCACCCAAATAACTCTTATAAAAAAAGCTGTCTGCTCCAACATATAAGTAAATATATTGATCATGGAATTGCAAAGCGTTAAATGTCTATGTCAATTCTTAATCATTTGGATATATAACTTTTAAGTAAGTCTTTTCTACCAAATATTAAAAATAAATATAATGCCATCTTTGGAATCTATCTCGATTCGTCGTATTTTAAATAAGAAATACATTGGCATTCTTTGTTTAGAAAGCCAATTAGGATTATGGAAAGGTGTATGCTAGAACACTCGCATTAAAAAAATTATAATTATTTGAACTGGGATCCAAGACGTAACTCATCAATAACACTCTATCTCCTAAATAAGTATCATTACGATAATTCTCATTCAATGTCAATCTCATTAATAAATACCTCTGTCTTTCTATAACATTTTCAAAACTGACTTTTACCCAACATCTAATTTGATATCTGTAGCCCAACATCTATAATTAAGTTTAGTAAAAGGTATCTCCAAGCGATTGAATTTCATCAAAAATGTCAACAACAGTTTTATTATAAGATTACGGACTTTGAAAATTACTCTTAAAATAATCATCAAATTCTTTATCATTATTAAAAGGCAATCTTGTGAAACCTTATAATACACTGTATTTTCCATGAAAATAGTCAAAGTTTAAGTTATTCACCTAAGCAATAAGTTAAATTTTTTAATACTTTTCCATATTAATTTAAGACCGGGATTATGTTCTTAGTATTCAAAGCTACACTCTGCAATTTGCTGCCCCTTATATACAGCTTCGATCCTCCATCCAGACTCTCAAAATAGGCGTAATACCAAATTCCTTCAAAATTTGTTGGATCTTAAGTTAAATTAGTAATTGTTCCATTGTCATACACCGTAATGTTCAGTACCGGAGAATTAAAAGAAAGCCACATGTATAATTTTTCTGTGGGTGATTCTGAATGGAAATTGTAATTTGCCATTACAATCTAGCCCACATATATGGATTTGTCATTTAAAATGAATTCTCCGGATGCCTTTATATTAGAAAAAGGCAAATATTGAAACCAAAATCCATAATGGGTAGTCACTGAAATAGACTATTTAATTAAAAGTAATAAGACTAGCATATAATATAATTATTCAATTAAATTAATTTGGAATAAAATTCACTTCATTTTCTTTATCTGTAAACAACTTTCTCTTCACATTTTTGATATCTGATTCATTCACTTTATTGGATGTTCCCAATATTTTCTAAGGCGCTTTTGGGTTGTTTGATAACTTCATCAATTTCTCAGGAGTCGACACATTTTTCACTTCATCATTTTATTTTGCCTTCATATTATAAAATAATTATTAAACTTTGTTCATCAGAATTCCAGCAATATATTTTAGTGAATAATTAATGCTTTTAAATTTTAGACATTTTTTTTTAATAATATTTCTACTTGAACTAAATTTAAATTGCCTCAATTAAGAATAAAAAATATTGATTTTAAATTACATCATATCAGAGTGTTAGCATTTCTAATGCTCTATTGGAACTAAAGAAAATTTCAAAGTATTTACAATAAAATGTAATATGTTAGACATAATCAATTATGAGTTTATAAATTCTATATGCCATTATAAATGAAATTAATCAATTATTGTTTTTTTAAATAAATCTCTTATTTTTAATATTGTTTTTATCATCTTAAATGGATAATATATCTAAAGTCAGTGTTTGAGATACTATCAAAAAATATCATTAGTATTTTTGATATCAAGATATTCCATTATATCATAAACTGAAGATTTCTTCTTTACTTATTCTACAATGAGTGAATTTACATGTTTATTTGCATTTTTAATATTTATTTATTTGGGAATCAATAAATTCAACATAACATAGCCTGGCTAACTCTTATGTTTTAATTTGTAAGAAGAACATTAGATATTGAATCAAATGGAAAGTGTAAATACATATACTCATGATATATATGGTTTTGTATATTAATTATTATTCTTAATTTAATATTAAATGGCAGAATTTAAAGAAGTATAAAATTAAGTAAAAAATTAGGACAAATTCTTTCGTAAATCAGGTGATTCAGATGATTCTGTAGAGAAATTAAAAAAAAAAATATCCAAGCCAAAGTAGTAAAATTTAATATCCACGTCCCAAAAAATCAAAGAAATGTTTAAAAAGTAACAATTCAAGGATCTTGTTAATTGGGCAGAAAAAGATACTTCTATCACTCTTCATGAATATGATGAAATGAAAGTGAATTCTCAAGTGTTGAAACTTGGATAATATGCTTTAATAAAAAATGCTAAAAATCCTTCTGAAGATTATGTTGGTAAAATCCAAAGAATTGTTACAATAAAGGAGAACAAATCAACAAAATTGATTTGTTTATGTGAAGTTAATTGGTATATCTACAATTCATCAAAGGTTTTATCGAAAAAGTGAAATAATAAAATTTAAACCCCTAGCCAAATAATGGATATCCAATAACGAAGTCTTCAGCACAAATTGCACAGACTATATTTTGGCCTCTACTATATTGTCTCCCTGTCGAATTGTAACTCTGGAAGAATATGAAACATCCTCTCAAGTTGACAAAGGAGTTTTTTTCACTAGATTAGAATGGCTGCCTACTAAAAAGAAGTTTGATGGCTTATCTAAACTTTAACATCATTGTACTTGTAAATAACCCCAAAATCCAGATTAAATCTATATTTAAGTAACTTCTTATCTATAAATTTAGTGTGACAAGTGTTAGAAGTGGTATCATATTACATGCGTAGGATTAAAGAAAGGTGAGTATGAATAGAAAGAGTACATTTGTGGATGCTGTAGATGAAATATAGTTAATAATATTATTTTAAAATATGGGAATCGATTCTTTATTAAAAGCTCTGAAATCTGTCACAAAACAAAGACATATTTCTGAATATTCGAATAAGAAAATTGCTGTGGATACCTATTGCTGGTACTCCGCATACTTATGATTTAGGTTGCATAAAGGGATATTCTTATGTGCTTAAGAATTGTCAGAAGGCAGAGAGACCAATGAACATATAAATTATTGCTTAAAAAAAGTAGAGTAGCTCAAAAAATATAATATTACTGTTGTAATGGTATTTGATGGAGCTAAACTCCCAAGCAAAAAGTCAACAGAAGAAGAGCGGGAAAAGTAATATAAATATACATATTTGTAGAAGGAGAAATGACAACCTATAAAAGCATCTAGAATTCAAATAGCAAGGCGAAAAAGATAAAGCCTATACAAAACTAGTTGAATCTATAGATGTTACCCCTTAAATGGCATCCAAATTATTGGAAGCATTGAGGACCAGGAATATTGAGTGCATAGTTGCTCCGTATGAAGCAGATGCTCAATTAGCATATCTATCGTTAACAGAATACGTTGATGTGATCATAACTGAAGATTCTGATCTGCTTGCTTATGGAGCCAGGAAGGTACTATATAAATTAGATAAATTCGGATATGGTGAAGAGATTGATTACGATTCTATTCAAACTTGTTCAGAATACAATTTTTAGAATTGGCATCATTAAAAGTTTCTCACCTTTTGTATCCTATCAGGATGTGATTATTTAGGTTCAATAAGTGGAATAGGAATTAAAAGAGCTTATTAAGTAGTAGCAACTTCGTAAAATTATAAATAAGCCATTGATAATCTATAGAGGAAACAGAAGGTCTCCGTACCTTTTGATTATGTCGAATAGTTTGAAAAAGCATATCTAACTTTTCTATTTCAGAGAGTGTTTTGTCCAGTCCAAAGAAAAATGGTCACTGTGAATACTTTCGACACTGACCTATTATATCCTCAAATGAAATCCCTTTTGGAAGGAAATCTTGATTTTTTAGGCAATGTTTATACGGATACTCTGATATAGGATATTGCTGATGGTCGAATTTGTCCACAAGATTTAAAACCATATTCTCAATCATCTAAGAACTTAAAACAATAAAGTTTAGATAATAAATAATAAAGTGAAAATAATGATTAATTAGAAATACCAACTTTCGGTAGTGGTAGACCAGTTCAAGTTTTCAAATTTATTAAAAAATCATAATCTACAAAAATAAACCCGGAGGAATCTTTTGAAAGATCTGGAGAATCAAAAGTCATCAATTAGTCTCAAGTTATTAATTCAAAATCTACTGAGGATAATGAAAAATATTAAATAGAAAACCAATAAAATTACGAATAGAGTAATCTTTTCTCAAGCTAATAAGAGACTCTTAAATAAAAGTCATTGATTAATTCTAATATTCTGGCTAATTAAAATAAAAAGAAAAGTTCTAAAATTATTATCAAGCATGAATAAAAAAAAATCAATGAATATTTCCAACCTTCTTTCAAACCTTTTAAACCACCCTCCTCTCTTGTTTAACAATAAGAGTAAACACCTTCAGAAGTCAATATTATTGAAGAGGAAATTCAAGGAATAGAATAAAAAATTAATTCATAGGTCGAGGAAGAATTCCAACAATACAGCATCTCGGAGGAGTACATTGACAATTTTTAAAAAAAGTTCTACTACACTGATTTTGGTCTCTTCTTAAGTCAGGAACTCCAATTTAAACAAATTTAGCTGTGAATTCTTAATTTTTACTTTATTATTATTTTTATTATTTCCAAATGTCTATCACTGTAAAAAAAAGATACGAAGTAGATGGTTATTAAATTATTAACAGAGGGAACTACAGCTATGTGTTTCATTGCAAAGATAAGGAAAATTAAGAATTGAAATTAGCTGCGAAGGTAATCATCATATTTTGATATCTAGAAAATCTCATTAGCTTCAATGGGCATAAATAAATCTCTATAAGAATACGAAATATTAGACTCATTATAAGTATTCCTAAACCCACACATTGTAAAATGTTATGATATTGAATAAATTGGCGACGATGTATTTATTATTTTGGAATTGTGTGAATTGGGAGATTTGAGTAAGAAAATTTATGAAATGAGATAAAAAAACTAACGATTCACGGCTGAATAGATTTTGGATTTTATTATTCAGGTCGTAGATGGCGCATTTCTTCTTTATAAAAAAAAGATTTTTCACAGAGATATTAAACCATAAAACATTCTATTAACAATGGATTCTAACAATAATCTCATATACAAAGTAATTTTATTTTATACTTAGATTTGTGACTTTGGATCAGCCAGATTTGTTCAGGATATGGGATAGGCATAAAATTTCACAAAATATCTCACACCTTTATATCAATCTCCTGAAATTTCAATCTAATAAATATTTTCTCCTAAATCAGACATCTTCTCATTTGGATTAATTATATACGAATTATGTTTCTTAAAACTTCCATATATAACTAAAGAGGAGCAATAACCTTTCTTCAATTAACTGAAGGATGAAAAATTCTAATTTGATTTGAGTACTATTGAGGGTTCTAATGAATAGATAAATTTAATTAAATTGATTATAGAATAGACGATAGTGTACAAATAAGAAAATAGAATAAATTGGGAAGACTTATATGCAATAACTACAGATTTTAAATAATATTCATAAACCATATATGAATAACAAAATGCCGAAAATTTTTGTTATACTATAGCTAAATAACATGTTAATTTGTTAATGAAAAAATCTTAATTGGTTAATGTTCTGATGCTTGAATTCTAAAATTGTTTGTAACTATATATTTTATTTTAGTTAACTAAATATACTTGATATTTCCTTGAATATTTTCAAATTAGCTTTTACTACGCTAGCCTGTTGTAAACATTTATTGTGTATGTCAATTATTTCCTTTATGGAGGGTAATTACAAAAATCTAAGTTCAAATCTCAAAAAAATAATAAAAGAAGAGAGGTTTTAAGAATTATCTGGAATTTACAAACAAAAATTCAAATAAGATCCTGATATCAAATTTAATTTTGATGATATTAACATAAAGAAGTTTAATTATGCTTTGGATGTAATTATATTTGTAAAAAATTAATAGATGGCCCATTTTTAAATTAATTGGATAAATGATATAAACAAAAATTATCAGAACTAATTTAAGGATTTACATGATCATTTCATTCAGTTTGCTGCATTTGCTAAAAATATAGGATCTTCTTCAAATTATGAAGACTATATATATTTATGGAATGACCTATTTTAAACACAAATAGAACCAAAAATTCCTTAAAACAATTAATAAGGAAACTTAAATATGTAAATTTAAGAATTATTTAATTATAAATAGATTTTTAGCTTTAAATAGAAGTTTTAGCATAAGTGAAATATTTTACCCTCAAAATAATTGTAATTAGATTCTGAATTAACTTCATTACCCTAAAATGTAGTTTAATGAGTCAGAGGCTAGAAAATTTTTAAAATACAACTTAGAATACAGCTTAGAATAAAGCTTAGAATGATTTTTTTGATTTATTTAATAATAATTTCTTAATTAATTCCTTCGCACCGTTAAATTGTGTATTTTTAAAATAAAAAAATTTTATTTAGTATTTTTGTTTGAACATGATAAAAGATAAATCTCCTATTTAAAAAGGAAACTATATCATTTTTAGAGACAGACTTATTGGAAAAGGAAGACATTCCTTCATTTACGATTGCGTCAATGAACTTGATAAATAAACTCAATATTGTGCTAAAATATTTTTCAATACATCAATCCCAAGAACTTTGAAAATTGAAAACCTAAAAAACATTGACAACGTAAATCTCTTGAAATATTATGAAATATTTGAACACAACAAGGATGTAATCATTATAATGGAAAAATGTGATGGTAACTTAAAAGCAATTATTGACAAATAACCACTAACTGAAAAGGATACATTTAATTTTTTAAGGCAATTCTTGGGAGGGTATTAAACAATAATTGATGTTGATCTAGATTTGAGAGAATTGAAACCTGCCAATATTTTAGTTAAGAATAACGTTTATAAAGTATATCATATTCTATTTTGACAAGATATCCAATTATGGAATATCATCTTTGTATAAAGTGTTAGATGGGGAAACTAAAGCATTCTCTGCTCCAGAAATATTTTATGAAAAAGAACAAACTAGAATTAAGGACATATTTTCAGTATTTATTTAATCGAATTTATCAGCTTGGATTAGTCTTATATTTTGCTTTTTACAACTAATTACCTTATTCATATAGAAGTGCAGTTGATCAAATAGCATTCTTTAGGTAAATCAAGCAAATTGATTTTGAAATAAAGAAAGAAGTATGATTTTACATCTAATTTAGGGGCCACTAAAGTTGAAACAATTATTATAGTCAATGATCATCTACGAACCATCAAAAAGAATTACAATTGATGACTTATAGTTGTAATTGGACATGGACAATAATGTGATATGATTATATTATCTTTAATAGATTATATATAAAATTTCAATTATATTGTCTAAATTGATTAAGTTCATCTTCTATTTCCTGATCCTCTTAAGATTTATATAGGATATATACATTGAGCATGATTATTTGAAAGTGAATGGAACTGATCATTATCATCGATATCTTCATGCTTCATTTTTGATCCAAGTTAGTCATTCTTCTGTAACAAAGGCTAAAACTGACTTGAACTACTTACTTTTTAAATAAGAGCATTAGTAACTTTGAATTTTCCTTCCAGTTCATAAATGGCTCCAGATTCCTCTGATTCAGCTAAAACTAAATTTACTACTTCCTCCTGAACTTCATTTGTGTAAAATAAACTTAAGTTTTTTATTATCTAAGTTAGTTTGGCACTGTTCCCGAAAGAGCAAATCACTTTAACCAAACAATCTAGTAATTGATTAGGAAATTATAAATTAGGAACTTCTGGGTAAAATCCTTAATCTTAATAATAAATTTCAAATCAATACTAAAGGGCTATCTAATTTTCTTTTTAACACTTTGCAGTTATTGTTCCCTTCTGGTTCTTTTCTCTAAAAACTATTGTGGAGAGGGTTTCCTCTCAATAATTCTTTCTTCAGATGGTGCTTATTTAATCTTTTTGATATTTTTTTGAATGGGCTGTTATTGAACAGGTTACTATTGTTAGTAAGTCTATTGAGGAGGTTGTTTTTATTATTATTTTCCACATTTGATTCTGGCCATCTAAAACTCTATTTAAATTATTCAAATTATGCGGTAAATTTAAAATAGTTAATTAAACACACTTTTATAAAATTTAAATTATAATTTTTGAATGTATTTATTATTTTAATTAATAGTTTTTTTCATAAACTATTTGTTCTAATTCTAATGATCTAAGAAGGGGATTTGGCCCAAAATTTTTCAAGTGGGAATGCTGTTTCTAAAGAAAGTACTTTGTTGATTTAGTTTTAGTTTGGAAATATCGCATTATCAAACCATTTATTGAAAAAGAATTCAAACCAAGCCAAATAGCTTGAATAATTATTCTAATCGTTATCTTTCTCACTAACTTTTAAATAGAATTCTGGATACTACTCTTAAAGTTCAGGAATCTCTGATACAAATTGTTATGCGTCCTACATTTTATTCATAACTTTACTCTATAATAAGTGTTTATGTGTCCCAATTATGACACTATGATTCCTCTTATAAGTTCACAATCTTAAGTATTGGAGCACTCCTAGGTAAGTTCATTAAATTGGGGAAATATTTTGATGAGGGAACTATGACAATAATTTGCCTAGTTTGTACACATCCCCATAGTATTGATGCAAGCAAAGTATTTGTAGCTTAAAAGACAGAATAATAAAATTTATAATTGATTTTCTGACATACTACTTTGTTGATCTGAAAGTACTAGAGCCAAATCATATGCAACATCCCCTTTTGACATGATTATTTCAGCAAGATGTTTCAGGCCATTAAGATTTTATGCTTCTTCCAAAGTATTATAAAATTTTATTGAAAAATGATAATATGGAGTATTAGGCCTCTTTTAGAATTTTACATATTATTTTGACACTAATAATGAGGATCTCCTGAAATGGGCTGATTACAGTACTTATTATCCATTAAATAACGGATGACTAAACAAATCATTCCAACTAATTCTCTGTTTTTCTTCATAAGTAAGCATTTATTCTATTAGAACACAGACCCGAATATCCAACTATTATTTTAAAAGCTATTTACATTTTCATCCCTTGGACATGTAATTTTATTTTCCTAAGTTTTTCTCAATAAAGTAATCTATTCTGCTGAAGTTTTTACATTAATAGGTTTTTCCTTAAAAATTAGTTCATAAAAAATAACCCCTAGCTAACTAATTAACACATTATTTACAGAGTAAACGTCACATTTATTAGTGTATTTAGAATCAAAGAAGATTTAAGGGGCGGAATAGGCAGGAGTTCCAATATTTGTAGATTAGGAATGATTTATGAATTTGCCCATTCCAAAGTCTGCTAACTTTGAAATAACCACAGAAAATACCTTATAAAATCCACTTGAAATAAGAATGTTCGCTGGCTTGATGTCTCTGTGTATAAAATCGATATCATAAAGGCTCTTATAGCCTTTGATAATCTGAGCCACAATATTTAAGCTTTCTTAATGAGTATACCACTCATTACGCTTTTTCTTTTATTCCATTTCTTTCTTCAAATCACCTCCCCTGCAATATTCCATAATTACATAAACTTCAGAATCTCTTTCGTTTTAAATCACATCAATTATGTGAACAATATTTGGGTTCTAAATAGGGGAACTTCTAAGCATTCTTAAAATTTCTATTTCTCTATCCGTAAACTTCTTTTATGCTCCATTTGACAATATTTACTATTGTTAAATTGAAGATTACTTTAGCACAGAATTCTTCCCCATCACAAGTAGCAGTATAAACTAAACCAAATGATCCTTTTCCGATCATATTTTTCTTGTTCAAAGTATATCTTCCAATTTATACTTCAGATCTAGACATTTAATTTTAAATTTTAATTATAAAATTATAAAATAGAATTGTGATTAAATTCCAATACTATTTTTAATAAATAATTTATCACGCATAACTGTTTAGGATATCGTCTGCTTCTTAGACATCATATTCTATTCTCCAAAATAGATTATGATTGAATAAAGAAGAAATATTGTCACCTATTTAATTGATCTCTTTCACATTTTCAGATGTCACCTCCAAAGAATCTTAAATTTTATTTCCTTGAATTTCATCATCTTAATTCTATCTGTTTTCTTAATTTGCATCATCACTCCAGACCTGACCATGATTCATATCCATCAAAATATCCTCATCTTCTTCTAGTTATCCATTATCTTATGAGTTATAGGTATCTAATTCCTAATCTTGTTTTGATGTTTCCTTATCTTAATCTTATTATTCTTCTTGAGCCTACTAACCATAATAGGATTCATTGAATTTCTAGACAATCAATTAACTAAATACTTGTAAAATCTGCATAATGTCTGATTCTTGATCATCTGCTACTTCTGATTTCGCTTTAGGATTTACATTACATAGATAAGGCTTCTCTTTTTGATTGATATTGCACAGCCTGTTTTTAACAAAATTAAACCATTATTAATCTAAAATTGATTATTATGTTATACTGTCTTTATAATATTGAAGAATGGACTTATTGTATGATTTCTCAATCAGATAATTGGCTAAAGAAGTCAGAAGAGCAATATATCCTTTTTTATCATTTTCTTCCGTATGATATGTGACAATAAATTCAATAAGCTACCCAAATTAGAAGACCTAAATATATAATTTGTAAATTCAACATGCTCTGTTATTTTCTCATTATTTAGATCAAGAATCGATTTTATGATCTTTTCTGTCATGATGTGGATTTAATTATTGGATGAGTATTAAATACAAATAATTTCTAGCACCTTTATCAAATTAGCATTTAAAAGAGTTTCAATAATTTAGATGTCAGAGGTTCTATTAATAAATATTTATGATTATACTGAATTAAGGTTTAAATCAACTTTAGCAACATAATTTTATGTAATCCAAATGGTTACACATTTTCTTAATTAGAATTTTAGAAGTTAGCAGCATTATTTCTTTTACTTAATAAATTTTTAGGTAATTCAGAAGCAATATTTTCAAAAATGGAATAATCCTTCTCATTATGATGAACGACTTCATCCTCGTCTTCTTTTTTTTATTCCTTAGGGATCATTTCCACTAAATTGATGATTACTTATAATGGTTATGGCTTTTAAGTTTTGATTGCAATTTCAAATAACAGCTCTGGTCTTTTGATTTAATCAACAAATGGAACAATATCCGCGTTATTATAGTATAAACAATTCAAATTTTTAGATGTGATTTCAGTAAGAATATCGCAAATATTTTCAACAGTTTCTGAACAATAATATTTATTCTGCATTAATTCAATAATTCTTTATAAAAGTGACTTTCTTTCCTTTATGAATGTTTCTTCTTATTATTCCTAGGTTGTGTCTAGAATTATTAATTTTTCGATGATCTCAGCTATATGTTTGCAATCAATGTGTTTTATTAAATTGGATAAAGTTTCTTTATCATTAGCAATTCCATACCAAACCTAAATCTTGAATTAATGATACATCAAATCCTCGTTTTTTAATAAGCGCTAGGAAAAATTTTGAAAAATAGCCTGCAGATGTCATATTGAAAACATCAACTTCGAGAAAGGCAATCAATCGATGGAATAAAGTGAATCGAGTCATTTCATCGTCTGCATCTAGACCTCCCTCTGGACTGTCGAATATGAAATCCAATAACTTCTAATTTTAACTGCCCAAAATTTCACTGCATAGGAATGGGTATCTTCGATAATAATGCATTGTTGTACTAGATCTAGGCCTTTTTGTCGGTCAATTCATCCTCAACTGAAATTATATAGTGAATCATTCTCATATACATCACAGGATGCTTGATTATGCTATGAAATTCATTAATTAATAAGGTACTGATCAGCAAATTTGTTGGCTCCCATTCCTTTGATTTCCTATAAAATATTATCTGCATCTAAAATAATTTCTAATTCGCAATCAGGATCTGCTAATAATGTATCCAGTTATTGTTGCTGAGGAAAGAAACGAGCGAAGCTAAAATATGAAAGAGCTTTACTTAAAAAACATAATAATTAAAAATATTATATATGGATAATAAAATCAGAACTCATTTTAATAAGTTAAATAGTTTATCTTGAGGCTATTTGGCATGTGATGGAGATTGAACTTATGAGTTTAACTACAAAATTGAGGAAAATCTTCCTTATGATTATGAGAGGCTAAATAATTCTATTAAAAATAAATTAATAAATTACAGCTTGAATATTCTTTGGCATTGGCATTGTTGCTAGTTTCAGCAAATAAGTTTTTCAAGAACAAATTCTCTTACAATATTTCCTATTGATTTTATATCAAAATTTCATTATTTTATTTTAATTCTTCATTTTATTACTGCAACATCTAATTAATTCTAAAGAGTTCCGTATAATCTGATTCTTAAGTTTCCTTAGACAATAAAGACAAGATCTAGTTGTTTTAAACTAAGATTTTATTTCTCAATTCTAGATCTGTATTTTGTTTGGTTAAACATCTAGGACAGCCCATTTTATAATTTTAAATTTATCGTTTCTATTACTAAATGATTTGTTAGAGATGAGCGACACTTTCAAATTAATTTATGGAATTTGTATTAGAGTTATAAGTTGTTAATATATTTTCTTTGATATTTTCCTATTCATCATGATTGCTTTATCGACTCAAAAGTTTTCTACTATATTTCCTAGCATAAGAGTTATTCTCTTTTTCATTGGTTGGAGAAGCATTTTTTCTAACTAATTTTTCTGTCGAATGTTTTTTATACATAGCAGTTAAATTTAATATAATTTAGAATATAATTCATTAACTTTAATTTTTACTAATTAGTTTAAATTATAATCAAATATTAAATGAATCTATACAACTTAAATTCAACAAGTTTAATACAAATTAGCTTTTCTAACAAGTTAGAGAATTTGCTATAAATGAAAGCTATTCTATTCATTGCATTTGAAATTGTTATCTTTTTCCATTTTAAATAAATTGACTTTCTTTACACAATTATTCCGAAGAAATTCCTAATACTATTTTAGATGAGTATGAAATGATATATTATGTTGTGGAAACTAAATGCTCTCAAAAAAAGAACATTGTTCAGTCTTTCGAAATGATAGCTTTTATAATTTATATTCTATAAATGTTAAAGATTGGAATAATATCCTTACTTACTTACTCATACATTTTAAAATAAAGGAAGGAATGGTTTTTTCTTTTTTCTTCTTTTATGAAATTAAATTTGCTGCGTAATCCTAAACCACATATATGGGAAAAAAGAGAATCTGAGTCATTATGTATATGAAGATACATGCTAATATGAACAATCCAAACAATGTAGTCATATTTAGGGATAAGGTTTCTTATAAGTTATCCTGCAATTATTTTTCAAATGTATAATAAAACTCTAAGTACTCCTGACTACTGGATAACCTAACCTTATTAGAATTATTGTACATTATTAAAATCATCTTGAACTGAGGTATTTCTCTAATACCGATAATCATCTCTTGATTATATACAGTATTAAATCGGCATTACAATGGAGAATTAAATATCTCAAACTTTGGACAAGAGGAAGATCCATTTTACTTTCTTATCTCTATCCAATCAGTGAAATTAAATCCAGTAATTGTCTAATTGTATATGTATAAAGGTAGATAATCAGCTGAAACTTGATATGGATGCATAATCATAATTCCATCATTGGAAATTAAATACATTATTTGGAATCCAAACTTTTTCTGACCCACTTCCTAAACAAAATCATTTCCCAAGAATATTGATCCCAATCCACCTATCAATTTACCTTATTCATTCACAATAGGCATCGCAGTTGATAATCCAATTCGTTTTTCAGTAAATACTAGTAATAATGCATACTTTTTTACACATATAAGGATTTGTAAAAGTATAATTGTATGAATTATAATTTTATGTTTAATCATAGTTCCTTTGTAACTCAATATACCAATCTCGTTACTCTGGTTTGTAGCTATAAATTCCTTATTGTCTATTCAAACAAGGATATATCGAAGTTATTTTCTCCTTTACAATATAAGAATAAAAGAAATATTGGTTGATCTCTTTTCCTTAATATATTAGCTAGCCATATGCTTAAACCTATTCTTGCATTTTAATACCAACCAACTCATCAATGGTCTTTGGTTCACTGTATGAGCTTAAATTGGAATAACACATAAAGCAATATGAAATATCTGAATTTCCATATCCTTTAATTATTCTCAAAGGATCAGGAATCTGATTGATACCACCATATGGCATTTAGAAGGCCTCATTTATTTAAAGATTATTCTAAAGAAGTACTTGCTTTCTAGTAAAGTGATATAATCTATGAAATGAGATTAGTGTGTTGCCATCTAAGTAGAAATATACTTTTTACTTAAATAGAAGACTTTGTCAAAGTAACTTCTATATAATTTTATTGTATTTGATTGAATTCTGTTTGAATTTTCTTTGTACAAATAGTTTGAAGTTTCTTAAAAGTTTACGCTAAGTAGAGAAAGATGAACCATATTTAATGCTAGAACATATGAGAGAATTATGATTGTTTAGACAGAAGCAATTAGTATCAATTAATTTCTGAGCCTCATATTCTTTGTGCATTTAGAAAATATTGTATGATCCCATTTCATTTTGGTAAATATCAATTATCAAAAATGATTAATACGAGTTAAATTTCATAATCGAATATTTATATAAATAATAGATGCAAATTAAGTTGCTATCATTCTCTATAGGAGAAACTTATAACTGATTTAATAAAAGTTCAGATTAAAATTAATAGTCTTAATTAGTAGATAAGAAGTCTCTCAAGCACATTACAGTTTTTCTTTATTATAAATTCACATGTGGTTATTTCATATTTATTAATTATTCTGGAAACAATCGTGATTTCATTCCATTAGATATTCAACTCATGTCAAAATAACAGCAGATGAATTTTATTAAATCTTTTTTACCTCAGCAACAATAATTTATGTTGGAAACAATAATGATGGAGATATTTTTAATTTTTACTAAAAATTGAAAATATCTAATGAACAACATTTTTAATTTAAAAAATTAAATAACTATAGATAAATAGATAAATGTGAATAATATTTAATTAAGCTTAATTATATATTACAATTGTCATTAATGGTCTCTAATTGTTATACAATATTAATGTGAGAACAATATTCAATCAAACAATATTAGTATACTAAATAATACTTGTGTGTTGGGAAAAAGAAAGTTCTGAAATAGTTATAAATTAAAATAAAATTAGGGTTTCTAATGGTTGGTAATATGTATGAGTTCTTAAATAGAATCACTTTGTTAATTCTTTCATAATTAAATTTAAATGAATCACATTTAACAAGACTTTATTTAGAAAATAATGAAATAATAGTAGCAAGAGAGACAATAATAAGTTAAATAGGAAGAGAATGGTTAGAAGCAAAATATATAAGTACAACATTTCTCATCATTAACTTAGTATTTGCAGAAATAATAACTTCTCTCCATAATTCAGAAATGCCAATAACAATAATAACCAATTTAGCAAGCAACGTATAATATGTAACTAGTGATTTAGGAAGTTCCCTTCTTTAATTGAAGTTTAAAATTAAGTGACATCATACTTTTAGTAAATAATTCTCTAGAAGCAAATAATCAATATAAATAATGTATTTGATTAACAATTGCCATATTTCTTATAAATTATGGGGAATTTAATAGTCTACGGACTTGAAAATTCTCCAGGAGATAAGGAAATTGTGTAAGAGATTATAGCATAATATAAATCCAATCCTCTTAAAATTACAATGAGTTGTTCTCTATTTTAGACTATAGGGCTCTTGTTTCGTTCCTAATTAGTGTATTATGACTAATGTAATGAGTAAATAATAATAAAAGGTACGAAATATCTTTCAAATTTTTTGTTGTTCCGTGACGAATTTTGTGACATCTTCTTTAATACTTTATACAGTTACCAAATTACTCATGGTTAAACGTTTAGTCAATAGATTGGATTTACGTAGATCCACCAAATGATCTTAAAAACTTAAGAAGATGTGTGGACAGCATTTATATTTAAAATGATGAGTTAATAATAATAGAAAATGACTAAAGAAATGTTTTTATTACAGTTCAATTAGTACACTGTATCTATGAATAATTTCTTTGCTAAGAGTAATCTCATCATGGATTTAGTTGGTTAGAGTGTTAAATAAATCTCAAAATTGCATAATGATCAAATATTTTAGGAAGTAAATTAATCAACTAAAAATAGTTTTTGCTGATTATGGGTAGCTTTAAGGCTACGACTTAAGATTTTTTAAAGAAAGCCACTTAGGTATTCTTCGAAGAATCAAATGATCTAGATTTATTGTAATTTAGCAGTAACATCATAAAAGTTCATAAGCAAATGAATTGTCAAATCTTATTTATTTTACCAATGTTATTTTAACTGGAGAGTTAATACCTAGATCATCTTGTATAGAATGGAATTTAAGATTAATAACCAGTTAAGAATAGTTCAAATTATTATTTAAAGATGATAGAGAAATTAAAAAATAAATGTGTTTATAATGGAGAAGAAGAATGCAATTGCAAGAAATGCTAATGGTATCTAATTCTTTAGATTAGGTAGTATAAGAAGGAATAGAAATTCAGCAAAAGAGTCTTAAAAAAAGAAAAGAGAAGCATTAGAAAAAATAGGTCCTTTATAAGATGAATATGATAAAATTAAAAAGAAAGTAGAAATATTACATTATAATATTTAGGTTTAATCACTTGAAAAAGAAAACTAAGTTATTACAAAGTTATTACTAGATGTATTTAGACACCCATCTCTGGAAAAATTGGCATCTTAATTCATTGAGCCTCTCACTAAAATCATAGCTGATCAAGATTTCTATAATATTGACGAATGTTGATTATAAACGTCTATAATCTATAAATTTTAGTTAATTAGTAGTTCAAAACTACGTATTTTATTGATAATTAAAAATTTAATTAATATACATATAATTACTCATAATAAATCAAGTCTACGAGATCTATCCCACACAATTTTTCCATTTTATTTAAAATATTGAACTCTATGGCTTTTAACCTAGCTATTTATAAAATCAGTAAAAGGAACTTCCATAATTCCCAAGAATCTATCTTCATATCCAACAACAAAATCATCCTTATTAAATTTGATATCCCAAAGTATTCTATCAATTACCTATAGAGTTGGTTTAAATTTCTTTTGTATTTCCTTTTGCTCTAACATTTCTGGGAAATAGTTTTATATAGTTTTTTATCGAAAATGGAACAAATCACAACTAAGTAATCTTTGCTTAGATTTACATAATAATGTCTGTATTCTCTTTTATCACTATAATAATATTTTTAAGTTTTACTTAGATTTGATAAAGATCTTGGAAATGTCACTCCAATACTTAGATTACTGTAATTGTGATTTTTGTTCTTAATCTTTTGATTCTTTCGAATCTTTAATATCTTTATAATCTTGCCTGCTTTTTATCCTCTTCATTCCTCCCTCATCATTTTATTATTATGGTTATTATTGTTATGTATCTTTTTCTCTTTTTAATTATATTTTAATTAATTTTCTGTCAAATACAGCCTACCTGAATGTGTTTAGATGGCAACATTTTTCCATCCGCACTCAATTTGAATAATTTCATCGTCTTCTTCTAAAGTAGGTTAAGATACTTTTGTGTATTAAACATTGTTGGATAGATAATAAGCATTTAAATAATTTACTTAATTTTAAAGTTTGGTTTCTGATTTATGAGATCTTAATATTCGTGCGATTGGCAAATGTACAATCTATTTTGAATTGTGAGAATTCCAGTATAGGTTAATCCAATTTGCATTGATTTCACTGGCATTCCCAAAAGATGGCGTCTTTTGAAAGGTTTGACACTTTCATCAAATGACCAAAAGTAGGTTTCTCTTCCAAATATGGTTCGAAAGATTATACTGTATGGAGTAGTTGTATTTGGATTATTGAATCCAATACTTGCCAAAAGTGATTTCAGGGTTAATTGCACATTTTGTTTCATTTATTTTGAAACTAACTGAAGGTTGAGCATATCCTTGTTTGTGAGGAAATTAGCGATGCTTCGGAATACATCAAACACTTATAATTGAGACTGCTATATTTTTTTAATTTTATTCTTTAATAATAATTACAATTAATGCAAGAAATCAAACAAATACCATCATTTCTATCAAAATTATATGAAATTCTTGAAGTAATATACAATTTGTTATTTTTGAGTCCGAATAAAAAGCAATAGGATGGAATAAGGAAGGTACCACATTTTAGATTTTGGATTCATCTTTATTGACAGACCAAATAATGCCCTAGTATTTCAAGCATCGCAATTATCAGAGCTTTCTGAGGTAGTTAATCAATAATATCCGGTTAGATAACTCAATATGTATGGATTTAAGAAATTGAAAAACAAATAGGGGAGAAGCGAATTCCAACATTCATAATTCAAAAGAGGTCTCAAGTATCAATTTGAATTGATTTTCTTTAGGAATAATCTATTGAAGATCAAAAGGAGAAATTAAGAGGATATTAAACAAAGTTTAGAATCTTTAACCAAAGAATTTGAATAAGAATCCTATCTCAATGAGCACGAAAGACTTCGCAAGCAGCTCGTGGAATTATAGTCAAATTAAAGATCTCTCTTAGATGAGATCAGACGTTAAATGGAACGCAATCGAAATCTACATAGAGAAACTTAGGATGTTGCTGAAGTATAAACTATCAATCTATTGCGTAGAGAATTAATACGGTGAAGAGTTATCACCTCAAAAAACTCAATAAACTTATTATAATCATTTAGAAACTCCCTGAAGATGCTCAAATCAGTAAAATGGCATTGATGAAGGAAAAGATAATGAGAAAATTAGAACTCATTGAAGAGGAGAATGTCAATATGAATATGAAGGATATCTCTCTCGAAAAATAAGACTCCTACATGTATTAAGAACCAAATCTAACTGGAGTCAAGAGTCCTGCTGGATACTCACCCAAAACTAAATGAAATCTATAATATTTATATATGTGTTTGATAATCGATCGTATAAATATTTTTGAGTCATCAAATTACACATTAATGCAAGTCAACGTTCAAAAAATTTTCTTTAAATCTTTAATTTTACATTATTAAAATGAGAGGAGTAACCCTACGTAGATATCCAGATGAAAGTTTTCCTAAGAACATCGACTTCTTTGACTTGAAGGACTTCCCTATTCCAACAAATCTTAAGGACAACGATCTTCTTATCAAAGTATGCTACGTCAGCATCGATCCTGTCATGAGAGTATGGTTTTCTGGAGCCAAGACTTATATTGACACTGTGCATCAAGGACAAATCATCCCAGCTTTTGGATGCGGAGTTGTTGCTGAATCAAAAAGCAAAAGATTCAACAAGGGAGATTTAGTCTTGGGTGCCCTTGATTGCGCAGATTACTGTGTTAGATCAGCTAATGCAATATTCAAATTGCCAGCAATCAAATCAAAGCATGACCCAAACTTGCCTCTCTTTTTGTCCGTGTATATTTTAATTGTGATAATTTAGTTATGGTGTCACAGGAATCACTGCTCTCAAAGGATTGCATCAAATTCCCAAGGAAAATCTGCCTACCAAAGAATCCAAGAAGACTCTTGTTGTTTCTTCTGCAGCTGGATCAACAGGATCATTTGCTCTATAAATAGGAAAATATTGGGGCTATCGAACTGTTGGTATTGTGAGCAGTAGAGACAAGAAAGACTTCGTACTTTCTCTAGGGGCTGATGCTTGTGTTTGTTACAATGACACTTTGGATTCTAATGGAATTGTTGATACAGAGTACTGTTATTCATAATCTTAATAGCAAATTGACAAAATTGATTAAGTAAGCAGCTCCTGAAGGAATCGATGCTATGTATGACAATTCAGGAGAGGAAGTCTTAGATGCAGTCTTACCAGCCATGAATAAGGGTGCATTCATTGTATTATGTGGAGCAACTGCTACATATTACACTTGGAAGAATAGAGGAGGATTGAAAAACTTAGCCCATTTCATCACTAAATAAATTAAAGCTGAAGGAATCTTGTACTTCGGTTAAAAGAACGCCATTATAGAATCATTTAAAGAAATGAATGAATTAGTCACAGGAAAACATATTTAGTAATATTTCTTACTTATTTGTATAGACATAAAGAAGAATTCATAAATGGATTAGAGAATGTGACAATAGGATTACAAAAGGTGTTTATGGGAAAAAACTTAGGAAGAGTTATTGTGAAACTAGACAATGAAGTTCCATTGCCAAAGTTTTGAAGCTTATTTACATAACAAATTTAGAACATTGGAAAATTTCCAAAATAATATTCTTAAAACTAATAATAAATTGTTTTGATCTAACATTTTCTCACATCTCAAACCAGCAAATATATATTAGAGGGAATTGGTTACCTCAGGAGATGTAAGTCAATAGGAGGAACAATTATTATTCAGGTGATTCCAAATAGAGAAATTGCCATTTATATATTTATTGGATAAATCATCCGAATCTAAATTTAATATCTAACAGATAATCATTATCACCTTTTAGATGATGATTACTATAGAATATCTTTCGTAAAGTATCAATCAAAATTTTATAACATGATCAGTTGAGATATTATATTTTATGATTAAAAAATTAAATAAAAGGAGTAATCTTTAATCTGCTCCTGAAATAATAAGAACAAGACAAAAGCCTCATTCGGATTTGGAGATTGAGAATTTGGTTATGCAAGACATTCGAAAGAAAATATTGAATGATGAAATGAATACTATTTAATTTTATGATATAGTGTAACCCGATTAGGATGAAATGATTGCTACTTTAAAAGACTCTTAAAAGAAACCCATTAAATTACATAGGAGAGTATAAAGAACCGATTTGGAGAGCAAACTGAGGGCTAGAATATCTAACGAGCCAGGCTCAAAGTTATTGTTATAAGAAATGTAATACATTCAAGAATATTTGTGAGTTATGAGAAATTAGAAGAGGATCCTGGGAAAAATGCTATTCCTACACATAAGAAATTACATTAAGAGGAATAGCTCAAAGTGGATTTGCGATATAAACCTGAAAGTGAGGATCAATTAGTGGCAAATTTGGATTAATGGTATAAAGGAATAAAAAGGAAACGGAAGCAGCATCAGTATCAATTGAGATAAGAGTAAGAGAATGAAAGTACTATAATTTTAAGATTTAAAAGGACTGACTAAAGCCTAAATGTAAGAAAGAACCTAATCTTTAATACAATAAAGGAGAGGGGGTTTAAATGACAAAACCAAACCGATGTAAGCTACATCCTCTTTTCCAAAATTACTAATTGATTCAGCAAAAACAGAAAATGAATAAAGCACTTTTAAGTAGAAGTTGTTGGGATCGTTGAAAAAAATTACTGCCCTTAAAAAGATTGAGACTCTTCACCAAGATCCCTCTTTGAATAAATAATTAGACAAATATTTATAACAAGGGTCCAATCTAACTAAATAAGAATTAGCATAGATCGAATAAGCCAAAGCCAAACAATATGGGGATGATTAAAACAATGGAACTTTAATTTTCGATTATACTGTTGAAGGATTGAAGAGTAGTTTACATACTATGATTAAAATGTAATTAACATCCTTTCAGAATGCAAGTGATAGAGCAATATTCTATGAAAAATAAACTAATTAGATTTTACTATCTATAAATTAAAGACTTGATAGACAAAAAAATACGGTAAAGAGGAATGAAAAAGACTTAGAAATATTGAGAATTGAAAATCATGAAATTCATAAAAAATTGAGGGGAATATAAGATTTTGTAATAAACTGTATTTTTATTTTAGTTAAAAGAGAGAAAGGAGGAACTTATAGGAATTAATAAAAAACCATAGCAGTCAATTAATTCACCTAATATAAAAAATAACTCCAGTTAGGTTGACAATTACATGGTCATTGCAGTTAAATAAAATGAATTAGAGGCTTAAATTGAATAGATGAAAGATAATTATAACAAATTTTCAGAATAAATGAAATTAAATTCAATATAAATAGAAAAATTAGAGTAAGAAAACTCTAAACTTAATAAGAACAATAAGACTCTTCTAAAATCTATATAAGGCTTTTTATTAGAACTTCTTAAATTAGGCTTAGATTGTAGAACTTAAGGTTTATCTTGGATAATTAAGGCTATTTGGGATTCAGGCGAAAAAATAGCAGATTCAAATTTTCCTCCTTATTTGGATACCAAAGCCAGAGATTTTCTTTTTATTCGGACTAAAAAGACAATAGAACTAAATGATCTTTATAAAAAAGCGCACCTCTTATTCAGGAATTATAGAGACACAACAATTGATACAGGAAACAATTCAGTAGTGTCTCTATTATCAAAAAACTATTTTTCTTAAATTGATTCATTAGAAATTAAAAAATAACACATTGATTAAATAAAATAAAGATAATTAAATGATGTAGCCTTATTAACTGAAGGGTTAAGCCCAACTGAATATAAATTAATAGAAAAAACATTTACTTAAATATTTTAAAGAAAGGAAACTCTAAACGATATAATCTATTTGGAAGCTTCAAAGAAGATATCGAAAATGTTTAAGTAAGAAGGGACTTAAGAATAATCAATTGTGTTCAGTGAGATAAACAACTTTGAAAAGGATAGGCTGATAAAAGAGTACCAATAAATCTAAAAGGATATTGAAATGAAAGAGAATTAATTTTAAAAATTGGAAGAAACAGAATTGCAGAGATTAATAAAGGAGATCGATTATAAGAATTATTTGGCAAGGTTAGAAACTTAATATTTTATAGATTTAACATTGAAGCATTGCAAGTATTGGCAGCACAATTTGGATATTAAAAAGCAGAGAGAGAGTTGATTAAATATGGGTTGTTGCATAAAACTGTGAATAATTGAAAATATAAATATTTATCAAGATGTTCCTTTATTTATAAATTTAAGGTTTAATTTAGTTTGGATTTGAATTCCAATAATGATTTAATTTACTTTTTGGTTTTTTTGGTTGAGTTTGCTGTTGGATAGCTATTTTAACTCTTCATTCTACTTAACTTTGGGTAAATTTTCATAGGGCAACTTCAAAATGAAAGGAATGATTGACAAAATTTGAAGAATAATAATTCAATTTGCCATAATAGAATTATTAAGTTAATAAACTTAATTGATTTAGACTTTTAACAATTTCAATGCAATATACTTTTAGTTATTTATTATTTATAATTATACTATTTTGGAGAACTAGATCATATAATATTTTAATAATGATTTTATTTAATAAAATATATCATCATCGTTTTTGTTTCCATATCTTATCAAACAATTGCAATTCCTCTAGTGAAATACTATCGAATAATAGTACATCTTCCTTATATACGATTATTCTTTTTTAATTTTCAAGTAGAATAACATAGTATTGTAACTAGTCATTTTTGTTCATTATTTATCCTATTACATCACATGTTTCTAATTGTTTTGATCCATATCTGCATCTCAAATACACCAAATGTTAATTGAATTTTAATAATTTCTTGTTTGTTAATATTTAATTGTTGTCCAGTGATAATAATCTCTTGTTGTTTTCTAATAACTCTTTAATAGTGGTTGCAGTAGTCTATAATTCTTTTATTAATTTAAATTATTTTGTTATCTGATATTAAATGTTTCGAACATTTCCGAAACTACTAAATTTCAATCTTAATATCAAAGTCTCTAAAAATATACAAAATAATTACATGTTCGTAACTATTACAAGAACGATCCTGCGTTATCTAATAAGTACAATCTATTATTCTGATCAACAAACAAGATATCATATGAATTGTACTTGAGATAATGATTTATCAATAAATTATTGAAATAATCTGTTAAATCCACACTTTATTCATAATTCTCATCAGAAATCAAAACCTTTAAAAATTTAACATCGCCACTTTCTAATTTTTCTCTCCTCATCTATTTATGACTTAGCTTTTCGTTTGGAATGAACAAATTCAACACTTCTTATTATTTTTGTTTATCTTGAGTTAACTTCAATAGAATATCAATCAAATAAATTGATTAATTGCCATTCAATAAGAATTTTTAATATAATTCATCCAAATTGCATGATGCAGGATTTAATTTAAAATATTGCATCATCATTTATCTGAATTCTGTCTATGATAAAGCATTCCCTCTCTTAAAAGCATCTGGATGTGCTAAAAAGTTATGTTAAACCTTGAATTGAGATGCAAGGTCATTAAAATTATTTATAGCAGTATCCTTGCTAATCACTCTTTCTTATGGCAATCCTTCTCCGACAAGTAAAATTGAATATTCCAATTCAGATATTTGATAGTGTCTTTGCAAATCATAATTATCGTTTAAGATCAATGAGTTCTTGTAAATGGTGTTTACCATATAGTAGCCTAGGTCAATTTAACCTTTAAAATTATCGTTAATCTAAATTTCCAAAATAGACGAAGCATATGGCAATTCAAAATATAAACCATCTTATTCACTTTTTCTTTGGTTCTAAATTGTAACCACATTTTATTCATGAAACGTTATTTGATGTAAATACAAAGAATGTATCAAAATATGGATTTTCTAAATTTGTTATTTGAATAGGAACTTTGATTGGCTTCTTGGCAAGATTGCTGATTACTACTATTATTCTTGAATCTCATAAATAGAGCCCTCGTGTTCTTCAGGAACATCTATTATAAAACTTTATTAATGTGGTTTTTATTATTAAATCTATTCATTGCAAATTTACTCTAAAGGATTACCATTCGCAGTCAAAACTTCAAAAATTTACTCCTCATTATCTAAATAGACAAATTCTTGTTAATTATAGGAGTCATAACAGGCCATTATCAATTTCTCAGGATCACATAACAACTTACCATAAATAGTCAATCCTGTAAGGAATTCTTCTTTGGTTCTATATTATTTATAGTCTACTTCAGTTAGAATTCCACCAATTACACTAGCTATTGCTTTACTCAAATCTCCATTTACAAAACCAATCCCAATTATGTAATCAAATACTCTTAACCATATATCAAAATAAAAGAAATCACTGAATAGATTATTCAAATGGGGTCTCAACCATTCAACATCAATTTAATCACGTTAAATCTTAGGAATCATTAATTTGTAATCCAAGCATTGAATTATTTTAAATACATAATCATTGCAAGATTCCATCTTTATAGATAATAGTTAAAACAATCTTATCGTCAAAATCATTTTATTTTTTGTATGATTCCACAATTCAAAATAATCCAAGAGATTTGGTATATCATTTTTCCATTCTTGCATCTTTTTTATATATCGATCTGTCCAAACAGTTGTCTGTTTAAATTACAAACTGTTGACATAGTTCTACATTTTATTGTAATTCAATTCTTTGATATCTTAATCTATAATTTTCATTTAATAATATTTTTCTAAAATATTTTCATTTTCATTCCATTCCAATCCAAAATCTTATGCGTATTTTTATACTTTTGTATTAAATTATAAGAAAATAGGAATTAAATCAATTCTAGATTATTAAGTAAACCCTTTCTTGCAGGCATCAATTATTTTATTTTTAACAAAGCACTATTTATTTTGAATTGGGTTGAGTTGCAAGTAGTCAGCCAATAAAGCAGATTTGTTTTTTATTTCCCCTGTTCCTAATTCTTCTAAAATATATTCTTGAATTTCAATCAAATCATCTTCAGACTATTTGCTATTAACCCATATTTATCCTCTAGTTTGAAGAGCATTCTCCAAAGATTCAATCTTAAAGGAATTCCACTTTTCTTACAAACTATTACAAGGAGTTTTCAATTGTTTCACAAAATTCTTCAACTCTTAGGCTGTAAAAGGCATTTCTATAATATCTAAATAAAAAGGATTAACAGTAGAATTCTAAATCTAAAATGGAGAGTCTTCATGGATGTCTATTTATAACATAGGAACATTCAATAAATCATTTCCTGTTGCATTTTATTATAGATTGGCTGACACCTCTAAGCCAGTAAAATGTCTTCGATTATTATTTAAGTTTTTCTCAAATTCAAATAAGTGTATTCTTCCTTGCATAACCTTCTTGGCAGCAGCTAAAAAAGCCTAGATATTATTTTATTATTCTTGGGTTCTTGCAAAAATTTTCTCATTCACTTCTTGATAGTCATCATATACCACTATTTCTAAGACATCCTACTTCTAAAATCCAGACAAAGTGATCTATAGATCACTTATCCAACCCTTCATATCTAATTGCATGAAATTGATCAATTACCCTTTGTCAAATTCTATCTTGCCATGACCTTTTTAATCTGAAAGTTTAAGCTGAATATATAAGATTGGGTTATATAACTTTATATGTTAACCTATAATTAATTTAAAATTTGTCAGATGTAAATCTTAATATTAAACTAAATGTTATTGTTATTATTGTTATTATTATTGTTGTTATTGCTATATCTATGACTACTACTATATTTGAGAGATCCTTTACTATTCATTTTCAATATCCTCAATCTCTTATTACAATCTCCTTTCCTCTTCCTCTATTTCTCTTTATTATTATTCTTCCAAATCTTCCTTCTATTTTAATATTTTATCAGCAATCTGCTTCCAATGGTAAAGCAATTCTCTGGCTGCGGAAAACTCCTTTTACTTTATAAAGTTCCCTTGATTTTGCAACTTCAAAAGTTTTTATTGCTTCAATATTTACTCCTAATGTACTTTTTCCTATTCAGCCATTTTTAATAGAATCTTAAATGTTTACTCATATTGGTTTTTATCATAATTCTGCAATTCATCAAATTCTTAGATATATTGATTTTATTCTTTTAGTTTCCTTTATTCAATTTTAGTTGCTTTATTATGCATTTTTTCTTCTAGTTGTTTTATCATAACCGAACCTAATTTTTTAAGCCACACCACTTTCATGAGTTTAAAGAGCAAATCTTTGGAGCGATCAAGTTTCTGTTAATTTTTGAACTTCAAAAATTCTACAAATCTCTACCCCATATCAAGTGTTTCAAAATAAACAGCAGTGGGTTTTTAAAATTAATGAATTTATCCAATATTTTATCCATTATTCGCTCGATCAAATAATACTCTGACTATTTTGTTCTAATTGTTTGTCCATCTAAAAAAAGCTTTTTGATTTTCTGGTAATATATCGAATTCTTACTAATTTATTAAATGGCAATACTTTAGTAATCAAAAAAAAACAAGCTGGGTAGCGAAAGCGTTTAGTACTATTAATCTGCGCCATTGATTCTTCTTCAAGTCTCACTTATCTAGGCAATAATTTTCCATGCTGCTTCGGTTGTTTCTCCATTTCGATTAGTTAACCTGTAATAAATTTTCTTGGTTCCTTGGTGTGAGTTTAATCGAAACTCTTTCTAAATATTTCATAATGATTCATAAATAATAATAATAAAAAATATTAAGTTAGATAATATTCAAATTTCTTTGATAAATAGATAAGATATAATTATTTGTATTAAATGATTATAATGTGTAACTTAACTCATTCAAGGTAAGCAACGTAGGATTCCCTTTGGACACCACATGGGTTACCTGTGGCTGGTAATCTGATGTATCCTTATTCTCCCCATGAAGTTCCCCATGAATTCTTGATAATCCAAACTCCATCCTCTTAGAAACCAGTAGCCAAGACAGCATGGTTTAATGATTTGTAAGTACATTTAGTGAAGACACCACTCTTATAGTTTTACCATGAATTGGCATCAACAGCGACAGTAATTGGTTAATAAGAAAGTGCTGTGTACATGTTATCTGCAGATACAACTTAATATCCTGATGGTTTGTATTGTCCTGATGAATATTTGCATTATTTATTTTGAACTCCTTGATATGGGTATTATTTGTCAGTGGTGAGACCATTCTTTTTAGCCCATTAGATACCCAAATTTTCAAAACCACCATTGCATCCATCGTTTGTACCTTTATCACAATCGACTAATTATTATTCTGATAACCAGAGATCTTTAGTAATAACTCCCTTGATTGTCAAAAGTGTTTCTACTGCACCAACAGCAGAGAAGGCCCAACATGAACCACAGTTACCTTAGTTCTTGACTGATGTGATCTTTGACCAATCAGCTGATGCCTTAAGAGGTCCTTATGGGACATATAATTCAGCATCAAGATTCATGGGTGATTCCTTTCTTGTCAAAACCAAGGCAGCGAATTCTTCATTAGTTAAATCGGTGAATTAGGTTTCTCCGAAAACAGTTGTGCTATTTTCTTCAGAATTCAAGATTTGGATTTATTTCATAGCATCTTGATAAACTTAGAATCTGTAAGCTCTCTCGGCTGGTGTGTAGACTTTGCCGAATTGAGTTGTGTATTTATCAAATTACACTCTTAAATCCAATGATTCTGGTTGGCTAAGTTGGTGGATGCCAACTGTTAATAATGTGATGGCTGCTAATGTTAATAATTTGTTCATTATTATTAATAATTCTTTCCTTTTTAATTTCCTTTTATAATTGGAGTGGTGACATCATCGTTAAAAAATAATTACAATCTTTTATTTAATCTAGATTAATCAAAAGCACTATAAGATATTACTATTATGCACTCTCTAATTAAAAAGATCTGGCTGTGACGACATCCTTATTTTCTACTCAAAAATTGATAAAATTGACTCAAGAGTGCTAACCCACTTTTGTGATACTAACAATTGTAATATTTTGGAAATCCTATATCCTCGCCTAAGCTACTTCACATCTCTTAAGATATCCATGGTTTCTTTCTAGATTTATAAATAAGAACAATCGTTTAGACTAATTTTAATAACTATATATTTTTAATAATATATTAACAGCATCCTGTTACTCTAGAACCTATGGGAGGTTATTAAATGCCCTTTAAACTAAATTCTTCTTGAATTTGAATCATTTTTACTCTTTAGTTTGGACTGATTAAATAAATGAAAAAATTGAAAAATCGATAATCATCATTTATTTTAAGAGAACTTATACAAGTATTTATAGATACCAACTTAAAAAATCATAGGAGTTATAAAACGATAGGATATTTAAGGATTATTTTGATAGTGTTATTTAATCATATAAAATATCAATAAGGATTTTTGAGACAATAGTAAAAATAAATATCCATTAATATTCCTGTAAATTTATGATTAAAATGAACAAATTATAACTGTCTGAAATCATTCTTTATTTGCTATTTAGCTAAAATAATAGTAAAAATTTTGTTCACAATTATTTATTTATTTCAAAAATGATGAATAATTGTTTTAACAGTCTATATAAATTTGAATTCTATTTAATATTACTTTAAATATTTGCCTGACAAGAAATGAGTCTTTCTTTTGTTACTAAGGTACAACTTTCTTTCTAAGATTCTATTATTCACAAAAGAGATATATTTAAAATTAGCATTAAATAATTAGATATACTCTACTATTTTAGATATTAAGATTAAGGTTCAAAGTTCAATAATGATGAAGTCAATTAATTTAATTCAAAACAAATTTAGAAAGAATAGAAAAAGTAAGAAAATAGATAGAAACGAAAATCAAAATTGTCTAGTTTAAGTAACAATAACCTTTTTATTATATTTGAATACACTTGTTACACAATTAAGAACTGAAAAAGAAAATTGTAAAAATCAGAATATCATTTGGATATAAACATAAGAAACTAAAAAGGAAAGTTTTTGTTAAGTTAGTCAATAGAAGGATTGAATTCCGAATTTGATGATCTGCTAAGCTCATTATTAAATTATTAAAAGAGAACTATATATAATCACTAGAAAGCCTACTATTATTTAGATTTATTTCTTTTAGAAACTAGATGGAAGTATAAAATAAACAAAGGGTAATAAATTAAAATTTTGATAGAAGGATAAATCTAAATAATTGAAACTTCAACAGGGCTGGCGAGGTGTGATTATGTTGAATTGCTGAAATAATATCATTATGATTGATCATTGATGGTAAACTTTATTATTAAATGTTGGATGAATCTCTCAGTTTGAGCATAAGTTTGGGTAGAAAAAGAAAAAAAACTCAATGAATTAATAAGTTAGATTTTTTGAATAGAGAAATATTAAAATATATGATGCTAAGAAGAACCACTTTAAACAATATTAACATTTATGTAATAAGCAAATAGAGAATGGAAATATTAAAATTGTTTGTTTTATTTTTATTAAAAATATTAACATTTCAAATTATCCTTTTATTTTTGTTATTTATTTAAAAACTAGTAAAATATTTATGTATCAATAACAATTCCAATGGCAGCAAAAAAATTGAAACATATAAAGTTATGGAATTAAAAAGAAGGTGACTTAATTAATATATGGATTGTTTTTCAAAGTTTAAATTGTAAATTCTCATTTATAAAAAAAGCATATTAAAAATATTATTCAGAAATGATGAATGAATTCTTTTATAGAATGTGTTTTTAAACTTTACACTCTCTAAGCGAACTTAAACTTGTTAATGAGGAGGAGAAACTCATCCTTAAAGATCTAATACTTAGAAATGAATTTAATATTCCTTCTAAGATTAGTGCAGAATAACTCTCTTTCTTTTTTTTATATATAATTAAAAAACACAGAAAGAATTAACCAATAAAGCAAAGTTAACTTCTAATAATTGACGAATAGACTGATGAAGAAGTGATTTGAGAGTCTGAAATAATTTTGAGTTTTGTGTATATATCTCTTAAACTGATTTTAACTAATATTACCAATTTAGAATATGAGAAAAGTTTCTAGAATTCTTCGAAAAAATAATTTTTTTTTTGTTAAATTCAAGAATCATTTGCATCTTAATATGAATAATATAAATTTAATAGACATTTTTTTAATAGCAGTATATATCCGAAATTCTTTTATTTCCAAAAATAAATGCTATTTTTTACCTTAATTTCACATAATTTAAATTCCTTAATACAAAATAAATTACTTTATGTCACAATCATATTTCTAAAATGCCCTCAAATATGTGAAAATTCTGGAAGAATAAAATCGCATTTCAAAAGAAGAAAAATCTATACTTAAAATGATAATTGTGAATCAAGATGTTAATGAAAAGATGCTAAACAAAAGGGAGGCTGTGACTTAAGTCTCTTAAAAGTTAAAAACACTCAGGAGAATAAGGAGAATATATTTGTAAACATCACAGAGTTTAAACTAAATAACTGAAAAAAGTATGGAAATAGATTTTTGACAACAACAACTTCTGATCTTTTTATTTATATTTAATTCTTATAATTAAGAACTTATTTATTCATTTTAAATGATCCAATAATTTAGTAGTTTTATTTAAAAAATTTTCAATTAAATTATACAATTAAGCGTAACATTATAGAGTAATTAATGCATTTTTGACATGATACTATATATTTAATTAAATAATATGTAAAAGTCAAAAGCAAACTGTTATAGGTTTTAAAATATTTACTTACGTTTCCTTCAATTAAATTATACATAATGGGAAAAAATAAGAATAAAATGATAACAACTTGTAGAAATAAATGGGCTGGATTAATTTCATCCACTATTTTAAAGAATCAAAAAAGATGTAACTTATGAATAGTTAATAAACATAACAATGAGACAATTACACAGAAATGCAATACTATTTGTACCTAATTTAATTTATCAATAAGCTTAGAACAACTAAAACAATTAGATTAAATCATATAATTTGATAATAAGTTAAAATAAAGATGAATTTTTATGAATTTATCTGTCAATTTGTAAATCATATTTGATATTCATATGATATTTGAATTGAAATTGAGCTAATTAAATAACAACTAATAATTAATTATTATAAATTAGTTCCTTTCAACATCATATAATATGAAAAAATAAGGGGAAGCCCTGATTAAAAAGTAGTATTTAAATTTATTTTAAAATTCATTTTTTGTTTTGAAGGTCAAGTTTAAGTTATCAGTTTAGATCAACTCTAATTAACGAGAGGCTGAGTTTGATGAAAATAAACAAATTTAGTGATTTGCTTATTTTACATAATTTAAATCAGTTAATAAATTTGAATATTAAAAATGAATTAGAGAGATGGACATACAGAAAAGATCGAAAAGGACTTTTCAAGGTTGTTGGAGAGATATAATCGCTCAAAATAAGTTATCGATTAATTGTATTAATCGGGAGGGAAGAATGATACAACAATACGTTCTGAGAAAAATAATAAAGAGGAGAAGGAAAAGGAGTATGTGTCAAGAGAAAAGTATAACAAAATGAGAAACTTAAACAAAGAGCTGAAAGTATAATATGGAATAATAAAATAAATTAGTTAACTTTAAAAGAATATATAGATAGAACGAAGGAACTGGAATCTGCAATTAGAGGGAAGGATGATCTAATTGAAAAGTACGAGAAGGAACTAAGGGAGTAATAGGAGAATTTGTATAATCAATTGCAAGAATAGAAAGAATAGATTTTGAAGGAAGATTAATAATCACGAATCAATGAAGATCTGAGAACTTAACTATCTTAAGCCAAATAGAAATTGATTAAAAAGAAGGCAAAGATTTAATTGCTAAAGGATTCCCAAAAAACCATTGATGTAAATTAGCTTTTGATTTTGATTTTAGAGTAAATTTGAAGATTAGAAACAAGGGTTCCAATAAGAATTGGAGAGAGTGCAGAAATTGTGTGAAGAGTTTTCAAATGAAATGTAAGATTATTAGATTAATGGTTCATTAGTAAAGATTCAGAGAAGAGACTCATATGCTTGAATGATGAAAATGAGCAATATAAATAGTTATTGGATCAGAAGGAAGAGGATAGAAGATATTTGGAAATGATGATTTAAGAGGAGAGAGATAATGCAAATTAGATAAGTGGAAAAATTTAAGAAATTTTAGATGAGAAGAAGATATTGTAAATTACAATAGAAAATTAAGGGAAGAGAGTGCAAGATTTGGAGGAACAATTAAAGTAGGCTGACATAAGATATTAAATGTTATAAGGAAAATTAGATTAAGAGAAACAAGGATTGATAAGTGAATTATAAGAGACATTACAGAAGAGAAAATAAAAAGCTAAATAGATGCAAACGTAGATCTAATAATTAGAATAGAAATTGCAGGATAAATCAAAAGAAGACATTATAGTTAATAAATAAATTTAAGATTTGTAAGTAGAATAGACAAAATTGTAGTCATTACTTGAAGATTAAAAACATAAAACTGACTAAGCACTTAATGAGGCTCAGTTTAAAGTTCAAGAAGTAAAAGAATTGAAAGGAGAAATAGAAAAATATAGGTAAACACTCTAAATTTAGGATGAGAAACTATCAAAATATGATGTTTAATATTAGATTGATTAGAAAGAAAAGCAAAGATTGGTTCATGAAATTGAAATTTGTGAATAGGAGAGTAGAAAGTTATAACATTTACTTTATGAATAAGATAGGGACATAGACTACATGAGACAACAATAAGAATAAGTATTAATTATTAATAAGTTATAGGAAATTTTACATATTGAGAAGAAAGTTGATTCATTGGTTACTGAGGTTCATGTTGCTAGAGAAGAGGCAAATGAATGGAAGAGAAATGCAAGTGATTTGAAAAGATAGTTATAATAGTAAGAAGAATAGACTAATCAATTTAAAGCAAAGTATTTGAAGAGCAAATAGAATTCAAAAAATCTGGAAAATGAATAACGATTTGTAATTTAAACATTTAATAATTCGTAGCTTGAAGAAAAAGTGAAATTATTGGAAAATGAAAAATTGCTTGGGGAAAGAGAGGCTTTGAAAAATACTGTAGTTTAATAAAAATCAGTTCAATAAAGTAAAATTAAGGTGCTTGACGAAATCTAAAACATGATCAAGTAGCATAAATATAGAGAATGAATTTTTATATTAAATATTATTTGGATTGCAAAAGTATGGAGAATATCCATATTTTTTTATTTTATTTTAAATACCTCTTATTAGAAAATCTAAATGATCTTTTGACAAAAATGTCTTAAATGAATAAGAAAGAAGTATGCTATAGAATTGATTAATATTACAGATGTTAAAAATTTTATTCCTTCTATTTACCATATTGCATTATAAAGAGCCTATTTAATATTAGAATGAGATCACAAAATACGTTCCAGCAATCATTGTTATAATAGTATTTTCAAGGATAGAAAATCAATTAGATTTTGTGTAATTGAATTCAATTTAGGCATAAAAGATGCTGAGAAATTCGTTTTGGATTACATTAATTGAAGATGGGTGATACTCTAAGATTGCATTAATATAGGATAATGGATGATTTAAGGTGATTACCAGTATTATCACATTTTGAAATAAGGATTTTCATATATTTACATAAGAGAGCAACTCAATTAATTATTATTAATGATCTATTATATATGTAGATAATTATTCATTAGCATAAACTATATAAGTTTGTACAGAATTCCTCTATTGTGCATTATTCGGTATGTTAAAAGTAGATGTATCCTTATTATTAATCTATTTACGCTTGGAATCTCTCAGTGATTATCATGTTCTCTAAAAGTTCATAAACTTGTTCTTCCTTCAATTTACAAAATTGAGCCAATTTCTATATGGAGATGTTACTATAGAATCTCCCAACAGCTGTAATGATGTGTTCACAAAATAAATTAGGATTTGTCTTGGTTTCTCTTGCAAAGGTTTCGATGTCAACCCATTTTAATAAATCGTGTTGTACACTAGAGTGATAAAATTAAATCAAAATACTTTGATTTTATAAATGGAAGCCATTTCGATTTTAAACTTCTACTGTCTCTATAGATAGTCAAAAGAAGTGCTTGTCTCTTTGCAGAGGCTTGAGCTGCCAATCCATTAATGATAGCTCTTTCCAAGTAGGCTGGGTTCTTTTAACTTAGATTATAGTATATGGATGCAGCCTATAATCGTTTTTGGTCATATTCATAAATGATAGCCTAAGCAATATCGCATTTTAATTTTTCCTCAGGACTTAATTTGGCTCTACCTTTTTCTAAGTTTTAGCTCAATATTTATCTTGCCTCTTGATAAGAATATGAAATAATCATACGTAAAATAAATAATATATCAATATTTTAGTTTATTGCCTTCCCAAAATCCAATATAAGTCTACCCGTATTTCTAAGTATAGGTACCTCTACCCTCCATTTAGTCCTTCTGAAATCCGCCGATGTAACAATCACCATTTGAAAATGTAAGGCTTCCAATTCCATGTTTCCTAATAATCATAAAGTAAGATTACTTGTTTTAATAGAAATCACCTTCGTATTTTAACCAATAATTCAAAATGCCTGGAAACTCATTTATATTAAGGAAAGCATCCATGATATCAGGATTATTATTGCAATGCACTCCAAAGCCGTGGAATTAACTATTTACAAATTAACCTTCGTATTCAACTGTAGAATCAGCATAGTACAGTATTCCTTGACCATTCATTTACTCATTCATTATTTCTCCTTCATAATATCTTCCATCTGCAAATTGTAATTTATCTTGCTTGACCCTACTTTGATATGGGGAGAAGGAACGATTTGATTGTATAGGTTAAGGCTACTATTTCTCAAATTATTATTGCTTGGATTATGTAATTGTCTATATTAATTACTAGTTATTTTATTGTAATGAATTGCCGTAGTTTTGTATACTATTATTTCCAGGTATTGATTAAGAATTAATAAATGGTTATTCTGGGTAGAGTGGAATGTTTATTAATCTTGATGTTTCGACAGGGGATTTGTAAGGATTTCCTTAGAATTTGGATTAACTGTTGATTTATTAGGGCATTTTCAATAGAAGATTAGTGCTATCGATTATTTTGCATTGCTAAGCCTCTTTCAATCTATTTTGAATGTCCTAGTAACTGTATCTTTGGAATGGGTCCAATTAGAGCATATTAGTAACGATGTCGGCCAGAGTGCTGGGGTAAATCTTTTAAAACTCATTAATTCTAGCTGTTAATCTCTATGGATCAATTGTATTGTTCTAATATAGAGAATCACAAGATTTGGCTATGCTTAATTAAACTACTTAAATACCTAATGCAACATGAAGCAGGAGCATACCAAACGTGAAGATGGTTGCTTTTTCAACAGAATACTTAATCGATGGATCAATCCTGAGTTCTTCTGGTGCTGGATATAAATGCGGGATCTATTTTCCCCAGAAATCTATGGGTCGATAGGAATTTTCAAAACTTCTCAACTTCCAAATATCATTCTCCCCTTGCCATAAATTATTGAATCCTATGTATTGTTTTTTATCAAGATTTAATTATGCGAACACTACACAATCAATCAGATGATACAATTCTTTGGAAGAATAATCTTGTTATCCTCTGTTTTGAAGGTACTCAGCAAAACTTTAGACTGGATGTTCAACAAGCAGTTGGAGTTCATAAAAGGTAGAACAGAATTCATCATGAGTTACAGAGTTCTGTTTGATAATTTGAAGCAGAGTTTGACAAGTTTTGGTCTGACTTAGGTCTTTTACAGCCCTTTTAAAAGAGTCCTCATCATGATATTTGAAAGTCCAAAATTCTAATTTTTGCATTGTAGTTTTGTTTTGGAATAGTATGTATGTTTATTATTTATCTATGATGTCGAACTATTTTAGGGTTTCATCAAAAAGTTGAGATTGAGTTTGTTTTGATTACGGAATTCCCATTTAAATTAAAATTAAACAGAAATGAGTATATGTTAGCCAAAAGAATCCAAAAATGACTGAAAATAATGGAGGTCTAAAACAGAGTGATTCAATACCCAATAGATAAAAACTAAGGAAGAAATATAATAAATGAGCAAATGATGAAAATTTGAAGAACTAATATTTAATATTGATATTAATACCTAGTTACTATCATATTAATAATAACATGGATATATAAAGATAGCTAATTAAATGAACAAAGTAATAGAATTTGACGGATTAGGATTACATCTCCATAAAACAGGATGTGGATTAATTATATTAACTTAAGCAATAAATTAATTAGTTCGATCATTAAACTATACTTCATTTGTTGACTCAATAAACACAGTTAATTGTTCATCAAGTTTAGTTGCATAATAATAGTATTTTGCAAAAAAAAAATTTAATTTTCTATTTGGATAAAATTAAGTTTTTCTTGAAAGAAATGGGTTTCCCTTTTGGAATTGTATAGAAAAACTGTAACATTCGAAGTAAAGCAGTCTATTATACTCTTGCCATTTAGAAATAATTATAATGGCAATAAAAGTAGAATAATCTTACTAATTTTAGTTAGAGAATTATTTAAAAATAGTTGATTTAAGTGTTTATAAGAGTTTTTTGGTTTAATATAAATAACTCAGCATAATTTAAACGATCTATTAAGTTGGAAAAGTTAAAATTTTTGATTGTAAATCTGTATTTTAATAAAAAAAAACAATTAATTAATCAAAAACAAAGGTTTAGGATGAATAAGAGGAAATATCGAATAAAATAATAATTTGATGAATTTAGATATAATTCATTAAAGCAATTATCCATTTGAATACAACCGAAATTCTGATAATTTGATGTGAGTGGCATCAAGTGTTCTAGTATGTTAAGGATTGTAGGAATTTGATTAAGAATGGTTGGGACTCTGTATACTTGAAGGTCTGTGTATCATATAAGTTGTATATTTACTTAAACAAACTCTTTTCATCATCTTGCAGATATCTATGAAGTTGCTTTAATTTGCTAATGTGAAAATCTTGGGACTAGACATTATGAGTAATGGATGAAGTTCTAGATGATCTCGAATAAATACGCATTAGTAATCTTTTAGATCAAAATAAGATTCTCCATCATATTTTATTAATGTCTAAATAATTGTTATAACTTCTTTTTGGCTTAACATAGTTTAACTTGTTATGATGATACCTTCTTTTCATTAGCTATTTCCAACAATTTAAACCTAATGTTTTGAGATGTTTTACTTTATACGTTGATTTTCTTCTTCGATTTGCTGTTGTACTACTTACTTACGTCTACTGAGGGATTGAGATCTCATTCTCTCAACTCTGGCCACAACGCTGGAGATTTGCTTATTCTCGTACCCCTTAATACTGGCTAATCGTTGCTTGTGCAGTGAAAATGCCCTACTATTGTAAAGACTTACATTCGTCTAGTGCGAAGAGAATCATATTCTTAATAACTCATTAATTAATATTATTCTTCAACTGTTAGATCTCTAACTACTATTTGATTACTTTCTATTCTAGCATTGCAATTTCAGCTGATTACTCAAATTATGAAATGGCAGCATCCAATTTACTCCTCAGTCGAAGGAAGTCCGACTTTAAAGAGGCCAAATCAATCTGTTACACATCCTTTCCATTGCATTTTTCCTATCATTTCATTAGAACAAATTCTTACTTGATGATAAGCCATCGATTTCCTGTTGAATTACTTATTACAATATTAACATGTCTCAATCACGTACTCACATACCTATAAGTGATCTCCCTTTGCTCGTTTTAATGTAGTTACAAAACACCCTGGAGATGGGCACGGAATGCGTTGAAACTCACATTCATCAACATGTTTCTAATATTTTTTGTAATCCAGTGTCACTTTACAACCATATCGGCGATTTACACATCCTATTACCATATCCCTATAACTCTGATAAATGGCATTGTTAGCAGGATTGAAATAATTGAGTGCTTTGCATTTCTAACAAAATATTTTTGGCCCTCTTGATTTCTATTTTAGATCTGCATGACAAGTCTAGCATAGAGATTTCTGACATCGATAACACTGAAGAGGCTATTAGGGAACCAATTGGCATTCTATGCATAAATTGGGTTGTATATGCACTTTCACTTGATCCCAATTCAATATTTATCTGGTGTCGATAGGATTCATAATTTATAATAATATAAAATCACTCTAATAACAATTCAATTAAATTTAAGTCTAACATTTCAATTATAAAACTCCAATCTTTTTGTTTGGTTCTATATTCCATCTCATCCATTTCCAAATAGTCGATTATTGTATAATTTCAACCTTGTATTATCTATATATTCCTACTCTTAAGTATTAAGGTCAACTCTCCAAATGACGCAACTTAATCTCATTATTTATATTTTTTAATTTAAATATTATACGATTATTCACCTATTAATTTCATTCTACTAAAGAGTTGCTTCATTTTGTTCAAGATAAATGAAGCATGTAATTTATTAAATTTTTAAGTATAACTATTGAATTATTCATACAATTTAAAACAATATACCAAATTCTTTTTCATTCTATTACGATTAATCATTCTTTATAAAACCTTTTTTAATTATTATAAGCATTAATCATATCTAAATTAATTATCTATTTTTCAAATAAAATTTGTTAATGGCAGAAGAATGCTGTTTTGATTCTTAACCAACAATCAATTCTGATGAGGATGAGAAGATGATTGATGTGCTGACATTTCCTACTAACTTTTTTTTATTTAGTGAAGCCAGTACTCAATCACCCTCAAACTCTGAATAAGCTAATTGTCCAATTACATCACCAAGATATAAATTCATGGGTCAATAGTACAGTGCAGAATTTCTAGAACAGAATAATGACATTAGAACTTTTAAAGATTTAAAACCACTCCAAGGTGACTAAAGCACAGCCAGTTAAATTAATAAGCGCTCTAACCTTGAAAATTTATCCATTAAAATTAACAGTTCGAAACAGTAATTTATAACTCAGAAAAAAAAAAATTCTGATCGCTTCTATCAAAGAAATTGCTAAGAAAAACCAGGAAATAGGAGTAAAGATAGACAACAGTTATCTTTGACAACTAGATCCAATAATTTAAATGAAAACAAGCTGTTGTCCAATAAATTAAATGGTGTTATACAGGTTAGTTGTTTAAAAGGAGCAATGAGTGAAAATTTAAAAATTCCACAACAAAATAATTTTGATATATTCTCTGGAAGAGCTTCAAATAAAAATGTCTGTTTCAAATTTACTATGGAATAAATTAAATCCATGAGAAAAAACAATAAATTAAATATATTCAGTACATCCAACGGAAAACTTTTTCTTATTTGAGGATGAGTGAATATAAATATTATAATGCCATTTAATTTTATTAATAAATAGTTGATAAAATTCATTATTATAATTAATAAATTATTACATCCGATTAGATTTCCTCATGAAATACTATTACAAAATCAGCACTCTTAGCTTACAATGCCTGCCAAATAGAAATTGATTTATTAAATGGAGTGAAAATAGTCTATAATAAAATCACTAATTGAAATTAGTCATTATATAAATTATACTGCATCACTTAAACTTATCTTTATCTTTTTTGTCTGAAGGAGTAACACTAAGCTGTAAACACTTTCCCTTTTATGAATTCTCAGTTATGTACAATACACCAGGTTTTTAGCTAAAGTTAATAACAATAATGTTACACAGAGAAAGTCATGCCAGTTAGTTCAGGATATTGAGGTAGTACGATATTATCTATATTGATTCCGTTCTAATTATATATGCTGATGAGTCCATCGTCGGTAACTTAGGAGAACTCATATCTAGCGACATACAAGAGATCATTTGATGATACAGCACAGGCCATGGGACCGAACCTTCCTTAAAATTGAATATAAACACTATTTAAGATAGATTATGATACCTAAAGTAATAAATTTCAGCATTAGCTTATACAAATCTTAGAATTCTATTCTTACCTGTTTCACATAAGTAAATTGTTTTTTGATCGTTGCCCATACATATTCCACTTGGAAATGAAAGGCAATATAAAGCTAATGCTTTGCATGTTAGATTATCTAAATCAGCTGCAAACAATGATCCTTTACAGTTATCTATTGCAGTTTCTCCAAAAGGACCAGAGTCAGTAAAAAATATCATGTCTAATGTTTATCATGTGAAATACTATTTTTGGGAGAGAGTAAAAGTGAATTAGGCCCAAGAAGTGGCATCCCTTCAAATTCATTAATGAAATCAATAATTTCATCGTTATTCTCATCTTGACTAAACCTCTAAATGCATTATCTAGCCATGTTAGCAACATAACAGACCTTATTCTTATTATCCATTTTTATTGAATGTGGTTGACTGGCTACATGAAAAAATGTCTGCTTTGAGAATGTAAATCATACTTTCTATTATCCATCCTTGTATTAAATTATTTCTCCATTTTAGGCTGCTACATAAACAGCTCCATCAACTTCAATTGGACTATTAAGTTAAGATTGCTACTCAATTATAATTTAAGGAGCAGACATTTTAAAATTAATTAATGAAAAAATAACAAAATGAATCTCCCATGGCTTAACACTAGTTTTGCAACTTAAATGTTATTATTGCATCAACTAATGAGGGTTAACAACTGATATTGTATTCATAATAAGAATTTCTGAATACATTTCATATCCATAAACATATAAATTTGAGTTAATTATCTGTAAATACTTATGTGAACATTATATATCATTCAACTTACATCTTTTAAGGTTGCTTTTAGTATTCATCAAACATGTATTCTGCTTAATGATCTCTTAAATATTGTGTGGATCTAACATGATCAATGAACATTGAATAAACCTAAATTTAATTTGCCTGATACCCTTCTAACATCTTCGACATCAACTTCATTTGATTTTCTCTTCTATGCAACTAAATTAGCAGTTGTAATTAATTAAATAGCATATCTTAAAGTTGTATCCACTCCAATTTTAGTTAATACTTCTTTTGCTTCTTCGGTCATTTCAACATCCTCTTCTTCACATCTAAGAATAAATTACGCATATACCTAATTTCAAGAATACTCCTTATTTCTGCTTCATTGTATGGCTCAGTCTAGATAATTAAGCATCTATCCAATAAATCTATTGGTAAACCATGAGGTCTAAATAATCTATATTCTTAAATACCCTTTATAAGTAGTTCCACGAATATTTGTAATTCCTCTATTAGTAGCCAAGATGACTATGGGTGCTTTATCAGATTCTAGAGCTCTGTTAAGGAATGAAAAACACTCAATGTCTAACATATGGACTTCATCAATAAACAAGACGCCTGGTACAATGTCAGCCTTTCCTTCTTCCTTCCATTCAGCAACTTTCGAATCTATTTAATCTCTTATTTCTGAATCTATTTCTCCAGTGTCACCTGAGAATAAGTCTAAGAATCCTTTTTGTCTAGAATTTATGACATCTATTTCGTGCAAAGTTACTGTATGAACTACTTCCTTTCTTTTCTCAATTTCTCCCTCTGGACATTAAACATGCCTAGTTTATGGTCCAAGAGCATCAAATTCAGATGCCTTTGAAAATGACCTTCCTAATTTACTAATTCTTCCAGAAACTTTATCAATAGTTATAACATCTCCAGATGAGATCTTTTCTTTTGTAATTGATTCTATCATCTTCGCTCCTAAATCATAAATTGTTTCCATTTCTGTAGTTTTTAGAGTAATCTTTCCAGTTTTAGCTCCTGATGTTGCTGATTTATCAATTTCAATTTCGACAACTTCTCCCTCCACAATTTCTGTTTCTTCTTTAATTCTCACACCTATTGATCTTCTAAATGCTTAAGTTAGAGATTCAGTCTTTGACATCTAAAGACTGAAAATTTCTGATCCTGCCATTGCTGTAAAGGGAATATCATTTCCTAATGCTTTTGCAACACCCATAGCAATTGCTGTCTTACCTGTACCTGGTTACCCTGCAATCAAAATACTTCTTCCTGCTATTTTACCAGCACGAATTGTGTTAAGGATGATACCTGCAGCTTTTCTGGCTTTTTTCTAGGTTTTGTTTTAATTGATTTAATACCTATCCTACCATTCCTTGGGATATATTTCTTGGCTCAAGATCACCATCCAAACCTAGACCTCTGATATGAGATTGAGCACCCACTCTTTCAATACGAGTTGCCTCCTTATATTCACTTATTTTTGGAGCATTAACTGTGGTCATTATTTTAATATTTAATCAATTACTTTAATTAATACTACATTAAATCCATATATTTCAGAATAATAGAATAATGAAAATTATGCCATATATAAATGAATTATATTAATTTTGAATACAATTAATTCTTTTTCTATTAAATCAGAGATGTTTGGGTAGATTATTTAAGGCGAAATAATATAAACTAAGCAAAAGGTGTAATTGAAAATACTTAAAAATGAAAAAAATACAGATATTGACCCTAAGTTGATAAAAGAATTAGTCAAAGAAGTTGATCTTGATGCAGACTTATATTAAAAGCCAGATATTTTATATTAAGTTGCACAAGAATACTTCAAAGTAACAGGAAATAAACTATAAATCGACTTAGAAAGCGCTAAAAACTTCATATAATCAATCCATGTGCTTGACCTTTCATTTGCATTAAAATGGGTGTATTTATAAGCTTCAAAAGATGAATTAGAACAGATTGATATTGTTTTAGACGCTAATGATGATCCTTTGAAGAAAATTGTACTTTTAAATATTGCTCTGGAATAATCAAAAGATATTTCAATATCTACTTTACTGCAATTAGTCAGTGATAATTAAGAAATACTATATGGTTTATCTTTATATATAAATAAAAGGCTAGAAACTCAAGATATTTAGACATTAATTCCTCTACTCTATGCAATGATTAAAGAATCTGAAATAAAAGCTATAAATTAACTAATTACATTAGAATTACTTATAAAAGTGTTCGCATAATATCCAGAGCAGAAGAATTAACTCTTTAATTAATTAATATCAGACGACAAAATAATTACAAAATTAGAATGGGAGAAAGAATTTTAAAATTACACTTAATAGGATCAATAAAACCCAAATTTATCTCTAAGAAAGACAAAAGCAGTATATTAATACAAAGATGATTAATATGACACGATAATAAATTAATTCAAAAGTCAATGGGAAGATTAGTTCAATAGCATGACCTCACCTACGAAATTAGTGTTAGCAAAAGATAATATTTTTGATAGCACTAGTATAAGCCCAAATTTATTCTAATCTGTGAATTAAATCAAAGGAGATGAAGAGGAAGATATATAAAACATCACTGTAAACAGAAGAAGAAAAACAGTTATGGCCAAAAAATTGCTAGCTTAAACAGTTCATCTAGAAGGTTCTAATGCTCCTGAAGAACTTGAATTAAAAAAGAGCAAAACTATTGAATAAACAGACCCTTCGCCACTAATTTCGTAAAATTAACTTCCTACATAACTTAATTAAACAACACCTCCACCTCCAACATTAAACTCAGGTAATCCTCCACCTCCACCTCCACCTCCTCTTTCATCCTCTTAAACTGGTATTCCTCCTCCTCCTCCACCTCCACCCTCTTTAACTGGTAATCCTCCTCCGCCTCCACCTCCACCTGGTGCTTAAATTACTGCAAAAAAGGTTAATCAGGAGTATTTGAAACTCAGTTATTCTCTTCTTAAAATTAAACTTGAAGGGACTATCTGGATGAGACAATTGAAAGGTTATTAGATTAAAGCAAAAGAAGATACTCTATAAGTGTTTATAAGAAGAAATGCAAGATAGTAACAAATAAATGGAACAAGACCAAAGTTAGTACAAAAAGAAGCAGTTGTATATTTACCTTCTGTGTTTACTGTCTAAAATTAAGTAGTAGTATTATCATTAATACGAAATAGGCTTCAGAGATTGAATTTAGCGGAAATTATGGAACAGGTAAATGAGCTTGAATTCCTTGGTAAAAATTAAGATAAGGAAATAATTGAGCATCTTAATAAAGCTGTCTAATATATAACCCCAGAATTTGATTCTTAATATTAGAACATCGTAAGATAAGCTAAAGCATAAACTAAAGAGTTTGTAAAGAAATAGCTTGAAGCTGATAGTGAATTTTAAAAAAAGGAGGGAGAAAGACTAATAACTTTATCAATAGAGGAAAGAGTAAAAGCTGATTAAGAATTTGATGAAGATTTGAATAAATTATCAGTTGAGCTATAGGCTGATTTCAAAGAAGACGAGATTCGACAAACACTTTCAGAAGTTGAGCCAAAGTTGCAATAACTTAAAAACGATCTTGATGTTGCAGAATCAGAAGAATAGAAAAAGGAGGTATTATTAAAATTGGAGAGTGTGCTTTTTGAAAAGCATAAACTGCTTTAATAAAAAAATTTGAGTTTGGATAAATTCTAACCTAGCCAAGTTGACACTCTTCTCAAATTTATAAACGATAGAAACTCTAGATAAGCAATCTAAATAGAGTATTTTTATAAGGAGCATCTTGACCGTAAACTCCATATTGAAAATACTGTTACACAATATAGTGAAGTGTTCGAAGAACTTAAGAAGGATGTAGAATTAGTGATGTATTTCCAGTACATCAAAGAATATGCGAAAGTATTAAATAATATTCCAGATGACGAAGTTGGATTTAAATTTGAAAATATGATTAACTTCTCACATAAAGGAAAAAATTCAGATGGAAAATAAGAAGAATTGGTTAAATTCATAGTAGAACAAATGATGGAATAAGGGATTGCCTTTAAAGACTTATCATAAACTCCATTTAAGTATCTCTAAGTTTTATCCTAACCTAATAATGCTTTAACAGAAATTCAACATTTTATCAAAGTGTATACAGATCATTAGAAGTTCTTAGTAACTTTAAGTTAAGATGAAAAAAATAAAGATTTTATCAAAAAAACTGAGAAATACTCTTCCTAATATAATGATTTTGTTTTTTCCATGAAGACAATTTATGAAAATGATTAAGAGAATTTTAAACATCTAAAAGAGTTCCTTTGCGATGATAGATCTGATATGGATACCCCCAGATTCTTCAAAGATATACTGGATATTAAAGAAATGCTGAGAGGTTTTTATAATACTATCAGAGTCGAATAAAAAAATAGAAAGATATAAGCTAGAACTAAAAAGACTGCAGCTTGATTAATTATATAGATATATTATTTTCATCGAAATAATTTTCGATAATATTTATAAATTATAATTAAATAAATGATAGAAGCATAAATAAAGGATAAGTTTATTTCGACTAAGCCAAACATTCCTGATGAAGCCGAGTTTGTTATTGAAACACCATCAATAGCAATTCCAGAAAAATTAGTTTAATAAACAGGATAGGTTGGACCAGCAAGACCATCGAGTGAAGAGAGTTATTCATCAGATGAGGAAGTATTTGAGCCTGATTATGAACCTATTCAAAAATAAGTAAAAGTGAGTGAAAATGATGGAGTAAGAATTAATAGAGATTCAGCAGAGAAAAATGTTTAAAATTTTTAAGATGAAGATGATGATTATATTGATCCAGCTGCTTTAGCTAGAGATCCAGCTTTAAGGGAGGCAGTTGAAGCTTAGGCTGCAAAACGAGCTCTCTTGAAATACAAACCTCAAAATGAAGAACTGCCTTCCATGGAAATTCAAAAAGAAAGATTGGCTAGTTTCCCTATAACACACTAATTATTGATTAAAGGACATACAAAGTAAGCTACAGCAATTGGGATTGATAATGCTGGGTCAAGATTAGTAACAGGAGCATATGATTGTGTGGTTAGATTTTGGGACTTTTATGGCATGGATAAGAATACACATAGTTTTAGATTGGTCACACCATATGAGGGTAATCAAGTGAATTAGATAAGCTGGGCGAAAGATGGAAAAAATGTATTAATAATTTGTGCTGATGCATAAGCATGTGTATTGGATAGGGAAGGAAAGAGAACTATGGACACTCATAGAGGAGATATGTACATTAGAGACATCTTAAAAACTATTGGACATACAGCAGCCATTAACTCTGGTTGTTTCCATCCAGATTTCAGTGATGTCTTTGTGACTTGCAGTGATGATGGAACAGTAAGGATATGGGACATGACTAAAAAACTTTATGGAGTTGCATAATGTTTAACTCATAAGGATGCTGTTAAATGTGTTGATAAAACAGGTCACAAAGTATTAGTGTAATGTGTAACCATCAGAGGAAGACTGTTGTTGTGTTCTTGTAGTGATAACACAATTAAAGCTTATGAAGTCAATCAAAATTGTAGAGAAATTAAGAAAAGACCATTATTTATAATTCAAGATGCTCATAAAGGATATGTGACTAAAATTAAAATATTAGCTGATTAGAAAAGATTCATTTCCTAGAGTGTAGACAATACTATCAAACTTTGGGAAACTTCTAATACCAATCATCATATTTATCTCTAATATTGTAATATCAACAGATTTCCACCAACTCGATTCGATTTAAATTTTAATGAAAGTATACTTGTAACAGCCCATCACACTTTTAAAGATGGATATCATATTGCAGGACCAACAGAGTTATTATTTTTAAATGTGAATGATTTAAGTATTAATTGCAGAGTGCAATTATTTGACTAAGCGATTACTGAAGTTTTATGGCATCCAACTTTAAATTAAATATTTCTAGGAAGTGATGATGGTCATGTTAGAGCCTTATTTAATCCAAAATTAAGTTCAAAAGGAGCTTTATTAGCTACCAATAGAGCAGTTAAGTTTGTTCATGCTGAAAACATGGAACTTGAAAGACATGTTTTAATTCCAGAAAATTTATACATTTTTAAAGTTAGTGAAACAGTTCATGGAGGAATGAAGATTGTTGAAGAAAAGAAGAGTGTTAAAGATTAGCCAAGAAAACCTGAGCCTCCATAAAAAGGTCCAGGAAAAGGAGGAAAAAGATCAGGACCTGCTACATTAACTTAGAATTTGATGAGCACATTAAATGATAGACCAGAAAAAGAAGATGTAGTTGAAGAGTTAACAAAATTAGATTCTATCACAAAAGCAAATCCACAATATGTGGCACAGGCATATAAATATACATAACCATAATAAATATTTGATTACTCTACAAACTAATAATAAGAGCATACTTATCTATCCTCAATTAAAAAAATATGTCCTCATTGTGGTATGAAGATTTGTGCTTGTAAAAGAAAAGTAGTTTGAGTTATCATAAATAATTATTATTATGTATATATTTTATTGTTTTAATATATTTTGGCTCTACTAGATTATTCAACTATGTTGAGTTTACTTAAATATCAATTGATATTCTATGATTTCATTGAAATTAGTTTATCTTTATTAAACATAAAATAATAAGAAAATTCATTTTTTATTTCCAAAAAGTAACAAAATAATCTTCTATAAAGTAATAATACTTACAAAATAAGGATATAAAATATTCATATACTTGGATTTCATTTATTTATTAATTAAATAATATGATAAATTTAAGAATTATTTAAATCTTTGGATATCATCATTAATTTTGTTCTTAATTGTTGTCTTTAAGATCTTTGCATATTTTGAAAGACTAGACTTTATTTTTGATTTTTATGTTGATGAGAGTTATTAAAATTTCTATAGAATTCTTGTTTGTTGTCTTAACTAAAATTAAACTGATGTTCTCTGAAGAGGGGCGACGCTTATCTCCTTATATTGAATTGCTTGCGATATTCAGCAAATGGGGATCTTTAAAGCTACCTTTATTTTGGAGATTAAGATTGTTGTGTAATGCATTTCTTAACCCAATTATTGTTGAAGGGATTCATATTAGGTTTAGGTTATTCTTAGTAGTTGTTAAGTGAATCACTTAATAATTTTAACTAATTAGTATTTGGAGTTTGAACATAATCTTACCATCCTTGTAAATCAGGTTTAAAATTCATTATTATAGTTGTATAATTTATTAAAATTATTCAATCGAAGAAATGACGTATTAGTAAATCATTTTTGTTGTCCTATTATGCTCATTTGTGCATGCTTAAGAATATGTTCACGATTTGGGAGAAGATATATTCTAATACACAAGAGCTTCTTACTGTTCGGTTGATATCATTAATAGTTGGGATTGCGAGCCTTGCAGAAGACATCCAAATATGAAACATATCTAGGTTCATCACAACGAAGAGGCTTAAGCATAAGGTTATTGTGCTTATGATGAGGATTCAAACAGAATCGTTGTTGCTATCAGAGGAAGTGTTAACACTGTTAATTACTTAAATGATTTAGATTTTATAAAGAGAGATTACTAACATTGCTCAGGATGTAAAGTTCATTAAGGATTTTATGATACCTATTAAAATATCGCTGAAGGTCTTGTGACTTGTGTGAAGGATCTAAATACTCTTTACCCAGAGGCTTAAATCTTAGTAACAGGCCATTCCTTAGGAGCAGCAGAAGCTACCTTGGCAGCTCTAGATATCAAAAGAACAGTAGGAAGAGTGAACATATTTTATAACTATGGAACTCCAAGAATAGGAAATGATAAATTTGCTGATTATGTTGAATCTGAATTAAAAGGTTTATTCTTGGCTAGAATCATTAGAGATAAAGATACTTTTCAACACACTCCTTTACCTGGACAGGGATTCTCCCATTATGGAAATGAAATATTCTATGATGAAAACATGTTGAATTTCAAGGTTTGTGGCAGAGAAGATTCCAAAGTATTTAATTATTGTTAATTATAGTGTGGAAATAAATACATTTGGCCAACCTAATGGAAACTTGAACATCATTTATACTTATATGGTCAATGTGCAGGATGCACTCAAGAAGGATGCGAAAATATTTTGAAGTTATATTCATGATGAAATATTAATAATCATAAATATTAATACTACATTCTTCATCTTCCACATTTCTAAAGAGAAGAAAATATTAAAATAATTATTATAGCAAGTATTAGATGAAAGTGAAATATTTTTCATATTAATATATTAATATGAGACAATTAATAAAATCATACAATTTTAGCAACCAAATAGGTAGTTCCTACAACAGCTCCAACAATAGATGCAGGAACAATAGTTGCACTTACTACGCCTGTCATTGCTGCACCTTATGCTAAAGAGAAAAGACTCCCTGCAACAACATTTCCAATACCTGCTTAGGTTGCTGCAGCAAAGCTTCCTGCCACAGGACCTACTGATGAAAATCCAGCTGCTGCTAAACCCACCTTAGCACCTATTGCAATTGTAGCTGTTGTTACACCAGAGACTGCTGTACTCTCTACAATAGTTGACCAAAGTCCACATTAAACCTATCCAATAATTAATAGTAGTAGGATGCTAACAGATAATGACTTTTGCATGAAATTAAAATAAATAATGCTTTAAAATTCACTTTGTTTTATAAACCCAATTTTTGAACTATATTTCAGATTAATGTAATTATTATCATATTAATTATTATACTATAAATAAGACTTTAAATAATTAATAAAATACTTTAGAACTATTTGATAATGGACTCTTTAATCTAAATAATTTATCAGATGCATATGTAATACGAAGTGAATTTCAATTAATGAAATCAAAAAGTGATTTAACTTTATAGTTATTTTTTTACTTCTGATTTAATTTATCTCATCTCTTTTTTCATTTTCTTCTTTTATTTTCCTAACACATTGCAAAATTTTGCATATTTATTTACTTCAATGTTATTTGAAAGATATAGGAGCCATAAAATCTTTTATTATGTTCTATAACGTGTTAATCATTTTTTCTAAATATAAATTTTCTGAAAGAATAGCTTGATTAAATTAGTTCATTAAAAATTATTGTGAAAGTATTGATGAATTATGAGACAGAAATGATGCATTTAACTAAAATGTTATAGTTAAGACAGAAATTAATATAATTAATTTAAACTATGTAAAGAATTAAGCAACAAAAAAATACATAGTAAAGTATTAGATTTATTGCTTAGAGAACTACTGATTCATAAGAGAAGACTAAGTGATATTTAGCAGAGACGGTGTTCTATTCCAAAATTGGACAAGACACTTGACATTTATAAACAAAATAGATATATCACTGCTAGGAAATAGGAAATAAATAGGTGGGAGGGGATAATGAAATAAAATTAGAAATTACTTAAGAAGATAAATAATGTCGAATCTTCATTTCAAAAATCTGTAAATAATAAATAAAATATTCTTGTATTCAAGATAATCAATTCGTAGTGTCAGTTCTTGTAATTCTAGAAAATCAATTGAATTGAAAGAGAATTTACAGAAGGAGAATGCTAGGATGCATTTAAAACTGCAGAAAATGTAAGTATTGTGGGGGATTCATTTTTAGAACTTCAACTTTTGACAAGCCCAAAAAATAATATCCAAAGATTTCTAAATCTAGTCAAAGATTAGATAAAGTGAAACAACCTATTAGTTAAGAGAAAAGCTTTAATGTTCAACCTATAATGAATTATAGGTATCAAGGGAAGATATTTACGAAGCACAAAAGTTTTCATTCTGGGGATGAGAAATAATAGATAATATCAATAATCTAAAAATATCATCAAGTTTTGGATTAATTACTACCTATTATCAAATCAAATAAACTTAACAAATGAAATTTATAGTTTTGGATATTAAATCAAAAATTCTTAGGTATTATTTTGCATTTATCACAAATTGTGTTCTAAATGAATTCAATCATTTTTGCATTTTCTTCTTTTAATCTTTAATTTTCAGTCAGTATATTATTATGATTTGCATCCTCAGAGTGTTCTGAAATTTAATTCTTTTTCTTTAAAAATAACTTTAAAAATAAATACTTCAAATTTGGACAATTCTTCTTTTAGTTAATGATTAAATTGCTGTTGTTAATAATTTAAGTTTAATGAAATTTTAAGTTTGTTGTACAATTCATCTTTGGAGGTTTCACTTTCAGTAGGTGTGTTTGGTTGATCTTCATTTTTTTTGTTTGTTTTAGATTGAATAGAATGAATACTTTAATGCAATTGCGATTGGATATCCAAAAATGATATCGACAAGGATTTCGGAGGGGATTTTTATGATATTTAGGAAATGGGAGTATTACTAGTTATGAGTTCCTTAGAAAAGGCTGTTGTAATGATATTTGATTGTGAATTCAATTAGCAAGATGAACCAAATGATTTTACAGATTAAATAACAGAGAGATTTATTTTATCCACAATTTGCTTTGAAATATAGTCACAAGTCTTACTTTGTAAATCCGTTATCTGAGTGCATTTAATTCAAAATCTAGAATTTATTGTTATTGTTCTTCATCTAAATTTTCACTATTTTACAGGGAAATCGAATCTAGTGACAATCTGGGTTGAGGAGTGAGTTCATTTAGGTAGTGGCCAATCACTTCATTTAACTTAAAGCCTAGTTGATCTAATGTATTGTTAAAATATTCATTTTATTCAAAATCAAAGCGAGGACTTTCAGAGTTATCTTAGTTTGGTTTAGGTTTGGTTTCCGAACGATTATCATTAGATCCCAAATAATAATCTTAGAGTCCCAACATATTTAAATCATTCAATTATACCGACCCTTGCAGATCTTCTTTTTCTTTCATTAATTATATTTTATCCATCTAGAGATTACAGAACAAAATACAGTCTCATTTTTTTAAGTCTTCTCTTTGGAATTGTTCCTTTGATTCTGCAACTTTGTTTAAGAATAGGATCGTGAAATGCCATAGATGTCTAAATCTTGGTCTTGATTATTCTCATTGCCTGTTTTCATCTGGAAAAATATAGTAAATTATGTTTTATATAAAAAAAGTTAATTCTTGATATCTAATTTAAATTAAATCATTTTGGTTTTTTTTTGTTAATTTAACAACGAAGAAAACGAAAGAAAGAAGTGTCAAAGAAATTAAATAATATTCATAATTTATTTATATTATGATTAATAAAATAACTGAGTAATCTAACAATAATGGTCCTCGCCAAACTAGAAGTCTGACAAAGGCTTCTCCAACATCTAAACGAAGTAGAGAAAGCGAACTCATTTATTTGAGTAAAGTCACCGCATTCAGTCAGTTGAAAAATTATCAAATTGATTACATCTATAGATCTATTAAAAGTGTGGAATTCACTAGGGGACATCTAATTTTTTAAGAGGGACAGAAGTGTGATGCTGTGTATGTTATCAAATAAGGGGAAATAGAAATATTCAAAAAGGAACCAATTAATCAATAGATTGAATAATATTACCAATTAAATAAAAAAAAGTTTGTTCATCAAATGATCAAAGTCCTTGGAGAACAAACTGCCTTTGGAGTTGGAGACATTGTGACTGGAATCTATTCAATTAATGCTAGAGTGAGTTCTCATTTTGCAGAATTATATATGATTAAAGTATAAGACTATAAACGAATACTTGATATGGAACCTTAAATCAAATTGCAACAGTAGGAAAGCGAAAACATGGACAATCTTGAAGTCATACAAAAATATTAATTGCCATCTCTTTATGATTCTGTGAAGGCATCGTAAGCCTAAAAACAAGAGATTTAATATCTAAAGAAAGTAAGGAAAGGCATCACCTACCTCATCCCATAATCCCAAGGAACAGATATTATGAAGAATTCTCACATGGATTAAAGTCTGGAAGAAATCTATAAGTATATTGTCATCAATCTATTTAAGAAAGTCAGTAATATTACATCAGAAGATGCTGCCCAATTATTAACAAGTTGATTTGGAAAACCCTTTGATTTAAGGCTAAGAAATAATAAATGATAGATTGCTATTAAATAAAATCATTTAGAAAGAATACACTATAAGATTTACAAAAGAATCGCCTAGAACAAATAAAATGATGCGGCAGAGTGTTATTTCAACATCCAATAGTCCATTGAGCAAGAAACTATAATTAATATTTCAGAAGGATAAAAAGGTGAAATAAAACTAATCAATAAATGAGGTTTCGCATCGAGAAAAAATGAGAATAATATAAGATACATCTCCACATTCTAGTTCATTTCGATCTGCAAGACTTGATACTGGTCGATCGACATTTCATGCTACTCCAATATTTGATTAACATGACCCAATTAGACTCAAGTAATTTATACCAACAGAGCTCTTTCCTATTTATTGCCATTTAATCAAACCAGACAATCAAGAAATAAGCTGAACTTATTCTTTATTTATAATAATTTTCTATTTATATCAAGTGAATCTTCAGTTTGCATTGAAATTACACTTGGAGATATGTGATAATAGTTCTTATTCATAATATAATATTAATAATAAAGTTCATTTGTTTAATTGTTCAGTAATTTAACTGTTCATCAATAAGTTAGAACTGAGTATCCCAATACAATGATTTTTTTCATTCTCTTTTTCCTTTTCTTTTTCTGACTCTGAATCTTCTTGATTACAACAGTCAATACAATTGCATAAAAATGTGCATCTCTATTTTTTCAGATAACATTCACAATATTTTTTAACACAACCAGTTTTTTTGCAATTACACCCTCCACATTATGTTTTCTTTATTTTTTAAGAACAGTTCGAATTATTACATCCTAAACAATTGCACTCAACACTGCAAGACCTTCCAACAGCAAAACATTCACAATATGATTTTTAACATTTTGATTTCAGGCATTTACATTTTACTATACTTTTTTCGATTTCCTTTGGTTTTACTATATTCTTTTAAATTGGAAAAGGTTTCTTTCCTGAAAGTATATTTGGACTCTCATCGGGATCAAAAAATTTTAATATTGGCATTGGTGATTCTTTTTAAGGAGATGTAGTTCCAAATAAATCCTCATTTTAAATAAGTTCAAAGATTTTTCTATCAAAAGAACTCCAATTTTCAGCATCCATTACAATAAATAATCATTGATGAAAATTTCAGAACCAAATTTTCAGATTAACTAATTAAATAGTTAAAATTTAATATTATTAATAATATTAATCATCAAGAATTTCATCATCAAATGATTATTTATTGAATGTTGATTAGCAAACCAATTATGTTTATTATTCTAGTTGATTCTTTCAAAATATAAATTATGAATATACTCAAATTACTATGAGAATAAATATTCTAATCCTTGAGTAAGAAATTAATTATTGTAAGAACATTAATTGCTTAAATAGTTAAGCACTTTAACAATATTTAAACCATAATCTTGAATAATAAAATAAATTTGATCATTTATACATTTCTAAAACTAATTTAATTTTTCTTGCAAAATCTTCTTTGTTTGAAGTGGATAACTCTCCCTATAGATTTTTGAAAGCTAAACTGATTTAATCAATTATAGGATTTGATGTTATCCCTATTTAGTTGGTTATCATTGTGATGAGAAGCGTCTCAAACTAAAGTATTATATATGATTGTTACATCTTATGGGCTGAATATTGAAACTGCATATAAGATTTCTGGGATAGCAAATATAAGTTTCGAATTTTTAGGATAAATTAATGTTATTTAGCAGCTCAAATTAAAAATGTCGTAGAGTATTTGTTTTCCCTATACATTTATTCCATTTATTTTATTTTTTATCATTTGCAAATCATTGATGTCTCCAACCGAAGCTTCTTAGATTAAAAATGTTGATATATTGCTCAATAGAGTTCCAATTAGTATAAGTGTGGCACTATTCTCATTTATTGTATCCTCACCTTAATTATCATAAATAATGTCTTTTAATGATTCCTTACAAATAAGGAATATATCAAGATACAAATTCAAGTCGCACTTGTAAGCCAATGTTTCTGAATGGTCCTAACATATGCAATCAAAACATTCGTATAGTAATTTTTTGTATTTTGGGATATGTTAAAGCAATGGTCGATAAATTAAGATGAGTTGTATCTACAAGTTAAAGAGTTCCAGGAAAGATTAATCGTTGTAAATAATGAAAAAACCTTAATTAATCTTCTTCTATCCTGATATTTGACTCATGAGTGCGAAAAGTTTGGATACTTACTTCAATTACAAATCTGATAGTTTTTATTGTGTTTTTGCTGTTTGAATTTGCTATTAAATTAGTATGATAAAGAATTTCATGGCTTTACCATAAATTTAATATAATATTAGTTAAATGTTTTCAGTTGATAATCTCGTGTTTCTAATTTACATATAAACTAATACTTGTTATAAAATATGGCTTTGAATAAGGTGATGATGGCTATGGAAGAATCGTAATCCTTAGCAAAAAGCTCAATATTTTCTTGGGTCAATAGTCCTGCAAGATCAGGATATCTAATTGATTCATGTTATTTTATACATTATTCTTAAGAATGCTCTATAAATATTATCGACATCTATTTCTGAAGCAATGCCAATAAGATCCCAAACGTATTTTAGAATGTTAACCTTATTCATTTCAATCAAAATGCTTTTCTTGATTTGGCTGTAAATGTCAACAAGGGAATTGAGATAATCATCAGAGCAATCATCCACCCAAACAATAGTGATAATTTTAAAGACCATAGCTCTCTTCTTTATATATTAAGGCGTATTCAGACAAGTGATATTTAATTATAAGAAGAACTGTTTCAACATGTCTGTGATAGTGCACACCTTGAATACTTTTCTGGGAATGTATTTTTTTACTTTCTAATAAATGAATTCAATTAATTTAAGACTGAATTCTATTAATTGAGGATCACCATAAGTAAATACTTAGAAACTATGATATTTGAGAATATATATTACCATTCATCAAGCATAGTCTCTAAAACTAAGACATAATTTTGATATCTTTGATCTACACGAATCAGTTGTGAGTATATTTGAGAAAGATTCTTGAAATTTTTAGTTTCTTAATCATAACAAAAAGAGTCAATTGTTGTAGCAATAAAGCTATCTATGAAGGATAAAATTGCAATTTTTAAAATTCTTGTATTCTTTTGCACTTACTAATTCATGATAAGTTCCACTATAAATTTTAGGATATACGACTAGCCATCAAGATTAGGCTTTGGTTCTTCTTTCTATCCAAAATTATAGGAATCAAACCCTAAATTTAAGATCTCAGTGTTTGAAGTATGTAACAAAAATATTATTGTGAGACTTATAACAGCAGTACATTAATCTAATTATTACTAATATTGTCATACATTCATTATCTCCTCTTAATTGTTCGATCATCTGTAAAATGAGATTAATATTATCTTAGATATGGGATTTAAATAGACAATGAAAAGGCATAAATGTTAATTCCAATAACTTTTTAAACTTTTTAACACTGCATTCTTACCGAATTTCTGTAAATTAATTTTATTAAAAAAAAGTCCTCAATACCAAAATTAATTGATTTTACATAGCGTTGCCTATTTTTACATTAAATTCATCATGTAAAGGCTAATGTAATGATCCCTAATAACTAATTTAGTTCCATAGTTCTTATAATTTAATTATTGGACTATTCAACATGACTTTGACTCCATATATCTAAATTGTTCTTTAGTAGACTTATTATATCAACTAAAAAAAATTATCAAATTGAAACTAAAATTTGGCTACTTTTCTCAATGTTAGATTGTTAATAACTCTTATTGCTAAAGAATGTATTTCAGATGAGAATTCTACATAATTGATAAATTAATCTTGGTTCTAATATAAATAGAGCAATCCTTCCCACATTACTCTTCTAAATTATCCTTTACATTTCTTATTATGAAATATGGATAATCTCACACAAGCAATCCTTTAAAGCATGGTTATACATTATAGAGATAGATTTTGGTCAACGTTTATGAATCCAATTGTATCTTGGAAGAGTTCTTTCAAAAATATTGGGTCTATTATCAAGTCTAAATAATAATCTGGAAACTAGGAATTAAATTGGATTAAATACATTAGTTAATTAGGAAGTATCCTTTCCATCATTGTCCATATCAATCTCATAATAACTTAAATTAAAATTCAAGTTCATCAACTGATATAATAAGTTAATAAATGACTCTGCCATTGTTTTATTTTATGTGTATAATTATAACAAAGAGGATCCTTATAATTATTAAATTTGTTAATGAATAACTGATATTACTCTTGATAAGGATAGCCTAAAATAGAAGTATGCAATTACATTTAAAAATTATTGAGGATTTTTCTAAATTCAATATACCCATTCGCATAAGAATATTATCGAATACAACTTATTAGATTTTCAAATATTTTAAAAAAGACTATCTTGTTTGCTTAAATAGTGCTGTTGATTATTTGGCTAATGATTTCTTCAATTTTTAAAATGTCAATCCAATTTTTTCTCATTAGAAGTGCAATTGTAAATATTACTTAATTATGTACATAACTTGGATGATTATGAGTTTATTGCAAATAAATCAGAGCGATTTCAATATGTTTAGTGCAAATTTCTGTAATATTCATTCGATGATCATATTCATTATAAAAGTACTCTGTGCTTACTTTTTAGTGAGGAAAATTTGTAAATTGATCCCCATTTATAAGACCTTTTTAGATAATTGAATAAAGAGCAAACGTGGTTTCAGGATTACAATCTTCAAGTATTAAACTCTTAAACAATTCAATATTTGAATAATCTAGAACAAAGTTTCTGAGTAATTCTAAAACTTGTTAATTTTTCTATTCTATCAAGGTCATTATTGTTTACATTAAAATCTCCTACGCTCATGGCAACCTTTGAATTCTGATGTATACTAGCTTTCATTACCTAAATTTAATTCATTTAATTTAATAAAATTTATACACCAAATTAACTTATTTTACAATTTTTCATCTAAACTACATTTCTAAAGTCCCTTTGCCTATTAATCAATAAATATTAAGGATATACTATTTTAGAATAATATCATTAGTTTTTAGTTAAAATAGTAATAAAACCAGATCTTGCATATTAAAAATAAAGATTGGAAAATTACATTTATATGAACTATTAAAGAATTAAAGTTATAATAATTAATTAATTAATCAAAAAATGATATATATAAATACTTCCTCAACTAAGGATAATTAAGTTAATTAAAATTTTCCTTTCATAAATAGTCTTGATTAAGAAAATTTGATTGGAGACCTCATGAAAATTATTAAGAAGCACTATTGAGAATTTTGAGGCAGATATGATATCATTCTTGTTCTTTAAGTCAGCCAAATAGATTTTAGTTCTCTATTTTACTGACTATAAATTCTATTTTTCATATGCATGTACTTCATTTCTGTTGGATGGTATTCATTTACCATTACTAAAGTTATCAATATTTTAAACTAAAATGTAATAATCAAAATCCTTTAGTATTTATAAGACTCAAGAAACTTTTTATTAAATAAAATAACTTCTCTGAATATTAAGTGGTGGCATTCTAAAATGAATATTTTACAAATATTCTGAGGTAATAAGAATATATACGGCATGTGAAAATTCCGATTCATAAACTTGAGCTCAAAATTTAATAATAACTATTTTTTATTTATAATTTAATTGTTTTTTGTCATCGATAATTTAGGAGTAATTTACTTAATTGTGATATTATACTACTCCAAATAAATTAAAATATTTAATCAATATTAAAATTGCGAATCAGCAATAATTTTATGTTTAGTTGGAACTTTAGTTGAAAATTCAAAAATAGTTGTAATTCTGTTAAACTGATAGATTTTTAGGTATTTTTGAGTATCATTCCATTAGTTGCATTTGAGCCTAGCATCTAATTGCTTGAAATATTTAAATTAAAGCAAAAATTAATTATTATGATTAAATGATGAATTTTAAATATTCTCCTTGGCTATCTAAAAATGGATATTAGAATAATATATCGAATTGAATTAACATCTAATCAAAAAGTGTTTATTAAGGAGGCTATAAATTACAATATTAAATGTTTAAAATATATCAATTTTTTATAAAGTTCTTTTTTCATCCTGAAGAATCAGCTGAATTAGAACCAAAAAAAATTATGAATTTATGGACATTAACTTTTACAAATCATGATTTGGAAGAAAAATATTCAAATAAAGAAAAATAAAGAATCATAGTGTTGTTTCGACTATAGTACTTAATCCATTTCCTCATTAATGTTATCTATTTTGTAAACAATCAATTTTTTTTGAAAAATTATTAAGTTGCTTATTTTAGAGTGGCATTTTGCTTTTGGCATATAATTTGCATGATATTGTAAGCTAATATAAAAAGAATCCATTATAAATCATTCATAGCAATTTCTGAATTTTTAAGTTGTGTAATAACAATTCTGATTGCTTATGTTTATGTGTAGGATTAATTGATTAATAAATAATGTGGCAAATAAACAACTTAATAAGCTGTAAGTAGCGGAATATAAAGTGGATTGTTAATTATTAGTTATTTACTTGTTTGCCCTTTATGGTTCATTTAAGGATTAATATTGATAGCAGCAACAATTTTATTTATTGGAATGATGGGAAATCTGGGGTCAATTTACTGGACATTCTATGTTCTATTATTAATGATGCTGGTATTCTTCAGATTTCTTGAATATTACAAAAGAATAGATTTCTATACAATTTGCTAATAGACTTCAAATTTGCATGCATGCAAGAACATCTTCGACAAAACAGTTCCAAATTCTATATTAATATTAACTGAGAACAATGATGATTTATAAGATTCCACAAATTAGGGTAAAGAAATGAAGTTAATATATAGTAATGATTTTGCAATTAAATACTTATAAGTTTCAGATGAAAATGAAGTTATCAAGAAATTAAAAAGCATTTTCATATAAACAGAATAAGAATCTGAATAAGAGACTTATAATTCTTGTGTAAGTATTTATGATGTCTTATATTAAAAAATGGGACAATTTGAGGAATAATTTATACAATAATTATAGACAAATAGAACTACATTGATTTAAAATGAATACGATATATCAGATTTTAGTGACTATTTTTTATGTTTTCGATTCGATTCATAAAGTAAAGTGGCATTATCTTAAAAATAATAATTAAAAATAAAATCCCATTTTGAAATCAGAGTATTGCATTGTATTTGGGAAAACAAACATTCTATATTAGTAATAATGAATGATATTTCGGAGAAGATAAGATTGAAGCATTTAAAAGAATTGGATCAATATAAAGATAGATTATTAGCTACAGTATCTCATGATTTAAAGACTCCATTAAACGGAATGATGATTGATATAAGCATTATGCAAAATATTTTGTAATAGAAATCAAGTATTACACATGGAAATATTGAATAACTTTGTGGTCATCTCGATGAGTTTAATCAATCAGGTTAATTGTTACTGTCCATGATTAATGACTTACTTGATTATAGCTAAATCAATAAAGGGTATTTAAGGCTGATACCAAAACCATTCAATTTGAACAATACTTTTAAATTCGTTAACTCATTATTACTTAGATAATCTAATGAAAAGGGAGTCTAATTGATTTGGAAAAATCACATTGATCCTGATCATTCTGAGTTGTTCACTGATGAAAATAGATTAAAATAAGTATTAATTAATTTAGTTGCTAATGCCATTAAATTTACAATGTAGGGTGAAATTGTAATTACAGCTAATTAGTCTAATGAAAATGATGTAATCGAAATTTCGGTTTCTGATACAGGGTATGGAATACCTGAAGATATATAAAAAAATCTCTTTAGATTATACAGCACTTTTGACATTGGAAATAACAATAGACATGGTGTTGGTTTGGGATTAACTATTAGTTAATAACTAGTATCTTTACTAGGGCCAACTGATAAAATTGAGTTGAAATCTTAAGTGGGCAAAGGATCTACATTTAAATTCATCATTTTTAGAAAATTACAGTAATCCTTAGAAAATTCATTATAGGAATTGGATTTAAATGAAAAATAAGTAGTTCCGAGGTTCCCCTCATATAAAAACCTGAACTAAATCATTAAAAAGAGAAAAACCCTACAAAAGAAAGCTTAAACCTATTACAAATTGGATAGCCAACCTGATGAATGTCTTAAAGTATTAATAGTTGATGATACTCCCTTTAATATCATCGCCTTGAGTGCTATGTTAAATTAGGTGATTTATAATTGTAAACTCTATAAAGCCTTCAATGGAAAACAAGCTTTTGATTTATACTCTAAAGAATAAATGAGTGTAATTTTTATGGATGTTAATATGCCAGAAATGGATGGATACTAATGTACATAAGAGATAAGAAAATTTGAATAAATGTAAAAAATTACTCAATCTCTGATTATAATTGTCACTGCCTTCACAGGATCTGATGATAAGCAAAAATCTTAAAAATGTGGAGCAAATGATCATTTAGACAAACCTTTAAATATGGAGGATTTAAAGAAAGTAATTAAAAAATTTGGTATAATTTGATAATTATAATTGATGCTTTATTTGATAACATATCTATCTTATTAATCAATATGAAATTGTCTTTCTCAAATTATTAACTGCTTAACTAGAAGTTGGTATTTGTGTAGCAAAAATATCAAAGACTTGGTTGGCATTCTAATTTTATTCTACCTAATCTTTAACAACTTCTTATTCTTAATGTAATGACAAATCTTTCTTAATGATCTCGAATGAAGCTTAAGGATTAATTAAGAAACTCAGGGTTTCACCACTAAAAATGAATTTCTAAATTGATTACATTTTAGATATCTTCTCAAACTTTGATATTTTATCCTCTAATTATGGTTGCCCAGCAAATAAAATTAATCCCAGTTCTCTAAAGCTGGGTACTTTGTATGGTTGACTTTTCAGGTTTTCTGAAGTTGGTGATAATTGACGAGCAACTGCATCCAAAATCAATTAGGTTGAAATATGTGTCATGAAAACTTAATATTCTTGGAATATCTTATATAAAAGTTGAACATCATCATATTATTATAACACAAGTATTGGGCTAAAATTATAACAATAATAAAATACAAGGATGGAGAAGGTTAATAAAAGTAAAGATCTATATCAGGTCTCACGTCCTTCATATTGATCTTCTCGTAACTCTACCAGAAGACATTAGGGAAATAGGTTTAAAAGGGTTTGAAAAATGAACCCAATTCGCACAAATGAACAAATGTGTAAATCTTAGATAAGCTGATTCCTGCTTATAATTATTGATTAGGAATGTTTTTGTTTTTTAACAAAGTGTTTAAGTAAAATGTTGGGTCACTTTTATCAAGTTAATAGACAGTGTATTTGAGTAAATCTAAGGCGTATTTTTATTTATCATTTGCTTTTGAGTACTATGCACCTAAATAATGATATTGTTAATTACAAAAATAATCAAGGAATTCAATTTTCTATCCCACTAGAAGTTTGAATACTATTCCTACAGCAAAGGCCACATCAAAATCATTATAGACTAATTTATCTGCATTTTGTGATGATTGATGAATATTTGTGGCAAAAACATTGTTTAGTGATTGGGCCACCTTTTTATCCATTCCTCCTGAGGTTATTCCAATGTAGGATTTAAATACAATGAGATGCTCTTCCTTTAAATTGAATTCTTATGAAATGCTTCTGCAAGAAATCATTTATTTTAATAGAAATTGAATAAATTAATTAATTAATATAAGACAAAAAAAATCAACTTATCAACTGCGATTAATTATGTCATAATTAGAGTAAATATATAGGAGATATAAATTTAAACAAATTCATAATGATACTTACCTCAATCATAAATGAAACCTCATAAAATACAGCTGTTTCAGTGTGAATACTTATCATTTTGAAGATATGCTAGTTTCCGATTGAATCTGCTTGCTCATTATTGTTTTCTATAAGGATTTAAGAAGAAATTTAGAATTCATACTATGAACAACCATTTTAAGTATTGAAGTCTCAAACAAAGTAATTTAAATTATATTCTTTCGACAATCAAATTATGATATTCATAGCAATCTGCCAACTCGGGTTGAAATATATCTGTTAGACATTCAGAATTGCAATCTTAATTTTTTCTTCTATAATCTGATTATTCAAGAAAGAATAATCTAAATAATGGCTGCCCATAATGTAATGATAATGCGAGGAAGAATAATGGTTTATGATGATATTTATGGTCAGAATTTGATGAAATTTTCATTGAAACGATTTTATTCTTAAATTCTATTATTGATAAAATATAGTTTATTTAATAATCAATCGAATTCTAATAACCAGTATAATGAACTAACAAATACACAAAATTTGTTAAAGCATTTTAATTTGCACACCTCAAAGATCATTTGATATAATTGAACAATCTAATACTTCCTTATGGAAATTCAATTACATTGTAGCAAAATGAGTGAGAATAAAAGCATTGTTAAATTATAGAGTTAGATTACACTTGATTCATTATGGATGTATGAAATAATATATATGAAATGCTTCAATATATTTATGTATTTCTGGATTTGAACTTTGAAAAAAATTTAATAATTATTATTCTGGTGTCATTGTAGGAAATTGAATGTTTTCAAAATTATCATGAAAAAATTCGATAAAAACATTTGCATTTAATTTCAGATGATATGTATGTATGTGAATTTTACTATTCAATTTGGAGAAATATGGATAAATAGCAATATTACATAAAAAATTTTAGTAATAATAATAAACAAATCAAAGCATTCTTGTAATACTTTGAAATAAAAAGTTTGTAAGTAATTCAAATACTTATTGATTCAAAGGTAAATTAAACAAATGGATATAGACTATAAAAAATCTCATTGAATAAAACATTCATTTTTTTAAATTGAGATATAACTTAAATTTATTTAATTTATCTCATATTAAATAAAGAAGTGATTTAAAATTGAAGTGAATTTGTTTTTTTTGAATTAAGAAAGCAAATTGATCAATATTAAAAGTAGAATAGTATTTAAATGGAAGGTTCAAAGCTTTTGAAGTACTCCCTATAATTGATGAAAGATGATCAAGTGTGTAATGGGTTTAATTTATTTTTTGAATAAAAGATTTTAGACACAGGGACTGGTAAATCTAAATAAAAGTTGGAATAGGCGGAATAAATAGTTGAATAATGGAATAAATTAAATGCTGAGGAGAAAATATATTGGTAATAAAAAGAAAAAGAGTTAAAGTCAGAGATTAATAGCAAAATCAATTCAAAATAGAAGCAATGTTAAACTTAGGAACAAAAAGATATTGAAGATATTTAAAACGATATTCAATTAATGAAATTTGAGGAAGCTAAATTAAATTATAAGAAAAGAATATAAGAGAAACTCCATTAATTTGAAGGAAAAATAGAAGATAATTCTAAAGTTTAAAAAATTAAAAATCCATAAAATAGTAAAAAAAACGCACAGAGGAGAAAACCAAAGGATGGGGATGAAAATTTTGAAGAGGAAATCAATAAAGAAAGAAAATTTAATGTTAGAAAATCAAAGCGAAATGGAAAGAGAAGAATGTGAATCAAATAATCCATAGAAACTCATATTTATTGTTTTAGTTATATTTTTTTATCTATTATTTATTCTAGTCTGTTGTTTTTATGAGAAATTTACACCTCTATTAATACCCAATTTTCCATTTGGATCTAAAAGTAAAAAATGATAAATTCTATTAATAAATATTGATAGTTAATTATAATTGATAAAAATTATATATCAAATATGTTGTGCTTTTGAATAATATATACATTTTATTAATTATAAACAAATATCAACAATTACATCTTTATTACTATTTCCCATTTTCTTTTTTTGGATTGGGTCTTAACCATAAATTAATATTCTCTTATGGTTCATTTGGAGTATAAGAAGCATGATTTTTATCAGAGCCTGCGGAGGATGAATCCTTTTCTTAAAGAGAATTCATACATTTTTTTATTTTTTTTTTATTTTTTTCTCTTTTAATTTCATGTCTCTTTTTATGATAAGTAACCTTGATAATTCTTCAAATGCTTGGGATACTCCAAGTGATGTTTTAGCACTAGTTTCATAGAAAAGCATAAGTTTCTCTTTTGCATATATTTCTGCTTTCTCAGTAATAACAGTTTTATTTGGTAAATCGCTTTTATTTCCAATCAAAAGAATGGTAGTATTTTTTCCAGCATGCTTATGTATCTCATCTATCCAAGATTTTTCGATTTCCTCAAATGATGATTGGCAAGTAGTGTCATACACAAGGACAATTCTATTGTTTAGAAAATATTGGAGTACGCATCAGCTCCTTTATAATATGCATTTGTAATGGTTCTGAATCTCTCTTAGCCAGCAGTATCCCAAATCTATAACTTTAAGCCCTTGCCATCTAGTCTAAATGTTTTAAATCTATTTTAAAATTTGAATTAACTTAAAGTCAACTCCAATAGTGGAGATATAATTTTCACTAAATGTATCATCAGTGTATCTTAGAAGTAGAGATGACTTACCAACTCCACTATTTCCAATGATAACAAGCTTAAACAAATAGTCGTACTCTCTGTTATTCATTAATTACAAATAAATTATGCTTTGTGTATTGAGTGATAACGAAATAAATTCAATGAAATAATAATATTATATATATGCATTCATTTAAGCATTTTATTGATGGCCATGTTCTTCTCAATGTCCTTCTTCATTACTTTGGCCACAGACATTTCAAAGTCTTCCTATGTGACATGAATTCTTCTTTCCCTCAATGCAAACATACCAGCTTCAGTGCAAACTGCCTTTGATTCAGCACCAGAAGCACCTGGCATAACTTCAGCAATCTTTCTTAAATCAATTCCTCTCATTAGATTCATTTTTTTAGAATGAATTTTCAATATTTCCAATCTAGCATCAACTCCTGGATTGGGGAATTCCACTTTCCTGTCTATTCTTCCAGGTCTCAACAAAGCAGCATCTAGAATATCAATTCTATTTGTAGCCATGATAATCTTAATAGTTTAGGTAGACTCAAAACCATCCAACTATTAATTTCAATAAAAGTCTATACCTGATTTAGTAATTCCAACATTGTTCTCTGTACTTCTGAATCTCCTCCTCTTTCACCTTCCATTCTTGCTCCTCCGATTGAATCAACCTCATCTATGAATATTAAGCATGGAGAATGTTGGCGTGCCATTACAAATAATTCTCTAACCATTCTTGCACCTTCTCCAATATATTTTTAAACTAATTCTGATCCACTCACTCTTATAAATGTGCAATCCTATCATAGATTCTAACATTAATACTGTGTGATGTGCAATGGCTCTTGCCAATAAAGTTTTTCCTGTTCCTGGTGGTCCATAGAGTAATACTCCCTTTGGTTATGCTATACCTAAACTTTCAAATATTTCTGGATGTTTGATTGGCAATTCAATAACTTCTTTCACTTCCTTTACTTATTAATCTAGACCACCAATCATGTCATAAGTAGAATCAGGCACTTTCTCCACTTTCATTAATGATACAAGAGGATCCACTTTAGTTGGCAATATTTTGTGTAAAACATAGGAATCACTCTTTAAAGCTACTCTAGTATTAGGTTTGCAATCTTCAATTTTAATATTCTTATCTAAAGTCACCACATACTTTCCTTCTGGATTCACTTTAACCAAAACCTTATCTTTTCCCATTTGCTTAACAACATCTCCAACATAAGAATGAGGCTCTTATAAAGCTTGTAATTCTTCTTTGACTTATCTCACTCAAAATTAAATATTGAAAAATACCTAAACTATTCAGCTCATTTCTCTAAGCTTCTTATCGTTTCACATTGGCCTATTTTTCAGCTATCATGAACTCAAGTAAATCAAGTTTCCCTTAGATATATTGTTTATAGCTTAGTTTTACACTCATTTATATTCAAAAAATTAATGAGATTAGGATAATTTTGTGTGTTATTATTACCTTAAACTCATTGAGGGTTTATAAAACTAAAACAAGATTTATATATAAGAACAGTAAGGAGATATAGAAAGTCTTAGATAAGTGAACAAAAATAAGGGCTAGAATATAAAAATTAACATTTAATCTATCTTGACATGAAAGTCTCTTTATTTTCTAATTTTATTTGTAAAAATGATGATTTTTAAATTTTTACTTACAAATGAATTTCGCTTAATATTATTTTCTTCTAACGATTTTTATCGATTTTGAGAGGGAATGTCAACTAACTCAGTAATAGCTTATTGTATTGCTAAATTATCCTTGGAATAAGTCTAAAATTGTAAAAAGTTGTAATGTAATTTTGAATGTTTACAATCATCTACAATTAATAAACTCACTTTCATGTGTATATGTATTCAAGCTACTCTAATTAAGCTAATTAGCTAAAGAGAATCTCTTCTTGGCGTTTAAAATTTGTAGAAGTAGGTAGAGTAAAATATTTGCCAAAAATTGAAATACTTTTTTAAAATTTCATGTAAGTAAATAGAATTTATTGATAATGGCAATAGTTAAATAATTAAAAGAACAAAGAATCAGAGTTTGAGCAATGACAGGATGGTAATTTGAATTTTGAATAATCATCTTTGATTGCCTAGTATTTTTAATATACAATTCTGGCTATTTTCTGATGACAGCATTTATATTGATGCTAAGGTCTTTGAAATTGAAATATAATTTAAAGATATTTGAAAAAATGCCTCCCAAAAGAGCGTAATCAAAAGCTAAGAAGGTAATTCCTGTGGTGACAGCAAAAGGAAAGAAAGATGCAAAAGCTGCATAGAAAAATGCGTAATATAGATTTAATAAAATATAGTAAGGTGGTAGCAAAATAGACACCGAAAAGTGTATCTACAGACAGGAAAGGATCAAGTGTAAAGTCGTTGGGTCTTGCCCCACCTGCAAAATCAGCAACAAAGAATAATGCAAAATAAACATCTGTATCCAAAAAGGATGCTACAGCCACTCCAGCAAAGAAAGATATTCCAGATAAGAAAAAGGCATAAAAGAAATCACCATCTCCTCCTCCAAAAAAAAAGGTTGAAAAAGAGAAAACAGAATTGAAGAAAATTACATTTAGTGGTTCTGCTCCTGTTGATGAATTTGTTGCACAAAAGGAGACTTACGTTGTATATGAATAAGGCGGTAAGATTTATGATTGTGCGATGAATCAAACGAATATTATGGAAGATAATAATAATAATAAGTTTTATTTTGTTTAACTATTGAAAAAGAAGAATGAAAGTAAATATGAAAATGAATAAATTTAGACGCTTATTTTGTATTCACTAGATGGGGAAGAGTTGGTTAAATTGGATAATAGGCCTTGTAACCATGTTAAGGCGATTTATCCTCAGCAATTAGCTAATACTAGAAGAAGATTCACGAGAAGAGTGTTAAAGGAGATTATCGTATTTTGGAGAAGGATTATTCAGGAGAAAATGATCCAAAGGCTTTGGAGAAATTGGAGAAGTTGAGAGAGTAGAAAGAGAAAGAATCATTCAATAAAAGCAAGTTGCATTAGAGAGTAAAAGAGTTGATAAGGTTGATCTTTGATATGAAAATGATGAATAATCAAATGAGAGAGTAAGAATGTATTTCTAAAGTAGAATTGGTTATGATGCAAAGAAGATGCCATTGGGTAAATTAGCAGCAACAACCATCAAAAAAGGATTTGATGTTTTGAAGTAGATCTAAGATGAATTGGATAAAAAGAACACTAATGTTGTAGAGTTACAAAGACTCACGAGTGAATTTTATAGTTAGATTCCACATGATTTTGGTATGAATAAAGCTCCTTTGATTGATACAAAGGAAAAAGTGAAGGCTAAACTGGAAATGTTGGAAGCCATTTAACACATTTAAGTGGCAACCAAAATTTTGGAGGAGAGCAAAGATGATAATAATATGATAGATGAGAACTATAAAAAACTTAACATAGATTTAAAATATTTGGATCATAATAGTGAGAAGGTTAAATTAATCAAGAAATTCATACAAAATACATAGGGATATTATAAATTGGAGGTCGAAGATGTCTTTGAATTGACAAAAGATTAAGATGATAAGAGATTCAAGAAGGATCTTGGAAATAGAATGCTTTTATGGCATGGATCTCGTTTAACTAACTTTGTGGGTATCTTGGGACAAGGTTTAAGAATAGCTCCTCCTGAAGCTCCAGTTACTGGTTATAGATTTGGAAAGGTAATCTATTTAATATATATAATTAAAGGGAGTCTATTTGGCAGATGTGGTTGAAAAATCAGCAGGTTATTGTTGTCCAGATCCAACAACAAAAACTGGGTTGATTTTGCTATGTGATGTTGCATTGGGAAATCCAAATATAAAATTGGATTCTGATTATAATGCTAGCAATCTTCCTAAGGGAAAGCATTGCACTTGGGGTAAAGCTAGAAGTTACCCTCCTGAAAAGTCATATGTGGAAATGCCTGGGTTACCTGGAGTGAAAGTCCCAATAGGTAAGCCAGAGCCTTCAGATGTTGAGAAGAAGTCAGGGTTGTGGCATAATGAATTTATAGTGTATGATGTTGCTTAGGTGAGACTTAAGTATTTGATCAAGATGAAGTGGTAAAATTGATTGATTTTATGTTATTTCATTTAATATCATTATCATCAGAAAGTTTAATCTGAGAGTTTGTTTTATTTAATAACATTTTTGATAAATTAAATTTGAATTAATATAACATTTTATGCATAAGCGACAAGTTTAAATTGAGACATTAAAGTAAGTATGTTATAATAATAGTTAGTCCTTCAAAGTGTTTTACCCAATCAAGATCACCGAAATAAAATGTAAAACCCATCCAACCATAAATTTTGAAGCAAATCACTCAATTAATCAAAAACTCAAAAGAAAGGAACACAGAAAGACTTTGCAAACCTTACGAATAGTTAAAATGCATTTAGAATATATAACCTTCAACTACTTCTAGACCAATAGAAGGTCGCGATAGTTCAGTCACTTTTCATTAATTACTTTAAGAGTTCAGAAATTATAAGAAGCAAAACAAAGAGAATTCCTTTAATAGGATTAATAAACCATCAAAGAAAGTGAGACAGATTAGTTTTCCAAATGCTGTTCTTCTCAATAATTCCAGTAGTGGAAGTCGTATTAAAGATAGTATTTATTTTAAATAAAGGAGCTTCCAATGACAAACTAACTTAAAAAATATTATCGATTGCCAAAGCTTCACGTTCACAGAACAATTATAAATTATAATTCAATGGAGTAATTGAAGATATGTGTCGATGCTCTTAAGAATATAACAATTTACTGTATGAATTCAAAGAAAATTTGAAAAATAATGATTCTCATTACAGAAAGAGCTCTTAAAGATGTGCCTCTGCAGACATTTAATTGATTGTAAGAAGTCCCAATAAAAAATCAAGATCATCATCAATAGATCGAAAGGAATCTCGATTTTTGGGCTCTACATAAGCAAATTCGAATCCAAAAGAATTAGATTTGACATGTGATGAAAATGAAATCGTTGTACACAATGTTAATCTTGATGAAAGAATTAAAACTGAACCAGATCCTTTAATAAATCAAGAAAGATTGTACTTGGCTGACCCATATTACTTAACTAAATAGAGTGAAATCACCTGGCTCATAAGAGCGATAGTAATTGATTGGATGATGGAAACAGCAATGGGCAATAGATTAAAGCGATAAACATTTCATTTGTCAATATTCTATCTAGACTCCTATTTGTCCAAGAAACAAGCTAACAAACAGAATATCTAATTAGTTGGATTGGCCAGTTTATTAATTGCCAACAAAGTGGAAGAAGTCAATCCTATTTGTCTGATGCAATTTCAGAAGGCTGCCAATAATGGCTATAAGTAGAGTGAGATCTTAAATATGGAGTTGGATATCCTATTTGTAATTGTCTATTCTATATATTTATCTAGACACTCAAATGGTAAGTGAATCCACCGTCCTATACGTATTGGATAAATTGGTTCACAGATTAGTGGGATATCTACGCAAGTAATCATGGGATCAATCTGTTTTTTAGAAAAGCCAATGAAGAATCTTATTAATGTATTTAAATCTTAATAAAAAGTATTTAGAAAGTTATGTCAACTTATTGATTGCACTTTATTGGATATTCAAACTCTTCAATACATGCCAAGGACTATCGTTGCCTCATTTATGTATTTGATAATTTCATTTTAATTGAATGTCTTTGATATCGATATGCTCGAGATTATGTCCAGAACATCAATGTTTTTATTGAATCGTATGCAGTTTAACTATTCTTTTTAGGCGATAACCAATTCAACTTAATATTTGGATAATTTGTGTCGATCACCTTTGGGTTTGCATTATAAGATATTCTACCAGCTATTTAGTATGCAGCTGGCTTTTATGAATTAGAAATCAATTATGAAACTCCCCCTGGAGTTGTCCATTTATCCAATACTCCTTTGGAAGTAATGTATATGTTTTAAGAGTAGTCAAATTACGAAGAGTTTCTTTCATTTTAATGTTATTCAAAATACTTACTTGAATTTGTCAGATAAAAAACAAGAGATTGATATATTTAATTAATTAATACACGTATAATAATTTTAATTAAAAATTATGAGTTAAGAGACATTGAATGGTATAAATGGAATTTTGACAGACGTTCAAAGTTTTGGATAAGAAAGCTACAGATTTATTAGAAAATGCACTAAACCAGATAAGAGAGGTAAGTGATAGATCTAAAATCATAGAATACATAAAGATTGCAACATCATGTGCAATTGGATTTGCAGTTATGGGAGCAGTGGGTTATTTCATCAAATTAGTATTCATTCCTATTAACAACATCATCCTCAGCGCAAATTGATTTATTTTGTTTATTTAACATAATAATATAGGAATTGTGTTTATATATTTCTAAATATGATTCATTTAGACAACTGTTTGTAGTTCTTTTTCTCGTGTGCTCTTAATTCATGTGGAGACATGCCAATCTTTAATTTCAATTCTCGAAATGTCGCATCACCAAAATATAGATTGTATCTCCTCTTATATTTGTTTTATTCTTTATTGAGTTTCTATTCACATTTAAAACAATAGAATAACAGCTTTTGTGCTTCCTCTATGCTCCCTAGAAATCCCAAACAACTTAGATGATACCATTCCGAACATATCTCACATTCTAATATGATTAATAATGCAATACACATCATTTCTTCATTGTCATTCTATTATTTGCAAATGCAATACTATAGACTGAATGCTTCTTTTGGTATTTTAATTTTCAGTGAAATATTATTTGACCCATTCATCTTTTGTTATTTTTTATGATGTTTAAAGATCTTAGGTCTTGAATAAATCGAGTGTCTCTTCCTATTAGGTAGTTCCTATGTATTTCTCATCTATAATTGTGAGAGAGTGTTTGATAGCTTCTTCTTCTTTCTCATTCTCATTGCTCTTTGATAGAGAACATAAACTTATTATGATGAGTACTTCTCATTAGCTAATTACTACCAAATCCTATCCTTTTCTTCCAAATCATAAATGGACAGTCTTTTCAAAGGGTATTAGATATCAGTAACTTAGTTTTTTTCAATTGTAATAATGAATTTTTCATCTTATTCCATTATCTCAGTAATTTTTTAAAATAGCTACTCATTCTCTAATTTAATATCAGCTTCTATTTCTTCTTGTTACACTTTTATTTAAAATTTTTCAAATTCTAAATCATTGTTTTTTGGTTTATTGGCCAAATATTATTCTAATTTTTCATACTGCTTGAAAAAATAGTAGATTTCTTCCTTCCATAGATTGTGTTAATCTTCAAATATTCTTTTTATTTTTAGAGGTTGGTGTTTGAAACAGAAGATTTCATCAGTTTCCATGTAAATTTATGATCTTCTTGCACATTCAGGATGAAATGCAATCCCACATTTTTATTTGGCACAATAAATGCAAGCTCCAGTCTTTTTTGTCTTACAAATACTGCATAAACAATTAAACTTTCTCTTATCAATTTTCAGTAAATCAAAATCCAACCAAAGCATACACGAAACATGAGCCCATATTTTCTCAGATTTTGGAGATTCTCCAATCATGTTATCCAAAGAGTACTATAAAATCATAAAATTATATCCTTCCTCTCCATCAGGAGGAGGTTCTAAATTATATTAATAACAATTCTTACTTTGTCTATCAATTCTATTGTTCATTGCATAAGTATGATAGTTCGGATTTGATTGCTCAAATATTGAATCCTTCATTGTCAACGTTGTCTAACGCATGGCTCCTCCTAACTTAGGACAGAGTGGACATTTCAAAAACTTGCCTTTACTTCCAAAATTTAAACACAAATCACAAATCCAGTTGCTTATTATGTTTTCAAGACCATAACACTTTTAATGAACTTTTATTTGACACTTTTAACATGTTAATAAAGATTCTAGGGTTCTAGCTCCTTGATTGCAAATTTAACAATTATTATAGACATTTTATAATTTCCTAGCAGTTCCAGCCAAATTAGATTGTTTTGATTAATTAATTATTTATTCGTTGTATATTCTAGCAATATTGTGATTCTATATATATACTTTTATTGGCTCTCAAGATGAGTCAGATATTGATTTTCAACATCAGTCAATCCAACTAGATCTTTCAAAATAAAATCAGGTTAATTTTATATGTCTAAGATGGGCTTTTCAATTTAAATCGCATCTATCTAATTTCTCAATTGTCTTCTGGTTTCGAGCAATTGCTATTCAATTTCAGTTTGTAATGATTCCAAATCATTTTTGGGTTATAATTCTTATAACCATCTATCTTAGATTAAAGATTACTATGTTTCTCAATTCCAATATGAACCAATCATCGAAATACGTGTATGGGCGAGACTCTTTATCTTAATCCACTTGATATTCTTCTTCTATGCTATAAATTATCTCAATTGGATTACTTTATGCTTTTAGGATCAACCTCTTTTTTAAAGTATTGAGAACTAATAAGAAACCAGAAGGTTATTGGAGTAAAGTGCCTTATAGGAGTGATTTTAGAATAAGGTTCCACCCAATTAATGTCATTTAATCTTTACACAATTTCAAACAATTATTGATAAGTTTTCCCATGATTAAGCGGATTTTAGAGTAATTGGTTTTAATTTAACTCCTAACCAATTGGGTCTAGAACGTATTGGCCCTCCTTTTAATCTTCATTTTGAATTTCATTAAAGGAGGGAAACATAAATTATTCTAAATTTTCAAAGCTGCTATCTAGAGACATTTTAAATTAAAAAATAAATATCTTTATTTTCATTTCATTTTTAATTATATAATCCTACCATTTCTTTAAATCACTCGCCTGCTCTAGCCAATCATTTGATTTCCTATCGATACCGAGGTTCATCTATCTAAATTTACAAGTATCATTGCAATAACACCTGTAACTAATTGCATTACTCTTCATTAAAAACTTAACCAGATATATCGTTGATATCTTAAAATTAAACCATTTCATATTCAAGTTTTTAGAAGAAGTGTAAAACCATTTAATGATTCAACATAACTAGTAGAATATAAATAGATTTTCACTATTTTTGAAACTGATTATATTCTCATTTTACATCATTCAATTTAATTAACTAATCTAAATACCAAAAGGCTATGCAAAATGTCTTACAATTTCTGCTTTTTTAAGCTTCGTTCAAGTATAAAAAACCCTAAAATTATTAGAAAAACTCTTAGACTTTTAAATATTTAAGTAATTCAATAAAACTGAATGGAATNGACATTTTATAATTTCCTAGCAGTTCCAGCCAAATTAGATTGTTTTGATTAATTAATTATTTATTCGTTGTATATTCTAGCAATATTGTGATTCTATATATATACTTTTATTGGCTCTCAAGATGAGTCAGATATTGATTTTCAACATCAGTCAATCCAACTAGATCTTTCAAAATAAAATCAGGTTAATTTTATATGTCTAAGATGGGCTTTTCAATTTAAATCGCATCTATCTAATTTCTCAATTGTCTTCTGGTTTCGAGCAATTGCTATTCAATTTCAGTTTGTAATGATTCCAAATCATTTTTGGGTTATAATTCTTATAACCATCTATCTTAGATTAAAGATTACTATGTTTCTCAATTCCAATATGAACCAATCATCGAAATACGTGTATGGGCGAGACTCTTTATCTTAATCCACTTGATATTCTTCTTCTATGCTATAAATTATCTCAATTGGATTACTTTATGCTTTTAGGATCAACCTCTTTTTTAAAGTATTGAGAACTAATAAGAAACCAGAAGGTTATTGGAGTAAAGTGCCTTATAGGAGTGATTTTAGAATAAGGTTCCACCCAATTAATGTCATTTAATCTTTACACAATTTCAAACAATTATTGATAAGTTTTCCCATGATTAAGCGGATTTTAGAGTAATTGGTTTTAATTTAACTCCTAACCAATTGGGTCTAGAACGTATTGGCCCTCCTTTTAATCTTCATTTTGAATTTCATTAAAGGAGGGAAACATAAATTATTCTAAATTTTCAAAGCTGCTATCTAGAGACATTTTAAATTAAAAAATAAATATCTTTATTTTCATTTCATTTTTAATTATATAATCCTACCATTTCTTTAAATCACTCGCCTGCTCTAGCCAATCATTTGATTTCCTATCGATACCGAGGTTCATCTATCTAAATTTACAAGTATCATTGCAATAACACCTGTAACTAATTGCATTACTCTTCATTAAAAACTTAACCAGATATATCGTTGATATCTTAAAATTAAACCATTTCATATTCAAGTTTTTAGAAGAAGTGTAAAACCATTTAATGATTCAACATAACTAGTAGAATATAAATAGATTTTCACTATTTTTGAAACTGATTATATTCTCATTTTACATCATTCAATTTAATTAACTAATCTAAATACCAAAAGGCTATGCAAAATGTCTTACAATTTCTGCTTTTTTAAGCTTCGTTCAAGTATAAAAAACCCTAAAATTATTAGAAAAACTCTTAGACTTTTAAATATTTAAGTAATTCAATAAAACTGAATGGAATAATATTAAATATGTCATAAGATATTCAGGTCAGATAGACTCAGATATTTCGCTTCTCTCAAATAATATTTACTTCTTCTATGCTATAGTAGGAGTTATACTAATTTTTGAAGTATTTGGAATATTGATGGCGGTAATTGCTCTTAAATTTTATAGTTAGTATCTTTTGGTTACCTATTTCAATTTTAGATAAAAATATATAGCATTTTATGATGATATTAGGCATGCAATTTAAATATCTTTAAATATGTCCTTGATTTTTAATGTTGTAAAAAATGGTCTGCTAGTTTTTTACTTATATTATTGAGGATTCAGTGTATGCTTTTAAAACACCTATGCATCTTAATTTAAGTCATTTATAAAAGATACAATCACATTTTTTTGTGTCTTGGCCAAAGCTCATTTTACTAATATCACTATCTTTGGTAGCAATTCTATTATATGTAAGCATCATTAATAAGTTGGATATATCATCATATACAGAATTAAACATAAGACTTAAAAACAAATTGCATTTTAATTATCTCCCAATTAGAAAAAAGAGTAAGAATTAAAGTCGGGTATAATCGATATTCTTACCTGTTATATTTTAAGAATTATAAATTCGATTAAGAATTAATGAAATCCAAGATTGCAAGGATCAATGTTTGTGAAATTTAATGAATTAATACAAATTAATAAAATTAAAGAAAGCATTAATATATAGAAAATTATAGAACACAGATTTATTGAAATATATATAATAGATATTTGATATTACTTCATATTTTTCAGGTCCTAATATTTCTATGACAAATACCAAACTATGGCAGAATTGATTTATTTTGACATTAATCTTAAATATAGAAACAAGAAACAAGTACACATCTTAAGGAAGGTTCCTACAATAGAAATATCTTCATATGATTCTAACACCTAAGTAAATGTATAATCTAATTCCAGGTATGGAAATTAAGGATAATGAAATAAAGGAGTGATAGTAAAATATTTAAATGAAATAAGGTAGAAAATTGAAGAATTCATACTTGTTGAACAATCATTAATAAGTGATTGTAAAACCGCACAAATACTTACCTCTTTTGAGTCATTCTAGAGTTGGCTGAACATTTGTCCATTTATTGAATTGATGCATTCCAAGGAATAATCTGAATAATAATAGTGATTTATATAATTCAATAAAATAATTAATGAGACCCTACACAAGTACTCCTCAAATTTAACATAGGGAATAGGCGCAAGTAAATAACCCATTTATATAGTTAAAGTCTGCTATTGAGTTTCGTCAAAATGTTCAACATTATAAGTATATTGATTATCTATATCCGAAGACCGAAATTCTATGTAACCAAGGCGCATTAGGATTCGAATGAACAATTCCTTTCCAGGTATTTGAGAATATTCATATTTAAGCAAAACAAGGGATCCGCCAAATTCTAGAGAATTCAAGAAGACCATTCCTATAACAATGGTTTAAGATAAGGAGAGATTGTATGAGGAACTTAATAAGACAAAGCAGATGTGTAATAATCTAAAATTGGAGAATCACCAACTAAAGGCATAAATTAAAAGTTAAGAAACTGCCATGCTCAAATGTAGTGATGTACTTCATAATTTTATTTAGCCTGTAAATGAAGATTACCAATCTTTTGTTACAAATCCATTGCCTTAGCATTATAAGAAACAAATTAGTGAAATCCCACAATCGACTATTATTTTGTAATTGAAGAAACAGAATAAGGATTTGAGGGAAGAGCTGGATGATTTTAAAGAGGAGATGATAAGAGTGAAGAGAAGTGCCAAATTGACAAAAATTTAGGAATTGGAAGCTGAATTGAAAAATTACTCAGATGAATCTTTGCGTTTGAAACAGCTTCTTCATCAATAAATATTGAAGACTATGAATCCGTAATTTATTTTTTGACCTTTCTAGTACTAAAACGGAATAAAATATCGAGGAAAGAATCCTAACCTTATAAGAACAGTTGCAGAAATGCAGCTAAGCGAAAAATAAATTTTATTAAGAATTGAAGAAAGCTGAAGAAGAAATTAAAAATTTGAACCTCCAAAATTCGGAGTTGGACTAGAATTATTAGAAAAGCATAAAGGAGAAGACATAAATAAAGAAGCAATTAACTTCATTAGAGGAATAATTCAATAAGGCTTAATTAAATGATCCATTATTCAGAAGAGGGTAAGATGTTACTTAAATGAAATTGGAATTAGAGAGGAAAGTTGTAGAGAATAACCAATTAAAGAATGATAATATGATAAAAGATAAGAAGGTTCATGACTTGGAAAGATCACTCAAAGACGTTACAAGTACCTTCTAAGATAAACTGAATACGGTCACTAAGGAAAAGGAAAGCTTTAAAGAGAAATATGAGAAGCAGAAGCAAGAACTTATCGAATTGCAAGATAAATATTAGCAATTGTTTTTCAACAGCAATAGAAATCTTCAATCATAGTAAATTTAAAGTGGCAGAAGGGATGCCATTTTTACAGTGCAATCCTAAGAGGATATTCAGAATCAAAGGAGAAAATCTCAAGAACTTACACCTGATATGCACAAATAAAACGATATATAATAATAGCAGCAATAATCTACCCAATAAGAGAAACAAAGCTATAGAAGGAAAGTGCAAAGAAAGTTAAGTTCAATTCGACAGGATGACATTGAAGAGTTGCTTACTTAGTTAAGATATAAATTAAGGGCATAGAATATCAGGAATGCAGAATTAGAATTATATCTATTTCGGTAGAAGGACACAAATGAGACTTCTTTAGGAGAGATGATTTAGATTCTACAGAACAAGCCTTTTAATTTAAATCAAAATGAGAGTGTATTGATATCTCGTTATTTGATTGAACCTTATGGTGAGAAGGAAATCACTTATAACATCAATTTAACCAAAGACAATGAGAGCATTTTGCAGACCCTGATTAGAGCAATTGGTAAATACAATATATTGGTTGGAGAGGATAGAATTCAAATGCATGAGCAGATAAGACAAAAACTGAATGAAAAAAAGGATGATTTGATGGCCTATCTAAAGCCCAAGAAGTAACAAGGAAATTCATCATAATCAATATCGGCTCAATTACCAGGCAGTTTGGTGAATAGATAGCAATTCAAAACGGCATTGTTATAGACTTCATTGGATGAGGAATAGACAGATGTTCTGTTATAAACAATATATGAATAGACTTAGGATTTCAATTTCATAGATTTGGATATGGTTTTTGAGACTTGGCCAAGTTCAGGACCAATTAAAATAACTAGAGTTTAGGTAGAATAATAAAAAGAAGATGGGGAATTACCTGACACAGTGCGGGAATGTATAGAGTGTTTGTTAGAATATGCTAATAAAAACGGATTATCAATATTAGATTTGAGAAAGCAGATTGATGAGGATAATAGTGGTCATGTGGAGAGATCTGAAATGAAATAGTTTTTGCTTAAGTGTGATATTCAATTAAATAATGAATAGTACGATTTAATTTTAGATCATTTTGATTTGGAGGGAGATGGTAGGATATCGACTAATGATATTGGTGTTGTATTGAATAAGGCGTATAATCAAAAGATGTTGGCTATGAAGGAACAGAGAAGTGCAAAGAAAACCTCGAAATGTATTAATATGTATATTTAGAAATCTTAAATTTGGTGGCAAACCATTTTGTTTAATTTATGTAGACTAATAAATTGGATCTATTTGAAATATTCATGACTATCGATTAGGATGGCTCAGGATCTGTGAGTAGGGATGAGTTTAAATAAATGTTGAGAACTCGAGTAAGTGTATATACTTAAATGGAAGATTGTAATTCCTTTGGATTAGGAGGAGTATGCAGAGTTTTTTAAGCTGATTGATAATACAAATGATGGATAGATACACTTCAATGAGTTTTAATAGCATATGATACCTGAGATTGAGAAGATCACCTAGAGACCCTATCATGAATTCTTAAATGAGCAAATTACTAAGAAAGTTGGATGATTAATATATTAATATATGGATTAAAATATCAAGTATTTAAAAATTCATTTAAAGAAAATATTTGTTCTGTTTGTGAAGTCAGTGATCTCAAAGCCTGTATGCCTTCAAATTTGATGAACTCTTCCTTCCAATTCTCATATTTCTCCTTGTTCGTATTTCTGACTTTGGTGAATATGGATTGCAATAATTCAACAGTCTTGCAATTGACCTGTACGTTGTCCTGATTTAGATTCAATTTCAGATTTTTAATGATGATCCTGATCAACTATTAATCAATTAAACTCTGCACTTAGTCGATGTCTCCTAGTAGTACCAGATTTTCGAAGATTGAGACTATCTTCAATAAAGCAAATTCCTTTTGTTCGACACTGTAAACTCGAATTACAATTGAGATAATGGTTTTCTATTCAAAAAGAAAGGATACTCCAAGTGTTTTGTTGCTAATCTAAACCAGAAAGGCAAGACATCTATGAAAAGTGGCATTATCCTTACAATCAAGCAATTTTTAGACTTACCTCATTATTCCTTGTTTCAAAACAAATTAGAATTACTAATCAGTTCCTGATAAAACAAATATCAAATTTGTTAAAATGACTTATAATAATTCATATTCTGATTCGTGTTATTTCATTAGTTAGACAAATCTTGCAATGATATCAAAATCTAAGAGTAATTGGATTCGTTTGAGGTGGTTTTCTTTCAATGGAGGCAAGGGTATCCATTTTCCAGTGACTATACAGATGCATTTAGTTATGATTCCTATCTTATTTTCTTTATGAATTTTGTCAATTATAAACAGTAAACTAGATTTGATGAGTTCGAATTTCATTGAAGGCTTTTTGGTACACAATGAGTACAGGGTCTTTAAACAGAACTCAGGTTCTTTCGCGTATCTCTTGAAGATAAACTGCTCGCATTAATTGTTGAGGAACTATTTACAGAAAGCCTTGGAGTGCCTTATTTTAGCAGCCTATAACACTGCCACAAGTCCAGTAAATGCAATTAAATCGATGTTTGATTACAACATGAGGGAGAGACTGGAGATCAGGCCTTATTGTAAGATCAGCTCCACTTGTTGAGATGTTCCACAAAGTAAACATATGAGGATTTGAGTCGAATCTACAGTGCTTTGAATTGAATATTGAACTTAAATTAAATGTATTAGAGGTTAAATGATATTATTTTGAATGATGAATTAGGTGAAGTGATACTGATTCCCAGCCTCGTCCAAATCAAGGGGGAAGTTCTCTATGTGGAATTCCAAAAAGATGAGTCGTAGTAATTTTTGCAGGGCAATATGAATAGAGATGTAGTCTTCAGAATGCAATTGCGATTTAATCGATTAAATATGTTCTCTTGTGATATAGAGAGTGTGTATTGAATCCACTTGGGATAATAGGTAATTGCGATCTTATTCGTTGATTCTATCGTCTACAATGTATTCATCCATTAAATATTAATGTTGGAAACATGAGATGTTTTAGAATCCAAATTAATATGATGACTTTTTCAATTAATTATGTTAATAAATCGGAGATATACAAAAATATTTTATAAGGGATTATAACATACTCAATATGTAATGCAGATGTGTAGAGTGTACTCTCTATTCAAATTCACAATGGCAACCATATTCACACTCATCATTGATTGCGAGAGATGCGAACTGACCCATTGGATGTTGGCAGTGTTATTTCATTCCATTCTAGCCTATATGTATCATACTTACATGAGGATTATCTTACATAATATAGTAATGAAGTTACCAATTTTAGTAAATTGTACTGTAAATAGCTGAAAGACTGAACCATTTGATTTAAGTGGAGGAGGTCGAAACGAATGGATAATCAGATTGTCAATATTTGATAAGTGAAGATTTGGATCCATACTTGTATTTGAGTTAGGAAGAGATGGATAGGAAGTAAAAAATCTTGGCAGCGTAGATTAGATACGAAGTTGTATCTAAATATTAATCATTGCGGATTTTGAGTATCATAACATTTTGGGTTACTCAGATATTAGTAGTCTGGGCTATAAGGTTGTAGATGCAGAATCCAGAAGATCCTTAATGGTATGATACATGTTCTAGATATGCAAATACATTCCAATTGATCTTTGTGTTCTTGACAATCTATCAATATTTAGAAGTGTACATTTTAAGTCTATTAATTGTAATTGCCTTGCCCTTCTTGATTCCAGTTAAGTTGTGGCATCAATTCAAGGAAAAAAAGTAAAACTATGACAATCAGTAATCACTTAAGGAACTGAAGAAGACATGCATCATCCTTTATCACTTCAAGAACATTTAAGGAGATTAAGAGTGTGGCATATGCATGCATGGATATGTCACTGATGAAAAACTTCTTGTACTCCCGTGTGATCCGAAACATCATTTTCATTTGTAATGCATCCAAGCATGGTTGCTCATCAATTCCACTTGTCCAAAATGCAGAGCAAGCTTTCTCAAATTTAACTAATAGCAGTAATAATAATGATTATTATTGTTATCTTATATGATATTATTTCATAATGTTGCAGATGCAATCTTTCTTTCCTTGTATTCTTCTATTAATTTCATCAAATGATTCATTGATCTTTGTGGATCCAAACCTTTGGGACATGTGAATGAACACATTCCAATATTCTAACAATCCTCGACCTTCACATCCTCGGCTAAATTTAATAAGATTTTTGAAATTACCTAATTTTTCAAGTCTCTCATCAGTATATTCATCTCTTGAATCCACAATCCATCTGTAAGCCTACATCAACACTGCTGGACCAAGATATCTATCTGGATGCCACCAATAAGAAGGACAAGATGTTGAACAACATGCGCATAGCACACACTCATAAAGACCATCAAGTAACTTTCTGTCTTCTACCGACTGAATATATTCCTTATTTCCTTCCTTATTTTAAATGTAATAAATTCATACTTTTGGAGTCTTCCTCTTCAAATAAGGGTCAATAGTCTTATATTGAGTGTAGAAATTGGTCATATCAACTACCAAGTCTTTGACTACAAACATGTGTCCCAATGGAGTGATGTAGGCTGGCTATGTCAAGTCAGTGTCAATAGCGTGAATGCAGGCCAATTTATGAAGACCATTGCAATTCATTGAGCAAGATCCACAGATGCCTTCTCTGCAGGACCTACGTAATGATAATGAGGAATCGTAATTGTCTTTGATGTATAACAATGCATCCAAGTACATTGGAGGTATCTTCTTTAAGTCAACATAATAGCTGACATACTTTGGGAAGTCATTCTCATCCTAAAAATCTAAACATCTCAATATACTGCTGGATCATATCTATAAATAAGGAATTGCTTCATTTTTGACTTCTCTTCTGCTGTTAGTTTTGGGTCGTGCTCCACCACATAGTTTATTTATTATATGCCTTTCACAGTACTAGAGACAGTGTCAAATAACCTTTTTGTAGCATCATTGCTGTCGTGATGATGTGTCCCATGCCAGAACATTGGTCTTCTGAACACTGTACACAATCTCTAAAGCATAATTTAATTTATTCATTTCAATCTTCACAACACACAGTATTTATAAAATCAATTTTCCTTCTATTCCTCTTACTTCGCCTCTTCCTCCTTCCCTTTCTAACTCTCCTCCTCCTTAACATCTCCAAAATCTCCTTCTCATTCACATCTGGAAAATCCTTCATCAACTCACATTTGGCATTGTGTACCATTGATTGAATATAAAATGAGCCTCCCTTTACTGGATCGTTCTTGTGGAACTGTCTCCAATAAATCTTATTCCTCTATTTACGATTCGCACTTTTAATATCTCCCCTGCATTAACCTTCTCAGCTGTTAATTGCAATATTTTAAATGCTTCATCCCTTCTCATAGATTTGTGAGTCAAATTGGCTGCTTGCATCGTCTGATTCAAAAACTCGCTAAATGGATTTGCTGACTTTCCTCCTTGTTCTAAATCAATTTACACATGCATACATTTAGCACTCTGTTAATATGGCTTCATAAACGACTTGGCAACAGTTGAGCCAACTTCAATGACTAATTTGATAATGAGACGCTTAACCATTAATAAAATAATCTCTTAAATTATAAATAATATTGATAGAATAAACACCTCTCTTTACATTCTATATACTAATTTAAAATTGCTAGATTTTTTCTTCTTTATGAATAGGATGATTAATATTTATTTTATTTGATCAATGCAAACGAATTTAAAAACCAATCCATATAGTTAAGCAATTGTAAACTTTGTGAATTTCCCAGAAAAAATCATGGAGAACCCTGGAAGATTGTATGAGTTGATTGAGGGATTATGCTAATAGAAAATCAATCCCGAAATTGAATATGATGGATCAAATTTTTGTTGCCATTGCTAAGAATATTTTGTTGAAAATAATTACAAAAATTTACCCTGCGGACACAATGTTCATTTTGAGTGTTTCAAGAATTATTTAAGTGAGCAACCTTTTTATATTGAATCGATTGACACATATTCATGTTGCAAAGAATCAGAAACATGTTAGTAAGTTTTAATCTCAGACGAGCTTTCTAAATATATTTTAGGAGAAGAAGAGTATAATAACTTGCGAAATTTGTACACTTTTATTTTAAATAGGTATGTGATGGATTAAAATGATAACTATGATCTTTTTGATCCTGAGGATTAACAAATTGAAAAGCAAGAGGATCAGTATTTATAAAATGAGACTGAAAAATAAGCTGAAAACTAATCTTAAAATGATTAAGTAATAGCTAATAAGGTAGAATAATAATAACAGGTTGAGAAATAATAAAATCAAAAGAGAATTACATTTGATTGTTTAATTTGCTTTAACTCTTATGATGTGGAATAAGATGGTATTACTCTGGATTGTGATCACAGATTTTGTATTTCCTGTATTCGAGAATAAATTTACAGTTCTGTGAGTAATGGAAAGTTTAAAGAGAGTGATTTAGTTTGCCCTCTATGCAATCATTCAATAAATTTTTTTATTATATAAAATTGCGCTCCTGTTTGTAGTGCAAAAATAAATGAGCTTAGGTATTTAAATAGCATTAATTTAAGAACTTAAAATTTTGATTCTTCTTCTAAGTACGAAAGATTTGTGACATGTCCAGGTAAAGGTTGTCCAGAATCATATTTTATATCTATATTTCTAGAATTTCCAACTTGTAAAACTTGTAAACTGTAGTTTTGTGCAAATGGTTTTACAATAAATAATCCTTTTAGGTTGTGATAAGGTTCATTAAGGTATGACTTGTGAATAATATAAACATAAAACTAGAACAAAATAAGAAAAAGGTTTAGTTGAATGTCCTAAGTGCAAAGTGTAAATTTTCAAGGATGGAGGATGCAATCATATCACTTGCAGATGTAAACATGAATTCTGTTATGTGTGTTCAAAACCTTATAAACCAAAAAGAGAATGCGATTGCCCATAGATGACCACTCTTGAAAGATTTTTTGATAGAATAAAAAATATATATTTTTCAAGATGAATTTTATGTTTTAATCTATGAACTAAATATTAATAATGTAATATGAAAATTTTCAATCTTCAATAATTATTGTTTGATCTGTTTCCTGCTCTTTTCTTGTATCCTCCGCCTGAATTGTCGCTCTCATCCTCCTCTGGTTATTTTCTTCTTCCTCCGTTGTTATTATAACTTCTTCCTCTGCCTCTGTTTGATTAGACATTGGGTCTCTCTGGATCTGCCACCTTTCTGTAAGAATCCCTAACCTAATTGCCTCCTGTGCCTCTTCCATATTCTCTCCCTTCAGAATATCCAATATCCCAATCCACTCTGATTGCTCTCTCATCCAACTTCAAGAGGTCCAAGTATTCATGTGCCTCCTTTGCATCTTCATGATTGAAATATTCAATGAAGCAAAATCCAATAGCCTTTCCTGTTTCCTTATTTCTCCCCATAATTAATCTTCTCACTCCTGCACCCACTCTGTTGAACAACTCAAATATTTATTCCTCAGTTGTGTAGATGGATAAATTTCCCAAATACAATGTAGTCGATATAGAGAGTTTATAAAAATATTCTTCCCTCGTCAAATTTGAACTCTTGTCGTAGTATTGACTGATAGGTTGTTGCAGATTTTCATATAAACTTGCAGCATTCAAATTACTCATTTGATTTAAATTATTGAAGTCAAACCATTTATATGTATAAATATAAATATAAAAATATCACCACCATTTATAACACCCATAAAATTATAAAGGAATATTAATATAAATAAATTAAATCCACTTAATAATTGTTATCATGATGACCAAGCATATGTCTGATCCTATGTGATCGATGTTAAAGGATTCTGAAATTAAACTTTTTTATTAATTAATACAATCTCAATTTATTCTCTTCATAATAATTATTTATTTTTCATTTTATGATCAAATTACAGGAAAGAAATTTCTAAAACTTTATCCTCTCAACATAGTGAAGACAATCTAATACTATAATCCCTCTTAAAAGAGATCTCTTTGTTCAATGTCGTTTCTCAAACATAATATTTAAACAAAGCATCAGAATTACAAATCGGCGTCAATGAGGATCAAACAATTAATTGCGGTAAAAGAACTAAAATTAAAATGAAAGTTAAGAAGTATTGCTTGATGAAATTAAAGATTGGATCTACAGATATGAATATCTCAAATTAAGTAATCAATAAATTTCATATTGTCAAAACTAAGATCAAATATGAATGAATAAAAATTAGAATATTATAAATTAATATATTTTAACATAAGAAAACCAAGCATTAGTAAGAAAATACAGGAATTTAAGGCAATTTTGAAAATTATGGTCTTGTCTGAATCAATATTTGCAGTTTTTTTGGCAAAATTTATTGATATAGTAAGAATGATTTATTTGTAAATCTATTATATTTAAAAAGTTTAAACAATTGGAATTGGATTAAATAATTAGAAAGTAAAGAAAATAATTGAATATTAAAGGCTGAAATTAATAATTAATTTGAATTTGGAATTAATATCCAATACAACAAATCAGTCGTAGTTACTAAAATGAAGGAGGATCACCTAAAGGAGAATAGAATATCAATAAATGTTTAACATCTAAATTTATACTGCAAAATATAGTTGAGAATTAAGTTAAATATTTCTTAAATAATTAAAATTTTAGCTAAAATCATGGAGAAAATTGAAGCTAATTTATCAATAATACATGATTCGATATAAATATTACTCCTCGATGATCCCACATCCTTATGCTCAATTAATAGATTCTCTTTGAAAATTAGAATATTTTTTTCAATAATGGAGAAAACATAAAATAATTATAAAACATTCTCATAATACATTTATTAATTGAATTATATTTATCCAAAAATATTTTGTTAATATGATGCACCTATATAATTATCTTTAATTAAATGGTTGATAAATGAATTTTTCATACAAATTAAATTCATCATTAAGGGGTTTCTTCATAAGTTAAGGAATCTTATTTCATTAAAAAGTAGTCTTACAATTCTTTAGATATGCGATTTTGCTAGACATAATTTTGAACTTCAACATCTCTTCTTATTTATTATGAAGATTGTAATATAAGATCAAGTTGCTTTTCAAATAGTCTTGAAAGCAAATTCATTTTCCCTATAATTGATGATTACCTTAGACAATTTGAATTGAGTTTGGTGCCACATCTACACTTTATTACTGGTTTTCCAGAGTCAATTAATCTTTTTAAGTGTTCTTCTATACAAAGATGATGATAGCAACAATTTTTATTACAATTTAGTTGGACAAATGTTAGAGAAATAAATTAATCACATTATGAACACTTTTTATTCTAATTTTTTAAGGCTTTATCGTCACTTTTCAACTCTTTATTTATTTTATCATCATCCTTCTTAATAACATGTACTAAATCCTTTGGATCTTCGTTCCCTTTTATATTGTCTTTTTCGATGCCTTTTAAATCTTACTCATAACTTTATTAGATTTGGCCAGAATCTTAAACAGTAAGTACTTATGAATTTTTTGGTTCAGGTGTATTATTTTTCTTTGGCTGATTTATTACTTCACGTTTTTAAACCGATTCAATAGTGTGAATATATGAAGCAGGATTGTCTTATTTACATATATTACTTCCCATTTATATTAAATGATTATTTAATATTTATATTAATGTGTCTTTATGTGGATATATCATACATATAAATTAATCAAATTATTATAATTGCACAATTAAATTAATATAAAAATATTTTTACTAATTATTTTATAAATCAATCTCCTCCTGGTGTTGAATAATTACTGAAGTATAAAAACCCTGATGAGCTATTGTAATCTTGATCTACTTGATACTAATTTTGATAATAAAGATCCCATATTTAATCAAAATCTTCAATTTTCCTTAAATTTGGTAATATTTTTGATAATTGTACTGAAAACAAATAGTTCAGCAATTTCAATCTAATTTCACTTTCAGGTATCCTTCTAATAATATTAGTATTTATTTTAGTTCCGCATCTACACTTAATTATAGTGTTTTTTCTATCTAAAATTTGATATTATAACCAATTAATAAAGCAATCTTAATGATATACATGCCCGCAATTAAATTTTAGCAAATCTTATTATAACTCTTTGCCGCAATATAAACAAATACTGACAATAAATAGTTGTTGCTAACTAATGTGTAAAATCCCACTTTGATCTATTACGAATTCAGTAATCCTTTTTTACAGTTTTTATTTTTTTTCTGCATATTGAAAATCATAGTCTTCTTTGGATGTATTTTATTCTATTAACTGTTAAATCTATTAGACATCACAAAGCTTTCTAATATTGGATGACTAAATTAATTTTTATACTTAAAGTGAAAATATTTGATAAAGAATTTTGGATTTAATTTCATCATCTACTATTTATCTTAAGATGTTGGAGTTCAATTTAGTACCACATTTGCACTTAATTATGAATTTTTCCTTTTGTTATAGTTATTTTTCAATATTTTATATAAAACAATGCTAATGAAAAATATGGTCGCAAACTATTTATATAAGGGTATCTTCAATTAATTCATTGCATTCATAACAAACTTTATTTTACTTAAAATCATTTATTTGCCTTGTTAACTTACCGGTTTAATCTATCCTTATCGATTCTAGTAATTGTTATTAGTTTTCATTAATATCACCTTTTTTTGTGATCTTCGATGTTTATCCCTTTTTTTATATTTCATTAAATGAGAACTCCTCATGTTAAGATGTTTATTCTCCATGCGATTAAGTTGATTTAAAACTTAAAGAAGGTTACTAATTTTATTTTTATTCCTTTGAATTAGATTAGAGAATGCATTATTATTCCTTTTTTGGTTTTTATGAGGTAAAACTAGAAAGCAAAGTACCCATTTATTAATAATTTTTGATTAAAATATTAAGAAAAAATACACTAATTTTAATTAATTATATGAATAAAAGATTCCCTATTAAATTATGATTAGATAAAAACAGGATTTTTCAAGACCTAGAAACGAAGTCTTACATCTATTCAATAAGAGAATTGTTATTTACATTCTTAATAAAAATTTAAAACTAAGTATTTTTAGATCTATAATACTCTACTTTCAATTTACTCATCAACCTTATAGTTTTTCTAATATTTTGATTTTAAATTCTCAAAATTTACCATTCTTAATATCTAAAAATTGAAATAATCTTGAATTGATTCATAAAATTTCTCAAGATATCTTCATCAGTTTTATGATGCTTAACAATGAGGGTTTTCTATATTTTAATATCTTTCAATTAAAAGGTAATTGATTAAATTGAAGCTGATGAAATCTTCTATTCGATTAAATTAATACTAATTTTTTTCGAATCTACAATTTCAAATTTCACGGATTATATGATTTTTTAAATAAAATTTTCTAATCCATATTAAATTGCAATAGAACGTTTTTTAAATAGATTGAGTAGGTTGAATAGATTTTCCTTTTAATCACCCATAATTTTAATTTTAATTGATTTGGATATCCAGCTTATTTAATTCTTACATATATTTTTATAAACATTAAATTGATACATGTTCTATTTGGCCACTATCTCTTATAAAATTATCGTTGCCTTGAGACTCTTAGAATTCATATTCATTAATAAAGGTGATTATATTCTTAATGAATAAGTTTAATTAATTATTTTTGAGTTTCAAGTTTATCTTATTCGCCTTTTTCAAGGTATTTGACTTTATTAAATAAGAGTTCTACTCGGATTTCGTGCTTATAATGAAGAATTACTCATAATTTTTTAATTAAAATTATTAATAAATAACAAAGGATGAAATTTAGTTATGGGTAGATATATCAGTTAATTAGAATGAGTAGAATAATAGATAATAAGAATGAAAGAACCTATGTTTGAATTTAAAGAGTAGTTTTTACTATTGCATATTAAATTAGAATAAAGAAATAAGAAGAAAATTAAGAAAATGCATAGAATAAGAATTGATTATTATATTATATAAAATTTAATAAGTTCATATGGGAAATTGTTTAAAAAGAAACCAAACTTAGTTATAATAAAATCAATAATGCCCTAAATGTCTGATGGTTTTTTTAGCATAATCAAGTGCTCTTTAGGTAATTGTTTTAAAGCAAAATAGTACTAATAACATGTTACAAATTGTAGAGTTAGACAAATTTAAAATCCACCTGCTTAATTAAGAAACGTTTAAGTTGGAGATGTGGTAATAGAGCCGAACCATCCTCTGAATCCCAATCCCAATCCTAATCCAAATCCAAGAACTACTGTACTAAGATTATTTTTATCATTTTAAGCCTCATTATATACAGGAAGATTTTTAGAATAGAAAATAAAAATATTATTGGTGCAAAGAATTATTACCAGGGTCCAAGATTAAATATAAATGGAACAAAAAAGTAAGTCAACATTATTTTAACTCAGCTATCTCCTCCAATGCCAGCAGCTAATGTTTCTGAAATGCTGGCCTTGCCTTGGGTTCAAATTAAGAATTCTGAATTCCCTATCAAATAAACTTGGTTTCGATTATAATTAGAAAAAAAAAGAATTCCATGGTAATAAGGAGCAGAAACTTTATCTGTAAACAAAGAGAGTTTCTTAATGACAACACTGAACATGTATAAAGAAATCAACTGGCACAAAGAAGTTAAGGTTCATATTGACGGTGATAAAGTATTGGATGCAGGAGGACTCCTTCGAGAATGGGCTAATTTAATAATGAAGGAGATTATACACCCAGAATCAGGTATGTTTTAAATAGCAGATTGCGATGATGTATCTTATAAAATCAATTGCGAAGCAGATACGGATGAACACATAATAGATTGTTTTAAATTATTAGGAATTGTTGTAGGTAAATGCATATTTGAAAGGATACCTTTGAATATTTATTTTGATAGATCAATAATTAAGCATATAATAGGCTAGCCTATTTTTTTGGAAGACATTTACTATTATGATCGATAAGTATTGACATTTAAAATTTAGTTATATTAATCTTGGGATTTTTTAGTTAATAATAAATTTGAAGCTGATGACTTATCAGAGTATTTCGTTGTTTATAGATAAAGTAAAAGAGATTACTATGAATTGAAGTTGGGAGGATAAAACATTCAGTTGGATATGGATAATTGTCAAGAATACGTTAATCTGTGGTAGATATATAAGTTAACTTAGCATTGAATATTATACATATCTATCAGTGAAGCCGTTTTTGACTGCTTTCTTATCAACTTTATATAGTGTATTCAATTAGTGTTTAATGATTAGATAATTCCTAAATAACTTCTTAGCTTACTTGAACCTTTAGAATTAGAAATGATCCTCTATGGAACGCCTTTTATTGATATTAATGATTGGAGAGATAATACTGATTATAAAGGTGCTTATTACAGGACTCATTAAACGATTTAATGGTTTTGGGAAATTTTGGAATAATTAGATTAATTTAATCTTGCCAAATTTTTATAATTTTGTACTGGATCAACTCGAACACCCGTAGAGGGATTCAGAAAACTAGAAAGCAACAGAGGAAACTGTTCTAAATTTTGTGTCGAAAGTGTACCCTTCACTAAGGCTAGTCCTTACCCAAAAGCACATACTTGTTTTAATAGATTGGAATTACCAATGTATGAAACTAGAGAAGATATCGAATAGCATTTGAAAGCAGTAATACAGGCTGATTTGGATGGATAATTTGGAATGGAATGATATTTTAATTCAATATTATATAATTAATAATTTAGAATATGCAAAGTTATATACCTGAGGATCCATAAATAAATAATAATGAATAACCAAAGAAAATTAAAAAAAAAAACAAATATGATTATCACAGAAAAAAGAAAAGAAGTTTTGATGCTTCTAATACTAAAAAACCAACTTAAAAATTCGCACTAGAGGAGGATAAGCTTATTCTACAGTTAGTTCTAAATGTCGGTCCTAAGTTTTAAAAAATTCATAAACACTTTCCAGGAAAAACTCTGGCCATGGTAAAGAATAGATATTACAAATATCTTCGGTATAGATGGGAGATCTTGGGATAGTATTTTGTTTAAAATATTTTTAGAAACTATAAACATCTAAGCATTCCACAAGATTCATATGAAAATTTGTGTGAATAATAAAAAATTATAAGTGATCAACTTGAGGAGGAAAAGAGCGACTTAATAGCGTAAATTATCTCCCATACAAAACTACTTTCAAATGCTCGAATGTTTGTTGAATATCTAATTGAACAATTATTATGAATTCATTCTATTCCTTAACATATCATCATAAGATTTATACTAGATTATTATTCTATTGCTTATCTTAAAATATACTAAAAATCTTGAAAAACTCCAATTTAACATACATTTTAACCATAAACAAATTACATATTCCACTGTTTTTCAGTTATAGCAATATGCTATTATTTAGTAATTTAATACCTGGAATCAGAGTTATTTGTTACAAATTTCAAATATTATAAAATGCATATTATTATACATAAAAAATCAATATAATATAATATAACATAAATTCATTAAATATTAATATACAACTAATAATATTATTATGATTAAATTTTATGGTTTTAAATAATAGAGTTCAAACATTTATATTATTGAATTTAAGGAAGTTGAAATTGATTTAAGCATATATCTAACATAGATTGAATCAAATTTGAACAACGCATAAATTAAATCTCTATTTTTTAGTAAATAATGTCCTTAATTGAATTTTTGTAAATTTAATAATGCAATTTACTCCAAAAGTATCTGAATTCGACTTTGAGAGACCTTCAATAAAAGTTTACAAACTAAGTTAGCAACTAGTCTTCAATAGAGCAGTATCTGAATAAAAAATAAGAAGATCTAGAGCTATTTCAGATATAGTAGGTTAAGCTTCAAAATAAATTGATTTTAAGGAGGAAATAAAAAGGCTAGAGCAAATTGAAAAGCCTTAAGAACTAAAAAGAGAGATATTTAGATAAATTAAACAAACTTGCAGGGAATTTAGAAATGTAGAAAGAGAAAGAGATGGGTCATTGTGGGTAAAATCATTTTGTACTAATGAAAAAATTAAACTAAGCAAATTGTTCTAAGGAACTTAAAATATATAAACAATAGATTACAAAAAATTTCATTCAAGAAGAAACAGCAAAGTACAAATAATTGCCAAAAAGAAGGNAAAATTAAAAAAAAAAACAAATATGATTATCACAGAAAAAAGAAAAGAAGTTTTGATGCTTCTAATACTAAAAAACCAACTTAAAAATTCGCACTAGAGGAGGATAAGCTTATTCTACAGTTAGTTCTAAATGTCGGTCCTAAGTTTTAAAAAATTCATAAACACTTTCCAGGAAAAACTCTGGCCATGGTAAAGAATAGATATTACAAATATCTTCGGTATAGATGGGAGATCTTGGGATAGTATTTTGTTTAAAATATTTTTAGAAACTATAAACATCTAAGCATTCCACAAGATTCATATGAAAATTTGTGTGAATAATAAAAAATTATAAGTGATCAACTTGAGGAGGAAAAGAGCGACTTAATAGCGTAAATTATCTCCCATACAAAACTACTTTCAAATGCTCGAATGTTTGTTGAATATCTAATTGAACAATTATTATGAATTCATTCTATTCCTTAACATATCATCATAAGATTTATACTAGATTATTATTCTATTGCTTATCTTAAAATATACTAAAAATCTTGAAAAACTCCAATTTAACATACATTTTAACCATAAACAAATTACATATTCCACTGTTTTTCAGTTATAGCAATATGCTATTATTTAGTAATTTAATACCTGGAATCAGAGTTATTTGTTACAAATTTCAAATATTATAAAATGCATATTATTATACATAAAAAATCAATATAATATAATATAACATAAATTCATTAAATATTAATATACAACTAATAATATTATTATGATTAAATTTTATGGTTTTAAATAATAGAGTTCAAACATTTATATTATTGAATTTAAGGAAGTTGAAATTGATTTAAGCATATATCTAACATAGATTGAATCAAATTTGAACAACGCATAAATTAAATCTCTATTTTTTAGTAAATAATGTCCTTAATTGAATTTTTGTAAATTTAATAATGCAATTTACTCCAAAAGTATCTGAATTCGACTTTGAGAGACCTTCAATAAAAGTTTACAAACTAAGTTAGCAACTAGTCTTCAATAGAGCAGTATCTGAATAAAAAATAAGAAGATCTAGAGCTATTTCAGATATAGTAGGTTAAGCTTCAAAATAAATTGATTTTAAGGAGGAAATAAAAAGGCTAGAGCAAATTGAAAAGCCTTAAGAACTAAAAAGAGAGATATTTAGATAAATTAAACAAACTTGCAGGGAATTTAGAAATGTAGAAAGAGAAAGAGATGGGTCATTGTGGGTAAAATCATTTTGTACTAATGAAAAAATTAAACTAAGCAAATTGTTCTAAGGAACTTAAAATATATAAACAATAGATTACAAAAAATTTCATTCAAGAAGAAACAGCAAAGTACAAATAATTGCCAAAAAGAAGGAAGTCGAAGTTCCAAAATCCTCTTAGTTATTACAAAGTGCTTAATAGTAACAAAGTAAACCTAGACCTTCACAATTAAAATTAAGACTAAAAAGCAAAAATTTGTCTAAAGAAATTATTTAAGAAAAGGAAATCTTTACAGAAAGAGAGTGTTAAGCTAATTTAGTAACTCATTAAGTAGATGTTGATACAAAGAAACCTAATAAAGAAATAGATGGTCAAAATATGGAGGTTTTTGATGAGATGCTTCAATTTTATAATCAAGACAGAATAGTTAAAATAACTTAGGATATTATGCGTAAAAAAATAGATTATAAAAAAATATTACATGAGTTAAAAAAAAAACTCTAATAGATTAGTAGATTAAATCTGGATATTTATTAGGCATTTAGTGATCAAGTGATTAGTTAAAAACCATTCTAAAAAGAGCGTTCCTATGAATTTATTTAAGCAGCAAAGCAAGGGAAAGAATTGGAAATCAAAGAGTTTATAAAAGATAACAAATATTTGGTTTATGATTTTGATTATGTAAGTGTGATTGAAAACACTTATAGATTTACATGACGGCTTTACATTGGGCTTGTAAAAGAGGACACTTTGAAATTGTTAAACTATTAGTTGAAAATGGGGCAGATATTGAATTTCAAGATATCATAGGAAGACCAACCCTCTATTTTGCAATAATTGGTGGAAATGCTAAAATTGTGAAATATATCTTAGATAAGAAGGCTGATCCTTGGTCAACCACTGCAGTAAATTATAATTAGTTGTGTTTGGAAAGCAATCCATCTTTTCAGTAATTAATTTCACAAGCAAGAAAGGCTCATCTAACCTTAAAAATGAATCCTCCATCACAAAGGGAAAATATATGGAGAATATTACGTAGATGAATAAATCATTCTATTTAATCCTTTATCAATTATTTCTAAATTCTTAATATTTTCTTTGAATAAAATATATATATATATAATAGTTATAAGATTAATTTTATCTTTCAAATGTAATTTTGCTCTACAACAATCAATACTTATTAAAGCAATAAATTTTAAGAATAAAAATTATTTGCTGATAGTCTTCATTGATGATAGTGGAATACAATTATGCAGGATGCTAATTACAAGTTTATTTATATAATTATTTTATTAAAATATGTATTAATTATGGAGATTCATCAAGAGGGGTGTAGTGAGCTAACCCCACATGGTTGGAGGAGTAATCATTGGATATTTTGGAATAGGAATTATTAGCTATTACAATAGCGATATATAATTCAATTATGTGAGAATAATAATAATATCCTCAATAGGGAGAATATAATGAACCTCATTCGCACAATCATGGAGAGCAAGTTAGATAGTATTGTGAATCAACTTTGTTGAAGATTAGATCACAGGTAAATGAACTCAGAGAGTAATATTGAAATAATCTGAATGATAATTATATAATATATACAATCATAAAAATATCATGTTTTAACATTGGGTGCATGCTAATTATGGTTTCATTTTTTAGATTATTTGTAATATCCCACATTTATTGCACAATTTACAAATAATTTGTGAAAATTTCCTAGTCATTTGGCATTAGTGTTATTTTTAACAAAATTCAAGGCAATTATAACAGAAACATTTATTACAATTATTGCAAAAATTTATTTTGCTTTCGATATTTTCATTCAAACGAAAAAAATAATTACAATCGTGCATGGGGCAAGTAGTGAATTGTCCCATTAGTTTTAATGCTTGATGGTTGAGATTAATACTTATTAATTTACTTTAATCGGCAAATTTGCAATCTTAAATTCTTACTTTGCCATAGCATAATCTATTAGTATTAGAAAGTCGTCCAACACAATTTCCAGTGACGAATCCCATTTCTATTTGTTGTTTTACTTTTTTTTAAAGACATTTTTCATGATAAAAATGATGACAATTAGTTTCAATTTCTTCTGATGTTTCAATTATTTCGAGATTACAAACACTGCACGTATTTAGAATTTTGAGTATTGATAAAGATTGCTAAATATAACCAATAAATACGCTAACTGAATGTTTGGTTCGATGTGATTTGGATTCCATTGTTTACTAGCTTTCTTTTAATGTATTAAAGTTTTCAAGAATAAACTTGATCATCGCATCTTATAGTTCAATTTTTTAATATATTTTTTATTAAAGTTTATGTAATTTTGCATCTACAAATTCTTCTATTTATTTGATTACATTATCTATTAATAGGTCCATAATTAATATATTTGTTAATAAATAATTATTATCTGTTTAATAATTAAGTTCTAAAAGATAAATATCAATATATTTGTTTGAATCGACCTAAATATATTATGCACATGTTTTGCTTATGATTAATCTTTTACATTGTGTCAACATTTTAATCTTTTCTTCTCAAATATTTGATTTTCCCTTTATTTAAACCTTGTTAATATATTCTTAGACCCCTTTAGTAAAATAAAATATTAAATGAGTTGAGTATATATTGGAAGGAACATTAAGGTCTTACATAATTTAAATATATTTAGATAATTATAAATTTTCATAAGGAATCATTTTAAGTAACTCTTTAACTATTCCAGAAAATTATTCTAAAATTTATATGTATTTTAATTTTTGAAACACTTTAATCTTATAAATTTCCACCAAATACTTTATAACTTCATAATAATTCAATCATTAGTTTTTTGAACTATTCCTAACCTATCTTAAATTCATGAAATTATATTTACCCTTTTACTATTACAGAATCTGACCATGCCATTTTCTATTTTCTCTTCGATGCAATTTTTTAAGATACTAAAACTTAATGTTACTATAAACCCTCTTTTGGATATTTCTTTGAAAGTTGCCTCTAAATTAAAATCTGTTATTAATGATTTTTTATCTTGAGAATGAAGTATAAATTCATCGAGATCAATTTCTCCACTTCCATCACAATTAAATTATTATAAAATTGGTTTTTTACAAGTATTAAAAAGATTAATCAAAGTTTAGTAAGATACTCATATAGATAATAGCTTTCTCAACTTAGATTCTTTCTGAATACAGAATTCTTAAATAATAATAATCTTCCTGTTGTGATTTGGAAAAGTTATAAAAAAAAGAATTTTAAATTCTTCTAATTTTTACGATTATAATAGAGATATTTGAGTAATTTAAAAATATTTATAGTAAAAAAAAAAATGATTTCGTTTGTTTAAATTTAAAACGAGCTTAGCTTCCGGAATAGGAGCCTCGCCCGCAACCTATTAAATAGGTTTAAACTTGGATAGGTATGTTCTACTTGAATCTGGAATGATTGAGTAATTTAATTTATTTATTTTCTTTTAATATTTAATAATTAATTTAATTATTATGGGTTTCATTAGAATTGTAAGGAATTTATTAATCAATTTAATCATTAATATTTCAAATAACGATCACAACACTACTTTAATATTTTATTCTTGATTCAGACATTAATTTCTTAGATGATCATTATATGAATCGACAAAACTCATAATGTATAATATTGAATAATGAATAAAGTTCCAGCTTAGTAATTATATATTATCAATAATTATATCTCATATTATTTAATACATTATTAAGAATGCCACAATATTTCTACTTAAAACTATAGTACCAATTGGGGTAAAATTAACTTTCTAATAAATCAAAAGGATAAGTATTCATCCTCTAGAAAAAAGAGAGATACTCTAATTTTTAGGATTTTAAATAAAACAATTACTTTAAGAGCAAAGAATAATATTAAATATTTTTTTATCCAAAATTTAAAGATATCAAATATTCTAAGTTACCTAATATTTATTGTTGAGCACATAATTTAAAATAATCAATAAAGTGTAATAAAAGCAATTATTTTTCATTAAATTTGGAAATATAAATAATAATTGCTCTTAAAATCAATTAATTAATAACAAAATTAAGAATCTTAAAATGAAATAAAATTAAAGTCTGTATTATTTTTGGACAAATTTTAATAAATTCCAATTTACAATTATAGTTGATTATTAAACAATAGTAATATAATACAACTTCTGAACCTTCTTCTAAATATATAAATAAAATGCTTAGATTGAATAGAATGTAGTGAATTTTATAACATTATTATTTTAATGTAAATAAATTCAAATAATTTTCCTTTCTTATTGTTTATTCTGGCTTTGAGTTGAGACTTTCATAAAAATTACTGCTAGTGCTGTATTCATAATAGATAAATATAATTATTAATATTTAAAGATATATTTAAAGCACTTTTAATGGATTCGCACCCAGCTCATTTGAGAAATTAAAAAAAGTAGATCACTTTGATTTTCAAATCAAGTTAAAATCTAAATTAATTGTATATATGAATTTCGAGTTTATAGATCACAAAAATTAGTTTAGACGAGTCATTCAGAAATAAATGTGCAAACAGGTCCACGACTAAATCCAAATAAAATTGAAAGCAGATCTGGGGATACAGGAGATCTCCTTGAAAGTGTAAATTTTCTACAAAGCAGTGAAAGTCTTGGGTCGAGTTTATTTCCTTAGTAGTTTACTTAAAGTGGTTCTCTTCTGAATTAATATTGCCCGCATGTTCCTCTTACACAAGAGATAGAAAATTGCTTATTTGAATAAATAAAGTCAGCTTCGACATGTTAATTTTCGAATATTTGCAAAATGAATTGCAAGATGAAATTTAATCCCGCATATACTAATGTTTAATAAATATTGTTATATTAACTCCATGAAAATTAGATTGCTGAATTAAAAAACATAATAATGAAAAATCAAGAAAAGAAGATCAAGGTTTGTGATGGGCAAGGATGCGAATTCTATTTTATTTTGAATGATTAATCACCGAAAGGAAATTATTACTGTCCTCTTTGCTTAGAAAGTTTTGAGTTAAAAATATGAATATTTTTAAAAATAATATTTATTCTAATATTCAATCTTAATGATTCTATTCACATGATCAGAACAAAATAAATTGATTATCTTTCATTTTTATTAGCAAGATGAGGAGAGTGTGTAAACTATATTGAGAGAATCGTGTTGCCGAGGAGATAATTAAAAATTGAAGATATTAATAATACTTAAATAATATAATAGCATTATCAGTATTAATTAAATTTAATCTTTAAGAATTCTAAAGTTGAATAAAATTGAATAGTGTATTATTTTTGTTAGAGAACATAAAGTTTATCAAAAAGTTGTATTTTTTATAGTTTTTAATAATAACTTATTAATAATGAACAGTTGCTCTCCCGTCTTAAGTTAATCCAAAGTAACTACTACATCTGGATTCTTAAAAAATTTATTAGATTACAAAGCTTCTCTAAACTCAAATGGATCGAGCAAAAAATAATCAATTTCTAGTTTTTAGAGAGACATTTCTCATCTTGCCGATTCATTCAGACATAAGACCTTGTAATAACAAATTAAGGAAAAGCAACAAATAGCAGAAATGCGATTAAATGAATACATTCTAAAGTAAAAGGAGAGAAAACAGAATCAGGAGTACATGATGCAAAATCAAAGGTATCACTATAAAACACAAAATCTCGAAAACACTTTCGATGACGTGCTTTAAATTTTAGAGAAATATTCTGACTTCAATTTAAATTGGGTAGCATAAGACTTGTAGGAAGTAAGTGGAAATAGGAAAAATGTAATGTTAAATTTAAAATCAACAATAGTGAATGGTATAGAAAAGGGGTATTTTGAGGATATTTCAAGTACTCAGAACACCGAAAGGAAATTATCAATAAAGAAAAAAATAAGTACTTATCTGAATAATATTTGGGATAGTTAAGGACATGAAACACACAAGCACACATTTCTTTTCGAACGAGCCTACTGGGAGAAATGATGCTATAAATCTAAAAAGATGGCTTTAAAATCAATTGGAGAATATCTCCTAAAATCCAAGTGTGGATCATAAATCTAAATTGCAATAAGCAAGTGATGTCCTATTTTTATGCTTGAATGAATTGATTAGATAGGTTTCATTTTAATGTACGGAGAGAGGATAATTGATGCTCGCCATTTTTAAAGGGTATATAACAGTATTTAGAAAAACGATTAATATGTCAGAGTCCGATAAGTAACAAATGCAAATAATGGGTTACAAAAATTAATTGGAACAATAAGTAGAATTCGAATAGCAATAAGATGAATTGAATGAAAAGATACTTGATCTCAAGAAGGTCATTCAAAAATTAGAGAATCAATTGAAAACACAAAAGGAAGATGAACAAAATTTGATGTCCATAGTTTAAAAACTGACAAAATAGAATGAACTCGACAAAACTATGAAAAAGAGTGCTGCTACATTGATATCAAACTTAAATAGAGAAATTAAAGAATTAAGAAACAAAATATAGAAGATCTAATATATTAAATAATCCGGTCATTAGGTAATTAAAGTGGAAGAAGAAGAGGATGAATAAGATTTGTCATTATCTTAAGTATTGAAAGAAGTTGAGTAAAAAACATCCGTTGAATAAAATCCTGATATAGTTGTAAAAGACATAGTTGATGAACCACCAAAGATTACTTTCTCTGTTAATTGCCAAACTGAAATCTCTGTTCGTACTTATGACACTTAAACAGATCTAAATTTGATAGGTCTATAATATGATAAAATTATTAATCAATAAGAATTGGATTAGCACTTCAAAGAGTTCCAACTTAAAGAGCAAATGGGCTACTTTCTTTCAGATGATCAATAATAGTCAATGAGCAATAGTAAGAATAGTTAATGTTAACCGTAAATACAACAGTCGAAGGACCAGAGAGCAAGTTTAATAAGAATATTAGATGGATTACCTGGTAGCATGGATAATATCAAGAATATGAAGAAGGAAGATATGTTCGATTTGTTTGTTAATAACATGAAAACCTTGAGGGAATTATTCGATAAAGAAGAACCATAAGAAAAACAAGTGTAGAGTGATTCGGAACAATCAATGTTTGTAGAACCTCCAGAAGTAAATAGCGATGAGAAGAGATCTATTAATAAGGATTCTAAAAATAATATTAGATTGATTGCTGAAGTTGCAGAAATGGATGAAGCTTCTCCCATGCCCAATGGATAAAAAAGGATAAATTTTAGTTTAAAGAAATTATCATTTGAAAAAATTGAACAACAGAATGTAAAAAATAATACAAACTCTTAAAAATAAAGTCAGAAATCTAATAAAAGACAACTAGAAAAGATGTTTAGTTCAGATAAGTTGGCACTACCAACTGTAAAAGAATTTTAACCTAATGAACTTACCCAAACATAGATGCTTACTAATTCAAATAGTCATCTTAACACAATCAATTCAAACTAGTCTGTCATTCAGAGTAGTACAAACTTATAAGCTAATACAATAGCTAATAAATTCGGATTAACTAGACAGGAGCAAATTCAATTGAAAACTTAAGTAGCAATGTTGATTATGTTGTATAACTTATAAATTCAGAAGTAATAAAACTTAACTCGATCTATGAATGATTTGGCAGGATTATTAAATTAATTGTTTTCATTTACTAGAAAGTTGATGATTCACATCCTAAGAACACAATAATAGTCTCACAAATAAATAGTTGAATAATTTTTAGTAGAATTCGATTCTTTGCGTAAAAGAATGCCTATTGAATTAGATGCAGAGATATAAGAAGAGGAGTATCTTATAACTGAATTTGATGAAGAGGAGGAGAAGGAGAAGAAAAAGCAAATACTTTTTAAGAAAAAAAAAAATAGAATTACAAAAGCTTTGCAATTTAACTTTTAATAGAAACAAAATAAAGTAAATTAGATAGACAGATTGATGCATCCAGGAGTAATATTGGCAGTTAAAGCAAGAGAATAATCATATTTGTTTAAGAAAGTAGTAAATTATTGGCCATTAAAAAATGTATTGAGAACAATTACTTAATTATATGATGAAAAAATTAGAAGCAGCAAAGACAATGAATCATAGAAGGATCTCGAAATGCAAATCTTTGTGTTTAATAATTTCTTAAATAGATATGGATTTAAGAACGTAGCTGAAAAGAAGTATTTGTAATTCTTACTTTCAGTTATTCATTTCTCCTCTATTTTTAGAGTCAATGTATTTGCAAGGATGATTGCAATATTGCAAGATGAACACTTAAATTTTTCAATTGAAGAATCGTCCTTCTTTTTATAAGGGTATGATTTCATGTGTTCTGAATCATCTTTGGGAGTCAATGTGGTTCAAAGTGAAAGTGAACAAAAGTTTCACGTTCCCTACTTAAGAGCTTTGGATTATATGAAAGTCTTTTTAGAAAACAAAATGATGGAAGATGAACTTAGAGATTTGAAAAATGATTTAGAAAATTTAAAGGAACCAGACCCTAAGAATTTAAACAAATAAGGTTTAATTGATGTTGATAATTTCCTTGTTAAAGTAATGAATAAATATAGAATCATTACTACCAGAACAAAAGAGTTTGTTATTCATGCATTTTAAGCAGCAGATTTGGATGGAAACAAAAAAATTAATAATAATGAATTTATTACTTTATTTAGACATATAGAACATCAAAAATTTAATTTCAAAGATGCTATGAATTTGTTTTATGAGTAAGCTGACATAGTCTAAGGAGAAGAACGAAGTTTATCATTTAATCGGTTTACTTCCCTTTGTGTGAGTCAATAGATCTTTACTTTCTAAGCTCTCAATCATTTTATCAATGTAAGGACAAATGATGATGTAGAGAAGCAATTTTTATTGGTGAGATAGGAATGGCCAAATTACAAAACGGAGATTGAAGGCACTTTAAAAGAATTATAACCATATGTGACTCCAGAAATCTTTTAAGAGTGGAATACTATTCTGAAAACTCTCGAGTAAAGAATAATGAGTCAAGCAAATTAATAATCGAGCATTAAACCAATTTTAATAGCTCATAGAATTTTGAAGTTAGAATTGCAAAGATTGTTACATGTTGGACATTAAGAAGATGATATTGATGAAAACGCAATCATTTAATGAACACAGTTATATTAATATTAAAAAACGCTTCTTTATATAAATTTAAATCATACAGGACTTATTTGGATATCTTGTTTAAGTTTTCTTATGTCTCCAGAGAACATATAATCTTATAATTGTCTATGATATTATATAAACTATCTATCTAGTAATTCATATTATGCTCTTTGACCAAAAATAGATTGCACCTATATGATATGGAGATCAAAATTACTTGGAGTGGCCCAAACAGTAATAATGCTTTTGTTAATAATCTTGCCCATCTTTTCTCGATTCTATTAAGAAAGGGAATCTTTTTATAGAGAATAACTGATAAAGCAGATGCTGCAAATACACCTCCTCCCAAATAGACATAATATTTATACAATTCCTGTTATTCTTTTTGCTCATTCTGTGTAAATAAAACCATTTATTTTTAATGCCTTGTGGGATTGAATAATTAATCCGTAAACTCCTGTAAACTCACTTATTTGATATGTTTGTATATATAATCATTCCCATAGAAATCTCTTTGCTGCATCATAGATTAAATTTAATTATTTTAATTGAAATATAAATTACAAAATAAGATAAAGGTCCGCTGGTGAAATTCTATATATGTTTACTCTTGGCTTACCCTTTGATTTGTTATCCAGCATTAGTTAATTATATATTTTATGTCTTATTGAGAATGCAATAAAAGAAGGGCATAATGCAGGTCTTCAAAAATACAGGAGGGAGGTTATTTAGCATTGGGATATCCGGTTTAATTGATGATTTATATAATTTTACCAAAAATTAATTATAAAATGGGAAATGAATTTTGCCTATCCAAAAGATCTCCAAAACGGACAATTTTGAATGACGATGAGAGACAACAAGTTAAAAGGTTGTACAAGAAGCTCATTTCTAGACATGATGAGTAAGTTATTAATTTGATTATTGAACTTACAAGAATGATTATTTGAATGAAGAATGTTTTCAATATCTCCTGAAAAATAGACCAACCATTGCTTTGAAATTATTTAAATACATGATCTTTCATCACTCTGATGAACGACCATCATTTGAGGCTTTTGAGGATTTGGGTGAGAAATTAATCTATTCTTCATAGTTGGCAAATTGACGAAACCAGAAACACTGAATAGAATGACTAGAACAGAATAATATTCAATAATTTCGATTCAAAAGATAAACATGGCTAAAATAGATTATGATTAGGAAAAAATCTCATATTTAGATGCATTTGATTTGTTAAGTGAAATCGAATACTTCATATGGGAATAAGGATATTTTGTCACAGATTATTTAATCTAAGATGAATACACTACAAGATCTATCCTCAGTAGATTGTTTACATCTTCTGCTGGTTCTATAATGTTCTATGAACTTACAATATTTTTAGAACAAAACTTTCCTTGTTTGTCAATATTATTAACAAAATATTTCAATTAATTATTTATTTCATAGAGAAATTATAATTAATTATCAAAATTTCAAAAACCCTCCTATTTAGTTAATAATTCTACTTTTGGATATATGGCCATTAGTAGTTCTGTAATTTAAGAAGCAGATTCATTTGAATTGTTATGGACAAGTGTAAGGGGATGGAATTTTGATTAATTTTATTCTGCTCTCATTGGATTTAAGGGAGCAACACTTATTTTAATTAAATTCGATGATAGCACTGAAAATGATAGTGATGAAGAGGAGAATGCAAAACAAAAAAAAATAAAGCCTAAGAGTAATAAACATTGCATTGTGGCAGCCTTAAATTCAACATAATGGATAGAAACCAACTCATACTAAGGAACTAGTCAATCAATACTATTTCAATTGTATCCCACTTACAATCCTTTTAATGTTGCCACCGATGTTTTTAAATCCAAAAGACCTGGATCTTAAAATTACTGCTATCTAAATAAGACAGACAATAAGAAAGGACTAGGCTTCGGAGGAGATATGAAATAATTTAGATTATGGATCTCAGCCTAAAATATGTAATAATCCAGTTATGCAGCAAAGCAAGGAGAACCATATATCAAAGGTATTTAATTGTACTAAATCTATTTTAGGGGATTTGATTGATCCTTTAATATAGACACCTACAATCACATACATAGAAGCATGGGGTGTAGGCAATTAAAATTTGGAATGTGAGAGCAGCAGCGAAGAAGAAATCAAGTGTTACAGGGAATCTACAAATGATTTATTATTAAAATATCAATCATGATCTATAAAGCCATCATAAATATTAATATTGAAAAACTTATATTATTTATTATATTTTGAATTTAGAACAATTATTATAGAAGAACTATTTCCAAATTTATGATTTTTATGTTGAAGTACTTGTAATATTGATAATTTTCCCAAAGTTGAATTTAATCAAATTTAATTAATATTATATTGTTTCAGATTGTAATGAATAAATGGAGAATGAAATAATAATTTGATTTTATAAAATATCTTGATAATTAATTATAGGGATTCTGATTAATTAAATACAAATCGTGGAACTGATTCATTAAGGTAAATTTCTAATCAACGTTGACTTGTATATTGAATGGAATATCAAGGAAATCTCTATTAATAGGAAAGAAGATAAGAACTTGAAATAATAGTTGAATACAATAAATTCCTTAAAATCAGTGAGAGGTAACTTCTCTTTAAGAACTTTAGCAAAGATTTGAATAAGAAATCCAAAATTTATTCCATTTAAGAATCGAGAAATTAATAGGAATTCACTTATTCTGATTACTTAACAAGAACACTAATTCAAAAATGGGAGTTGAGTCCTGAGCTTATGTGTGTGTTTCTGATTATTTCAATAAAACTACAAGAAAGGGTGAATAAATAGTTCACCTAAATCTGGTTTACACTTTATACCATTTTTGAGGAACACACTGGAAACGGACATTATTGAAAATTTATGAATGAAGGAGATGTAAAATTTTGATTATGAGAGTTAGGAATCAGATTTGATTGTTAGTTTAAAGGGATTGGTTTTATAAGTATTATTTATTATCAGTTATTACAAATCATTTTTAATACTTTAAAAAATTTATTTTGGATCAGATATTAAAAAAGTCTAATTATTATAAATTAAAAATGGAAACAAAGTCTGAATATGGTCTATCGAAAGAGGGACAGAGTTCTTTGGGTAAAGTTGTTGTTGAATTAAAAAACGTTCTATTTTCAGTGACAAGGTAAATGCTTATTGATGATGATCCATCGTTGCTTTTAAGCATTGCCTCACTTTTAATTCAGTTGCTTTAGATGACTTACATCTGTTTTAATAGAAATCTTTATAAGGCTTGGAAGCATGATTAAATTGCAGAGTATGTTAGCGAAATAACTGGCTATGTCCTACTATCACCACAATATGATAAGATGTCATATTCAACAATGGTGATATTGACATATTTGTTTGTGGGTATAATTGCTTTGGAAATTTTACTGTATTTGGTACTAAGCAATAGGACGGAGAAACTGAGCAAAACTCTACCTATGGCGATGTTAAAGTCAATAATAAATTTGATGCTTTCAATTTTATATATGCCAATTGTAGATTTGTTTATTTCAGTATGGACATGTCAAGACTCTTATCACTTCTCATTTACGAATTATGAATGCTGGGCAGGCAGTCATACAGTTCATTCGATAGTAGCGATAATCTTTTTGATAATATTCTACATTTTGAGTGCTGTTCATTCATTTCTCTATTATGAGGCTCGCTTTGTATACAACAACCCTTTATCCAAATAGAATGGATTTGATGATTTTGTTCTAAAAACTTATATTCTGATTTAGGTATTGAATTACTCATTTATCGATTCACAATATGTTCAGGTGATTCTTATAGCATTTGGAAACATAACTCTCTACATATATAATTATCATTACAATACGCATAACAACTTGATTATTTACAAACTGTGGTAAATGATAATTGCAATAAATAACTGGACTTGTATTATGTTAGCCTTCAGTAAGATCTTGGAGGATGTGATATTTAGAGGTACCATCTATGCATGGCTTTTGGGAATACCTCTATTGGTAATAATTGTAATATAAAACCCTGAAGAGAGAATCGATTTATTGCTATTGGATAATATGAAAGGGACAATAAACCAGATCTTATTGTAACAACATCATTTGTTGCGATTGCATAATTGGAACACTCAGTTATTCAATATCATTTTGGATGGATATTTAAAAACTCATAATTAAACCTGTATTAGACCTGACTGCGGTAAAGAGTTAATCAAGATCATCTAATAAAATTATTTGGATGCAAGCAAGAGATTTCCATATGACTATTAGTTGAAGATCAGATATGGATTCTTTCTACTCCATATTGGTTAAAGGCAGTATGCTTTGTAGGAATTCAATTAGGCTCAGAATTAGAATCCTACTATGGATTATGAGTTTGTGCTGTTTAGATACAAGAAAATTATTGAGGATGAAATGAACGATTAGAATGTTGAATAGATTGATACTCATAATGAGGCCATTTACTTAAATATTATTAAGAATTTTTAAAGCAAAATCGAAAGGGTTACTTTAATAAATATGGATTTCTGGTCTCAGTTGCAAGAGGATTACCCAGATTTAGGGAAATTGAATTAGATAGGTTTGAATATTCATAATCTAATGAATGAGATTGAAATGACTTGGAATCGATTACAAAAGACAAAATAAAACACTTAGAAGAGTTTAAAAATGTATAGTAAATTTATGATCGATGTTGTGTAAGATCAAGATTATGGTGAGTTGTTGTATGAGAAATCTAGAATCATGGATGCCTCTTATGTGAGGAAAGGCATATAGATGGCAAGTAAGGAGGAAATCAGTATGGAAAGTCTGCCAACAATAATAATTTCATTAGCTCCTGATAAGTTTGGTTAGATCATAAATCTAAATACTGCATGCCATGTATTTGGTTATATGAAGAATGAATTAATTAATAGGAAATTGAATGTCTTGATTCCCAATATCTTTTAAAAAGCCCATGATTAATTGATGAAACTGGGATTTGATTAAAAATTGAGTAAAGAGAGATCGATTTATGTCAAAAACAAATAGAATTATCTCATTCCTTGCATCATAGAGATGAAGGCCTTAACATCCTTAGATTAATCAGTTATGATAATAGCATAATTTAAGTTATTCAAACCATATAAGCAAACTTGTTACATCTTATTTGATAGTGATGACATTATAGACTCGATCTCATTTAATTGTATCAGTTTACTTGGTTTGGATTTGCGTTTGATTTAGAACAAGAAATTATTGGTGAGTGAAATATTTCCTCAATTGGAAGACAAGAGCGAATTTCTAATTAAGGGAGGTGGAATTATTTAATACAAGATTCCTGAGGATATTGCAAGTGGTTTGATTCAATCTAATGATTACATAGATGAGAAGTCCAAGTTCCCTTAGGAATTCATTTGCACTTTGAATTCAGTGACACTAAATAATTTGCAATTAGGGTATATGATGAAATTAGAGTAAAAAGAGAGTGAAAATCGGTTGATGCCATTAAAGAAACAAAAGTCTAATTTCTAATTTAAATATAATGTAGGTAAGAAGATCTTTTTGGGGGAATTCTCAACCGATCAAGTCTCAGCCATACCTGATTTATCTTCAATACATGATTAAACTGTTGATGTCAGTGCCATGTCGGTAAAAAATCAATCAATTACATAAGTGAAATCATCAGAGGATCAAAAATTTGATTATGGAGAGGGAATTAAAACATTACAACTCTTTTAAAATCGTATTCAGGAAATTGATAAAGAGGAAATTATAGAAGAATTTGACGAAGAACACTAACAAAGTGTTTTTCAAAATAACATAGAATCACAGTAAGAAAATGAAAGTAGTATCAACAATAACATATTTAAATCAAGAGCATCGCTGTAAGAATAAATAAAAAATTAAGGCAGAATTTCTATTATTTCTAAAATGATTTGGTTTACTAACATTTTATATTTAATAATGACAGCTTTGGCATTTTTTGAATTTTTCTATTTAAATCAACAATACAATGAAATTGAAGAAAACATCAATTTGATTGGTAAAGAAAATCAAATGCATGCTGGATTATAAACTATATTGGCAAATGTTTAAAATTTGAAGATGCTGAACTTAGGTGTCTGGTAGAATGTCGATAAATCTTCATATGAAACAACTTAAAAGGAGGAACTAATTAAGCAATTGAATCATGTTCAAGATTTAAATAAGGAAGTATTAATGAGTGACCTAAAATTAACAGATATTTATTCCGATCTGAAAGTGTCAGATGCCATTAAAATGTATTTTAGTACTAGTTCAAGCTAATAGTATGATTTTATGGAAGCAACTCAATAAATTATCAGCAAAGGAATTGAAGTATCAAATCTGAAGTTAGGAGACATTACTGAATATTAATCTAGTGTTTTCTTTGTGGAGTACAACCTTCTAAATGAATATTGGATGGCTTTATAAGATGTGTCGGATTAATTTATTTTAGCTTTAGATGATAGAACAACTAGACAGGAGAAAGTTGAAGTTATTGTGATTACACTCTCTGCTGTTATGTTATTTATATCTTTAATCATATATTCAATATCAATCATACTATTAGCTTAGATGAGATTGTCAATATTACAATTATTCTTAGATATTCCAGAGAAGACAGTGAAGTATTTCTACAGTAAGTGCGAGAATTATATAAGTAATCTGTAAGTAGGAGACGAAGATGAAAATGTCTCATTCTAAGAAGATCTTGAAGAATAAGCCGAGTTGAATAAAACATTGAAATCAAGAAAGAAGAAGAAGAAGTTTATCAACTCTAATTAAAATCACAAGGATCATATATTACTTTTTGTATTTTCTGTTATGATTTTATAAGGATACTTCATTTTTGCTTACTTTGTAACTTAAAATGAACTTAAAAATTTGAATCAGCAAATAGCTGAATTCAACATCACAACTAGGTGTGAAGGGTTTTACAGATTTTGTGATAATTCAGAAAGATAACTCTTTTATAATTAAGAAATAAATTTGTTAAACCAAGAGCCTTATTAAGTTATCAAGTAAAATGTAAAGGACATGTATGCATTTGATACATCAATGCAATAACAACATGCTTTGAACATAGATGTTTAGAACTCAAATTACAGAACTGTCTATGACCATATTATGATGTCCGATCCCTGTGATGTACTACCCTCATATGGATCTCCGGATACTGTTACTTGCCAAGCCTTTGCAAGAGGAGCTTTGGCCTAAGGGAATTCAATAGGAGTGGCAAGATACATCGAGAATTTGAGATACATCATAACAATCTATGACAAATTTATAGGTCTTGGGTCTACACCCAATTTCACAACTGTTGCAAGAGGAGATGCTGTGTATTCTAAGATAGTTGATGACCCTGAGAAGAACAATCTATTGAATCTGAATAATTTCAACCAGACCAAAGAGTCTAGAGCCTATTAATCCAATTATTTGACGCGTAAGCATTTAACATTATCATTTCAAGCTTCTTTTCAATACTTGACTGATCACATGATCAGTGGATTTAGCAAGGATTTAAGTGATCACATAGCGTAGAAATTGGCAGTGTTCATTGTGTTTAATGTGGTTCTTTTCATAATGTAATTTTTGATTATGTATCCGTTCCTTTTGAAATTGAATAAGCATATATCAAATACAAGATTGTTGTTGACAATGATCCCATTGCGACTAATACTCAAAATATACTCTATTAGAAACTTTATCAAAAATAATTTATCTGATATTTAATATTGAAATAATTTATAAATGAAAAAATCTCCTCCACCCAAAGATCAAAAAAAAGAGAAAAGTCTCGAAAAAGCAGGAGAGCCAGAAAAACAAGAGAAATTCGAAAAATCCCATAAAACCCTATAGCCTCTAGACAAAGTTCGAATACCCAGGAATGTGAACTTTTATCTCCACTTCCTCCAGCATCCAGAAATCACAGAGAATGATATTGAATGGGTCCTACAACTAAGACACTGGGATGCTGTATGTCTATTTATATTATCCATCTAGAATAAAATGAAAGAGCTGCTCAGTAAAATACCAAATCAACCTTATTCTCTTGCTGATAAAAAAACCCTATTTTCTGAAAAAAAGCACGACACACAGGACATCAAGAACAAGGACAATGTTGCTAGTTTTATGCATCTCCTCAGTCATCGCTTGGGATTGAGTGCATCTGGAAGTTTAGCAGATTTTGAAACTGGATTGAGAAGATATCAAGAGCATGATGAAAATCTCAGCAAGAGAGAAAAGGGATGGTGGTATATACCAAAGAAAGATAGACATGATTTTCCAGAATTCCCCAAACCTTTAAAAGAACAAATGGATCTTAAAAAGTCTTTCAGTACAGGGAAGTTTAATACCATGAAATTCACCTACTCTGGTTTTGAAGGATTACAAGAACTCCCACCTTACACCATGAAGTTTAAGCAGGGTAATTGTGGAAGTGTCAAACATTTATTTGGTCCAGATGTCAGAATGTCTCAAGGCCAATGGGAAGAAGGATTAAGAGATTCATATAATAAGAGAATGCCATAATAAAATCGAAATAAAGAAGAAAGCAAAAACAAAAAGAAATTGGATCCGATAAAAAAATGATTTAAATTTATTAATTTGTTATCAATATTTTATACCCAATCTCTTCTGATGCATTGTTTAACTCAATAGAAACAAAAAATTTATAATTGGAAGTATATAAGCGAGGACTTCTACATTTAAATAAATGTATTCAAATATATTAAAAGTTATTTATAAATATATGGATCATATTATCAAATAAGAGCTGACTTTTTTAGATTTTGAATCTTATAAACAATAAATTTATTATTGAAAGTATGCTTTATTTTTTTTGTTATTTAATCGAAATTATTGAAATATTCTGCCTTATTATCATGAATTTCTAATCAAAATGATCGCCAAATGAAGGGGTACTCTCAATTTAGACAGATGAATTAAATATAATTAATGCTACACTGTCGCTTAAAATAAACCTAAATTATTTTTTATTCATTTCTATATGAATATCACTATTTTCACATATAAAATTAACCTTTGCATTAAAAATACTATTTAAACCTTAATAATTAATATATTTATGAAAGAACATATATTTATGAAAGAACTCCATAAAACAATCAAATTTATAACGGCTATACGCACATTAAAAGAAATTTGAAGAACAGAGAGATGCTAATAAATAATAAAATTTACTAAAAAGCTAAAAAATTAAATTTTTAAGTAGAACAATCAGAATTGGTATAGAAGATCATTTTGACAGGACAACAAAATCTCCATACATTAGTATTTGTAGAAGGAGTTACGAATATACGCAGTGTAGAATAATGAAATGAATATGTGAAATTGAATAAAAATTTAATTTTAAATTATAATTTATGGGCAGAGACTTCAGAGGAGGAAGAGGAGATACACGAGGAGGTGGTAGAGGAGGAGATCGAGGAAGAGGAGGAGATCGAGGAAGAGGAGCTCCTAGAGGCAGAGGAGGCGGAAGAGGAGGTCGTATGGGTGGAGCTCCGAAAGCGTTCGTAGTTCCTCATCCAAGATTGGCTGGAGTGTTTGTGGCTAAGGGATAATGGGAGGCTTTGGTTACTAAGAATATGGTTCCAGGAGAGTCAGTTTATAATGAAAAGAGGATTTCTGTTGAAGACAAACAAACAGGGGAGAAAGTAGAATATAGAGTTTGGAATCCATTCAGATCAAAGATTGCTGCTGGAGTGATAGGAGGAGTGAGTGATATTTTCATTAAACCTGGAGCTAAAGTTTTGTATTTGGGAGCTGCATCAGGAACTACAGTTTCTCATGTGTCAGACATTGTAGGATCAGAAGGTATGCATCAAAGTTTAGTTTAGGTGTTGTATATGCTGTAGAGTTCTCTCATAGATCAGGTAGAGATCTTGTTAATATGGCTAAGAAGCGAACTAACATTGTTCCTATTATTGCTGATGCTAGAAAGCCTCTAGAATATAGGATGCTTGTTGGAATGGTCGACGTTGTATTTGCAGATGTTGCATAGCCAGATCAAGCTAGAATTGTGGGTTTGAACTCCTAATACTTCTTGAAAAAGGGTGGTCATTTCATGATCTCCATCAAAGCCAATTGCATTGATTCCACTAATAGAGCCGAAGTAGTCTTTTAACATGAAGTGCAAAGATTAAAGGTATACTAATATTCTTATTATCATCTCAGGATGAAGGCCTTACACCTCAAGAATAATTGACTTTAGAACCTTATGAAAGAGATCATGCTATTGTTATTGGAGTGTATAATGTTTGAAAATTAAAATATAAATATTTAATGATTCCTTATTAAACCCTACTTGAAATCCTTTTTCAAATGAAATAGTAAGTCGGATTATCCAACTTGAAAATGTTGGATGGGAAGAACTTAAATAAGTCATCCCATATCATTCTCTAACTTTAGCTGATGGAGTCAGAAGGAATTTGTAATAACTGTAAAAGTGGAATTGAGTTCAATAATAACCTGAAGCTAATTAAGTCAAATCACAATTGAATAAGCAGATTAATAGTAATATGATCAATAAACTTTCAAATCAATCAGACTTTGAAAGATTTAGACACAATGAAGAAGAGTTGTAATTGATATTGCCAATCAGTAAATTAACAATTAAATGCCTAAAGAAAAATAGGATAGGGAACAATATATGGCAGGATTGGCATAACTAGAAAAGAAGTAGCATCAGTAAAAAAAAGAATAATGATATTTGGACTAAGAAGTACAATCCCCCTATGTTAAACATCAAGCATTGTCAAAATGTTTTGACTCCGCATAAAGTTATTCATATAAGGAAATGTCAGAAGAATAGATAGCAAATTAGAAATGATTAAATAAACAAAAATAGGGGAATGAAGAGTAAATAAAATCATAGAAGGAGGATGGCATCATATAACAAAGCATCTCAATACAAAGATCTATTTTAGCATAATTGAAAACCATTAATTATTTAAGAAAGGGAAAAAGCTCTTAAATTGCAAACTTTAAGGAATAATTAAAAAGAGTTTAATTTACCCTCTTAAACTGAATAGAAATTAAAGTTAAAAATATGAATATGCATGATAAATAAATAAACAATTTATATTTATAATGATCTAAGAGATTACAAATTTCTCAGTTCCAGAGAGTCCAAGTTGCATGGATGTATCAAAGGAGTTTTTGGCCATTGGCACATTGGATGAAAATGTATATCTCTACTCTCAACCCTTTCAATCCAAATCGAATGAAACCATATTGAAAAATCATCTTTTGGGAGTCATAGATTTATCTATCAATGCTGACGAAACCTAAAGTACTTAATTACGATAATAAAAATATCAGTTGTGGTCTCATCATTAGATAATTATCTTCGAATCTGGGATATCGATGATAAGAAGCTGATTTCTGAAATATAATGTGATGCCTTTGCCAATTGGAAGGTCAGATTTTATGATTCATCAATAGTGGTGACTTCTGGGGAAATGGGAATCATTAACTTTTATCACGTCGATACCAAAGAGAGAATTCAAAAAATAGAAACAGATCCAATTTATTATTCAAGTTCACTCTAGATTCATGATTAATTGTTAGCTGTTGGTAATGAAGGGGGCAGTCTATTTTTGATTGATTCAAAGTTTCAAAAGAAGGCAATCAAACCCCATTCAAAACCAATAAAGACAATACTATTTCTGGACAATAATAAAATTCTAACAGGATCAGAAGATGGATTAATCAAACTCATAGACCTAGAGAAATTTGAAATCATTCAATAATTTAGAGGACATAAATATGGTGTTATGGATTTCTGTAAAATCAATGAGAAAGTATGAAAATTCAACATTATTCAGTCTTTTGTCAGTTGCTCTACGGACAGAACAATTCGAGTATGGGATGTCAATCAAATCTACTCTCAGAAACATATACAGACCATGAATGACAAACCTGGAGGAATCAGCGGTATTCGATACAAGAATGACCAAATCATAGCTGCTCATGATTGCGGCATAATAAGCTTTTATGCTTTATGATAATTATTATGTGTGGGATGCGTGGATTATCATTTTACAATCTTGTCTCTCCTGTATTTGTCAACAATTCTCTTGACTTTTATAAGGCAGTGTAAAATGTAACCAACCTAACCAGAGAACACTTGAAATAGCTGTAGGAATCAATCTTTAATTTGAAACCGTAACCTCGTATGTATGGCTACAAGGTTCCACTATAATGGAGGAGAGCATGGCAGACGATTGGAAATCCCCAAAATGCCCATGTGTTTAATCTATCCTTTAAAAGAAAAGACTTGATATCCTCAAAAAACAGCACTCTCTGCTTATAAGCATTCAAAAGGGATATTGATTTCTCTTCTTCAGGATAAAATTGCCAGATGCATAATTCGAAAGGATATCTCTAATCGTAAGCCATGATTTCTATAAAAATAATTATAAACTTATATTTATTCAAATTTCCTTTGACTCAAAGCTAATCAATGAAAGTAGATTAGCATGTGTTTAAGGTTCTGGATGAAGGATGAATTAAAATACAGTTTTTTCGTTTTGGTGTTCTGGTCACATTAAATTATTCATCTTTGGTGGATATTCTCTCCCTCTTTATAACACCTTTTTAAGGTTCTATAATAAGGACTTTGTCACAAAAACTCACCTTTTTTTAATTTTGCCTTAAACATTATTATTTCATCTGATCTTGGTCCTCGTTTAACTTAAAGAACGTGTTACTCTTAAAAGAGGACTTCGTTTAAATGTAATTATTTGCTTAAGTAACAATTTAGAATTCTTAAATAGGTTTTAATTTAAGTTTCTAATAGAGAGAGGGTGTTGATGTGAGTATATTCCTTTCAGATTGAAACATTGGCCTCTATTAATCGAGTTTATTATGAGAATCAATGTTAATTTAGAGTTTCCTCGTAATTTTAAAAGATTACAACATAATTAATAATTTATATGATACTGCATTAATTAGAAATGCTCGATAATCCAAAAACCGTGCAAACCCTTCAAATAAACTGTAGAATGGAGTGGAATTTGAAAAGAAAAATGAATTAACATGAATTCAAGCATCATTATAATCTGATCTGATTGGAATTGAAAAAATATCCATTTCTTAATTTTGATTCTTTCTCAATCAACTTCTCTCTCTTCTTAATTCCCACATCTGTGTCTATCACAAGAACAAGGTTCTAAAAACTAACTTTCTTATGAATTGAGGAGGGTCTGCTATTGGATTCCTTGATGCTATTTGCCTCCCTTTGTCTATTTATCAAAATAGAAGTCAGAGATTTCTCAGATTAAGTTAACCGATGAGATCTCAAATCAAATCTTTTCAAGCTAGGTTGACTTTTCCGTTGAAGATAATCCTTGTGTAATTTGCTTGAATCCAATCTCGAATCTAGATAGCTTGATTTAGATTAATCCAAATTGGTGGATTTCTTCATTTTGTTTTAAATGTACTTCTCAAAAACCTAGAAATTCCTTTTCGAGCAAATGGGATCGATATCCTTTATGGAGTTTACATTGGAAAATGTAAATATCTTAGACATTGATATAGTATTGTCTAGATTAAATATATATTATTTAGTGGATTTAATTAAATAGTTTACTGTGTGCATAACTTTAATCCTGTCATCACCAAATTAATTAAATCGAAGTCAATAATTGAGTTGATAGGATGGGAATCTATATTTTAAATTAAAGCGAGATTAAACAAATGGAACAATTTAAAATACAGTACTTACTTCTTACTGGCGAGAAACAAAAACTATATAAATAAATAAGAGAATTTTATATTCATTATTATAAAATGGCCCAAACCTCAAGATGCATAATTCTAAACTTTTCAGAATTACTAAACCTATTATTATCAAAAGTGTCACATGGGTTCGAATACCCAAATGTTAGGCTGTGATCGATAAATAACCCAAATTTATCTCCGCAACCAATCCCAATACCTGTTTCATCGCAATAAATGAAGTCTCTGTTTTTTTCAGTCCAAAAATAACTCTTGATTTCATTTTTCTAATTCAATCACAAATATACCATACCTCTAACACATAATTAAATAAGAAGGTTTCTCCATTCCCTAGGAATCCTTGACTATATTAACGTAACTCTGTTGAAATATATGCTCCAAACACAAAATTCTCAAAATCTTTGATTATTAAAATTATCGGAGCTTTATCTTTGATTTCATAAAGCAGATTCTAAAAGCTTGATCCATCTTAATTAATATTGTAATATTTAATCCAATTAGCTAAACGATATACAGCTGGAATTTATTCAATGATTTGTTTATAAGTAGTATTAGTGAAACAATCAGAAGGCTCTTTTAACATTGGCACATATTCTAATGAAGCCCAAAGTTCTATTAAATTTTAATGAATTTTATACTTCCCATTCTCTCTCCAATCACATCTTGGATTTCGTCTATTTCTATCTATTTTTTCTCTTTAATTTCCTCTATTATATCTAAATAAGGTATTTTCGTTAATTTAGATTGTTCAGTATAACCAGTGCAAGCTTCATTAATGAATTTTACAATAAAGGCACAATTACTCTTTTTGATTTCTTCAGAGTACAATTTTCCATCTAAATCTCTTTCAGCATGCTTGAAATTAATATGTATATATATATTACTCTAAAGAATACAGTGGCTATACTCCTTTTCTATTTCTTATATTTCCTTAATTGTTTAAAATACTTCTTTTCGAATTTAGGTTTGCCAATTCCTGATAATAGAATTTAGACAACGTAATCTTAACATCCATTTTGATTCTATAAAACATATGTCACTGCTTCATTGATATCAATCATCGAAATGCAAGCATTCATTCGAACTTTATTTTATTTATCTTGTGTTTGCTCTTATTAGTATGGATCAAATAGTACTATGTCACTATTTAAAGTCAATATCCCATTAGAATTATATTTATTATTGCAATATGTAACATCAACTAATAAGCGATATCATGATATATTTACACTTCTAACTAAATTTATCTAATTCCCATATATTTTCAACATTTTTATTTTACTCAGTAGCTTTGATGATAGAGAATCGAGGTTGATTTGTTATAGGAACCTTTAAAACCTGACCTTAAAAAATCATATCACTAGATAGATTATTGATCCTTAATAGATAGCCTTCATTAACACTAAACTTGAGGGAAATTCCGAAAAAGGAATCATCTTCTTACACTACGTAGTCCATAAATTCTTCTTGTTAAGGAGGAGGTTATTCTTTAGTTTCAAAAGATTGACTTCTTCTTTGTTTTTAATTATATGATTCTTCGATTGATTTTATAGCTTTTTCATCAATTACTTCGAAGCCTAAAGTTGAGGCCTTGTGAATAGGAGGAGGATCTTGTGATTCGAGTTAAAATGATTAAGTATGGGATTTCTTCTTTTTTGAGAATGCATTCTAAAATAATTTGAGCATAAAATGTATTTAATAAATAATTTTTGGAGAATGTAAAGGAGAGATCTTTGATAGCAAAATTAAGATATGAATAAATCATAGACAGAAAAAGTAATTTTCATAAAAAAAAGGATTTGGTTTAAACAATATATTAAGGGATTTAAAAATACAGAAAAAGAAATCTGTCAATTTAATAAAATTCGATTTTTTAATCTAACTCCTAATAATATTTTAATAAGCAATATTTGATTATGAATTGCTTTATGCGGCCATTATTATGCATATTTTTTAGATTTTTATGGTGATTTGATTGTTGTTATCTTTTATTTAAGTTATTCCTGCAATAGTTTTTGAGAGTTTACAATTTAAGAATACCAAAACTAAAGGAACATCTTCTCAATTTTTAAAGTGAATTTGGTTTATTTTATTTGGTTATTGTATTGATTACATTAATACTTTATTCTTAATCTAAATAAATGGAACCATCCTTAGGATGATTTCAAGAATGCAGTTAGAACATCGTTCTCAGTCATTTCCACTCAGATATTAAGATCTAATTTTTAATAATATCCAATTATGATGATATTAAATCCTTTTTTAATTCATTAATTATAGATATCTTGAAAATTAGGATGGCCATTGTCATTTAATGTTTATGATAAATGTTTATTTTTATTTTCTTAATCATTAATGTTTAATCTTACAGAATCAGATAAATACAAAATGAATCACTTTAATTTCAGATTCCTACTGAAAGAGAGACAAAATTGCTTGCTCTCTATTAAGCTAAAGATGCAAAACTGATTGTAAATGAAACGATGCCATTTTGTTAATTGAAGGAAATAAACCTAATTTTTGAAACTAAAACATAGCACTTTGAGAATATCGTAACTATGGTACACATTAGAGATGGAGTGATATTCATCACCTCAGATTATTTGTTATATTTGATGAAATTCAACTATTAGAACTTCAATGGTGAGTTTGCTAAATTAGCTTGGAAAGCAGATTTCAAAGAATTAGGCTTAGATACATTGGCTGAAATGCCTTAATTACTGTATTGTAGCACAAGTAATTTGGGAATACTCTTCCAAACAAGAGGAGCAATCTTGTTTAGTGTTTAATAAATGGAATAAAAGGCATAAAAACTGTAAATAAGAGATTTAATTGAAATAAAACAAAGAAAGGAGAGAGGTGTCACAAAAGAATATGAGAATTATATATTCTCATGTGTAGGTCAGGATGGTTTAGATCTTTATAAAATAATTGGAAATGAATTACATTTTATTGATTAGATATCAAATACAAGATTCAAAGATTTAGCAATCTTGAAAATAGATAATACTATTTATCTAGTTCTATTAGATGAGCAACAGTAGAGTATCTCTGTATATCAAATGGATGCTGTTAGGATTAAAATTTCATTAAAATTGCAACATAAATTGTAATTAAGCAATCTGGAATTCATTGCAATTGATAATTATAAAAGCAACATATTTGTTGTCTATGAATACCATCACAAATATATCTGTGTAGAATATCTATTTACAGAAAAGGAATTAACTCAGCTTAATTCATTTGAAACATTTAGTAAAATCAAAGATGTTGATGTTTCAGAATAGTTTGCTATCTTGTAAGGATAAAACAAACATCACATAATGTTTGTGACTAAATTTGACGGTCTCTAAATAAGCCATGTTCCATAATATACGCTATTAGGAGCAATTGACATAGATTTCTTTTATTTGACAAATATAGATCTTTCTATGAGTCATTTAATGGATTAAAATGATTTCTCTATTGAGAATTTCTTTTTTGGAACTTCAAAATCTGGATTGTTTTACACCAAATTTAAGATCCAAGATCCCTATATTATTTGCAATCCTCTATCAAATCAATCAAGTTCTGAATAACATTATCAAATAATCTAAAATGAATCTGTTATTATTTAAACTAACTTTCAAAACAATTTAATAGTATAAAGATAAACAAATATCACTATTTTAGCTTTTGATGACGATGAGAATTCCTATTCAAACATAATTATCTATTTGGGTATCCCAATAGGACTAGCAATTTTATTATTGGGAATATGTTTTTGGTTTATATCTAAGAACTAAGAAATTGAAAAATTAGAAACAGAAATTACTGCGATTAAAACTAAGAAAAATTCTGGATTAGCTGTTGCAGTAGAGTTTACTACACCTTAAATCATTTAGATCATAAATTCTCCTAATATACCAAGTCCTTTCTCAAACACTGAAAGAACAAATGTAAACTCAAACTTAGCCAATGCCGATGGTTGATTAATTGGATAAATAACAATAATTTTATTTATTTGAGATATTATAACAAGTTTAAACAAGTCATTACATCTTTTTTTGAAATCTCTTATACTATTTGTACTTATTACTATGCTACTAAATATACTCCTCCTATCGAAGACGTTACTCTTCATTGAATTCCCTCAAATTCTCAGGTATCCATAACTAACGACTAATCAATGACTCCTTATCCACAGATTCCCATCTACTCTTACTTATGCCCAACAAAATTTATGTCTTGTATTCTTGATCTTTTTCACTTATTTCCCTTTGAGCCTTTCCATCCTTATAATAATATTTCCATTTCAATGTGAAGTACAATCTATAAAAAATGGAATAAATAAAATGTAATATTGCTATAACCCAAATTTCCTCAAATTTTGGATAAGACCATGCTCCTGTAATCTTGACTTCCTTCAATGTCTCTTAAATCACTTCTTCCTTGCTCATATTAGATTCCTTCTACCTCTCATTCACAACCTTTTTGAAATGCGTTGTTTCCATCACTCTTCCAATAGCATTTTTGTACATTCCAATTCTAGCCACGTATTGTATTATTGATAAGAGTAAGGTTGAAACAGAAACCACAATATAGGGATTCGACTGTGGATGATACACTTGTTGATAATATCGATAGTGATGATAAAATTCACTCCTATTGGGATTTTCAAGATACTCATCATAGGCAGTTTTTGTTTCCTCATTACTTAAAACTTCATAAGCCTAAACTATCTTGACATATTGAGATTAATTCCCTTCATTCTTATCTGGATGAAATGTCCTTGAAAGTTCTCTAAATTATTTCCTTATTTCACTTTGCTAAGCTCCTTTTTTCAAGAATAACAGTTAGTAGCAATTATCATCTCCACAAAATTTATCCTTAATTGAGTATGATAAGCAAGTATAAATGATGCAAAAAAATATTATGTATGAATATTTCATAGATAAATAAATTACTATTAATTAAAACTTTTATTATTATTAAAAAGTAACTAAATAATTCAATACACTACTTTGATTCTAAGCAACATAAATAATTTCCAATAATTTCTAATATTTAGATAAATAAACGAAAGAAATATAAAGGAAATTACATTCATAATCTATGTATTATGATATTATCACATTTACTTTAATTTAATAAAAGCTTTAATAATATTCATTAATTTACTACCTCTTTTACTAAAATTCAATGATTTTCATCAAAATTTATTAAATTAACAAGAATTAATCTAATTTATAACAATCTAATATATAATAACAGTTGATTTAAATTGTTTGTAATAAATTTCATATTAACTTTACACAAACTACAATAACTGCCACTACAATAAGGATAATGCATATAGCTCCACCAAGTTTTTTCATGTATTATTTGTGTTCTACCTTTGCCTAAAGAATATAACGTTATGAAATTTACTCCTTCTAATTCAACTACTACTTCTTTGACATTTTTGTTTGATACATTGATGTTATTTTCAGCAACATCAAGCATCTTACCTTAATCCACCACGACTCGAGCCACTTCAGTTTAGATTTTGAGAACTTCCAAGGCATCCTTTTGAATTTCTTACTTAGCAAAACAAATATACAATCTATTTCTTCTTATTGCTCTTGAATCAACATGGCCTTATGTTAAATATCGGGATGGACTTCCATTTCTGACAATTACTCCAAATTTGGTCCCTTTTCTCCTGAATCTTCCTCATCATAATTGGTATCTTCATCATAAACATAAGTGGGTTTTCCATTAATTTTCTCTTTATTAAGGAAATAATTTTACTCGCATTTTGCATTTCTAGTTCTCTTCCCTCATTTGAGTTTAACTATTTGGGATTTCTTATTGACTTTGTGATTTCAATAAAAATATTTTGTTGCTGATATGTTATTGTTAAAAGGTACCTTGGCATATTCTTTTTTGAGAATTTAAATTGTCATATTTTCAGATTTATTGAATTTGCCTTATTTAAATTTGATCGTTAATGCATCTATTAACTTTTGACATTTTTGTTTATTCTATATTTTGTATATGCATCAATAGTTACTATTTAAATTTGTTCTTGGTTCTCTAAATATGAATATCATTCCTTACCCTTCCCCTAAAATTAATTTTATAGCTCTTAGACACTCTTGATTAGAATTTACAAATTCTCCTACACAAATTCAAGATCTTAACTACTCATAAAAATATAATTAATTAATTGATGAAAATATACATACAGTCTCCTGTCTTTCAGAGATTCATACTCAATAATTAATGCCAAAAGAATAAACTCCAAATGCCCAAATCCTCAGACAAAATTGAGAAACCCTCACCCATGTCCAGATCTCTCACAATTAAATAGTATTAATTTCAAGCCAAATCGTAGAAGAAGGCAAACTCAAAACACCATAGAACCAAGAGGATTGTCTTTGTCCATCTCGAGGGAAACCCAAAGAAACTTTTTCAAGGAATCTATTCAAAATAGAGTAGTAGCTCCAGATCAATTTCAAAGCATGATCAAAGAAATATAAGTTGGAAACTCAATGCAAGTCATTAATAAATTGGAATAGGGTCCATTCACCAAAAAATCCTATTTGATATTAGGGATCGCGCACAAGCAACTCAATCAATTCGATAAAGCAAGAAGTTGGGTAATTAGTGATCTTTATCAAAGTTCAACAAATGCTTATCCGAATACCCCAATTATTTGGATGGGTACATTCAATCTGCAGTTTTAGAATTCAAGGCCCAAAAATACCATGATTCTCTCAAATTGATAGAACAAGCCTTGCTTTATAGTCCAAATGATAAGCAGGCACTCCAATATAAAGCAAGATGTCACTCTGCTCTAAAATAACATTAAAAGGCCTTAGAAATATACGAAAAACTCAACAACACTGACTTTTTAGGCAGATCACGTCATTGTCTATCATTAATTAAGTGTAATTAATTTGACCAAGCACTTATTAAAATTGACACGATCTTACAGCAAGACTGTGAAAATGCAGATGCTTTGTTACTAAAAGGAATAATTTACTTTAAAAAAAGTAACTCCTTATAATAATAATATTTATTAGAAAATTTTATAGAGTCTTAGATTTACATTGAACAAGCGATTCAGATATCAACATCACATTAATTAAGTGCCAAGGCTATTTCCTACATTGTAAAGTCTAAAATATGTCTCATGGACTTTTATGAGGCTTAGCTACACCTCTCCAGAGCAGATCAATTGAAAAAGAATTTTAAATGCATCTCTAAATTGAAACCGTTTGTCAATGGAACAGTCAAGTTGATGAAACGATAATATGCTTAGGGACTTCAAATGATTAAGGAATTGAAACCCATTAGCAAATTTCTATAACTAATTTACTATAAATTCTTAGCTTATGCCTAATTTTGCACTTCTGATTATGCATCGGCTCTAAAGTCTTATGAATCGATCAATTAGATAGAGAGAGGCTAAATGTACAATAAATATTTGGCTGAAGCTCTTGTTTTAATATAGAAATGTAAATTATATGAAAATAATCAGGTTAGTATGAACCTTCCGTTAGGTTATTGGACAAAGCTATTGAAATATTTCCAAATAAACTAGAACCTTATTATTATAAATGTTCAATTTGTTTACTTAATAAACTATTTGATGGAGTATAAGAATGTGAATAGCTGCTAGATTTAGCCTTTTCTAAATAGGGGAAGTAGCCCAACATCTTTTTTGCGAGGGCTTTAATGAAATCTTATAAGCGAAGATACACTTCAGCGTTGAAGGATATTGAAAAGGCAATTGACAAAAGCGAGGATAGTATAAGCGATCACTTTTACATAAGGGGCATCTTGCATGCTTAAAGTATGAGATTGAAAGAGGCTATTAAGGATTTTACAACTGCAATACATTTCAACAAGGAGCATTCAGAATCATATTTGGAAAGAGCTAAATGTTATTAAATAAAAGGAGAGTAATTAAACATATCATTTTTAGTACAGCACAGAGTTTTGGTGACATGAATAAATATATTAAGTACAATAATTCAGATGAGATACATTATTGGAGTGGGAGTTTATTATTTCATAATAATGCTTATGAAGAAGCTCTAAAAGCATTTAATGATGCAAAATAAACAAATTAAATTCTAATCTTGAAATTAAAGTGCGAAATTAAATTGTAGTAAATTGATAAAGCATGCATTATATCTAATTAAATAACATAACAAAATGTTAGAGAACCTAAATACAAATTAGATTCCTAGATGCTGACATATATAAAGTAGATTTTGGATACTACACAGAATAAAAAAAGTTGTGATGCAGTGCAGTTTCCTAATGTAGATTAAAAGGATGTGGGTTTAATATTTTAGACTTAAGATGTTCTCTTGTTCAAAGCATCAAGTATGATCTATTAGCGCAGATATAATGAGGCAATAATGATTCTTTAGTAATTGGAACAATATTGGTTGAATTCTCAAAAAGATAGATTGAACAGTATTTCAAGTCATTAGGATGCTGATTCAGAGAAGAGTGAAAACCTATCTAATGAAATGGTATTGAAATCAGAAAGAATAGTTTAACATATAATAGGTATAAAATACAATATGGCCATCATATATTTATTGGTAATGATTTGATGCTATGAAAATAGATATAATAATCGACAAATGCTAAAATGAAAGTGGAAGAAATTAGAGATTAAGTGGGCAATGTAGTTTCAGATGAGTTAGATTATTTAAAATTGTTGATTTAAAACTAGATAGATAAAAAATCTACTCCTGCTTTTTGTAAGCCTATCTTAACCTTTTTGATGAATGAGAAAAGTCTTTTCAATGGATTTCCAACAATAAAAATACAAATGCATGGTTCAGGTGTTTTTGAATGCAAATTATCACTTAACTTTCCAGATATCCAACCTCCAAATATTTGTCCAGAATTCAAGAAAGAATTTTTGTTAATGATAAAAGTAATTGCATTTATTTAACTATCAGCCTAATCTCATAGAAAATAAGCCTGAAGCACCTTGGCTTTAGAGGACATCATAATAAATACTGATTTTAACTCAGAATCAGTTGAACGATGATTTAGATCTAACTACTGATGATGAAGAGGAATCTAATGAGAAAAGAAGAAAGACGAGATAAGTTTAAAATTTGGAGATCGATGAGAATGTCTAAAAACGCTTGGATTAATTGATAAAGAAATTATGACTATTATATCATTTATATTACTATTTATAACAATTTTCAAATTAAAGAAATTATTTCCAAAGAAATAATATATATCTCAAATTAATTAGGAGCTGCTGCAGTTTGAGAACTAATATATAAAAGAGATACCTATGGCTTTAAAAATTATTTCATCTCTCTATTCTGACATTGCTATAGTAACTTTATTGACGGGATTCACAACATCTACAATAATCACTTCTTCCATCATAATAATTAAGTTGATTTTAAGAGATTATACTCCAAATGTTTTAATAATTATTACATAAAAGTGAGTTGATCTCATTCATCATATTGCGGAAAATTAAAACAAGTTGACCCCAAGAAAGTTGTTATAATTATATTATTAATTATTCAATAAAAATAGAAATATTCTAGAAAACTATTCAATAATAAATTTTATCAATCGTGTCAATTTCATAATCTAATAAGTCGTGTCTTCTTCTTAAATATCATTAATAAATTTAAATGAAAGCATAACATCTTATGTTCGTGTGCCTTTTGATTATGTTTGCATCTGCATAACTCACAGTAAATATATGAATATATAATCAGCCCATAAAAACTGAAGAAGAAATCAAGATCGATTTAAGTTCGGATGAGAAATTGGAAATTAAAGGAAGTGATGATATCAAGCCAAATAAAATTTTCAATAAATTATATGAGGTTGATTAAGAAGCATATGATCACATGAAAAAATCATTCAAGAATGTAGTGCATCTTGTATTTGACAAGTAATATATTTGAATTCTATATTGTAGAGAAGAAGAGGAATCAAAGGTAAAATTACTTAACTCAGTTATTGAAAATGTTAATTTTACTAAAGTGGATGTGATATTCGTTAAAAGTCCTATTGGATTAATAGAATCAGATTAGGGAATTATTGTCAAGAACTTTGATAATTTCTATTGGATTAGCAATTATGAGAATCTCCAAACTTAGATCTTTGGTAATCGATTTATTCTATCCTAGACATAATCAATCCTAAAATTGAATTCTTGTAAACAGAAGAGGATGTCAATTAATATTTCAGCCTAAACAATTTGAATTCATTAGTCCTTTTGCCTGATAATTACACATTCAGAGACTAAATTATTGAGGATCTTGAAGCATTGATTAGAAATGGAGATCTAAAAGAAGCCAGAATCCATGGGTTGAAAGGCTACAATTCTAATTATAAGAATTTTACAGCTCCCACCCTAATATTACATAAGGGAAATGGCAAATTTGAATAATATGAATATAATCTGACTTACACTGACTAGATTGTGGATTTCTTTTACTTAGAGAGCTTAGATTTAGTAAATAGATTGGATGAAGACAATTACGCTAGGGTATTTGGAGGACCAATTCAAACTCAAGTTCACCTATTGATTAAGGGCATTTTTAGACAAGATTTATTTAATGCTTATTATTGGGTTGCTTAAAATAACAAAGTGAATGATTTAAAATATCATCGTTTGATCTTTACTTATTCTACATATGAAGAGAATCCAAACTTATGGTCCTTATTTGATTTTGATGAATCTACAAAGACTCCTCAACTTGTTATAACAGAAACCAACTTTAGAAAATATCAATTACAAAAATATATTTGTCAATCTGAAACTCTAAATCAAGAAACCATTTAATAATTCATTGATGATTTTAGAAATAAAAACCTTACAGAATTTTATAAATCAGAACCTGCTCCTGAATACACAGAAAATTAAGACATTTATAAAATTGTAGGATCAACATTCTCATAAGAAGTTCTCAATAAAGGAAAGAATGTGTTATTATTGTTTTGGGATTCAAAGAACAAAGATTTGTTCAACGACTATTTCCAACTTTTGAATGACTTTTCATTAATTTAAAATAAGGAAAAGATTAAAATCGGTCACATTGATCTTGCAAATAATGAACATCCTAAAATCACTGTCGATTCAGTTCCAAAATTAGTGTTGTACCTAGCTGCTGATAAAAAGGCACCAAAAGAATATTTAAAGAGCTCAAATCTAGTTATTCCTGAACTCAAAGCTTGGTTAGATTATTATATTGGAGATGGCATTGCATATAAATAAGAAAAAACTGATTTATGATTATCTCTTGTGTTTATAAAATATTATGTAATTTAAGTTTAAAATAAATACTTCTTTTAGAAAACCCTTAAGAAATTGAAAAGTACATAAGGTTTGGAAATCAAATGCTGATTTTGTAAATATTTTAACAGAAATATATATTTAACTTGTTAAATTCATCCTTCAGTATTTATTCTTCTTATTCTTTTTTTCAAATTTTAAGGAAATCTTTAGGCCTGACTGAAAGTAAACTATTGTAAGTTATTGTCAAGAAATGGGGTGATTTAATCAAACTCAGTCAAAGCTATGTTGTTCTTAGATAGATCTGTTTCTAGTTAAATATTCTTTTTTGCACTAGCACTTCTATTTTTTTATTTTAATTGAATTGGGAGTTTTGAATTATTTATTATTAATTATGTTAGTTCATCTTTCGGAGTCTATTGTTAAACAGACTTCTTCATATACCCAAAATCAAATTTTCCTTTTTTTGGAGAATCATGAAATGAGTTTGAATCATTATTAGCTTTTTTAGTAGATAATGAATTCTTGATACATATTTGATTTAAACTATCTGGTTTTTCAATTTAGATTTTTAAATTTTCTGTTTTTGCACTCTCATAATTTAATTTCAATTATTCAGTTTATTAATTGAGAATAAATACTGTTTACCTTGCATTTGATAATTCTTTCTAGACCTCTTCATTTTAAACTTTGAATCTTTTTAAATCTTGAACTTCCCTTCGATATTTAAAGAGATAACCTTTTTATGATCCTATTCTTTATTCTGATTATTGTAAATCAACAAGTCTTTGAAAATGAGTTGATTTCCAATACTTAACTTGATCGTTAAGGTCAAGGTTCTTTTGATTTTGGATTTCATAAAGATCTTTATACTTATCTACTTAACTTGATAATTAATTGGTTAATTCAATTAAATCTTTATTTGCTTTAATAATATTTATTTCTTATAATTTTAATTAGTTTATTTCTTTTTCATAATTTGATTTAACTTCTTCAAATGATTACTACAATTTAGTATACTTTTTGTTTAGCTCCTCTAAATTAAGTTTAAGTTCACTATTAATTTTAATCTAGTTTTGTAGACTTTCTTTTAAGTGGTTGTTTTCCTTTTCTAAATTATTAATAGTTTCCTCAAGCTTTTTATTCAATTGTAAAAATGTAGTTTATGATGTATATTGAGTTCTTAGTTTAATAATTTCTTATTCCTAAATTTATATTGTTTACTCCGAACTCTTCAGTCTTAATTCCTTATCTTGTAAGATAACCTTGGAATTCTTACATTCCAGCCATAATTTGAGATACTCCTATTTATATACGTTACCTAATTGACTGGAGATACTTTCTAATATTTCTTTGAAAAGTCTTTTGAACCTTAGATTCACATTTTGAATTTCAACAAAATTTGCAGATCTAACAGCTTCAATTACTTTTTCGTGACTAATAACTTATGCCTTAACTCAAGTGATATATTAAACTATACATTCCACCATCTCTTTAGCCCCTTTTTATGAACTGGTTCTTTCACATTCTTACAAACAATCCTGTGCCAACACTTGGAATTAGGAATTATATTTATCGATATTGAACACCAATTAAGTCTTATTATTTATATCCTTATCTATGATTTTTTTGATATTTTGGTCGTCTTAATTAAAGTCCAATAAAGTATTTTACATTATTAATATTTATAAGAATGAATTTTGATTATAAGAATACTTTTTTAAGAAACACACCATATAAAATTGAACCAGCAAGACCTAAGCCTTTGTTATCATCAGCAAGAAATGTTTTAGGGGAGTATTCAAATGTTTCCTACTGGAAATTTGATAATTTTACTCATTAGAGATCCTATGTAGACACTACCTTCAATCGATATTAACCATCCTTTAACGCCTATGCTAAGATCCTACCACCAGACATTTTAGATTGATATATATTACATATCCTTTTCTTATTTTGAATTAATATATATACATATATAATCTTTGCTATTAATTTAAGAATAGAATTATATCAAACATAAATTTATTCACTTCAGCTTATTGGAACTTAATTCTATTATATAGTCTCTTTCGGTTAATAGATTTCTAAGAACCGGGCCGTAATTATTAATATTAGCCTAAATTCTGTTAAACCAAAGGTGTATTAATAGAGTGATTTATCTATATAATAATAATGTAATTAATTTAAACAATTCAATTATTTTTGGAGGAATGATTATATAATCAATTATTTAGTTTAATATTTGATAAATATTTTTCAAATTCCATTCAATCTGATTTCAATTATTGTTATTAAGGATCTCTAAAAGAATTACTCTAAAAACTTTGATTGGTATCTTAAAATAATAACAATAATATAAATTTTACCCTCTTTACTCGAATTGTTATTATTTTCATTATCATTATTTAATTCATCTTTATCACTTCGATTGCTTTTAGTAGTTTGAGTTTGTTGGGTAGAGTTAGTAAATGGATATTGAACTAATAGAATATAATGGAATTGCTACAATGATATTTTTATTCAGGTTATGATTTAGATACATTAGACAAGACTTGGAGAAGTAAGTCATTACAAAAGGAATTCTAATTCTTAATAATGCTTAGTTCTCTAATTTATTGTCTAGAGGAGTCAATCAAAGTTGAAAGACTAGTTTAAAACTAAGAATGATATTAACAATTTTAACTTAGTCAAATTGTTAATAAAAATAAATGAGTTCTTTTTATATTTATTCTATGTCCATCTTCAATTCTGAATAGTTGGAATTTAATTGATTAACTTCTTTCTTTTATCTATTCTACATTTTCAGATAATGATATTTGTGAATAATGCTATTCTTCCTCATGATTTTGTACAGGAGATCTCTATTTTAATCAGATTCAGTACTCTCTTCCTTTTAAAAAATAATGATGACTGAACTGATTCTAATTATTGACATTTCTTATCTTCTTGAAACCATACATGTTCAATTATCTTATAAAGGAACTAAAGTTTTGATGCTTAAATTGTTTTGGCAACACATAATCACTGAATCCATTCTAATCCTTGACTATAAAGGCATTTCCAGCACTATTAAATGAGATGATATCTTCAAATTCTGGATTCTAATTATTTAGTTTATATTAAATTTATTAATATATTGTTTCATATTGTAATTTTCCAGAATTTAATTCTCAAATCATTATATTTGATTCACAAATTAAAGCTCTGAATTATAAGGGAATGAGTGTTGACTTACATACCATAACCATTGAGTATGTTTTTAAGAGAAAACTCGAAATTCCTCTGCGAGTAGGTGGAAATGCTGAATGGTTTTCTCTTTGAGCATTATGACAATTATTGTTCTTCTAATTCATTAAAATTAATATATAATAATATCGATTTGATTAATTTATGCAAGAATGTCGATAATAATTGTATTTGCCTTCTCGCAGTTCAAACAAGTCATCCGTATATATAATTCATTTTAAATATATATACTCATTTTATAAATAATTTATATATAGATATGCTTAATCGTGCTATTAACTTAGGATTCCGGAAAGCATTGCCCCAATACACATTCTCTTCAAGAAGTAGCCAACTTAACTTTAACCTCTAGATGGCCCATACAATCCCAACAGATACAGACACTACTTGAACCCAAACTTCTTCCAATCCAATAAGGAAATTGCTGACATCGCCAAATCATAGCAAGTCCCACTACCAGGTATTTTCAATTCATTACTCCTTCAGTTCGTAACGTCAGACATGTCAACCCAGTCAGATAATCTGGTCCCCTTCCTCCCTATGATGGACCCTATACGTATTTTTATCCTTCATATTCTCCATTAGAATGGAAGACGTAAGAGCTGTTTGGCAGAATACTTCCATCGGTAGACAAGGAACATGGAGTTGTTAGATGGATCCTGATGAAATCATGAGAAGAGTCCCAGGTGTCTTACTCATTCTATTTTATAGGAATAACAAGAAGAGAAGTTGAAAAGATCCTTAACATGGGGTTAACACCATAAGAATAAGTTGATTTTGCATATTTGGTTTATAATTGTGGATTTGATGTCGATTATGTTCCAAACAGCGTATATGTTGCAAGATAAGTTGTTACAAATTCAAAAGGAGAAAAAGTTGAAATCCTTTGGAATGTCCAAGTCCTTGAAGATTTAGCCAAATTGCCTGTTGGTTTTGCTCCTGTGAGGGAATTGATTGATTACCATTGGGAAATTTTCCTTTGGTCAGATCCAATGATCAAGCCAACAGGTGATTTGGATCTTGGTGTTCCTAACACTTGGTTCGAATACGAATGCGAATGTAACTATTTCATTTTACATCTTCTAAAGGGGGAGGTGAAATGGTTGGAATCGAAGACTAATTTAATATCCCAGAAAGCGACAGAATATTCCCATCTCCAAGAAATCCCAATTGCAGAAGAGAACTATGGAAGTCTTAGGATGATATCCAAGAACAATTAGAAATGGAAGGTAAGACATATTAAGTAAATATTTAGATGAAAATTGGTATCCAAAAGGAACCTCATATAATATCTATCAATAAGCAGACTATAAAAAAGTAACTAAATCAGATAGTACATTTTAAGAAAAGATATGATCATTTAAACATATTAATCAAATTATATTATCAAGATGGCATTTTAGTTTTTTAACAAAATTTATCTTAAGGATCATCCAAATTGAAATACAAATTATTAAGGTAGTAACTTAAACTTCTTTAGATTAATAAAATATATACAAAATTACGTTGGATTTTAAGCACATAAAAATCTAATTGATTCAATTATCATTTAATTTTTAGGTGTAAATTAATATTATTAATTAACATTCAAGTATATTATAGAGAAAAGAATTATCGTTAAAATTGTTAGGTTTAAAATGATATATGATGTAAATCAAATTTATCTCCTCATTTTATCAGAAAAAAAGGGAAAATAATTTAGTAGTTGAACAAAGAATTTCAGAATTATCCAAATATTATATATAATTGATATATATTCACATAACTCAAATAATGAAAAAGCTCATTATTAAACACTTTAGATATTTTGAAACTACTAATGGATATTTACTTAATCTAGAGAATAAACATAAAATTTTACTTGGAATTGCCATATTTGTTATCTTTAGGAAATTAGTGTAATGTATTTATTGTATTTATGAGAGGGAGGAGTGCAAAGTTATGTATTCATTGAAATCAACTTATTGATTATTTAACCATTTTTTTAACATTGCTATAATTTTAATTTTTTCTTGCATTTTGTCAATATCTGATTTGAGTTTAGACATCAGATTTTTCTTGATTTCACAGGTAATGGATAGAGGAGATATAGAATTCTCTAATATTTCAGATGCTTATTTATAATCCACCGTAGGTTTCGGTTTTATTAAAAGATTCATAGATTTATTGAGCATATTGGTATTGAGATCTGGTTAAGATTGGGTTTGATTTGCCTAAAAAGACAAAGCATTTAGATTCCATAAGTTTCCTATCTAAAAATCACCAAAAGTGATTTAATCTTAACCTGAGAACTTATTTTCTAATTTATCTGAAATTTCTTTATTCTGAGATTTGCATTGTCTATATTTGGCTAACTAGGTTCTATATGTAGATTAAGACAATTTTAGTTTCTTTCCGCTACTAATAAGGTTATCTATTAAATCAATGTTATCGGTTATGAATTCACTAAACCCATCTTCTTCTGATATAAAAACATGCCTCTTCCTTATGGTTACTTTTTAAATTATACTTGCAGTGTTCCTAGAAGCAATTGCCTAGGAAATTATAATGTGCACAGGTGTATGAATGTTTATTTGTCAAGTTCTTTAGATCTAGATTGCTTTTACTAACTTTCTTAAATGAACTCTTATTGCCATTGATGTTCCTGTTACTATTGTGTTCACTCTATCAAAATTAAGTCTGAATTAATTACAGAACACAAATGTTGGGATGAGTAGCTACAATCGCTTTGTTCTTACACTCCTAAACCTTTTGAAACCAATTCTTGTGTCATATGATTGGTAGGTTTAGATGTTAATAAATCGCTGTCCTACTAATGAAAGTCCATATCTATAATTAAATATGCTTTTTTTCTTTTTAAATTTCCCCCCCTTCAAGTCCCAAGATTTAAAAATGTATACAATATTACAATAAAATCAAATTTCAAAGCATCATCTTAATCAAAATAAAATTAAAGAGTTAAAAATACTTTATAACAATGGCATATTTTTAAGATTTTTATATATAAAAATAATATAATTACTCTATATGACATAGTAATGTATTAATAAAAAAGTTTATTATTAATTCGATTGCAATTCCCAATTATCAAAAATATGCACTGGGTGCAACTAATACTGGAGCACTTTCCTTTTGGAACTTTTAAGAAATCTCTATGAGAAAATAGCAATCAGACAAAAGTAAAGATGTATGACATTCATAAATGATGGATAAAATACTCTTAACTAAAAACATCTTATAAATTTGCAATTTTCAAGGAGTCAATAGAATAATCTCTGCCCATTCAAGGGAGTTTAAATTTTGAAGTTGCTAATAAATTATATTAAGTTCACCTGCTATCTTTAATATCTCAAAATCAGGTTAAATAACAAATTTAAGCATTTTGTTGGAATTTTATCATCTGCTAATTATTTTACAATAATCCTTTTCTAAAAACAATATTATTTTGTAATAACAAGTCTACTAAAAGATAATTGTTGATACCCTAATCAATTTATGATAATATATACCCTTTAGTACCTACGAAGGAGTTGTAAATCTCAAGTTTTCTTATAATCTGTCAGAATTTTAAAAATCGCGCAGTAACAGGAATTTGATTATAGATTTTAAAACTAAGATTAAAAAAAAGATACATATTTCTATTGAGACTACACTTATTTAAAGTATCAAAATAACAATTATAATATGTCAATGATTTATGTGTTATAGTTAAATTTAATGAGATTAAAATGAACAATAAGTAATTAGTTTTAGAAAAAGAATAATTTAGAATTTGATTCTGTTTAAGAAATGTAGATGAAAATATGTACTATATCTCAGTATTACAAAATGTTTCTTATTTCAAAAATTAGGTAAATACCTATTCCTTTAGATGTATTTGATTAAGGAGAACAGAATATTAGAATAAATTCAAAATTACATTATAAAAAGCATCGGATATCAACAAAATTTGTTATTAGAATATTCTAATAAGAATTAGTTCATTTCTTCTATTCATAATTATTTATGCAGATAAAAACTTGATATTGACATTAAGTTGCTTATAATATTTTATACATTATCAGATCAAAGTTTTAATGATACTTCTTCTCCATTCTTTGAATTCTTACATTTTGTTATTGATTTCATTTTAATTAATATTTTATTCCAACAAACATTCTATTAATTCTTCATCATTTTTATTTATACATTTCTATTTCATTCTTTCATAAAGTTACTAATTTGTTCAATATTATTGAATACCTATTGTTATGTATTGTAATAGTCATTCAACTTATTTACAAAATCTTTCCTGAATTATTTCTAATCTTTAACACAATTTCGAAATTCTAAGTTTTATTTTGGGTTGCATAATTTAACAATTCGATTGAGAACAGCTTTCAAACTAATATTTTGATATGGATACCTCGAATAAGAATTGCTCCTAAATGAAATTGCTATTGCCATAATATTTATTTTTGATGATCTCGATATCCATAATTATTATTTAATATATTTATTTTTGTTTCATATATATCAAAATTCATATTGATCAGTTTTGTATTCCTCCTCTTATTTGGGTTATCTGCCTCTTTTCATCAACAGAAGTTGCTTAGTACTCTGCAATTAGGCAGCTGTTTTGGGATGAATCCAAGATGGAATCATTTTCTATACGATCCTATTGTAAGCAAAATCAATTACATATCCAAACCACCTGGAGGTCTTTTATTTAATCTTTCTTGTCTAAATTTAAATTCTTCTTCAGCATAATTCATTAAATTCTTTTTTATTTTTTCAATTCTAAAATTATCGAACTTTGATACCTCTATTCTCGTGTTCTCTCGCGTTTATGACCTTTAGGTTTTCTATGATAAGGACTCAATTCTCTGTTTTTGGGTTGATCATAAATCCATGGGAGTCCATGAAAATAAAATTATTTCCTCAAAAGTCCCTTATATCTTCCTGAAATATCTGGACCAAAGAATCTCCCATTTACCATCTTCTTATTAAAGCATGATCTAAATGATAAATATGACAATCTAAGCCACATTATATTTATATAATAATTAATTCAATTTAATAAAGCCAATTTCATTTCAATATTGCCGATTAACTTTTTTGTCTCATCCAATGATTATTTCACTCCCTTATCATCGAGTTAAACCGTTGAAGAACTGTCAACTTTGGGGAATTACTAAACATACCATGGGCCAGTATTGGGAATCTCAATTTTGATTTAAACCTGCTCCTTTTACAATTCCTATCCTGTGTTGTATTCTTGTTCTCGAGTATAACCATCAAGTCTTTAAAGTGCCTTAATTGTATTGAAAATCACATTCCTATAATTATTAAGATCGCAAATAGGGTTTTTCTGATCTCCAGATGGACATTATAGATAGAGTGTTCTCAGTACTCTAATGCGATCTAAATACTCGATTGCCTTAACACTCTTGATGAAGTTGCCTTTAGCTTGTAAATTTTGGAGTGAGGACAACTCACCCAAATCTAATTGTGTAATTTGATTATTGGAAATATTCAAAAAGGCAAGATCTTTCATAACCTTCAATGGAGAAATGTCACTTGGAATAGAAAGAAAACTTTACCTGATTGAATTGTTCTGAAGGTTCAATTAAACTAGATGAATGCATTCTGTTAAACAATCAATATTGCCGATCTTTTAGTTGCTTAGATCCAAGACAAATACGATATCGAGACCAAATTTATTGGATACGGTTTTAACAATTTCTAAATAGTTGAATATAGAGAATACAGGAGTTAAGTTTCCCTTGTAAATTGTAATTCTAAGTTTATTTGAGATCACGTAGTTTTTCAATATTTATTTCATTAACATTTGTGCCCAGGAGTTTACTCTAAATTTATTAATTATTAGTCGTAGAACTCTTCTCAACCTGTTTGGTAGGTTTTTTATCATTTTTTTTATCATTATTCATTATATATTTATTATTCACTTATCAAACCATAATAATTGTTCCTTTCTCTCCTTCTCAGCAATGAATGATTCAAATTCAGCTTTAATTGCAGAAAAGTCTTCTCCTTTATAAGTGACCTATAAGGCTAGGGCAGGAGATGTATCCTTGATGCCATCCACCTTATTCCTGTGTCTGTGTGCAGGTGATTTGGCAGGATCCAAGGCTTTTGGAATTATTGCTCCACTCAATTTTGATACTCTCACAGGTGTACCATCCTCTAAAAACCCTCTTTGAACCTAATTCTCAAGTGTAATTATACTTTGGTTGGTTTTCCTTTTTCAGGATCAATGAGTGCAATTTTGCTTAAATGAATGGGTCTAGTGATTTACTGGATACCAGATCCTGAGGGGTCATCCAGCAAGGACTTTCTTTTGAATTTTTAGTTGATTCCTTGGACTAGCACTTCATTTGATTTACGATAGACTCTCAAAATGGTTCCTGTTTTTCCAGAATCCTTTCCTGAAACAACCACAACCTTGTCTCCTTTGATTACATTCCATTTTTCAAATGTGATTTACTTAGCAAATTGGGCAATTGGAGTCTGTCGATTTAGATAGAATGTAGAGAGTGCTTTTAACATAAATAATTAATTAACTATAACATTTTTTGTTTTTTAAATTAAGTGATGAGTTATTCCAATAAGGAGAATGTTGATGATACTTAGATATTGATGGATCAGGAGGAGGTGCTTGAATTTGTTAAACAATTGAAAATGATGAACAAACAATTTATTACTTAAATCAAGCAACTGATTCGAGAGAAAGCAGAGTACAAATAGTTGATTTAGGAACTGCAAAGTCAGTTGCAAAGAAAGTGCGAGTAGTTATAACAGTAAGAGTTGATAATCCAGGAGTGCGAACTATAGGTAGCATTTGTGTAGGTTATTGTAGTTAGAGTCATGCAGGTCGAATTATGAAGAACAAGTTAATCGGTTGGAAGTAGAGTTGAAATTAAATCAAATGGTTTTCTAGGTTGAATTGAGTCAGCAGAAATAGGAGATCGTGGATCTAAGTGATAAATTGAAAAGCACTCAATAAGGTTACTCAACTACTGTGGCTACTTCATTTTTATAAACATCATTTAATTAGAAATAGGATAGTTTATTCAAAGTATGAGTAGTTGAATAACTTTAGGATAGTCATACATTAGAGAGTGTAGGTTAAACAGAAGGAGAATATAGCATTATGTCGAATAAGAATAAGGGGTAGAAAATGATGTTGAAGATAATGTAAGATCCCATAACCAACTTGAAGAAGCAAAAGGAATTAATTAAAAGAGAAATCACTTAATGGTAAGATGAGTTCCTAAAGAAAGAAGGTCGACCACCTTCTATTAATGATAAGTAATCGATCAGTACTAAGTTTTATCAATATACTATATTGAAGAAATAATTAAATGATCGAAGCACTGTCATATAGGATAGTACAGATTGCAAGAATGTTAGTGTTTAATGCAATTTGATAGACGCATCATAGATGTGTTAATTGCAAGAATAAATCAAATAGAAAACTAACGAAATTAAGAGAATAAGTTTTTAATTGGAAGATTTAAGAGGCAAGGTGAAAGTGTACTGTAGAGTAAGACCCTCGAATAGTTTAGATAAAATAAAAGGTATTAATTGCAAGTTAAACTTAGATTGCGAGGTCTAATTTATAGATGAGTAGCACATCTCATTGAAATAGAAAGTTTTCAATTTCGACAACTGCTTCAACCAACAATCTACTCAAAAAGATGTATACGAAGAGATACAGTAATCACTTCAAGCAATATTTCATGGCTATAATTTGTGTATTTTTGCTTATGGTCAAACTGGCAGTGGCAAGACATACACAATGTTTGGAACAAAATAACAACCTGGAGTAATACCCAATTTAATAGACGATATCTATGCCTATATTAAACGAAACAATTTAGATTGTTCAATTATAGTGAATTCTTTGGAGATATACAAAGAGAACATCATAGATTTACTAAATGACTAACAAAGTTCTTTATCTCTGGAACTTAAGGAGAATGCAAGTGGGTAAGTGTTTGTTTAAAATCTTACCAATATCAAAGTGCAAAATATGTATGAACTAATGAATTTGATTGAGTTTGCATCATCGAAAAGAAGATAAAGTATAACTGAGATGAATGATTCCAGTTCAAGATCTCATATGTGCACTCAACTTGTAATCGAAACCTTTAATAAAATGACTTAATAGGTACGATAGAATTTGATACATAGAAATTCACCAGTAGAGTTAACCTGATTGATTTGGCTGGCTCAGAAAGGTGTAACAAATCAAGACTAAAACAAAATCAAATGGAGGAAGCTAAGTATATTAACAAGAGTCTCTCTGCTCTTAATGATGTGATGATTGCTCTATCGACGAAGAGTAGTTTCATTCCATACAGGAACAGTAAACTCACTTATTTGATGAGGGAATGCCTAGGAGGAAATGTATTGTTTAATTATCATTGTAGTCAAAAACAATCATGATCATCAATATTTCGCCTTCCTTTATCAACTTAGATGAATCTATGAGTTCCTTGTAATATGGGTAAAAAGTTAAATAAATAACTAATTAACCAATTAAGAATTTAGAACCAGTGGAACAAGCAAAAAAATTATAAAAAGTATGTAATTAGCATGATGAAAATACGTAATTAAGATAATAAAAGTGATTTATTTTATATATGCAATAATCTCAATACTAGATCTGTGTGTTAGGAAGTGCCAATTCTGATCATTTCCTTGAAGTTGAAGACTTTCCTAAAGAAGGAGAGACTATCGCTTCTAAGGTACTTCATTGCCCAATCTTATTAGAAATCCTATTTAAAAAATGGAGGCAAGGGGGCTAATCAAGCAGTTGCATCGGCTCTGCTTAAATCCAAGATCATCTTTGCAGGTCAAATTGGAAAGGATGAGCTTGGCTAATTGTTAGTCAAAGAAATGACTTTGGCAGGAGTAGATTTAACTGCCCTCAGAAAAGTGGACGAATAAACTGGATAGGCCATAATTCTGTTAAATAAGAAGGGAGAAAACCTTATAATCATAGTTGCAGGAGCTAATGGATATTATGAGACCTTGGATGTCTTACCACAAGAATACCAATAAGCTATTGAAGCATCAGATTTATTGTAATTACAAATGGAAGTACCACAGTCCATCAACATCTTGGCTGCCAAATATGTAACTAGTATACTAATAAATAGATGAGCTAAAATGATAAGATTACAGTGTTGGATTGTGGAGGCAAAGCAGAGAAATTAAAGAGTGATTTCCTTGAGAATTTGACAATTGTGAGTCCTAATGAAACAGAATTGGAACGTATCTTAGGGGAAGATCTTAATATGAATGCAGATTCAAATGTAGAAGAGTAAGAATCAGTCTATATTCCATAGGTTTCTTAGCAAAACCATACATGACAAGGTGTTCACTCGTTATCCAGATTTAATTGTTCTATTGAAGTTAGGTTCGAATGGAAGCATGCTTGTGACTAAAGAATACAGCGTAAGATGTCAAACAGTGACACAATTAAGTAGATATTATTACAATTACATTTTAGACCCAAACATTTTAGAAGAATACAAAATCGTTGATACAGTGGGAGCTGGTGATTGTTTCACTTCTGCATTTACTGTCTCATTTTACAATTCCTTAATTGAGTATGGACCAGCCAGAATTTCAAGTAATGATCAATCAATATTCTCGTAGCTCTAAGAAAAATAGATGTTGAGACACAAAAGAAATTGTTCTACAAGGCCATGCATTTTGGAAGTGCTTCTGCATTCTTGTGCATTACTAAACATGGTGCCATGCCATCAATGCCAAAGTTTGAGACAGTCGACAATTTCATCAAGAAGTATTTCCCATGAAATAGAAATTATAAAATAATTACAATATAGAATATTATGTCAGAAGGAATTTATACAGAGACTTTGAAGGATAAGTTTACTCTTTCTCCATTTGAAAAATACTCCAAATACGGCAGATTTCCCTTTAAGTTTCTGATCTCTTGTACACTCGTTTTCCTTACCACTTTACAAGTAATATTGATCTCTGAGCATTACACATATAATAATTCAGGACAAATAACTTAATTCGGTATTGTGTGTCAATCTATTAATAGTGGCATTATTTTTAAATGCAGATGAACCTATGAATAATAAAATTACTTTACTTACAATCGATGACTTTTAGGATTCATTGAATAATACTCTCAACAATCTAGCCAATATTGATGATATCACAGTTTAGAATACAACAATTTTAGGTAACACCTTCTTCTAAATCAATTATAATTATCCTTTTGAAGCATACAGAATTGATTATCCATTTATGCGAAATGTTACTTTGGGTGAACCATTACTCGACCCATTTGACTTAGAAGATGATGATTAAATACGTGGTTTTTGGACTAATGCTTATGAATTAACACTAACTGTGAACTAAGTCAAAGTAGAATCCTAATAGCGATCTGCCTGTTGGGACATCTAGATTACATATTAATTCATTAATTATGGTTATATTGATGCCACCATTACTTCAATAGGGGGGATTTGCGCAGAAAATAGAGAAGAAGAAGAAGGACATGGATCTGCATTCAATAGTGCTGCTGTTAGAATAGATAATATGTTATTGTAATTGAGTATTATTTTATTGGCATTTATTGATGTTTGTTTGGGAGTCAAATATATTTATGAAGTTATTGAAATGTACACAAATAACATTTCAAAATTGAAGAAAAAAAGAAAATTCAAAGTTCCTGAATACAAATTATATAAAAATCAGAATCTCACAACATTAAAGATTATCTTAACTGAATAAAAACCTTGGGAGCAATTGACAATAAAGGAAAAACTATTGTTTTTCGATCTATTTTTACCCATAAGAATATTAGGGAATATCATTTAACTAATCTCAGCTGGTATACTAATATCTGAGACTTTCATAAGAGTTGATGGGTTATCATAATATGATGAGTTGATGGCTGGATTGGGTTGCTTTTTCGCATGGTTTTCAATAGTGAAATACTTGGATTACTATGAAGAATTGCATTTAATTGCATCTGTGTTAGAGTCATCTATTTTACCAGTCTGTATGGCTATTTTAAATTTCTTACCAGTGTTTTTAGGCTATGCTCTATTGGGTATGTGTTTGTTTAGCGATTCTCATTAGTTTGTGAGCTTATCGTCTTCAATAAATGCTCTATTCTCATTGATTTATGGAGATTCAATATCTGATGTGGCTAGAGATAGCTCTAGAGGGGTTAGTTTGGAATTGTCATTGATTTACATAGTCACTTATATTTTATTGTTCTTATTTGCTGTGCACAACATCATGGTGGCTTTGATTAAGGAGTAGTTGGAAATTCGTAAGGATCTGATATTCCAGGAGAAGGAGTTGATGAATCAATTGGACCTGAGTAATAACTATTAGTATTAAATGTATTTGATGAAACAGACAACTATGATGAATCGCAGTGTAATGAAGGATGATTTTGGTTCAATGATGCAATCTTAAAATGGGAATAATCAATAACAATAGATGAACAAGTAGATCTCTTTGAAATCGATAACAAAGTTGGCGATGTTGCATAAACAGAAGTCAGCTGATGTTTCTAAATAGGAGATCGAGAACAATTGGAAACAAATTTGTAAAGAGGAGATGTAAAACCATTATATTTATAATATATTGATATCGACAATAACTGAGACTAAGAATATTTTGAGCAATGTGGAATTGGAATTATGGAATGATATTGATTCTAGTCCATTTACGGTGATCGATAAGAAGGAGATAATCACATTGTATTGTTCTTAATTGATTAAGAAGCATCAGAAAATGAGGAATATCTTTAATAAAACAAAGTAAATAAGCTAAAATTTGAAACAATGAAGATGAGTATAATTATTAATAATTAGTATTTTTCAACATGGAATATTTTCTCTTCTTGCTTGTTGTTTGGTCAGACAGAACTTGACTTTGTGTCTTCTAGAGGGTGATTGAGTGTTTAACTAACTACCAAGTTGCAAACTGCAAATGCTCTGTCTACTCGAGTTGAGAGAGGAGGGGTTTTTCAAAATGCTTTTGGGAGTAGTTATCGAACTTTGGGACCTTGATTTGTCTGATAATTCTAATTGTAATAAGGAGGATTGGGGATTGTTTCTTTTAGATTTGTTATTGATTTTGTTTCTGGATTGTCTCAGTAAATATTGCTGATTATATTGATTCATGGTGTTGCTCACTAATTTCGATCTTTCTTTCCGGGTTTCTGAGAGGTGGTGGTTGGAATCTTATCTTTGGTATAGATGTAACTCCAAGTTAGAATTATAAGAGTCATTGGAGTAGTATGAAAACTAAGATCTCTTTTTCGAGGTGAATCTGTGAGGGACAGAGGGGGAAAGTGCTTCTTTATTCAGTTTGGAGAGCTTAGATTCTGTGTATTGAGGCTCATTGATTGGATCTCCTTTATCGAAGAGTATTTGGGGTATGGCATCTTGTAATGAAGAGATATTATTTGAAATTAGAGACTGTTGTTGTGAGGGTTGAGTGGGCTTGGTGGATGAGGATTGCTATTCAGTGATAAGATTTAGAATATGTTTTTTTTTGTAAGAAATCTCACGTTTAAAGTTATACCTTGAATAGGTTAATAGGCTATCCATCTTCTGTTCCAGGCCCAACTCATCAGGGTCATTTATATCATTTAGATCGAAATCATCCTTCATCATTCCAGAAGTGTGTCTTAATTTTTCTCGATTACGAAATGACATATATTTAATTAATTATGTTTTGGGGTGTAAAATTATAAAATGGATAAATCAAAACCATAAAGGCCAATCTGATAATCACCAACCTGTGTGGTCTTGGTACAGTGAGACTCAACAACATAATGATTGCGACGCTGACAGCCAAGTAGGTTTGATATTGATAATATAAGAAAAGCCTCAACTTTTGGTTGATTATAAAGTAAATGGAGAATTCACATTGTAAAGCGAAGGAGGCGATGTTGACGTGTGTGGGTACTATGCTGACAAGGACTCATTGGACGAGTAGGATTTGCAACAATTATCGATTAAAGCATAATCAATGCAAAGTGAGGAATAGTTGGATGCCATCTTCAAGGAGCAATTAAGAAATATATAGAAAATGCTCAAAAAATGAAATTTAATTAGTGCTTATTGTTATAAATTTAACATCATTTGGATTTATATGGGAATAAACAAATAAAATTTAATAATTAAAAATCTTTTTAATGGCTAACATCCCATAGCAATAATATTCCACACCATCAAATTTACCTTCATATAATAGAGATCAATCCACTTACCAATAACCAACCTTGGGATAATAGCAAGTTCCATAGAGCAATTATCAACCTCAACAATCTGCTGAGAAAGGATTACAATACTTGCCTTAACAACCAGGTATTTTGCCACAAAATGTTTAAACACAACCATTGTATGGACAACCACAAGTTGGAATCGTAGGATAACCATTCACTCAACAACCCATATTTGGCCAATCCTAAATTTAACAACTACCCCAACAAACAGTTGAAACTCAATAAGGACAAGTGGTAAAGGGACAGTCCAGAATTGAATACATTCCATATGAGAGAACAGTTACAGAATACGAAGAAGTGAGAAGACAAGTGCAAGTACCCATCACTAAATAAGTCACCGATTATTATGCAGTCCAATATGACATCGAATACATCCCCTAAGTCATTCAGGAGAAGTAAGTCGAATATGTCCCAGTTGAACGAGTAGCAGAAAGAACTGAATATTACACAGTTGAGAGATAAAACGTAATCTAATAAGTATGACTCAATCATAAGACTTAGCCTATCGGATATCAATCATCTCAAGTCCAGACTTCCTATGCACCAGTCTAAACTCAGCAAATCACTCAACAGTATACTTAATATGTCCCACCCCAACAAACCATCGCTTACTAATAGCCAGTCCAAATTTAATAGCAATATCAAACCAGAGAAGTCATTCAATAGCCAATCGTCCAATAATCCTACTTACAACAAAGAGAAGTCATACCATAACAATAACTCTAAGTCCAATAGTCAGTGGCATTACAACCAACCATCCCAACCACTCAATACTTACCACAACAACAATATCAAACCATCCAAACAACCCAACCCTAATTCCAAATCGCTCAAGTAATCACTACTATTTATCAATAGACTGTGCCATTGAATTATGGCCAACAAATCTAAACTATTTAAACTCAATAGCAACCAGTCATCAATCCAGCCACTCAAACAACCACCCAAATTAATCAAGGATATTCCATTCCAGTCACCTAAACCTAAGCTCCCCAATACTCAGTCCATGGACAGCAATCCCTTGCTCCTCAATAGCCTAAAACCTAATAGTCTCTAGCTCAAACTACCCAATACAACCCTTAATTGTAATAGACTGTCGCACCAGCACAAGTATCTTGTATCAATTATACATCAGTTTGCTTAATCAGTGCCCCAATAATAATAACAATAATAATAACAATCCATCCCTCAAGATATGGGAAGAACCAGACCTTATCAATAAGGTTAGTTGCCTCAATAACCATCCCAACCTCAATAGCCAAATACAGCATAGAAATAAAATAAAGAAAAATCATTCTTGGAGAAATTGTTCGATTGATTATTTTTGCATAAAATACATAAATATAATTAAAATATATGAATTATCTTTTTATAATCGGCTCTTTGATAATATATTCAATTTTTGGTGAATTAATATTGCTCACGAATGGAGATCATTATCACGAGATTTTTGATATAAACAAATATGAAATTTCCACTGATTGCAACGAGAAACACATTTAAATCCAGGAACATAAAGTCATTGAGTAGGTGCAATTGCTAGAGAAAACCCAAATAGAGCAAGTACTCTCTTATCATATCACTTAGATTGTCTACTACCCAAATGATTAGAATACCATACTCATCTTGGAAAAGATAGGCAAAATCACCATACTCTTTAAGGATAATCAATAATTCAATTCTCCCTTCAAAGAATTGGGAACACTCGATCTAAACACCAAAGGTCTACCTGATTTCACCTGTAGCGATATGACTTAATACTCACTCGACATCTTCATGGCTGTCTGCAAATCAGACAATGATATTTACATCTCTAAAATCGAATGCATAGCTGAAGATAATAAGTATTTATCCAGTTGTAATTCTCATCTGTACTTAAATTCAGAGGAACTGAACAATTGCGATAACTTAAATATCATCACTGAGAGTTCTTGGAGAGTCAAAGATCCTGAGTATTTTAGCATTTATTGTTCCTCCCAAGACAATTTTAAAGTCAAAAGACCACTATTAATTGGTAAATTTAATAATCGAGCTAATTCTATATAAATGGCTACACTTATGAGTTCAATCAATGAAATTGAAAAAATATCTTTTTTCGACGATAACACCCTCATGATATTAGATCATCGATCAGCATTACATGTTTTTAGATTTGCATTCACAGATGATGGTGACATCACCTACGAATAATTATTGTGGTAATTGTTTTTACCAAATGAATTATTTTATGCACTCAGCTACTCCCATGAACAATATGCCATGAGGTTCCCACCAATCGGAATCATAGAGAATGACATTCAATATAGCATCGTAATCTTGAGCGATCATTTTATATATGAATTAGCTTTACCGCAATAATCGAAAGATTTTTTCTTCACTGCACTCCCAATTAATGATAAGATCAGCATTCGGAATATACTCAGTGATAAGTAAATCAAAAAGGGATAAATTCAATATGATGAGTAGTTTTATTATGTTTGCCTTACTTACATCTAAAATTCTATAGAATGCTATAGAATTAATAGACATCAATCCTACACTGAAAAATTACTGCTTCGAAATAAATATCAACACCCCATGTTATTAACATATCCTGTTTCCTTTTCCACCATAACTGGACAGACCAACATATTGATAACTCAATAGATGAATCAAACCAAGGCAGTATTAAGTTTGATAAAAAATGAAATTGAAAGGATAACCGTACTCTCCACATCCAATGAAGAATTTCTTTGTTCTATTGTATTAACTGCTTAAGCCACTTCAATGTGTAATAGTAAGTAGGATCAGAATGTAACACTTATGATTTATAATCAAAAATTTGAAAGCACCAATTTATACAAAATCGACCATCTGTAAAATTACAACTTTCCAAATACCGATTCAACTGTCCTCTATTCTACCTTAATAAGAGGGCCTGCCGCTATTCTTTAACCCAAATGCGATAAGAACAGTAAGTAGTATTAATATTTTAGAGTAGATGTTGAAGTCATAAGCCTTTCTGGCTTCGGATATGAAATGTGGGAAGACTTGTATTAGAATTTTATTTAGCATTCTCGCATTCCTATTAGATCGTTTTTAGATAAGGGATTCAGAACCATATTCTTATAGATAGATTAAGTCAAAATAATAATTCAATAGGAAATTCCGAATACAATTTATTTTACTCAGAAAATCTACTCCTTAAATTGCTCATCAGTCAATATTGTGTAGAAGATCGTCAGCATTTCCCCATATTATGTAATATTCTATTAGAAAACAACTTATTACACAGTCTTGAAAATGTTGAGAGTGGAAGAAGACTTATTGGAGTTTGAATGTAAGAATGTTGAATATCCACTCCACGATTCATAACATGAAGTATTTGTAGATTTGGATTTCATAAATTTATTTTTCACCACAAACAACACAATCTATTATACTGACATCTATTTTAAAGATGTGGTTACCATAGAAATTGATCGTAAATTTCGATAATTGAATTTTCAATTTTTAAAGAATGACATCATTCTAGGAAGTCATCAAAATAAATTATACAAGATCCAATTGACAACCCATTTTCAAGCAAATCATTTTAGGACAACAATCTCAGAAATTGAATTGGGTCAATTGAGTCACAATTTTAAATTCTTTGTCTTACAACTTAGGAAACCTATTCTGACATTAGTGGTTGTAGATGACAGAATAACACTATACACAATAGACAACTTACAAGATATCAAGTTCGATTCTATGCTACCCTAATTTAACAGCATTATCAATGCTAATGAAACCCATATAAATTATTATATGTTAATAGTACCAACCAATAAGCCCAATGAATTGTATATATATGATTTGTCAAAGACTGGATCAGATAGATTACATGCAATTCACAAATATCCAATTGAATCAGAACCAATAACTATATGCTATCCAAAAATGCAATCCTTCCTTTACTGTCTGTAATTTGCAAATGCTGACATAAATTGCTACTTTAATAAAATGCTTGAATTTGAACTGATTGCTTCTGATCCAACCAACATTGATAACTAATTCTCAGTTGCAATCAATGCTTAATCTGCATTAAGTTACAGTGTATAAAGTACTATAATATTAATATATATTTATAGAAACCCTGACAATCAACGGTAGTTTTAGATATTAGGATACGATGATAGAGAAGAGTGTAAAAATGTTGGAAGAAATCAAAATCTACAAGACAAATTATACAACTGAACTAAAAATCATGGATTATTATTCTGGCCCTATTTTTAATTATTAATTGTAAAGTGCCAAAGACTACAATATAAAAATTGTGCCATTCATCATGGAATAGGATGATAATTTGGTTAGATTTAAGATCAATTAGACAATTCTAGGAACAAGTGTGTCAAAGGAGTATTTAATCATTTTGGGAGATGAAACCATAGGCATAATAGATATTCCTCAAACCTAATGTAAAATATCTTATAACGTAGATCATAAATAAGTAATTTAGAGTACCATAGATTATGATGAGATCAAGAATGTATTTTTTGATTAAGATTAACCAACTGTGAATAATTGTACTAAATCCTTTATTAATCCATTGTCAATTGCGGAATTATCAGCCATCCACATTATAGCTTTATTTTGCTAATCTATGATGGTGAGAGTCAACGTCACCAGCTAAATTAATCAATTGAGTTTTACTATCCTATCGGATAACCAACCAATAGAAAAATAGTTTTTGGACAATTTCTTCTTTTTAAATGTCAATTTCAAAGATTTCTTGTACCAAAATCAAAGTTCTTTTATTTTGGAGGATGTGAAGATGATTAATTTCCCAATTCAGTTCAAACCAAAGTATAAATTTATTACTGTAACCGCTATGGTAAAGGGAAATAAAAGATACGATTCTGAAGACCGAGCCAGAGATAACTTAATTTGTATCTTCTATGGATACTTAGATTAGAGTTAGAGTTCATTAATGAATGGATCACTTTTGGATGTGATTGGAGCAGCTAATTTTAATAGAAATACGTTGATCGTTAACAATTTTTAGATGTATTGCGTTAAGGGTTGCATCATTCAGAATGCTAATGATATCAAGATTGAAACGATTATTGAGTTAATATTCAATGATCAATACTCATTTAATCTGTATAAGTTATAGATAAGTTTCATATACGCAACGAAAAAGCAGCCATAATATAAGTTGATAAATGTGGATACTCTAAACATCAAAGAACTAAGTAAATTGATAATTTTATGTATTTAGTGAGTAATGTTATTAAGAATCAAATTGAATTCACATACATTGACACTGAAGTTTAATTTCAGAACGAGTCGACTTATACAGTTAATGTAACTACGGATTCCCTCAGTTTTGATTTAGTTCAAATTCAGAGGCGAATTGAGATTGAATAGATTTTCAAGTAAGCTTAGAATTTGATATAGACAATACACACAGTGTCAGAGTCCCCCTGGATCATTGAAGGCATCCTATAACTAGTATTTCGCTATCAGTTGTAGAAATGCATCTAGAAACTACTCTGAGCAAACTCAGTTTGTTAAATTGTTCTTAAGGGGCGAATACTAAATAAATCATTCAGTGAAGTCCGTTATCCAGGCTGCTTAGATATAAGGAAATCTAATGTTGTTAGACATACAAAAGGGGTATTTGAATGAGCATGTTCGAATGTTAATTTTGGAATAAGACTATAACTAATAGGACTTTTAATTGAGGTGGTTTCATCTCAATGATCAGTTTACATTATTAGTAATTTGAGTGATCAATAAATAAATTAGGCTGATTAGAATAGTACTCCTTAGAGTGTATTGAATGTGTAATTGTGTCCTAGCAATTTAAATGAGATCCAAGGTTTGTGTATGGATATCACGATTTCAAATACGGGATATCATCATTATATAACAACGGAATGGCTGTTATTTATATTTTTGATTGGTTTGCCCTTGATCATAAGTTGTAGTTTTATAATATTTTGCATCATCAATTATAAGGCTGAGAAGTAAAAAAGAGTGGAATCTTTTGGAATGAATCTTGAACAGTAACTTAAGAAATAGTCATCTCACGTATAATCAAGAATGGAAAATACTATCTATTGAATATATATATATTTCACAATTAATCAGTGATTAAAGTTATTATATTCAACTAGTTTAATGGAATTAATTCATAATTGAATAATAATTATTAAATAATCACTGCTTGTTACAAATGAAGCTCTGCAACTTATGACAATCTTTAATGGATGTCTTAGTCAAATCCACATTAACCGAAACAAATCTGCCCATCATTGGTTACCCCTAATAGTTATGACAATTAAATTACAATGCTCAAAAGGAAATCAGTGTCAATACTCTCTGGGAAATGTGATCCAATATTTGGATTGATACAACTCCATAAAAATCCTGCATAAACTCCTCCCACAACTTATAAAACAGTGGGTCCAAATCTTCCATTGAATAACATCGAACTATCGACCTCATCCATAATGCTGCCAGTCCACCAGCCTCGGTTGTTGTTCATGATGATCATGGCACCAACCTTGTCAACCCCTCTCAAAGTAGGATGGTTGATTGGGTGAATGACTTCCATTTCAGGATGAGTGTTGTTGAGATCAGCATTCTTTGGAAGACCAGATATAAATTTCTTGGCCAAAGGATTATAATCGTAAACGTAATACTAAGATGGGGCATATCCAGTTTCAGGATCAGCCAAATAGTCTTGGATACTGTAAGCCTCTCCATGAGGTATCAATACCCCAGTAATATCTTAATTTGGAAGCCAACTCTTCGCAAATGTCTGCACTGAAGGCTTGGTAGATACAATAGTCTTTCCATCTCTGATCGTGTACATGGATTCAATTCGGGAGTCCTCGTGACTGCCTCTAGCCACTTAGATTGGTACGAGTCCTTCAGTCAAGAATCCTCTGCAGGACCATGTATTGTAAAATTTATTATTAATATCTTTTGGAATATCCTTCATCATTTGATTATCATATTCTGAACAATGTATTGTGTGAACCCCCAACACCTGGGCTAGTTTAGAATGATTCCTAGCTTCCAAATATTTCTTCAACAATTATTTGTTCACATCCTTGAATTAATCATCATGCTTCAAGTAATACTTGGCACAATCTTCTAATCCTCTCTTTACACAATGTGAAACTACACCAGGATTGAATCCCATCTCCAGAATGCTTGTAGCTCCACTCCTTGGATTCCAATGCTTCGATTATTTGGCCTTGTCCTTAATGTATCCTAATGAAAGCTTGTATGCTTCTTCACTATTCTTAGGACAAGAATTGGCATCCTCACTGTCTTCCCATTGTTCCAAGGCTGTGTTCATGTATCTTATCTTTTTCTCCGCGCACAATGGCCAAATCGATAAGAATTCAATGTTTGTTGACAAATCCACTAAAATATCTCCGCTTTGCAATCTAGATATTAATGAATTATATTACCCCATCCTTGAGAGAGTGTCACCTATATTTTCTTTGGTTCTTTCTTCTATTATGCATTCGAAACGATTCTCATTAGGTCTAAACGCATCATATTTATCCAGAGCAACTATTTAGGCATCTAGGAATAAAAAACAATTTTATACTTGGGTGGTTTTTCAATAGAACTTCGACAAAAGCACTCCCAATAGCACCGTAGCCTAAAACTCCAATCTTCCTTGGTAAAGGATAAGAACCAAATCTCTAGATGCATTTCAAGGACAAGGACATAAACTTAAACTCTTTGTTGATTTAAAAAAGTGTTTGAATTTTTATTGAATAAAATATATAATTTCTCTAGTCATTTCAAAAAGATTTAAATACCCTCAAAATAAATTAATAATAAATTATGTTGCGTACTATTATTAAAGCACTGATTAAACATATTATTCATTTTTTTTTCATTTAAATCAAATATAATATAATATTATATAATATATTATAATATAAAAATAAAATATCATATTATATAATGTTAAAACTTCTAAAAATCCATCCTTCTTCGAATCTCACTTATTGTACGCAAATGTACGACAAACAATACATCAATATATATTTAATAACAATCAAGATTCTGTGTCACCCCAAACCTAGTTAATCCCTCAGAATATTTTCAAAATTCTATAATCAGATAAGCTTGAATTATTATCATTCTTCATGGTATTTAAGAGGTGCATATTCAATTGCATACTCAATAATAGCCAAATTTCAACTCCCTGAGAATCAGAATCATAAATTTATGTAGAATCTATCGATAAGAATTAAATTCCTGAATAAAACTTAGTAAAGGTACTCTATTTCTCGGAATGCCTTAGAAAATGACTAGAAAGAATGGCAGACTACATAGATTTGTACTCTTAGTTTAGAAGGGGATGGAGAGTAAAAGAATAATTAGAATAGTCAAAATACATTGAGAATTTTGTAATTATTTTGTGGTTAACTTTTTAATTGAATAAAAAAGATAGAAGCTTTTTTTTAAATGGTTGCGATTCACTTAATAAAAATGATTTATCTTAAAATACATCAGATATACATCATTTCTGTTGATAAAATAGAATGTATGCATTCTTGTCGTTGATTACATCATTCTATTTTAGTTCTTTAGTTGTATCATCATTGAATTCAATCCATTTGTTTTATCTTCTACCATACGCTGTATAATGACCATTGTCTAATCCACCAAAATGTAACACGACACCATATAACTCATAATTTATTTAGTTTATTTAAATGTCCTCTGGATATGTGACAAGAATATTGTTTTTCTAGAACCCCTTATGTTCATCATATTAAAATCTTTTGAGTTGAATGATTAATTAATCAGGTAGTTTTTGTAAGCTCATTGTTTTGATAGCAAAGGTTAGATCGTTGCAAATTGTACAATGATAGGCATTTTCATCTATTAATGGTTCTTTAGATTGGAAATTGTCGATCAAATTTAATACATTTAATGCTATAATATACATATGCATTTGTACATTTATCATGTTTTTGGTAGTTTGTTTTGGGTTCAAATTCTATTCTTAAGGTATTGGGGATTGCATTTTCTAAGAATTCTATTGATAATGAAGTATGGGCATTAGCATAATTAATTTTGTCTAAATATTAATGCAAAGTAGTTGAGTTATTGAAGGGCAATTCACACGTATGAGGTTTCTGATCTTTCTTAAATTGTTTGCCACACGTAAATGGACAAGGAATCTTAGATGGTAATCTAGTTTGAATTATAATCTGATAATTTAAGACTTCTTTGAGCTATTATGAATTTAATATGTTGGCTTGTTAAGGCTCATCAATTTAAATATTCATAAGTTAATCTGATTTGGAATGTTCTCCAAGTTTATTCCATACTTATTGATAAATTTGAACTGCAGTAAATTATTTCTTGATAATTAGAATCTTGGGTATGGCTGCACATATATACTCACATTGAGAGGAGAAGGCATTCTTCTTTTCAAATGAGTAGATCATCACATCAAAATATTAATCCTCATCAGTTATGGAATAAATGCTCTGATCCAATTAAAATAAACAAAAATAGCTATTTTTATTATCGTTAAGCACTTTTGATAAATGATCCTCATCATGAAACAAATACATATCAATTATGCTATTAGAACAAAATGCGCCTAATAGATAGGTGGCTTCAATTCCTAATTTCTCTCCTATATCTCTTTTAACTTCTAATAGCAGAGTTTGATTTGGTTAATATTCATAAACAATTTTTTCATAAGGTTTATACCAATCATTCGATATAACAAATACATCAACTAAATGCTTAGATTAAGATGTAGCATTTAATGAGAGTGGCAAAATCAAAAACTATTCATAACTTTATGTTTTTTATTCACAAATGGGACATTCAATTTCTGATCGAGTGATTCCTAAATAATTCTTAAGAATAAATGAGCTGTTTAATTTGTGGATCAACTCCAAAGCCTACTCGTAATTATCATTATTGATTTACTAAATATTATGAATTAATTTACGTTTTATTATACTTTTTTATGGAATTACATCTGCTATTATTGTGCTGGCTTAGTCTCACTATTTTCTTGTTCTTCACTGCTATCATCTTCGCTATCACTATTTGCTTATTCAGGTTCAGGTTTGTCACCATCACCTAAATCTAATTACTACTACAATTCAAATTCAGGCTTCTAGTAGCCATCCTTCTAAATCAACTCTTCATTTAATGCATCAAACAAATATAATATAAATTCTGCGGCATCTTATTAAAAGTTATTGCCAAACTAAGATATGGATATGAATTCTTACGAAGGGATATTTTCGAGCCAATTACTGTCTGAAGCTATATGGAGAGAATGCTTTATTTTGAGTCAGGAGATTTTTTAATAGCTTTTCTAATTTGTAATTTAATTGGACATTTCGTTTAATAGTATTTTAGGTCCAGTATTATTTATTTGATAGGAATTCCTATAAGTGAGTTGCACTAAAGAGACTCTATAGGGATGAATTCATATAACAAGTATTACCCAAATTGACTAATCCTACTCCCTATTTAGTAGAAAGATTGTCATAAGTGATTGCATCAAAGTCGTCATCATCTTGTGAATCATAGGCTTTTGTGCATTGTCTTGAATGAAATTCTTAATCCTTATATCTGCAAGTATCACTACAATAAAATACTTTTTTGCAAGCACAAGAATAATTCAATATAGCCTTCGATCCACAATTTAAGCAACATCCATTTTAATTTAAATCGAATTTAACATCCAATTAAGATATTTCAACCTTATTTGAAAATACTACCAATATAAAATGGTTTTTTAAAAACTGAGATAATTGCAGTTGCTAATATTCTGCTTCTAATAATTATTCACCCAACAGTATATTTTTATTCTAATGAATTGCCTTCATTAATTGCAGTTTGATTTGATTTTATTCATATATAGGATTCATTAACCAAATTTGAATATCTTGATTCTCCATTATTTATTAACAATAGGTTTCCAAGTCTCTGAATTTCCATTCACTAAACATTTAAGCTTTCCTCATTCTCAACAAATCTAAGGAATTAGTCACCTAGTTTTAATTAAGTGCACCAATTTCGTTCAACTTATCTTGAGTCATAAAAATTACATAGGGCTTAGGTATCAACTAAAATAATTACACTTATTATCAGCAAACTAAACTCTCCTTGTTCGTTTGATATCCTCTTTACAGCCTTCCCCTTGTATTTCTCACTAAAGAATTCCCAAACATCTTATGTAATCAGGATGTAATCTTTTACAGGTTGGACATCATTCAGTGGAGGATCAAAATAAAAATACAATTCTGGTGCAGAATGAAATAATTCCGCATTTCCAACTATGTCCTTATTGATCTCTCCTATTTATTGTCTTCCATATTTCTTGCCTCCTGGTTGATCACCTTTAAACACGGCATCATAACCAACATGAATCTTCCAAGTTTCCAACCAGCTTTTTGATAACAAATAAGCTTCCTTCACTTATTTCTAAAGGAAGAGCTCTTTTGAAAGTTTTAATTTATTGATGCCCTCCAAAGCTTTTATTGTTAAATACTTAATACCTTCCAGATAAAGATTTTACTTGAAATCTTCTCCTAATGGTGGTAGAGGGGGCTGATGACGCCTGTTTTTTCCTCCTTTTTTTCTGTTTTTTCGACCCATAATAGAAAAAAAAAATGAATTTATTTATGATTTATATGTAACTAAAATCCATTATCTTAGGAACACAAAACTGATATTACAATTTATATGAATCTTCTGCATTAGATCTCACATTTCTTATTATATGTGTGTTCATATATAATTATTAAATTAAATAACACATATTCACATAATAATCAATCAATCTCAAATATTTCTGGCATTATCTCTTAAAATCGTAAAAATTGAATGTTTCTTCTCTATTGATAATTATTGATTAGAGTTTGTTGACTTTCTACTTTTAACTCTGGTTAATCGTCTTCATCGTTGTGTTATTCTACATATTCTATCTTTTTTTATTTATCAGGTTGTTATTGTTATTCTTTTGAATAAGGAATCTCTAATTCTTAACTGTTACTTTGCTCCAATTACTGCTGTTGTTATTTTATCAGTCTTTTCTCTCTTAATTCTGTTAACTTTTCTTAAAATTATGAATATGGTATATTTGCATACTCTAATAATTAATATTTAATTATATTTACATTGTTCCTATATTTAAATTATATTGTCTTCATTTCTACTTTCGAATTTTAAGATAACAAAATCTGTTACATAGTCGATAGCGACTTATGAATCAGAGTTGTTTTGGAGTTTCAAATGCAAAAATTGATTTGTGACAATTTGATCTACTACTTACTTTTGTAAAATGCAAAGATCATTTTCATCATATTCTATCAATAGTTCTGCTTTGTTGTACCCTTTAATACGAATTATTAAAAATAATAGTTTTCCTTCCTATCTTTGATTGAATGTTAATTATTAAAAGTTCTCTCTAAAATTAAATAATAAATTACTATTTTTCTTCTTATATTTCTATTTCTTGATTTTATTGATCCTTATTTTCAGAAGAACCAATTTCCTCTACAAGAACCTTTTAGTCTTGGATTTGTTATTCCTCAGGTTCCTATGGGATGAACTTAATCTAAATTTCTTATTTAATTTCAGGTTCCTCATTCTCATCGTTCTGAGATGTGGCTTATTCTTGCTTAATTCTATCAATTTCCTCTTAATATTTGATCTTTAAATAATCTTTAGATATAGGAGCTCTAATCTTCAGTGTCTTTGATTTTGCATCAAATTTTGCTGATGCTTCACTTTATTCTATAGGATAAGGTAATTTAATGTCCAAAAAGTACTTATTTGGCACATCTAAAACAAGTGCTTGATTGCTGAGATCCAATTGAATTTCTTTCATAGCTTCTACTTTCTACATTTTCAATTCACATGCTAATTAATTTGGTAATTTAATAGACATATTGGCTCTAGAATCTAAGAAGTCACTGTATTCAACAGGATAAGAATAAATAAATCTATATTTTGGTCTTGAAACAGCTGTAGATTCTATCTCATCAGATTCCTTCTTAATATCCTCTTCCTCTTCTGCTTATTGTTCTTTTTATTACTATTATTTTAATTTCTCCTCTTCCTTAATCTTATCATTCTCCTCTCTCATCTAGTTGATGTCCTTTTATAATTTTGTTTAAGCATTAGCTTAACCTCCTTATCTACTATCTAATTCGTTTGTAAGTTTTCCCTTTTTATCAATCCTTACAGGAAGTAGAGCTGGCTCACCTCCTTTGCATTTTGTATGTTTTAGAACCTTAAAATCTTTGCTTATTTCTTCATTCCTTTCTCCAAGTTGTTTGCTTGATGCTTCAAGTGCTGTTGAACAAACTAGGTTTTTAAAATTTATCATCTTGTAACATAAACCTATTGTATTTGGATGAAAGGCTACATCAACGGTATTGCATACATTTTGCTCTAAATTAAATGTGGAGTATTACTTTTGTCTTGATCATATCTGATTTTACCAATGGAATAGGGGATTTTCCAATTTTGTCCAGTTTATCCATTTTATGTGATTGTTTCTGACTATGGCTTATCGATAACACCAGTTGAGCATATGTTAATAAAAAACTTAAATTATAGATTAAATTCCTTACTTTTTATTCATGCTTTCTATTTTGTTTATTCCAAATAGTTGTCTTAACACAAAAATGAGGTTCAGGTTTGATCAACTTCATGCCTTTTGGCAATTCTGATTCTCGTTCCAATTATTTCAAATATTAATCATATTCTTCCCTATTTTTCGGATCTGATATTTCCTTCATGTAATCACCCATCAATTCGGCGAATTCAGGCTTTTTCATTGCCTTTTCTATTTTTTTGAATTCCTAAATTCATTGAAACAATTACATCTCTCGTAATTTTAAGGTCTTCAGGATTGGTACCATGTTAATTAGGAATTTGCATAAGTTATATATTTAAATTAAATTATTTATTGTAATTTCTTCCAAGTTTTATTTTTAATTATTTTATTCATTCATATTATCCACCCTAAGCATTCAACCGAGAACTTAATCTAAAAATAATTATATACAAATAAAATTCTAATTAGATATTATTATTATTTTTATATTTATTTATGAGTTATCTATATTTTGGTACATTGCCTTCTTCAGTACCTCCCGTGTTTGGTATACCCTATTATTAATGTAGACACAACTCCATGTTTGAAGTAGATGCATGATTATGAAGACTGTGCCTTTGAGTAAATTAAATATTAATCATTCAAATAGATCAAATACTAAACAAATGGAAATCATTCATCCCAGCTGGCCTTCAATGTGGCCAAGAATGTTAACTGATGGAAAGTCAATTGTAAACAATACTCATTATCCCTTTAGGACTTTGGCCATACTCCCATGCACCAAGATAGTTCTACTCATTATACATAGTATTAATTCAATTTATACTGCTAGTATGCGCCCATTAACTAAAAAAATCAAGCATTTTTTATGGGAATGCGAAGAGGAAAGATTTGTCTATAAGGCTTGTTTGAGAAAATTAATAAGCCTTAAAAGAACTGACAAACACACTAGTTGGGACACAGCATCAGTTAGCAATTTAAGTTTAGTGTGATTAATATAAATAAATATAAATATAACAATAATAAGATTAAGATTATTTATAACATTTTTTATATAATATCTCTTAAGCCCCCCAAATCCAATCTTGAAATCACGAAGATCAAAACCCTAAGCAGAAATACATTAGTATAAATGAGTATCAATGAGTTTTACATCTTATGTAATATTATTGTTTCTATGGAAAGTTCTATTCTTTAAACTTCTATTGATTGCATCATAGATTGCATAAATTTGATTAAAATCTCCAAGAAGAGGAGAATATGCAGTCTGTTTATGCAATACATGGAAATAAATAAGATTAGACAAGACATATGATGTTAAGATATAACTGATTTGACATAAGAATTTGAATTCAATCTACAAGTATGAACTTCATATTTAGAAAAGACAAATTCTTTTTGAAATTCGGAAGCTCCATTGATTGATGATAGATTGCTATGACATACGAAATAATGTACCATATCATTAATAAAAAGGGACAGTTTGATCTTGGAAGTTTATTAATTTTGTAATATTAAATACTTATCTTAGTTACTGCCTAACAAAACTTGATGTTTGATATTCGATTGACTATTTGAAGGATAAGACCCATAGAGTTTATAATATTGAATATGAAACTACTCAAAAAAAAAGTGATGTAAAAAATATCAATTTTAATTAATAAGTATTCTTTACAATATTAATAGCAAGACTATTTATTCTTAGAGTTGAGTAGTTTAAATTTTACTTGTAAATATAATTTTAAAACAAGCTAAATATGAAAAAAATATAATATTTAACTGATTATATTGGTCAAAATAGCACAATCAAATTATTAATTCGTTAATAATTGAGAAGAAAAATATTTTCTTCAGTTTTGACACTTTGCTCCTTGAATAAAACATAGAAATGCCATTTTCATACATTTTATATGGATTGTTCTATATTTTATAAAACTAATTAATCAAAAATAGCAGATTATAATAGATGCTGAGTAAATTTATTCTACTTATGCAGCCTTCATATTAAATAAACATATTAATAATAATTTTATCTGATAATTTTCTTATATTGAAAAATACAATGAATGAACTCACAGCATAAGTTAATTTAAACGCTAGCCAATCTCAACATCCATCTAACATACAATAAATTGAGGAACAAAGGGTTAATTAGAATTAAGATGCAGAAATTTAACCATTACGTGGTGAAGATCAATAAAGTTAATTGTAAGTAGTCTCATCATATCCTAAGATAAAACAATCTACAAAATAGAGAATAGAATGCTTAGCAATAATAAAATAGAGTTGATAATAGATAGAGCATTTATATACCACCCTCTCACATAAAAACTGATTAATCAAACTAGTTTTTTGCCAAGGTAAGAAACCCTAACTATAATAGATTCATAAAAAAGAAAAAAAGAATAAAAAATGTTGTTAAGCATGTTTTCTTCCTATTGGTTCTCACACATTTTGTTGTGGAACAGATAATACAAAATAAGATTTTAAATAATTTGGGATGGGTATTAATTTATATTTTCGGTTTTTGAAAAAATTAGGACACTTTTTCATTATTTTTACCATATTTTCAATTCCACAATTATTCTTTAGTGTGCTAGGTATTGATAATTAATTATTATAGCTTATGTTGGAAGTGAATCTCGAGATACTTCTAATTCATTCGAGTTTTTAATGGCCACTACTATAGGTGCAACTAGTCTAAATAATAAAGATTGCTAAATATAAGCTTATAGTGCGAGTAAATTCCCAGATGATTATATTGAATTTAATTTACAGTGTGAATCTGGCAATCTTGCTGGATCATCATTTTATTATGGCATAATAAATTCAAATGAATAAGATTGCATTTATTTGGGTAAATCTGAATTAAATTTAAATACAACTAATTAGGATCGATTAAATTCATTAAGACAATAAATCAACTCAAAAGAAGAATTTTAATTTTCTTTAAGAAAATAAGATTTTGTAAATGAAGATCCAACTGGGAAGAGAATCTATGCTGGAGCTTACTGTAAAGAATCAACAATAACAATTGGATCACTGGAATTAAAATAAAAAATAGTACCGATTATCTTTGCATCTTGTGACGCTGTCATAGTTCTGCTATTCATTTATTTTTTAATTAGCTTAACTGCTAGTGAAAATAAATACAGTAAGATATCTTAAAAAGAAACTCCTACCTTATAGCATTTTTCCATTTAGCTATCAAGATTACCAAAAATTGAAAAATTAATCAAATCTTCAAAAAACAAAGATGAATTTAAGAAAAAGAAAGATTTATTGCTTTTTGAGGTGAAATAATTCATCAATGAATAATTAAAATTAGTCCTAAATGATTAACAATTATAGATTTATGATATTCAAATTTCAGAAAATGAAGAGCTATTGCAATTATACATTCAATTAAAATAGAGAAAAGTTAAGATTTAAGAGCAGTTAGATCAACTAAAAATCATTAAACCCGATATATTTAAAGATGTCTTATAGATGGTAAACAAATAACATGAAAAACTGACATAAACATTATATGAATAATTTTACGCCTTATTTAAAAATCGGATATAGAATCCTAGTTTAGAGCAAAAAATAGACTAACCTAATCAACTTATTATAAAATATTGGAAAGAAATAGATGAAATAACTTAAAAGATTGATGAAATCTAATTAGATGAGAATTCTAAATATATCTGGGTTACATTTGATACAATAAACTAAAAGGAAATGGTGTAAAAGAAACTTTAAAGTCTTCCTAAGGATTGGCTATATTATTATACTTGTCTTAAATGTTTTGATGATAGAGAGGAACAAGAGAAATTGTAAATATTTTTAATTATTTAGTTTACTTAAAAAATTTAAGCTTTAAGTTAAGGATGCTCCAATTCCTGAGAATATAAATTGGAAGAATTTGAATTATTCTATGAAATAAAGATTTTTTAGATAATTATTAAGCATGCTTTTTACACTAATTTTATTAGCCTGCTCATGGGTGTTAGTAAGTTGGGTAAATCTTTAGAAGTCTGATTTTCAAGAAAAATATCCATCAATAAATTGCAATAATAAAATCTATGATAATATTACTATGGAATAGGTTCAACAGGAAATTGATAATAATAACAACTCAGCTATTAAAGGTTATGTAGAATGTTATTGTAAACCTAAGTTTAGTGAAATTATTTAAGGAGAATATGAAATATGCTAAGATTGGGGTAAATAGTATACATTCTAATAATCATTACCATGGATTATTGTAGCAGGACTAATAGCAGTAAATGTATTAATTTAATACATATTAATCTGTAAGAATATAATAATAATTTAGTTTTATCAAAATGGGAACGACATTTGATGATTTCAGAAGAATATTCAAGCAGAATTTTGAAGATATTTCTAGCTTAGTTTTTAAATACTGGATTGATTCTACTAATTTCAAATATTGATTTTGGTAATTCTACTAGGAATGATGCTCCAAAGACAATAAGATTTCTTTTTGGAGGAAAGTATGGAGATATTGATTCTAAATGGTGTCAAAACATAGGAATTGTTTTGGTATATATTTATCATCTACAATAGTTATTAACTTTATTGATTAATATATTAACATAACCTATTATGCTTATGGTTGAGATAATTATTAGATATGTAAGAAAGGCTTATGATTAATGTTCATGCTGTTTAAATGAGAAGAAAACTAGATTATAAAACTATCAAGATTTTAAAGATTTATATAAAGGAGAGGAATTTAGAGTTGAATTGAGATATGCTCAAATTTTGACTGCCCTTTATATATGCGTTATGTACAGTCCAGCACTTCCATTCTTATATTTCATTACCATGCTGACAATTTGGTTTCTCTACTTTGTGGATAAAATCTCTAGTAAATCATTAAAAATTAAATTTCTTAGTTTTCAATACATATCGTAAACCTATTAGAATAGATTCAATAATTAGTGAATCAGTGAGAAAATACTTATGGATTGCAGTTGTTATACATTTAAGTTTTGCTACTTATATTTTTGGAAGTTCTAATTTATTTTATGAAACTGTTGAGGCTGAAATAGTAATTGATTAATTATAGAATGTTTATGGATAAGAGAATGTAGCTGTGGAATGGTGGGATAGATCTTGGAGTTAAATTCCTAATATCATTTTATTAATAATCCTTGCTTTGATTGTAATTTTAATAATTTTATTCTTCTTTTGTTATAAACCAATAGTGGGGTTGTTTTCTAAATGTTTTGCTTGTTGCAATGAAGAAATTTAAAAAAATAATCCTGGATTAGATTAATAAGAATAAAGACCTCTTTTAAAATGTAAAATTAATCTAATTATTCTAGTTCTAAAAAATGAATAAATAATTGAAGATCTGAAATTCACTAAATATTAAAAAGAAGAGACTTCTAAAATTTATGATGACAAATATCTCAAATTATAGGCAGAATGCAAATTACTAAATGAGAATATGGGGAGAGTTCCTTCTAGAATAAATCAAGAGAACAGACAAGATTAATCATAAAATATAGGTCGACAATCAGTTGTGAATAATAATGGGAATTTATCATAAATTACACAAATTAACAATAATGATGCAAATTAAAATGTTGATGCAGAAAGTTTAATTATTAATTAAGCCTAAGAAGAGAAAAATTAGAAAATAATTGGTTTAAGATCGTTTAATAAAGCAGTATCACTATTTATTTATATATTAGTATAATAAAACATATCAATAATACTTTGAGTGGGAATTCATTAGATCCATTAATGTAGATGTGTAACAATTATGAATTATTATTTTAAACAATTTTTAGAGTATATTTATTAAAATAAATAGATTTTAAGTTTTTTCTTTAACTTTATGTAAAAACATTTCCCAATAGAGTTAAGAATAATTTAGAATTGTAATAAGCTTCTAGTTATAAATTATTATTTCAACTTTATAATAAAAAATTATTTAAATTAAATGTTTTATTAGGATTAAAAGGAAAAATGCTTTTATTCCTTATTTCTTCAATTCTATTAAGATATGCTATAGAGATTCTCCAAAATACATGAAAAAATTTAGATAGATTTTAATTTTTATTGAATGATTATTAAATTAGCAATACTTATTTACAGATAATATGAATGAAATTGATTTTAATCAATAATTATTAAGTGTTTGTTTTAAGAATTTATTAAATGGATTATACAAAATGTGATTTATATAAATTATTTGTCTAATAAAAGTATATTGCTATATAATCAACATTTAAGGTTACTTAATTCAAAAACAGTTTATTTGAGAAATACATTGTAGATATCTGAAAAACCCTATTGTTATTGAAATTTTTATTACTTCTAATAATTGAAAATTTACAAGATATTTATTACTTATCAACCACAAGATTTCTACACAAATTTTGATTTCAGATTTGAATTTATAAATGATTTGAATTTTAAATGTATCCTTATTTTGAACTTGCTTTATAGAAATTGGTTTTTTCATTAGGAAATATTCTATAACATTTTTAATAATTAATTCAGGTTATCCTTTTATCGTTAAGCAAGATTCTGAACTAGATTGATTTTTAGCATTGGGCAATTGACTAACAACTTTGCCAGTCAAAAATGAGATCAACTCAAATCCTTTCATTTATCTTATAAATGATGGATTATCGATCATATTGCCCTTTAAAAGATTTGTAGGCACTGTTAATAAATGATGAGCAAATTCCTATGGTTAAGTAGGAAACTCATCTTATATAAACCACTATTATTCTTCTTTTGAGATATCAGTTTGAAACCATTAATGTTAAATAATATTCTCAATAGTTATTCGTTTATTAGGATGAGTGACTAATAATTTTGAAAGTAGATCCTTCAATTCAGTTGAAAAATATTTTGGAAATGGGAAATATTATGCTGTAATGATATTATCCAAAAGAATTGCTACATTATCATCTTCAAATGGCAAATCTAATAAATAATATTGGCATTTTACATCCAGCACATGAAAAATAGAGAATCACACCAAGTGACCAGATATCTGCTTTATGTCCATCATAACCTGAAGATTAAATCACTTCTGGTGCTAGATAATGGACTGTACCACATGTAGTGTATAATTCATTATTAAGATTACTTGGATCTTGAAAGAGAGAACTGAGACCAAAGTCGTTGACTTTTATCTAATCTGTTTAGTTGCAAATGAGAATATTTTCTGGTTTGAGATCTCGATGGGCTATTGATTTGGACTGGCAATATCGAATGGCTCTTATTATCTATCTAAAGTATTTGCGCATTTATGGTTCTGGTATATATTTGTTATTTCTAATCATATCAAATAATTCTCCTCCTTTAATCCATTCCAACACCAGGTAAATCTTCGTTTTGCTCGCCAACACCTAACATATAATTATGTAAGTACTTCTATCAATTTGACAATGTTTGGATGATTGATGATCATTAGTATGTGAATTTCCTTTTTGAGACTTTCGATTAATTCTTCTCTCTTGATTTTTTCTTTATCAATAATCTTAATAGCAAATTCTTATTTTGTTGTGACATTAATAGCACTCCTAACACTGAATATATTGTATAAGATATAATTACATTCCAAATGCTCCTTAGCCCAGAATGGCTCCAAGTTCATAATCCCCTACTCTTTTGGTCATTTTTATAATTTATTATAATTTAATATCTCTTAGAATAATTTTCATATAAATTTCAACATCAGTTAGTAACTAAAGGTTATTTCATATTTCTCACAATAAAATAAATTATAATCAAAGAAATCTTAATTTTTCTCCTTTCATAAATTAGCGCATGAAATAATTAATGATAATTTATAAAATTGAAAATATAGTTCAAAATTCATATGTTTGTTAAAATAGAATTATTCCATTCTTCTAAGAGTCTCATAATCTAAATTATTTTATTTTGAATTGTAATTATTAAGCATTTAAAATGTAAAGTAAAAAAATAATAAATTTAAAAAAAAACTTTGTATTAGAGTTTTTGAGAATCAATTTCAAGGGATTTTGCATAAATTTATTTGTCATTAGATATTCACCTAATAAAATTTAGTTTACCTTCTTTTCCTATAATTCTAAATGATAGAGCTTCAATTAATTAGAAATCATTAAAGAATAGTGAATATATTAAAATATTAGATTCTATCTATGAAAATGATATTATTATTTCATAGTTGCATTGATTCTGATAAAATGTTATGTAATATTAAAGTTTATAAACTGTCACTTGTTATAAATATTAATTCGAATGATGAATAATACTACCGAATACCCATCTCAAATAACTGAGACGATTTAAGGAATCACTTTTTCGAGTGCATTTGATTCTGGTAATCTGAAGAGTGTTCGCAGAGAAAATAGTGGAAGAGTAAGTAAATTACAATATTATTAAGTACATCCTAAATATATCAAGTGATTGGGGTATAAATGGTAGGACAACGAATTATAGAACATGGTTTTATTTCTCAGTGTCTGGAGTCAATGAAGGAGAACTCACATTTGTTGTTGCCAACCTATAAAACTAAGTAACTATTGAGAGCATCTTCTTAGATGGGACTTTTTAAAGATGGAATGTAGCCAGTCTTTAGAAATTGTCATTCCTCTTAATGGGAAAGATTAAAATAGCCATGCTACTACCGCTTAGTTCCAGAGGGTCATTTTGAAATAACTTTTAAGCATCTATTTCTTAATGATTCAACAGTTTATTTTGCTTTTTTTTATCCATGGAGTTGCGAAGACAACGATGTATTTAAAATAAATAGTTATAGAATTTTCTATAACTATGTTAAGCTATGTCTCTTTAAGTAACTGACATTTATTATGATAATTCGATACTGGCTTACTCAAAGGAGGGTAGACCTATCAATCTAATAACAATAACATAAGGATCATCATAAATTAAGGAAGAACCCATACCTGGTTTATTCCCATAGAGTAGACCTTAGCACTTCAAAAAACCACACATTTTTATTTCTGCTAGAGTGCATCCTGGAGAAGTGCCAGGATCGTTTGTGAATAATGGATTGATGAAGTATCTGCTCAAAGCAAATGACCCAGTAGCGTAAGTGGCCAGGGAGAAATACGTTTGGAGTATTGTTCCAATAATTAATCCTGATGGAGTCTATAGAGGACATTATCGAACTGATTCCTTATGTTAAAATCTGAATAGATATTACCTATCACCATCAAAGGAGGACCATCCAACTATTTATGCAATTAAAGAATACATTATGCGACTTCAAAATACAGATAGGTTTTATGCATACATAGATTTGCATGCTCATGCTGGTCATAAAGGTGTATTTATCTATGGGAATTAATTACCTTCGTTAAGTCAACATACATCGAATTGCATTATTCCTAGATTGATAAGCTTATATTCGGAAATCTTCGATTACGATGCATGTAATTTTACTGAGAAAAACATGTATGCTGCTGATAAAGGAGATGGGTTAAGCAAGGAAGGGTCTGGGAGAGTGGCCTTTTATAAGATTTGTGGAATTGTTCATAGTTATACATTAGAATGTAATTATAATACGGGAAGGATTACCAATATTATGTATGAAGAGAGTGCAAGTAAAGCATCATATTTAATTTAAGATAATTTATACAAAGATGAATAATTAGATGATAATGTTGTTCTGGGTTCTGTATACACTTCGAATCCAAAATCATATTTTTTTACAATTTAAGATTACGAATAAGTTGGAGTTGGAATAGTGAATGCCTTTTTAGATTTCAATCTTTTAAACCCTATGAGTAGATTGTCAGCCTCTCCTTTTAAAACTTTAGCTAATTTGAGAACCTTTTTAGCATATAATATAATGAGAACGATGCATTATAGATATGAACCATATTTAAGGAAGATATTAAAGTAATTAAGTTAATAATTATAAAGGTTTATTAATAACAAAGAATAAGTCAATAGGGTATTGAAAGCTTTTTATGATTATATATGTAGTGGATAGATTAAAGATAATTTAGAAGGTAGTTAAGAAGTTGTTGTATAAAAGCCATAGACTAGGTATTAAAAGGCTTAGGAAATAAAGAAAGAAAAATAAGAGAAATAATAAAAATAATAGTAATAATAATAATAATAAAAAATTTAATAATAATAGTAATAGCAATAGTAATAATAATAGCAATAATAATAATAATAATAGTAATAATAGCAATAATAATAAAAATAATAGTTCAGAAAATCTTAATATGAATAAGTACCTGTTAAATAATATCCATTCTCTGAAGTAGATTTAGATTCAAGACAAATGAGAACTTAAAGTTAAGGGAAGGCAAGGGCTAGATCCGAAACAAAATAATAATAGTAAGTTTAATAATAATAATAAAAACCATAGAGGGCATTTAAAATTAAAAGAAATGTGAAAATATGACAAATATTAGTAATTTAATCAACTGCATGTATATTTTTTAAATTTTTTCTTATTTCTGAAACACTAATTATAACAATTTTATATGGAGGGTTCTACTTTTAATTCTTCAGATTATGAATCTTGAATGTTTTCCTTATGACATATGATTAATTAAACTTACTTGAGGATCTAATAAGCTGGATTTAAGGCTTATCTTTTATCCAGTTATTCTCTCATAAGTAGTGATTCCATAATATAAATTCTTTGTTTAGTATATACATAGAAGACTATTAAATAGAGATGATGACTTACAAAATTGGAGTAATGAAGATAAATGTGTTCAAAATTGGATATAACATTATTAGATAGTCGTTCAAAGTTAAGTCATCAGATTTAAAAAAGTCTAAAATAAAAAAATAAAATTACAGTAAACAATAATGCTTGCTGAATAAAGCTAGATTAGGATTAGAGAAATCAGGTAGACATAAAAATATAGTAAATTTCTACATAGGGTTAAAGTATGATTTACTTGGCTCCAACGCAGTTATTTATCCATGGACAGTGATGATCATAGACAATAACACATTTTTTACAAAATTCACAATGTTTTGATCTTTATGGTTTAATAACCCAACAATCTGGACAGATATTAATAGGATCTATCTATTATTCAATGGCTTCTTGAATGGTGAGATGTAAAGTAATTATTCCTGGATCGCAGCACTATGTCAAAATGGAAGCCAAAAGTAGAATAGCCAGAAAAACATAATAAAAAATGAACAATAACCCTCCCTAGATTTCCTATATGATGTTAACTATGCAACTTTGGGATGTCAGAATTACAAAGTAGTAAACAATAATGGATTTTCGATTTCTTTTAATTGGATGATATGGCTATTTCAAATTATAGAATAAAGCCAAATCAGTTTTATCTTCAAGCATTTTCTTAATCTAGAGAGATTCAGTCAAATTGATTGGTAATTTTCCTTCTACATCCTATATAGAATATACCAAATTACTTCTATGTTTCTTTAAGCACCCTTGATTAGTAGTTTCTTCACAACCCTAGATTATCCGTAAGATGCCCCAATATGTAATGCAGTTTATTGTTCATTGTTTTTAGAATCAACATTACATCCAAATGAAATCAAATAGCTCACGGTTAATTCACAACTACAGACTTTAAAATAAATAGAATACTTCTAATAGGCTGCCCAATGTAAACAAGTATTTCCAGCATCATCTTGTGCATCGATTGAGATTCCTTATTATAACCAATACCACTTTTATACAAAAAAACATTATACCACCATATATGGTTAATCTCCTTAGGCTGCAGCATGTATAGGCAATAAGCCAGAACCGCTTTTTAGTGCAGAATCAGCACCGATGTTGAGTAGGATCTTCACAGCTTCCTTATATAAATAAAATCAGATATACCACATTCCCATTATAAGATGCAATATGAAGGGCTGTGAAGATTTCGATATTGTATGTATTAACCAATTTTCTAATCTCGTTCTCCTTATAATTGTCAATAGAGTATTATTCAAGAAATTTTAAAAATGGGTAATCATTTCTCTAAACAGCAATATGTAGAACTTGGAATATATATTTAAGAATACTTGTTTATTTCCTACCACAATCTAAATTTAAAATGTTTGGTTTGACTTTGTTCATAAACTCCATTAGTTGCTGTATCGAATTACTTTAGATCATTTCCTTTATAATTTATTGCGAATCATCAATCATTATTATATAATAAATTATAATTCAATTACATAATTATCATCATTATAACATTGAAACATTTCCAATCATCATCTTATATGAAACACCAATAATCTTTAATTAATGTTATATCTGATTTAAAGATATAAAAATATTAAAATTAAATTAAAATAATGGCCTGTTGGATCAATAGATCTTAGTATAAATAGAATGCAAGCAAATCTAATTAATATGTAATTAAATTATAAAGAAATAATATAACACAATCATTATTATTTTTATCTTAAAATTTTTAGAAACACGTAGGCTCCAAATCTTATTGCTACAGTAAAAGCAATAAGAATTCCTACTGATTCCCATAATCCGACCTCAAATCCAAGAGTATCGATGGGATCACCAAACTCGTAATTTCTTCCTTCAAACTCATTAGTGGCCAATGCTTCAAAAGAGTATTTGACTGGACTTATGTATTGGATCCAACCAATCCATACAAAAAACTACTTTGAATTTGCAAAGAATCCTGAGAAGATGATTAAAGGCAATAATATTAATGGTACAATGCTAGTAGCCACTTTAATATCATTGAATGCACATCCAGCCATCAATCCCATACTGTTTCCATTCAAGCAAGTCAGAATAGCAATGAATATATGTGCAACAACAACCCCACCATCCTTAGTATTTAGACCGATCATCCAATAAAGAATTAGTTCTTAAATAATTGGCGTAATTAGACAAAAAGGTATTTCAACAAACGACTTCCCCAAGAAATATGAAAATGTTGTGTATAACTTTGAATTCTCTTCTCTCAAAAACACATCTCTTTCGGTTGAAAATTGAAGTACAACCGGAAATAAGGAACTCATAGTAAGATTGATGCATAAAAAGAACATACATCCAGACATACTTGTGTAGTCTGCGAATGTTCCTGAATCCTCTCCAATCCCATAATATGAATACCCAAGTAATAATCCCAAGAAAATTGCCATACCTACTCTTTACTTAACAATCATTTTATCCCTCAAAAATCCTTTGATTGCTCTTTTTGCAATTAGGCTAATTTAATATGCAGTAGTTGTCTCAACTTACTTATAAACTAATTCAGTTTTTGAAGATTCTTTGATTTCGTCTAAAACTGGTTTGTGCAATTACTTATCGTATTAATCAAAATAGATTGGGAAATTATCTATGTTTATTTGACTTTCTTGATGCATAATACTCATCATAAAATCCATTGGATTACTGTGATCTGGACAAGGAAATCCTATTCCTTTAAAGTACCCAACCAATTTAGTTCTAGGTCCTTAGTAGATGAATTTTCCTTGGACAAGGAGCATTATTCTATCGAAAAGTAAATATATATCTGATGATGGTTAATGGATAGTAAATACAATAGTTCTGTCTTATTCATGTGCAAGTAATTATAGCTCATATCTATCATATGTTAATTTAAGAATATTACATAATTTAAAATGCAGTAAATGAATCTAATCCTGAAGTAGGTTCATCTAGCAGAATACATGAAGGATTAGTAACTAATTCAAATCCTATTGATGTTCGCTTTCTTTCTCCTCCTGAAATTCCTTTTAATGATGGACCTCCTATAATTGCATTTTGACATCTTTCTAATTTCATTGTTTTAATAGTGTCTTCAACTCTTGATTACTTCAATTCTAAGTCTGTGTACTTTAAATCAGCAACAAATTGTAATGCTTCTCTTGGAGTTAATGTTTCAAAAAGAACATCATTTTGCATAACATAGGCAGCAAAATTGGAAAATGTCTCAGAATCATACTCAACTTAGTTAGCAAGCACTTTCCCCTTTAGTTTTACAGTGTTAGAACTTTGAACACGAGCAGCAAGGATATTGAGCAATGATGTTTTACCAGCACCAGATGCTCCCAAAATAGCAGTAACTTCTCCTCCAGGACAATACCCATCTAAATTACGTAATATTTCCCTCTTTTCTATTAGTCTTAATGAATATTCTTACTTCCTTTCTGATCAACCACTTAATATTCGATATTCTGAAATGCAATATCTACTACTCTTCTACATCTTAAACTTTTAGCACTCTAAACTGTGTCATTAAGTCTTCCAGCTTCTATTTAAGGCAATATTTCTATTTCTTACATTTATTATTGCTGTAGACTTTATTAAAAATTGGATAAAAATAGTAATTTAGAATTCTTTGATTCCGATACACAACTAGAATTTATCAATATTCTGGATTTATAAATTTGAAATTACATTTTTAATTAACCTTTGACTAGGGAGCAAGCCTGTCTCTTACATTTAATCACCATTTCATCATGAGTCTACCAATATCAATGATATGATATTCAGAGAATCATGGCCATCAAGATGATATGATATTGAGAGAATCATGAGCAAATTTAGGCATATTAAAATACTAAATAGTGTCTTATATGTTTTTAGAGGTTTTAGATGATGTGTTTAAGTAATATAATATTGGAAAACATAAAAATTCTTCAATTCTTAAAATTTTAATGATAAGAAAAAAAAAATTAATTAAATAATTTATATTATTTTAAATTATTTTATGTTTTATTTAATTTTCATTTTTTATTAGTTATTAAATTGCAGAAATTATATATAAAATAACTTTATTACGATCAAGATTTTAAAATCCTATTCATATATCAGTTTCTAAATTAGAAGTATTTATACTTAATATTTGAGTCCTATAGATAAGTTATCCACATCCACAAAACGATTAATTCTAAATTATCAGTCTTTTTCTTTATTTATTCAGTCATTATTGAGTAAATACGTATTATTTTTGATTATAAAAAGAATGCAACAATAGTATTGTTATTATAAAATAAAATGATGACATATTCATTCAAATGGGTTAATTACACAAATAATACGCATTATTTATTAAAATTTATGGGTATAAAAGGGTCTAAAGCAAATTTATCTCAGAAGACTACTCGTGCACACTCTAATGGGATTACTCGCTCGTCTTGTGAAATGCAAGGTTGGAGAGAATACATGGAGGATTATATTTTAATCCAAGAACAGGAAGAGTTCTAACTTTATGGAGTCTTTGATGGACATGGAGGGAATGATGTTTCAGAATTTTTGTCAGACCACTTCTATGAAATATTTGAAATGGAACTAAAAAAAAATCCAGAAAATTATAATCTAGTATTAGAATCTACTTTCGAAACTTTGGATACTATACTAGCCCATCGAATAGCTAGTTCAAAAGTTGGAAGTACTGCCATTATCGTTTTGGTTACTAAAGAAAAGGTCTATATAGCTAACTTAGGAGATAGCAGAGCTATTCTATTTTCAAATGAATCTGTTTAGTAACTCTCTTCAGATCATACCATATAATCTGAATATGATAGAATAATATCTAATGGTGGTTATATTAGGGATGATAGAATTAATGGTAATTATCAATCATGATTTCTTAGGTTCCTTAACAGTCGCAAGGGCTTTCGGTGACTTTTTCTTAAAATCATCAAGATGTTCTATAATCTCGTCAAAGCCAGACATAGTTGTGATTGACAGACCTTAAAATAAATTTATCTTGCTAGCTTCAGATGGAATTTGGGAATGTGCAGATAATTAATGTAATTGTAATTAGTTAATGTTAGATATAAGCAAAAATCTTCTAGAAAACAATTCCTTAGGAAGATTGTTCAATTAATTAATAGCTAAAAATATGAATTAAGAATATGGCTATGATAATATGAGTGCCATACTTATTTAATTTTGATTTTTATTTATTCATTTTATTATAATCATTGATAATTCTATATGTTATTTCAAATTAGAATAATACTATGATTAAAAAGCGTTAAAATACATCACGAATATATTAATTAAAAACAATTAATCATATCCTAAACTATGATATATCATAAATCTTGCATCACAATCGACCTCTTTATCGACTTATTCGATGATTTATATTATAGACTAAATAATCTTAAAAAAAATTTGAAAATATTTTTATTTGGTAGGCTACAATTATTAGGGTTATTTTAAGAAATTCAATCTATATTAAGTTGTTGTATTTCTTATTGACTTTAAGGACTAGTTATTGTCAATGGATTCTCACAATAAACCAATATTAAATATACTTTTCTCTCATTTTACTGTTTTAAATATTTAATTTAATATTTTAAATAATATTCAGATTTCTTTATCAATGCTGTAGTTTATTTAAGATTGAATTATAGCTATTGTGGAAGATGTATCACAAGTTTTAATATTTGATAATTAATAATATTATAATTTTAAATTATGAGTCATGGCAAAATCTATTTATATAGTGATAGTCAATTCATATTATAAATAATTGTTTGAATATTATGGATAAAGTTTTATTAAATGCTTCACTATCATTTTTTATAATTTATCATAATTTTAACTTTAAATATAATTAATTTATTAGATTACTATGAAATAAGGTTAATAATTTGGATTATTGATTCAAGATTTCTAATAGATTATTTTTGTAGATTATTTATCTTAGCTTATGATTTATTTCTATTCAACCTTCTAATATTCAATGTATATTGATTGATTGTCTATATCCTTTATTTATTATTTTTTTTCAGTAAAAGTAAAGAAATAATTAAATTAGTCTACTATTCTTATTTATTTTATTGAAACTTAAGTAGATAATCCTATTTAATAATTCCTTAAATTGAATGTTTTGGAACTCCTTAAAAGTCCTGAAATTACAAACAATGAATTTTTAATTTCTTATTAAATGATAGATTAAGAAATTTCATATATTAAAACTCCTCAAATTTTATTACAATATTTGCTCTAAAATGAAAGAAAAGATTGGCTTAAGCTTGAATGTAATGCGTTTACATTTTCAAAATATATACAAAAAATGGTTAGACTATTGATTATAATATGATAAATAATTCATTAATCAAAGTACAAGTGCAAGAATTTAATTCCCCTGCTAAACCTTAAAGAAGACTTATTTATCAAAGAATTAAACCTTATATATAAGCCTACGGATTATCTCCAGATCTCTTTGAAGTGAAAGGTAAATCAGTTGTTTGCAAAAATAATAATCCAAACAACTAAAGTTAGCAAAATAGAAGTATGATGTCAATCAGATCCAGTACTAAGAAACCAAATCAAAAAATATCCATTCATAGACCATAAACAGCCTCACTACAGTTGCCTAATAATTTTGACTTACCTATCTCAAATAAGTATGCTAATCTATTCAATGAAATAAAGAATGCTGAGAATAAGCCGCAGTTTCAATATCTTTAAAAAGCTGAAAAATCATTGATTTTTGAAGAAGCAGATGAAACATCATAGTAAAGTATTATAAGGAAGCATGATTCAATGTTAAAGCACATAGCACATCTTGAAAAGTAAGCAAGTTCATTATCATTTTAGGGTTAAAAAGCAGAAAATCTAAGAATTAGAAATGTTACAAAGCAAAATCGATGAAGTTAAAAATGTAGACATCAATTCTTCACGTTTTATCATAAGAAAGAGTGTACATAAATCTACTCTTAGGGAGAAGAAGGATAAGGCAGCCTCTTACATTTAGGCTCATGTTAAAGGCAGGATTTATTAGAAAAGATATATATTTTGGAAAAAAAAGCAGGAAGAACAATTAAGAAAACTTATTTTTATATAGAAATGGTGGAAACTTTAGATGAAGCAGTTAAAAATATAGAAATAATTTCGAATAACTCATCGGTCCAAATAAGTGAGGTTAATTGAAGATAGTACCTTTCTTATTATTACTAATTATTCATATGTTTTATATAGGATTAGATTATTATTGATAGATAGAAAGAGAGTAATGAAGGGAGTTTTCAGATTGTATTTGAATTTATAGAATTGTTCAACTGTATTAAATGAGGATATATCAAAAGAATCGTTTGAATTTGAATCTTTATTGAATTTAATTATCAATAACTTGATATAACTAATCTAAATTTAAGATGATCGTTTAATTTTAGATTTGTAAAACTAAAATATAATTGATATTCCTCATTTGATGTTATAAGTTTATTTGAAGTTAAATTTTATTACTGCTAATTAATATTCATTATTAATACATATTAAAGAAGAAGCACTAAAGGAATCAGCTCCATAGAATTAACTTGAGTAATTATAATAAAATCATTATTAAAATTTATAAACTGAAAACTTAGAGAAGGATAATTAAAATAATTGGGATATTTAAGTGTAATTTAATCCGGTAGAATAGTAAGTAAACGAATAAATTGTTGAATAATCTTGCTAAATAATAGAAGAATTTCAATCATAAGAAAGATAATAAAATATCAATTTGTAACAATATAATGATGAAAATACAGAAATGGTATAAAATTAAGATCAAGATCAAAATTCAAAAATATTGAATACCCAAAATATGGTTGAAATTTAAGATAAATAAGTTATAGAATAAGAGAAATAAGATAATAACACCTTTTAAAATGAAAATTATTGTACCGATAAAGAATTAAAAGATTAATAAATTTAATTTGATGATTTGAACAACGATTAAAATAGTGAGGCAAAAAGGAATCAAGATTAAGAAGATAATATTTAATAAAACTAAACAAACAACTAAATCTAATAAATTTCTATTTAAGATTCATAAAATCCATAAATTAAGCAAAATTCTGAAATAAAATCCAAAATAATCTTAGATATTATTTAAGAGTCTCAATAATTTTAATAAAGTTCTGAAAATTTAAATGATGAAGATAACTAAGAAATACAATAAATCTCTAATTAAATTAATTATAATAGTATATAATCGAGTAATAAAGTAAAATTGTTTGAATCAACATAAATAAATCAAAATGAAATATCATCTTCATAAAGACTAGTTGATTTTGATAGATACCGTGATTAAGAAGAGATTTAAATAAATAAAGAAGATATTATATAATATCAATAGAATGATGAAGATGCTAATTAACAGGAAAGTGTAAAATGTTAGAATTTAGATTATAAGTCAGTAAAATAAGATTAATAGATTATAGCTTAACCAATAGAAAAAACTTCATAAATAAAATTAAGTCAAGAGAATTTTGTAGAAAATAAAAATGAAGAATTTGAATGTATGGAGAATAAGGTGGATAGACCAATTGAAATTTAATAAGCAGATGATGAAGACGATCAATAAGAAAAAATAGTATAATCAGAATACATATATTATTAGAATAGTAATATATTTTCATAAAAGAATGAAGGAGAACCCTAATCAAAGATTTATAAAAAGAAGGATAATCAAAATTAATAGCAATAGCCTTCATAAATTGACTTTCATCTGATTAAGAGTTGCGAAAGCAATATATTTGAACCAGTAAAATACCTGAACTCTGGAGAACTGTTGAGTAGAACTAATTTTCTTGCTTAATTGGGATAATTGGAAAAATTTGAAAATGAGAACACGTCTTTATTGGTTTCAGGAGACTTGAAAAAGGAAGTGGAGGGTTTACCAGAGCCTATAAATTTAAGGAATAATAACAATAATCATTAAGAATAGTTATTAGAATCTTAATCTTTTCTACAAAGAATGCCTAGTGAATTTAGGTCTCCTCTTATGGATGATACACTAAAATTGAGTACAACATTCAAATTTTAATTCAGTTCAGAGTTTAAGGCTTTTGAGAGTGGATAATTAATTTCATAATTATTTGATATTAAAGTTTAGTAGTAGGATTCGCTTGAGTATTCATTAGATGAATCACAAGATTTGCAACCTATTTACATCACAACAATAAGAGTAGATAATATTAATGTAGATGTTTACTAAATTAAGGATATGTTAAGATTAAAAGACAAGAATAGTATTTATCAATAATTTGATTTCAAGATCTCTAAAATACAATAATCAAACTGTGATTATATAATCTAAAATTTATTTGTGTACATAATAAAAAATCGTATTAATTGCATAGAAGGCAATCAAATAGTAAGAATATAAAGATACTTAAGGAGATTCAGATTTATTAAATCATGTGTATTGACACTCCATTAAGAATCAATTTTAATATGTTTATTCAAATCATGTAATTTATGTAGCAATATAATAAGTTTTTAGGGTGAAATTGAGTATTTATGGATAAGTGTAATAAGGAGAGGAGATCATGATTGAGAAAATGGAGACGTAGGGCAGGAAAATCCTGGAAAACAACTTTTACTCAATTTGTCCATTAGTATTGTCTTCTTAGATGGAATTGGAATAAATGATTTTGACAGCAATAAAGGCTTTTGATTTTGAGAGTGAGTGATATTAGTATTATGTATTCTATTAATTTTGAGCTTTGTTTGATTATATTCGTTCAATTTATAGAGCTTGATCAATTTGATTTTAATGTTTGTATATTATTGCACTAAATGAATAAATATAATATTAATTAATAACAATGATTGCCATATTTTAATCCATATTGTTGTTATTTAATGCTAGAATTGCAGAGTGTTGTACATAATTGCCAAACAATGAACTGGTACTGGTGAATAAAATAAATGAAACGTAAAGTATGAATATTTAAAACTTGTTCATTAAATAAGAGCAATTTATGATATATATTATGCCTAATGATAGTGACATTCAAGTCTAATAATATATGTATAACCATTCTAATTCCAGCAATTCATTTGAAAATATAATAAGCGTGAAGTGTTTGAGATCCTATAATGATTTTACTGCAGCAAATCAATATGCATTATTGAATAAAATTAATGATAAATATCAAATACACACAAATAGTTATTAAATTGAATACAATCAGCGTTTACCAGAATTCAATTAATATTTCGAAATCACAGATCACATATGTCATGATCTAGAAATATTGAATCGATAGACTCTAATAGTAGATTGTTACAATGAAAGCAGTAACGTTTTCATACTTTAAAGAGAGTCAAGTCAAATTTAGCATTTGCCCTATAATCAGACCAAAGATTTTCAAATTAAGAGAAGGATATTTGCTTTTCAGGATGATCTAATAATACGTGTATTGTATTATGATGAGAAATACCAGTATTCATCAATTCAATTCATCTAATTTGGTGAAACTATTACAACTCCACTCATAATTGATGACACCTATATCAATAATATATTGAATGAAACCGAAACAATTATAGAGCTATAGATAGTGTAAGTGTAAGTGGAATAGAAAATAATCACAATATTGAATAAAAACTAATGGGTGATATCCATAGATACTCAATTCTTTCCATTCATTATTATAGTTGACTGTTTTCAACTTGATCTGGAATACCCAGCCATATACTTTGCATATCATGTGAATAATTACACTTATGCTTTTTTAACTTAATATACAATCCATGTTTGGAGCAATGGGCTCACTAAATTCAAAAGGATTGACAATAAAGATGAAAAATTTTAGATTTATTTTACAAAAAGCAATCTAATCCAATATAATGATGGTTAATTGAATTTAATGAAATTCAATTTAAAGATTATAGAAATATTTCAGATAAAAGATAATTATAACTTAATTTTGGACTAATTATCCGAGGAAATAATAGCAATCAATGAGTAGGAGAGTAGACGAATCATCATCAGGTCTCATTAATATTTATACTTTAAATCAAATTCACTGTATTCAAAATTCAAATCAGCTACTTTGATCTAAAATATCAGTATACTGGAATCTTGTACTCTAAGTATCAAATACAGAACCATAGCATGGAACTCTACAGAAGCCATTCCTACAGTAATGAATCAATTTAATACAATTTTGAATAGCCAGATAGAATCATATGAAGTGGATAGATTCATTGATGGACCTAATATTTCCATCTCTAACATCAATGAATTAAAGGTCAATTAAGTATTGTTCAGTATAAACTTTGAATAATTGCAATAGAAGACCATTAGTGGAATAAAAAGTGAGTAAACTGTACTATATATAAAGGTAATACCAATTGCACTTTTCTACTTGTATTTTGTTTAATTATCAAATTTATATGTGCAAATTTACTATTGTTTTTAAGATTTAAATTGTATATACACAAGTTAAATATACCTGGAATTCAATTTATCATCAACGCATCATGAATTCTTTTTAAACTAGGACAATGTATACATAGCAGTTAAGAATAATCAATAACTAGATGTTTGGAAGTTGTCTGAAGCACTCATTTATTAATGTACAATCTATCCAGATTAAGATCATTATATAATACAATTTCATTATATCAATTAGTTCTTGGCAGTGCTCTACTCAAACTAATTAGTAGTCATCTATAAAGTGATTGATTAATGTTAGAGATCTCAAGCCTTTACAACTGAGTTCCTCTCCAATTTCAATATCCAATGGAATCCCTCCTACATACAGACCAATGATGATTATGACATTCTCTATGTTTAAACTGAGATGCAATTGCTGTTGATTCAGGTTAAAGAGTCAGAAATATTCCCCATCAACATCATCCCACTTAGTTACAATAAATCAGTCAAAATCTTTTCATATAAGAATATCATTTGGATCTACTATACAGATACAGAAGTGATTGAGTCATTCATTATCCAATCCCTTACTTTAATTGAATACTTGAGTACGATTTCCTTATTCAATGTCATCCCTAACAAATATTTGCATCATCAATAATCTAAATATGTCTATTTCCAAAATAGCCAAGATAGTTTAGGCACTATCTATGTCTATTGCATGGAAAGCAGTAGTCATAATGCATTATTAACAACTTTTTCAACTAAGTATAAAACCCTGTATTCTGTTTCAAATTTATTCATCATAGCTGATATCAACAATTATTTTGAAATCCCCCAGAAAATCAAGTATTCAATTTATTATCAAGATATAGATAATCCTAATTATTTAGTTAAAGTTAATACATTCTTAGTTATTTCAAGTTATGATAACAAAGAGCAATACAAATATGTAATTAATTCAACCCTTGTAAATCCCTATACAACCATTACAGTTAATTTAACTTAGTTGAATATTGAGGAATTCCTCCATTAAGCTAGACCTATTGGTTATTGTCAGAACAAGTATTCTTGGTACACTGGGTAAGTTGTGGACATTGGTTTAAGAAGTCAATAGTTGAAACTGCAAAAATCTATGCACCTATTAGAAAAGGAGATCTGCTCATCGGGATTAGATATCTAAGAGTATGTCTCAGATTCAGTACTCATTTTACATTAAGATAAACTTGTCAAATTAAACATGACTACTAAAATCTAATAGATCTATTACCTAGACACCTCTGTAACTTATAGCAAGATAATCTTAGTTTAAGGTGAACTAGTTTATATTTCAGCCTTCAAATAAATTCCATTTTTCTACTATTTCATTCAAATAATCAGCTGCACTTAGGAGTTCAAATGCAATAAAAAATATGACGATTTGAGTTCGAGTGGTGATCCTAAAATTGTTAAAGTGTTCTCAAATTTGATTGTAGTCATCTCCGACATCTAGATCACTGTATACTCGTTTAAAGATGACGAAGTATCATATGTTTAGAGTCTTGATAAAACGAATTTTGGGAACTTCCAAGATGTCATCTCTCCAGAACTGAATTATTTTCAAGTATACTCTAAAAAGATCAATTAAATGACAATCTCAATGTATCGGCTCTAAGAAAATGAGTTTAGTTTAATGTAATAATATTAGGTTGACTTATTAGATGTCATCTAATAAACAGGATTTTATATAGATCCTAAAACAATTTTTCAAAAGATTATTATCAAACATAGCAAAACCTAGTAGTAACTATTAACAGCAGAATTATTCTGTTAGGCTCATAAACATTCACATTATATTGTTTAAATACAATACATTTGCAAATTTTCTCCAATCTCTTATAATTGTTCTATCAATAATTATAAAACATTGCAAATATTTTAAGGATATGGGAATTGGCCATCCAACTAATTTAAAATGTACAAAGACTAATATATTTTGATGATTTACTATTAATCTACCACATTTATTAGTGCCATCTATAGTTTAGAATTAAATTATGTTCACCCAACAACCTCTTCAACTTTATTTTCAGGAGCCATACAATACTAAAATGTTTCAGTTTCCTAATAAGCATTCTTTACGCAAGAATCTTAAATTTATCTATTGACAAATTCAATTAATAGTGAAGTATTTGCACTTTATGAAATTCATAATACTACTAAGTTTTGTATCTAAGATCATTTGAAATCAGAGAAAATTCAGATAACTCTAAAAAATAACTTTCATGAAAAAAACGAAACTATTGATGTGAATAAAAATGGTGATAATGACAATAATAATACAAAAAAGTTTATTATTTGGCTTGTTTTCGGAATTCTTTTAGTATTCCTTTTTGGAATGCTATTATTTGGTTGTTACATCAAACAAAAAAAGAGACATGTAGAAAATTAATTAATTTTATGATACTAAATAAATCATTTTGCATTTGATATTTATCCAAAATTGCTAGACAATATAACATTCTTATTCTATTCACCCTATCCTCTTAGGTTTAGACTTCTTTCCAATTCAGATTGTAATTTATCGTATTTTCTCTTCCATTCATCAAATTAATTTGCCTATACTCTAATTCATAATCATACCTTTAATTAATTCAATCTTGTATTTTCATTTGCCAACAATGCACACTTATTCTCTAATTCAACAATTCTCCTATTCTTATCATCCAATAGTGATGTCTCCAATCTACTTGTATCTTCTTTTACAACCTCCTTCATAAATGATACTTCTCTTTAATAAGAAATTAATTCATTCTTTAATGTTGAGATTTCAAAATCTTAACTTTTAATAGTTTACACTAATATCTATATCTCTTCAAACATTTAATTGTTCTTTTATTCCAACTCACCTGTATTTCTATTTTAATTTTGCTATTGCTCTAATTATCGAATCCTCTAAATCAATTAATCTTCCTTTTTCTAAGCCTTAACTAGACTATTTTCTAACTGCATTATCTTTACATTCAAAGAATCCGCCAATGATTAATTTTTTGACTAATTCAACATATCCTCCTTTCTAGATAATTGTTGCAATTGATCTTCTAAATCCCGTATATACTTTTCAAACTTACTGATCTTCTATTCCTACTGTTAACTCAATTGTTTTAATTGATTTATCTATTCATTTTTCATTCTCACTTCTTACTAAAGTTAATTGATTTCATTATTCATTTACTATTAAACCTACTCAATCTATTTTCGTGATTCTATTGACAACCTTTCATACTTCTCCACACTTAGTCTCTCTGTCTTTATTTTTACATCCTCTACTTAGACTGATAACTGCCTTCTTAGATCTTCATTTTAGCTTTGCCACTTCTCACTTAACTAATATATGATAATTACACTATTTTACCTATTTTTCCTTCTTATAATTTTCAATCATTATCTCCAAATCATCCGTAACATCTTTGATTCTATTATTTGCTTCTCTTAATTACTTCTCATATCTTGATTCTAAATTCATTAACTCTTCCCTCAATTGCCTATTCTTTGATTCCAACTAGCTTAAATCAGCAGCTTTATCATTTAATTACAAAGAAACTCTCTGAGTCTCTCTCTACAACTTAGACTCCACATCTTCTATTTCCCTTGAATATTTCTATTTCATCTATTGAAATTCTGACTAAACCTTCTCCAATTACTGATTAAGCTGTTAGTTTTCAACTCTATATTCTTTTATTTCTAATTCATATTTCCTTTGAAATTGTCTTAATTTCTCTTCCAAATCTACAATAAATCTATTCTATTTTTCTATTGTTGAACTCTCATTGCTCAATTATACAATTTAATCCTCTAATGCTTTTATCCTGCTCTAATACTTTTGAATACTTTAATTGGCCTTACTTAGTTCTTACTGTAGTGTTTCCTTTTGCTTAATTGAATTCCTATACTCTAAATCATACTCAGTATTTTTTAACTATTTAGCCCTTCTATTTTGATCGGATAACTGATCTATTTCTTTGTACAATAAACTTTTCTCCTCCTCTGACTAAATTTGTAATTGGTCCAATTACTATTATAACTTCAAAGTCTTTTATTCTAAAATTAAGATTTATTTGTTCTTAAGGTCTAAATCTCCATTATTGACAGATTTACTCATCTGCTCATTTTATAATTACTACTGAAGTGATCTAATCCTCTCTTCCAATTCAGTTATTAATTTTGATTGTTGATTTGACTTTGATTACCTGGACTAAATTGAAAGTTTATCTTCTTATTCCTATTACAATTGTTTTTTCAATTAATATAATTCCTATTGCAATTACTATCTTTATTGATTTGCCTAATTTAATTAATTATTAAGACTAAGAATCTTGTTATTTAATTCCTCAATTTATCTGCCATTATTAGATGTAGATTATCTGGATTGTTATTCACTTTATCTTGTTCTCGTTTCTCTTTCATAAGTATTTTGCTACCACCTGCTTTACACTTCTGAAGCCTAGGTTTGAAACATAGTTATTTAATTCAAATAATCAGTATTCATCTAACTCAATTATGAATTTTGATCCTAAAGTTCTTTTAGTCTCTGATTAAGCAATATAATTTCATCCTTATGCTTATTTAATTAATCTTAAATTGTTTAGTTTAGAATGCTTAAATCTTTGATCTGTAATGCATCTGTGTTCTTTTAGTTATTTAATTAGGTAATTTAAGTTAAGAGCTATTGGTTCATTTCACTCAGCTTTTATATTTATTTATCCTAATCCTTATAACAGTTAGAACAATCCTTCTACACAAGGAGCAACTACTACTAAAACGAATTGTTTATGGCATTAAGTTTATCAATTTGGGCTAAGTAATCGTCAATCAAAATTTCATATTGTGATTGCTTCTTTTGATATACTTCAACTTGGCTGAGCAATTTTACATTCTCTTATTCAACTTTCTTAAAACTTATATCATTTTCCAATTAAATACGCAATAACTAATCTTTGTATTTACTTTCTAACTATTTTGATTTCTCATCAAAATCCTATATTTCCTTTTAGTATTATTTATTATTCATTTATAAGACTTGGAGTTGACTGATTAATTTTACGTTTTCTTCTTGTACAATTTATAAATCAATAAGTAATTTTTCTGAAACCAATGATGCATTACTAGTTATTTGTTGATATTATTAAGTCCTAGTTGTGTTAGTCACTAACTTGATTTATTAACTTTAAGAAGTCAATCTACTTGATTTTTGAGATTTCAATTCGCTTTCAGGGATTTACAATCTAATAGTATGAATGTCTTTATCTAAATATAGTTGATCTTCTTAAGCTTTGTAGACTCTGTTGAACATGGATTCGATTGAAAATTAGTATTAATTTTTTATTATAAAATAAAAGTATGATTTCAGGTTGATCTCTTTTTTTAGTATTGTTCTTTTTGTAAGATTTTTCAGTAATCGATTCTTACTAAATGTAAATCTTTTATTTGAAATGTTAATTAATTCAAAAGTACATAATAAAATAAGTAGTTTGTTAAAATTGATTCATAATTGACTTTATTTAATCTCTAGAATTACAAAGGAGAGAAACAAGAAAGTTAGTGAAATGAGGTAATTTTAGTTTGAATATGAGAGAAGAATGATGAATAATAAAAAAGAAATTATAATCATTTATAATATCCATGAACCGTAGTAGTCATGTGAAAAGTGGATAGACTGCTTTTAAGGTGTTGAATTTCTTCTTGAGATCAAAGAAATCAACTCAAGTTGTGCCAGAAAGGAGACATTTCGAACATGATGAGATTAAAAAAATATTTAGAAGATGCCTTATAAGATTGCGTACAATTTATATTTTGAATTAAGTGACAAAAGAAATAGTCACTTATGGCACATCTTCTAACTTATATGATATTTCGACAAGAGACAGGTATGAATTGATTAAGGTAATTAAGACCTGCTTTACAAAAATATCTGTTTCCATTATCGAAATCATAGGATCAAGATGAGGAGAAACTTGAATTTCCAATAATACATCCAAATTCATTATTTAAGTAGATTTGGAATGGAATCTTTTTGGTGATGATGATTTATGTTGCAACAATTTTACCATTCAGAAGTAGTAGATTAGATAAATATTAGTTTCATTTTATCTTGATTATGAAGTTGAGGCCTGGTATTATGCAGATATTGTAACAGACATATTGTTTTGGTTAGACCTGATAATCAGTTGTCTATCAGGCTATTATGATGAGGAGGGCAAGTTAGTAAAGAAAAGGAAGGTTATATTCATGAACTATTTGAAAGGATGGTTTACAATTGATTTGCTATCCTGTCTCCCTTTGAATTATGTAATGGATGGAGTGATATCTGAAACTGGCAATATGAAATCCCAGAACATCAAATTATTTAAATTGCTCAAACTCCCACGAATGTATAGACTATTTAAGATCATTCGATTTATTGACATGATGAAATATTTGGGGATTTCAGAAATAATGGAGTTCTTTTAATTCAATTATGGATTCTCTAGATTACTTTCACTCCTTATTTCTGTTTGTTTAGTAATTCATTTATCAGGTTGCTTATGGTTTTATGTAGCAGCATTCAATGACTTTGATTCATAAACATGGGTATCTAGAAATGATTTAACATCATCGACTATTTAAACTAAATACATAGCAAGTATCTATTATGCGTTCACTACTCTAACGACGGTAGGATATGGAGATATTCATTCGTTTTCTTCAGCTGAGATGATCATTACAATATTTTTAATGGTTGTAGGAGTTGGGTTTTATTCTATGATTATTGGTTTATTATCTAGTATACTTTCATAGATCGATTACAAGGGTCATAAACTGTAATAATAGTAAGCAATTTTAAGTGAGTTTTGTATAGAAAAGAAAATATCAGTCAATTTGAGAGAAAAATTGAAAGAAACCCTGGAATATAGTTTTGATAAGAATTGTTTTATTTGGGCAGATAACAAATACATTTTTAAGGATCTACCAATTAACCTTAGATATGATATAATAATGAATATCCACAATGGAGTATTTGGAAATATGCAATTATTTTAACTAGTGGAGGACAAGCAGTTCTTAGTCAAAGTGGTTCCTCTATTGAAACCTATTTTGTTTTTGGAATCTGAAATAATATGGGAACAAAACAGTAATCCTGATGCAATCTATTTTATTGCTGATGGTAGAATGAACTTCAAAGCTGACTTCATCGTTATCAAGGCTACAAATCAAAAAAAATAATTTGCTTTTAAAAGTATGATAGGAGGATCATATTTTGGTGAAATAGAAATATTCTTACATACCAAAAGAGAAACTGTAGCCTAATGTGAATCACAATGTGAAATGTACTATCTGACTATAACATCTTTTGAAAATGAGATCTTCGACGATTTCCCTCATATCATGAATAAAATGAGGAAGATTGCTTTAGAAAGAAGACAAAAGAATCTTGAGACAATACAACAATTATAATAATTTATTGATGATGCGACTAAGAAATAATTAAAAAGAAGTAATGACTTTTTGTAACTATCATAGCATAACCAAAGAAAAGTACTGTTCTCTTGAGAGAATATATTTAGTAAAACAGTCAGCATACTTTAGAGGATGCTAAACCAAGTAATTTTGAAAATTAGACGGATCGTCCTTTGATTTCAACCAATAGATCTAAATTTCAAGATTTATTCTTAATCACTTAAGAAATAGAACAATTACTAGAATGATTATTATAAATTCGCATCTACTTAGTTTTGCTATTATTATTTATTTAATACAAAATTATGGAACAAGTATTCTATCTTTTCTATAATTCAGTTAGTGGAGGTAATAGAGGACAATAATTTGTGCAATATGATGTAAATGAATTGCAATTTAGTATTTAGCAATAAGATTTGACTTTTGAGACTAAACCCAAAAATGCAAGAGTCAAATTCTTTAATATCTATGAACTTGCCTCGAGGAATAAAGGATTTGATTAAATCAAACAACAATAACAAAATGACACTTATATAGTTATGGCAGGTGGAGATGGTTCAATTATGTGGATTGTAGGATTATTATTATAATACTAAATTGATCTAAATAGATGCATTATTATTCCATTCCCATTCGGAACTGGAAATGACTTTGCTAATAGTTTAGGTTGGGGAACCACTGTGCCAGCTGATGTCATTGGAAAAAACAATAAGGTTTTGCAGAACTATGTGGAATAATGGCTCATTGGTGCTGAATCCTTCTTTGATGTGTGGGATGTCGATATTGTACTTAAGAAAGTATGTCTCCTACTTATTTAAGGATGGATTCATTAGTGAAATCAAAAGGCATTCAAATAGTGTGGGAGAACTCAAAATTTAACTAAAAGATTGCAAATTCAATAAGCCAATGATCAATTATTTTAGTATAGGAGTTGATGCTAGAATTGGTTATGGATTTGATAAAAATAGAACAGCCTACTAATGTTGTAACAAAGTTGTCTATTGTTGGGAAGGTTTCAAGAAAATGTTTTTAAAAACACCCAAGATGAATTAATCAATTGAAACTTTGGAGTATTTAGATGATAACGATGATATGTAGAACAAATTGTTATTTAAAACATAAGAAAATGCTGGATAAAGGGATTCAATAACCATTCCTGGCAATCCTATCAATTTATTATGTTTAAATATCAATTCATACGCAGGAGGATTAAAAAATATTTGGATGAATGCATAATATGAAGAGGGTTATAAAAAATATGATTTTCATCCTCCTTCATTTTCTGATGGAGTCTTAGAATTTTTATCATTTAATTCTATTTTAGGAATTGGATCTGAAAGAATTTTACCAGGTCAAGCAACTAGATTAAGTTAGACCAAAGGACCAATCAAATTAAATTTTAAAAAGAATGAGCCATTAAGAACTTATTTCTAAATAGATGGACAATATTATTCAATTACAAATCCAATTTCTGTTTCAATAAGATCATGTTAACAACTATCCCATGGTAAAATTAGAGTTTTAATAAATAAACAAGGAATAGTACAATGATTTTATTGGTATATTTTATTTGTAATTTACTTTATGAAAAACACATCTATAGATCGTTTTATAAGATCATTTTTATTTACAAAGACATTTTAGATTAAGATTTCAAAATAGTTGACAAAATTAAATGAAAATATAATTTAATAAAAAAAAACTATATTTTTATTATAAATATCATTGTTGTTTTCCTCTTAACAAGTATAAAAACATTAAAGCCATAAATCTGAAAAACAATATTATAGCAGCTAAAATGACCAAGCATTTCCAAAGACCTAAAGTTAGATTGTAGGTATCAATAGGATTGGAGTTCTCTATAGTCTTACCAACGAATTCATCGTCTCTAGTTTCGAATTCATTCCATACTAATGCTTCAAAGGCATACTTCATTGGACTTAGATACTGGATCCATCCAATCCAATCCATATACATATTTTGATTAGCATAAAAACCAGAAAATATAACCAATGGCATCAATACTACAGGTAAAAATCCAGCAGCTGCTTTAAGATCACTAAACATACATCCAGTCATAAGACCTAAATTAATAGTTATTAAACTATACCAAAACTGTTTCCACTCAAACCAAGCATAATACAAATAATGATGTTTATCACTACTATGTCTCCGGTTTTGTAATTTAAATCAACCATCCAATAACAAATAAGCTACTGAATGATAGGGAAAACAAATAGAAATGGAATTTCTACAGAACTTTTGCCAGTGAAATAAGCTGCAGTCGAATACAACTTTGAATTTTCTTCTCTTAAAAACACTTCTCTTTCAGATGGAAATTGTACCATTACAGGATTTAAAGCTCCCATAAAACTACTCATCACCAAAAAGAATAAAACTCCTATTGTACTCTAAATTCCTTTGTATCCAGGTTCACTACCTGCTGTCCAAAATATACCTCCAATTAGTAGACCAATGAATATAGTCATTACTAATCTGCCTCTCACTAACACTTTATCTCTCTTCACATTAATCATTCCTCTTCTAAAGATTTCCTTAACTTAGAATCCAAAAGATGTTTGAATTGACTGTCTTGATATCTGTTAGACTTAAATGGCGTTGATTTCATTTTCAATCTACTAGACAAAGTTTGAACTATATCCTGAGAATAGAGTTTGATAATGTGGATGATTTGGATCATCATGATGCATTATACTCATTAGATAATCTAGTGGATTGGAATGTGCTGGACACTCAAAACCTATGCTCTTGAAGTAATTAACCATCTCTTCTCTTTTACCTTAATATATGAATTTCCCTTAAACCAAAAGCATGACTTGATCAAATAACGTATAGATATCAGCACTTGGTTAATGAATTGTAAACACTATTGTTCTTCCTGAAGTGCGAGCCAATTTTCGAAGCAGATTTCTAGATGTTAAATAAAAATACATAATGACAAAAGCAGTAAATGAATCCAATCCTGAAGTTGGTTCATCCAATAAAATGCAAAATGGATCACTTACTAATTCAACTCCGATTGATGTTCTTTTTCTTTCTCCTCCAGAAATACCCTTAATCATAGCATTACCAATCTATTGAAATATTAAAAGTAATTACTAATGTATGTTGACATTTTTCTAATTTCAATGTCTGTAATGCATAATCTACTTTCTCAATCTTTTATTAAGGATCAGCATACTTTAAATTCGCTACAAATTCTAAAGTTTCTCGTACAGTCAAAGTTCCAAAAAGGACGTCATTCTGCATAACGTAAGATGAAAATTGAGAAAATTTATCACTATTATAAGGCTAGCCATTTGCATTAATTGTTCCCTACAATGTCACATTACCCCCAGGAGTTATCCTTTTGGCAAGAATGTTTAGTAATGATGTTTTTCCTGCTCCAGAAGCTCCAAGAATTGCAGTAACCTAACCTGGTTTACAGATTCCAGAAATGTTATTTAGGATCAATTTATTCTCAATAACATTCTAAGGATTCTTAACGTTAACTTAGTATGTTAGATTTTAGAAGCTGATCGTCACGCTGTTTGTTGATTCCTTATTTTGAAAAGGTACAATTTCAGTTCCTTTCATGTTATAATTTTTAATAATAAATTTTGGAAGTCTTAATTTCCAAAATTTATTCCACAAATTAAATATCATGAGAATTCTTTATTATGAATTCTGATGAAAAGAAGAATTTAATTTTATCAAACTTTCACACATATTAATTAAAACTCATTACTGTAATTGTATTAATAATATATTCAATCCATACCTTGATATCCCATATATAAAAATATTAGTGACAAAAATCGAAAAAGTATTGGGAATGCGAATCAAAGCATAAATGCTATTCCATAATCCGAAATCCAAGGAATACTTTCTTTAGGATTCAAATCTTCTATTTATCTCCTGAAAATTCAATTCTTCCGGTATCATATTCATTCATATATTAGTGCTTTAAATTCATACTTCAATGGACATATATATAACACCCAACTTAAACAGTTCATAGATAACGATTAATTTGCAAAAAAGCCAGAAATGGCTATAAGAGGCATCAAAACCATAGGATTATTCCAGATGCATTCTGAGAATTCTATAACATAGACCCAACCATCAATCTTATGATAATTATTTTTAAATTACCCATGCTATTTCCAGCTATACTAACAAAATACATACAAAAATGTGGATTAAAACATTAGTAGTAGTTTAATCATTTAGGTCAATCATCCAATAACCAATCATTTATTAGATAATTGGAAATAGTATCAAGAAGGGTATTTCTATGGAGTTTTTTCCAAAAAAATATGCAAATGTTGAATAAAGCTTAGAATTTTCTTCTCTTAAGGATACATCTCTTTCTGCCGGGAGTTGAATAATAGAAAGACAATTGCCAAGAAATTTTCAATAATGTCAAATTTCATAAAATTATAACATCGCTTAATATATTATCTAAGGCTCCAAAAAATTATTTAAGTCCTTATAAAAAATTCGTAGGTATAGTTTTAATGTCTATTTTGTATCTGCTTTAAACCTAATTTTAGCCTTTAATCTTTTCGGAGGGTTATTATAATAGGAAAGATATTTTAGTTAAAGTCCATATATATGGTCTTCTTTTTACCCAGATATTAATTTTATTACCTTACTTATTATTTTTTGATGTTACATCCGTGTTAACATAGTATAAAGAATTGCCAATATACTATTTAATCTTATAAAGTGTTATAAAGACAGAACTTAAAATTCATTTTAATAACCTTTATTTCGCTCTTTTATTTTATTCCCTAAATTAATTCTCCTTATTGGGTCATCAAGGTGGTAAATTGTCACAATTAAGCTATATTATTAGAATAGATCATCTATAAAATCTAATTACCATTTCAGTATTGAAATTAGATTGAAATATTTAATAATATGTATCAATATATTAACAAACTTTTCCATCTAAGAAATAATTAAATTGTTGATTTTGTTACAAGGATAATCATATCTACTTTTCATTTTTCTCAACCAAAATATCAATTTGAAGCTAGATTAAGTTGTAATTTCGAATTAAAAAGGCCTGGAGAAATTTTAATAATCATTTCATTCACAATACTTGGTTCAGATAAGGTATAATATATATAGTAATTCATAGCATTTATTCTTTAGTTGCTAGCATTATTGGTTTTATTTAATTTCTTACAACATCAGCATATCTTTCCACTTCTATTCTAAAACTGCATTATTAATGCGTATATATAATATTAATATCGATCCTCTTTTCTTTTGAATCTGGTTAATCTCTTAGAATCATGTCCACTGATTACATAATGAAAATATAAAATATGTCATTTTTACAGTTCCTTCACATATCCTGCCCTAAGCTTATCTATTTTAATCATAATGATAATAATAGAGATTGCCTGATTAAACAGTTCTTACAAGTTATCATCATTATTTTGATTATCATAAACCCTTCGAAATTATTCAAGAGAAGTCACAATTTTAAGAATCATATATATTATTTATGTATATTAATCAATAGGCTGCGTGCATTGACTACTACATGTTGCTGAATTAAGTTAATTCTGATTTATCAACTTTAAGGAGAGTTTGAATCCTTTTTTCAAAGACACTAACAACCACGATAGAAGCAACAAAAATTGCAACATCTAGAAATTGCTTCTTCCTCTTCTCTCTTTCTGCTTTATTTGTTGGGTATATTGACTTTTTAAGTTTTTCCCAAGTTGATCCGGAAGAGCCACTTCTTGGTTTTCCAAAATTCATTTTTATATTTTTATTTATGGTATATTTTTTAAATATATATGATCAACAAATGCTATATAAATTGCTTGATCATTCATGATTTCAATATTCTTTGCTTTTTGATAGTGAATATGCAAAATCCAGATCTAAATTTAATTAGATTAATGAAATATTTCAATCTTTTGAGTTTAATGACATTAAGAAAACATTAATAAATACAAAGATACTAAAGAACTCTCCTTGTATAAAGTAATTTAAATTATGAATGTAAAATTATATATTAATTTCAAATTACTTAAAATAATAAATTTGATAAAACTATCTTTATTATTAGAGGATTCGCCAAGTTTTAAGTGAGGATTAATTATTGCGATAAATTAACACACTTCCTGATAGTTAATTTGAATAATATAAAGTAATCCACTTAATTTATATATCATCCAATAGTTAACTTATAGAATTAATTATTATTATAAATTAAATTAATCTTAATTTATAAAGTTTATTTTCATAATATTTTAGAGCATTCAAATCAGATCTTCTCTTTAAAATAAATACTCATAACAATAATTGTTATTTAGATAACAATAAATGAAACCTTAAATTTGATCAAGTGCAGTTAATAATCAAAATGAAAAATTGAATTAATAAAGTTTATTTTTATAAATATGCTTAGACCATCTGAAATACATCTGTATAAATTATATGTTGAAAGAGAATAAGCTTTCCATTTTCTCACTAAAGTAGGACAAATGAACAATGTTAATTTAGTTAATTGTTCAAACCATGCATTTCATGAACATGACTATTACAAACAATTAAAGCGATGCGATGATATTTATAACAAAATCAGTGAGATCAAAAACCTTTTAATCTTATATAACAAACCGATACATTATTGTCCAAATATTAAATCTTTCATTTAATACCTCCAAATTACTGAGGATTAGGTAATAAAAATGGAATAAGAACTAACACATAAAGTCCAATTTATTATGAATCAATAGACAAATCTGCAGTAGATTGTTGAATAAAGAAACAGATTAGAAGAAGAGATGTAAACATCATATTAAATTTAAGTGCAGTAATAAAGTATTCTAAGGACTTCATATACAAATTTTCAGNATATTAATCAATAGGCTGCGTGCATTGACTACTACATGTTGCTGAATTAAGTTAATTCTGATTTATCAACTTTAAGGAGAGTTTGAATCCTTTTTTCAAAGACACTAACAACCACGATAGAAGCAACAAAAATTGCAACATCTAGAAATTGCTTCTTCCTCTTCTCTCTTTCTGCTTTATTTGTTGGGTATATTGACTTTTTAAGTTTTTCCCAAGTTGATCCGGAAGAGCCACTTCTTGGTTTTCCAAAATTCATTTTTATATTTTTATTTATGGTATATTTTTTAAATATATATGATCAACAAATGCTATATAAATTGCTTGATCATTCATGATTTCAATATTCTTTGCTTTTTGATAGTGAATATGCAAAATCCAGATCTAAATTTAATTAGATTAATGAAATATTTCAATCTTTTGAGTTTAATGACATTAAGAAAACATTAATAAATACAAAGATACTAAAGAACTCTCCTTGTATAAAGTAATTTAAATTATGAATGTAAAATTATATATTAATTTCAAATTACTTAAAATAATAAATTTGATAAAACTATCTTTATTATTAGAGGATTCGCCAAGTTTTAAGTGAGGATTAATTATTGCGATAAATTAACACACTTCCTGATAGTTAATTTGAATAATATAAAGTAATCCACTTAATTTATATATCATCCAATAGTTAACTTATAGAATTAATTATTATTATAAATTAAATTAATCTTAATTTATAAAGTTTATTTTCATAATATTTTAGAGCATTCAAATCAGATCTTCTCTTTAAAATAAATACTCATAACAATAATTGTTATTTAGATAACAATAAATGAAACCTTAAATTTGATCAAGTGCAGTTAATAATCAAAATGAAAAATTGAATTAATAAAGTTTATTTTTATAAATATGCTTAGACCATCTGAAATACATCTGTATAAATTATATGTTGAAAGAGAATAAGCTTTCCATTTTCTCACTAAAGTAGGACAAATGAACAATGTTAATTTAGTTAATTGTTCAAACCATGCATTTCATGAACATGACTATTACAAACAATTAAAGCGATGCGATGATATTTATAACAAAATCAGTGAGATCAAAAACCTTTTAATCTTATATAACAAACCGATACATTATTGTCCAAATATTAAATCTTTCATTTAATACCTCCAAATTACTGAGGATTAGGTAATAAAAATGGAATAAGAACTAACACATAAAGTCCAATTTATTATGAATCAATAGACAAATCTGCAGTAGATTGTTGAATAAAGAAACAGATTAGAAGAAGAGATGTAAACATCATATTAAATTTAAGTGCAGTAATAAAGTATTCTAAGGACTTCATATACAAATTTTCAGGGGTCTAATTAGGATATATAGTAGGATGTATGAATGCTGCGGATTTACATAAATTTAATCGAATTGTGTTTAGAATCTCAAAAGAAAATGGAATTGTGAAATTTAAGGATTTCAACAACGAACGGACTATTTTTACGTTGGTTTTTACTAAAGGTAAACATGAAAATTTAAAAACTAAATTACTTAAAATATGTGAAGTACTTTAATAAATTTATAAATTTAGGCTTTTAATGTATCTATATATTAATTACCTGAAGAGATTTAGGTTGAAAATAAAATAATTGAATTAGAAAATGAATTAACTAATTTGAGTATAGTCATCACAACAACAAAATTAGAAATTGAAGAATAATTAGATTTTTTTTCTGATATTTCAGTGGAGAGACCTTTAGAGTTGGATGAAATCTATTTTATCGGTTATTGTTCATACATTTGTGAGTTGAAAATCATAGTAGATTTGGTAAGTGCTACTTATTATCATCTTACTTTTTTTGAAGCAAAATCTCAATTTTTAATAGGTCAAATGTGGTGTGAACTAAATTAAATTGAATAAATCAAATAAATCGGGGTTCAGATTGAAATAATGCAAGACATCAACGAAAATTTATATGAACCACCAAGTCTTTTGAAAACAAATTAATTTACTCATATCTTTCAAGAATTAGTGAATACTTATGGGATTCCTAGATACCATGAAATAAATCCTGGTCTTTTCACTATAATTACGTTTCCATTTTTATTTGGTATGATGTTTGGTGACATAGGACATGGAGTAAAATATTTTCTATATAAAGATAGTTTTGACATTCTTTGGTTTCTACTTATTAATGTTTGGTAAGAGTGTAATCAAAAGTATAAAATTGGAAAATAGCAGTGAATATCTATCATATGCAGACTTTTAGAGTTTATATGAATGCAGGTATCTCATCACTTTAATGGGACTATTTGCTACATATTGTGGTTTTATTTATAACGATTTCTTTTCGATATCTTTGGAATATAAACTTGAAAAGTTTTAGTTGGGTTTTGATGGTAAATGGAGTATGTCTGAATCTCACCTTACAGTGATGAATTCATTTAAAATGAAGACTGCAATAATCGTTGGAGTCATTCAGATGGTCTTTGGGATTCTTCTCAAAGGTTGGAACTGTTTATATTAAAGAAAATTTATTGACTTCATCTTTAATTTTATACCTGAATTGGCTTTCATGTTGTCTACATTTGGATATATGTCATTTTTAATAATACTTAAATGGCTGACTAACTATAGTAATAATTTGGAACCACCTTCAATTATTACTACTCTGCTTAATATGGTCTTTACATTAGGAGGAATAAAAGGAGCTGAAATGTATCCTCATTAAGTTTACTTTTAAACTATATTAATTCGTATAGCCATATGTTCTCCAATAATTATGTTACTTAAACCAGAAGTAATTAGAATAAAGAGGTAGCTTTTTAAACGAGGAAATTAATAAATGGTTTATGACGATTTAGTGGAAGCAGAACATGCACATATAGAAGTCATAAAAGAGGAGAAAAATCAAATTTTTGGCAATTTAGTAGAAAGTAGAGCAATTAAGGAAGAGAAGCATTTCGATTTTGCAGAGATTTATATTGAAAGTTTAATTGAATGCACAGAATTTGTATTGGGAGCTGTGTCAAATACAGCTTCATATTTGAGATTGTGGGCACTTAGTTTGGCACATTCTCAATTATCCGAAGTATGCAATTGTGATTTACCTATTAGGTCTTCTTCAAAATGTCCTTAGAACCATAATTATAAAGTGGATCTGTTATTGGAATATGTTTAACTTTTATGGTCTATGCTTTCGCAACTGTTGGAGTACTTATGTGTATGGATACTCTAGAATGTTTCTTACATTCTCTAAGATTACACTGGGTTGAATTTTAGAGTAAATTTTATAAAGGAGATGGTCATAATTTCTAACAATTTAATTATCTTCATTTTTTGGATTAGAAAATGTAATTTAGTACAAGAATGTGAATAAATTAATATTTAAATCAAAAATGCATCTCACTTAAATAATTTTAGCAATTAGGCAAAATAATTAAATTTTTATTGTCAACCTTTAGTTGTTGTTGAATGTAAAAATTATTTATTTAATTAATTTTCATCAAAGTAACAATAACATACATGATAATATATGTTTTATTGGTAATCCTCTAACATTCTCATTTCTTAAAATACAGTAATAATAATTATCATAGAAGTTTTTAATTCATAATTTATTATCACATTTAATTCAAACTATCTATTTCTGATGAAAGTTCTTATATAACAAAGAGCAGAGGTTTTAATGATAAAAAATTTAGTTTATATTTATTTTTAATGATTAAAATTGAGTACAGTAATTAATATTAATCAGGATTATAAAATTAATTTATAGGAAATGTAATCTTTTGAAGCCAAACTGTCTAAATTAAATTGCAACATACATGGTTTAGAGATATTGTATGTCAATATAGGTTAAAATGCAACAAATAAGAGAGCATTATGTAAATAATGCAGATGCAATGATATATAATTACATAGAAATTATCTTAACGAAGTTCTGCAGGATTACATTGATAAAAGAAGGAAAGATGCAATAAAGTTAATATAATAACTTTAGTTTGACTTCAATAGAAAATATGAATAAATTATGGGTCTACTAGACAAGATCAAAGAGATGTTTGACAGTAAATTAAAAGAGTTTACAGAGAAGGAATATTTGAGCGAATTTTAAGAGAGATTCTTTGGATGGGGTAATTTGACTTTGAAGGATGTAGAAGACTTAGGAATAATGTTATCAAAAGATGTTGAGTTCATTGAAGATTAAGTATCAATAAAAGAAATAGAGTTCAAAAGTGAGGACTTGGAGGAATATGTTGATGTTTTGTCTAATGTTTTGGATGATTTAGAAGAGTTAAATATAAATTAGGAGAAGCTTGTAAAATTGGATATGACCTTGCCAAAATATGAGAGGGAAATATCACAATTAGACTTATCAAAGGATGAAGATATGGCTGCAGTGGTGACCTTGAATTCAGATATCGATATTTGGAATTTGTAGACGATGAAGAAGACTGTCTTAAAAGGACATGATGACATAGTTAATACAATATTATTTAGTAAATACAGCAACAGTTTGATTACTGGAGGGAGAGAAGGCACAATAAAGGTTTGGAAGTGTGAAGGGAAATGGATAATACATGACATTCTGATAGGACATGATGATTGGATTACGGCATTAGCAATAGGGAATTAGGATTAGTTAATAGCATCTGCTAGCAATTAGGAAATATTAATTTGGTCATATAAATCTGATCATTATGCCAAGGTTCAGAAATTGTTAGGACACACTGATTCTATTTATTCATTAGGATTTCTTAGTTAATAGGAGTATCTAATATCAGGTAGTTATGATAAGACTGTGAGATTATGGGAGGGGAAGGACAAACAGTAGTGGAATTTCAAACAATAATTCTATTATCATTCCGATAAGGTACAATCAATAGCTTGTTCCAATAACACATTATTTGGTTCATGCAGTTGGGATTAATCAATTAGATTGTATGATCAGATGACAGATGATTCTTATGATTGCATATAAGTGTTGTATGGTCATCAAGGGAAGGTATATTAGATACAATTCAACGACGAGTCAAAGATCTTGTATTCTTGCAGTCATGATAATACAATCAAGTTGTGGAGCCAATTGTAAACTAATTTTTGGGAGTGTTTCCATGAGATTAAACAGGATTTCCATATAAAATTTATTGGAATAAGACAACATCGTTTGATTTCATCGAATTATTATGAGATTTATGTTTATAAATAAGAATAAATCAATTGATTAAATATAATGTAAGGACTTCTAAAGACAGCAGCTGAAGAAATGCTTTCTAAAGCAATTCGAACCTATACTTTTAATGATTTGATTGTTATTGGTCGACATCCATATAAAAGTTTACCTGAAATGTTAGCATAATACCCAAACAATGGAGTAGGATTCAAAGTATGGAGAAAGACTTGGCCAGAAAACAAGTATATAATTGTTACTGAAGCACATTTAAAGGTAATGAATTTTAATTACAAAATTTAAGGGATTGAGAAATGGTAAGTTTTTTGGTATCTAATATTACAATGGCAGACCACTTACACCACAACCAATAAAAATTAGAAATTGTAGTAAGAGAGGAACCTGGAAATATGATACAAATAATACATCGGGGGTATCTGCAAATGGTGTCTACTTTAGTGCAGATGATTTGAAAGATTATTCAAAATTACATTAAAATAGAGAGCAAAAAGAGTGATATTACATTTGTTACATAATAATAATGAATAATAACATAATAACTAAAGTGAGATAACAACCATTATTAAATAATTATAATATTAATTTAAATAAAGAGATTGACAAAATTTACTTCATTTTAGATCACTGACTCTTCTTGAGTGTGTTCTTGTAGTGGCATTCTTATTAGCCTTAGTATCCAGAGTAATTACAGAATATTTTGGAAGTATAGAAGTGATCATACTTTTTATAGGTGAAATGCCAATGATTCTGCTTGAATTACTTTAATTAAAGGTTCTTGTGGAAACCGGGGCAATATCATCACTCCGATGTCCATGATTAGCTATTTTCCTTAATATTTCTCTTCTTGTAGTCTAGTAATAAGTTAAGTAATACAATTAAACGATCTTTCAAGACTTCAGGTCTTAATTTTTGGATTCCCCTGTAAGTTGCAGGACATAACATTTCCTATTTTGCTAATTTGCTTAGATCTTATGACACATTGACTCCTTTATCAATTTGAACATGGCAATTATAACAAACATTGAATTCCATCTCCAAGAATCCTGGATTACCCAACAATTCTTTATATTGAACATATTTCAATTTAGGAAATATCTTTCTAATTAAAGCAGGGATCAAATAATTTTAATTAACTTATCTCAATTCTACATCTTATCTTACATCTAATTTCTCAGCCATAGTTTTCTTTCTAAGAAGTATTTATTTCTTCTTTGTTATTAATAATTTATCATTATCCCCCATATGATCGAAATTCCAACTCTCAATAATGTTCTTAATGTATGTCTTCATCAAATCATTCCGATGAAATAGGGTGTCACACATCTCACATTAACTATCTTTAACTATATTTTTATGTTGTTTGAGTATCAACTTTTCTTAATCAATAAAGGAAGGGAGACTCAGAGATTTCATATGTACTTACTCCTATGTAGACCACTTTATAAGAACACAATTGATGAGCCAAATCTAACCTAAGTTATCTATTTTGATTTCCAATGTCATTCTTATAATCTTGGATTTCCACTTCATTAAATCATTACCATGAGCAGCTATAGCTCCACTAAAATGTTCTAGTCTCTCTGTCAAAGATTTACTATTAATTTATTGAGCCAAAGTTCCATCTCTCTCATGTGTTAATGCTCGCTAATAAATATCGATCGACTTGTCATTAAGCATGAATTTACTCTCAAACCTTTCAAACAATGTTTAATTCTGACTCCATTAAATTATAATAGTGCAATTATAATATCCCTTTGGATATACAAACCTTTATAAAATCCCATCCTTCTAACCCTGTTGCTAAAAGAACTTAATCAAACTCTCCTTATTAAAAACTGACAATTCCTATTTGGTTCTCCAAATGGCCACTATCTCTTGGTTTAATTCGAGGAAGTATTAACGAATATAATTGTCATCCAATTTCATCCTTGATTTCATTCTCACTTGAGCTTTCTTACTAAAAAACCATAACTTAGGAATCGAATTCTCATAAAATATTGTATCTGGAACATTTGCAGATAAGACTATCTTAATTTAAATTCTTACAATAATCACCAATGGGATTCTGAAGATGTAAGAAAGACAATAAATTTATGATTGGTTATTCATGAATTTCCATTTAATTTATTAATATTATTTAAAATGGTGAGCAATTACTTAATATACAATATTTCATTAAAGTTTTTATTTTAATCCATATAAAAATAGAAATGCTAGAAATCTATACACAACAATGTATCCAAAAAGAATTAGTGCACACCACCACAATCCTATATTAAAACCATAGAGTTCCTCTGGATCAATATCATAATGCTTGTCTTAATATTCATTATAAGACATGGCTTCAAACCCATATTTCATTGGACTCAAGTATTGCAACCATCCGATCCAAGGATAAAAAGACTTCTAGTTTGAATAGAACCCTGAAAAGATGATCAACGGAGTCACTATTGCTGGTACAATGTTTAATGCCATTTAAATGTCTTTGAATGCAGCTCCAGCCATCAACCCTTAAAAATATATTAACTATCAATATACCCATTGAATTGGAACAAACAAATACTAAAACTGAGATCAAGAGATGTATCAATACTATTTCACCAGAGTCATAATTTAATCCTATCATCCAATATGCTATTATTTATTAGATCAATGGTGAAATAACACAAAATGGAATTTCAATAAGTTATTTAGCTAAAAAATATGATTTAGTAGTGTATAGTTTTGAATTCTCCTCCCTCAAAAAGACTTCTCTCTCGACTGAAAAGCTTAGAATACATGACATGATGGCATTCATTGTAAAATCCACACAGATGAAAAACAAGGCTAAGGATGAAATATTTAACCACATATACCTCCAGATATTGATAATAATTATTCCAATTTCCCATTGTTACGACCAGCTCCCCAAAACACACCTCCTTTCAATAAACCCAAAAAGATTGCCTATATGACCTTTGCTTTAAATTGCATATGATCTCTCATAATGTTCTTGACTCCTCTTGAAGATATTTCACCTATTTAATATGTAAATGAAGTTTCATTAATTTTTAATGGCACATCTGAATTGCAACAATTCTAGATTTCAGAGTCTATTTATTTTTGTAATTTCTATTCGTATTCCTGAAAATACAAACTGTAATTCTCGATATTCTGCTTATCTTCAGAATGAGTTATAGATAAGAAATAATCCATTGGATTAGAATGATCAGGACACTTAAACCCAAAACTGCTGAAATGATTGATAATATTTTCTCTGGATCCTTAATATGCTAATCTCCCTTGAACCAAAAGCATAATCCTGTCAAAAAGTAAGAATATGTCTGAACTTGGTTAATGTATGGTAAAGATGATAGTTCTGTCTTATTCCTCTGATAATTTTCTTAATTGATGGCTATAAATTAATCAAAATTTATAATTACATAATTTAAAATGCTGTAAATGAGTCTAATCCAGAAGTTGGTTCATCCAGTAAAATGCAACTAGGATTAGAGACTAATTCATATCCAATTGAAGTTCTTTTTCTCTCTCCTCCTGAAATACCTTTCATATTAATTCCTCCAATGAATGTATTCTAGCATCTCTCAAGTCTCATACATTTAAGAGTGTCAATTACTCTAGATTACTTTATTTCTGCATCACTATATTTTAGGTTGGCAGCAAATTCAAGTGCTTCTTTAGGAGTCATAGTTTCCATTAAAACATCATTCTACATCACGTAGGATGCAAACTAAGAAAACTTATCGTAGTCATATGGACAACTATTGGCCAACAATTTCCCAGTCAATTTGTTGGTTTTGGAATTAGTAATTCGACAAGCCAAAACATTCAGTAATGTTGTTTTACCTGCACCAGAACTTCCCATAATTGCTGTGACATGTCCACCAGGACAGATTCCACTGATATTGTCCAGAATTATTCGTTTCTCTAATAATATACTTCAATAATTCACTTATTTCATAGGTAATATTTTAGAAAACTAAATCAACAACTTTTCTGCTTCTGAGTGTTTTCGATGTAGAAGGTTCGGGTTTGTTCGTATTTAATGGAGTCATCTCAAATTTCACGGTTTCTGTCATATTTTCAATAAATATTCTTAATAATATTCTCGGATTTAAGAATTTCTGATTTGGCTTTAATACTGTTGTTTCATCAATGATATCACATTTCGTAAGAAAATCAAATTCAAAAGCCTATTGAGTACTTATATGATTTTTAATATTTTATTAATTATCAATTATCCTAATGTAAGGTGATCTCCAAATTAATCAAGATATATTGGTTTAATAGATATGAATTAAAACCCTCATAGAATAAAGAATTTAAAAACATTCCTCGAAAGTGAATCAAATTATAAGACAATCTACTTTTTCATATTAAAATATCTAATCTATTTGTGACAATACATATCAATAAATTTCATAACAATAGAGAATGCACCAGAGACCCCGACTTCAGTGTTTCTAAATTGGTTGGAAGCTATGAAATTCTGGAGTATTTAGCTCTAGGTTTTCCAAGTTACTTAAAGCTTTCTTAATCCACATACTAAACAATCTCAATGTTTCCATTCAAAACTAGTTTAGGGAAGTTAGTATTTGAGATGGCTTCCATTAAATTATTTATTACCTCAAATAAATTATATTTCTAAGAAATAAATTTGAGTATCTTTATAGATTATAATATATAGTAATAATCCAATTGATAATTGAAATTCGCTGATTAATAATCAAATCGTGTTACACTTAACATAATAACTAAATTGAAGAAATATTTTTTAAATATTGAATGATATCTATGTATTAGTCTAATGAAAAACAGAATAATAAAATTTATCATCACATTAAATGTCTTATAGTTCATAATAATCTATAAAATTAGATGATTATAGAGAAATAGCTGTTGACATATCGTAAAGTTTGATTGCAGTTCGTTCTATAATAAGAGAGATTTTAAGACGTTCTAGTGTGATTTTAATCGAAAAGCATCTCGAATAATCAATTCCTCTGATAATGCCAAAATGGACACTATAGTTTTCAGAGGATGTTGTGTAATTGGGCATTCATGAACCTGATGAAATGATGACAGACAAGATTAATTAAGGTTTGGTTCTAGAAACAGAACCAGAAATAAGAATTCAAGATTGTTGGAGAAGTTATATTGCAAATATTGATCTGCGATTTCATTAGACAACACATACTAGTCATAGTGTAACTAAATCTCATTTCTCCGTTAATGCAGGCTATTAGAGAAGTTCTGTTACAATAAAAAGAGCTTCACAAATTCTTAAAACTCAATTCGAACCATTTGAGCCAGAATTTGTTAATATGTAACAAAAAGTAGAGGAAGATCCCTTTGATTAAGGTTTGAGATAATAGTTGGAGAGAGATTAATAATTACGACAGTAGAAGTGGTAGGCTGAATAATAGAGGATTGCTGAGAAGAAAGAATAATTGAGATAGATCAGGTTATTGGCAAGTTCATTTACAGGCGATAAGAAATATACTTTTGATTTTGAGGGTAAGTTCATGCCTTAAAATATACCTCAGGTTGAGTAATTGGCTCCTATCAGACCCAGAGTTAGTTCGATGGTGTAGTTTTAAGAAAAGAATAAGGTGATTGAATTTGGGAAGTCATTTGTATATGTTAAAATAGAGGGAGACAAACCTTTTTTGGGAAGTCAAATGAATTTTTAATAGAAACAATAATAGAATGTATTTGATCAAATCGAAGTAGCTAAAGGTGTTACTTTAATCGAAGGTTAGAATTAAAAATAAGGACCTTCATTCTCGAATAAATAGAATTTGCAATTATGGGAAGAGGGATTGAAATTAACTAAAAGTGAATATTAATAATATGTGTAAGGAATTTAAGGAGGAGTGAAAATACAAAAGATTATTCAAGATACTTCTATTAATGAAATAGAACCATCTCGAGTGAATTTAAATACATCTATAGTTAATTCTACATCTGTTAAGGAAGGTTCAATCAGGATAGATGGGAACATCAGTGTGGAAGAACTTTTAATTACAGAAGAACCAACACCAATTAAAATCGATGTTTAATAGCCATTACCGAAATTGCTATTAAAATAAAAAGATCTCTCATAGTTATTAACTATTACAACTGAAGCATTGAAATAAGGTAAACCGAAATTACCAAAAGTAATGAGTTCATAACATTCTCTACCTTAACTACCTAAGAATCCTAGAGATAGAACGATAAGTTAATTATATAAATTAAAATGATAATTAAGTAATAATAATAATCTAACTTTTATTCAAACTCCTCCTTACTTCAATTTATATCTCAGCATCGTTAAATAATCTATTATCATAACATAAAATCCTACCGTAATGTTCATCCATGTATTATAAGATTTGATTATCAACAGCAATCAAATAAATATGTTTAATCTTTTTCTATTTATCTATTTTACATCTCATAAAACTTATATGGAGAGCAGATATTCCACTTCCTTTTAAGTTTCCCTTATTCACAACTATTTGATTATTGACCAATAAGCTGTTAAAGTTTGACATCCCCTTTAACTTTAAATCAAATATATCGATATAATGAATGACAGGTACAAACTAAGGCCAATTTTCTTCTCCGTTTTGATTTAAGGAATACAACAACTAAGATTATAACTTTTATGTCATACAAATTTAGATGAGAAGGGAGTTGTGAACAAAATGTTTTTAGAAGAAGTTCTATCGAGTAAGTTCACAGTCTGCAGATATTATTCTCCATTCATCGTAAATATGTAAATTTAGGATTTTACACTCTTAAATACTAGAAAATACATTTAAATGCAACATTGCCAGAACTTATCTGAGTTATCTATATAAATTGTAAGTAATACACTATTATATCTATGATATATTACTTTCCTTCTAAACTCAATAGATTTGCAATATTCTTATAGTCTACTGTTAAAATAAGAAGATCTGTTAAGTCTATACATAAAATTCCATTCTCTAATTACTTAGTAAAGACTGCCTTAACTTCTAACTATTGGTTGAATTGGATTTAAAATAATTAAAGTAAGCCATCTAATGAACCTATGGCTAAAATCTTTGAAGCTGCATGATATCTAATGCATGATGCTCTTTTTTATCTCTTTAAGTCCTAGGATGGAAAATTTATCTTAAGTTTCTTCATATTATTCCTTAAATCATAGATTTTAATGTTATCATCAAGGAATCCTACCAAACATAAATACAAATTGTAATTCTATTTCCCCTCAAAAACACTATAATACTAAGAGTCATAACCATCCCCAAAATCAAACTACTATTCATAAATGAAACTGAATATATTTTAAGGATTGCACCCATCTATCTTTAGCTCAGGCAATTGAACTTTCTGCTTAAGTTCGATCTAAGGATAAAAATCAAGATAATCTTAGAAATGCTTAGTCTCCAATAATGTTAGATGATTGTATGTCTCATCATTAGACTTCAAAATATAAATGCATTTTTTTGAATAGGGATAAAACCCTAAAATTTACGATTTGCATTATTCTTTCATCTCTTCAAATTACTTAAAGACATACAACTTGTTGTTTTTTTTCAGATTATTGCAAAAATAAGGGATCTCATTTGTAAATACCTACAAACCATATTTCCTCTTTTTATGATTCTTTTAGAATAATTACTTAGGTGTTTAACCAATATCTTAAATTTTAGTTAAATATGATTAAATGGCTAAGTTGTCATTGATTTAATTCAACAAAGTATTCAAATTTTCTTAGTATGTTAGATAATGAAACATATTTGCATTATCGACTGCGTTTTATCCATTATTTTTATTTCCGAATATCAAATCGATCCAGTGATTCAATTCAGTAGATACTTTATCACTCTCAAGTGCTAGCCTCATTATATAAACAAACTCTTCAGCTGTCTATGTCTTAACCCATTTTGGCAATTCTACAACAGGGATTCTTGACTGTTATTGTAATGTCTCAAAAGGAAGTAAATTACTAGATATAATCATACAAATACATATTCCTTAGAAATTCAGGCATATAGTAAAATTCTGGAATCAATTCCTTATTATCATACTTTATACTATTATCCCATAAATTTTCTATACTTGAAAATAGTCTATCAGACATACTAATTTCTTCTATCAATTTTGAAGGGTTCAATCTTATCAAATATTTGAGAACTGTTTAAGCATTTGAATAATGGTGCTTATGTTGATAGTTACCATTAGAAGATGTTATTTCTCTCTCTTTATAATCTTTAATTATTTATTCAGGATTCTGCACAATTGCACCTATTGGTAATTTGAGATCCCTAAGTGTATCTGATCCTTCTATTGAAGAGAAAGCAATTTTATTAGACTTATAGTTTTAAATAACCCAAGGAAATACAAAATACTAACTTAAATCGTTGCAAGTTCTTCCTGAAAAAATGTTCACTAACATTAAATAGTGAAAGTTTGATAATTAGCCTTCTACCCATTTCTCTTAATAATTCATTTTCTTAAATTCTTATTTTGGATCAATTACTTAAACTTTCTTCTTTCTAAATTCTTACATTAGTAATTATTATTCTTAATTTTTGAATAAATTGAAGAAGTAATTCTATCTATCAATAAATATCTCAATAGCAATTTCCATTAATAAAAACCTCCTTGGGTGCACATTAACTATTCTATCGAGAGTAATTTCAAGGAACATGTCCTATGTTGTCTAAATCACTTGTGAACTCGAAAATATTTCTTCTGATTCTAATTCTTATTGTTAAAACTGAATAGAGTAATTTATTTCATTAAATATCAACATTCCTTAATAAGCCCCTTGATAAGTTATATATTCACAGTTATATCTAGTAGTCCCTACCTGATTGTTTTCTGGTGATCCTTTTTGAAGATTAATAATTGCATTATTGACTTTATTTTGTATAACTTATTCTTTTTTAATTGATGATCTTATTTAAGTTTGATAAAATTATTATTAATCAAATTAATTATCTCTTTCCTCTTATGAACAATATAATTATTTAATTTTAGTTATTTATAAAAATGGTTGTTTTCTTGTGAAGTCTTACAAATCAACTACCCATTTCCATTGCCTAGTCTCAAAAACTTTAAAATTAAATTTTTTATCGAAAATAAAATTGTTTAATTTTTACAAAAGTAATTATAACTAATCTTCAACTTAACAACTAAACAATTACTATCTTTAGTCTTCAACCGTACTATGTGTCCTTTAATTTTCCTTTTAAGTATATTCAAATTAAGTTAGAGAATTTGATTTTAGATATTCTAATAATTTACTTTATGTCTTTTGTTTCTCTTATGGATCCATTATTATAGGATACAACACCCAAAATTTATGAATTAATTGATAGTAAATTATAATATCCATAAATATGCTTACTCGAATTGAACTTGCTAATTGATTATTGGATAAATCTATTTATGATAAATCATGTGTGCCTATTATTGATTTTTAATTCGATTAAGCCTGCAACTTTAGTGTATTAAGTTTATTAAAAGCCTTCAATATTTATCCTTAAGATTCTTTGTGTTGATGAAAAAAGCATTAAATTTAATTAGGATCCACATTTTGCCAATCCATAATTTTGGTCAATTTACATAGTCCAAGTATTTCTTAGAGTTCATCTTAGTGTTTTAAATTTTACTTATCTATTTAATTTTCATTAAGTGAGTTATTTTCAAATAAAGCATAATAAACTAATAGTTTATAAAATTTAGAATGCTTAACTAATTTAGATCCTTTTTCCTTGATTCTCATTCTCCCTAAATTATTATCTGCATTATGCAACATTATTGCTAACTGTTATCTATATTATTTCTTTGTTATAAATAGATAAACTGAGAATTCTTGATCAATAAATTGTTAAATTCTTTGGTAACTTTATGAATCAATTCTACCTTCTATGCTATATTTATTTTTCGATAAATAATTCCTTATTGGCTTAATCATTTAAGGAATCTTCACAAAAGGTGCAATTAATTATTGCATTAATCTTTTAATGCCTCCATTAGGTAGAATTTTATTATTTTACTTTTTCAGTTTATGATGATCTTCTTTAATTTATTCTAAGTTAAAAGTATCTTCAAAATTCGGAATGAAATAATCATGATCATAAAATAAGATTCCTAAATAATTAAATAAATCAAGGCCCTTTTCCATTATCTAAGAGTAATTGTTCCAATCAACAATTTAAAGATTTGATATTTCTCCAATACATTATTCAATATGCATATATAGAACTATGATATTTACTAATTTACTCTCATCCTCTTTACCTTGAAATTACTGCACTTATTTCAGAGCATAAAATGAAATTGTTGTGTGGTAAACTACTTATAGATATGAATTAAAACTATTATTACTAAGTATTTAGCTTTTAATATGCACTTCATATAAGAGCTCGCTAGTCAAATTTGGATACACTTCTATAAGATATATAATTAAATATGTGAATAAATCTAAAGATTTTTGCTTGTTCTCTAAAGAAATAGTCANGTACTATGTGTCCTTTAATTTTCCTTTTAAGTATATTCAAATTAAGTTAGAGAATTTGATTTTAGATATTCTAATAATTTACTTTATGTCTTTTGTTTCTCTTATGGATCCATTATTATAGGATACAACACCCAAAATTTATGAATTAATTGATAGTAAATTATAATATCCATAAATATGCTTACTCGAATTGAACTTGCTAATTGATTATTGGATAAATCTATTTATGATAAATCATGTGTGCCTATTATTGATTTTTAATTCGATTAAGCCTGCAACTTTAGTGTATTAAGTTTATTAAAAGCCTTCAATATTTATCCTTAAGATTCTTTGTGTTGATGAAAAAAGCATTAAATTTAATTAGGATCCACATTTTGCCAATCCATAATTTTGGTCAATTTACATAGTCCAAGTATTTCTTAGAGTTCATCTTAGTGTTTTAAATTTTACTTATCTATTTAATTTTCATTAAGTGAGTTATTTTCAAATAAAGCATAATAAACTAATAGTTTATAAAATTTAGAATGCTTAACTAATTTAGATCCTTTTTCCTTGATTCTCATTCTCCCTAAATTATTATCTGCATTATGCAACATTATTGCTAACTGTTATCTATATTATTTCTTTGTTATAAATAGATAAACTGAGAATTCTTGATCAATAAATTGTTAAATTCTTTGGTAACTTTATGAATCAATTCTACCTTCTATGCTATATTTATTTTTCGATAAATAATTCCTTATTGGCTTAATCATTTAAGGAATCTTCACAAAAGGTGCAATTAATTATTGCATTAATCTTTTAATGCCTCCATTAGGTAGAATTTTATTATTTTACTTTTTCAGTTTATGATGATCTTCTTTAATTTATTCTAAGTTAAAAGTATCTTCAAAATTCGGAATGAAATAATCATGATCATAAAATAAGATTCCTAAATAATTAAATAAATCAAGGCCCTTTTCCATTATCTAAGAGTAATTGTTCCAATCAACAATTTAAAGATTTGATATTTCTCCAATACATTATTCAATATGCATATATAGAACTATGATATTTACTAATTTACTCTCATCCTCTTTACCTTGAAATTACTGCACTTATTTCAGAGCATAAAATGAAATTGTTGTGTGGTAAACTACTTATAGATATGAATTAAAACTATTATTACTAAGTATTTAGCTTTTAATATGCACTTCATATAAGAGCTCGCTAGTCAAATTTGGATACACTTCTATAAGATATATAATTAAATATGTGAATAAATCTAAAGATTTTTGCTTGTTCTCTAAAGAAATAGTCATAAGTTGTTTCATCAACAAAGGAAAATTTGATAATTTTAATAGATTTAAAATTAAAATGTTCAAACTCTATTTTTTTAGAGCAGCATTTTTAAATATATCCAAATACCAAATTATTATAGTAATCTTAACTGACTCCTTTATTAATAGATTTAAAATCAATTAACTCTAAAACCTTAAGAGTAGCTTTATTAATAGTGCATCCTCCTCAAATTAATTAATTAAGGTTAGCACTTTTGAAATTAATTATGATCCAACCTCAATTCTTTTCTTTAAGAAATAATCAAAATAAATTTATAATGAATCCAATTCTCGATTTTCTTTAGAATTATATCTTAATTATTAAACTAATGATAAATAAATGGAAAATGTCAATTCATAAAGTTTATCAATTGTTTCAAATTCATAAATAAATGATTGATTGCTCCTAAATTATTTCTATTACTTCTTTAAAATTTAAAAAATCTTTATTTTAAAACTGTTTAAAGTGGTCTCTTCCTCAATTCTTATGTTAATTTTTTATTTCATTCTATCTTCTATTAAAATATCTATTATTTACAATATATCTAAAGTGAATAAATTAAAGCATTTTTAGCTCACTAATAAATTAAAAAAAATTGTGATGGGATTAATTTATGGTATCATCACAACTCCTTGATATTGAATGCATTTAAATAAGGAATATGAAAACAGATTTTTTTCTTCAATTTTAAGAAAGGCTTAACTTATTTCCATTGACACTTAAGCAAATAAATATCTACTTTCATAATACAATTGGATGTTCATGAATTTTCTTAAACACTATGGAGTTGTCAATTTCTGAATTATTCTACTTGTACTTATGAGCTTTATTTAATCAAAGGTAGTGAACTTATTGTCTAATATTTTAATTATAGTAACGAGAAACAAAAAGGATTCTTACTCATTTTATAGTTTCGTATAAATTGATAGTAATTAAATGATGAATTCATTTGAAATCATTTAATTTATATTTATCCATCTTTTGCAATTCTCTTCGATGTTTTATAGATTTTAGGATTTAAAAAAACTATTCACTTTAGAATCGTACATTAATATATTTTCTTAAAATATTTTCAATACCAAAATGATAATTTTTTCAGAATCTCTTGCATTTATATTTTCACAGACAGTATATAATAAATCTAAAATCATATTAAAGATGTTGAATCCTCCGCACTTTTGGATGAAATTAGTTCCTTTTTTTATATCTAATTTATAGACATTCTGACAACATATTGTGCATTCATTTTGCATAACTGGTGAAATCGAAAATAACTAATCGAATTTCAACTAATTTTAATTTAAGACTTCTTAATTAATAAATTTCAGTGTTTATCGCTTTGAATTTGATTTTTTAATTTGTTCAAATTAGATCTTAGAGTTATTGATAATTAAATAAAATTCTGATACTATTCCCTCAAATGAGTATTAATCTAATAGTTCAATTGAATTATTGAAATCCTCATTTGTTTCCTATAATTGATCATTCATTTTAACTCCAAAAATGAACTTAGAAAATTGGAGTTGTTAATTATCTTGTTATTACACTTAAAATATTAAATTCTATTCGTTAATTTAAATCATTAGATTTTAATTGTTTTTTAATTAAAAATCTATATTAAACCAAGATGTCAAGTCTAGATTAGTTAGGTAATCTTATTCCTAATAGAATTCATCTTCTTTATAAATGATAATAAATTTCTTTAGCTTACAAGTAGCAAATTGAATTTCTTGATTTTTTGAAAAATATAAAGTAAAAATGGTTAATTTTTCAGCATATTCAAAATTATCTAGAAATAATCCTAATTTCATTTGATCTAGGTCTTAAAGTTTGGAACTTTCATTCTCTGAAATAACAATTTTTATTCTCATTTTTCCTTCAAGTATTGAAATAGGATTAGGAGAGAATGCATCTAAAGAGATGATGTGCCGCCTTAAAAATAAAGGAGATTTGATTATTCTTTCAATTATGACCACTTTTAGTAAACTAGTTAAAATATCTCTATAATTATTTTGAAAACTTTAATGTAATAATCTTTATCATCTACTAATTATATTAAAAGACTATAGTTGCATTATAGCAAAGGAATTCTATGAAGTGATAAATTCGCCATTTTATAAGTTTATTTAATTTCGTCCTAATCATAAGCATCTAATTACAAGTCATCCAAATCATTCATTAAAATTGTTGATTAATGTTGACTTAATGTTTCAAACAGTTATTTAATTATTTGAGGATCTTAATTCAACGAAATCACTATGACGATACATTACTGCATTAAACTTATTATCTCTGGATCTCTTGCTAATCTGAAATAGAAAATAAATTTAGGATAGTAATCTTAAAAGGAAAGGACAAGGGAAATTGATGTTTCTAATTAGAATTTTAGCATCTATAAATAGAATTTACTCTCTATTTGTATATTAGGCACTTCGAATAAAATACTTAAACTTGTTTCATAGAATTTGTAAAAGACTAATTTTAACTAAACTTATCTCTAATTTAAATTTGAAAATATATATGCTGTATTCAATAAATTCTCATTCTTATCAAAGTAAATGTCCTTAATTTAAATGTTATAATCATATCCATAAGCAATAACATTGATATTGTTAATTATTTAATATAGTGTATTAGATTCGAGAATGCCAGCATATTGAAGTGTAATAATAAGATTTATTGTAAATTTATAGTGAATATAGCATAATTCTAAACACATTTATTAAATGGAATCTGAATTCAGCATCTCTTTCTCATCATTTAACCATAATATCATGTAAATTAAATATGTAATTTTATGATAGATTTCAGTGGTGATTTTATGTTATCCAATATTTTTATTAGAAGCCTTGATTATAAAATAGTAAATAGTCTATACTATTTAAGTAAACTTTGTCAAATTTGACAATAAATATTTGATAATCTTGGTTCCCTTCCCCTTTTTATAATTTATGTTTTTTTTATACTCTCCTTTCTTATTTATCTTGCATGATCTCATTAAAATTGAAATAAATTTTAGAATATTCTGAAAGCTTACAGAATTCCGTTATATAGACTAAATTAANATCTAGAAATAATCCTAATTTCATTTGATCTAGGTCTTAAAGTTTGGAACTTTCATTCTCTGAAATAACAATTTTTATTCTCATTTTTCCTTCAAGTATTGAAATAGGATTAGGAGAGAATGCATCTAAAGAGATGATGTGCCGCCTTAAAAATAAAGGAGATTTGATTATTCTTTCAATTATGACCACTTTTAGTAAACTAGTTAAAATATCTCTATAATTATTTTGAAAACTTTAATGTAATAATCTTTATCATCTACTAATTATATTAAAAGACTATAGTTGCATTATAGCAAAGGAATTCTATGAAGTGATAAATTCGCCATTTTATAAGTTTATTTAATTTCGTCCTAATCATAAGCATCTAATTACAAGTCATCCAAATCATTCATTAAAATTGTTGATTAATGTTGACTTAATGTTTCAAACAGTTATTTAATTATTTGAGGATCTTAATTCAACGAAATCACTATGACGATACATTACTGCATTAAACTTATTATCTCTGGATCTCTTGCTAATCTGAAATAGAAAATAAATTTAGGATAGTAATCTTAAAAGGAAAGGACAAGGGAAATTGATGTTTCTAATTAGAATTTTAGCATCTATAAATAGAATTTACTCTCTATTTGTATATTAGGCACTTCGAATAAAATACTTAAACTTGTTTCATAGAATTTGTAAAAGACTAATTTTAACTAAACTTATCTCTAATTTAAATTTGAAAATATATATGCTGTATTCAATAAATTCTCATTCTTATCAAAGTAAATGTCCTTAATTTAAATGTTATAATCATATCCATAAGCAATAACATTGATATTGTTAATTATTTAATATAGTGTATTAGATTCGAGAATGCCAGCATATTGAAGTGTAATAATAAGATTTATTGTAAATTTATAGTGAATATAGCATAATTCTAAACACATTTATTAAATGGAATCTGAATTCAGCATCTCTTTCTCATCATTTAACCATAATATCATGTAAATTAAATATGTAATTTTATGATAGATTTCAGTGGTGATTTTATGTTATCCAATATTTTTATTAGAAGCCTTGATTATAAAATAGTAAATAGTCTATACTATTTAAGTAAACTTTGTCAAATTTGACAATAAATATTTGATAATCTTGGTTCCCTTCCCCTTTTTATAATTTATGTTTTTTTTATACTCTCCTTTCTTATTTATCTTGCATGATCTCATTAAAATTGAAATAAATTTTAGAATATTCTGAAAGCTTACAGAATTCCGTTATATAGACTAAATTAATGCCAAAAATTATTACTTACTATATGAAATTTAAGTAACCATAACTATGCTGCAAAGAATTGGAGGAATTTGAAATAGCAATATCGATTATTATCTAATAAATAGATTCATTCTCGATTAGTTCTAAAAGCTAATGATCAAATATCTTATAATAATACTGATCTTGGATTTCTTATGTATAATATTGAATAATCGAAGAGTTGAATTCTATCTTTTGTTCTTAATTAAATTAGTGGTAGTATTTACATAAATATATAATAAATTGAATAAGCTGTTGAGTGTTTATATTATTGTCATTCACAAAGTGCTTTAATTCTTTTATATGAATATCGGTGTGTATATTTAATATTTTAGAGTTGCTGTTTAACTCTAATAATTATTCTCCAATGAAAAGATAATAGGATAATTTGATTTATTTGTTTGAATTTTCAACAATCAAATCAAAAATATACAAATAAGAGTATAATTTTGGATTATATAAGAATTACTTGAGCATATGACCAACAACTTTATGATTCTATTATTATATCAACGCAATTATTGATTGACTTCTAAATTACAATAATTCTGTGTCCAATTTGATATTATCAACAAACTCGATTACTTGTAGCAAATAAATGAAAAGTAAATAATAATTGATATCATCCTTCTCTTTTATTTGGTAAATCCACTTTTATAAATTTTACTCTATAATTTAAATGTATTAAATTTATTGATAATTTTATTTTAAACATGATGAGTATACCTAAAAAAATGTAATCTCCTAAAATTATTCAATATAAATTAAATCTTGAAGTTGCGTAGAGTTATGCATGAAACAGTATTAAAATAAGTCATTTATCTCTATAAATTAAGTGATATCAATAATATTTAAATAAGTGAAATACAAAGTATTTGCTAATATAATTTAATAAATCAAAGGCCTTATATTTTATTTTTTCTTAAAATTTAAGGGTATAATAATTTTTATTAATTTTTATAACGAAATGAATGGCTTGATGTATGAATATTATTACAGTATTTGATCATTATTTTACATCATCTACTTTACATAGATAATCACATTGCCACCAACCTCATAACAGATTTCGAATAGAATTTATTTGACAATTTCATTGATTTCCGATAATTATTCATATTCAGAAAGGAAATTTTCTAGACAATCTATCATAGATTCAATAGCTATTTTTTATGAGGATGAAAAAAATAATTAAATACAAGTGGATTATTCGTCTAATATATTTGATGTTTATGAATAATAATGTCGAATAACAGCATTTATAAGTAAGTAAGTAGAAAAGAAAGGGGATTCCCTTTTTTTGTTGAAAAAGTTTTCATATTCTGATTTATTTTCGACTTTTGATTTGGTTAATGAAATAAACTCCGATTCTATAATGGATTAATTTTATAAAGATAATTTTAGATCTTCTCTTAGTAAATCTGATAAATCATCACTAAATATTTATTCCCACTCTATGCGAAGTAATTTTAGATATTAATTAAGCATATTAATATTAATATTAATTAAATTAATAATAAATGAATTCAAAGGATCTACTAATTCTGAATAATGAAATTTTCATCTAAATCCATAAGAATAATGAATAATTTACATTAGAAAATTATAAGATTACCATATAATTATTATTTGATTTAGACAAAAAAACACTCTATTTATTAAAATTTTTTATTAGAACCAATCATTCTAATTCATTTTATGAATATAATTGAAACAAATTCATTCGATCCAAACTGTCTTAACATTAGCAAAGTTTTAAACTCCCCATTCACCACATTCTCTTCCATATCCAGATCCTTTTATACCTCCAGATGGTAATCTTTAATCTGATTTGACAATTTCATTCACAAACACCATTCCTGCTTCTAGATTATTCACAAATAACTCAATCTCTTACTTGTCATTGCTAATAACTACTGCACCTAATCCATATGATGTGTTATTTGCAATTCTCAATATTTCATCGTTAGTATTTGCTTTTATTAAAGCAAACAATGGTCCAAATGTCTCTTCTTTTGCCAATAAATTTTTCTCATCCACCTCTGCTACTGTTGGCAACATAAAATTTTCATTCTCCTTTAATCTAGTTCCGCCATAAACTATATTTGCTCCTTACTCCACTCCCTTCTTAATCTAATGCAAAAGATTTGTAATTAAATCTTCTCTAGCCATCGGACCTAATTCAGTTGTGTCTAATAAAGGATCGCCAATTTTCAATTACTGCAATGCATTTACTAATTTTTCTTTAAATACATCATAATATTGAAAATGAACTATGAATCTTTTTGCTGAAAAGCATACTTATCCACAATTAGCTATTCTTGATTTAAGAGCCAATTAAACTGCCAATTCTACATTTGCATTTTACAATACACAAAATGGATCTGATCCTCCCAATTCCAAGACACTTCTTTTTAAATATTTACCAGCATTAGCTCCTATTATTGAACCTGCAGCTGTCGAACCTGTGAATGATACACCTTATATATAAGGATGAGCCATCACTTAATCTAATTATTAAGCAGTTGTAAATGCATTCTAAAATATATATTAATTGAATCCAGCCAATATGAATAACTCCTATAAAGCTATTCCACAAAGACCTGTTGAATCTGAAGGTCTATGGATTACTGCATTACCAACTACCAACATTGGAATTATTGGTTTAAAACCTAAATATAAAATGTGATATACATAACCAAAATGGAAAATTGAAAGGTGATATTGAGTAGATAGTTCCAATAGGTGAATATTAAACATAACTATTTTTTGCTTCAGTTTTCACTATTTGAGGTTGTGAATATTTATCGATATTCTCAGCATAATATTTGCAATAATTTGCTGATTTCTTTACTTCTGCTCTTGATTAACTGATTGGTTTGCCTACTTCTTATGATATTAATCTTGCATATTTCTCTTAATTTTCGTTCAATAAATCAGATAATCTATTAATATCAATATTAAATGCACTTCAACAACTTCTATTGTTTAATTTAGTGCGGACTATTCCTATTGATTTCATATCCTTATTTTGATTATTGAATTAATTGCTGTAACTCTTCATCACTAAGAAAATTGAATTCACGTACTGCCTCTTTTGTGGCTGGATTTTTCGATATAAATTTTCTCATAATTTTAAATCAATATTTGTTAATATTTATAATAATTAGTTCTTAGAGCTTTGTTGGGAGAATTAGACACACTTTTCCTTTTATTACAAATATATATATATAAAAATCCAATATTATGATTTCTAAACATATAAATTAGAAATCTGCCTAAATAATTATAATCAAATATTATCTTTAATAGAATTATTCAGATATTAAATTCCCTTTAATAGATTAAATGAAATTTATTCACATATATATACAATTTTAATATCAATCTAAATCTATTAATAAATTAATATGAGCATATATTTCGATGGATCATAATGTGGAGTGTAAATTCAACCTCTGCCGTACTAATCCTATTATACTATTGAAGGAATATATTAATATTTACAGTAGGAAAATATTAATGCATCTTAATACTACTTAACAGTTGATGGATCACCTTTACACCCACAAGATAATACATTAATTGGATAGATTATGTAACCAAATTCAGCTTTCACAATTATGTAATACCAGCAAATAGAGGTTTCAATTTTTTTCGATTAATAATAAATATCTTAATTAACACTTAAAAACATAATAATAATAGATGTAAATAGTTTAAATGCATATTGAATAGATATTGACCTATCTGAGATAATAAGGGAATATTTTTCCATAAAATATTGCAATAGATTTTTATGATGGTTAACAACACTTAATAGCTTAAGATGTTGATGTTAATTAGTAATTGTATAATTACACCAATGGAAATTAAGTTGTGATGATAAACATAAGATTAATTTAATAAGATATTTAAACAGTGTATGATAATAATTTTCAATCAAAGTACTTATATAAATTTATTAATTAGCGTTTGTGCTTAGGATCTTCTTTAATAATTAATTTTACTCAAGAATTTAAGTTTGTTGATTGATCCAAATAATTAATTTGTTGTTTATAAATACCATTTCCCAACTATGGTTTAAGGATACTTATAAAAATCTTAAGGTTATGATCCAGAGCAGTGTACTTAATTTAATTGGAAGGGTTAAGATTGGGTTGATAAAAATTCAATAAAATACTGTTCTTTTGATGATTATGGATTTGCTATTTTGTGGGATGATGGAAGGCTAAGTTCGGTGAAAATCAAATAATTATGAAAGTCTTATATATTTTTTAATATCAGAATTATTATTTAAAATATTATCAAAGAATATTTAATAAAATATGATGAATTAAAATATTTTAGTAATTGGTGCAGGAGTGGCTGGATTAGCTTGTGCTCAACACTTGATTAAATAGGGTTTTAATGTCAGATTGTTTGAAGCATCAAATAGATATGGAGGAAGAGTGAAACCCTTAATTGGATTTAGTGATAGACATTTAGAGGCTGGAGGATAAACAATCCATCATCCAGATAATGATTACTATAAAATGGCTATTGAAGCAGGGGCTAAATTAGAAATAGGAGGAGATTTGGTTGGATCAATTTATGATCCTATCCAAAAAAAAGTGATTACCTTTGATGAATTTGAAGAGCTCTATGAAAAAGAATCTTAGTCAATTGAGGATTTCATCAATGATAGATTTTTAGAGGATGAGCCAGTTTTGTAAAGATTGTAAAAAAAAGGATACAACATGGAATTTATTCATTTATTTTATGCTTTATATGGTAGTGAATATGGAGCTTCTATAGAAAAAATAGGTGCAAGGGCAATTGGGAGATATGAATTTGATATGCCTATGTTTGTATCTGATTATGAAATTGAGAATAATTTTCACCACTAAAACATTTTTGATAAATTCTTCAAAGAAGCTATTTAAATAATTGAATATAATAAGTAAGTATAATCAATATCAATTCTTAATGAAAACGTTTAAGTATAAGTAGATAATGAGCCAAATGAGTATTCATTTGATTATGCTGTTTGTTGTGTTCCTATTACTCAGCTAAAGAAATTGAAAGTAGAACCTCCTTTTGAAGAATCAAGATTAAAGTAAATTAATCTGGTTGGAATGGATAAAGGAGGAAAGTTTTTCATTAAATTAGATAAAAAATTCTTAGGGCATTAAGAGGATTTCTTTTTACCCAAATTTAATCACAATTCCCTATGGTGGGATAGTTCAAGTGAAAGTTAATCAATTATCATTGGATTATTGGGATTAAGTGCTCATAATAGAGTAATGGAAATAGGAAATGAAGAATTTGCTAAAGAGATTGTTTAAACAATAAATGAATAATACAAAGTTGATTTGAAAGTGATCTCTTATCATTATGAGAATTGGGGTGATACACCTTTTATTGAAGGATTGTATTCATTTCCCATGGCAGGAATTGATGATAATTATAGATAAATCATCTCAGCACCTCATTAGAATAGATTGTATTTTGCAGGAGAAGCTTATCATCCTATTTATTATTCAACAATTCATGGAGCTTATGAAAGTGGAATTAATGCAGCTAAAAAAATAATTAAATGAATTGTAATATATTAATTGTTTATATCCAAATTGTTTTAATTTTTATTTTATATAACTCAGTTCTTTAAATATTAATTCTATTCTTTATTTCTTGCTCATACATCATCTTGATATTTATTAAAAATTTTAAAAAGGTCTTTTAATTAAATATATTCATATATTTAGCATCTTTAGTATTTATTCAAATTCGTTTACTTTGTTAATTATTATACCTAGTAAGTTAATATTAGAATTGCGAAATTATGAAATAGAATTATTGAGATATCAGACGCTACCTAATTAATCTGGGTGTTTGTTGTAAAATCAGTAGATTGTAAGAGTATCACAGAAAGATCATAATATGGAGAATTAGCTTTGAAAATTGATAAATACAATCTACATATATAAAAAATTTATTTATGAATTCAAAAAGTTGATTAATCTCTCTTCAAATAAGAATAAGAAGGATAAATTAATTTATTTTATTTTAGCATAAAATTCAGATTTCTGAATAAACGAATTTAATCAAAATGTTATAGATGAAATTTGAAAGAATAATTTATGATATAAAAAAAAAAATTAATACATTAATAGCAACTTCATTTCAAGATAAAGGCACATTTTTCCATCTCCTCTAATTATTATTAGACTTGTACTTTTATAACCTTAGTTCTACATCTTTCAAGTTGAGCAATTTTTTGATTCCTCTCTAATTATAATTAAGATATTTGGTTGATTTTTTTTTACTCAATTTCCTCAAGTTTTTTATTCATTTCTAGCTGAATTAATTATTCTTGATCATTAAATTTATTAAGTAGCACTTCTTCTTAATGTGCATGTTTCTATTTAAGTACTCTCTATTGGGTTTCTTAAGTTTATCTTTATTCGGATTGAGTTCTTCTCATATGATCTTAACTTGCTTCTTTTAGATAGACTTGATATAACTCTGCCTTTTTGAAATCCTTTTGATTTGACAAATAAGTCATAATTTTTTATAGGTTCTAGTACTCTGCATTTTTTTATCTTTTATAAAAAACAGATTTTTGTAATTATATTTTTTATTGATGCCATATCTATTAAAGTGCTTAACTTTTCTAAAAATTAAATTTTTCAAATAATTAAGTAAAGTATTAGTTGACTTCATCAATCTGTTATTTGGTTTAGGTAATAATTCTTTCTTCTCCAATGATAAATTTTTCCTGAATTTCCTCTCTTTCAATTAGATCTCGAATGGTTTTCATTTGCAATATTTTAGATTTCACTTCTTTTGCTTCTTTGAAATCTTGATTGGCTTAGCAATCAATCATATGTTATTCTGTTAATTTGATTATTTCATCCATTTGAGTTAATGTTAACATATGCGAAAATGATTTTATAATTATTAATTTTTAATAATGATTATCAATCTGGATATTCAACATCACCAAATTCTGATGGTAATTAATAAGTCCCAGGTCCAGGAACTAAATTATGAAAATTGAATTCAATTACAAACTTTGTTTCGAATTTAAATAGTTTTTCTTTCTGATGCACCAAAACTGAATCCTGAACTGCTTTTCAATCTGAGATCTGCAATATTACCTGGTGGATCATAGGTTCCAGGTCCAGGAGTTTTGATGATTCTGACAGATTTATTAGAGGATGGAGAGAATAATGGAGCTCGATTGCTTGAGTATTTGGAATTGAAATAATTTCCTGTTTTGCTAATACCGCCAACGTTATAGGCACAGGGAGATGGAGTTGTAGATTCCAAATATATGTCTAAATTAGAATAATATCATACGTTTAGCTTTAGTTCTTTCTCCAAATGAAAATTTAAGATTGGAAAAAGTATCTTTCAGAGTATAGGTATTAGGTGCAGGATTCTTATTTGGATTTCCATATATCCCAACAGCTTTTGTTTCTTCTCTGCCATACCCAAATTTCGTTACTGGCTTAGGTTTAGATTTTATTGTATAAGCTGTTGGAGGAGGAATATACTTATCTGTTAATTTGGCAAAATCGAACTTTATACCAAATCCGAAACTGCAAGTTCTTTGACCAAGAGATGTTCGAATCCTAATATATGACAAAGATTGAAATACTAAGAATCATAAAATTATTGTTGACAATAACTGGAACGAGGTTTCGAGAATCTAGTGGCTTTAGCAAATGAATATTGTTATTTAGATGGAGAATGATTAATCACATCATGAATAACCTTTTTATTAAATTGATCAGCTGTCCTCAAGAGTATCATAGATCCTGCATTTCTTGGTCGCCCATACAAGGTTTCTGCAGCACTGAATGTCCTTTCTGATGCTGTTCGTGCTCTTCCCTTCTTCTTGCTGCTACCTTAAGGACTACTCAATTCAATATTATTCCCAGATTATGTTTCCTACTCCTATAATTTATATTGACTATCCAATTAATTCTCAGACATCTTTATTTTATTATTATAATAATTTAATCAATATAATATATCAAAATTTAATATTAGATAAAGTTCCTGCCAATAACTCCACATAACTCTGCAATTAGCTTGTTAAAGGCTCCTCTATTCCAAAGAGATTCTCACTCGATTACAACAAATGTTCCCTCTCCATGTCAGTAGATAATTTGTTCTTTAAACAAGTCTAAATTACAATACAAATTATACCTCAATCACTCCAATCACCACATCTTGTTTGTTTAATAATGGTTATATAAAAATGGGCAAAATTGTTATTAAATCAACATTTGGATTAAAATTAACTGATCTCTTTATATCATTGACAATGTATCTCTGCTTATTCCTTACTGCCATACCTGCTAATCCATAATCCAATGAGAATTATTATTCTTTCTGATTTTCATAACTTAATAACTGTTCATTCTCCACAAAATAGAATCTGGTCATCTGAAATCCAAATATTCTCTTAAAACTTAATTGAATCCTTTCACTTGCTATTTATTTATTCTAAGATCTTAAAATATCAGTTAACTGATGGTTCATTAAACTTCTGTACTTCTAGGCTATTAGCCAACTCTCCTTATCTACCAACCTTTATATGATATTTCCCAAAAAACAACTAATTATGATACCAAGGTATTCTTCATCAAAAGAAAATTACTCTTGTTCCGAATTCAATATTATTAAGCTTCCTCTTATTACATTTTATCCAACGCAAAATATGGGTAATATCAATGCACTCTTTCCGTATTCTGGTTGCTCACTCCCATTTATTCTATATATTATAGCTTTCTTTGGCTTTTAACCTAAGTTTTGAGCTTAATACAATTTAAATGTATCAGCTACCATTCCTTTATCCTATAATGCCTTTACTTATTATCGAGTTTCTAAATAAGAATATAGTAATCCATTTTTAGTTTCTAACAACCATAATTTGACTGTCTCGCATTTAAATATTTAAGGCAATTGCCTATTTACATTAAAAATCAGATCTTCTATAGCTTAACAATTACTGAACTCTTCCATTTGTAATAATAATTAATTCAATCTTTCCGAAAAGTCCTTATATGAGAGTAATTGATTACAATAATAAGATATTTATTATTTTTAAACTTCCTAAGATTATTAAGATATTTATTAAAGTATGTTTACAACCCCTTTTTCGCATAAATCATTCAGTAGATTTTAATGATCCAACTTCTAACACACTATTCTAAAATCTAGATTTTGTGGTATTTTGAAATTCATTAATAACTCAATATCGTCCTTCTTAATCAATCCTCTTATTTCATCATCCTCATTCTTTTTTCTTAAGTTATCAATAGTTTTTTATAATCTACTTACTATCAATTGATATTAATTTAATTTCCCTTGAATTCTCTCAACCTCCTAATTTTTCCTTTCTAACTCTCTTTTCAATTATTCATTTTCCTTCATTAAAATAGTTAAATTTGATCTCATTTCAAAAATGTTGATATCATTTGAGACTATAAATTCGATTCTTTTTTCTAATGCATTTATTTTCTTGACATTAATTTCATTTAAATCTTTTTCTTATTTTAATTACTTTTATAATTTTAAATTGTCTTCCACCAATTTACTATTTCTTCCAGAATTGATTTCAACTTCTTATTGTAATGACTTATTCCTATCAAATAATTCAGCTTCCTTCCTCAATTTTTATTTATTAAACACTAGAAATATGTAAAACAGTATACTTGACGATTTCTTTTATTCTCTATTTAAAAAACCTAACTAAATTTCATTTTTGGTAGTATTTTGAATAGTGTTGACAATTGAGAGTAGGAGTTACTCAATTTTTTAAATCGTTGGTAAACTATTCAATTAATTTTTTTGTGTTGTAATAACTTAAATGAGGAATTCTAACGTAGTGCATCTAGATATCAACCTATTTTGCAAATCTTTTATTTTCTTATTACATTGAATTAGTTTACTTAGACTTCAAGATTCTCATTTCCTTCCGTCAATAATCTTTAATCTTTGCTATAGGCTGTACTTAATATTGTCTACTTATGTGGTATTGTCAAAGTTTATTAGGATTATTAATTGGCTCTTGGAGTACTCATTTAAGTAGCTCCTAAATAATCAATTGATTGAGGTTATTTGGACAGTAGGTGAGCTAATTAAGAATGTTTCATATTATTATATATTTATATATATATTCAATCTTATTATTGATTGTCTAATTTCACTTTTTTTTTGCTTTTCTTTTTATTTGGTGGCATTTTGTTTTAAATTTGATCGATGTCAAATACTTTAATAGTTTGATCTTCAGAACCTAAAATTATTACAATAATTGTACTTGTAATAACCAAATTATTAGTGAAATACACAAAATCCAACAAAAAACCACTGTGACCTCGAATATTGGCTTTTTCTAAACCTTCAAGAGTTTATCTATTAGGTATCATTCTTTATAGGATTTCTGTGGCATTCCAAATTTACAAAGATTAATGACATTTGGCTAAGGATGTTATTAAACCATTTCTCTATTGAACTTTTTATATTGGAAATCTATGCTTTAAATATCCCAATAACACAATTTCATTATGTATAACATTTATGGATATCGTTTAATTATTGCAACCAGTGAGCAAGTAAATATTGTTATTGTACAAACTAACATCAATACAATTTATCTCTGTATTATGGATTTGTTTAGTATCAAAGTGATGTTTCTGATAATAGAACACATGATATCCATTAAAGATATAAAATAGATAACATTTATCATTGTTAAATAGAAATTATATGCTGTTCATGTTAATTGTAACAATATCAAATGGTTTGTTTTTAATTATCTGTTATAACTTGATCTTTTATTAGATCAAGAAATTAAACAGTACTTACCCAGTTGACAAATCAATGAGTTACATCCTACCAGTTAACATAATGATCAAAACATAATCTTAAATTTGATGAGGTTTAGTAAGTAATTCATTGACTTAGTCATTTTATATTTGTTCAACATCAAATAAATCTAATAATAGTAATACTTATTTTTTATTTAGCCACTCGATTTTTGAGACAGGATCTTCACAATTATATTTGTCAAGTAATTATTCTTTGTAAATATCAACTAATTCAACCTTCTAATCTTTTTGAATTAACACAATTCCTTCTTAAAATGGACTAATATAAAAATTAGCGAAGTCAGTTATTTTCCAAAATTCATTGATGTAAGTAGGATACTTATTTTTTGTTAAATCTAATGATTTTAAGGTTTAATCATGAAAGTAAATTAAATTCTTTTCCTTCCCTATTTGTAATTTGTTGACTTTACCAGCCAAACAGACAAATTTGTGATAATCGACAATTTGTCCATCTTCAACACGAAATGAAAATATTCTTCTATCTAAACCTACTGTATAATATTGATTTTGGTAGTTATTCATTAAATATATACCCTTTATATGAATTTCTTAAGGTAATTTATAGAAGTGATTATCAGAAATGACATTTGCATCTAATTTTAATGATTTGACTTGATTTGTTAATTAAATTAAGAAGATCTCTCCTTATTTGGATGTGACAAAAATCTATTTATCATCTAAGAATTTAATGCTTAAAGATGCTTTTTTGAGATTTTCGGTTGGCAATTTCTCATTGACGATAAATTTTAATTCAATGAAGATATCATTTTCATTAATGGTATTAGTTTGTTTCCATTCATCTATTTAATCTAATTGAAATACATGCAGACTAATTGCTTTATGCAATTTATTTAACACTCCGTATATATTTTTATATCTATCAACACATAATATATGATAAGGATAATCATATTCAGATTTTTATTCAAATCTATACATCCTGCCACTCTAGTAAATGACAACATTCTCATCTCCCCATTTTGGAATACAATGAGGTTGTGTTATCAATTTCAATGCGAAATGAATCAATTCAAATTTATCATTCAATTTAAATCCTAATGAGATTCCTTTATTGTCTAAAAGCAAATATTCATTATTGACTTCCTTTAATATCATAGGAATTTCGATATTAAATTCAAGCTTACCCAAATATTTCTATTATTAAAACATTGTAATAACCCCACCCTCTTAGCCAACAAATATGTATTAATCTTTTAAATACAACATTGTTACTTTTTATTATCCTTGCAATGTGTATTTGAAGTGTTTGGTTTCACTATTATAAACAAACACTTAGTCATTAACTCCATAACACAGTATCTCCCCATTCATTTAAGCAATCTGTGGATAAAACCAATTGGGACTAAATGAAATACATTTTGAAGGAATGTCCATAAATATATAATAAATTAAATATCATTAAGACATGGCATTTTAAATTCCATCTTAAGGATTAAGTGGTTAATTCTCCTCCTCCAATTTCTTTGCTTCATCTTCTTCTTATTTCTTCTTCTTTAGTTATTCAGCCTGCAGTGCTTGTCTTTTGGCTTCCATCTATCGATGTTCGTGAATTCCATAATAGTAATACCCATTTAAAGATGTTAGAAATTCAAACAAAAAAGGAATTATACTTTGTTTACATAATTATCAATACCAGAATATCACCCATAAATACATTATAGTTTTGTATCTCCATCTGTCAAAGAGAAAACATACAAATGTCCAGACTCCGACAAAGTGATAAATGCATAAAACTGAATTTACCTTATCAAAATGAATATTCATTGCTAACATGTTTAACCCAATTTGTCCTGCTTAAAATAGAATACACAATATCAAAAATATTATTATGCTTTATTTAGTTTTATTTATTACTAAACTTATGCCTCTGAATATTCATCAGCTGTTGGAATTGCTCTAATTCCAGCTGAAATATTTTAATGAGTAGCACCTAAACATTAGCAAGTAATTATCAATTCTATCATCACAAGAATAAACTTTGAAACTATTAAAGACCTTGATGTTTCAGAAAATTTATTTAAACTTAAAATTTTCATAAATTATAGTAAAAACTAACATTGTAATTTGTAATTTGCAATATAGTTTAGTAATAAATTATTAATTATGTAAAAGAATGAAGAAACCATCAAATTAGACACTTCAAATCTAAACACAATACTTAATGATGAAGAATTCTACTCTAAACCTTTAAATGCTGAAAGTAATATTTTCAAAAGGATATTCCTATTGAATGTTTAAGATTACATGAATAATCTATATTCTGAAATAATAAGCAAAGATATTAAATTTAATTTTTCACATACACCTCCACTGTAGGATAGTTAGAAGATTCAAGTTGAATTACTTGAGAATCTTCTTAATTAAAAATCTTGTGATATTACGAAGATGTCTCTTTTTAAACTGTTTTTCCTCTAATAAAAATCAAAATTTGCCTTAATTTTATTTGTGTTAGCACTTTTTTCAATCTCTAAATGTGGAATATCTATTTTACTATCTACTCTAATAGATTCAATATAATAAGACTTACAAATTAAATATGCATATGGGATAGGATTGGTGTTATTAAATGGATTATCAATCATTTGTCAACATTAATTCTATTCAATTGGGTATGAATACTCAACAATAGTAAGAATGAGTATGGCTAATATACTCTATCATAAAATCTTTAAGTTGCACACTTACCAAATAAAAAGTACTAATTAAGGAAAAATAATCAACATGATTTCAGCTGATTTAAATTTATTGGAACCTTTCTTAATCTATATGTTTGTTGTATTTAATCTACCTATAGCCTTAGGATTGACGGCTGCTATTTTATGGATAAGATTTGATGGTCCCTAAGGTTTATTGTTGTTGGCTCTGCTATTTCTAGCTTACCCAATTTAATTATTTTTCACTCATAGAATCACAATTCTAGTCAAAAAAACTAAAGAATATGCAGATTAACGAGTTAAATTGACAAATGAATTTATAGAGGGTATTAGGTTAATTAAGATGTATGCTTGGGAGCAGTCCTTTATTAAGAGTATTAGAAATCTAGCCAATTAAGAACATTTTGCTTATATTTTAACTCATCTCTAATATGTTATATTGAGAGGAACCACCTTCTTTAGTCAAATGTGGGCAAGTGCAATTTTTTTTATGATTATGCATTACGGAAGCTTTTATGAAATTAATGTGTCTATTATGTTATCAACATTATAATTGGCTGCCTTTGCCAGATTTTTTTGTGTTAATTTGTCAAGTTTTGGATTAGATTTTATTGCAAATTTAAAAATAGTATTAGAAAGAATGAGAGTTGTTTTGTCAATGGAAGAGATCACATAAATTCAGTATCTAGCGGATTAACAACAAAAAGAAGAAGGATTAGTTCTAAGAAATCTTGAAGGATATTGGAATATACAGGGACAACCCTAGATTAAATTATCTTACAAATTTAACTTGGGATTATATGCAGTTATAGGAAAAATTGGATCTGGAAAGTCGTCATTATTGAATGCAATTATTGGTGAAATGCCTAAAACAACTGGTTCAATTTTGTTAGATGGGGAAGATATTAAAAATAGGAAAGTTGGTTATGTAGAATAAGAACCTTTCATATTTCCAGCTAGCTTTAAGGAGAACATTTTATTCGGAAGACCAATGGATGAATACTTATACTAATAAGTGCTGGAATAATCTAATTTGATTATGGATCTTCAAAATATGGACAAAGGCGATAGCACCATGATAGGGGAAAAAGGTCTTACATTATCAGGAGGATAAAAAGCAAGATTGAGTTTAGCAAGGGCTTTATATGAAGATGCCGATGTATATCTATTGGATGATCCATTATCCGCAGTCGATGCTAAAGTATCTAGGTCTATTTTTAATAATCTTAAATTTTTGGCCAAACAAAGAATAATCATATTAGTTACACATTAAGTATAGTTTGCTCCAGAATGCGATTAAATTATTATTATGAATGAAGGCCAGATAATGGCAAGTGGAGAATTTAAAGATGTAAACTAACATTTAAATCTAATTACTGATACATTCTCATAGCAAGAATAATAAGTTTAATATAAAAACAATGTAACTAAATAAGACAATGATTTATATAAAAAGGAGGAATTAACTTCAAAGCCTGTTACTTTGGATACTTATAAGAGATTTATTAAATAATGGTAGTGTCCATTTTTATTAATATTCATGATAATATTTTATCTGGGCTAGGAAATTCTTCTATAATTATACATTTTCTTTATTTCTGAATATGAGGATGAAGGTTCCTTCTTTTTATTAATTGGAATGTTGTGTATTGGAGCATTGGTATTAAATTTAATAAAGTATGGAATAACCACTTTTAGTATTTTATCAGGAACGAAGTAAACTCATGATTAGATGATAAATTCATTAAGTCAAAGTCCTATATCATATTTTGATACTAATCCATCAGGTAGGATACTTAATCGATTCTCAAACGATAAAAGTTTATGTGATTTTACTATGAACTTATCACTATGGGAAGTATTCGAATTAAACTCCTATTTTATCGTCTCTATTGCATTTCTGATATCAATACTCCCTTATTTCGTAATAGTAATGTTTTTCATAATCTGCTTTTAAGTATATATATTAACAAGATCTTACAAAATTATTATAGAGACTAAAGAATGTGATTCAATCTAAAAAAGTCCGCTCTTTGATTTCTTTAAGAATACCTTAAATGGAATTGTGTAGATAAAATTATACAAATAATAATAATATTTTAAATAATTCTTTAATTAGTTGTCAAATAATTGTATTAGATCCAATTTTACTTTTTATTAATGTTCAACAAATTTTGGATATAAAGTTCATTTATCAGGATGGTTTGCATCAGTAATTGGCACCATGATTGTGATTGGAGTGTATGAAAATCAATCTGTATTCTCATAAGCTTTATTGATTTTAACTATCTTTAATGATTAATTTTAATGGTGTATGAGACAGATGATATAAGTACATGCAATGATGTCATCATGCTAAAGAATGTATGAAATTATTGATTTAAAACCTGAGGCTCCTTAATATCTTGAAATAATTTAAAATTGGCCAACCATAGGCGAGGTGAGATTTGAATAAGTTGAATTGAGATACAGATACAATACACCATTAATTTTAAAAGGAATCAATTTTGAAATTCCCCAAAAGAAAAGGATTGGAATAATTGGCAGAACAGGAGCAGGAAAGTCTTCAATACTATAAGCAATGTTTAGGATGTCAGAAATAGAAAAGGGATCGATTGTTATAGATGATGTTAATATTTAAAAATTAGGTTTACATCAATTACGATCTTCGATTGGTATAATCCCTTAGAGCCCATTTTTATTTAGTGGAAGTATTCGAAGAAATTTGGATCCTTTTAATGAATATACAGACAAAGAATTATGGGATGCTTTGCAATAGACATCATTAGACGAATACATTAGAAAATTGCCAAAACAACTTGATTCGGATATGACCTAAGTTAATTCTATTTTTTCAGTCGGATAGAAATAATTAATTTGTTTGGTTAGAATCATACTGAGTAAAAAAAAGATTATTGTTTTGGATGAAGCAACAGCTAATTTGGATCAGAAAACAGATGATCTTATTCAATTAGTAATTAGTAAGTTTGATGCGACTATTATAACAATTGCACATAGATTGAACACTATTGCAGATTACGATTATGTGATGGTTATGTAAGATGGCAAAATTATAGAATATGATAAACCCCTAGTATTGTTGTGTAACTCAAAGGATGATTTAGAAATTACCAAAAACACTGAATTTGCTTAAATGGTAAAAGCTACAGGAAATGAAAATTCAAAAGTGATATTAAAATTATCAAAAAGAAATAACAAATGATTAATATATAAAAATTATGATAAATTTTAAATAGACAATTTAAACCAAAATCATACATCAAAAAAGGAGATTATCTACAAACTTATCTTCTTTCGTAAGAAGAATTTTAGCCAAAAATTACAAGTTGAATTTTGAAAAGTACAATTAAACTTGCCTAAAACCAAGCTAAGAAAAACTGACAATGACGAGCTTTAACTTTCCATTCTAAAGCAAAAAAATCAATGCTTTTAACAAAACATTTTAAATAAAATTGTAAAACACCTTTCCTGTTTAATGATATAACTAGAAGAATCCTAAAATAAATGTTATAAATAATATTATGTTAAGAGAAATAATAGTTTATCAACGACCGAAAATCATTTTTTTTTATCGACTTTTAATTCTTTGAACAATTTATTAATTTAATATATTTTTTTTCCATTTTATGAGCTCTATTGTAATAAATGATAATTCTCTTTAAAGCTTAATTATAACGTTTTGCAATTCGATTATTTAATCTTTCAAGTTATCTTTAAACTTTCTCTATTAAAATGATCTTCTTATGTTTTACTTATTTCATTCATAACTTCTAATTTTTTATTATACTAATAAAATCCGAACTTCAATGTAATGATTTGGAGATTGATTTGAAATTACAACAAACCTTGTAGATAAAGGCATATGGCATGAATTTTGCATCTAATATATTATTATTTAATATAACGTATTTTTCTATATATTGTTATTTAGAATTCACACTATTTTTTTTAATATTGTTAAGTCTTATTGTTATTTAAATTATTCCCATAAAATCAAGCTTATCTTATTAAATAATTAAACACTTTACACCTATTCGATATGTCAGATGAAATAATTGAAAACAATGACAAAGTGGCTAAATAGATTATCATAGATGAAGGCCACGAGTTTGTAAATTCATCAGACTAAAGATTACCAAGTATTCTAAGTCAAAGTCATCTTCCTCTGCCATTTTCAGGAGAAGAATTCTCACCTACCAACACTGATGAATTTTTAAACACTACCATTCCTCAAGGGACTATATTAGAGTGTGATGTGAAAATAGTCAAAGGATGGTTTGGTTGCCATTTAGCCTACAATTTTTATCATTCAAAAACTCAAAAACTCTTACTTTCAGTTAAAAAATCGAAATGTACAGGTAGCCACAAATTTTATTTGAGCAAATCAGAAACTGAACTTGATATAGTTGGAACGTTAGAGTATTATTTTAATCATATTTTTTAGGTCTAATTTTAGTGGTACGTAATTCATTTTGTATTCAAAAGGGCTTTCCTACAAGAATTCAAATGAAAAAAACAATTTAAGAAAAGAACTCGCGTTCATTCATTATGAATACTAATTATTAAAAACAAGAAGTAATATTTTTTATATATATTTCTAGAAGGAAATCTTTTTAAAGCATATATTCCTTCCTTAAAAGAAGGTTTGCCTGTGTAAATTATTCCCACAGATGAAAATACAGGATTGAAAATCAAAAGCAGATTTACAAATAAACGAAATCAAGAATATTTAGAATTTCATACTCTAGAGCCTAATTGGAATTATAAATACTAATCCTTTACACTTCCATTTAATTCTAGAGTAAATAGCGCATCTGTTCATAATTTTTTGCTTAAATAATTAAATGAGGATGGCAAATTAAATAAAGATGTAGCAATTTAGTTTGGAAAATGTGATGAAAAGTTCTTAAACATAGATATTGCTTATCCTTTCACTCCATTGCAAGCTTTCTCAATCGTCATCAGCTAATTGGATAATAAACTACTAATCTGAATTCTTTTAATTTTTAATTCATGTTTATTTAATATATTTGAAAAATACAAATATTTGTTATACATCAAAATCGAAATCCTGCATTGTATAAGGAAATATTTGATGAATTATATTGATTTCTGTTGTTATGATAAACATAGAAATAATTGATTCCATTGAAGTCATCAGAAAGAAAAATATCCAAATTCAAATCATTATAATTCATAATAAATCTTAATTTATTGAAATATGAAAATTTATAATATATTCATCTTAAAATACTTCTTTATTTTTATTCAATAAAGTATATATGACTATGCCATTATATTCTAGTAAATAAAGTTCTTTTTAAATAATTAACTATATTTCAATGAATGCCATATTAATTCAATATGTTTCAACTAGGGGAATAACTTTCAAATGACGATTTCGCTTTGTTTTCGGCAATTACAAAAATAGTAAGCAATCAATCAATACAATTTATAAAATTAATATATTATTCTAAGAGGAGTCTTTTATCTCAATATGTACAATAACTTACCCAGTACTCATTACTTTAATTTTATTAATATTTTAATTTATATGAAATTTATTCAACATAAAACTAGTGTGTCATTTGTTAGATAATTGATGCTATAAATCATTAGAAATTTACATTCTTAATAGGCTGAGTTCTCTACTATTGAAGAAACTAAGATTGTGGAAGATTATTGAGTTTAGTTTTTTTATTGAAGAATTAAAAGGGTTTCAACTATTATATATAATTTTCAGAATTATCATTATTAAAAGTTAGTTGAATTGATTTAGATTTAGTCTTTCGATCCACACATTCGAAAATCATATTAATAAAATTGCCATATTAATTTGAAAATAAGGGCAAATGGTCAGATATAGCATAATTTGAAACTAAAGATAATAGTTAGATTTTTCCTTCTTTCAAACAGAATAAAATTCAAAAATAAATATGAGTAGTTAATCCTATAGCAACAAAAGTGCAATATGTTTTAAGCTTCTTGTTAGTTATTTATTTTGATTTAATCTAAAATCAATTTTTTAATCTTTTTGTTTTCAAAATGCTTCAAATAGTGCTTTCTAAAGTATAAAAATTGAGTTTAATTAGACATTAATTGAGGTTTTAATTATGAATTGAAAGAATGATAATTGAAATTTCAACTTTTGTAAAATCATTTCTTTAATTAATTATTGTATTTAATCAAATATTCTTATAGGAATGTATATTACAAACAATTAAAATATGCATCAATACTATTATAAAATGATAATCTAACATATTAGATGAATATATGGAATTTTTAACTAGATTTTCCTATCCTGATTTAAGGTATTTTATAATATATGTATAAATTAGAATAGAAAAAAAATATATTAATTCAAATAGCTAACAGCTTTAATTTAGAGTTATGAAAATAATGAGATAATTGATGTTAGTTTATCAAATGCAAAATTTAAATAACAGAATCCATACTAATCAGGATGGTAATAATTTATTATTTCCTTTTTAACATTTTTTCCAATACTTCAAAGGTTAATGTGTCAGAATTCAATATGTTATTTGAATTTATGAGGAAATTTAACATCTAACAAATACAAAAATAATTATTCTAGAAATGAATTTAGAGATGCTTTTTTCTTTCATTTTGGTTAAACTTGTTATTTAACCTTTAGTTACTTGAAAATTAATTGAACTGAATCATTCATTTATTGGAACGAAAAACTTACTGTAACTATGCGTTATTCATATACTAAGTTAATAAAATATATTCCTATAGTTGAATCAATAGAATTTTTACATCATGATAATACAATCATTTAATAAATTATCGTGTAACCAAAAAATCAAAACTAAACCAAAAGGCTATTTCATCCAATAGTTTCACTAAATTCTTGCATTAAATATAGTTGAATCAATGAATTTAAAAATAATGTTAAATTCAGAAATTCAAGCCTTGCATTGATTGAGTTAATAATTTTATCAAACAAATTTCATTCTTAGTTTCTTTTATTGAATACTTGTTAATCGCTTCATAAACTGATTCGCTATATTTTTAGATGTTCATTAGGAGTTTAACTATATATTTCTTAGTTCAATCTCAATGAAGTTCTGCAATCCTTTTACAAAAGATTTCTTTTGAATTTCACTCCATACCATTTCAATTGATTGAAATTATGGTGTATATGGAGGCAAATAAAGTTCTCTTAAACAATATTTCTAATTAAAATCTTGAAATATGAAAAATATATTGAAAAGATTCTTCTCATACAGATAATTCCATTTATTCTTAATTTTTTTTCTTTCGATCAATATGATCTGTATATTTTTTAATTTTCCACACTTTAAATTTAATAACGTCTCTACTTATTCCATAATTGCCAATGCATGTAAATAATATTTCCTAAATTGCGACTGGTTGTAGTTTTTCAATCAAACTATTGTTAAATTAATTTGATAAATTAATTTAACCTTCTATCAGATAATCCAATGCAAGCCGATCAAGTAAATAGAGGTAAATTGTCTAAATGTAATTTTTTAACTACGTATTTGATTTGTAGGTGTAAGTAGATTGATTCTCAAACGACAATTAATGCTGTCTATTCATATTAGATCTGAAACCAAGTACATTCCAAACAATGATGATCATTAAATAGGACAATCTAGCATAAACCCTTTTATCTATCATTGTCCTTATCACTCTCAAGCTGCTCAGCAAACTAAAACTAAAACCAAAATTCAAATTGATATTATTATTTTTCTCAATTATGCTAATTGCATTTCTTTTCCTTTTATACTTGCCTACCTTTTTTTTAAAATAAAATTGCTCTTTTGAAAATAATCTCATCTATTGCTTTAACATTTGATTTTTGGGTTTCTAAAAAAAATTAACAAATACAATTAACAATAATATTATATCTGGATACTTTGTTCAAATTAAAAATTAGTATTCTCAGATTCAGGTTTCTTAATAATAAATTTAAGATTATTTATTAAATCCTGAGACTTTAAATCTCTAAAATTATCCTGGTTTAATATTTGTTTATATATATATTTTAAGTATGTAATTTACAATATTTATGTATATTTTTTTCTTGCACATATAAACGATTCTAACCTTTAAATAAATAAATTGTGTTATTGAAGTTAAATCAATTAGGTTCAAAAAACATTTGTTCTATTCTGTTCTTGTCTTGATTTACATTTTCAGAGTTATTGTAAATTGATGAATTATAAGATGTCATTGCCTCTTCTTATCGATTCATCTAAACTAACGTAATAGCTATTGGAAATAATCATATTAAATTATTAACCTTTGTTATAATAATAGTCTAAATTCTTAGGGTTTTATTAAATCGCTGAGTCATAGTAGTCTAAAGCTTCTTCAAATCTATTCATCTGTTTTAAAGTAATAGCTGATAAATATCTCAACTACATATACCTTTGTTATTATAATAAAAAGAATTTTCAGGATTATTCTAGATAGCTGAATCATAATTTTCTAAAGCTTCTTCAAATCGATTCATTTTTTCTAATGTATGAGCTAAAATTCGATTAAATTTTTAATACCTTTGTTATTGTAATAAACTGAATCATCTGGGTTTTTCTAAATAGCTAAATCATAATTTTCTAAAGCTTCTTCAAATCTATTCATTTTCTCTAAAGTGCATGCTTAGAAAAGATAACGAATTATTACCTTTATTATAAAAATAGTCTGAATTGCTAGAATTTTATTTAATAGCTGAATCATAATTTTATAATGCTTCTTCAAATCTATTCATTTATTCTAGTGTCATAGCTAATTTGCAATCTAAGTTAACTATACCTTTGTTAAAATAATAGTTTGAATTTTTAGGATTTTACTCAATAGCCAAACTATAATATTATAAAGCTTCTTCGAATCTATTCATTTTCATTAAAGTATAAGCTAAGTCAAATACTGCATAAATTCTACCTTTGTTATTATAACAGTCAGAGGCATAAAGGCTATTTTGAATGGCTGAATCAATATTTTTTAAGGCCTCTTCAAATCTATTCATTTTAACTAATGTGTATGCTTTTTAATAATGTGGATTCATTTTTACCTTTATCATTGTAATATACTGTATCTTCTGGGTTTTTCTGGATAGCTGAATCAAAATATTCTAATGCTTCTTCAAATCTATTCATTTTATCTAAAGTATATGCTTTATAAAGATTTGAAATTATTTTACCTTTGTTATAATAGTAATCTGAATTTTCAGGGTTATTCTAAATAGCTGAATCATAATTGTTTAACGCTTCTTCAAATCTATTCATTTTTTCTAATGTATGGGCTAAAAGTTTGTTTCTACTTTTGATACCTTTGTTTTTGTAGTAAACTGAGATTTTTGGGTTTGTATTTATAGATAATTCAAATTATTCTAAAGCTTCCTTAAATCTATCCATTTTCACTAATGTTAAAGCTACACAAATTAGGCGAAATTGATACCTTTATTATTATAATAGTGAGAAATTTCAGGGTTACTTTGAATAGCTTAATCATAACATTCAAGTGCTTCNTATATATATATTTTAAGTATGTAATTTACAATATTTATGTATATTTTTTTCTTGCACATATAAACGATTCTAACCTTTAAATAAATAAATTGTGTTATTGAAGTTAAATCAATTAGGTTCAAAAAACATTTGTTCTATTCTGTTCTTGTCTTGATTTACATTTTCAGAGTTATTGTAAATTGATGAATTATAAGATGTCATTGCCTCTTCTTATCGATTCATCTAAACTAACGTAATAGCTATTGGAAATAATCATATTAAATTATTAACCTTTGTTATAATAATAGTCTAAATTCTTAGGGTTTTATTAAATCGCTGAGTCATAGTAGTCTAAAGCTTCTTCAAATCTATTCATCTGTTTTAAAGTAATAGCTGATAAATATCTCAACTACATATACCTTTGTTATTATAATAAAAAGAATTTTCAGGATTATTCTAGATAGCTGAATCATAATTTTCTAAAGCTTCTTCAAATCGATTCATTTTTTCTAATGTATGAGCTAAAATTCGATTAAATTTTTAATACCTTTGTTATTGTAATAAACTGAATCATCTGGGTTTTTCTAAATAGCTAAATCATAATTTTCTAAAGCTTCTTCAAATCTATTCATTTTCTCTAAAGTGCATGCTTAGAAAAGATAACGAATTATTACCTTTATTATAAAAATAGTCTGAATTGCTAGAATTTTATTTAATAGCTGAATCATAATTTTATAATGCTTCTTCAAATCTATTCATTTATTCTAGTGTCATAGCTAATTTGCAATCTAAGTTAACTATACCTTTGTTAAAATAATAGTTTGAATTTTTAGGATTTTACTCAATAGCCAAACTATAATATTATAAAGCTTCTTCGAATCTATTCATTTTCATTAAAGTATAAGCTAAGTCAAATACTGCATAAATTCTACCTTTGTTATTATAACAGTCAGAGGCATAAAGGCTATTTTGAATGGCTGAATCAATATTTTTTAAGGCCTCTTCAAATCTATTCATTTTAACTAATGTGTATGCTTTTTAATAATGTGGATTCATTTTTACCTTTATCATTGTAATATACTGTATCTTCTGGGTTTTTCTGGATAGCTGAATCAAAATATTCTAATGCTTCTTCAAATCTATTCATTTTATCTAAAGTATATGCTTTATAAAGATTTGAAATTATTTTACCTTTGTTATAATAGTAATCTGAATTTTCAGGGTTATTCTAAATAGCTGAATCATAATTGTTTAACGCTTCTTCAAATCTATTCATTTTTTCTAATGTATGGGCTAAAAGTTTGTTTCTACTTTTGATACCTTTGTTTTTGTAGTAAACTGAGATTTTTGGGTTTGTATTTATAGATAATTCAAATTATTCTAAAGCTTCCTTAAATCTATCCATTTTCACTAATGTTAAAGCTACACAAATTAGGCGAAATTGATACCTTTATTATTATAATAGTGAGAAATTTCAGGGTTACTTTGAATAGCTTAATCATAACATTCAAGTGCTTCCTCAAATCTATTCATTTTATCTAAAGTATATGCTTTGAAAAGATTTCAAATTATTGATACCTTTGTCATAGTAATATTCTGAATTTTCAGGGTCTTTCTAAATGGCTATATCAAAATTTTCTAATGCTTCTTCAAATCTATTCATTTTGCCTAAAGTACATGCTAAGTGAAGATTGGAATTGCGTTACCTTTATTATAAAAGTAGTTTGAATTGTTAGTATTTTACTAAATAACTAAATCATAATATTGTAATGCTTCTTCCAACCTATTAAATTTATCTAATTAATTGGCAAATGGTGTCTACAATAGCTCAGACGCATCAGAAACAACTGATGATTTCATTATTTTTTTGCCATTTTAATCATCCAGATCCTCTGGATTTTTCAAAATAGGATAATTACTAAAAAACATTTCTTCTTCAGCTCCAGCTAAAATAAATTTCACAAAATAAATTATACTTTTGTTCAAATTGTTGATAGAATTGTCTAAGTCTTACTAAGTTCCACAATCATATGACTATTTTGCTTTTTCAAATTTCTTCCACTTTAGTATTATCAACTTTGCATGCTTTTTTCTAACTTGTTTATATTAATTTCTTTTACTCTTTCAGAAACCCTAAGTTTTTTATTTATATCTCATTTCGTATTAGGATTTAACATTATTTCATTTTTTTTGCATGTTATTGATGAAGTTATTTCGAAACATCTTTTAATTGAGAGAGTGAGCAAAATATATTAATTGTTGCCTATTATATGTCTGCCTATCTAGAAATGCAATCTTTACAAAATATATTCATTAATTTAATATAAAAATTTAATCCTCTCTTGATAAAGAAATATTTATTTCTGTTTGAATATTACGATAAATCATCTTTTTGGAAGAAAATATTCCATAAAAAATAAACCTTTCCTTATCCTTTGTAATTAAAATTTTAGATTCAAATAAAGTTGAGAAAAATTTAACAATGACTAGATTACCAGTTCATCATTTTGAGAGTTTGGATTGCTTAAAATTTTATCAAAGAGCGATAGAAAAAAAATTTAGCTATTACAAATATAGTAATATAGTTATTGGTTTAAAAATACACTATCAAAAATATGTATTAATTTCAATATCTTGTTGGAATTTAAAGAGATTTGTAGAGCAATATATAATATTAATCCAAAATTCATATTGTTTTTTTAGCAAATCAGAAAATTGGCTTATCTAAATTTTAAACGCCTTAAATCAATGTTTTAGGATCAAACCTTCCTTAAAACAATTTATTTTTAAAGCTTCCCCTAATAAATTAATACATTTTTATTGATATATTAGTTAAATCATGGAAACATAATAATAATATGAATATGTCCTTCAAAACAATGAATATGATTAAATTGATATTTGTTTTTGCCAGAGTACGAAACTGGAGCGAAATTTTTATTTTACAACAGTTTCTTTCTATTTTCTATGTATTTCATAGTTATAATCATAGCCATCGAGCCATTGTCTCCAAGCAATTAAAATATGTTAAGATGAAACTTAATCTAATTTTAGAGATATAAAATATACAAATCTCAAACTATGAAAAGATCTATTAAATTAAATATTAACATAATTTATATTACATGGGAGATTATTAATTATTTATAAAATAGAATAAAATTCTGAAATTTAGTGCTGTTTAAAAAGGATTGCAGAGTATCCTATTATTAAATCAATATTTATGTCTATTGATATACATTTTAATAAAGATCCAACCTTAATTTTAATGTTATCTTCTCCATTTTTGAGAAAATTGATTTTTTAATTTTTGAAGAACATTATTTAAATAAATTAATTACATCTTCATTCTTAATCGTCTTCTTCGAACATTTCACAAAAATTTAATGCTCCCTCTGTCAACTCTTCATAGTCTTTGCTAAGAGCAGCTAAATCTTCTCTACATTCTGACATCTCCCCTGATTCAGCACCTTCTCCTACAAACCAATGAACAAATGCTCTTTTAGCATAAACATAATCATACTTCTTACCAAGGAGTTCAAAGTAATTGTACAAAGAAGCATCATTTGAAAGAAATATACCAGTCTACTTTAATTAGGCAAGCTCTGAAATAATTGTGTAATTTGCAGATAAACATTGAAACACATTAGGTCTGTCTTAATGTTTGATTTTCATCCTTTAAAGAGTCGAATCTTATTAACCAAAAAATTGATTAGGATATTTAGACCGATGCACTAGAGATGCACAAATGTGTTCGGGACATATTTCTGATTGAAACAACCTTAAAGATGATTTTGTTATTTATGATATAAGTTATTTTTCAGTTAATTCTTTATTGAGATAATCATTAATAGAGGCTAACGGTCCATATGAAGGAATTACAAAATGAACTCTTGGATAAGGGCAAAGCCCAGTAAATAATTTACTACCATCAATATTACTATATCTTGTTAACCCAGTGTAAGAACTAATTATTTAGCATACTAAATTATTCAAGTGAGTATAATCAACATAATCCAAACCAATCTGCACATCTATTGATTAATACATAGATTGATTATCCAACATAACGACTGAGTCGCAATGTTCTAATGTCCCATGAGTTGCTAAAACAGCATTATAAGCATCCACTGTATTATTAGATATTTCTTTAGATGGATAAACTAAGAATGCAATTTTCTCTACCTTAGCTCCATACTCAACTGATAATCTTTCCAAAAGCAAAGAAGTAAAGCCTGATCCTGTACCACCGCTTAAAGCAGAGGTAATAATGAATTAATCTATTCTGTCGACACTTTCCACTTGCTTTCTAATATTATCTAAACATTTATCAATTATTTCCTTTCCAATTGTATAATGTGCCCTACAATAGTTGCTTGCTGCATCTTCCCTGCCCGTAACAAAGGAGTTAGATTGATAATTTATGGATTTATTCTTTTTGACTTCGTTTACCATTCGATCATCTAAATCCATAAACATAGTTAATGGAAAATTATTAGTATCATTTTCTTTGTAAATGTAACTCTAGATATTTGTCTCTGTTTATTCCTTTTAATAAAGTTTCCAGAGTTCATTCCCTATCATAACTCCAGCTCCCCCTATATGAAGGTGAATAGCAGAACACATTATAAATAAAATATATTGAATGATAATCTTAAAACAATTATAATTTCAGATAGTGGGGATAACTTATAACTAAGTTTATGGCTTTTCAAGACTCTTTAATCTTTATTTTAATTCCTCTTTTAAATCCTCTTTACTTTTTTACTATTTATTGTTATGATTAAAAAATCTATTCTATGTTCAAATTTATTTGGCAGCTCCAATAATTAATAAAACAAGAGGAAAGCCTTTGATGCTATTGAAAATTATTCTTCAAGCAAAGATTTAATTTTCTACCTATTTTGTAACTTAATATCCAGATTTATTTATTCTTATCTTATATAAAAAGACTGACAACTTTTAATGTTCTCTTTTAAATTTTTCATTTCAATGATGAATCAGTTTTTCTTTTCACTTATGTTTATTTTGTCTTAAATTTGAGACATATTCAAAAGTTTATTAAATTCATGCAATTTTATTTGAAATTCTTGGATTACAATTCAATTAGCATTGATGCATATCTTTTAGGTTATTACGATTTGAGAATAAAAAATTATAAGGGTGGTCAGAAATTCTACGATGCATTTATTCTATTTCAGCTTATATATATTGAGTTAATACCTCTAATCTTAATCGTGTTTTCAGATAGTTTAAAGTCTTTTGAACAAAATTTATAGAGTGAAAATAACATGACTATGTAAATATTAATTCTGACTAATCAGATTCTATTGGCATTTGTTACGATATCAATTTCACTTTAAAATTTATGAAATTCACATTTAGTTTATAATCAAAAAAGGAATGGCAATTTATGACGAATAAATAATAATAGAATTAATGTTTCAAACTTTAGGTACCTTTTGATGCATCTTTATTTTTGAAGTATAGTACAAAATTAAAGAAGGCAATATTAACTGCTTGTTGAATAGTCTTCCCAGATGCTTTGAAATGATAGTGAACACACTTTTCAAAGATTAAAAATATATTAATTAATATTGAAATACATATTTTTCAATATTTAACATTATACACAAAAAGAAACTATAAAAGAAATTAACATCTTTATTTGTCAATGATAAATATAATCGCTCATCACCTAAAATTTTTATATACCTTTTAATATTCAACCTTCTTCTACCATAAAGTTGAAACAAGCTTGACATCCCCTTCATATTTTCCTAAAATGGATGGTGTTTTCACTTCCTTAACAGCAGATCCATGTTACTCATCTGATATAAAAATGGCAAAAGCTTGCGCTTGTGAAAATTCTTCTGAGTTTTAGGAAGCATAATCAAATCTACCTCTTAAATCAGTATAACCATCCTTATAGAAATAACATTCACCTGTTTTCTATTAAACATAGACTTTCACATAAACTTTGGACAAATATTTTCCATTTTAATCACACACTTTTAATTAGCCACAATTTTCCATAATATTGACAACTAATCTATTTGAAGAATAGCTTTAGAAACATTTCTTATGAATGCCATTGACCTAGATAAATAGATTATCCTTTTAGATGTGAAATGGGATGTCTATGACTTTCATATATATTCTAAAATATAAAATATTATTTACATTCCTTCTTTTTCATTTTCTAATTTCAAATTAATTTCATGATTAGATTATATAATTGAAAAGTCTTTCCTTTAATTTAATTAGAACGGATCAATAGAAAATACTACTTCTTAATTAAAATTATAAAACATAATTGTAGCTTGATTGAGATTTGAATACGTAAGTATTATTCTAGTTCCTTAAATTTCACATGATAAGGTTTCCTCCTTTAAGGCTAATTACTTTGACTATTAATTTTAATTTATATCTAGTCCAACTTCCTTTAGATCGTCATCACCATCAAATTCAGCTAATAAATTGGCCATTTCATAAAACAAATTTCTCCAATAAATAACAGGATAATTCAAATATTTCTCACAAATTCTTCTAGCCTGTTGAAAATTAGGATAACCAACATAAAAGTCAAAATAAGCCAAAAAATAATCGTATTGTAATTCAGAATTATTAGCATTTATAGGCAATTAGATAGAGTTCATGACTTTTATAGCTTCTGTTATTCTTTCCTACAATATGAGGTAATAAGAGAATCCTAATTTATCTTAAATAGAATGAATTGGTTTTTCAATTAAATACTATAAATAATCTTTATATTGTTTCCTAAGTTCAACATTAAGAATTCCTTATTCATCTTATTTAAGTTTATGAATACGCTTTGTAATTAATGGATAATACTCCAGCATTTTAATGTTGCTGATCTCAAAAAGAGAGGATTTGAAATATTTGATTGAATTAAATTTATCCATAATATGCTTTTGCTGGAAAAATTCCTATAAACCTTCAAAATCTGCATGGTAGACAGCATAATTCAGAATTTACGAATCCTAAAATTTTTTTGCCCTATATATATTTAGAACTTTCAAATAAAAGTCTTTATCCTCATATAGATGGGCTATTTAATAAGATTTAAACACTTTTTCGTCAAATATATTTTTATTTTCCAAGAATTTTATAATATTAGTCTTATTTCCAGTCCCTAATATGTCTTCTATCACTTCTAAATTAGGATTGGCTTTAAAATTAACCACATTAAAATCTTGAGTTGTTGCTCTAGCTACCACCTTATCAAGAATAGTCAAGCAGGCGGGATGAATAGAAAATGTGCCTATTTTAGGAAAATACCAATAAAATGCATATCTAGTTGTAGATAATGAATTGCAAGAAATGGTAATTGATTTTGAATAAAAAGATGAGATTATTGGGATTCCACCATTTGGTATTTCTACAAAGATTTAAGCGTTAATATCATCATTAGAGAAATTGGAAACGATTATTAATGATCCATAAATATGATTTGTTAAGAATTCTTATGATGATAAAAATTCCTTTTTTTTATTTTACTCGTCAAAAAATAATTATGTGATAAGAATATCATTTCTTAATTAGATATCTACTTCTTTAATTTCTTTACTATAATAAATTAAATTAGATTCTGAAACAATTTACATGCCTATTTCTTAGAATTAATAATACTATTATTTAACGTTTTAGAAAGGCAGATCTAAAATTGAAAGAATAAAAACAAATTCAGAAAATGTATTGTAATGAATAATTTCAGGGGTAATAAAGGAAGATTTATTTAAAATTCCTTCATTCATTGAATACTTTGCCAACTCTATAAAAAGTTTATTTAACTTTATTGGTACAATTTAATCTTTATAATAATAGGAATGTCGTTCCCCAAACTCTTTTGTTTTTTCAACGTTTTTATAGTTTTAAATATATTAATTTCTCTATTCATTATAGTGTTCATCGTCACTTGAATCATCACTGAAATCCTTCGCTTTTCTACCTAATGACACATTTCTAAAGCGCAACTATTGCAGTAACCCAATTTTGTCTTCTACAGTATTTTTTGATGTAATAAATCCAATCAATGGTTTGTTCGTGGTAGTAGTGGAAGTGGAGAAAGGATTTGGGGGGGGAGGGCATCCTGCAGGAGGTGGGCATCCTCCTGGTGGAGGTGGTGGAGGAGGCATTGAACCTCCAAAGCCAAAGCCTGTTGATGAGTTTGGATATAAATGTGATGGTGGTGGGGGCGGTGGTGGAGGTCTATTTAAATTCATCTCTCCTAGAGTTGAGGGTTAAAATGGATTGTTTGAGTTATTATTATTATTTCTCATCTCCTTTGCCTCTTGAGAAGTTAAAATTGTGTCGAAAAGGCGTTAAGCTAAATTTTCATCAAACGGGAGTATATCATGATTTTATTGCAAGTAAGAATATATATTTTAAGAGAGAGCTTTATTTGGTTTTATTTCCTAATAATAAATCAATAATAAGATTTATTCGATTGTGTTTAAAGAGTTAAAAGTATAAATTGAGAGATACCTTTCTAATTCTGCATCATTTTAACATAAAAAATGATCAACTACATTTTTTTCAATTTTACATCTGATGTAATTTTAAACATAAACCTCAAAGTAGGGGGAATCTTTGAAAAATAAAAATAAATTTAACTCATCGCTTTGGTATTCATTATAGAGTTAGTGTTTTTGTTCTAATGTTTTTAAATTCCATTTTATTAGAAATTCCCAATTTTGAAGATCTTTTACCCTCAATTTTTTCCCATTATTGTTTAATGATATTAATTCTCTATATACTTTTTCTAAAGAATCGATAATCTTTATTTAAGTAGCTGTTACATCGTTAATGTAAATACATTCTCCCTTTTTAAAGGCTTTAGAATTCCTAGAGATGCTATAACATTTATCTTTATTAAGATTTGTTTGATGTTCAAGGCTTCTAGTACTAATTCCACATTAAGTTAATGAGACTTTTTATAGGGCATAATTATAATTATTTATAGCAAAAAGGGTAATTTGAGAATAGCTATTTGGAACTTAAAATGAGAATTCTTTGCCTTCTTCATCATCATAGCTTCCATTCAATTCTATAGTAATTAATTTTCCAGGAAATTTCAAAAAATCCAATTTACAGAAAATTGATATCATATTTAAAGCTTCTTCTTTATAATCTTTGTTTTACATCCTAAGATCTGAACAGGGTAAAAACTGATTATTTGGTGAGTTACCTTTTTCATTATTTAGCTATTCTTTTTCGTTTACACATTCTCTGATACATTATCTTTTAAGTAAAAGCTGAGGTTTCTCTAAAGTATTGCCAATAAATGTTTCCTATTTTTTTCTATTTTCTACATATCGTTCTTCTTCTGAGATTTTAATGTTTGATATCACCTCAACTTATTTTTAAAACATTTGAAATTCCTCTTTCTTCTCTGATTATAGAATATTTTTCATTTGTTGTATAAGGATTTTGGATTATTTGTAAAATGTTTCAACTAGCGCAAATAGAATTACTGGGCGGTTTGAACATATTGATCCTGTAATCATCACGCCTGACTCTTCCTGTGTTTTTTTTAAATTTTGAATTGAAATTAGATGGTTTAATTATTAGTCTAATATTAATTTATTGTTGCTTATAAATCCATCAATATCTTTTTTAAGTTTTCCTTTAAAAATTTCTATTTAAATTAATTTCGGGTTATTATCAACCATTAATTATAACTCATAATTTCCAGGTTCAGTTAAAGTAAAGCTTAACTAATTTTTTTCTAAAACGAAAGCCTACGAAAAATAATCAATTATTTAATTCTTATGAATCTTATATAATAGTATATATTCCTTTTCAATAGAAATAGGTATAGTTATTTTTTAGCCTGCTAATACATTTAGTTGATTTGGAATATTTTATGTGTCTAAGTTAGAAATGATCCAACTCCTTGGGTTTTAATTTATTGCTTAAGGTTCAAGCGGTTTGGAGTTAATTAAAGTGACGTTTTTCAATTAACCTAAATGAACCCTTCCATTTTTGTTAGTTTGAAAAACTTCTGTGAATTTTTGAAAATGCTGAATTAGAAATGTTAATTCAAGCTTTACATTTATTTTCGGTTCTCCAGCTTTCCCTAAGACATAAATTGAATACCCCTCATCTTCAGTGTATTATAGATACTAATTATTATAATATTCTGTGTCAAATTCCTCCTCAATCACTATTGAAATAAAATCTTTTAGATCAATTATTGATTTATTTAACATACTTTAGATTTAAGCAGTAACTTAAACTCTAATTTGTTTAAATTTACTAATAGGGATATCCATTTCAAATGGCTTTCTATCTTCAAATTTTACATTATCAAATGTAAAAACAGTTGGATTCATTTCTTCATTATAGATTGTAACTAAAATGATTAAATTTTTTAACAATTTCAAACTAATACTATTTTAATTTCCAAAGAGCTTTGGGAATAACAAAACTTTGGCTTAATTTCCTATGATCATGGATTCTTCAGAGATTACTCCCCTACATTTCAAATCGTAAGACTCTTATTCAATTTATATTCTTTGTAAATTTGCAAACCCTTCATGAGTAATTATTACTTTATGATTTTAAGTAGTAGTCCCAAATGGTATCAAAATTTCTTTTCTTTCCTGATCAATCTTATAAAATTATTTGTCCAACCATAGTCCTGTTGTATTGGAGCAGCAAACTTCTAAATTTTCATTCAAAATTTCAAAGCAATGTCCTGAAGAAACCTTTTTTTTTTATCGTAATTAAATATTTCCTTTTTAGATTAGTGCTCTTGAGACTATGCCATTTCCATAGAATTCAATAATAAATATGCCTCTATTTTGTTAACTTATTTCTGGAAATTCGATTTCTTTCTCTATTTTTTATGTAGGCTTAAAATCCTTCGAGTAATCAAAAAGCATCTCGTTTTTAGGAATCAAACCTTTTAGGTTGAGATTTAAGAAACTCTGTGATTCATCTTGTAAATAATAATTAAGTGTGTCAATTTAGAATAATTTTATAGATAATGAGGGAATATTCTTTAAGAAAATGCAAAGCTTAACTGATTCTCCATGTTAGAATTGTTTTAGTTTAGTTTACTAATGAAATTCAATGTATTTTTCATTCTGTAATTTTATGACTTCATTTTCTGTTAGAATTGAATTTATATTTGTTAGATCTTTCCCCAGCTACAAATAAAGCAAAGCTTTTGTTTTATTCAAATAATCTTTTTCAAAATAATTTTAGATTTATTCTAAATCTAATTCGTTTTTAATCATATATTCAAGATGTTTATAAATAATTTGATCATGCTCTACTGGCAGAGGTATAGGATTAAATAAAAATTTCATTGTTCCCAAGCTATCCCTTAAATTGTAATTGATACCAGGATATTCCTTTAATGGTGTTTAAAGATATGAAATAAAGAGATGGATATCATAATTACTTTATTTATCATCTAATTAAATCATAAATTTTACTTAGACTTAATAAATTGATAAAGACTAATGATTCAAATTAAAATTAGTTAGGCAGTGTCTTTTACCAATTTTACACTTCTAGTAAATGTTCTTTCTATTTCAAAGCATCAGTATCATAGACATTCTTAGAATCAAATCTTTTGGCATAGTAATTTTTTATAAAATCTAAATTATTCTACAAATCCTCATAAACTTTTTAAAGCTCTTCCATTTATTACAAACTCATGGCAGTAAAAATAGATCCTAATTGAAACTACCCTTTTATAAGTCTATAAAATAATGGAATAACAAAATCCAAACTATATAAATATATTTAAATACCCTTCTAATGCTTTTGAACTAGCGAGAGTGTTTAAATATTCATAAATCCAATTATCACTACATTTCAAGATTTGTTCAAACTATAATTATCGAAGTGCGTAAACAGAAAATTTATTTAGGTTTTCAATTTAATAAGCCTTTTCTAAATACTTATTTAAAGAGACATTTGTCTCGTCCAATTTAGTTTTGTATTAACGAGTCCCTGATTATGCTTCTCTCTAAGAGCTTTATTCGTTTTAAAATTCATGTAGCTTATTTCCTTGGTTGTTGAATTTGAGATACAAGAATTTATCATTGATAATCTACATAAGCTTTTATCTTTTAATTTCATTTTCTTTAGTGTCTTCTTCTTTACAAAGACTGTCAAACTCTAGTATGAGAGATCGAAACTCAATATTCTTTAAATTATCGGAATGAGGTTTTAGATTCTTTAGTAGTGTTTTCTAATCATCATTAAGATTTGATTGTTGTTCATTCAAGGCTTTGAGGAGAGTATAATATATGTACTCCTACGATCCTTTTACTAATGAAGAGAGAGCTTAATCCTTAGATTGAAGATGATACATCTCTAAAAATTCTATATCACTTTAAAACATTTAGTACTCAATAAATATAATTGGATTTTAATTAAGATGAAACCATTTTATATTCTCAAAAAATATTTTATAACCTATGGAATATTGAATTTGTAAAGTTTTTTATAAAGAGGGATTTAAAATCTTCAAAAGTTCTTTAAATTGATTGAAATAGTAAAGCTTTTTAAAATATTAATATAATCTTTATGAGATAATTAAGAATAGAGTCAACAGATAAATTAAACAAGTTCATATTGTCAAAGTCCAATTTTCATTAGAAATCAATTAGTATGGATAAGCAGGCCCAAGAACGCTTAAGTTTGGATATAATTTCTCTGAATTCTTAATTATAAATTGAAATGCCATCTCATTATAAAGAATAATTTAAATAAGTTGCATCAACTACTTTAAGCGCACTCAAATAAATGGAAGCTGCTCCATTATTAGTTTAAGTATGATAAAATAATTATATATTAATAAAGAGCTATTAAGCTTTTTAACGATTGATGTTACAACTACTAAAGAATGATTACCGAGACGATAATAGAGAGTCTAAGACGTTGAGAGAAGTCAAAGAGTTAGATAAATTGAGAGTAAATGCATTACTTGTCCAAAATAATAAATTAGCAATTGAAATAAAATAATTGTCAAATAAGTATACTTACCAATTTATATTATTAGATTAAAAGAACTGGAGGAAAGTCAAGATGTTGTAAAATTAAGAGAAGAAATATAAAGAATTACTTAAATAAAGGATGAATAAATAAATCGATTAATAATAATGAATGATACCAAAGAAAAGTAAGTTTCCAAGAACAGTCAACTTATCATTTAATTGAAATCAGTAATCTAGAAGTAGGATAGTTAAATTCAAATTCTCGAGAACTATTTAGAAAGTGACAAAAAGAAATACAGCCATATTGAAAATACATATGACAAAATGGTTAGTGAAAATAGACACCTGAATGAGTTGTGCAAAATGCAAGAGGAAGATCTCACAGCTCACTATTTTAGATATCGACATTACTTAAGAGAGGAAGCAAAATCTAGAAAGAAATTGCTTATGCTTTAGGATGAAATAGACAAGATGAAAATAGAAAAGAGTAAGAGACCTGAAGTTCCAAAAGTAGATCCTGAGTAGGAATAGAAGCTATTAAAACTTGCTTACAATTTTTCTCAAGATAAGCAATACTTTAAAATCATGAAAGAACTCACTCAACTCAATATCACTAAATTAAGCGATCAAGAATAAACAACCATCATGTTCCTGAAAAATGTTCGTTATGATTATATTTACAATGATTCTCTGACTAAGTTCTAATATCCTCGTCCTAGTTTTCTATTGTTTTATGAATCAAATATGAAGAATTTAGAATCAGATTACAGGAACATCGAATTTCATTAAATAAGCATTCTATTTTTTGCTACTATCAGAGCTATTTTAGATTCATAATATAATGAGTTTCTGTATCGGGATAATTAATATACGCTTGTTAAGTTTGCAGATTTTGTTTATGGATGGATAAGCACTTTTATCATCAATCCCAAGACGCGATAAATAGAAATCATTAAAGATAGAAGCTTTGAGCATCTCGAACCAATAAGAACTGATTTTATCTTGGATTGCTTGAGTCCTAAATTGTCGAAATTACATGAAGTAATTATTTTTAAGTAACCTATATTATTTATAATAGTGAGTTACTCTTTGAACTGAGTTCTCCAGATGAACTTTACTATTATTTATATTCCCGATTCTTGATTTTTAAAGGAAGCTTATCTCATTAATAGAGATATAGTTTTGAAGCTGTCCTTTTTGTTTAATTAAGTTGGGTTCAATACATTTTAGAATTGCTGTTATGGAAATACGATTAATCTATGTACAATTAGATCAATTAAATAATCATTGAGAGCAGTGTTACAAAAGCAAAAGGGACAATTGTGGATGGTCATTACGTTTTGAGAATTCTGCTTGAGTTATTTAGGACAGAGAGGAAGAATCGACTAGCTATGCTTAAAGAAGTATTTAGTGCTTGTGTATCAGTATAAAGTTCAGGTAAGAGTGGAGTTACTTTTAAGAATTTCAAGAAAATATTCTAAAGTAATTTTCCTGAGGTTTCAGATTCAGAAATTTGTTCGCTCTTTAGAGAATCATATATGTGTGGAGATGGAGTTGTGACAGCTGAATCATTTTTCACGGCTGCATCAGAATCCTGCTTTTTTGTAAAATAAATGTTACTCAAAACTTTAATTAAGACTCCTGTGGTTGAGTTAAATGAAATCTCATACAAAGAAAGCAATTTACCCTTTCTGGATTTCTATTAACATTATAAGCAATTACCCCATCATCTAGTCTAAAAATGCTGTCTATAATTTGGACTACATTCTGTTATTCTTGAACTAGAAGTGTTGCATAAACTCATCAAAAACTACTTTTAAGATTAATACAATCAATATTCTCTCTTCTCTACAGTAACTAAGCTAATTCATATATATAATACTGTCATTGATTTGCATATGAGATAGTAAAATACATTCTGTAAGGATTGGGATTAAAGTGAGATTGAGTCACTAAAATCTCTGAATAATTAATTATCTTAATTGTTCTCACCATTAATAGATTATGATTAGTAGAAGAAGCTGTAAAATATTGCCAAATAGAGGAAATTAAGGCCTTTGCAAATATTTGTAAAGAACAGAGTTTAAAGATTTTATTAAATGATAGCCAGTATCATAAACAATAATAACATTAATGTAGCTGATCCATAAATGGCAAAGAGAAGATTTACGAAATAGTCCTCAATTAAAATGTTATGACTCTTTATACTCATATATATATATAATAATAGTAATTAAATTAAACAAGGTCAACTTTTTTTTATTATCTATTTCTTTAAATTAACTAAATTGTGTATCAACATGATTCTTGATATTTCATTTCTTTTATAATTTTGTAATTTAACTATAATATATTCTCCCAACTAATCTATCTATTGTAATATCTAATTATTATGAGATTTTATTTATTTCAAAAGTATTAACTGTTCCATTTCCTATTCAATATCATCATCTAGATCGAATTTGTTAATCAGCACTTTGATGACTTCATTATTAATTTAATTTAGATTAAACGTTAATTATACTCTTTCATTCTCAAATTAACTTTTAATAAAAGAGTAGACTATGTTATATCATGGAGTACTTTATTGGTTTCCGATTGCTTAATAGAATTGCAATGTATCTCTAACGAATTAAAGAATTTCATCTTCAATTTCTTCTGGATTAGATGATAATAACTTGCATGCATTTTATAATTTGCTATATTGATAGGAATCTTCTTTTCGAAACGTAGTTATAAGACTTGCATTCCGAAATTTATCAATTTAGCTCTGCATTGATTCAAATTTGGACATCTATTATTTCTTAATTTTTAAAGATGATGAGTTACTTCTTAATTGGAGGTATTCAAATGTTATAAGATTGAATTTTCTTTAATTTAATTAGTTAATGTAATTAATAATTGTTATTGATTCTATAACTACTCCTCTTAATTTGCAATTAGATCAGTGCTTTCTACATAAATGTATAACATTTACATTATAGTAGTTCCTTATAATGGAGGATGACTTTGTTATTAATTTCTTGTTGTTGTAAATGTTATTTCCTATCCTTTTTGAATTATATAACAGATGAATAAATGTGTAAAATGAGTGATTCATCATTACTATGATTAACTTCAAATATCTCATTAAGTTATTTACGAACGGATAGTTACTGTGATTACAATTAATGAATGAGTTCATCTTTTTATTTGATCTGGTCATTGAGTTTTTTCTAATCATCATCTCTTAACAGAATAGATTGTCCTTCTGATTTAATTTAATTCGAATGATAACTCATAGATCTAGGCTTTTGTTTGTTCTATTTCTTGATGTTACTCATAATAGCATGAAGAGACACAGCCTTATTGCTTGGTTTGAGTGGTTAGTTAAGCATTAAATTAATTATTTATTCACGAATAATTCAATTCATTAGTTTCCGATTCCCATTTCGCTATTTATTCCATGATAGTGTCTATGAAATCATCTGGCATTATATTTTTGGTTTTTAACATATTGAAAATTTCAATAATTTGATACTCTACAATTCTTTTTAATACTGAATATTTAAACTCAATTGATAGGAGATCAAGGGCATTAAATAAATTCAAAAGATTGCAAGACTTGAAGCAACACTACAACAATCTAGAGATTAATATCAATTAAATACATAGCTCTAATTTACTGCATAACATTTTATTCCTCCAATAATTAGTTGAGATTTATTTCAGTTAAATTCTAAAATTTAATCATGTTTTTCACCAAAATCAAATATTCATCAACTAATTCTGCTTTTTAATTCATTTAACCCTCTAAAAATTGGATGAGGATTGGTAAAAAGTGATAAATTACCACATTAGCTAATTGAGGATATTAGAAAGTTAGAATGTTGTTCAAACATTTATATATCTTCATAATTAAATATTCATCTGATTAATTTGATAACCAAAACAACATGTTATTCAATAAGCCAATTTCAATCAAATGCTTCTCAGCATTCAACTCTGAAGCTGGAGAATCCTAATCATAATTTACAGATGTGAAATTGATGAATACATTATACATCAATAAGGGAAATTTGTTTATTTGTATCATTTTGACCCATAGTTGTTTTGTCAAAACTATTGTAGTCTCTAGCTAATATTGAGTACAGTAATTAATTAATATTAATGCTATCTCATATTATTAATCTTAGCCTGAAAACTCCTTAATTACATAACCACACTACTTAAGAATTCTTTGCATCTAAGTTGAAATAATAAGACATACATTTGATGATACTATCTCTACGTCTTGAATTGCTGGTTCCATGAAAATCAATTATTATAAATACAAGATTGAAATCCAAAGTTGTTATGGTGGATCCTCCATATAAACGTATTGCCATATTTTAAAAAAAGGTGATTTCAATATTTCAGTTTTCATTTAGACTCCTCTTTAATCTTTCAAATCAAGTAACAAATTAATAAAAAGTTAACAGAGCTGCAAGTAAGTTATAATATTACACTGTCGATTATTGATTACCAAATCTCCAAATTCACTTCCAATTTTTGTTTTGTATTCATTCGACCCAATATATCGTTCAAAAGGATGTCCTATATATCCTGATTCAATAAATTGTTAATGATTTAAGGAGCAGTCATATATGTAATGTTAACCAATATCACAAGCACTTGATTTATACAAAGTAATTTAATTTCATCTATACTGCTCTATTGTGGAATATCAGACATTAGTAAAATTTGCATGAATAATTGGATAGTTTCTTAATTTACGCCAAAATGATTAATATATTAAGTCATGAAGACATTATCTGCCTATTACTTCCTTAAAAGGATTATTAGGAATTGCTCGTTGTACTTATATAACAAATCCTTGAGAGTCTTAAAGTCCTTGAGCATAAAACTTTTATAAATTTAGAATATCATTTCATCAGGGGAGCACTTCAAGTCTGTATCTAGATTGCCGTTCAAAACTGTTAGTCTCTTTTTTGAGAAAATCTCTTCTCTAGCTTGCTTTCGAATTTAAATCACGAATTGCTCCCGCTTCAATTGAACTTATGTATTAATCATTAAAATTATGAATACTTATAAAAAGCCTCTTAATAACATTGAGTCACTCAGAAACCAGATCCAGTAATTGCAATTAGATCTCACAAAATAGAAATAGAACATTATTAGCAAAATTTATGGAAATCGCAGCTTCGAAACAACCCCCACGATGAACTAAGAAGAAGGCTAGAAGTCTGCACTATTTTAGAATAAAATTTCAATGAGAAAAGACACACAATTGCATTAGGATTGGAATATCTACAAATCGAAATAAATCGAAAGAGATAAGTTACAACTCCAAGATCAATTACATTAGTTGGAGAATGAAAAAAAGAAAAAATTAGATTAGCTTTTTCAGGGTATTGAGTGCCGACCTATTACGAGAGTACCAACTCAAGAAGCAGTAAGTCAATGAGGAATTTGAAGCAAAGATGAAATACCTTCAGAATGAGCTTCAAAAACAAGATTAATTAAATAGTATTTATTCACATAAAACTTAGAATCATTGGAATAAGAATAATAATAAAAAAAATTAGTGAGTAGCTTTCGTAAAAATTGTATTTATTCATTTTATACCTCTAAGCAAACAAAGAGAAATTGAAGGTCCGTTTTTAAGGTGACTACTATGTTCGAGCAAGAACAGAGCATTGAAAAAAAATACATTTTATATTTTCATAATTTTGAATTATCATAAATAATTTTCTTCTTCTTTTATTTTCTTATCTAAAAATAAGTATCTTAAAATAATATTGTATTAAATTGTATTTATTCAAATTTTATGAGATTTATTCTCTTAAAATTCTTCTATTCTATTGGGTTGATAACTATTCATTTAAATTTAATAATTACTTATAATATATCACCACTTTGATTAATTTACAAATAGAATTTTTTAATTTACAAATAGATGAATGAATCAAATTTGTTTATTATTATTTGAAACGTATGGAAGATGATAGTTCAGAAACAGATTAAGGATATTGCTATGAACAAGGATATGATGCAGCCTTTCAAACTAAAATATATCAACAGAAAAAATTATAGTTAAATGATTTGATATTTTTGGTGTGAAAAAATTCTGGTAATATAGATGAATATTAACAAGCTTATATTGATCGTTATTATGAACGAAGCTATTTGCCAGAATGTCTTTTAAATCAGGTAAATGAAATTATATACATAAATAAAATTATTGTTCCCACTTACTATTAGATTTGCAGTGTTGATTTATATCCATTATTGGCAATAACTTAGAATTTTTCAACATAATCGAAGAAATTTATTAAATAAAATACTTCAATACAATTCACAAAGCATGTTTATTTATAATAATTATTGATTTAATTATGGGTTCGGCAATATCTAAAAATAAAGCAGTTGTTTTAGCTTCATTAGGAATAGTTGGTTTTGGGTAAGTGTTTATTGAATATATCGAAGAGCATATTATATGCAAAAAGACTCAAAATAGAAACTAAGTCTAGAGAAGCTATTATCGAAGCATGATTTAGATTAATACTTGGAAACAAATGATCGATCTATAGATTAAAAAATTGATGTGAGCTATGATATCGAAATTAAATACAGTGAAGATCATTGTCTAGAAGCAAGTTGCATTGTTGATATATACGCCAAATAGTTAGAGATGGCAGGAGATGATTTTGTTAAATTAAGCAAACAGAATCGTGTCCAGAGAAGAAGGTTACGAAAGTCAAATTTATAGATTTATGTTGATAGCATTGTCTAATTCATCATTGATGTTGAAGATGTCTTAGATTAAGCATTAAAAAGACTTCTATATTAGCTAGATGTGCCCAAAGAAATATTTGAAGAGAGTGTACTGGTAAGAATGGATCAGGGATATTTTCAATAATTGTATATGTTATAAGCCAGTGTCAAGCAAAAGATCAAAGAGAAAATTGAATCAACCAAGAAATTGAATTTAAAATAAATGAAGGACATTATTCAATTTAATGTACACATTCTCAAAAACTTTCCATAAGAATTTCATGTCATTTTGCATCGAATTGTATTTTCTATATAATATATCCATTAGCCGTCAGAAAATGTGATGCTGGTTCCCACAATCATAAACATTATTGTATAAGATATAATATATGCTAAATTTGGAGTAGAAGAAGAAGACCAAATTACTAGTCTCAAGAATATGTAAGGAGATTAAGAAATTCACAATCTTCTCAACAAAGTAGAAATAGAAATGAGTGGACTTTTAAAAGAATAAGGAATTAGATTAAATGATATTCCTGAAAGTTTAGAAAACTTTATTTGATTAATAATTTTCATAATTTAAATTATTAAATTTCTATATTTCCATGTGAAAACTGGAATCATTGAATATGTGTCTAACTTTGAAAATCCAATAAAAATGCTTGCAAAAATTAATAATGGGCAAAGTAAGAAAATCAATAGAAATTTTAAAAGAAAACTGCAAATTTATAAATTTCAGTAACGCATTTCATACAGTAAATAGGAGATTAAATTTCAAAATATTAGAATAGAAATCAATTCTGGATAAGTAAGAAGTTGATTTCCTTTAAGCTCTGCATAAAAATCTGCATTATTTACACCTATTAAATAATAATACTGTATATTTTGCAAAAATTATTCCCCAAGGATCACTTCTATCTTGCTGTTCAATATTTATCTTGAGGAAGTGCTATGAATAATTAAGGTAGATCAAAAATATCCCATTCATGATACTGCTATGCTGATGATATCTCTATATAATAATTAAATATTAAGATACTAAATAATTGTTGATTTTATTTTATTAAGTTTGCGATAGTTTTCCTAATTAATCAATAAGAAGAAATCTGGAATCATGTTCATCAAAACCACTCAAGAATTAAAACTAATGAATTTCTTTGGTATACTGTTTTGTAGCAATATAAATATCTTGGCGTCATTGTTAATATTATCGGTAAATTAATACTGTAACTAAAAATTTACGTCTAGTGCTTTATTTTCTTCGAAAAAATTAGCTTGAATATCTAAATTATTTAAATCTATATAACCCCTCTATTTCTACTTAAAAATCACAAAGTGTTTCAATAGCATTTAAAAAATTATACCCTTAGAGCTTCAATAATAATGCAGGTTTTTAAAAGATTAGCCATAAATTATATTGTCTTAAATCACTATTATTGCAACCTTAATGTTAGCAGTAGAATAAATGAACTATAAAATACAAAAGAGGAACCCTACAATTCAGAAAAGTGCCAGCCAAAAACTTATGTTACACAGAACTGTAAATCAATAGGGAAGATTTTAAGAGAGAATTCCCACTTTTGTTTAAATTGGTTTATAAAAATCTCTTTGATCCATAACTGTCCATTGTCATATAATCACATATTCAAACACCATTCTAAGTTTAGGGACTTTGACGCCATAATAGAAAGATTGAATTATAAGTAAAGCAATAAAAAGCGTCTGAAAAGATAAACATAGAATGTAATTATAGAAGGTGGTAGACTTTCCCTAACAAAGGAAGAACGATTATGAGATTGATATTAAATGTGTGGTACTGATTAATAATAATTATTATAGCAATAATAATAATAATATATTATTATTATGCTTTCTGATAGGAGATAACCTTTGTATGATTCTTTTATATTCATATAGGAACATCTGAGAAGACAGGTACGAAGGAATAGTTTGGAATAGAGTTTGCCTTAAAGAGAAGACGGAGCATGAGTATTAAAGCCCTTTAGAGGTCATAGTGGTGTCCGTATCATTCTCAAAAATAAGAACATTCGTATCACAAAATTACCATAGAAACAATTTTCAGACTCTTTTATAGAAGGATGAAAGATTAAAAGATAATATGTTAATTTTCTTATAATTCACCCATTTAAATTATAGAAAAAAGGAGAATTTCATAAGATGCATATCTAGGCTGTAATATTATAAATGAAATTTGTCATCACTAATAATGAAATGAATAGAACATACATTTATTGTCATAGATTTCACAATGTTGCTCATCTAAAATCAGAACGAATAAAAAGGATTACTGAAAAGTCAAGATTACGCAACTAATCCTCAAATCTTTCGCCAGATAAAAAACAAACTTGTGAATAAATCTACATTTTAATTGTTGTAGGCCACATAAAATAATAAATCTGCTATGATAGCCAAGAGTAAAACCATCAAATACTTCTTTCAGAATAAAGTTTTCCCCTAAATTTACATAATTCATGAAATTAGTCAAAATTTAAGTAATCAGATGCCCAAAGCTTATTTAAAATTAAATCATTAACTAAAACAGAAAATAGATAACTAATATCTTCTAAGCAATTAGGATCGACTCTTCTCAAAAAGTGTTGTAGAAAAAGTTATCAAATCACTTAGAAGAGGAGAATGAAAGTAACTAAAAATTTCTAATGAGGAGAAAAGTAGCCTGTTTAACTGTGAGTGCGGTTTCACCTCAAATCATAAAGAGAGTCACGGAACCCATATATATCAGAAACACAGTAAAATAACGCCCAAGTCTAATTAATTTAGTAAGAGTGATAAGCTGAAAGGGAGTTGTGGCTTAGATAGTAGAACATTTAACAGTAATTCCACCTGAGAAGAAAACAGATATCAAAAATAATCAGCTTCTTTATTAATAGCATCTAATTGGTGACTATTATTAAAGAACCACACATTAATAATAATGCAAATTAAATTTAACAAAAAAGGAGAAAAAATCTCCATTCAATTTAAACCCTTAAGCAATTGACAAAAATCTGAATATTTTCAGTTCGAATATAGTCTCCTTTAACAATAAACTTCAATTTGTTAAACAAAACACCCCCAAATCATTTATCTTTAAGAAACAAGATAAGTAATGTAATCAAGTCTTTTATATAATTTCTTCAAAAAATACATAGAAGGGGACTTTACATGTGCATTCATAAACAGTTCATTAGCAGAGATATTTCTCATGCATTGATTTTTTGAATATAGAATTCATCTTGCTACAATGTATAAATCATTTGATCGAAATGTTTTGTGCTTAATTTATATTGGAAAAAACCTTAGGAGCTAAATCAGAATAAGGAGAAGATCTAAAACTTTTACATTAATTGCAAGTAAGGAAAGCACAATCATTGTTTTTAATAGTAGATGATGTTAACTCTACTAATTTATAATTTTTTGGAATTAACAGACATAATCGCTAAATAACAATGGACCTATATGAGAATTATCAAAAATAAAATAAGAATATCCCGAACGGATCTGCTTCTCATAAATGACAATTAAGAATATTCCTATAAATACTATGTTAATGATATATTATCTGATCGTATTTTAGTATACTTTAATTAAATCTTGAACCTACAAGAAGTTTAGGGACTGAATTAGAAATTCTTTAGCCGAGTTTTGTGATAATAATAATAAATATGCTTACAAGTTTTAAGTTAAAATTAACAGGAGAGTAAGTCTTGAATAAATAAAACATTGGCTTCAGCTTAGGGAATATAATAAATGATACAAATGTTAATTCTAACCTAAGATCAAATTAGTGTAAAAATAGCTTATTTTTGCTTAAATAATTACTGATTTAGTAACCCAGAAAAACGAGAGGGTGGAATTATGAATTATTTATCAATGATTTAGGTGAATTGATAACTAATGAAAAGAAAGTTAAGGAGAATGTTACTAACGCTTTAGGTTAACTGAAGGGATAATTGACTACAACCAATCGCCACTGCCAAATCTAGAAGCAATAAATATAAGCATATGAAAGAAACTGAGCACTAACAAAGCACTAACTGATTTCTGAATATCAGCTACTTGGATATATTAAAGAATGGGACCTATCCAATTTTTAATGATACTTTAAAATAGTAACTTTAAATAAATTTTCCCTAGCATACCCTTTCATTAAGAATTTAGACCTACAGCAGCCCATTTATAGGTGGATAGAACTGTGATTGAATTTGCACTAAGTCAGTACTGCAAAAAGAAGTTATTAAAGTAATAAGAAGTATTTGTAAAAGAATTTAATACCCATGCTTAAATCCTAAATTTAATCAAAGATACTAAAGCATAAAAACGTTTTGACAATAAGTAAACCCTATTTGTGGATTTCAAATGCTTAAAATAATACCAACCTTGATCTACTTTATGACTACTTTTATTCATAATAATACTAAGAGATTAAAAAATATATTTCATCAAAGCATTATTATCCAATTAATATATCATTAGTACTTGAAGTAATACAGTTTTAAGAGAGGAGTCTCTCAAGGCAGCATTATCTCCTTATCTATATGCAAATTGAAAGATGGAAACATTTTTATAAGTTCTACTTCTTTTCTTAAGATCTGGGGATTCTCTATTCAGTAAAATTATTAAAGGACTTGATAAGCAGCAAACAATTTATCTCTCTATATACAAAAAAAGTTATAATCATTTAACTAACAATTAAAAAGAAAACTTCTATACAAGGATGGCTAATTGAAAAATCCCGTTCGAATATTCCTGTAAATGCTTAGGAGTTGAAATGAATGCCAAGGTAGATTTAGAATCATATTCCAAAATTTTATAATAAAAGATGATTTACATAAAATATTAATTTTCTCAAACCTAAACTAATATGGACTACGGCAATAGACTTTTACTGTGGACAGTTTCTTGAGACCTCAGTTTCAAAACTTGATTCCAATAATGAAACTGTAAACTAAATAAATATAGAAAACAATCCATTCTTAGTGGAAGAGGAGTAAAAAAGAAGATGTATCTACCTAAGATACTCCCAATGAGTCTTTGGAAGCGATTTTAGGCCATATAACTCAACAATGAAAATTATATGAGAAGCAATAGGTCATTGAAAAATAAGATAGAGCAACTCATGTGAGATCTAACAATTAGAATGGCCACCTTAAAGGAAACAAAAATCACAGGAATTCAAAATTTGCCTGATATTTAAGATAATTGTTATTTTTTCCTAGACACATTTGAAAGACACATAAAACACAGATGACTTTTCAATAGAATAATTAAATAACTTATAATGAATAATTAATCATTTAACTTTTTGTTTAATTTAATTAATCAGTATTTTAGTTTCTTCTTCATCTTCTTATTCAAAGATAGTACCGGTTAAATCAAATGTATAACCTGATTCAATTTAATTTAAAGATTTTTCTTTTAATTTATTGATCAATTCTGGTTTGCTAATGTTCCTTTCTACAAAAATTAAGTCACAAGGTTTGAAATGTTAAAATTTTGCTTTTAATTCAGCTTCATTAAAATCTTTATCTTCACTTTCTTAGAATTCTGTAACGATTATACTGATTATTGATTAAAACTTTCTGAAATATTTATAAATTGAGAGAATCTTTTTTTTCATTAGATCAGTTCTTTCAAAATTCACTACTAGATAAATAGATCGCACTAAATTCTAATATTGCTAAAATAGTTATTGATAAAGCTTAATTTGATCTTCCCTTGTATCGATATCTGATTCAAAATCGAAACCTTAAGTATCAACAAAATTATAATGTAGTTTATCATCTATTTCTAACTTATTCAATTTAAATTCATTGATAGTTTTAGAAGGAAATAATTTTTTCATTAAAAATGTTTTACCCACTCCAGGACACCCTAAAAATAAAGCTATGGGTGATTATTTTTGGGATGAAGCATTATGGGTGGGGATATCAACATTTCTTTAAATGGCATTTTAATTATTAATCATTTTAGGTTAATTAATGGTTTAAGTATTTCTTGTTAGTTGATCTTTATGATTAGATATTGGTTATGATATTTGAATTAAATCTTGTAAATTATTTTATTAATCAACTTATGATTTATTTATTGCAATCTTATCTTCTAGTTCTATATTAGGTTTTTATTATTCAACTTATGATTTATTTATTGCAATTATTGCAATCTTATCTTCTAGTTCTATATTAGGTTTTTATTATTCAACTTATGATTTATTTATTGCAATCTTATCTTCTAGTTCTATATTAGGTTTTTATTATTCAACTTATGATTTATTTATTGCAATCTTATCTTTTACTTTTTATAGTTCTATATTAGGATTTTATTATTCAACTTATGATTTATTTATTGCAATCTTATCTTCTAGTTCTATATTAGGTTTTTATTATTCAACTTATGATTTATTTATTGCAATCTTATCTTCTAGTTCTATATTAGGTTTTTATTATTCAACTTATGATTTATTTATTGCAATCTTATCTTCTAGTTCTATATTAGGTTTTTATTATTCAACTTATGATTTATTTATTGCAATCTTATCTTCTAGTTCTATATTAGGTTTTTATTATTCAACTTATGATTTATTTATTGCAATCTTATCTTCTAGTTCTATATTAGGTTTTTATTATTCAACTTATGATTTATTTATTGCAATCTTATCTTCTAGTTCTATATTAGGTTTTTATTATTCAACTTATGATTTATTTATTGCAATCTTATCTTCTAGTTCTATATTAGGTTTTTATTATTCAACTTATGATTTATTTATTGCAATCTTATCTTCTAGTTCTATATTAGGTTTTTATTATTCAACTTATGATTTATTTATTGCAATCTTATCTTCTAGTTCTATATTAGGTTTTTATTATTCAACTTATGATTTATTTATTGCAATCTTATCTTCTAGTTCTATATTAGGTTTTTATTATTCAACTTATGATTTATTTATTGCAATCTTATCTTCTAGTTCTATATTAGGTTTTTATTATTCAACTTATGATTTATTTATTGCAATCTTATCTTCTAGTTCTATATTAGGTTTTTATTATTCAACTTATGATTTATTTATTGCAATCTTATCTTCTAGTTCTATATTAGGTTTTTATTATTCAACTTATGATTTATTTATTGCAATCTTATCTTCTAGTTCTATATTAGGTTTTTATTATTCAACTTATGATTTATTTATTGCAATCTTATCTTCTAGTTCTATATTAGGTTTTTATTATTCAACTTATGATTTATTTATTGCAATCTTATCTTCTAGTTCTATATTAGGTTTTTATTATTCAACTTATGATTTATTTATTGCAATCTTATCTTCTAGTTCTATATTAGGTTTTTATTATTCAACTTATGATTTATTTATTGCAATCTTATCTTCTAGTTCTATATTAGGTTTTTATTATTCAACTTATGATTTATTTATTGCAATCTTATCTTCTAGTTCTATATTAGGTTTTTATTATTCAACTTATGATTTATTTATTGCAATCTTATCTTCTAGTTCTATATTAGGTTTTTATTATTCAACTTATGATTTATTTATTGCAATCTTATCTTCTAGTTCTATATTAGGTTTTTATTATTCAACTTATGATTTATTTATTGCAATCTTATCTTCTAGTTCTATATTAGGTTTTTATTATTCAACTTATGATTTATTTATTGCAATCTTATCTTCTAGTTCTATATTAGGTTTTTATTATTCAACTTATGATTTATTTATTGCAATCTTATCTTCTAGTTCTATATTAGGTTTTTATTATTCAACTTATGATTTATTTATTGCAATCTTATCTTCTAGTTCTATATTAGGTTTTTATTATTCAACTTATGATTTATTTATTGCAATCTTATCTTCTACTTTTTATAGTTCCTTATTAGCCAATTATATATATTCAAATTAATTTTTCATTTTTTTCTTTATTTCTTAATTTTCATTTTATTTTTGTTTTATAATAGCTATTTACTATCGATTTTATGATTTATTTTTTATACTTATATTTTACTAATCATTTTTTATACATTCCTATTCTTTTAGCTCATGTTTATTTGTGTCTTTATTTTTCTTCTATTAACTTTAAAGTCTTATTGTATTTGCTCTAACATCTTGTTATTTATTTTTCTCGTTTTTTATTTCTTCATTTTTTATCTGTTTTTCTAAGATCTTATTTGTTTCAAGTTTCTTTTATTAATTTATATCTACATAAGACAAATTATCTTGTTTTAAAAAAGCTTTGTCTTTATTTAATTAGTGGTTTTGCATTTATAAATCATTATGGTTTCTCTATATGTAACTAAGCCCATATTACAAATTCTAACCATTTTAAACTTGTTTGTTTTGTAAAACAAAATTTTGTTCTTGTTTTGATTTAAACGGTTACTTTTTACAAGATATATCTTGAACCAGTTATAAAGCTATATATTAATTTATTATATTTGTTTTGATCTATCAATATCATTAATAAGTACTTGATATTTTGGTAGACTCGTCTAAAGATTTATGTAATTAAATGTGTTATTACAATGTTACTATTAATTTGCTTTGAACTAAAGTACTTAAAATGTTTATCCGTGATGCATTTTTGATTAATTTGTTTTTTCACAACTCTGTAAACTAGGTTTCTATCTAAGGATAGTGAGCTTTTAAGGAGATACAGATATCAATTGTCTCACATTCTATCTATTCATTATCATTATTATTCATTTGAGAGTTTGATGCGATTAGTTTATTTATTTTCTTAATAGAATTATTCTAATAGAAATAATATTATAGCAATAAAATAACAAATAAAGTGTCAAGCATTAGAATAATAATTCATGTTAAATGGGATGGAGGTTTCCAAATCGGAGGATATAGAAACTATTTTATTTCACTGACAACCTAAATTGAAATTTATTTCTTACTCCATGATTCCAAAATTTGGTATATTTGGCAGGACTTAATTTTAATTTATTCATCTTGATTGCCCAAATGTTCTATTCTACCTGAGATAGAAGAACTTTTTTATTTTTCCTTGTTCTACATTGAACAGATTTGTTTGGTTTCTTTTGATTTTGACCTCTGTGTGATTTATTTGATTAATCAGTACCTCTGGTGTTTGGTGAGTTAGAAAAAGAATCGAACTTAAATTTCATATTTCCATTATGGGGATGATCAACACTATTTGTTGGTGTTTTCTTATGGAGAGTCAATTTTGGAAGAAATTTTTTTTTACTTTCAGTTTGAATGGCAACACTAGAGCTGTTTTATCTATGTGAAGCATCCAATGTTTAGACTTGAAGTCTTTAATCAAAAAGACTAAGCAAATCAAATTGCCTTGGTAAGATGGGTAATTTTTAATGAAATTACATGTCATTATGACTAGTGTGATGAGAATTATTTAGGACAGGAGCATTATTAGTCTCAGTTTTTGAAGCTAAGATTTCTTTTTAAAATTATTCTCCAATTTCATCTTAATCAGGTTCTTCAGCTAATTCTGATCTAACTTCTTCATTCTCATTAATTTCTTTTAAGTTATGTTCTTATGGAAATTGATTCAATGAAACTCTAACTTTGTCAATAGTTTGTAGTTAGTTGCTTTTCCAATTGCCTTTTAATACTAGCGTATCATATTCATACATTCCATCTCCTTCCATTAATCCATCAACCCAGTAACCCTTATAAGTCGCCCTGTCTTACCAAGTGATTTCTCCATATCCACATCTTTTATCATCAACAAAGGAGCCTTCATATTTTGTGCCATTGGCATATTCAAATATTCCTTATCCACATTTTTTATCATTGGCATATTGACCTTTGTATGTATTTACCCCTTCTTGGGTTCTACTTTCCCAAATCCCGTAGCCATTCCTTTGGCCATTAACAAATTCTCCTTTAAAGAAATTCCCATTGTTCCAATAGAATTCACCTTAGCCATTAGGTTTGCCATTTCTATATTCTCCAATAAAGTAATCACCATTTTCAAAATATTCCTAACCATTACCATGCTTTAGATCATTGGTAACATGACCAACATATCTAATATAATTAGTCAGTTATACATGTCTCCATTGATATAGATGCAAAGTCCGAAACATCTTCCGTTTTCCCATTGTCCTAGATAGTAATCGGAATGAGTTCCTTGGTACCACCCAATTCCATGCTTTGGATATAGATATTGTTAAATACTTTTTTTCCTTAATGCCATTAACCAATATATTTTTAGTTTTTTGACCAGAACACTCCTTCCCCATGTGGTAACCCATTGAGATAGGTACCATAGTAAAATTGGTTTGGTTTAAGTAATTCAAATCCGATACCATCTTTCTTGTCTCTGAGAAAGGAGCCTTCGTAAAGTTATAATGTTGATTTAATTAAAATGCCTTGTCCTTGTCTCAAGCCGTCAACTAAGGTTCCATAGAATGCTGCATTTTTGTAGAGCTTAATCTTAACATCTTAAATGTGAGTTAAGTCCAAAATGATTGGGTTGTAATTCTAAAAGAATTCAATTACATTCTCCTGAGTAGGAAACTGGACAGGATTGATTTAATTTGGGATTGGAAACTTGGTTTTAATTTGTTAGACCAAGACATGGAATTCTTATAGAGCAATGTTTTCATAGACTTATTGGAGTGTCTAGTAAGATTATTCTTATAAGTTAGGGAATAATTGCTATATATTTTATTATTTTATCATTAATAAAACTAATCTAATTAGAAGTTGTTTTATAAATGATAATTAATTTTAATCAAGTAAACAATCTATATACTAAACCTTAATTATATGACTCAATCAACATAAGTTTTCAGTCTTCTGCTATTGATACTTCTATGCGAAGTGGGACTGTGAGTACGAATGTTAAAAAAGGTATTGTTTTCCTCGTTTTTCACTTGTATCTGTACCTTGCTCTTGATTCTTTTGATGAATTTATCTACAGTAGTGGGACTGCTCAGGACTTGGGTGAGAGGGTAGTGATGCGAATTGTTATTGCATCCCAAATTCTATTGATTTGTACAATAGGTAAGTAAACCATCTATTTCATGATCATGTGTTAATTTATTATGATCAGGATCATGTTTAATTTTGTCATCAATTTTATTCGAAAATCTAAAGAATTATCTATGGTAGAAGCGTTTATTAAAGTAGTTTTATGATTTGAATTTGCGTTGATCAAAAAAGGTTCTCACTTGAGCATAAGAACAATTTCTATCCTTCATCAATTTCGTAAATTATACAATGGCTTACTTCTCCTACAATTTGAATTAATCATATTATTCATCCTTCTCTATCTCTCCGCTCGTATTTCTTTGAGATAATAAGTTGTATTTCTGAACAAAGCTTCTCTTCACTCCAGGATGAATGAAATTCATTTCTTCCTCTTCTTTTTGTCTCTTCTCCTCGTACTCCTTAATCAAATGATTTGCCTTAATGGTTCTGAAGTGATGGATCGACGAAAGCAAATGTAAAAACACAATCTATGTCTTGCTATCCCAGAATCGTCTCTATCTAAATATATAAATTTACTTCTAGATGTCTTCTCTGGTGATTTTGTAAGCTATTCCAGTTTCACTTTTACATACTATGTTGTACTTGGTCTTGGCCCATTGGATGAAAATGGAGGACTTGATGAGGAATTGCCCATCTTTGTTGAGAAAGGCTTCTTCTCCAAAAGATTCCCCAGGACCAAGAGTGCAACTATAAAAATAACACTAGTGTATTAATACATACAAAATAACTTATTTTTATGGATGAATTGTACTTAAAACTCTCCTTCCCTAACAACATAAAAATGATTGCAATATTCATTCTACTTGATTATAGCTTGATTCAGAGTTACAGAGACAGGTTCAAAATGGTAGCTTATAGTTTTGATCTCTCTGAAGGACCAAGAACTAAAGAATGGGAAGGAACACAAGAAGGAAATCTTATTCTATATCTTAGCCATTTCCTAAGCACCTAATATTGATTTGTAATGGTGTTTCTCCATTACTGCAAATACACAATCTTCCTTAGCTATAATGGTAGCTGTCCTTTTAGAGTCGTTTATCAGTGCCAACTCTCCAAAACCTATCCCTGCTCGTAGAGTGTTTACTTCTTTCAGTTCGAATAGTTGAGGATCTTCAGGGTTTGGCAATCTGATGTTTACACTTACCGAACCTCGCAGGATCACGTAAAACAAACTCCCAGAGTCGCCCACTTTGAAGAGTACCTAGAGGGAGTGGAGAACCCACAATCATACCTCTCCGCCTTTTATTGTCCGATAGGAGAGAACCAATATGCATCGTTGCAGCATCTCTACCGACTGTTCCCCTAATTCTCTGAAAAATGTGATAGTCCTTGCAAAATTTAGTAACAGGTTCAACTCTTCGGGACTTCTACGTATTGGTGTTATTTGGAGGATACGAATACATTCGGCGAACATTAATTGCTTGTCCATATTTAATTATTATAATAAATAACTTTTATTTCATCCATTTTGATACATACAACATTCAATCATTATTTTATGTCTCTAATTACTTAATCTCCTTCTCGTTCTCCTTAAATTCAAGGCAAAATATTAATTTTAATTTAAAATTATGGGGAGCTGCAACTGTATTCCGAAGAAACAAGCTGAATAAGAACTCCACACTCAAAGAGGATCGAGTGATCACCATATAGCCGACAAAGAAAAACAACCAGAAGAAAAATCATTTTGCCATGGTTCAATTCATTAAATTATGCAGAGGACAATAAACCGCTTAATGATGAAGCACAATAATTAGTACAAAGTACCAAAGGCATTCAGAAAAAATTACCAAGAATTAATATGACCAATGGAGGCTATTATGAGGGGGAATGGTTCAATTGTATGCGACATGGTTAAGGAATTCATGTATTTATTTCTTATCTCACTAATTTATAGTATTGGGCTGATGGAGGACATTATGAAGGGTAATGGAAGAATGACAAAGCAGAAGGCTATGGTAAATTAGGTAACAATTCCTTTTATTCAGTTCATTGTGATGGAGATGTCTATGATGGCTAGTGGGCCAATGATATGGCCAATGGAAAAGGAACTTACACACATGCAGGAGGTGCCCGTTATGAAGGAGATTGGCTTAATGACTAATAACATGGCTTTGGAACTGAAGTTTGGCCAGATGGTTCTAAATATGAAGTATTCAAATTAATCCATTTTAGGGAATGTATACTTTTGGCAAAAAGAATGGAAGAGGCAAGTTGCAATTTGCAGATAACAGTCTGTATGAAGGAGAATTTTTAGATAATGAGATTAGTGGAAATGGTAGGTATGTTTGGAATGATGGAAAGACCTATGTTGGAAGTTGGTTAAACAATAAAATGAATGGATATGGAGAAACCATTTGGCCAGATGGAAAGAGTTATAAAGGATAGTATTTGGATGACAAAAAACATGGGTAAGGTGTGTTCTCTTGGAATAATGGAAAAAGATATGAAGGAGAATGGGCTCTAGGAAAATAAAATGGCAAAGGGGTTATTATCACAGAAACTGGAGAAAGAAAAGCAGGGATTTGGGAAAATGGAAGAAGAATCAAAGTCGAAGGAGAAAACGATTAAACAGCAGAGGGAGAAACCTGAACAAATAAATTGCCAACATGATTATTAATCTATACTTTTTGCAATTACAAAAATACTTAATGCTCAGACCTGGCAAGCTAAGATCATATTATTTATCATTAACTAATTATAATCATTGCATTCATTCTAACAATTTCTTTTTCAAATTTAATAAAAAATTATTTAATATTTTAAATTAATATTATGGTTATTACATTATTTATAATCAAAAAAATCGAATTTCAATAATAAACCAATAAATATTTATATTTATTAGATTTTCATTTTTGTTTTCTTTAAAATTTAATGTAGAATCACTTGTAAATTACTCTATAATTCATTGTTAATATGAGTTCACAGTAATCATTGAATATAAAAATTAATTGCCATATCAAAGCCATAATTAATAGTTCTTTGAATTAATGAGTAATTTGAAGAATAATACAAAACAATTAAATTTCATTATATTACACTCAATATAATCAAGCCTTTGCTTATGAAATTGTACAAAATTCTTCCATATCATCGGGCGTTTAGAATTTAATTTTGCTTTTCTATCTGTCATTTGCAATCTAAGATAAATGATTAAGATTACATTCAAAAACAATAAATGTCTTGAAGGCATGATATCTAATATTAGTTCATTAACTTTCTGAATTGCCATTCCCTTAATTGGATAATGAAGAACTGGATTATCAACAGCTAATTCAATAGAATTAAATCATACCTTCTATTGTATCGTCATGTTTTAACCAACAGCCAACATATTTATCTATAGTTAATACTAAAATGGCTGATTATTCATTGTTTTTATCAATAACATGAACTCTGAATTCCTTGACTAATAGCAATCTTGCTGCTTGACATCCAATCTCTTTTATAACTAATGTTTATATGAATTCTTCCTAATGGCCATCCTCAAATTATGCAATCTCTTTAGGTAATATTTTTTTGAGATTGTAATGCTATTCAACATCAATGACCAATTCAGGCAACTCTACTTATAAATTGTGCACTTCTGCAATTCCCTTTTTATATATCAAACAAGAATCTTTAGCCCATTGTGCTCGTTTCTATTCTATTGTAATAACCTAATGATAATTGAATTAAAGATACTTATTTCCAATATTATAATACTTTTTCAGCTAACTAATTCAACAGTTTGTTAGCATATTATTGGGTGGCTACAAAACTAATAATTAGTCTATAAACATCAACTGGTTGATTATTTATTTTTCTTCCATCATCTTCATACTTGTTTTATTAAAAGGATTATTCTTATGATTAATAATTTTTAGATCTAATGTTATTTGATTCAAATTATTATCTTTCTTTTTACTATTATTATTGTTTGTAGTATTCTGCACTACTTAATGATCCTGAAAGCTTTTATGGTATTTGCTTTTATTCAAAACTCTATTCATTTTAATTTTCTTTTAATGCTGATTAACTTTCTTATTCTTATGGCTTTTCATTCTACGATTATTTATCTACTTATTCTTCTTCTTAATTTGGGCCCTACTTCTATTCTTGATTTTCTAAATTTTATTATAATTCACTTCCATTGCTTAAACTTTGTTCTTCTTTTAATTACTGTTCTCTAATTTATCTTTCTTATTCTTTCATCTGTTAGTTTAGTTCCATTTCAACTGGATCTTATAAAGATGATGCTCCAACTAGTAAAGTTCCTAAGGCTGAAATATTTTACAATATTTTATCTGTTCTACTTTATTAAGGTTATTATTGAGATTATTAAGATTGCTGTTATTAATCATCGAATATTGGTTTTCTCTATCTTTATGGTTGAGCATGTTATGGAAATTGTTAGATAATTAAATTTAACTTCTAGCCTGCTGATGTAATGTAATTTTGGAGTAATTTTTTCTAGGAGATTATTGAACTCAATAGTAAGTCTAATTGTTTATCCATATCACTCAAGTCATGAAATGATTATGCTTTCAGTATCTCAGTTTGAATTGTATGAGCAAAGTTTGCTATTTTTTCTAATCTTTTTAAATTGTTTTCTTCAAATGTGGATATCGAAGTTCCTACTGTAGAATACAGTAATTGATTTAGTGGATTTTGTTTCAAGGCTGGTTGAGGTTTAGTGATTAGGAATTGTGCATATTATTGTTCATGGAAATATTTCTCATTGAAAAATTTGTAAACAATTTGAAGAAAATCAACAGATAATCTGATTCTATAGTCACAAGAATTTGCCAATTCCTCTACAATTTCTCTATTCTTTTCAAATATATCCATTCTATTTTAAGCCCATTCTTTTAAGAGTTTTAAACTTTCCTCCTTTCTCTATTTGGAATTACAGAAAAAAAGTTCATTCTATTCTTAAGTCTCATCTAATTCTGAATATTATTTTGGAAAAGATGGAAATTTTAAAATACTTTTGTAATACTTTATAGTTGTTAAGATTGAATTCGAGTCTTCTGACATTTCAAAAGTGGTTAATTAAATATTTAATTTTTAAGTATTTCAAAATAATATATAAGCACATTATAAATGATTTCTCTTTGCCACATTTATTATTTGTGTTTATTTAATATATGAAACATTTATGTTATTTATGTTTATTTTTGTTTCAAATACCTTAAAATCAAAAGTTAATTATAAGTTATTATTAAAAATTTCTGCAATAATTATTAAGATAATTCATAAATTTGTATTACACTAAATACTCTTATATGTAATATGAAATATGTTAATATCGTATTATAACGAATTGTATTATTAATTAATTTTTAGACATTTCGGATTATGCATTTTATGCCTAATATTTTTGATTTAATCATATAAAAATATATATTATGCATTTCTGATTATTCTTGTTAGATAAATATCAGATTAATTTTTTATTGATCGTAATTGTTCATGATTTATTAACTACAACGCTATATATTTAAATCCAATTTCTTTTATCGTATGTACAAGATACCTAGAAACATTAATTGTACATTCATTTTATAGAGAACATCATTGTATTTAGAAAAATTAAATATTCTTAACAAACATAGTCTAAATTATTATCATCTAATCTCATGTATGCCTTATTTTGATTCGATACCGAATAAAAATAATTGGATTATGTGGATTTCTGATGAATAATTTTGATATTCAAAATGAGATTGGAGTACTCATACATTTTATTAATAAAAATTAAACATGCAAAACTTGACCCAGAGTCCTTTGAAACATCTAATTATAGATGGAGACAATAGTCCTATCAATTTTATAGACGATTTCGAATTATCGAGCTAATCCTCTTAAAATAACACATTCATCTAATCAGGAAGAAAGAATTCTGATGGGGAAACTACAGCAAGAAGAAGAAAATTTCGATCTCAGGACTTTACTGAGTAATTATACATGTGGAATGACTACTTAGTGAAAAAATTCGAGCCTAAATAGTTATGAAAACTGATTATATGATTTTATATTGCTTTGTCTTTTTTAAATAATTCAATCCCTAGCTTAATTATATAAAATTTTGGAAGATATGTAATGATAAAAATATCAGCATTTTAAATATAGGGAATCTGATTATAATGTAGGATATTAAAAAAAGGCCTTTATAAATGTTCCTTCAAATTCCTATTTTTATAATAATTTTACAAATTCAATAAGAAGTAGCTTCCTTAATATTCACTTCTCAGCTTAGAAAAAAATTCCATAGACACTTTTGCCGAGAGAGGTACTCTGTTCAAATAGCACTCTACAAAATCTTCTTCTCTTTAAAATTTCAATAATCAAAAATTAGAAATTACTTAGAAAAATGAAATATCTTAACGATTATGAAATTTAGTTTATAATCTGTTAAATATATAGAATTATTATTCATATTGAGTGATTAAGTTAAATAGAATCAAATAAATTCAAAGAGAGGTATTTAAATTTAATTTCATTTTCAATATTCTAAAAGTTTGGTTAGAATAATTAATTATTGTTAATAATACATATAATAATTATTTAAATCATCCACTTTTGAGGAATCTTAAATTAATTTGTCATTATTCATCATTAGCGATAGAAATTATTTATTTTATAAAACTAATTTCAATTAGTCTATGATCAATATTTGAACTACTAGAATTTTTCAAGAAAGCTATCTTCTGTGTCCTCAAAAAATAAATACTCAATCAATCTTCAAACTGATGCAGATTATATAAAATTGTTTAAAAATCATCAAGACTTATGTTTGAAAATCATAAATAGATTTATTAGAAAATAAAAGAAAATTATTTCTTGATTATATTTTTATTAAAAAATTGATAATATTGAATTTAGAAGATTTTAATGCTATCATAAAGAATCAATTATCTGAGTTTATTTTGACTAAGCAAACCAATTTTGAAATTGAAAATAGCAATTAAATAAAAAGCATTCAAAGAGATTAAGATTTTTTACTTTGTAAAAACTATTCTTCTATATTTGGACTATATTAATTACTCAAAAAATAAATCAAGACTTAATAAATAAAAATGTAAATGAAAACAAGATTATATTTATTCTTAAAACATTTAAAAGAATTTTAATATTTTAACATTTTTATAAATAATTATAGTTCAATATTCTATAATTATATGTAAATATAATTAAATATAAAATTGAAGTAATCATTTAGTTTATAATTAAGCTTAGAAATATCATGAATTATCTGCCTCAGAGGTTTTTCTAAATTTAAAGTGGTTGTCTAGCAATAATAATACCAAAATATTTGACTAAAAATATTTTTACATATAATATCTTAACTATAATTTTTTAGCAAACAAATCAGATTACACCAGTTTAGAGAAATATTGTTAAGGTAAGTTAATAATTAATTAATATGGAAATGATAATGATAACAGGTTAAATAATTATTAAAAGAGCAGGTAGAATAATTACAATAACATAAGTAATGAAAAATACAAAGTGCATAATAGGTTATGAATTTCTCATAATTTAATATACTATGAAATATAAATATGTCAAATTAGTAGTATATATTAATTGATTATAGTTCATTTTTAATTATGTAAGATTGCCAGAAGTTATTCTGCAATCTTATTGAACTTGTCAAGAGAATACTTTCTTTTAATTGCCGTCATATTACTACTTTGTAGTAATTTGATGATTGGAAGAAACTCTTGTAAACATTATCTTAGATCTTCTTGATTATCAACATAATGAAGGGAAGAGGGTAATACTTGTGGGGATCGAAGTAAATTGATTGCTAAGAGGATGGCAGTGGTAGCAAGTAGGGATGATGAAAATCTGAATAGATTGGATAAAAATACTTGAGACATTTGACGTCAAGGAGAGACAATTCTAGAATCATTCTGGAGGCGTAATTGATTTTGTCGCATAGATTGGCTCCTGAGATCTGTCTCTCAAGGAATTTGAGTGGGGAAGTAAAGGTCAAGTGAAATTAAACTGTTAATAAAATTTTACTTTCCATTTCTGATATAATAAAGGTTGATATATACCAAGTATTTCTTCTTTAGTATATGCATTGTCACAAACACATACAAAATCTTTAAGTTCAGGAGCGTAGATTTCTTCATATTTGGATGCTATGAAGAGGGAAGCAATTCCAACTAGTTAGAGTTTATTTCGCATGATAGTGTTTTTGGCAAGGTAACGATCGATTAAATTGATTGTCATATAGAGTGTTTCTGATTGTAACTTAAACTTAAGATGCACATCAACTAACCAGTCAATTAGAATTGAACGCATCTAATTAGTAATGTCTAATTGTAAGTTCATGTAAAATGGAGTCTAACACATGAATTTATGTTGATTCACACGTAGATACTCGAAAATATCAGCAACGTATGGATTTACGAATTCAGGAACAGGGAGGGGTGTTTCTTCTTCGATCTTCAACATAGGTTTGGAACAGATGAATTGTGAAGTAGATCGAGTTGGTACTCGTTATATGTTTGTGATCTCATTTCCAAATTATCGATTGCGTGTGGTTACAAAGTTATTGTATGATACTCGTACATAATTGTTCTCGTTGTTCGACTTCATTGATTTTTAAATTAACTGTTATAATTAAAAATTCTAATCGTAAACTTATTAACAAGTAATTCACTTTATGTTTATATATAATAATCTATTTCCAATATATAATTATAATCAAGATTAAGACTTCAATCATCTGTTATTATATCTTTAATCAATATTATAAATATAATAATTATCTAATGTAAATTAATCATAGGCAATATTATTTGTTCTTAAACTAATCATTTTAATAAAATCACTCTTCTGCAAAATGGATAACTCTTGATGTTTCAATTATGATCTCAGAGTAAATATTTAAGATTTGCCTTGATGCTTATCAAATTGATATATTAGGTGTCTTCAATCAAATATCCTATGCATATAAGATAGCTCATATTCAGATTGTTGTAATTCTAATATTGAAATTATTGTAAAATAAAGAAGAGTTGCTGAATATCAAAACCGCATCACTATTATTAATTAAAGACTCAGTTTCTTCAATTATAATTATATCCAAAATTATCAAAATTGTCTTCCTAAACTTAAGTGTTTACTAGAACTGTACTTAGATTTTGATAATGATTCCCTAAATTGAAAAGAATTAATTGAAATTGAAGATAGATTTTCTTTAGGCAAACTCATTTTTGGTTAATATTTTAATTCTATAAGAAAAAAAAAATAATGATAAATTTATTATGACTAATAAAGATAACAATATCATTTAGTCGGAAGATAATTTTTACTGTATATAATATTAAATAAGTTATACTTAACAAAATAATACGCAAACCCAAAAAGAGGCTTTATAACAAATAAAATATACATTAATATTGCTAAAGATTTAAGACTAGCATCGTTGACTTTTCGATTTTCAATTTTTATTCAACTTTTAATTATTCAAATAACCTGTTTTATTATTTGGAAATATGAAACAATTTTTTGGGTTTATATGATTTGCATAAGGTTTCAAATGATTTCTTTATTAACTACTTCATACAATATTCCAACTTATAAATAATGACTAAGTAGTATACCTGTTTTAATAATTCGATTATCTGAAAATAAATATCTTCACTTTTACAATGATTCACAGCTCGTTTTTTTATAATTTTTGTTCCTTAAGTAAAATAAGTCGTTTTGTTTGATATTTTATTGGTATAATTATATCCATTTTAATTAATTGTTAATTCATCAAAAATGTAAGACACTAGAAAAGAGAATTATTGAATTAATTAATTGGATCCTTTTTATTATCTACATTTGAGCTTACAAATTATGATGACTCAATAAATCTAAAGGCTTTTTACTTAATTCTAACTTATCTTCTAGTTTATATTATTGATAAAATGTTAAAGCTAAATAATTATACTCCTTTTCAATTTCAATAAATTAATTGTTTTTATTAAATTAAATGTAAAAATATATTGAATAACATCAATATATTCCTATGTATCAACTACTACAGCACTTAAAGCACTTAATCAAAGCCAAAAATGCTGCTATATAATTCTTCATACCTTTTTCAAACGATAAGTTCTAATCAGGAATTTTACTTCTTCTTGGATAATTATCATATTAAAATCAATAGTTTTAAAAACTAAATACTTATGACGATATGATTAGTAAGAAAAAAAATTCAAAATATTCAACTTATTTGTCAATAAAAAGCAATCAGAAGGAAAGTGTGTCTAAATAGCGATTCCAATAATTAATATTTAATTCATTTAAGTAGTTTAAAAGTAATAAATAACTGCTATAAGTTAAATTATAAGTGACCCTGTTTTGAAAAGTCCATTTAAGTGATGCTGCTCTATCTAGCAAAAATTAAAAAAAAAATCGAAAAAATGAATGTTTCGTACTACAAATGGCTTATTAATTTAACTTTAGTGACTAATTTATTCAATACGCTTTTTTCTCTCATAAATTAAAGGGCTTGTTGAAAGATGAAAAAAAAACTTGAAATGTTTCTCAACTCCTATACATACACAAATAAGAAAATAAAGTTAAACAAAATTAAACCTAGCTTAACCAATAGCTATAGATAATTATTATTTTTGGTTGTGGTTTTTTATGTGTTGTTGATTTAAATATTTCATTTCATTTCTTTCAATGAATGTAATTTTATTAATAAACTTTCTTTAATTTTCTCCATACCCCTACTTTATTCCCTTTCATATATTGACCTTCTTGTATTACTTAGCCAAGATTATTGATATCATCATCTAATTCAATCCAATTTCCTGTCTTCAATCCAGTGCATTCTTCTTCATAATATCCACCACCACTATAGTGTTAATAAAGAACTTACATAATCTGGTTGTTCATTATGTAATTCCACCTCCCCTATTTTTAATCATCACAATACTCACCAACTTCATATACTATAGGTTAACTTCTTCTAAATTCAATTTATTTATTACTTCCAATAGTTATAAATAGGTAGTTTCCATGGACCTACTCTCAAACCATCGCTGAAGTACCCACCATATGTGATATCGGTATTATATCCACATTATAGCATCCATCTACCTATTTTTTTCATGTTATCTGCGTATTCACCTTACCAAATTAACTATGGTTGAGTTGAAATACACTAAGAATATCCTCTTTTAGGCTTATAAATAATCTGTTTACTCTCTAAACTTTTACCTTTGATTTATTATATAATTTGTGTATCATATCTGCCTAAATTGTAATCTTCCTATTCTAATGATTACCTTCTGATGGTTAGCAACTTGATATTGAGTCATTGTTAAATGTTTCGATAATTTATGTAACACTCATAGAATTTATTTATAATTTTTAAAAATTAAAAATTTCAAAACCTTATAAAAATGAAATATTTCTATTACTTTACATCTAAAATAAATAAAGTATTGACGAATTTTTGTCGATTTTTTTAAATTTTGTTTCTCAACTATTTAGATGATGCCATAAATCAATAAGTATATCTATCTTAATGCAATACATATCCATTTGTGCCTAAAACCAAGAACAACATAGACTCCTAAAATTTAGTTACATAGAAAGCAAAAGATCTCTTTTCATCATTGTTCCCTTATAGTCTGTGTATTAGAAAACGACAGTCTTTTTACAATTGAGTCATGTAATTATGATTATAATAAAAAAATTTCAAATCATTAATATGAAAATTTAAATACATTTAGAAAAAGGATAATTACTTTTACAATAAATAACCTAATAAATAAGCTTAATTAATAAAAATCACTATGAAAATACCTTTATTTTATTTGCCCTCTCTTAATTTATGGTAATAAATATTTTTAAAAATATTCAATATCATTCTTATAAAAATTTCAATTACAGCAAATAATTTATTCTATTTTACTTTAGAAGCTGTAGCATTTAAAAAATATCAATTAGCAAAAATGAAGAACTAGCTTTTAAAATAGTTAAAATTCAGTATTTTTATATAAAATAATTTTCTAAAAAATTTAATTTCTATTTTTAATAGAATTTATTTAAAATATTATTCACTGTGTTTTAGATAAATTTTATCTTTCTTATTTCTCTTTATCATATTGACAATTCAAATTTTAGACTTCAATCATAAAGAACTTTTAGTTAGATCAATCTACTTTTTGTTCATAATAGATTATATCTGATAATTATGTTCAATTGGCTAATCAACTTTAAAATAAAAGATTTTTCCTGGAGTCCTATTAAGGAACATATTAAACTCTTAGTACTCAATTTCCCCTTTTTTCATCACAACATATTGTGTCTAAAATTTTCTTTACGACAATTGAACATTAACTAAGCATTTTAATTTTTTTCAAGTGCAACAATAATGCATTAACTTTTGGAATATATTAATAAATTAAGATTAGTTTTAGATTTATGTATGTACATGTTTTATTCTTAGTCCAATCAAACTATTTAATTTAACACACTACTGAATTTATACCTCATACTAAATTCTTCTTTATTGCTAATTATCCTCTGAATCAATACAGAAATTTATTAGCAGGATGATATTTTTCATAACTCATTATTGAAAAAGTTATTTGTTAAAGATTGATCAAAGAAGTATTTTTTTGATGTATGGGTTTAAGTAATTGATAATTAAATAATTTGAGTATAGCTTAAAATTTACTCAAAGAAGTTGTATAATGCTTAGATATTTTATAATTTTTTGTAATGGAAAAACCTTAATTTTGAGGCAATGAATTTGAATAGAATAAGCCTTCTAGGATCTATAACAAAATAGTTTAAAAAATAAGGCAATTTTCAAGAGTATTGATTTTGCATATAGTTATGAGACAAGTGTAAGATAAGCCAATTAAAAAAAGGAGTTAATTTTGAGGCTGAAGAGAGACAAGAAAAAGATGTTACAATATAAAAAGTAGAACTTTAATTGTAGAAATGAAAAAAGCAACACAAAAATCATAATTACAAATTATAGTTATCTTTATCAATTTAAAATTCTTTCCCATATTATTCTTCTGATCCAATTATTTATGAGACTATCGACTTTCTTGAATTATCTTATGCAACTAGTCTAGCCTTTTCAGCAATCAGAATCATACGAGTGGCTATATTTCTTTTACGATTGATAGCTGCAAAAATTACAATTAATGTTAATAATAGCCAAGAACCTAACAAAATGAAAATCCAAGCTAAGCATTAATCTTAGGTTCCACACTCAACAGTATCTCCATTGTAAATACAACAATAATCACATTCAGCATAATCGCATGAGTCTAATGGAGATGCTAAAAATTTATACATTTCTCAGCACTGTAGTAACATTCACTCTCATATACAGCACAGAAGCCTTCCTCAGTGCAACACTTCAAATATTTACAATCAACAGCTGCTTTGTTGCTGAAACAGGTTTAACCTATGAGAGGCACAATGAAAATAAATAGCAACAACATTAAATTAAAAAAAATATAGTTCATAATTAATCATTCGATATTTGAACATCCATCATTGCAACTTCGATTCTATGATTTTGGATCTTATTATTAATAGCTCTTAGCATTTGCTACACTATTGTCAATTAGAACTATGCTCTTATTTCAAATAAAAAATAGAAGCTAATGAATAATATCATAAATGGCAATCCATATTGAAAGCGCAACGGCAAAAAAGTGTAGCAGTATTGATATGTTCCACAGTATCAAATCTCCATCATAATAGAGCATTTCTCATGTTATATTCCTATATTTTTATTGCATACATTGTGATATGAGTGTACTTACACACTCAGTTGAGCATATATATAAATTGCAAAGCACAACTACATTTTCATAATAAATTAATAATCATAACATTTAATCCTTCTTCAAGCCTAACACATTCTGTCCATCTAATTTGTAGTAAAACTTCTTTTGTTTCAGACTGTCAAAGGGATCAATGATCTTTTGGACAAGTCTCAAGGAGTCGTAAGCTCTATCTAAACATTTGGCCAAACAAACTTTCTCTTGTCCAGCTAATTGAAAAATAGATGAAATTTCATACAAATGGGAGTCGAGTAATCAGTAAAACATGTATCTAAACAAGACATGTAATAATTTTCTTATAAGGTTGTCTTGATATACTTTTCAAAGTCATCTTAGGGGAGGGATTTTGATTACCCTGAGAAATTAGGTTTAAACATAAATAAAAATTTAATTTTTAATGGTTATAGTAGATTAACATGAGATCTTCTAAGTTATATATATATATATAAGAGTAATCATCAACATTTAAACATACTATAAAATTCTTCTTCTGTTATATATAAACTATTCGAGGTGTTTAGAAGGTGCCATAGATTCGAGTGGCTCTTGCCCATCAGATGACAGAAATCTGATTCCGAAATCTTGCCGTCTTAATCATAATCAATCAATTAAAAACAAAATTTCTAACATTTCTTTGTTTATAGTTTATCTCTGGCTACTGAAGCTGCTAGGAATTCTACAAGTGAGATGGATGACAATACCTTTGTAAGTGAGTGTATCATCTGACTATTTATTCAGAGTGGTGTAGAGGTCATCGATTTTCTAAGAGGAATTGTTGATGTTGAGTTGATATAAGGACTTCTTGAATTCTTATTTCGAAATTTAGCCATCTTGATCTGCATCTAGATATAAGAAGGTTTAAATGGCTTAGCCATGATCATCAGAGTTCTGACAAAAGTATGTAATGACTGAGAATATCAGTTCTTCGAATAGGGTTGTTGAATGGTAATTTATTAATTTGAAAATAAGTTGTTGATTGAATTGACTTAAAAATCTATGTTTAACGAACCAATCTTCTTGCAATGCTTATTAAGCAGTGATTCTTTTGTTGGGATTCACCTACAACATCTTGACCAACAGACACTATAATTCAGGCGTAATAGATTTATCAAATTAGAGATTTCCACTTTTAATTGCATTCTTCATTTCCGAATTGGTCTTGCCCATAAAGGGATATCTTTTATGAACCAAATAGAACAAGGTAACTCCACAAGCCCAAATGTCAATTTATTTGCCATAGTCTTTACTGAAGATCTCAGGAGCCATAAAATACATCTTGAATAATTTAAGAATATTCTTACTGATCCTAATTAAGAACTGAGTTTCCTATTCTTTTTGATTTCAGTTGAGATACCAAAATCGATGAGTTTGATGAGAGTGTTCCCGTTATTGTATTGATATAAAATGTTCTCTGGCTTGATGTCTCTGTGAACTACATCTTGGTTATGAATGTAACTCAGAGCCAATAACAACTGATAACCTATGTTGGCTGCCTTTTCCTCAGGGAACTTATTATTATTCTATATATCTTCCTGTAGATCAGTTCCCTAGAGTAGCCTACCTCAAATAAATAACACTACTCAATAATCATGTTGTAACTCTGGTCATCTTGGAATACTTCGATTGCCTTCACAATAAATGGATGATCTAACTTTGATAAAATCTCCATCTCTCTCAAACACTTCTTACTCAACGAACTTTATTGTTTTTTGATTTGTTTCATGGCTCTCAATTAACCTAAAAATTAAATGTCGAGTAGGTACTCGTTTGCTTGTTTCTGACAATAAAGACTTCGCCGTAACTGCCAGAACCGAGTGATCTTTCGATCTAGTAAGAATCAGCGTAGTTCTGATATCTAAACTTAACAAAGTCGTCAGATGTTATGTGAAATTTGGATATTACAACTGAATCATTAGGTGTGGGGGAATTCAAAGGCGACTTCGGTATGACATCTGGAGATCTGGGGAGCATTGACTTGGTGGTAGTGAACTCCTTGTCAAAATCAGTAGGAGACAAGGATTCCTCCATTATTTCATCCTACAATTGTTAATCAATTATCGGTTTGAGAAAGTTCACACTTGTGCTTAATTGAGATGTGTATTCAACTGAACAGGAATGCGATTAACAAATTGATCCCATTTATATAAATAATTATTAAATATAATCAATTAAAAGAGAATGTGAGAGATCATTACTATTACTGTGGTTCATCATCTATATTGAGAAAGTGATCGATGTAGGTGTTTCCCTTCTACAATTTATTGAATCTATTCTTCAACATTATTTCCTTCATTTACTACAAATATCATACTGTTCTCCCTTCAAAATGTTTGTTTATCTAACACCACTTGCTCCCATATCTCTGATACAAATTTAATAACAACTTGTCCTCCTCCTCGTTCCACCCCTACTTATTCTTGATCCCAGGACGCAACTGATTCATATAATGCTCTCGTATTTGTTTCCCATTCCTACCCTGCATTCCTCTCTTTAATCAACAATTCATACTTGCTGCAATCAAAGCCCAATTATTAAACTACGGATTCTCCTTTGTGAATGACAGAATTATCTGATTTTCCTCCTCTGTCCACTTCCTCTTCTTCTCCTGACCACCACTCAAACGCTACCAGTGTTATTTACATTATGAAACTGTCCTCCCTTCCAAAAATCTAACAATAATCTCCCAATCTCCTTTGTAAATTTGAAACAAATCTTCCAAACGCTTGTTCTCTTCCTCACTCCACTTCTTAATCTTTCTCTTCTACAACCACACTATTAATCATTCAAATCTTACAGGTTCTTCCTTGCTCCTATTCCTCTTCCTAATCGATTTCTGTACAGTCCCAGAATTACATGTTCTAGATTGCCTGCAAATTATAATGCCAAATTCCCTTACGTTCCTTGAAACTAAGATTCATCCTCTGACTCATCCGATTCCTCCTCCTCCCTCATACAAAGAGTCGATGAAATCTTCTGCATCTCACTCTGATTCTCTTCAACCAATTCCCTCTCCTTGTCCTTATCTACACTATCAAACGCTTTAAACAACTCATACTTTCCCAAGTCGCCCTCATATCTCATCACATCATTATATGCCAAATCTTCGAAATCAATGAAATCATCTAATTCCTCAAATCTGTACTTCTCATTCTGAAAATCATTCGATTCAGAGAAGCTCATTTGAAATTTTATATATAAGTATTTATGATAATAAACATAAGTTATTTTTAATATAATTCTCAACTGATTTCTACAACCAACTGTCCCTCCTCATTCCTTATTTTATACCTCCATTTCTGCCCTCCAAATGTTCGATATGGAATATTAAGGCCAAATTAACCCATCATTTACACCTGAACCACTCGGATATTATTATTTCACAAATATTAGGATCCAAAAATGAAAGGGATGCTGAAAAACAGATATGAAAAATTACACTTAATAGCCAGATAGTGACTAGCACTAAATTAATTTAGAAAAAGTTGTAATAAAATCATTACTAATATTTTCATCTTCTTTTTTTACAATTGCAATTACCATAAACGCCTCCACAGACATAACAAAATTAAAATTTACACCTACAAGTCATGTGATCACATCCCTAATTCTTTTCCACCCAAAACTTACATTAAGGACATTGCTTATATTTAGCGCCTTTAACAAACTAAAAGAATTGATCATCTAAGACTTTCTCATTCTTTGCTCTCTATTCATTTTAGATTTTATCCTTATAGGCCTGGCAAGTAAATCCATGATGATATTCAATCTTACATTAAAGACAGTATGATTTCGTGCAAGAAGGACAATTGAATTAGGCATCTGCTGCTACAAATACATATTTGCAATCAGGAGTTGGACACCATGAATACTTAATAATGAGATGATTGATTACTTCATCGCCATGACTTTCAACGTATTATTTGAAAGTATACTATTAAAATTCAATTAGACTTTGATCATCCAACACTTCTGTTAAATCAGAATAGATCATACTCTTCTTACACTCAATTGCAGGACAGCAGAGAGGAAACTGACGTGCTTAAATCTGAGTGACACAGAATTAATTTAAGCACTTCTGATGATAAATGTGAGAACATTGCAAAGTTGCCATTTCAATCAAGGGGATAACTTCTAAACAAATCTTGCATTCAATTTAATTATTTAATTCATCCTCTTATTATTTCCTCTTCTTTCTTATTATCTCTTCCTTTTCAATAGAAGCACTCAACTCCTTCTAGTATTCCGAATCCAATCTGAAGGATACATAAAATATATATACTCTAACTACATTTTTTTAGCAAATTGGAGATTCTTATCTTCTTCATCTTCATATATAAAACTATTCTATATTTATGAATTCTATTATATTTAATTGATTTAAATGATTTCCCTTTTCATTGGTTAGAATTGAGAGTCATCGAATTATTCGATTCTAAATAGCCGAATTGACTTACTTAAGTGTGTTCTATTCGATTTGGTTGCATAACTGGAGGAGCTAAAATAATAGAAATGAATTAAACATTTTGATTTCCATTCAAAACCCTATTATAGAGATTTGAAATCTGTTCTTTTGTGTACACTTGCATATCAATGTATTGCCTTAAGTTATTAATTAAATCTAGGTTCTATCCAAAATTCTGTTTTGGATTCCTTCCTTGTTGAAAAGCCAAGAGATATGTGTCCATGATCATTTCATCAGCCTAGGTTGTTTAGAATAAATACATTTTTGCTTTTTAAGTTGTACTTAATTTCGTTGGTTATAGATTCAATTTCGATCATAAAAATAATATTAAGTTAGATTGTTTAAATAATTCGAATGTTGTATTAAGTGAGTGCCTAGTAAATTCTACTACTGTATTAAATAAATTGTTTTGGATTAATATAGTCATTAACATAAAACAATAAAGAATATTTAATTAATAAAATTAATGAGCAATTTCATACCTGAGACGAAGACTTTCGGCAAATTTGACCCGCTCTTTACCAATAAGTACGATAAGGTGGGCCCAGAATTCGGAGAAATTCAATAATGTATGAGTGCTCATAGATATTTATAGTGAAGAGTGATTTCTTGGCTGCCAATGTTGGAAAGCTTGAAGTACAACCAGAGATTCCTCAAAATATTGAGGGATTGGTATTGAGGACGGCCAGGACATGTAAGAGTGTTGATTGATATGCAAAGAGAGAACTCCAGCAACAATGGCTTGGTTTAGAAGGACTACCTCATTTGAGAGAAATGGAATATTCAATATTCACACTCCAGTCATGAATACTAGAATATTGCCATGGGTTTTCTTCATTTTCATTGCTTATGGTTGGTAAGGATACTAGATTTCCTCTTGGAATTCTGTAGTCAAGAAGGATTCAAATGAGCCGTAAGAAATGTGAATTATCGAATAGTCGTAACACTCCATATGATAAATTATCGTTGAGAGAATTACCACCTGCTAAGAATTGGGCTAGACCAGGATGAGTAGATTGCACGAATAATATATATATAAAATAAATCAAAACATTAATTTCCCGAATTCTAGTCGATCTATAAAACTATTATGTGCGTATTAAAAGGTTCAAATAAATAGAATTAAATTAAATAATAATTTGATGATATTATTTGTTGTATTTCTCACCCAGTTTGTTTAAGGATGTAATTTTCGTTGTTAAAGTTGTGATCCTTAAGATACCGAGAAATGTTTGAGTTGTCCACCAACTCGAAAATTAGTTAATAATGAATGCATTTGTGAATAACATTTTCAAGAATTGCAAAGCAATCTGAAAAGCAAGGGTTGCTTTAAATGCAATTAGAATTGCATAACATGCAGCTATGAGAATCCCAATAAATGCTTGAGCTGCGATGAGGCAAACTCAAATAGAATTATTTTATTTGAAAGATGCGAATGTTCAGAGGGTTATTATGAATCCAAATCTTAATACAATTGTATTAAGAATACGGATAAGAATTTATTTGATTTTACATTTAAGATATCTAAAAATGGTAATCCTTAAAAGGAGTAATTATAGAAAATTAAATAAAGCGATAGTTCATCGAATGCTCTTTTAGTAGAAATAATAGATAATTCGTATATTTTTGATCCAACCAAAAAAGACACGCAAACTAAAATATCGATTTCACAATTGATCAAGGGTCAATCTTAAATAATATCAGGCAAAGGGACCTTGGATGGGGAATATTTTCCATATGTTCATCAGAACCTGTTTATTTTGGCTGTGAAACAGTACACTTACCCTCAAAGTTTGACATGGTATACTAATTTTGATTAATTTACATCTTAACCGTTTCAAAGATTAGTCAATGGTAGAAAATATTAATTTATCATCTTCTAAAGTGTAAAGGACAATGACAACTTACTTATTTATATAGTGTTCACAGATGGTCTGCCAATCGTGAGGAATAGAAGAATCTTGGAATCTATGAGGTTCTTAGAAGAGAATATCTTATACATGCAATATTTTGGTCTGATGATTTATAAATCAGATTCAATATTAGGTTTACCAGATCTCAATAGAATAATAAATAATTATGTTGCTTTATTGGAGGTTTGTTCTGATTGTGAAGATTGCGAATTCGATAATGAGGGGAATGCAAAATGTAATAAATGTATGAACGATTTCTCATATAATGAATCACTCAAAAAATGTGAATGCTAATACCCTCTAGATGCTAATGGGAACTGCTTTAAGAAGTGCAGGAATACCAATTGTTAAGGTTGTGTTGACAATGTCTGCATTAAATGTTCAGACATAACATAGAACACCTGTGTAGAATGTGATCATGGCTACTATTCTGATGGTGAATTTTGCACCTAATGTGATACAAAGTGCAAAACCTGCTCTTCTGCTACTGTTTGTATTGATTGTGCAAAAACCTATTACATGGAGAATTCAATATGTGTTGAATGTCAATCCCCTTGTAAAGATTGTTTATCACTCTCACAATGCAATTCTTGTGTAAGTGGATATTATCTATCAGGCAACACGTGTGATTTATGTTCATCCTCAATGAGCAAGTGTATTTAGTGTGACACTTAAACGAAATGCAGCTAATGTGAACCAGGTTATTATCTAGATACATCTTCATTTAAATGTCTTTAATGTGCATTAAAATGTAAAAGATGCACATCTTTTTCGTATTGCACTTAGTGCTAGGATGGTAATTATTTAGAGGAAACTATAATTGGTGTGTAAGCAACTTGTAATTCCTGTCCCTAAAAAAATTGCACAAAATGCAAAAATTCAAGTTAGTGCACATCTTGTGTAGTTGGATATTTTGAATAGAATTACACATGTTTGAAATGTGATTCGAACTGCAAAACCTGTTATGAAAAAGAAGATGAATGTTACTCTTGTTAATCTGGTAAAGTGTTGGTTGGCAAGACTTGTGTAGTGTGCAAGTCTCCTTGTTTAACTTGTGATGTCACAGAGGAGACATACACCAGTTGCATAGACGATACCAATTATTTAGATGACCTTAATAAGTGCAATAAATGTGAAGCACCATGTAAGACATGCACATCCAAAGAACATTGCTTAAGTTGTCTAGATGGATATGAATTCGATGAACTTAATAAAAGATGCATCTTTATGGATCCTACAACAGTGAATCCCACAACATGTATAAGTGGATATGCAAAAACAATGACTTCGTGTTTAGCATGTCCTTAAGAATGCGAGTAGAATTGCACAATTGTAAGTGGAACACCACTATGTAATCAATGTAGTGTTGGCTACTATATTTCGAGTTCATCTGTTTGTTAGGCATGCCAGTCTCCTTGTCATAGTTGTTATGATTCAACTTAGTGCAAGGAGTGCTTGCCGTATTATTATTTGAATAACGCAAAATGTTATATGTGTAAGTAAGTGAATTGCATCTAATGCAGTGAAAATAACTGTTTGGCTTGCGATAAAGGATATAAGTTAGTAAATAATTTGTGTGTAGCTTGTTCAGCATCAGAGACATGTTGTCAGAAAGGACAGTATGGTTTAAATTGTAATCAATGCAATAGTGCATGTACAGATTGTTTTGGACCTAATGATAACCAGTGCTTTGAATGCCAAAAGGGGTATTATTTCAATGATTTAACTAAACAATGTAAGAAATGTAAGCATCCTTCTTGTTTAGAATGCACAGATTATAGTACTTGTATAAAATGTGCGGATACTTCATATCTCAGTGGGCATTAATGTGTGAATTGTTCATATCCATGCAAATCTTGTACTTCGTCTTCATGTTCCTCTTGTGTTGATGGGTATTACATGGATTTGGATAATTCATGCTAAATTTGTTCTGCTGAGTGTAATACTTGCAACAACGTTAGTTCCTATTGCACATCTTGCAAGGCGGGCTATTACTTATTCAACAATGCATGTTATCAATGTGATGCTAATTGCATAGAATGTACTTCATTTAATGAATGTACCAAATGCAAATCTCAATACACTGCAACTATTGAGAAGAAATGCTAATTGAATAACTGCACGAATTCGCAATGCACTCTATGCTATTCTCAGAATACTTGCGCAAGTTGTGCAATTACTTCATATGTTTCTAATAATACTTGCTAATTATGTGATGATAATTGCAAATCTTGCGACAACAATGCATATACATGTACATCCTGTGAGAATGGTAAGTACTTGGATACATCCACTCAGACTTGCAAATAATGTGCTTTACAATGCTTGACCTGTCAAGTATCAAGCACTAACTGTATAACCTGTCAAACCGATTATTTCAAAGTAAATAATGATTGTTAGAAATGCAGTATCCTTTGCAAAACATGTGAATCTGCACCTAATAATTGCACAAGTTGTACAAGTGATAAATATCTTTCTGGTGCAGAGTGTCTTCTCTGCTCTCTCGTAAAGGTTGGATGTAAAAGCTGTACCAATTCTAATATCTGCACTAGTTGCGTCGAAGGATATTATTTCACAAATAACCAGTGTATAAAATGCTCACCAGAATGCTCAGCTTGTACATCAGCTACAATCTGTACTTCATGTGCAGCAAATGCTTATAAGTATAACAACACAACTTGCAAATTATGTCCAAGCAGTTGCACCTCCTGTACATATGATGGCACTAAAATTAGTTGTTAATCCTGTGTGGAAAGGTACTTTAAGTCTTAAGACCAATGTCTTCCATGCAAACCGCAATGTCTTAGTTGCGAAGGTAATGAAAATAACTGCACTTCTTGTTCGAACAATGATGGCATCAATACGAATCAACCATGTTAAATATGTGAACCATCCAATTGTAAGGAATGTTCCAAATCAAACAATAAAATCTGTGTAAAATGCATGCCAAATTACGAATACAAGTCGAATCAGTGTGTACTATGCACTGATAATTGTAAATGTAACAATGGATATTATTATGATTGGGATCTATAAAAATGTATGGTTTGTGATTCAACTTGCAATAACTGTAAGTATAGTCCTACTAACTGCACAGGATGCACTTCATCATAGTATTTAATAGACAACAAGTGTGTCAATTGCTCAAACCCTTGTCAATCTTGCATCAATACTACTTAATGTACAAGTTGCATTACAGGATATTTCTTAGTCAACCATCAATGTGTATCTTGTTCGCCGCCTTGCCTGTTTTGTGATAATAACTATTGCAAATCCTGTTAAGATGGATACTTCTTAGATTCCTCTTCTGAGTGTTAATCTTGTAGATATCCTTGTGGCACTTGTTCATCCCTCACAATCTGTCATTCGTGTATTTCATCTCGTTATTTCTTAAAAGAGAATCAATGTTAAAATTGCGATTCGCTCTGTACGGAATGTGATGAGATTGGATGCACTAAATGCAATGCAGGATATTATCTTAAAGACAGCACTTGTATAAGATGCTCTGACAACTGCATAGAATGCAATGAAGAAAAGTGTATTAAATGCAACTCACCCTATGTACCTGAATAGAACATTTGTGTTAGTTGCTAGCCTCATTGTAAGTTTTGCAACAGTCAACAGTGTCTATACTGTCAGGAAGATAACTATTTAAAAGATGGAGAATGTCATCCATGTTAATCAAACTGCACTTCATGTACAGAAACTTAATGTTTATAATGCAAATCCAAATTTTACATCTAAAATTCAACCTGCATCTCCTGCAAACCCAATTGCTAATATTGCGATTCATAAACCTGTCAATAATGTGATGATGGGTACTATCCTGTACAAAAAGAATGTCATAAATGTACAGACAATTGTTTATAATGTACATAAGACCTTTGTTTGGTTTGTTAGGATGGTTATTATTATTCTATGGGGAGATCTTGCAATAAATGCCAAACACCTTGTCTCAATTGCTTTGCAGTTGACTAGTGTTCCACCTGCGTGTAATCATACTACTTAAATTCTGATCATAAATGTATGAAGTGTCAAGAAGGATGTCAACAATGTACCAGTGGGTAAGATTGTACACTCTGTGGGTAAGGTTATTACCTAGAAATTACTCCCATTAATAAGTGTACAAAATGTAATGTACTTAATTGCAACAGTTGTCAACATTAAGATTAATGCAATTCCTGCTTAGATGGGTACTTTTTAAAGGACAATCAATGTGAACAGTGTTCATCTGGATGTCTTAAATGCATTATCTCTAATGATCCTGATATTGGACTATCAACTTGTTTGGAATGCGATTAAAATGTTGCTAATTTTGATCGCTTAGAAAATGGAAGATGCATTCTATTTAGCATTTGCAATCAAATACAAATGTTTGAAAATGAAGAAGGAGTTTGTGAATATTGCATTGATAATTGCATATAATGCTCGTCTAAAAATTCCTGCGATATGTGCACTTTATAATATTCGTATAATTCTGATTCACAAACTTGCGAATAAGTCATTGGTGACCCTACAACACCTGAAATACCAATTATTGCAACCATAATTCCATCTACATCCATATTCTTTGTAGCAACTTATTTTTGGTGGAAGAAAAAAGTAAATCCCATTAATCAAATTTTGGAAATAATATATTAAGATCAATAACAATGAAGAGAATGACACTCTAATTTAAATATTTATATATATATCACTATTTCTTTTTCTCCTTTTCTATCATGTAATGTTTCACGAAGGCTTTTACTAATTTCCCATATTGCTCTTTGTTCTCCTCGAATATTTTGGCCAACCCCTTCATAGTTGGAGATTTCGGATTTGGATTATACAAAAAACCTTCCATTCCCTTCAATATTTCTACACATGTAGTAGCTGGCGTGTAACCTATTTTATTGTTCAAGATATCAATGCAAGTTGCTCCGTTTTCAAATACATTCATATGTTAAAACTATCCTCCATGCAATTACCAATAATATTAAGGTGGCTCACTTGGATACGATTTAGGAAAATTTAGAAATCCTGGGAATTCACCTCCTTCCCAAATTGTACCTTCCTTGCCATAGATGGTGACTATCCATTTCTTATAATTTATTGAATTGTTTTGTTTATCGACTTCGACTGACATATTTTCCAAAACTCCTTCATCAATGGCATTTAGAACTGCATTGAACTCTATTTCCAACCTATTATTTACAAGGTCAATCATTTTTGTATTAATATTAAAATTACTATACCAATCAACCAAAATGAAATTTAAGAAATTATATTCTACTAATCTTAATAGAAATTGGTAATAAATCTCAAAATTCAGATTTTATTTTCATGAGTTGAATTAATCTTCTTATCACCTGAATATTTACAATCTTTCTAATAGAAATATAACATAAATTCAACATTATCATAATTAATATATATTTAAGATTAGTATCTTATACTTCTTCTTATGCTTATATATAATTATATATATCTAAATATATTCCACACTCAGATTAATCCATAATAATTGTATATTAGAACACATTTACTTTTTATGCCATATTACTTTCACACAATTCAAATATAGTATGAATTAATCTATTTAATTCTTTATTATTAACTGTTTTAAATAATTTCAAAATAACACATGAAATCAGGCAGCTCATGGTTAAATGCTGTATAATTGAATCCACTTGACTTTGCTGAAATCGATTACTTGGATCCCGCTTTAAAGGATGGACACAAAGTCCTATATGATCGCATTTTAAACATCAATATTCGATTCTAAGATCGGTTCTCAGAAGTCTAGGAACTTAGTTAACCAGAACCTATCCGTCTACGAGTCCTATAACTAGTAACGATATTGTTTAATTAAGGGGAATTGATAGTAATCCATAATCAATTAAAATTGAAATTAGTTCAGAGAAGGATTTGTTCTTTTTATTTCATCACGAAGCCACAGTTAATGGTTTCACTCAAATTAAAGCATTACAGAACTTGCAAATGCCTTTTAAGGATTATGCTCAAATTACAATAGCTACTTTAAATAAGGTCGAATAAAATTATAATGGGTATTAGTATGATCTAGATGTCTTTAGATATGGAGCCATTTTCTAAGTTATGTTGGATGGGTCAGCCAGATTAGAAATTAATTAGACAACAGAATTCAGAAGTGTGCACATGATTCACTTCGACTTTCATTAAGTTGAGGAGTCCTTCCTTAGGTAAACCATTGTATTCAAATACAATCAACAACGAAAAGAAATCAAGTATCTTACTCAATCACTAAACGAATGCCGAATGAGGGCCACTGGAACATTCAAATGATTTAAAATTTTTATATACGTGGTCATACAATATCAATTTTAAAACTTATCATTGACTTGTTACTTTACTTTCTCTTGGACCTTCTAGAAACCTTTGTCAATTTTTTCATGATGTTTCAAATAAAGGGGATGAACAAACTAGAATGAATAAACTACGTCACAGTACCTAATCATACAATTTCTCAGCTCCTTTAACTTATGGGTGGAATAAAGCAACAAAGAGTGCTAACTTCAAGATGTGGTAAAAGGGTATGAACTCCAATGCAAATCCAATTGATGCATCTGCCAAAGTGATGATTGAAAATAGAATCCAATAGGTTAACCATTGCTTGTCATCATTTTCACCTACATAATGGAGAATAACATACCTGAAGACTCAATGGCTTGAATGCTTCTATAGGCTGGATAGATGATGGAAATGAATGTTGAGAGAAAACGTGCTGCAATTCCAAACAAAATGCTAAAGAGAGCAACAGAACCAGCGATGAAAACCACATGAGCAGGTCGAACTCCGATTTTGCTGCATGGTCCTTTGAGTATTTCCATCTAATCTGTATTATCAAGTCCGAATTTTGTGATTAATGGGTCAAGCTTTGATAACACTATGTTCATTATTTTATTAAATTAAAAATTATTAAAATTTCCAAATTCATGTTCATTCGCTTTCAACTGACCATCTTGCAATTCTATCCAAATTATCATTCAATAATTTTTATGCCTCTTAGACTCTATCCAATATAAACTATCTACTCAAATGATATAATTATTCACCTCTAGTCATTTCTGTCTTACAATGTCTCTCCTACTTCACGAACTGCCAATTTCTTAGAATTCAATTCATATTCCCTTTATTCAAAGTGAGCTTCCAATTCTTCATATGATCTAGTACTTTAAGCCAATGAACTTAAAAATATAATATAATTACAGTACCTTCTGATTTCTCCACTCAACTTATTGTATAATCTAATATTTTCTTGTTCCTTCTCTTCATCAATAGCTAAACTGTTTAAGACTGCATCTCTCAATCTATTCAATAATTCTTAAATGTGTTCAACCTACTCAGTTTGTAAATGGGCTGTAATCTATTAATATATAGGTAATCATAAATTACTTAAGCCAAGACTTCAACATGCTTTCCTCTTCCTAAAGCCTTGATTTCATCCAATAAGTTGTCTTTCTCAATCAAACTATGTCCTCCTTATTGTAATTCACTAACACGTACTAACAATTATCCTATGACATCCAAAATAGCATTTTGATCACCAACTCTCTTTTAATATGCTAGTTGATCATTTGCAAATAACCCATCAATGATGGTTTATTATTTATTCAACACTTGAATTCTACTTGCTGCTTACTCTACTGAGACTCTTAACTCTTCAACTTCAGTTGCCAAACCAGAAAATGAAGCTTCCATTTCCTGTTATTTTTCATTGAAAAATTTCTCATCTTCTGATTCATCATCTGCCAAATGCTTTCTCAACTCTTCAACGTGATCATTTAGACTCTATAATGTTTCACCCTTCTAAACCATCATCAATAACTCTCCAAATAATCTACCTCCGAATTCACTTTATTTCGACTGTTTCCTTGTAAACCAAAACTCATTACGTAAGTTTTAAACACTTCACTGAATGCACTATGATCTGCTGTCTGTAACATCACATTGCTGCTGGCTGTCACCAACATTACACATAACAATCCAAATCCAATTCTATTCATACCCGTTTTTTATATAATTAATAAAAAATCATAAAAATTTACAATCATCTCCAACACATGGTACCATCTTCACAAATTTTAATCCATTCTTTTATTTGTTGTCCCCCATGCCTCGATTCCTCTACTTAGTAGAATTGAAGGTCATGATATGTTTAAATTGATCATATTTAATCAATCCCAAATTCAATTCCTAAAATATCCCATTTATCTTCTCCTGACTAATCACTACTCCTCTCCTGCTCATTGAAATCCCGTAATCATGTTTCGATATATATTGTCTATGCTTAATATCATACCAAATGAATAGATCGTCCAATCTATCTTAAGTTAAATAATGTGGTTGGTTCAGTAGAGCAGCCATAAAATCTGTATATGAAATGTAGAACCCTTAATCATCTTTACTAAACTTCTCGATCGGTAATTACTTTAATAATTTACTCTTGCCTTGTTACTCCAAATATTCCTGAAATTCAATTTCGTTAATAGTTCCACTATTATCCCTGTCCAATTCTTCAAACTTCATTTTCAAGTACTTCTATTACAAATCGGTTAGTTGTGATAATAGAATTTTCAATGCCTCCTTCTTAAATTAAGTACTCTCACTATATTGTCTCAACAATTCAATAATTCTCTCTATCTCTAAACTATTATCTTCACTTTGCATTGTTGTCAAAAGTCTGTACTGATTCTAATCACGTATCATCCACTGATGTTTGAGTGCTTATAAACATGTTATTCTCTTATTTGGATTAGGTTCCAATAATTTAGTAATTAGATCCTAGCACTCTGCAGAAATACTTAATCTGAAGCTGAGATTAGGTTTATTTATTTATTATTCCAATTAATGGATATTCTATCCACTAAATGGTGGCTCTCCGAATAGTAGTACATACATAATGCAACCTAAAGACCATTCATCACATGTTTCTGAGTACACTCCCTTTAACACTTCTGGAGCCACATAAATTGGAGTTCCAACTTTGGTTTAATGTCTGCACTTGGATCTCTGTTGTTATGGCTTTTTTATAACCTGTTCACGCTTACTCAATCCAAAGTCAATTATTCTTATATCAAAATCTCCATCAGCATTTGCCAGCATCAAATTCTCAGGCTTTAAGTCTCTGTGAATTATTCCTCTCTCATGGAGATACCCCACAGCAGAAAACAATTACCTCATGATTATTTACGTCATTCTTTCAGTCTAGGCTCCATGTTTTAAGATCTATTACAAAAGTTCTCCACCCCTACAGTACTCCATCACAAAGTAAAAGTGATTTAAATCTTCATATTCCTCGAACACTCTAATTATGTTTGGATGGTCAAGTCTTGATAAGATCTCCAACTCCCTTTGGATCTACTCAAAACCTATCCTCTGCTTATCGATGCATTTTATCGCATAGCACTTTCCCTTGAATCCATTCTTCTCCTAATCGATCTTATAACCAATTTAAACTGTTGCAAAATTGCCACGACCGATTACCTAACCCATTTTGTAAAAATGACGAATGTCTTGCTAACTGAATTACCTAATTTCGGAATTCTTTTAGACCCTCTGACGAACATTCGAACTACACACACCCATTTATTTGTATTAAAAATATAATAAAAAGTTTATTCTCCACTTTAGAAAATGAAATCATATTGAAATTTATATCAATGATTCGATACATGACATCGAAACTAATATTTCCATAAATTTGTATTTATACAAGACTCAGCCATTCATCCAATTTATACATTTAAATATGAATTCTTTTGACTGCAATTTAATATCCTATAATATTTAATATTTATAAACATACTATAATTAAATTACTTAACTAAATCGAATAAATTTGCTGAAATCTATTTTAAGAGACCTAAAAGTTTTCAAATCTTGTTCCAGTTTTGTTTAGTTAATATTGACTTTTAATTTTAATTCAAAATAAATTTTTAAATAAAAATTAATCACAGTTTCCTTACAATGATCAACAACTTGCAATATTTTATTATTGTCTAAATGGAAGAAATCTGAAATTGATATTGATCTAATATTATATACTTTGATTGAATGAAATCAAAGGATTTTGAAGTGATTATATTAATAATATGTATATTTTATTAAATTTTTTTTTCCAGAATATTTATATAAATTCTTTGTGCCTAAAAATTCGTAAGCAGAGAGAACTTATTAACACCAAGAATAATGATTTATGAAGTTGCAGTTTCTAATATAATAGAATCTATTAACTACATATTAGGTGAAAAAAAATAATATTATTAATTTTAGTATAAATATTATCATTTTCTTAATTAATTTAACAAAATCATTAACATTTTATATCAAATTGCATTTTTTATTAAAATTTCACACATAACTCAAAGTTCTTTAAATGTAGTTTTTATTTATAATCCTTTTATAAAATGAAAGTCTTGAAAAAGTTAGATATTTTAAAATTATTTTCTGTTTGAGACAATATTTATATATGATAGATGAATCTAAATATATATTATTGTATTTAATTTTATTATAAAAAAAATAATTTTTCTTGTGTATGGATAAGAAATGATCCGAAAGTGGTTTGATTTAATAGAAATTTCAAAGGGTGATTAGTGCATAATAAATTTGATGAGGAATGTATTGATAGTCCTTCAGGAATTTGTCTACGATACCTGATAATGACAATAAGTATCAAATCAACATAGCTAAGTTGTCGAATGAAAAAACAAATAATATAGAGCTATACTGTGCACAGAAACACTAAAATAGGAGAGGCAATCCAATATTATATTAAAATAAATTCAGAACACAGTTAATTAAAGCAGGAGACAAATAAAACCGATTCGATTTAGGAATCAATAAACCACTAGAACTGAGACTAGCTTTGAAAGATCATACAATATATGTCCTTAACATTCTATTTATCTCAAAAATAGCAAATCTGATAGAACAAGTTCTGTGATCGGAGCAATTAAACAGAGTAATCGAATTCGGAATTGAATTTCTAAAAGAAAAGCGCTATTCCTAAACCTGATAATAAACGATATAATCTATTTTTCTTAAACTAGACATTCTCAATAAAATGAATTTATTAAATATGAAAATTATATGTTGCTATAATCATAGAGGGTGGTCACAATATCCTTGTGGCAGCCTGCTATCTGAAATATAAAAACATCTTGCTTTTCGAAAGAAGGTTCATTACAGGTAGTACTGCTTATTCTGAAGAAATTTACTCAAGAATAAATTGAGTCGCTTCTTATATTTACTCCCGTTGATGCATCCTGCAGTCCCACAAAATGTAGGTATATAATTTGATGAATCACACGTGATTCACTTATTGTGACTGTACTATTTTGAGTTATCTAATCATATAATAAATTAAAAACTTTTAAATTTCTACCATGTATGAGGTGGCAATTATTTTCAATGAAAGAATATCACAAGATTTACTTAAATCCATTAGCAAATTGCTAAATGACCTAGGATTTACATTGACTGTGATCACTCAAAACACATCAATAGTCATGATGCTTTATTTAAGAAATGTAACACAATATCAATAAATTAGAATGATCTACTTTTATAGACTCTCTCAGATCTGCATGTTGAATTACCTAAATATTCCAAGAAATCCCATTAGGGATCTTTAATTGCGTAAAATAGAAAGAAATTTGAAAAGTATCGTCTATTCATTCGAATACGAGAATTCCTAGATCATAACATTAAAGAAATTGAATAGTATTCGAAATTCAAGCACGATTAAAAGGAAAAGTTCTACAACTCCAACAATAAATTGGAGATTGATTCTTATCTTAGAGAAATAGTTATTTATTAGATTTTAGCTACAATAAAGAATACTGCTGAAATCAATCCAGATAGCAGTGGAGAGTAATTTCTATTCGTTGGCTTAAAATAGTAAGGACTGTTATTAGATATTTGTCCAATGAGAACATTTAGACATAGCACTTATAAGGAATTAAAATAATGTTTGTCATTGAATGTTAATGTGTTAGATTATTTAGTTGTGAGAATCAGATCATAGATGGGTGAGCAAATTGCATTTTATTTTGGTTTTCTTCTTTATCTAATCAAGAACATGTTGATATTGGTTGTTTTTGGTATGATCACATATTCTTTGGATGAATATTTTGGTTATGATGTTACCAAATCCCCATTTGAACCTTTGTATGCTGCTTTAACGGTGTTGTGGGCTGCATACTTTGTAAGTTAATGGAACTAGAAATAAAAAGAATATCAAGTAAAATGGAGAAGTCAGGGTAAGAACTATGATTATATGTCATCTAAAATTGAGCTGTCGTTATTAAAATGTCTTAAACATAAAAAACATTTTGCTATCTAAGAATCAGTCAAGAAAATTATATATTCGAATGAAGTGGACCCTGTAACTGGATTGAAGGTCTAAATAAAGTAAAACATCTTATCAATATATTTCAACTCCATTATTCGGATTATTGGGTATGTGATTGCTTTGGTTGTATTCCTTATAGTTTCTTTGAATATGAGAGGGTATGTAGATTCAAAATAATAATTCTATATTGAATAGATTTAGATTCCTTATTGCAAGAATATTTATGTATCATACTTACTAGCTATTATCCATGTGGTAGTGGTCAATTACTTAAATAGTAAGTACAAATAAGTGTCCATTACTACCTCATTATCTGAAGATCACAAGTGTCTATAAACCTTTGAGAGATCTCTCATCATAAAAAGATTTACATTTGAGATATTTTCTGCCTTTTTCGATTTCTTCTATATAGGATTCGTGAATGATGATATCAATTAATTGAAACAAGAGATGATTCAAATGTTTATGGTGGATGAATTAAGAAGAATATTGACTGAAACCATCCTACCTTCCATTTCCAAATTAAGATTGATTAGATATGAAAAATCTATCGTAAAATAATTGCCAGAATAACAACAAGATACAATATGCTAAGAATTTCAATTGAAAAATCATGAGATGCAATAAGTTCTGTAGAGTCAATTAATCTCATGCTTTCTACCAAAGTATGAATCATTTGATGATTATTTGGAAATTATTCTTAATTTTGGTTATGTATGCTTTTTCACATCAGCTGTTAGAATGGCTGGAATTGTAGTTACAACATTTTTGTTTATTGAATTCTTTTCAGATTATTATAAGATCTACCATCTTTATTAGAAACCTTTCGCAGTTAAATCTAATTCTATTGGTCCCTGGACCAAAGCTATGGATATTATATGTGTTGTGAGTGTCTTTACAAATCTGATGTTGTTTTCTGTGGCAAGTGATTAAATTGTCAAATTCTTTCCTAATTTATTTGAAGAAACAAACACTCAACCCCAAATAACCTAATCTCAGTATGATGAAATAGAGGATAATGAAATTAAAATCATGGTTACATCCTGTGGATTATTAACTGCAAGACCACTTCCAAATAAGTCATCCTAAGCCACTTTAGTAGTTATATTACTAGAACACATTTTGTTAATTTTGATATACCTCATTAAGAAAGTCATAAGTCTTCGTTAAACATGGGTTGACATCTATTTGAAAAGATAAGAATACAAAAGATCTTTAAAAGAATGATATTAAATTATAATTTAAATAAATTATATTCTATTTACCTTTAATATATTATATCGCAAAATTACAATCACGCACAAAATTACAATCATTTAATAATTAATGGGATAAGGATCTTCTTGCAGAAACCAAATCATTATAGTTTCTAATTTTAATCATCGAGATTCAGAAGAAGAATAAGAATAAGAATAAGAAGAAGAAGATAATCAAAATCAAACACCTCCACATGAGGATTCTGATGAGGGTGATAATTATTTTATATAATCTTTAAATCAATTTGAGCAATATCAAAGGTAATAACAAGAGGCGTAACAAAGAGAAAGAGAAGAAATTCTTTGGAAACATGTTAAACTACTAGAATTTTTAATGTAAGCCTAATAGGAACAAATTATTTTGAATCGTTTTTTAGAAGAACTTTAAATGGAGGACAACGAAGATGAGGATCAATTAGAAATTAATATATCATTATTTTATAAGCAAAAACATGGACAACCAATTAATTATCCTTGTAAGCATGCTCAATGTCTTACAGTAGCTACTCTGAATTGCCATGGAAAAGTCAATTGCAAAAATGACTGCCCATCATTTGCTATAAAGGATGCTTTATTTGACATCTCAAAGAATTAGATATTCTCCAAATATGATCATAATAAGTTTGGGAATTATGTTTCTATTTAATAACGGATGGAAATGGCTTAGATATTAACTGATTCTTTGTAAAGATCAAAAATGAATGACAGCTAATAAAATGAATTTTGCAAAAACTTTTCAAAAGTACTATGTTTGGAATTTATGAACTAAAAGAAATGAGCAAGAAAGATGATGAAAATAAACGCAATTTATAAAATAGATATATTTAATTATCACTTTTATTATTAAGAAATTATATTCTATTTAATTATAATATGATTTACAAACCATAATATCTTCTAAATTTCATCATTTATAATTCCCTTTAATATGAATTCAAATTTATTAAATAACCATTCAATAGTACAAGGAACGTATGTGCATCCATAAAGGCAACTTAAATATTTAAATAATAATTGTCAATTGGAAGTTGATTAACAACAAGCTAAATTGTATAATATAAATAATAAATTTAAAGAAAATTTTCATTTGAGGAATAAAATAAAGAAGATTAATTTTCAGAAAAAGATGATAATTATCAGTAAAAAATTTGTAAAAAAGAAGAAAATTAATAAAATATGGATAATTAAAAGAAAAATAAATAAATAAATAATAAAGACTTGTAAATTGCAAAAATTAATATAAAAGATGAATAAAATAATTAAAATTAAAAAAAAGCTATTGAACATTAGAACTAAATCCATATTGAAATTCCTAAATGTAAAATTTCATTAATTTATAGAAAATAATTAATAAGTTAAAACACAATAGAATAATACGAAAGAACAAGAATAAAGCATAAATAAATATAATTAAGAGGTTAAATAGTAGAATAAAATTGATATTGAAATTCCTAAATGTAAAATTCCATTAATTTATAGAAAATAATTAATAAGTTAAAACACAATAGAATAATACGAAAGAACAGGAATAAAGCATAAATAAATATAATTAAGAGGTTAAATAGTAGAATAAAATTGATATTGAAATTCCTAAATGTAAAATTCCATTAATTTATAGAAAATAATTAATAAGTTAAAACACAATAGAATAATACGAAAGAACAGGAATAAAGCATAAATAAATATAATTAAGAGGTTAAATAGTAGAATAAAATTGATATTGAAATTCCTAAATGTAAAATTCCATTAATTTATAGAAAATAATTAATAAGTTAAAACACAATAGAATAATACGAAAGAACAGGAATAAAGCATAAATAAATATAATTAAGAGGTTAAATAGTAGAATAAAATTGATATTGAAATTCCTAAATGTAAAATTCCATTAATTTATAGAAAATAATTAATAAGTTAAAACACAATAGAATAATACGAAAGAACAGGAATAAAGCATAAATAAATATAATTAAGAGGTTAAATAGTAGAATAAAATTGATATTGAAATTCCTAAATGTAAAATTCCATTAATTTATAGAAAATAATTAATAAGTTAAAACACAATAGAATAATACGAAAGAACAGGAATAAAGCATAAATAAATATAATTAAGAGGTTAAATAGTAGAATAAAATTGATATTGAAATTCCTAAATGTAAAATTCCATTAATTTATAGAAAATAATTAATAAGTTAAAACACAATAGAATAATACGAAAGAACAGGAATAAAGCATAAATAAATATAATTAAGAGGTTAAATAGTAGAATAAAATTGATATTGAAATTCCTAAATGTAAAATTCCATTAATTAATAGAAAATAATTAATAAGTTAAAACACAATAGAATAATACTAAAGAGCAGGATTAAAGCACAAATAAATAAAATTAAGAAGTGAAATAATAGAATAAAATTGATATTGAAATTCCTAAATGTAAAATTCCATTAATTTATAGAAAATAATTAATAAGTTAAAACACAATAGAATAATACGAAAGAACAAGAATAAAGCATAAATAAATATATTTAAGAGGTTAAATAGTAGAATAAAATTGATATTGAAATTCCTAAATGTAAAATTCCGTAATTTTATAGAAAATAATTAACCAATTAAACCACAATAAAATAATACTAAAGAACAGGAATAAGCACAAAATAATAGAGATAAGAAGTTAAATAGTAAAACTAACTCCATATTGAAATACCTATGTGTAAAATAGTATTATAACATAGAGTAAATTTAATCAGTTTTAGACTAAGACCATACAACAAATAAATTTATCAAATCAGCATTTTTTTATTAAATCGAAAAATAAGAACAATTTAATTAAATATAAACAAACTAAGAATTTATTTAAAGATCATTAAATACATATGTATACCCATAAAATATATAATATTAATAGCCTACATAAGCTAAAATTTTACATACGCCTGAAGATATAAAATTACCTTAACTCCAACCTTAACAATAAGATAAATAATAATAACCATAGTAATCCCTTAAAAAATATTAAGCATTACCAGCAATATATCCTAATCCAACTTATTTAAAAATATCTTAAAATTGCATCTTGATCTATAATAAAGTATTTCAGAAATAAGTAGGCAGCTTAAATTAAAATAAGGACCCTTGCAAACACTTAAAGTGCCAAACTCTAGCATATTTAGATGCAAGCGGGAATGTGATTTGTCAGTCTAAGTGTTAATGGTTTCATATTACTGAAGCTATGTTTGATAACTCAAATTATGTATTTTAGCGAGGTGAATGCAATGGACAATTTAATTAATTAAGAAGCACAATTTTGATGGCGAAGTTCGTGAATGATTCTTTAGAAATGGCTAATATGAATGACTAACAAAAAGAGTAGTTTGCCTTATAATTTTAACAAGTATTTGTTAGATTATTCCAATTTAATGATAATAAAGCTTGAAAAATAGGAATAATTGAGAATAGCAATAAACATTTATTGTACTATATTGAATTTAATATTGAGTATTATAAAAATAAAAAAATGTTAAAAAACGATCTTTTGATTGAAGGAATCACTATATTGATAGTGAGCTTGATATTTTTGATGGTTGGTATGGTTTGGAATAGAGGTAAAGGAGACTGTGGGAGAATGGGAAAGAATGCAAGATAGAGATAAGAAAAATGTTAGTTTTCGGATATTTTGACTGATTCAGAATTCAACACTTTATTAGATGAAACCAATTATATTGAATGATGCATGACCTTATAATGATAGATGATCATCAAAATTTAAAGAGTTGTCTTACAAGCATGATTCCTTATTTGAATGCTTGTTATGATGGTTCATAATCTAATTTGCTCATCACATAATCACTAACAATTGCAGGGTCTTTTGAATTAGGTCTTCCTATTCCAATTTTTAATCTAATGAATTTATCATCCATATATTAGATAATGGATTTCAACCCATTATGCCCTTCTGCACTTCCTCCTTATTTGATCTTACATCTTCCTGGTAAATTGTCTAGGTCATCATGAACAATAATAATATTGCTAGTTTGAATATTAGCTTTATCCGCTATTTTTTTTATTGCATGACCACTAAAATTCATGAATGAGAGGGGATTAAAAACGATTATGTGTTGAAATGATCCAATAGATCCATTTGAACCATAACTCAATTTTATGCCGAACTCTTTAGCAATATGCTTAACAAATTATTGTCCAGCATTATGTCTCGTATTTTCATAAATTTTCCCAGGATTACCCAATCCAACAATTAAATGAGTCCCATTCGGTACCCTTTAGACAGAGAAGGCATATCGAATTTTAAGTAGGAGATANTATAATATTAATAGCCTACATAAGCTAAAATTTTACATACGCCTGAAGATATAAAATTACCTTAACTCCAACCTTAACAATAAGATAAATAATAATAACCATAGTAATCCCTTAAAAAATATTAAGCATTACCAGCAATATATCCTAATCCAACTTATTTAAAAATATCTTAAAATTGCATCTTGATCTATAATAAAGTATTTCAGAAATAAGTAGGCAGCTTAAATTAAAATAAGGACCCTTGCAAACACTTAAAGTGCCAAACTCTAGCATATTTAGATGCAAGCGGGAATGTGATTTGTCAGTCTAAGTGTTAATGGTTTCATATTACTGAAGCTATGTTTGATAACTCAAATTATGTATTTTAGCGAGGTGAATGCAATGGACAATTTAATTAATTAAGAAGCACAATTTTGATGGCGAAGTTCGTGAATGATTCTTTAGAAATGGCTAATATGAATGACTAACAAAAAGAGTAGTTTGCCTTATAATTTTAACAAGTATTTGTTAGATTATTCCAATTTAATGATAATAAAGCTTGAAAAATAGGAATAATTGAGAATAGCAATAAACATTTATTGTACTATATTGAATTTAATATTGAGTATTATAAAAATAAAAAAATGTTAAAAAACGATCTTTTGATTGAAGGAATCACTATATTGATAGTGAGCTTGATATTTTTGATGGTTGGTATGGTTTGGAATAGAGGTAAAGGAGACTGTGGGAGAATGGGAAAGAATGCAAGATAGAGATAAGAAAAATGTTAGTTTTCGGATATTTTGACTGATTCAGAATTCAACACTTTATTAGATGAAACCAATTATATTGAATGATGCATGACCTTATAATGATAGATGATCATCAAAATTTAAAGAGTTGTCTTACAAGCATGATTCCTTATTTGAATGCTTGTTATGATGGTTCATAATCTAATTTGCTCATCACATAATCACTAACAATTGCAGGGTCTTTTGAATTAGGTCTTCCTATTCCAATTTTTAATCTAATGAATTTATCATCCATATATTAGATAATGGATTTCAACCCATTATGCCCTTCTGCACTTCCTCCTTATTTGATCTTACATCTTCCTGGTAAATTGTCTAGGTCATCATGAACAATAATAATATTGCTAGTTTGAATATTAGCTTTATCCGCTATTTTTTTTATTGCATGACCACTAAAATTCATGAATGAGAGGGGATTAAAAACGATTATGTGTTGAAATGATCCAATAGATCCATTTGAACCATAACTCAATTTTATGCCGAACTCTTTAGCAATATGCTTAACAAATTATTGTCCAGCATTATGTCTCGTATTTTCATAAATTTTCCCAGGATTACCCAATCCAACAATTAAATGAGTCCCATTCGGTACCCTTTAGACAGAGAAGGCATATCGAATTTTAAGTAGGAGATATGACATAAAAGAAATTAAAATTTTCATTAAATAGTAGTAACATATTATTATACAGTTATACATATATATAATTGAAAAAAGAAATAATAATTTAAATTATGAATTTACGACCTTAACCAGGCCATCAGAATAAGAACGGAATAAATCCAATAACAAATACTCCAATAGATTATGCATAAAGAGGGAATTAACAACCTTATTACAAACAACCTTACCCATAACCTCCCATATAATACACTCAAAATCCGTAACAGTACCAGAATCCTTATTATAATTAAACTCTTCCATAAGTTGTACAGCAGAGTATGCCTGAAGCAGGATAGAAACTACCTTTATAGAGCGATGCGATAGAATTAGATCACATGAATGGATTTTCTGGGAGATATCGAGATGTGATTCACTTGCACCCTCAAAAGGAGTCCACAATAGTGTATGCACTAGCAGGACTGATTGTAATAGAGAATTTGAATGACAAACATTAACAATTGTTTTTGAGAGGACATGATATGGATATTAGTGCATTGACATTATCGAAGACTGGCAGATACATAGCATCTGGATAAATGGGATCTCGAAATGCAAAGACACCAGAGGCACCAGTAATACTATGGGATTTCAATGCAAGAAAACCAATGCAAATATTTAGAGGGTTGAGAGACGAAATTACAAATCTTTCGTTTTCAAGTGATGATAAATTCTTAGCAGCCACAGCATCTAATAATAATCTAATAATATGGAATTGTCAAGATTATACTATTGTTCATAATAAGTTATTGGAAGTTCCAATCAACCTGATTACTTGGTGTCCTCCAAGAAGATCATCAACTAAACATTCCTAATATTTAATAGTCACTTCTCAGGGTTCCAACATCTTCTTAAATACTATGGATTTTGATGTTGCATCTATGCAATATCAACTCAAATAAGCTCCATGTCAATTGCCTAGTAGTGGTTTAGTAAGAAATTACACAAAAGCAGTAATTGATTAAAATGGGGATTATTTATATGTAGGAACTCATGCTGGTGAAATCTGCATTTTCAGCATATCCTCATAATAAGGAGGAATATTCAAAGCGACAATACCTGTGAGTAACAATGGAGTATTGAGCATAAATATTTTTGGAAGGAATCTTTTTGTTGGTTCAGGAGATGGAAAGGTGAAGAAGTTGACTGGAAGTGATACTAGATGGAATTTAGAAAGAGAAATATGTTTAGAAGGCAGGATGAATTCAATTACTTCAGATCCGAATGGTAATGAATTATTGGCAGGAACATCCAATGGTAGAATCTATAGAATCAACACTGCAAATCTAGACTCGGTTGTTCACACTGAAGGACATTTATCTAGTATTGTTGGCTTATCAGTCCCTTTAAATGCATGCGATCTCTTTGTCTCAATTGATTATGAAGGTGTAGTTATGGTATGGGATATGAATGAAATGCTTGTAATAACAAGATGTATTCCAATTAACATGAACAGAGTCAAAGGATCTTCAGTCTATTTAGATCCTGATAGGACTGTTGTATCTGGATGGAGAGATGGTTTTATTAGAGCATATATGATAACTAATAAACCAGTATCTCCAATCAAATGGGAAATTGTTAATGCTCATAAAGGAGCTGTGACGAGTTTGTATAGTGATCAAAATTATTATCTTTCTGGTGGTGAGGACAGTATTATTAGAGTTTGGTCAAAAACAGCAAGATAATTAATCACTTAAATATCTATCCACTCCAAGGAAATTACTAAAGTATTTCCAGATCTCATGAAGCCCAATCTTATTCACTCATGCTCAGCTGATAAAACAATTTACACTTATGATCTCAAAACAGACAAAAAGGTTATTCAACACTAATCCAGAAATGGAGTTCTCCTTGATATGACTTAAAGAAAAGATAATGAGTTAGAACTAAGTAATACTGATTTCTTATTACATGTTAGTCACTTGTGGTATTAACATGCCCATTTAATTTTGGGATATTGATATTGTAGAGCCAGTCCAATCCATTGATGTTTAGAAATTAAATTCAATTGCCATCAGTCCAGATGGAAAAATATTGGCTACTGGGTCAGATTCTGGAGAGGTAACTGTTTGTTTCGATTATTTTAGTTAATTTTGATTTCCATATTAACTTAATCCATTTTGGGTAAATATCTAGGACATTCTTCTGGGGTTTCTAAAGTAGCATGGACAAGTGATTAAAAATAAGTCATCACTGCTAGTTATGATGGAACTTTATGCTTATGGAACATTTATCTATGATTATGATATATTATTAGCATATATTTTGTTTAAAAATTAAGAAATCATAATACTTATCGCATTCATTTATTTATCAATAATTCATACACAAAAATCATCAAAAATTATCATATTTAACAACTAATTCAATTATAGCCTCAAGACTTAATAATTCCTTTGAATAAAGAATACTTTCTTTTCAGAAACATTAAAAAGTGAAAAATCTATTATGAACTAAAAGAAACTATTTCTAATCATTGAAAATCAATTCTATGCAAATCTTAATAAAGCAGATGGATAAAAATATTACCTTAATTTATAGAAAAACCAATTTATTATTAAAAATCACATATAGGTTTTAATTAATATAAATAACAACTCGAGTCAAATTTTAACGATGAATCCTTCCTTCCTGAATCTTTGATATGAATCTAAAGTAAAATAATGAATTTACAACTTTTTTAAATATAATTAATATTTATATTAGTAGTTATTTAGGAAAACTTTTTTAATTCGTTTCAATTTCAAAAGTCGAATTAATGTTAAATCTTACGAGTCTAATAATTATAATGTTATTAAAAGATTTTCTATGTCTTAGCTTATTTGAAAATGATAGATAATTTAACTTCGATGGTTCAAATCTTATTTGAATTAGATTTGCAGAGTTTGATATAGATGTGCACTCCATTTAAAATAAAGTAAAAATTTAAGAAACACAATGAGAGACAAATTTATTAAATTCATGAGCTAAATATTATATTACAATTTTATATATTTTTATTTATAAAATTGATTTAATCAAATATAAGAATAACCCTAATAATAAAATAATTTATCTTTTTTAATATAAATTTAGGAAATTAGAAATTCCAATTGTTATCATAAATATCAACCGATCCTCTTGAAATAAATCATAATTTAACTTAATGTTTAGAAAAACATACCTTACCAAGACAATATTAACTATAACAATTGTTCTTAACGTCGTTACTTCACAAACTCTGGATGATATTAAGTCTTAAATCGTCAATGATTGGCAAAGCATTGCTCTTGAATTGGTCCCAACTTCACAAGGAGATTAAGTGTAACCAGAATACAAAAGAAGATAATGGAATTTTACTTCTGATTCTGAGTTCACAGCCTCGATAGAGACTTTCATGGACAAATCAGGCTAAATTAAGAAATTAACTTTCTCTGGACAAGGAGAAATAACTTACTAAGGGGCAAGTGACGTAATTTCAGGGGCTTTCTTATGCTAAATTACATTCAGCAAATAGGCCTTGGTCACACTCCACACAGATGACCTAGTAACAGCTTTCAACGGAGCTCAATAAGGAAAGGATGGAGTCACTTGGGTTAAAGACAAATCTTAAGATATAACAACTGTCGCCGTCCCAGCCATGGGGAAATAATCAAATTCCCCTTTCTTAAGTTATGATCTTGTCTATATAAGAGATGATTATTTATATATGGGTGAAGTAGACGTATTTGGAACTCATGCGAGTGCAGATAATCCACCTAAAGGATTATCTGCTCCTCTGATTCTTAATCCAGATCCTGAAACTTCCCTAACTCTTGATGAGTTGAAACAATCAATTCTAGGAGGGTAATGGACAAGTCTGACTAAAGAAGTAAGGCCAGGCTTAAACAATCAAGCAAAACTGATGACAACTTTCTAAACTAGAACGTTAACGTTTCTTTCAGAATTGGAATTTTCATTGGTCTTAACAAGTTATTCTGGCTATGGATAGTCATCAGCCTTAATGGCTATGGAAGTAGTTGGTCCATATGAATGGGAAGAAGATGCTTCTCAAGTAGTTGCTGGAGCATAATTTGCTAAATTTAGCATGACTTAAATGTACATTACACCTATGAGTGATGAAATAACTGCCAACCTAAATTAAGGTTTACCTCAAGGAATGGACCCATTCAAAACAAATTAGAAGGTCAATATGACAGGTAAGGATTTTCCAGCCTTAGGATTGTCAAGTGGATCTTCTATGTATGAAAACGACATGGTTTATCAAAGATAAAACCGCCTATTCTTAGAAGCCAGACCAGTGGATGGAGGAATGCTTTAGCCAAAAGAAAGAAGAACATATAGCCTGTAGAGAGATTTAATTGACACATCGAGAAGTTCATTTAATGGATTCCTGATTTTGAATTTAATAATGGTCATCCTATTGGTCTGACCTTAATTTGTAAATTCAAATTATTCAACCCAATTATCTTTCTTCTTTATCCTGAATAATTCTTTAATATATTCTTTAAAGATTTAATCAAACCAAATATTGAGCTATGTAAAATTCATATAATAAAATATCAGTATATTTAAACTTACATAATTAACATTAATTAATATATTTTTATTTTTAATTGTAAAAAAATTTATATTTTAATTCTTGAAATTTTTATCCTTTAAATGATTAGTAATGCGTGTTCTCTTCTGCGAAATGCCATACTTTAATCATACTATGAAATCATTTATCTCATTTACCATTAACATATAAATTAATCTTAAGATTTTTCCCTTCTTGGATCATTTTGATAGTATTAATTTGATTTTGATAAGAATTTGATAGGCTTCTTTCATAATTTTTATTTTATCTGATTCACAAGTGCTTTTGAATTTGTTTGAAAGCAGATGTCAATTAATCTGAACAATCTTATTTACCATAATAAAACTTCTTTTTAATCTTTTTTTAGAAAATCGTATTAATTATATAATTAAAAATAGGCATAGAGAATCAAAGTAAAAATATTGTTTTATAGCTTATTTTCGAGAAAAAAAGGACAATATCCAACTTTTTTAATAGAGGTTATCATTTTTAAATAATTTACCAATATGAATCCATTTATTACCAACAACACCACTTTAGCAACTTACTCATATCCTACTTAAAATTTGTGAAAAATCAGTTTCAATGAAAATTCTGTAATTATATTTTTTATATTATAATTAATTATTATTATTCGTTAATGCATAAACAACTCCCAAATTATATATTTACTCCATTCACGCATTATGTAACAAAAACACCTGAAAAAGCAATTAATACATCACCTTTTAGAGGATGTAGTGTACAATCGATTAATTTATTATCTATTAGTTTAGCGATAAATAGTCGATGACACCAAAGAAATAAAATATTGTATATCATTATGGTCAATAAACTATAAACCAAAATACGAAACCTTAGATTCCAAATTATGAGAATGCCTCTCCATTAGTTCATGAAACCAAAGAGCATTTAATGTAGAGAGTTTACAATCTGGAGGATAATTTAAGAGATATTGTAAAGAAATACGACCAATTGAAGGAAGATTTAGAGAGAGAAAGAACCCTAAAGTGCGATACAAATAGAAGTTACTCTTAATTATGTTAAAGATATTAGGAGTATATATTGTTCTTTAGAGAGTAGCTAAGAGAGGGAAGTGTCGAAACATTAATAGGCAGCAAAATCCAAAGAAAATATGTACAAACAGGTCTAAAGAGAATTTTAAGAATAGAAGGAAAAGTGGAATGCAATGAGCAATGAAATTTAGGAGTAGAAAAAGGTTTAAGAGAAGTTATAAATGATTTTGAAATAGAAGGAAAGAGAGATTAATGATTTTAAATTATAGTTGAAATAAGAAAGGGAAATTAGGTTATCTGAAAATTATAGATTGGTTTAGGAATTCACCTAAACTTACAAGGATTTAACTATATAGAATGATTAACTAATCCAAGAAAACACTCAATTAAAGACACTAATCTTAGATATTGATAATTAAGCTTAACCATATTCATCAGCAAATTAATCATAATAGAATATTTAACCTGATTCGGACTACTTGGAGGATCCATAATTAAGACAAATTGTGTAATAATATCTCACAAAAAATGAAGAAGGTTATTTAGATTAAATATCTGATAAATAACTTAGAGCTGCTCTTTCAATAATTAAGGAGATATTCCAAACTGTTACATCATAATAATTGAAAGAAATAAAGTCTTAGCAATTTCAACAACCTAAGTAAATCAGCGAGGAAATTGAAATAAACTTATAAGAAGCAAGAAAAAAGAGAGAGTTTTTAATCAAAGAGATCAAGAATAAGATGGATAGGATTGTAAAGTCAAAAGTATAGATTTATATATGATGAAATAAGGAATTCGATTTGATAGAATTTAATGAATTACAAAAAGAAATACAAGAGATAAAATAACAATATAGCACTGTGGAGAATTTGATTTAGGAAATGGAGTAACAATTAATCTTGAATCCACATCGAAATAGTTGTGTCTCTTTTGACGATCACGAGTTCTAATGATTTACTTTTGAATTATTTTANCATATCCTACTTAAAATTTGTGAAAAATCAGTTTCAATGAAAATTCTGTAATTATATTTTTTATATTATAATTAATTATTATTATTCGTTAATGCATAAACAACTCCCAAATTATATATTTACTCCATTCACGCATTATGTAACAAAAACACCTGAAAAAGCAATTAATACATCACCTTTTAGAGGATGTAGTGTACAATCGATTAATTTATTATCTATTAGTTTAGCGATAAATAGTCGATGACACCAAAGAAATAAAATATTGTATATCATTATGGTCAATAAACTATAAACCAAAATACGAAACCTTAGATTCCAAATTATGAGAATGCCTCTCCATTAGTTCATGAAACCAAAGAGCATTTAATGTAGAGAGTTTACAATCTGGAGGATAATTTAAGAGATATTGTAAAGAAATACGACCAATTGAAGGAAGATTTAGAGAGAGAAAGAACCCTAAAGTGCGATACAAATAGAAGTTACTCTTAATTATGTTAAAGATATTAGGAGTATATATTGTTCTTTAGAGAGTAGCTAAGAGAGGGAAGTGTCGAAACATTAATAGGCAGCAAAATCCAAAGAAAATATGTACAAACAGGTCTAAAGAGAATTTTAAGAATAGAAGGAAAAGTGGAATGCAATGAGCAATGAAATTTAGGAGTAGAAAAAGGTTTAAGAGAAGTTATAAATGATTTTGAAATAGAAGGAAAGAGAGATTAATGATTTTAAATTATAGTTGAAATAAGAAAGGGAAATTAGGTTATCTGAAAATTATAGATTGGTTTAGGAATTCACCTAAACTTACAAGGATTTAACTATATAGAATGATTAACTAATCCAAGAAAACACTCAATTAAAGACACTAATCTTAGATATTGATAATTAAGCTTAACCATATTCATCAGCAAATTAATCATAATAGAATATTTAACCTGATTCGGACTACTTGGAGGATCCATAATTAAGACAAATTGTGTAATAATATCTCACAAAAAATGAAGAAGGTTATTTAGATTAAATATCTGATAAATAACTTAGAGCTGCTCTTTCAATAATTAAGGAGATATTCCAAACTGTTACATCATAATAATTGAAAGAAATAAAGTCTTAGCAATTTCAACAACCTAAGTAAATCAGCGAGGAAATTGAAATAAACTTATAAGAAGCAAGAAAAAAGAGAGAGTTTTTAATCAAAGAGATCAAGAATAAGATGGATAGGATTGTAAAGTCAAAAGTATAGATTTATATATGATGAAATAAGGAATTCGATTTGATAGAATTTAATGAATTACAAAAAGAAATACAAGAGATAAAATAACAATATAGCACTGTGGAGAATTTGATTTAGGAAATGGAGTAACAATTAATCTTGAATCCACATCGAAATAGTTGTGTCTCTTTTGACGATCACGAGTTCTAATGATTTACTTTTGAATTATTTTATTAATGATATATATTATTCTACTCTTAAGAAGAGTATTAAAAATCTAATTTTGAATTTAAACAATTTTATATGTAAAAAGAATATAGGCAAGATTATTAGAACTAAATATAATAATGATGTTTGTAACATGATTATAATTACGATTCCTAGTAGATATCATTCAATTTATTAAATTACAATATCCTTTCAAACCAAACAAAATAAAACACATAATATTGTTCAAAACTCTACTTGATCATTACTTTCTTAAAAGATTTGAAGTTAAACTTAATATAATTATTGTAATTCCAACCCAACTCAAGATTTCAATATCTTGTTTCAAAACTAAAATATCCAGTAAAATATTAAATATTATTTAAGATTCTCCAATTAAGGATTATTATGTAACATTTCCAATCATTACAGACCTGTTCATGCATAGTTATCCCAAACAGCCAAGGAAGCCACTAAACAATAATAAATTCGCCTCATAAAATGACACAGCCTTGAAATCTTCAACTTAGTAGAATAACTAACACAAAATAGAGGAAATAATTCCAAAAAAAGAAAAATATTGTAAAATAGCCAACGAGCTGACTTCTTAAGAGAGAGAGTTAATTAATACTTAAGCAAATGAAGTGGTGACTGCAGTAAGGATGGCCAAACATAATCCAAAGAAATTAAGGTAAGTAAATTCATTATTATTCTAACTAAACAAGATTGGAGGTTTGGAAATCAAAATTACACCTAAGAGACAAAATAAAATTTCGAGAATCGTTCTTTTTGTGATTGCTTCTTTTTTTAGAATGTATGCTAAGATGAATGTTGTCCATAATGGATTAGTTTTCATCAAGACGACTGCCTCTGAAACAGTGACTAATTTTAATGATAAGAAGCAGGAAAGAAATCCAACACCTCCTATGCAACCTCGAGTAATCAATTTTTTCATTGTTCTACTTGAGCGTGGATATGAGTTATTTGGTATGAATATTGCCAAGATTTCAACAACAATCAAAGTTAGGATCGATCTCCAATAAATTATTTGAGTAGCAGGTATTCCATCAAAATATTTCACGCTAAAAGAGTTCAAAGCAAAAAATATGCTTGAAAGAGTAGTATAGATGGAAGGTGAAGCAAGTGGATATTGCAATTCAATTTTGTATATAAACTTCATCATTATTAAAATAATTTAATTACAATTTTACAGATTTCTATATTTTTCCATATTCTTTCACAATTGGAAAATAAACCCTATGATATCATTGATTAATCAAATATATGATTAGATATTTCTTTTGGAAGTTTATTAACCTCAAGCAGTGAAATACTAAATAACATATATGAGGTTGGAATAATTATGTAAATGTGGATTTCGATAATTGAGTTTATCAATACCTTGTTTCTGTTGTAAGGAGGTGATTAAACAAGGATTACTCATCAAATATTATCAGAACTATTGTGTGAATTTGATGAATTTAATATAAAGAATCAAATTCAATAGATCTGAAATCTCTTCTTCTAATAATCTTTAAAAGTATTAATTGCCTTTAAGCGTATGCTTAAAAAAAGAGCTATTGTTGAAAAACAAAACTAGAGTAATAATGATTTTGAAATTGTAAAATTATTCAAAAAATTCAATCCTATTTATTTGAAAATCAACAATTAACGTATTCAATTATACGTTTGTTTTATTACTATTACCTTCATCTATTAGGTAAATCAATATTAACCAAAACATAAATAATTGAGATAAAAATGAATACTTCTGCAATACGTTTGAATTTTAGCGTAGGCCACTTCACATTAATCACCTAAAATTCTAGACAGAAGTCGCAACAAAGAAAAAAATTAATAAATTTTTAGAATAACAGAATTGTCATTTTAATTAAAATTATTATACTTAAGTTACTATTAATATTTCCATTATTAATATTTTAATTTTTCCAAAACCTTTTTCATTAAGTACGTCATTAATGATTACACTATTCAATCAAAGCTATTGTAACATTTAAAATTTAAAGATGGTTTGAAAATTTAAAATTCTCCTTAATCGAATAGTGTTATCAACAGTTGCATTTGAATAATAATCAAAGAATTGATGAGTTTTAGATATTAAAGATGTAATACACTTTGATGATCGACTTAGCATATATATCTTTTGCAATTAATTGAATTTATAAATATTCTAGGAACACTGATTTTATTTTCATATATATTTATTAATTCTTGATGGGAAATAGTTCTAGACATTAAAATCAACAGGGAAACCAGTTTTCATAATAAACAAAGCAATTCAATAATTAAGAAAGTGAATTGAACAAATATTTAACTTAGAGTATGTTTGTATACATATTTAGGTTGTTCTACATTTCCATCATCAATACTCAAAAACCCTGTGTGCAAGGCATAAAAAGTAAATTGCCTCAGATGCGATCATATATTATTTGATGATGGATTGGGAAGAACTAACAAATGTGAAGAATGTCAAATTCCATATGTAATTAAGGATGGAGTGATTACTCTCTTAAATAGTAGCCAGGATATTCAATGCTGCTCATATGGTTTCCCGTTGTAATAGTTAGATTCAGTTGTGCTGCGAGTGAATCAGTATTATTTGTAATGTCAATTTTCTAGGAATTGTATTAATCACATTTCATATGGACAGTTAATGACCCAAATTATATTGCCTTTTTTTGAGATGAGAGAACGAATCATAACCTCTGGGGCTTGCTTCAATATAGATTAATTTGAATTTCGAGTGGTTGGATGTAGCTNTGGAAGTTTATTAACCTCAAGCAGTGAAATACTAAATAACATATATGAGGTTGGAATAATTATGTAAATGTGGATTTCGATAATTGAGTTTATCAATACCTTGTTTCTGTTGTAAGGAGGTGATTAAACAAGGATTACTCATCAAATATTATCAGAACTATTGTGTGAATTTGATGAATTTAATATAAAGAATCAAATTCAATAGATCTGAAATCTCTTCTTCTAATAATCTTTAAAAGTATTAATTGCCTTTAAGCGTATGCTTAAAAAAAGAGCTATTGTTGAAAAACAAAACTAGAGTAATAATGATTTTGAAATTGTAAAATTATTCAAAAAATTCAATCCTATTTATTTGAAAATCAACAATTAACGTATTCAATTATACGTTTGTTTTATTACTATTACCTTCATCTATTAGGTAAATCAATATTAACCAAAACATAAATAATTGAGATAAAAATGAATACTTCTGCAATACGTTTGAATTTTAGCGTAGGCCACTTCACATTAATCACCTAAAATTCTAGACAGAAGTCGCAACAAAGAAAAAAATTAATAAATTTTTAGAATAACAGAATTGTCATTTTAATTAAAATTATTATACTTAAGTTACTATTAATATTTCCATTATTAATATTTTAATTTTTCCAAAACCTTTTTCATTAAGTACGTCATTAATGATTACACTATTCAATCAAAGCTATTGTAACATTTAAAATTTAAAGATGGTTTGAAAATTTAAAATTCTCCTTAATCGAATAGTGTTATCAACAGTTGCATTTGAATAATAATCAAAGAATTGATGAGTTTTAGATATTAAAGATGTAATACACTTTGATGATCGACTTAGCATATATATCTTTTGCAATTAATTGAATTTATAAATATTCTAGGAACACTGATTTTATTTTCATATATATTTATTAATTCTTGATGGGAAATAGTTCTAGACATTAAAATCAACAGGGAAACCAGTTTTCATAATAAACAAAGCAATTCAATAATTAAGAAAGTGAATTGAACAAATATTTAACTTAGAGTATGTTTGTATACATATTTAGGTTGTTCTACATTTCCATCATCAATACTCAAAAACCCTGTGTGCAAGGCATAAAAAGTAAATTGCCTCAGATGCGATCATATATTATTTGATGATGGATTGGGAAGAACTAACAAATGTGAAGAATGTCAAATTCCATATGTAATTAAGGATGGAGTGATTACTCTCTTAAATAGTAGCCAGGATATTCAATGCTGCTCATATGGTTTCCCGTTGTAATAGTTAGATTCAGTTGTGCTGCGAGTGAATCAGTATTATTTGTAATGTCAATTTTCTAGGAATTGTATTAATCACATTTCATATGGACAGTTAATGACCCAAATTATATTGCCTTTTTTTGAGATGAGAGAACGAATCATAACCTCTGGGGCTTGCTTCAATATAGATTAATTTGAATTTCGAGTGGTTGGATGTAGCTCATAACTCCAAGGTATTGTGGGTTCTGGCACAAAGATATACTGCTATGAATCTTATACGGATAGAATTCTCTACAAATTGAAAATCTATACTCAAAGAAAAAACTTTTAAGATGAACTTTTTCATTATTTTTTTTCTCATCCTAAAGAAAACTAACTCATTTAAGGTAATGTTGTTTTAGAATTATGCTAGATTCGTATATAAAAATTAACAATCAAGAATATTTTGTATTGCAATGCACTGAATAATCAGGAAGATTGCATCTCTACACTAAAATTGAATGTATTTCGAATGTACCTAGGTTGTCTTAGGTTTAATTGATCATTTTGAAACAACCCATAGAATTCTCTAATAGTAATAGAAATCAAGCAATTTAGTAAGTATTAAATTATGTTGTTCGACCATACTTCGCAGGGTTGACTCGATATTTAGAAAAGGGTTAGATTTTGAGGATTGGTGATTTCATTTTTGAAGTATGTTTAGTGGAAGATTACGGATTTGTAATTCCTAATTAAACACAAATTCAAATTACTGATTAAGTAGATCAGCAAATGAGTCCATAACAATTCTAATCAAATTAAAATTACAATATCATTAGTAGATCTATTAACAATCAATAAAGTAGTAGATAAGATTAGATTGAATCTTTGCATAGATTGTTGAATACATTCATTCAATTAAATGAAAATGGCACAATAGAAGGCAATCTAGGATGTGAAGACCATGAGATATAACAATTACCAGTCAGGAAAATAAATTTAGAATAAATTAAACTATTGGATGAGGATCATATGAAATGCTTGATTTGTCTATGTGAATATGAGGAGGAAGATTAAGTAAAAACTATTCCCTGCTGTATTCAAATCTATATATATTATTTAGTACATTATTTTCATGATGATTGCATAGAGAAGTGGCTAAAAAAAAGTAGACATTGTCCAATTTGTAAAAATGAGCTAGAAATTTGAATATCTTACTTATTTAAAATATCAACAATTTATTGTATTCTTACATAATGTAAATGAAATTGCATAATATTCTAACAATACTAATTTCCCACAATTTTATTTATCTTTTAATATATGGGGAAACATAGAAATAAGAATTAAAGCAAGTATGAAAATGCTCCTTAGAAAAAGGTGAAGACAAATCATTGGGATCAAGACAATTAATAAATTTGTGTTGTTTAATTTGAGAATCCTATCTTTCGTCGTTTCTATGAGGTATAATGAAATAATACAACTATTAGATTCAATTACCAGAAATAGGTGCTGAAGAGTTTCAAGTCTTTTGGTAATCTTTATCTCTTCCATTGCCTGTCACTTTCAGAATTAACCCATCTTAATACAAATATGAGAGTTTGATTGAAAGATTGCAAGATGGATCATTGATAAAAGACATGGTGAATGAAGAAGAAATAGTAGAGCCAATCAGAGAAATCAAATGGTATCCAAATCATTTGGTTTGGGAATCAAAAGTGCCTAAGAAAAGTTTGAGAAAATCTGCAGCCCTTACTAAGCTACATCAGTTCATATAAAAATGCAATTCAACTGGGTTATTGACAAGATAAGAACTTGTTTCAATGCTTCCTCCTTTATTATTGGACCCTCAACCAACAGATTTTGTTTTGGATATGTGTGCAGCACCAGGATCAAAAACTTGTCAATTGCTAGAAATTGTTACCAAAGGATTGATTGTAGCAAATGATGTTGATCCCAAAAGAGCTTATATGTTATCGCATCAACTGTCTCGTATGCCAACTGCATAAGTCATGATCACTAACTATGCAGCTTAATTCTATCCTACCTTATATATAAATGGATAGAGACTACAATTTGATAAAGTTTTATGTGATGTTCCATGCACTGGAGATGGAGCTGCTCGTAAATTACCTACCAGATGGGTTAAATGGTCTGCCAGAGATGGTAATGTCATTCATCCCTTGTAATTAAGTATTTTGATGAGATCACTTCAATTATGCAAAATTGGAGGATACGTTATGTATAGCACATGCTCACTTAACCCTATTGAAGACGAAGCTGTTGTGGCTGAGGTATTCAGAAGGGCTGGTTTTGAAGCTTTTGAGTTAGTTGATTTGCATACATTAGAAGGATTCAAAACTAGAAAGGGAGTTAAGGATTGGAAGGTCATTATAACAGATGACTTTTTGACTTAGAAATATCTTCAAAGGGAATCAAATGCAGACTAGGATGAAAAGGCTTTCCTTGAAACCGTCACTGTAGATGATTTAGTCTATGAAGTTAATAATGTTAATCAAAAATTGAATATCAAGAAGCTTTTTTCTAAGTTTTCTAGAAAATAGGAAGGATAGATGATTAATGCATTCAAAACATTAAAACCCTCTTTATGGCCAGACACTGAGGAATTTATGAATAAAATTTAAATTGAAAAGTCTATGAGAGTTCTACCTCATGATTAGGATACTGGAGGTTTCTATTTGGCATTATTTAAGAAAAAGTAAGCAGTGATTTGGAAAAAACCAACATATTAAGAATCGATTATATCTTAATTATAACCAATAATAGAATAAGAATAATAGTAATAATAATAACCAATAATAGAATAATAGTAATAATAATAATAATAATAATAATAATAATAATAATAATAAATTGAAGTTGAATAAATTATTGATAAACCATAATCATAAAATTAATAATAACCCACTGAATAAGTTTAATAACAAGCCTAATAAGAATTATAACAAAAAGAAGTAATATAATCAGCAGATGATATTTAATAAGAATAGTTTATTTAAGATATTGATATCAATTAGGATCATCTTAAAGATATCTTAAGATAAAGTAATGAATAGGATGATAAATAATAAAATGATAAAAATAAAACATAATTACTTGAACCCTACACTCCAATCAATGATTATGATTGGAAAATCATTTGCGATTATTATGGAATCAGTGATTTCCCATAAGGATAAGTTCTAGGTACTGGATAATCTCTGGACATTATCATGTAAGTCAATAAGAAATTCAGATATGTTAGTGAGGAAGTTAAAAATATACTTTTTGATCCAAAAAATTGTAAAATATTAAATTAATTTAAATAGAAAATCTTAAACTAATAAATATTGGCTAGAAACTATTTGAAAGAGGCAAAGAAAGTTTCGGTGGATAGGTTACACCATTTAAAATCACTCAAGAAGGGCTATCCTATATTTTTAAATTTTTGACTAAGAGAGTTGTCGAATGCAGCAAAGATTAATTTATGGAAATTTTATAAAAGCGAAACATTAGGATGGGAGATTTTGCTCATGAAGAGTTAAAGCAATAATTTGAGCAATTGATTTAGGGATGTTTTGTCCTTTTTTACAAGGAAACTCCAGAAATTAGCGAAGCCATCGTATGTTAATATTACAAACAAAGTGTGAATTTGATGTGTAGCACAGAGAATATAGAAAACATACTTATTAGACATAGATTGATGTGATTTATATATAAAATATATATAAATATTGACTCCTAAAAGAATTTATAATGAAACTAGTCGCCTAAAGATGAATTTATCCAGGCATATGTTCTGCTTGTAGACAAAGATACCTTTGATTAATAAGCAACTATTAGATCTCTCTTTAAAATATGTCTTTTTTTTAATATTCAGCTGCATATGAATCTCTTAAATTAATCTAGTTATTCAAATTTACCCTCAAACATGAGTTACATTAAATCGTGATCTAGAAATGTTAAATTACGTGTTCCCCTCAAAACAGCAGATATTTAAATGATTATAGAATTATAAATGTTGCTTAGTCAATCTTGTCTTTTAACTATTGTAACTGATCAAAATTCTAATAAAAATTTTATATTAAAATTTCAAGTGTTCAAATTAGATAAAAATGAACACCTAAGGAATATACCATTCAGGTATATAATGATTTTATCAATGTTAAATATAAATAAGGAAGAAAATATGAAAACTCATAAATGTATTTCTTATAGGTCTTAATACTTACGAGCCTTTAAGTAATTGACTAATTTTTCACAGTGCATGCCTTCATTATCCAATTTGATGGTCTTGGAAAGCATTCTTTATTCTTATTCATAATTATTGTTTTTATTCTTTAAAATTCCTTTCTTCATAGTTTATTGAGTTAATTATGATATGTCTGAGGCTATCTACCTTGGCTGCTATTGCTCAATGTGATTTTATTATAATGAACTCTTAAATTGAAGTTCCAAAGTTGAAATAAAATTGCATGACAAAGTGCTCATCTGATCGCTAATGGCTTATTCCTCAGCTACTTCTAAGTTACTTTAATTAATAGAAGCGAAATTCTACTGTTTCGCTAAACAAATGGATCCCATTGTATTATTATTTTAAATCTTGTTGAAACCAAATATATTTATTAACTTTTCCATCCTATTTATTTAATGTGAACTCAATTTTCTTTATGGATCTTTCGATCCATAAAATATACAGATTACAGAAAAAACACTTTCAGTATCCCCTCTAAAAAAGGAACTATATTTAGAAACAACTGAATTTTAGTCTAGGAGGACCTGCCTGATATGAATTGATAATCACTAACACAGAGACTCTTATAGTATATAATAAACTAGACTCTTAATATTTTTATTTTCAATATAAAATGCATTTTTCATGAGAAAATTTACAATTAAATTAAATAATATTACACAATTTAAATATATTAAAATATAGTAGTAATTTTACATAATGATAAAATGGTTTTTAAGTATTCATTGTTGGAAATGTTGTAGTAATTGAATGAGAAATTCTGATGATACTAAATGATTCAATTCTTAAAGTAATAGAATAATTGAAAAATCGTTAGAATTCAAAGAGATAGGTAATAATTAAACGTAGAATTCAAATAAAAATATTGAAACATAATATCATTTAGTTAATCTTTTGATGTCATTTTAGAGCTATTTGACTTCCTTTCCATATTAATTAATTGAGTAATCAGTTTATCTAATCATTCTGCGCAATTATTTGAGATCATCAAATTCTTCATATGAAATAGGATCAATCTCAACTTCCTCATCTGTTATGATTTGCTTTTTCTACTTAATTTAGGTGCAAAATATGTCCTGAGATTTCTGGGATTTATTTTAGTTGACTCTTTATTTTGCTAATTATAATAAATCAGATGATTAATTCATTATAATAATAACAATACAATAATAATAAAATTCAATATGTTTTCAAATTTACAACTTTGACATCTCTATTCAACTTCATTCCACATAGAAGTATTCAATGAATCAATCAAACAATTGTACTTATTTAATTTAGTCAAATTAAACCCTTAAATACATGATCCTTCTTCCCATGTACAAGGCTTAGCTCGTTTTAAATCATCTGTTAAAATACTTTTGCAATCAGTTTCTGATGTATAATCAGAACATTCTTTTTCCATGCATGTGCTATTATCCTTAATCCATTTGCAATAATTTTCTCTCTTATCACACTTATCTTAAAATCCGGATAGATCTGCACAATCTTTACTCTCCTCACCAATACAATATTGATATTGCTAACACGAATTAACTTCATCCGATTCCTCTTAGCATTACTAAAAGGTTCTCCAAGTGCATACAGCATATTCATATTGATTGCACATATTCTCATTATTTAATGTGAAGCAAGTCATGAAGCTTCCACCTGATTTTGATAGATCATTGAGACAATTGTATTTCCCATTACTCTATTATTCCTCATCATATGTACAAAACTTAGTTTATGTGCTCTTTAACACGCAATCTTCTTTTTTATCAACTTAATAGGATCCACATCCAGAAAATAATTCACATGCGCCATTATTATTCCAGGCGCATTCACCTGTGTTGTCACAAAGTTCTTAAGTCTTAATATCTGTACAAAATAATGCTGAACACTTAAAATTTGGGACTGCCAAGGACAAGGCAGTCTTATTTTTTAAGGAAGCTTTATCAAGATTGATTTTTTGTTGTGATAATATGTATGGTGCTATTTTGCAATTGAATCTTAAGCAATCATCTTTTGTTATCATTTATGCGCATGAACATTGAATAGTGGATAATTGTATGAAGTCTAATGCGTAGATCGAAGATGTTATTAGATTAATAATAATAAATTATATCATTATTATTGTATTTATATTTCATTCCTATTTGGGTTGTTGATGACTTTCTCTTGAATCTTCTCAATGTATAGTTTCTAATCATATTTGTTTTTTATTCCAAACGCTCCCATTCCTAGATTCAAAAAGAAATCAGGCCAACCCTCCATAAATTTAATGAGTTCACTTTCCAAGTACTATGCCCTTGAACCAGGATCCAATTGCAATTACTCTTGATTCTCCTTATTCAAAAATATATTCAATAGTTCTCCAGAGAAGTAATAATCCAATCTTTCAACTAAAACATTCGCCGTCTGCTATATATCCGACTCCTCCTTGTCCTTCTATCCACTCTCAATGAGAGTCTACAAGACCTGAATCAAAGCAGCCTCATTTCCCTAAAAGAATTCCTCAGTCAAATAAACAATGTGAGAATGACTATTCAACTTAACAAACCCTTTCTCAACCAGACTTGCAGCATCAAAGTAAATGACTCTGAAGGATTACACAATATGCTCATATACAATTACATCTTTAAATGGTTTTGGAGGTCTGGAATCATCGAAAGCCTATCTGGGTGGCAATTCAATGACATTGCCTTATGAAATGCCTAAACTTTAATCTTCAGCTGATTTGCTTTCATTCTTAGTCACTTCTACAAACATAGGATCCTAGGATTTTTTTGCTCCTCCTCCTCTTGGTCCTCCTCCACCACCACCTGTTTGTGTGTTCTCCTCCTATTTGGTTTCATAGATCTTGACGATAATTTCACCAGCACCTCCAGGATAGTCACGGTAATCATTCTAAGTCATATCCCAAGGTGGCCTATACACATTCCTCTTGAACACATTTGTAGACTCTGAATCTGACTTAGGCCTTTAGAATTTGAAGCAATTGATGTTGCCATCGGAGTTGGTGAAGCCTTGCACTTTACACTTACTCTTAAAAGTCTTCTTTCCTGGTAAAGTATACCCATCCACTATTACTCTGATGCCATATACTCCTTTATCCTTGCATTCTACATTGAGAATGAAGTGCTGATCCACTTCTCCTATGATGCAGATTCCTTCAGGTGTCATAATGTGTTTGTACTCCAAAGGCTTTCCTTTGCATTGTCGAAAAGGATCGACAAAAGTTAGTTCGAATGTCTCGTCATTAGAGAGTACCATTTTAATTAATGAATTCAATGCCAAACTTGATCAAGCTTATGTATTGGATTAATCTTGAATACTTCATAAAAAGCGAACTAAAATTAAGCTCTAATTTCATTTCTTCTTCAATTAATTACATTATAAAAGAAATAATAAAATTTAAAAATTACACTGCTTTATAACAAAACAAGTTAAAAATAAATTGACATTATTTTATACACTTTAGATATAATCCCCTTAAATAGTGAATTCCCAATATTAAACCTGGATTAATCTCTATATTATCCGAGTTACTAACGAGATGATAGTTAAATTCATTTTCAAACTAAAAGAAATCCTAAAAATTAGCCATTCAGAGATGTCTAATCTATAACCTAAGAGCATTTTTGAAGAGTTAAAGATGTTAAACATAATTTAGCAGATAACTTGTTTAAAGGGCATTCAAAAGACTATTCTTTATTTTGACAAGCTTTAGACTTTAGTAGAATCGGAAAGATAATAATATTGTTTTAAAAGGATTGAATTGTGAAGACATTTTGCAATGTGTATTTTCAATTATGTAAATCTAAGACAAATATATAAAAACTCCTTTTAGGAAATTAAAGATAATAAAGTTAATAATATTCAATGATTTTAATATAAATAAGTTTAATCTTTGAAAAATTTGAATAGCAAAGCTTATTTTTGAATTCGGAATAAATGATATTGAATTATCCATCTCAAAATGATTAATTTAAATATAATGTCAGAATTATGCGCATATTCCAGATTTATTATTAATATATACTAAAAATTGATTTATATTTCATCATTTTATTATGAATAATATAAATTGACATCTTACGTATTATAGATATAAATATAGAAATACTATTGATTTAATAGGATATCAGGGATGAGATTTTTCAGATGGACATTAACTAAGGAATATTCTTTAATTATCAGGATTTAAATGGAAGTTTTGATTGAATACAGAACATAAATTATTTTATTTAAATTAAATGATCAAAATCCTCCTAACTCTATTCTTTGTTGGGTGTTTGGGAAATAGTGGATAAAGCGTTGGATAATTCTATACATCAAATTACTGCACTTGCGAATAATTGTAGTACTAGAGTGATTGTACATATATGGGACCTTAGTGTACATGGACTGACAATTCATGTTCCACTCTAGACTGTACGAAGATAACTGATGCGAAAGCATGTGCTGCAAACTTGAAATGTATGTGGACTACAAACTCCTCTGGTGAAAGTTCTTGCAAGCTTTTCACATTCTGTAGTTAATTTTCAGGATCCAGTTAATTACAATGTTTGAGTATTTCTAATAATTGCCCATTCACTGATGGTACCAAGTGTGGTTCCTCAAATTAATTATATGCTTGTTCACACTTTACTGCCCAATAATATTGCTAGGGATATATCTCATAAGATGGAGTATGCATGTGGACAGATGGCACTGGATGCAGAGCAGCACAAGATTGCACTTTATTAAGTTAATAATAATGCATTACTGCACCTAAGGGATGTAAATATACTGAAAATAAATGTTCCCAATTACTTTGTTCTGATTTAACAAGCTAAGAAAGTTGCACCTATGTTATGGATGTTATCTATAAAGGTTATTATCAATTATGTAGTTGGAATTCTACTACAGCGAAATGTGCAAATGCTTAAAATTACGGAGGATTAGGATAAGGAAATTGTTACTAATAGACAATGGGTACTGCTAGATGGGTTTCTACTTCTGCTGGAGGAGAATGTCTATCCTGCTATGCTCAAACATTATTTGCTTTAATTGTAGCATTATTCATTATAATGATCTGATACTTATAGTTCATGATCAAATATTTGCGATTCAAAATTAATATATTAATTTATTTATCATTATCACTAAACCACTCAATGAACTCCAGGTATTTTCTATCTTTTCAGGTATTCTACCCATAATGTTGTAATAATTGGTTCGTGATCATTCTATGTTATTTTTAAGAAATCTCAAATTCTACTTATGCTAATAAATAATTTCTATTATTATTCCAATAATTTCCATTATTATTCCTTTAAGACAGTTTTAATGAATTTAATTCTAATCTTGTTGATATAAATTAAATAATATCAGATCCAGCGACTAATTTCATTATTGACTGCATAATCATTATTTAATCATAATTTTATATTTGTATATCTACATATTTTAAACCCAAATTTTATAATATATTTATTGTTAATAAAAGAAAGCTCTCTATATAGTTGCATCTATCAATTGAATAATTCTAACAGGTTTTTCAATAAAATTATTTTGAAATCATTTAGAATTGTTTGTCTAAATCATTTTCTTTTATGCATTAAGTTTGATAATTAGAATCAACAATCAAAAGGAATAAAAATTGCAATTGCTAAATTATTGCATCAACAATTACCAGTATTTTTTAATATAGATAGAAAACAAACATTAAATTAAATTGATTCTTTATATTATTTTGATGAATTCACATTTATAAAGTAAAGGAGAGCAATCCTAAATCATGGGAAATTACAATTCTCTTATCTCTTTTTTTTATATAATATGGATAACCCATGTCAAACAAATACTTATGTTTTACTAACTCTTAAGGTATCTGCATTACCCTTTAAATAATCATATAAATAGGTACTTCAAAATGTTAAATTATATTATTTATTCTTCCTTCGCCAATATAGTGACTGTACCATCATATTCTAATAGAGTGATTTCATTTTCATGATAATCCAGAGCCACTATTTGTTACTTTGTAATTTTGATTGCCTTCTAAGATTTCTCAATAGGATTATAGATTTTGACTATCTTATGATTCTCGACAAATAAGATGCCATCCTTTACAAACCTTCCATGAGAAATATATTCGATCTTTGGGTCAATGTCCAATAAGATGTTCACTTAAGGTGGGTCATTTAAATATAAAATTGAAAGCTTTTTCTTTGCTTCCTTCAAATATTCCAACATTAACAATTGATCACCCTTGAAATCGAATGGAACCTATAGTAATGGCATATCTGCATAATATGTATTGCTATCTTGATTTTGCAGATCAAACAAATATAAACTATTCTTTTTGGTAGAAATGTCCACTCCAATGTCCTTATTTTATGTTGGTGCAACCGATAATAGCAAAGTTTTAGTTTTGTAACATAAGGATAGGGTTGAACTACAAAGTGGAGGAGAATGGGGTCTTTCAAATTTCCATTGATGACTCTCTCTCATCTGATAATCGAAAATGTAACCATATACATCTCCTACTACTATATATACTTTCTCCTATTCGATTGCTTTGGTTTATTTAATTATTTACTCACTCCTCTTATGATCTCCTCAAATACATCAGGAATGTATCTCAATTCATTTTAATTATAAAGGTATTATCCGATATACCCACTGATAGCTCCAAAGATAATCATGTTGTTATCAACATCAAAAGCAGTAATGGGTTCGCCGATTCTTATTTTAACCCACTTATCAAATTTGATTTATAACATATTATATTAATATGAGCATAATCAAATAATGATAAAACTTATATGATGTATATATATATTATAAGAATTTTGATAAAAACACTTTTAAATCTGACATATAACAATTTTACAATTTTTAATAACATACTTTCAAAATGAATTAGATTTGCAACTTTATAAGTCTTCTCTCTTGTCTCATTTACATTAACTGTTGGGATAACATTCAAATAATTGAGAGTGAAGAGTAAAGTTACCTTTATTTTTTGGAAAATGAAAGACATTATCTTCTAGATAGTAAATTGGCTATTCCATTTACTAATAAGGATGATTTGTTATAAAAACTTAATGAGTCATCCTCATTGTAATTACTATAAAAATAGCAGGAGCTCGATGTAATTTTTAATAAAGAGGATGCAATTCTACTACCTTTTATAAGACAATCAGGAAAATATATTGATATCTGCTATTTATAACATTAAATAATAAATTGCAAGCTTAGAATCAATAACACTTTGTACAATGAAGAATTAATAGTAAATGAAATTTAATCAAACTAAATCTTTATACCCTCAAATTCATGTTAAAATGCTTATCTTCTTCAGGAAGACTTATTCCTACTCCAATGTCATAACCCTATCAACTAATTTTAATATTTCTTGATAAATAATTACAGTGAAATTGTGGATGAAATCACAATTGATCTGTCCCATAATTGCAGATTTGACTCTAAATTTCAATAAAATAGAGTATTTATAAATTCTATGGAGTGCGAAGTATCAATTGTTTTAGTATTGGAAATAATATATTTAGATGATAAGCTGCAATTTAATAAGAATTTTACAAAATTGCATGAATTGGCTAACTTTCCAAATCAAGATAATTTGATCGATCTAAAAATTTGTTAATCCAATTTAATATTATTAGGTTTTATTAATATGTTGAGTAGTTATAATTTAGAAGATAAATCATTTAAAAATATGAAATGGTCATATCAAAAATGGTTTCCATATTTATAAACCTGCTTTCCTTTGATAATAAGAACAGCATTATAAGTTTAGAGTAAAATTGATTATTAGTATTCCCCTGCCTTAAACAAAATACTTGAATCAGAATCTTTGCTTAAAAGTATAAAGGTTGAAGATGAACTTTGTGTTAATTTATACGAAAACTAAGCAATTATAATGTATGGTTTTTTTTTTTAATAAACGATTCAGAATGTAAAGCAAATTTTTAAAATCAGCACGCTTCCGTTTCTTGTCACACTTAATAAGAATAACAATATTGCATTTTATAAAATTGCATGCCTTAACAAATATGTAGAATATAATCACTCCCCTTTTATTGGAGTAGTTATGAAAGGTGCATTTTATAATATAAATAGTTAAATAATCTTTTACTATGCGACCTAAAGATATTCCATAAAGTATCCTTTGGATATTAACATAACTAACAGCGTTGAAATCTAGCATAATTAAATTATCAATAACAACTTTAAAATAGATATTAATAAGCTTTATTTGTCTATTCCTTTTTATTTAGATTTAGAATTTGATGAGGATAGAAATCATTTTGAATTTAAAAATGAATTAATCTTCACTTATTACTTAAAGTTACAAATCAAATAAATTTTAAGAGTTGTTTCATTTGAGATGGATTGCTTGTTGATAATTTATAAGGACTGGAATCAAAAATTTATGGCTAACATAAAAAATGGTGAATTTTAGAAAAATATGGTACTTATAGCAACAACCCAAGAATTTTAAGTTGAGGTTTACAAAACTAATTCTGGTTATATAATAATATTAATTGGTAGCAAATTACTAATGAAATTCAGAATTTTTAATTACAAAGATTTGGAATTGATTCATTAATATAAACCTAAAAGCAATATAATAGGATATAAAAATGAGGTAAGTTCAATAATCTGCCTTCTTGCTGATAATACGACCTATAAATATTAGTTCGAAAATTTTATTGATTATTCTTTAACAAAAAATAAAGAATTTAGAGATTATTAGAAAAAGAAATAAGAAGAAAAATACACTGATTTTAGAGTTCCATATTTATATATTGATTATGAAGATTCAATAATTCGCATGAAATCAATAAAACCTGATCTTCATGATTATGTAATATCAGTAGATGGTTAGATTATTTAATCAAATTTGTTTGTAAATTAGAAAAGAATTTTACTTATAGTAAAAAAGGAGAATCAAATATCATTACAACTCTATTTCTTTGATTTAGAATACATCGTCTTTCTTTACGAAATACCAATATTTGAATTTTAAGTCGTGTTCCCTATTCAATTCAAAGAATATGGCAAATTATTTTGCATCATTACTAGGAAGGATGGGTAGGAATATCTATTTTTATATGATATCACTTAATAAGGAAGATTTTGTTTAAGATGGATTAGTATAAAATTACCTAATTTAATAAATTTTGAATTGGTTGCCGAATCAGGAATATTTGTATAAATTCTGACCGATAAAATTGTGGTGACTTATCCCACTCTTAGCATCAACATCAAATCTTTGAATGCTTCTTTCTCTGCTATAATAAACACTTAAATAAAATTTTAAGTTAAGTCTTATATTTCATCAATTCCATCAAGCTTTATTATCTATTTGTGTACAATTAACAAAGATAATATTCTGAAATATAAACCTGATGCTGAATTTAAGAGGATACTACTTAATAGTCAGAATAAAATTATTAATTTAGATTCTATTTTTGGTAGCATAAACAATTTAAAACTAAGCGATGCTTGTTAAGGATCATTGACAGAACCAATTTAAGTAGTATCTAATATTTAATTGAAATGCTGGTCTATTAATAAAAGATTTTGTTTGATCACTAAATCCTTATTAATTTATGATTACTTTGGCTTAAACCAAGTAATCTCAATACCCTTTGAAAATATAATCCTAAATAACTTGATAAGATCTACTTATAATACAAAACTGTTCATTTATAATCCTTAGTTAAATACACTGATTATTTCATATCTAAATGAAAATTTAGAAATGGAAGAAGAAACCACTATCAATTCCCCATTTTAAGGTATGGCTGATCATACTATTCATATTACATCAATTTAATTGATAAAAGATATTTTAATTGAAGAAACACAACATTTCTTTTCAATTTATTAAAAAGAAGAAAAGGAATTAAATATACTGTGTTAAGTATACAATGAAGAAATGAGGCAAATAGAATATTTATTCAAAAATGATTCTGAGTTCATATTACTAATATTAGAATTAAACTCTATCATTAGTCTTTTATCCTGTTAAGAGAATACAAATGAACTTAAAACAAATAATGATTTCAAGCCAACTTTTTAAATAGTGTCCTTTCACATTTTAAATTACTTCATATAAAATTAAGAAATTTAAATTACTGTTGCCTTGTTTTGCCCCCAAGATGTTGCGTACATTTATGAATTTACTTTTGATTTTAAATTAATGACACTTTTGAAATAATCAAATTATCAATAACTAAGATATTCTAATATAATTTTTGAAAGCTTTTTGAAAGTTAGTGATACTATTTATTTGATGAAGGGAAAGTCTTAAAATTCAACTTCCTCATATTATTTATATTAGATTAATATAAGTAAACCTGTTGAATTAATTGATTACTTTTATAAATATGAAAAAGATGGGGAGATTTAAGTTTATAACGAAACCCATTTCATCTAAATTCAAAGAGATAATGATGATACAAATAATGCTAATATATTTCTTCTAGAAATTGATTATTATAGATTATATCTTAAATAGAATTGTGATCTTGTGTTAAAAAACGATGTATCCATCCTTTATTCTCATATTGTTTTAGAAGATAATCTTAAAAATAAATCTTTCATGCCTTTTTATGTAGAGGTTGTGACATTTTTACTAATTCTTCTGTTTATTAGAAAAAACAAGAAAATTAATGTATCTAGGAATAATGCAGGCATTAGAATAAAATGAGATATTTTGTATTAAGTATAAACTTATTATTAATATGCATCTGCATTTACATATAATTATAAAATTATATCAATACATTTATATGTTTTAAAATCTTATTTATAAAAGATTATTTCTGTTGAACTAATGCTGTATAAATTCTTGTTCTAATTATATTGTTAAAATTCATTCCTTTCAAGAAGGTAAATTTACCTTGAAATTAATATAAAGAGTTATTTTTTACTCTTCTTGATTTAAAGGTGGAGTAAGAATATTGATAGTTGTGTGTTTAACCAAAAATTGAATTAATTGTTGTTGTTTATCAGTAATAAGAATCCTGATGATTATATAAATTAAAATAATGCTTAGAAATATTATTTTATAATATAAAATTTAAAAAACAAAATATGGACCCAGAAAAGTAACTGATGGATTAACCATTAGAGGAGGAGTCTGATATGGACGAGGATGAGAAGAGATAGAAGGGAGATTGGCATTAACAATTGTATTAAGGTGTATTTAGCCGATTAGATTGACTGCATGTTAGAAAGGAGATTTAACAGCAGTCTAGCGTTGTTTAGACAAGAGAGCTAATGTTTTGTATGAGGATAAGAAAAAATGGAATCCATTAATGTGGGCATCGTGTAGAGGGTACGCAGAAATAGTGCGTGTTTTGTTGTCTCGTTAAGCAGCAGCACCATATGTTCCAGAAATGGCGTTGATATTGTAGAACTTCGCATAGACCATGCCTATTTATTCAAGTCCAATGAATTAATCATCTCCAAGCAAGTCCACCTATTTCGGAGGGAGTCCTGGAGGTGGAGCTTAGTCAGCAGTGTTTAGTTTTCAATAATCACAATTAACAAAGAAAGTGGTCTAAGGAGTTATAAATCAATAAGTCCGATCGACACCATTGATGTGGGCTTGTTTCAAAGGACACGTGTAGGTTGTTTGGTTGCTATTGAAGGCAGGATTGAGTTGGGAGGTATAAGAAATTAGAGATGTTAATATAGGATGTGGATCAATTTGGAAATAACAGTGTTCATTTGGCAGCATCAGGAGGGAACTAAGTGGTGTTCTAGACACTGCTATTTTATGGAGTAGCTGTAGACAGACCAAATACAAGGGGACACACTGCAAAGGATTTGGCAACGAATGCTTATATATTACAGTTGATTAAGTTGTTGGAGGTGAGTGGTTAGACAGCTAAATATTTCTGTATGACTTGTAGAAAATTTTGGAAGCAGGAGGAGTACAGAATGGAATGGGTCTATGAAAATGCCGATTCTACTGATTTGGAGAAGCCAGAAGGGAGATGCTAGAATTGTTGGAATACAATAAGGAAACATAAAGAAGAATTGTTGAGCATAATCGATAAATAGGATCATAAATTGTTGACAGAGAAATTGAATGAGATTGAGAAGGGAATAGTGATTAGGAATGAGAATGGGAAGGAGGAATTCTAAAGGATAGAGATCGATCCCAAGAATTACAAGTTTGCTTTGATTGAACAGGAGAAGTTGAGGACTTAGAATGTGATATTGGATTATTTGAGTACTCTGAAGCATGTGCCTAATTATAAGACCATCTTGAAATCTGTCAATTAGATTCAGGCTATGTTGGATGATGCAGTAAATAGGGGTGTTAAGATTGATGCTCATGTTAAGGAGGAGGCTGAGAAGGAGATGGAGAGACTTAGAGCAGAGGTACATTTAAATAATATCGATAGAGAAATCTATAATTCGAGTTAGATAACTTGGATATTGGATTGTCAACACCTGAACAAGTGGTTGTCTTGAATGATAAAGTAGTTATAGCAACGGATAAAGGAGTGGATAAGCAATATATAGATTAGGCTTCGGAATTGAGAGATAAGATGGCAAAGGCTATCCAAGCCAAGAAAATATTGAAGATGTTTAATGAGTATCCTGCTAGAGAGATCCCAGATCCTATCAAATGGGACCCCAAGACCAAGAAACCTATTGATCCAATCACAGGGAAACCGATTGATCCATTGAAATTGGCATTGTAGAATCAGAAGAAGAAAAAGAAGAAGGAACCCAAGTTTGTTATTCCAGAGTGGGCTAATGATGTAAAGTCATTGGATGAGAACATCAAGGGTATCTTTTACAAATGATCATAGGATTGGAGGGATTGTTGAAGGAGGCTGAAGTGCTTAATTTGAATCATGAATTCGTGGAGGAGAGTGTGCAATAAATAAAGAGGATGAAAAATGAGATGAGATACAGGAAGGAAGTGGATGAATAATTGAAATGGATTGCTGATGCCAAGGCTGCTGAAAAAAAGAAAAATAAATGATATATATAATGTATCAATCTAATAATTCAATATTCTTGACTGCATTAATTATGACTTGTTTAGAAGTTTCAACAATTTCTCCGCCGACAATCATTTCGTCCAAAATCGAATACGCCTTGCAATAGTAGCGTCATTATTTACTTTATTGAAGTTGAATACTATGTCTAATTCACACACATTTCCAAAGTATTTGTCCAATACTTCGACATACAAATGTATCAATTCTAGCATTGTTAATTCATTGTCACTCACATCAACACACAAGGCAAAGAACAGTCCTGCGTATCTTTTGTAGATGATTTTATAATTCCTGAACTTAATAATGATGAGACTCTGTACTTCCAAAAAGTTAGTGTGCTTGGTGTCTCTGCAAACTATCAATCGATGGACTTCATTTTGCAATTTCACTTTCTCGGCATCATCATAATACACATACCATTTTGAAAGTCTTGTCTTCCCCTGTCTATTCTACAACAAGATAAACCTAATCTTAAATGAATAACTATCTATATAAGTACCATGATTTTCAAATTTATTTATTTAATTATAATATATATTAGTAATTCATTAAGCAATCCATGGGTGATTTAAGATCTATTAGATCGTCGGTCTCTTATTGCAATCATGTTAAAGGATTCCCTTGACAAAATTCTGGAAATCTGAACTACTCCACTACGGAAACTAATATTACAAATGCTAAATCTTCCTCTTCGTGTCATTCTCATTGTGGGATTCAAAAGGTGGCCTCCCTATTCATGATCTTAAAAATTACCAACTACTAATTCATAAGCCAACACTCCAATTGTCCACACATCCACTCTATTATCATGAGGTTGATAGTTAATCATCTCTGGACATAAGTAGTCTAAAGTACCACATAGAGTCTTCCTCCTATTTGATGGGGTGTGAACACTCCAACCGAAATCAGAAATCTTAAAAACATCATTGTTGAAACACAAAATGTTTTCAGGTTTCAAATCCCTGTGTATCACATTCATTGAATGCATATATCCAATAGCCATTGTTATTTGCTTGATAATATTTGACGCCATTTTTTCATTGAACCTCTTATTCTATTGCTTCTTCATTAAACCATACAAGTCTCCCAAAGGAGCCCATTCTAGCATCAAGTAAACACGCTTTTCTGTTTAAAAGAAGCCATAAAAACTAATAATATTTGGATGTTTGAGATGTGTGAGTATTTCCACTTCCCTGGTTAGAGATCCAGTCAATTAACAGAGATTGAGTTATCTTTTACTTATTACTTTCAAGGCCAGGATAAATTTACTTTCACGCTCCCTAATCGGATATAAAACTTATTTTACCTCGCTAAGTAAACATGTCCAAATTTACCATTTCCCAAATATCTGCCCATTTCAAAATTTCTCAAACTCCATTAATTGGGATCGAATTCTAATCTAAATGTGATTAATACCTTTATCAACTTCATGGAAATCTTCATCCTCACTATAATTATTCCTTGTTTCTTCTTCAATGGAATTTTAAGTCTGAGGTTTCTTGTCCAAATACTCAACCCCACGAGTATTTTCATACGTATTTGTAATTACCGATAGAACCGAATTCGCAGTTTGCCACATCAAATTTAACAGCAAAATTATATTATAATTAATGTCAAGAATCAGTAAAACAATATAACTGATAATATATTTATTCATAATATAGCTATTCTACTGAAATTGCCTGAGTGTAGTAAATATTAATCATAACCCTTACTCAAATAACCTAGCCCCTTTAAAAAGAAATGATTCACTAAAGAGATTTTGATATACATATTTGATCTAAATATTAGTAACAAAAGCATATAGATATAGATTCAATACAAAGACATCTACCTCAAATATATATTATTTTGATTAAAATATTTGAAGAAAGGGAACTCATATACTGTAGAAAGAAAATCAAATCTAAGTACTCTTTATTTTCGTCATTCACTTGATAAAAATTTGAATAACAAGAATCTTACATAATATCGTTATCTTTTCATTCATGCCTGATTATCATATCACACTTTTTTTTCTTAATTCCTTCTAATACACAGTGCATAAGATTGATCAATCTATTTAATGTCAAACATTTCACAAAAGAGACATTCAAAACCTCTAATGTTCCTTTATTTTTTTGACTATTTATTGGGTTAACAACTCAAGCTTCGAAAGGGATAAAGCTTATAGAATAAATGAAAATATTTTATGTAGTTCCAAGAATATGGTAATCTAATTAATGCTAAGTTCATTAAAAGCCATTAGTTTCTCTAAATATATAATTATCTAAGAAGTTCTGCACCTATAAATCATCTCTGCTCTGTATTTAATTAGTAATTCTTATTTCCTTGAATTCAATAATGAGTGCAATTCTGAATGCATTTTGATATACACCTAATGGCATCTTTATCAGCTACTTTTCATTGTTGATATTACTCAACGCAAGCCACTCCTTCACTTCTACTTATTTTTATGAATTGCCATTAAAATTTAAATTATTTATTATGCATAACATCTCAAATTCTAAACTTCAAAAAGAAAATCCTGAATGTCTGGAAAGTCTGGAAAGTATTATCTATATATCGTTACATAGTTCAACTGCTCTCATTCAATAATGAATAGTTTCAATAATTACGATAAATTTGGAAAGACAATCACATTCCCGATTGCCACCAAAAATACTTTTACAACATACTCAAAACCCATGAATCTCAAGCTGTCACTCTGATGAGCTAAGAAATGGAGAGTTTTTAAAATAACCATAGCGTTGTTAAGACATTGCATCAATTGACCTAAAGCAGAGAACATTGCCTCAAAGAAATATAAAAGACAAGGAATATTGGTCTTATGGATTAAGTCAGGCTGATTTCTAAATTCATCTATGACCTTAGGAAATTAACTTACAATTTGATTGAGTTCCATCGTAAATGGAGGAACGCCCTGAGTTCTAAGTATCAATACAATTACAAATGGATCATCAATCGTAGAGATTATTTGCTCAAGATTCTGGATGACTCAGAAGTCATTTAAAAAACCTTACCTAAAATGCTAAGTTACTTCAATCTAAAAGACAAGGACATCTTTTATCTGAGTGTTATCTAATAAGCCCTTACAGAGAATGTCGAATATTATGACTTTCTGGCACAACACCAGATAAAGAAGTCTTCAGTACAAAGAATGATGGATTTGCAAAGATATTTTTAAGAATTAACTGACGAACCTCATAAAGTTGAATCCAATTAGTAAATGGATAATATGTCATTCAGACCTAATACATCCAAATAGTTCCATTCTTAAAGGGCTAAGGTTGACATACCTGCAGTCACTCAATTAGATGATTATCCTAGGACTATGCTTTATGTCAATGAGGATCTTGAGTTTTCAGTATATCACTATCCAGAGAGAGATATCGAAAAGGTGATCGCTTATTGGCAAAGCAAGAATATAATTGAGTTGAATGAAAGCTTCAAATGCCCTATAGCTCATCTTAAAGATGTGATATTATTTTGGCAGGAGGCCACACTCATTTAAATAAATTAATCTGCTTTGTTGGTGTGTTCCATTGATTAGGATAGCAATTTTAGAAGATGGATAATTCATTCGATTTACATCATACAAGAACAACAACAGCAAATTTGGCAACAGTTATTGAATCACATTGTGTAGCATTTAATAAAAATGCTGATTTAAAAAGGAGACAACTTTGGTTCTTTGGTCATCTCATGTAGCAATGACTAGCCAATTAAAACTTAATTGCATAATCTAAAGTTCAGTTTTCTCAAGAACCATTCTTACAATCAATTAAATGTTTCCCATTATGAATAGAAAATACCCTAAGCCTAAGTCAATGTCAAAGAGAGAAGATACTTTACTCCATTGACTTTGAGGGTGGTTCGCGTATTTGCAACTCAAACCCAATCGCAACTGATAACTGATGAGGAGTTGTTGATTGCTTAATTCAGTGCTAATTTGGGGAAGAACAACATCATCCATTTTGAAAACAATATTACTGCTTTACAACCTATTTTGTCTGTATATATTATATTTATATCGATTTTCCGAAGAAGTCAAAATTGTATGGTCAGGAATACGTGTTGGTTCACAAACTCTAAGATATCAAGAACAGATTTTAAGTTCAATTTAACTCCCCTATTGATGGGCCTGTGTATTTCTAAAACTTTGCAATCAAACTCAATTTTCAATACTTCTCAAGTGAAATCCACCGCCACACCAATGCCCCCTACTTTCGTCTGATTTCCGTATTATAATATTTATAGTTATTTAGCATCCTCCATTCAACGAACAGGAGGGTTCCATCTTGGAGTTGACATCAAGTGATGCAAATATGAAACAACGCAAAATCTACTTGGTCTCTACTATCAATCCTAACATCAAGATGTATTGAACACCTCATTAAATTAGATACATATATGAAGTGCAATAGAATGAAATCACTAAATCGANTCTAAAAGACAAGGACATCTTTTATCTGAGTGTTATCTAATAAGCCCTTACAGAGAATGTCGAATATTATGACTTTCTGGCACAACACCAGATAAAGAAGTCTTCAGTACAAAGAATGATGGATTTGCAAAGATATTTTTAAGAATTAACTGACGAACCTCATAAAGTTGAATCCAATTAGTAAATGGATAATATGTCATTCAGACCTAATACATCCAAATAGTTCCATTCTTAAAGGGCTAAGGTTGACATACCTGCAGTCACTCAATTAGATGATTATCCTAGGACTATGCTTTATGTCAATGAGGATCTTGAGTTTTCAGTATATCACTATCCAGAGAGAGATATCGAAAAGGTGATCGCTTATTGGCAAAGCAAGAATATAATTGAGTTGAATGAAAGCTTCAAATGCCCTATAGCTCATCTTAAAGATGTGATATTATTTTGGCAGGAGGCCACACTCATTTAAATAAATTAATCTGCTTTGTTGGTGTGTTCCATTGATTAGGATAGCAATTTTAGAAGATGGATAATTCATTCGATTTACATCATACAAGAACAACAACAGCAAATTTGGCAACAGTTATTGAATCACATTGTGTAGCATTTAATAAAAATGCTGATTTAAAAAGGAGACAACTTTGGTTCTTTGGTCATCTCATGTAGCAATGACTAGCCAATTAAAACTTAATTGCATAATCTAAAGTTCAGTTTTCTCAAGAACCATTCTTACAATCAATTAAATGTTTCCCATTATGAATAGAAAATACCCTAAGCCTAAGTCAATGTCAAAGAGAGAAGATACTTTACTCCATTGACTTTGAGGGTGGTTCGCGTATTTGCAACTCAAACCCAATCGCAACTGATAACTGATGAGGAGTTGTTGATTGCTTAATTCAGTGCTAATTTGGGGAAGAACAACATCATCCATTTTGAAAACAATATTACTGCTTTACAACCTATTTTGTCTGTATATATTATATTTATATCGATTTTCCGAAGAAGTCAAAATTGTATGGTCAGGAATACGTGTTGGTTCACAAACTCTAAGATATCAAGAACAGATTTTAAGTTCAATTTAACTCCCCTATTGATGGGCCTGTGTATTTCTAAAACTTTGCAATCAAACTCAATTTTCAATACTTCTCAAGTGAAATCCACCGCCACACCAATGCCCCCTACTTTCGTCTGATTTCCGTATTATAATATTTATAGTTATTTAGCATCCTCCATTCAACGAACAGGAGGGTTCCATCTTGGAGTTGACATCAAGTGATGCAAATATGAAACAACGCAAAATCTACTTGGTCTCTACTATCAATCCTAACATCAAGATGTATTGAACACCTCATTAAATTAGATACATATATGAAGTGCAATAGAATGAAATCACTAAATCGAATATCTAATAAAACATTAATTAAATCTTTGAGAGGTTTGATAAAAAATAGGAAGGCCTACAAAATATCTGGTTGCCCTTCTTCAAAGCAACAGGTAATTAACTTACATTGCCCAATTCAATTGCGAATGGGTTCTTTTAAAATAATACTGAAATCTCCTTCTGTTATCACAGAATCCCTGGATTTTATTCCATTAGTAATGTGCATGATCTAGACAAGGTGATATAACCACCCTTTTTGATTGGGTTTGTTTAGAATGACATTGAATAAATTAATAAGCCATTATTTTCGATTTTGGTGGAGAAGGATTGCATAATCAGGAGTCCTGAGAGGATTGTGCAAGGGAATCTATAAGGCTAGCAGCCATTGCCCTTACTTTTGCAACCAAGAGACATAGATGGGAAGATTAATGAATTATTGAAACTAACTGTGTTGGAAGTGTAGAAATCATTCAATTCCGATCCTTATACGTTGTCTTACAAATTGAAGTATGGACTGGAAGCAGCACTATTAAATTTGCATAATGGTTATGCTCTCATCTATGTTGATGAGAATCATTTTCATGAGAAGAAATGGATTATTGAATCAATAATGACCAACAATCTTGATAATTTGTAAGGACAGTTGTAGAAATTGAGTGATTACATATTCAATGCAGACATCTACGCTAGTGAAGTCCAAATCAGTTAAGTATCAATCTAATTAAAGTTAGAATCACTATTCTGATTAAGGAGAGTTGGTGGCCAATAAGTAGGTTATGGATTCCATCAAGAGAGCGAAGTTCAAGTGGAGACTAGTGGATAACGATGCCAAGAGTCAACAGAGGAAAACTGTGTATTGTTTAAAGAGACCAGTCCAGGATTTGTATATTAAAATATTAATGTAGTCCACCGAAAAAGGACAATTAGATTTCAATACAGTTTTAGAGTTATTATGCGTTGTAATAGAGTGAGTAGAGAATTAAAACAGAGAATAAATTAGAATATTTCAAAATCAAAGACCATTATTAGTTATTTGAAGATTGTTTTCAATTTCATTTAGAGAGTGATTTCTAGGATGAGAATCCATTTTTAAGAAACAAATTTCAGCAATATCAGGGTTCGTTGGCAAACTCTGATTTTAAAGTGTTGTTGAATTAGAATGAATTGAAATCCCAGCTCTAATTTGATGTGAAATTGCCAAACTTTGATCCACACTTATAGATGGTATGATACGATTATCACACAAATAGATCAATGTGTTTTAAATGAATGCACAATTAAGATTGAAAAGACAGAGACAGGTTACGATTGGCCATAAGAAATACATTGAAATCCCCAACATAATGGGGACGCAGCAGATTTACTAGGCTGATTTATATTAGAAGAATTTGAGAGTTTTCTTTGTGCCTACTTCAGATTCGCTTTCTTATTTCTACTTCATCGAGTTGCACAACTAGCAGATGGCCAATCAAATTAAGCAAGACTATCTGAATATTACGACTATGATATCTTAAGTAATTGTGATGTATTTTGATAGTCATTTCCGTTCAAATACAATCACAGTTGTAAGTCATTGTTGATACAGCAATTCGAAAAGAAGTCTCAGATGAACAAGGATTCTAATTTCTTGTTTGTTGAGTTTGCTTTGAGCAGTCAGTACACAATAGAACCATAGGTGGTGTTGGAGGAGAAGAGTGATGATTAATTATGGATTGTGTAGTTGCCAATAGTGTGTGGAATAATACAAACGAATGTGAGAAATCAATACGAGAGACCATTAATTGCATGGATAATCGAGAATTGATATATTTACTTGATCATACAATAAATTTAATACATTAAAAAATGATGCCAATTCTTTAGAGAAAGAGAGATTACTTCTATTAGATCAAATAGTTGATTCTCAACATGCTTGATAATATCACATAATCATTCGAGTCTCTTTGCAAAGTGGCTGATGATCAACAATCCCTCAAACCAATTGATAATGCAATCAGATTTATGGATCAATATTATGATTGCATCTAATTTGTCAAACAGGATTATGTAACCAAAGAGATTCGCTTTAAAGAGAAATAGAACGTTAAATATCGCAAGCATCCCTCTGACATCAATCACATTTGGGCTTCCCAAGATTAAATATTATCATGCGGCTAAGAGGTTTACTTGCACCAAAAACAAAACAAATGCATTGTTATCAAGAACTCCACTCTTCCTGTGTACACTGGACTTATATTGCCAGATGGCAGAGTGCTGATAGGAGGCGAAGAAAAGGTTGTTAAAGTTTATTAATAATTTAATAATCAATATGTTGAAGTAACTTAATTGAAAGGGTTTTCAAGAGCCATCAGTACTATAGTGATGTCTCAAAATCAACACTACTTTGGAGTCAGCAGTTTCGATGGAAGAATAGCATTATTCCACACCCAAACTCTAAGCAAATTGGGCACATGGACAAATGATTTAGGATCTGTCTACTCCATATCATTTAGTGTCGACAATCAATATGTGGCAGCAGGAAGCAAGAAGGGAATTGCCATATGGGAAATCAAAAATGACAACGACACTATTACAGCTGAATTAACCCAATCACTTAATACGAAAAAGAAGGTCAGATCAATTGCCTTTTCATGCAAACAGAAATTCCTTGCTGCAACACATAAAAATGATATTCTACTATATCATTACTATATCGACGACTTCATGATCTATCAAACATTGCACCATCACAACGACATCGTGAATTGTGTATCTTTTGGACAAGACATCTTGATATCTGGAGGTGACGACTCAACTCTGTGTTTTTGGTCTAGCAGTATCAAAGGATATTGGATGTGCTATTAAGTGATTTACATGAATTGTTGTGTCAACTCAATTGCACTAAATCCCCAATAAACAGATCTATACTGTGATTGTTTTGATAGTATAATTCATTATAATTAAATTTGATATAGCCTTCACAATTTTGGATTGTAATAAGCTGCTGCAGCTGCTATCAATTTAGAATCCTAAGTCTTTAATACATTGTCCCATGTAAAATCTTGGATCACCAACTTTATTTATTCTCCTTCTCCTTCTGCCCCATGTGTCTTCTAACACAATTCATCCAATAATGCCTATTCCATATTCTTCTCAACAACGAACAAATGAATCACCTCATCACTTCCTCCTGGAGACACCAACATATCTTATAAATAACGCATCTCATTGTGTTAAATGCTGATTCCTGTTTCCTCCTTGATCTCCTTTGCAGCCACTCCTCCAAAATCCCCCTATTCATCCATCATCCCAGCAGGTGCTTCTATTGTAAACTTACCCACAGGCACTCTAAATTGTTGTGTAAGCACCATCTTCTTGTTGACCAATAAGAGAATTGCCACTGCATCTCCTCTCAAAAACACGAAGCCTGGCAACTTAATCCCATTCAAGTATGCATCAACTATTAAATTGACAAAGCCCACATTTTATCCAAACATGTACACATAGGATACCTCGATTTGTTTCATTTCAACATTCGATTGTTCCCAAGATTTAATGTAATTTTAAAATTTCTTAGACTATTCAATCTTGTTGAAATGATCAATCAAAACACCCTCTCCTTTGATAAATGGGATATTTTATCCTCTTATTAAGATATTTCTTATCATTGAAAACACTATTAATATAATTATGATAAACCAAATTTTTAATGAAGAGATGAGAACTAGCAAAAAGCTCAAGATCAAATTCCAAAAGAAACCTGGAATGAAGGACTCCTAACTGATAATGCAACACCTTGCTGAAAGCGTGGCCAGAGAATCTCAGAAACTTGAACCAACTCCGAACCCCTTTTTACAGGAATCGAAATTGCAAGAACAAATTTCTGAACGCCGAAGACAAAGCTCCGTCCATCAAAGTGATTGGTTTCTGAATGATCATCCTCTGGCCCAATCCAATTATTTTACACCTGCAGATAGAATCACCTTTGGATAGAGCATTGATAATAGAGATAGATCTTATGATCGATTCTAATCCAATTGGTACTTGCTATTCATGTAATCTCTAGCTCTCTAAAATCTTCTCTTGCATCCAGTCAATTGTTTTCGATTCCCAACAAAGTAACCGAATTAATTGGCCATTACCCTGATTACTTAAAAATCTTATCGGATGACATCCAAAATCAAAAGACCAAAATCTGTGTCGATTGCAACAGACTCAAAGATCTCATCTCAGAAGAAATCGATAAAAAACAAACTGAATTGTTGACTGCCCTAGATTAGATTCTAATCAACTATGAATTCAATTATCAAACTTTGCAAGAAATGGTCAATCAATTCAAATAATCCTTTTTGCAAGTCCCCTCAGCATTGAACCGATCAATCCCTGTCAATATTTCATCCATTACCATCTTCCATTACGATCAAGACGAAAACTACAAAAAGATCAAGGAAGAGAAGTGTCTCATCAAACAAAGGTTGTCCAACATAGATTCAGAATTGATGAAACGAACCCTCATCTTCATGGCCGAAGACATGGACAATCAAATCACACACAAACCAGGCTATCGTCACACTGAAACCTTGCAATTGAAATATGATGACTTTCAAAAACAACTCATCAACTCCGTCTCAGCCCAATTGAATGAGATGAATCTCGTCCTAGAAATTGCTCCACAGTACAATTATGAACATCTATTACTATTGCCCAAGGTTGAAACTGTCATCGCCAATAATCGCTAGAATGCAATTGGAGGAGATAGAGACATGTAAGAGTTGGAAAACCTAAAGACCCTCATCTAGAACAAGTTGAAATCCCAAAAATTCAACATGAACATCAGTTTGGGATTGGGACAGAGCATGAAAAACTTCGGATTGAAGTTAGAGTACAAATACCAATCCAATAATCCTTTGTTAAGTATTTAAGCAATAACCGACAACATTATCGCAGTTGGAAGCAGAAATGGGTTAGTTTAAGTATGGGATCTGAAAAACAAGGAGCAATGCTTCTCAATTCAAAATAAACAACCTGTCACTTGCATGAGGATATTCAAAGGATTTCAGGGAGATTTCAATGTCACTTCGAGAGCCAATGTGTTGGGAGTAGACTTAAAGGAATAGCAATATCTTGTGACAGGCAATCAGGACATCAAGATATGGGATATCAAGACTGGAGGCATGATAAAACAATTGAAAGGACAAGGAAATGTAATTACATCGATGTTATGTCTATTGGATAATCATACTCTACTTAGTGGACATGAGGATGGTAAAGTAACACTTTGGAATGCCTATTCTGGAATGATAATGAAGAAGTTGTAAGATCATAGTGATTCTGTGAATGGCATAATATTGACCAAAGACGGAAGAGTGATCACAGGAGGCAGTGATAAATGTATCATTATATATCAGATACACTATGTGAGATCGCAGATTTATACGAGACAAGTGTTTGGAGATGCTTTGAAATAGCAGGTGCTTCATGATGAGTGTCAAATTTACTGCATGCAAGCATCAATGATCGATGAAGCTCTGTTTGTGACTGGAGGCAGTGATTGTAAGATTAAGATATGGAACTTGAAGTCTCAGAAGGTTGAGAAGGAGATCATGGGTCACAAATAACCAGTTGGAGATTTCGTGATGTTGGAGAACCCTTTGGATGTCGATAAGGAGAAGATGTTTGCTTTAGTTTCAGTGGCGACAAGTGAAGATGTGCTACGGATATCGACATCCATAAGTCCACTCAATAGTGGAGTGTATTTAAACGAGAAAATAGTGAATGAATTCGGTGCTACTTGTGGACCTCTATTGTAGTTATTGTAGGATAAGGAAGGGTTGAGACTCTTGGTTGTGAATTAGGATGAGGACAATTAGAGTTTCATGATTTTAAAATTACAATGAAAGAATATCATTCTTTTAAGGGGGATTCGATTTATTTTTCTTTCAATAATTTCCAATCAATCTAGCAGAAGTATTTATGTTGCATAATTAATTCGATTCTTGTTAATCTCTCCAGAGGATCCCATTTCAAAAGGTTCTCAATGAGATCCTACAAATTAGGGTCTATTTCCCTTGGAAATTGTTTTACATTCTATTTCTTCATTTGCTTGAGTATCTCTACATCTCTGTCATCATTCTCAAAAGGGTAACTATCGAACTGCAATTTGTATAGCAGGGCACCCAAAAGCCACCAATCTCCACTCTAATCAAACAGCATCTCCATGGCTTCGGGAGGGAATATGCGTATTTCTTCATATGTATTAATTTTAAAGAACACTGTCTTGTTACTAGAGAACCCGAAGCCAATCAATCTGATATAACCATCTTCTGCAATCAAAATGTGTGAGGGATTCAAGGCTCGATAGATGTAACCAGCCTTGTGAATCTCGTGAATTGCTAGTACGATTTGTGCAGTGATGAATTAAATCTAAATGGCACTCAACTATTTCTTATAGACTAATTGTTCAAGATCGCATACACAATTCTCCAATTCAAAGGTGCATGTTTAAGGAGTGTTCTTGTATTGGATCAATTTACAAATAAAAGGAAAGCGAACATTAAGTAAAATTTATTTCTGCATTTCCAGCATCTCTTACGAGAAGAAGATGCTCTTGTTGATTTTCTTAATTACTACTTGTCTATCATCTCTGAAGCCTCTTTCAATTCGATGAGTTGAGTCACTAATTAACTGTATGGTGACATACTTACTTGCAAATCAGAGTAAACAGATTCGCTTTTTTCGAGTCGTTTCAAAGGCTTTTAACTGTAATGGAAGGATTCGCTACTAGATTTCTGTTGTTGTATAATACATTACTCATCAATTTCTTTCTATGAACAAAAATTTCCCATAATTATTTTAATAAATATTATTTATTTAACCATATTCAAAATGAACTTTGGTAGAAATTTTTGAATATGATCTTATGAATATCTTAATTTACTATGATTAAAATTAACATCCCGATTTAAATTAACAATCGTATTGATTGATTCTGTTGATAATCTAATTTTCAATAGAAATGCCCAAATGGCAGTCTTCTGACTCAAGAATCCCTCTCTTACTCAATTTTCCCTGCTCATTGAGCAACCCTCATATTAAATTCTCATCTATATATATATATACGCCTGCACATTAAATGATGATCATGAATGCTCGTGCTTGAGATGCTGAAAACTCAATTGGCTGGTTTTCACCAATAAATAGTTCATTAGAATGGTGTTTGAGTGTCATTTCTGAAGGAGTATTTAAAATACTCAACATTCTGATGAAATACGATGTCTGATGAATACTTTGAATTTTGAATTAAAAATTTATCTATAAATGCATCTATCGATTATGGAATTTGGTTATATTAAATTAACAAAACAATGTCATTATCACAGGATATGATCAACAATACTGATGATGGATTGTCTGCAAGCAAAGTAGAACTAGTCAAGTACCCAATTTTGAATCCAGCAACTCCTCCAGCTCAGTATGTACAAATGAACGACGCCAAAGAAGGCATCACTATTGCCAAACAAGAGCCAGAGACATCAAGAGAGACCTTTCTTGTGGAGTACTACAAGAAAATCCTAAGATAACACTTGAGTATCCTAGGATTGTTCACTTTTGGGTAGATGGAGTGGTTTGCAAACATTGTGGTGGACTTTGGATACTATTACAACAGTTTCCGATGGACTTTCTATACGTTTGTAGTAACACTCATCATAATCGCCCTGGGATTGCCCATTACAAGGTCGTTAAGAACAATAGTAAGATATCAATTAATATCTTTAGGTGAAACATTAGAATTCTATATTCCATCTCCAGACAATCTTGATAGGATTCGTGCTTATCGGAATAGGCAACGAATTTACTGGTGGACATTCAACAGCAACCATTTGGTGGATCATCATTACCTTGATAATCCTCATCGCACACAGCATAGCCCAAATCGTGCTTGTCAAACGCAACATCACCCACTACTACACCATGTTTATGAAGTTAGCCATCATGGGATCAATAACAATCAACTTTATAGTCGGATTGTGTGCATCATCCTTAGATAGTTCATTCCCAGTTGCCGAAGCCATCATCATATATTCCATCTATTATTTCAATTAGTTGAATGAGCAGCTACTCAAAAATCCAAGTGAACTACCAGAAGATGTTTCAATAGTGGAAAGAATATAAATAATTAATAAAATTTAAGCACTTTTCAATTAGGAAGCCCAATCAAATCAAGTTATTGAATAAATCAAAGGCACCCATTGCGTAGTCAACAGATATATTGCCATAGTCATTTCAAGCGTTGTTGCATACATTTTAATCCTCATCCTCAGCATCGTCACTGGAAATGCACTCTTCATTGTGATTGTGGTTGTGGTCTCAATATCACTCTTAAGCGTTGTACTCAACACTTAAGTGGCTTCAAGAGTACTATATCATAATCATTCTTAGACTCTCCAATAAGAGGACGTAGCCTATGCAGTGTGTTTGACCTATTTGGATCTAGCCAGTCCACTCAAGAACATTTTGAGAGGAATCATATCCAATTGATGACTTTATTTGTCATTAAAACATACATATACCATTATCATTATATTTTATTATCCTTCTTGGTTTTAACCTAACAATTCCTATAAATCAAATAATACTAATTTGACAAAATTAAATTGATATTTTTAAATAATCAACATTCTTAAAATGTTTAAGAAATTGGAACTCCGCCTGATTCACTATAATTAAGACATTATCGAACTATAACTATCTGGTTACTATAACAGTTTCTACGAATTTCTTCAATCCCTCGGATGACTCAATAGATAATGCAAATTCTATATTGTCTATAACTTCAAGATCAAGAGTTACAGAGCCAAGCAATCCTTTTAGATCTTGAAAATCACATGAATCAATTGATCTTGACTCCCCCTACCTCAAATCACAGTCTTAATAATAGGAACTACCCTTACTATTTGAAGTTTTGGAAAAATAGAATTTAATTTGTCCTAATCAAATTTTATAAACTAATTCAAGGCTGTTGTTATTATTACAATATACTCTACTCAAATTAGTCCAGAAGTATTAGGGAAAACAGGATACTATCTAAATGTATTTAATCCTAGCCAGAGGTTTATGATTTACTAAGACATTGTTTATCATTCACTTAACTTTAGAACCCATTCGCATCAAGTTTATTTAATTTAACTAATTTAGATTCTTGTAAAATCTGATAGATGTTCTGAACACATTTCAATGGAATTGCAAGATCTAATTGAAAAATAACCTCCATAAACCTAAGTGCTTATTTCGAGATGGAAGGATTAAAAATATAATAGCCTGATCAATATTTATAAACACTGGTAAGATATAAAAAAGTATAATAATTAAATTAATGTAATTTTCAGCAGATCCACAATATTTTGAAATGTCCAAATATCCCAATAACTTGGGCTAATAAACTGTAAATCCAGTGATGAATCCTATTGTTCCTTAAGCTAATCTGTCTACTCAGCCCAATATTTCAAGTGGGAATGATCCTTCTAGTCCAGAATAGACTAGACAAGCATTCCTCTTTAAATATTACGTAAAACAAATTATACAACTTGCTGGGATCGCCTTAATCTATGGAATCAATTAAATTAATGCTTTGTCCTCAATATATTTAACTGAAGTAAATAGAGAATGGTGGGGATCAAAATATACATATGAGAGTTAAAGGGAATCCTTTCCTACACGAAGGGAGTTTGAAAATTGGATGGAAGAAAGAAGAAGAGAATACATGGACTATAAGTTCAATTGGGTTTACTACTTTATATTGGCTCTTACCATATTCTTCTCTCTATTCCTTGTCTTTACTAGAAATTCTAAGTCTTCTGTATACATTCTATCTTATTAATAGGTTCGGAATTAAAATACATTCTTCACGATTCAAACAGTCTTATTAGGAATTGTGTTTGGAGGATTGTCTAGTGTCCATTAGTAAAACTGGCAATACCATAATACAGTATTATTCATTCTCTTGACATTGTTTGGATTAATGGCCAATGGTATTTTTAATTTAGTATTGATCAAACTTAATAAATTGTAAATTTATGGAAAATTGCCCAAAACTTTTACTTATCTATTTTTTGGATTGAACTTTTTGATGGGATTCAGAGAATATGAAATGGTTGAAGCTTTACCAATAGTCGAATTTATTGTGATCTACTGCTTTTTTTATTTTGATCAATTAAATAAATCCCTTTTAGTGTAACCCTCAGAACTCCCACCAACAACAAATATCGTTGATCTCCTTAGAAATATTAAAATTGAATTGAATGAAAATCAAGTTTAGTCTAATTAGAATTTTATAGTGATAAATAAGAAAGTATTGACAATTGTTTCTATTGGGCTTGGGCTCATTCTTCTGGAATTGCTGGGCTTCTTGTTAGGCACCTTTATATTCATAGTAATTTCAATTTTATCCGTGCTTACAGCGCTTAGTTTTGCTGTTCCTACATAAGTTGCTCAATAAGTATTTAACTTTAATATATTTTTAAAGACTTTGACAATAGAAGATTCAAGCATTGCCGTTATGATGACTTATTTAGATATCTTGTGTCCAATCCAAAATCTAATAAGAAAGATTAAAATATGAGACATCATATAAAAAAACAAGGAATATTTATTAAAATTATGTTAAATAATCATCTAAAACTTTTAAGTGGTTATTTTTATCATCAATATTAATGCTTTAAAGACTTTGATTAGCATTTTTCAAATCTTTAATGTCAGTATTTTAAGTGACTTCTGTTAACATTTCTGTGACTTAATCAGTCTCTTTGTAAGTAATCGAATGTGAATAATTTTTGGTAATGTTTACCTTCTTGTTAATTTTATTATTTTGACAATCCTTATCTGACAACAGTGGTAACTTCTACAATCACGGAAATAGGAATTTCTATAATCACTATTTATGATAATTAATCAAATATTAATTAGGTAAATCACGAATATCCATAATAATTCACTTTTACTAGAGAGAGATTAAATTGTAATTACTCAAAATAGATGGAATTCAACTTAATTATTTAAATAGTAATATAAAATAATGTCAACTGGTTCAAAAGAGTTCTCTTTCTTTCTGCAGTTGCATATGCTTGACAATTTCTCTTTTTGAATTTACACTGTCTTTCAATGTTATCATAATTAGGTTTGAAATTTCCTAAATTGTAAATCTTATCATTACTTTAATTTCGTGTTAGAAATGCAGTCCAAATTAAGATGCAAAACTATTCCAATTCATCTATATATTCAACATGATGGCACTAGTGTAGAGAGAAGCACAGGCGATTTTGGATGGCTCATATTTGATGATATTGATATTGTAAACTGCCACATCTAACAAGAGTAAGGAATAGGTTAGCCAATTGGAAGTCTTCTCTGCAATGTTAATAATTGTCCAATAGTAGTTTAACCAAACATAGGAGGATGCAGTGACCAACTTAAAATCGAGAATGCATAATAATTCTTTTTCGATCTAAAATATCTCTTGCATCTCGTCTCTGTCGTGTGTATATCTCCACAACGGACTTGGATAGATCTAGTAAAAGAGAATCGAATACTTCTTCGTACTTGGACGCAACAAAATAGCATGTCTTGTATATCGAATCGATTTGAGCGGTAAATATTCTATTTGTACTTAAATAAACATCGAGCAAATAAATGGTTTGATGGAAGGTTCTTCGCTAAGCCTTGTGAGCAGTGCATAACTTATGAACTTCGTCTATCTATTAAGGTTATGTGGGGAGCAATACCATCTAAGCTCTCATTTCTGGATTGAGATCAGATTGGATATCTGAAAAATAATTGGGATTAAGAAAGGACATGTTAACATTCTAAAATGATCAGAACACTTAATTAACCTGTTGTGTTTGTAGAGCGAAGTAGATCTGCTTGATATACAACAAAACTTGTTATGGATCATGAGTGTGTTTTGACTCTTTCCTCTTGAATGCATTGGGAGGTTGAATGTAGTAATTAGAGCGATCTGTAAAAGGTCTTATCATTTTTTAGATGTACTCCATTTAAATAATTAAATGATTAATAAGCAGAAAAATAATAAATTTGGTTATTTGGTTTGAATAGCACTATCAAGTTTATACTAAATATCGAATCATTATTAATATTTCATAATCAATTAGGATTCCTGTGTTTGCATTGTGAATTCTATAAGTATGACATTGAACGTTTCTTATTAGTGGATATATATAGATATATATATAAATTTAAACTTGTTAATGATAATAATAATATTAATCAAATAGGCAAGGGAATATCGTAGATGAAATTATTTATCATGATCAATGCAGCCAAAGGTTAATCCATTGGAACCATATGCCCAGCATTTCTTATAGTCACAAACCACAATCCATCTAAGATCCATACGTTACCTGCATTCTAATCTTCTCCACTTTTATTGCCTGGAATAGTCCAAGATCTCCATGGCTCAATTGTATGCAAACCTAAAATATATACTTGTATTCTAACCAATTTCATTCTACAAATTATTCAACCAGAAGAATGTTCCTGTGATTGGCACTACACCATCCACATCTCCACTAAACTTAAGTATTTTGAGTCCACTCTTAATCAATTTTGGATATAAATAATAGGTTGCTCTTGGATCCTTAGTGTATTTGATGGTGCTACTGCAATCCTCCCACTCTTTGGTCAGTTTGGATGTGTCAACGTTGATGGCTTTGATGAATTCAGGATTGGTAAAGTAGTAGAACAGTCCTTGGGCTTCAGAACAGGAGGGGACTGTTCCTGGTTGCCTATCAAATGGATCAAGAGTCATTATTTTGGATCTCTGGATAGTTTCTCCGTTGAATTTGGTGATTGGCATTTGATAACACTTTCCATAGATGTTGTAGGGATTGTAATAAAATTCGCTATTCTCATATGGATATTGGTTTACTAGTTGAGATTGATTTCCTCTTGGGTTTTGGCATAGAGATCCTTGCAATACTGGGTGGTTGAATTGAAGCAATTGTCTCTTTGGGCATCGATTTCTTCCCACAACTTCTCACTTATCAAATGATGACTGTGCATGAATTCGAACTTGTGAATAGGGAATCTCTTAGCCTCAATAGTACATTCGGTGTAATCTGTACAACCATTTCCAATCATCAATCCAACAAGATTTATTCTCTTGCTTGCTATTTTATTATATTCTATGATCTCATTCGCTAATAATGGAATGTAAGTGCCAGCATAACTCTCTCCGCTGATATAAAATTGATGAGTGCTAAGTTCAGGAAACTTATTAAAGAATTGGATCACTGCTTATAAATTGTCTTTGGCCGAACTTGCGTCACTAGTGTGCTCATCACCATATGAAAATCCAACTGTGGCTGGAGATTCCAAATAGAACATGTGAGCCTAGACATTCATTATAAATGTCTTACAGTGTTCGTCCATGAGTAGGGATTGACTCTCAAGTCATTTGTGCCTAAATTGAATACAAAAGGACCATTCTCATTCAAAGCACCATATAGTGAAGAACACCCAGGCCCTCCATTCAGCCATAAAATTACTGGACTTTCATCGGTCAAATTCTTGTTTTGTTGTGGAAACATGAAGTAATGAAACTATTTGCTCCCATCATCAGTAATTCTCAAATATCCCGAAAACCTGTGATTGTTATAATCTTGTTATTATACCATTATCCTGTATAGGGAATGTTGAATTTAGCGTAATCTTTCACTAAATCCTCTGTTGGAAAGCAGAATATTACTGCGATACTCAGAAATAGATACAAATTCATATTATATATTAAAATATTATAATTTCGCACAATATATGTTTGAATTAGAATATATATACTTATACTCCTATCTATTCCATTTAATTTATTTCATATAACAAATCCTGAAGGATATTACATCAAAATACTAAATATATATATAATAATCATAACAATGTTTGCATCGATGAACAACCTTTCATTTTAGTACTTTGCTATCTCTTGAGTATTCTCGCTTGTATTATGTCTGCTTGTTAATTCAAATCCTATCTAACCTTTTGATCCGTACTTGTAGTATTAGTTGTAAAATCTGTGACCATAGTATTGAGCATTTCAGCTAGAATAAATGCGAATGGATTATACATTGCTAATCAGCAGCTTCATGCAACTTGATTTAGAGGGTCACTTATTTGGATCTGAGTTTCTTATCCATAATCTATTGATCGGACAAAAGTGGGGGAGGCAGGTCTGAGATGGAGGATCTCTTCACAGGACTGATGGTCTTGGAAGACTCAATTTCTGATCTGGAATTGATAATGAGCATAAGTGTTTTGGTTTCACTCAAAGCCTATTGAATCTTATCCAAAAAGTAATATTTGATAGGATCCTGTATATTATCAAAATACTCCACGCACTTTCTATTGATGATAATATGCACTCATTTACCTATACATAGCAAGAGCCTATTGCACAGCATCAAGTTGTGGTTCTTTGATTATGGCCTTCTCAAGAGATAGGAGATTATAGTAGAATTGTCTATTAATAGAACTTCCTTGTACAGGAAGAGGCTTTTCATTGTTAGATTACCTCATAATTTGTTAATTATAAATAATGTTAACATTTTTATCATTTGCACTCATTTGCTAAAAAAAGTGAGATTATTTTATAGTATGGTCATCTCATCCTTTTGAATTTTGAAAAGGTCCTACAATTCTTTGCCAATAGGCTTGGAAATTTGTTTGTAAGTGGACAAGATATTCTTGATGTTCTGAATCATAAACTACTTAACCAACATTTCATTTTCTTCGCTGATTTTTTCTTGGAATGAATTGAATTCCAGATGGGGGTTTAAAGAGAATTCCTATTCAGTCAGAAAGTATATCCTGAGATACCTAAAAGAGTAAGGCATAAATGTTACTGCAATAGTTGCACATTGATTTTGTTAGCATACAAGGTCTATCTTTCGATGTTGGTGATTTCACTCTGTCTCAACCACTTCTGCTTTTAATCAAAGAGCTACTCAGTATAATTAATGGCTTTAGTGAAATCCAAATCTATGGGCATTTCATTATATGGATTGTCCTCCACGGTAATTCCATGTCTCATGAGTAGATCGTGATTACTCAAATTGCCATAATTAATGGTTAATTTCTATTAACATTGGGGGGAGTATTTTTACATCGCCTGGTTCAATTTGTTTTTTGGCACTGATGTCAACGAAACTCATGTTTTCATGGCTCAAATAACAACCATCCAAATAACAATTAGGGTCGAAGGAGTGATCGAACTGTTAAACTATTGGACATACAATTTAGACTGATTGCATGTCAAAGTATTTAGGCTTTCTAGAATTTATTGATATTGGTCATACTGTGGATTGAAGCAAATTAAGGAGGCTCTGACAGCTTGGAACAATTTCAAAAATTCAATTGCTGTCAAACCGTAAACTTTGCTCAATTGCAATTCATTATACATGGATTGACATTGAAGAAGAGTGCCTTCTATCAGAGAACCCAAATTCCTTGAGGATATCAAATCAATCACTGTTTGAGGCCACAACAACGGAGTGTTGGGAGGTTGAATCATGTTTGCAAATGGAGAGTGAGTTAGTGATTGGTCCTTCTGGTGCACGAACACTTGCAGAATAATTTTGAGCAACCCTGTGACCAAATACTACTATTCCACTTTTCCACCACAGATTTTGTGAGCTATTTGTGATGCTATGGTCTAATTGATTTGCAACTACATACCTGAAGTTCTTGGGATTTCCGGGTGTCACAACCGACGAATTCCACACTTGTGAAACACTTCTCTGTCGATATAAGCATTATCTACTGATTTGCCTTTATTTGCTAAGCCGCATACATCCCCTTTCTGTAATCGATGGATTGCATCACTCGTAAATAAGTTGGAGGCATCTTCAACCACTTCAAATACTATTGACCCAACAAACTGCCATAATTAGATGTCAGCCCAGCTATTAATTTCTCTTGCATTTAATTATTAATTATAATTAAATGCCTTAATTATTTATATATATATAATTATATATTATATATATAAAATATATAAATATATGCATAAATACCAAAGCATTTCTTGATATTTAGATAATATATCTCACGCATATTTATTAAAACCTAATTCGTTTATATTTATTTAACACACGTTCATTTCCCCCCTCTTTCTAACTATCTACCCCCAAAATGTCGTTTAAGCCATCCTGGTCTCATCTGCTATCGACTTTAAGTTCAATGACATCGGTATTCAACTTTTTGCTCTCCTCTGTCCTCCAACTCCCACAATTACACTGTTTGAAGAGTCTCCTTTCATTCCCCATCGAATAAATTCAAATTGTATAACTTTTTGAAGGTCCCAATTTTCAATGGATCAGAAATTCAAAAATCATAAGTTTACTAAATGCAAAACAAACATAAATGAGAATTAATAATCAATTGAAGTAAGAATGGACTCTGTACACAAATTGGGATAACAAGTCTGTTATTTCTGGAAAAAAGTTCATCTCATCTATGATTTAAGTTAGATCACTGCATTCTACTCTGTCGCTATCTCGCTTGCAATTCAGCTAGCTGTACTCACTATTAATCAATAAATGTATAAACATACCTTCCCAATGTCTAATCCCATCTGAATCGAAGGTATTTATAATATCTATTCTTTATTGCATTTTGGTTCCTATCAGTAAAGTATTTGGCTATATCACCGAACTTTGGGCCATGCTCGAGTACAAGAGATAAGATTTTTTTGTCTTCCTCGAAGTTGAATGGATTATTATTATTCATATCTGTTATTTTATTGTTTCTTCTCTTCTTTTTGTAATGGAAGTCCACCCTCTTCTTCTTCTTCTTTATCTTCTTGCCCTGCTCATTTAGGGGAGAAACATCCAATTCCATAAGTTGTGTTAGAGAAGGATTTTCCTGATTCATGTGAAGTAACGAAGAAGAGTTATCCTCATGAGACCCATCTTCCCTTTCCAACTGCAAGAAGTTGATGTAATTTAATTCGTTTGCACAATCTTACATTAAATTTAATATGAAATTAGCATTTTACTGCATCGGCATTTATATTATTGAATAATTATAAAATCTTTTTTTATTTGCATATATTAATACAGTCTTTGTAATACTTATAAATTAATCGAATATTGTTCAGTTGGTAAAGATACTTTCCATTTAATTAATATTTAGTAACTTTCTATTATTGCATATGATTTATTATACGCATTAGTATTAACAATGCTTTTTACCTAAGCAAATACAAAGTATTCCATCTCTCCTTCAACTTTGTATTCCAAAAAGTATACTTAAGTAACTAAACGTGCTACCATTACAAAGTACCACAGAAACTGTGCTTTTTACAATTATTTCTTAAAATCAATCAGGGAACTCGAATCCCGCCCCCAAGACTACCCTACATTGTCTGTAATAGGAAAATATAACTTTTCAATATTTTTCATACTAGTCTTACAATATGAATTTCATTTTTCAAGATTAATCAAATTTCTTTGTCAGTTTATTTGTGATTTAATAAAACTCATTATTGTAATGTTCTAACTTGTATTAAAATGGTGATCATTTGGTGGCCAAATTCGAGAACAAAGAGGTAGAAATATAGAACGATACATAAAATTGCATTACCAAACAAATAAAATTTCTTATTTTTTTTCATAATATTTTTTATTCCTTTGAATAAGAGACAATTTTTATATAATTATATTGAAGTAATTGTAATTCCTACTTTAGCTCACTCTTATCTAATTATAGCAGCATGAACAGAATGCTGTGCGAAGAGAGAAGTTATAATGAACTTTTGATTGATTAACACTAAAATTAATATATATTATTAATTAAATATGAATTAAACTGCTCCAGTTCTCACTATATAAAAAAGGAATTACTTACTATGCGCTTGTTTAGCCTCCATTTTTGGAGGACATTAATTAAACCTACCACCCAAGGTGTACGTTATATAGGTAGAATTCATCTTAAGGATTAGGTTATAATTTAATTAGCAGCTGTAATTCAAACCTACCTCATTGCAAAACTTGTCGATAACTACGTTGTTGTGTTAGTAGTACCTGCATTTATCAACTCGATACTTTAGATCATCATGAATTGTTTCATAGGGGAGTAGCATCGCAAGTCAGGAACATTGGTTGGAATGTAGATTGGATTACTGTTATTTTAAACTTTAGGAACTGCTTCAGCTATCAAATATGAAGGAACCATTATTGACGTAGTTGTATTTTTTTTCTTGTTTCCTCGTGAATAAAATGTTGAACTTGGATTTACTCAAATGGAATCATACTCCAGATCCAGTTACGCTCTCTTGTTTCTAACGCTGATTCTAATTTTGACTCATGTAAATAGAATGATCGTAGCCAACATAATCAGGTACATCTATTATTTCACACCAATACTCATTTGGATGGGGTTGTTTGGATAGTTTTCCCAATTGTATGTATATTTAAGAATTGAATTAGTTTAGAGTATGTGGGTGAACAATTCAATTTTCTAATGGGATCTTCCTATCAATCAAGTCAGAAACGCACATATTTGACAGTATTATTAAATGTTGCATTGATTGCCATTTGTTTAGGATTTTCATACCTAGATGAGAAGAGAATTGCAATAATTATAAGTGGTTGTTTGATAAACATCAAAATGTTCAACATTTTTGGATCCGTAAATGAAGATCAGAAACAAATTTACAAGCAGCAGAACCTTGATAGATCATATCTGTGTTACAATCTACTAAGTTCATTTTTGAATACAGTATTAATCATTTTATGCGGGACTTTGGCATCCTCTTACTATAAGGAATTATATTATGCTATTATTATTCTCTTTGTAATCTACATGATAATTCAATTCAAATTTCAATAATATGTGAAATACTATAAGATCTTTTATGCTGCCATTGAATGTGCTTGTATATCCATGATGGATTATGAGTTCGAAGGCATCTTCGCTTAAAGGTTGTTTGAATGTACGACTATAATCAGATTGTACAGTCTGATCCACTCAAATCCAACCTATTTATTTTTTGAATAATTAGTGTGTTTTATAGTTTCATTCACCACAAGCTATTCGATGGCCTACTGTTAATTGCTTGGGTTCTTGGTGTAGATAGCTTTGAGATTTGGATTAAGGCTGAAATCTCGATTTGTAATATGGATTATAGCAAAGTAACTTTCAATTAAAGTAGATTAGTTATAAGATGTTGACAGTGAGGAAGTAGAAAGTAAATGGTGCAGCACTTATAACATCTTTGTAATTATTGATGTGTCCAATAACATTCTGTATTATGCTTATTTCCAGTATCTTAGATAGTCCTTACATGCCATTTTTGGGATTGCCCATTTTCTATTTTGCATCTTTGAGACCTTTTAGAAATACAATCCATATATAGAAACACTTGAGCAATTCAACAGAGGGCTAAATTTACAATTTCTATTTGAATTAGTCATACAATAGTTTATTGGGCTCTCAACCTTTGTGGAGTCATTATTTAATACGAATAGGGAAATACCTGGGGATAGTGTAAGTCTTAGAATATTAAGGAGGGTACGCAGTCATTTAATTTAAGGGTTTGGAATCCTAGGAAACTACATGCTGTCATGGAATAGAAGCAAGAGAAATTGATAGATTGGTTGATGCTTAAGATTGTGGATCATATTTTGGAAGTGCCTTAACATTACAAAATCAATTCTCAGTTAAAAGTTATGAGGAAAATTAGTTCATTTTAACAGGGACGATAGAAGCCACTGATTTTGTGAGTGGATTCAAAAAGATATATTTAAAGATGTTATGTTATTATTTTGCTTAAGAATTAAATGAGACTAAAAAGAATTCCATCATTGAATTATCGAAGAGATTTGAAGGTTAAGAACATCCATTTCCCAATTAGTTTGCAGATTTAATTTAGTTATAAACTAAATTTGAATCATTTAGAATTGAAACCTAAGAATAAGATGAGGGAATGAAATAATAAAATACATAGCACTCTAAAAAACAACTTCTATCCATTAGGGATGAAGTCACTAATATTTTAGAAGAATTAGATGATGAATTTTATTCACAAAATTAGAATTTACATCAATAATAAAAGAAGAATTTTAATCCTTTATAGAACAATAATCTCTCTTAGCCTGGAGGATTTTATAATCACATCTAGAGAACTATTTTGTATATTTATTAAGTTTCATTGGGGGATTTAGATTTCAATTTTGGGGGTCGAATAAATTAGATAGTGTTGTTTAATTTATTCTAAAATTCGAACAGTCTGTTTGAAAAACCACAAATGAGGGGAGTTGATGAAATTCTATCACAGATTGCCACAATAGCCATCAGATCTGCTTTGAAAATAAGCCTAGATTTTTACTCCACTGAAGGTCATTTGATAATTGATGATGCTCAATTGTTGTAAGAATTGAAGGGTATGAGTGAGTGTTTTGTTGGAATGGGCAGTGATGAAGGTTGGTAAAAAGCCATGATTAGTAATTTACTGCTCTGGTCTTTGAGATACGATGTTATTAACAACTAGTTGAAGGTCTATCGATAATCATTTACTGATATATAGTGTTAAGTGTTCCGATTTGATAGTGAAGTGGTTCGGGGAATAGAAGCCAATTTATAGATGGAAATGCTGTTTGCCACCAATGATGATTGCGAACGGTATATATACGAATGATTAAGTAGATATTCTATTTAAACACATGAGTAGTTTTTTAGAAACATTATCATAGAGGGTTCTGAACTCCCTTTAGGATATGCTCCCTTCTATTCGGGACCAGTAGTAATTAGTTTAAGATGAATTATTTCTTATTTTTATATATTAAAAATACTAAGTGATGTATCAACAAAACTAAGTTATGTATCAATAATAGCAACCTCCACCTCAATAACATCGGGATTATAATGTTCCACCACCTGGTAAGTGAGTAGTTCAATTCTGTATCTTAGGGTACAAGGCTCCTCGCTACCCCAGAGAAGAGTTACCTGAGAATTAAGAGTAGAACCTAGACTTGGGTGGTTCCTATTAATCCTACCTTTACAATTGTGGAGAATGCTGTGGTAATTGCAAAGCTGTTTGTCCCTGTAATCCCTTTGTGGAATATCCCTATGTGTAGGTAGAGCAAAGTTTTGTTGGAGTGTATTTACGTTTTGGAAAGTATATCAAGACAGGTAACACCTATGTTTAATGGAAGTTCAACCTGGATTAATATACATCAATCCTTGTACTGATAGAATTCAGAAGGTGGATTGCAAGGTTTAGATGATTGATTGTCCTAGACAACAAGTGATGACTAAAGACAATATTTTGGTGAGCATCGATGCAACTGTTTATTACAGGATAGTGATCCCAAGACGATCCATATTTTATATCAACGATCTCCATTAAGCAGTTACTCAATTAACATTGGCCACTATCAAGAGCATAGCTGGATCCCACACTTTATAGGATCTGTTGGAGAAGAGAGCTGAGGTTTAATAGCAAATTGAAGGATTCGTAGATGAACATGTATGGGAATGGGGTATTGACATAGAGAACATGTTGATTAAAGATATTTAGTTGAATGCTGATTTGTAAAACACATTGTCCATGGCAGCCAAGGAACAAAGAGCTGCTTAAGCGAAAGTCATATCTGCTTAAGGTGATGTGTAATCAGCAAAACTTATGAGATAAGCTGCGGAACTACTAGATTCAAAGGCAGCTATGTAAATTAGATATCTTGATACAATTACTACTTTGGGATAGTAAGGATCCACTAAAGTAGNAGTGAGTGTTTTGTTGGAATGGGCAGTGATGAAGGTTGGTAAAAAGCCATGATTAGTAATTTACTGCTCTGGTCTTTGAGATACGATGTTATTAACAACTAGTTGAAGGTCTATCGATAATCATTTACTGATATATAGTGTTAAGTGTTCCGATTTGATAGTGAAGTGGTTCGGGGAATAGAAGCCAATTTATAGATGGAAATGCTGTTTGCCACCAATGATGATTGCGAACGGTATATATACGAATGATTAAGTAGATATTCTATTTAAACACATGAGTAGTTTTTTAGAAACATTATCATAGAGGGTTCTGAACTCCCTTTAGGATATGCTCCCTTCTATTCGGGACCAGTAGTAATTAGTTTAAGATGAATTATTTCTTATTTTTATATATTAAAAATACTAAGTGATGTATCAACAAAACTAAGTTATGTATCAATAATAGCAACCTCCACCTCAATAACATCGGGATTATAATGTTCCACCACCTGGTAAGTGAGTAGTTCAATTCTGTATCTTAGGGTACAAGGCTCCTCGCTACCCCAGAGAAGAGTTACCTGAGAATTAAGAGTAGAACCTAGACTTGGGTGGTTCCTATTAATCCTACCTTTACAATTGTGGAGAATGCTGTGGTAATTGCAAAGCTGTTTGTCCCTGTAATCCCTTTGTGGAATATCCCTATGTGTAGGTAGAGCAAAGTTTTGTTGGAGTGTATTTACGTTTTGGAAAGTATATCAAGACAGGTAACACCTATGTTTAATGGAAGTTCAACCTGGATTAATATACATCAATCCTTGTACTGATAGAATTCAGAAGGTGGATTGCAAGGTTTAGATGATTGATTGTCCTAGACAACAAGTGATGACTAAAGACAATATTTTGGTGAGCATCGATGCAACTGTTTATTACAGGATAGTGATCCCAAGACGATCCATATTTTATATCAACGATCTCCATTAAGCAGTTACTCAATTAACATTGGCCACTATCAAGAGCATAGCTGGATCCCACACTTTATAGGATCTGTTGGAGAAGAGAGCTGAGGTTTAATAGCAAATTGAAGGATTCGTAGATGAACATGTATGGGAATGGGGTATTGACATAGAGAACATGTTGATTAAAGATATTTAGTTGAATGCTGATTTGTAAAACACATTGTCCATGGCAGCCAAGGAACAAAGAGCTGCTTAAGCGAAAGTCATATCTGCTTAAGGTGATGTGTAATCAGCAAAACTTATGAGATAAGCTGCGGAACTACTAGATTCAAAGGCAGCTATGTAAATTAGATATCTTGATACAATTACTACTTTGGGATAGTAAGGATCCACTAAAGTAGTATTGCTACCAACCGATTCTAAATGATACATTAATATATATTATTATACCAATTTATTTATTAATCTTTTAGATACTATACTATATTTAGAGAACAATTAACATACATTACTCTAGAATTGACATAGTTGATTATATACATCACGTATGATAAGTGGTGTATTAATTGATCTATGTAGAAGATTGATGAAGTATTGTTAATGATTTATATATATATGAGAGAGTATAAAAAGTTAAGAGTTGAAATTATGATAGAGACTTCTATTGGTGGTCAAAAATAGAAGGAACTAAATTCTGAATTCTTTTGAAATTTTAGTACTTTTATATTTTTAATACTTTATTAAAGCCAGTCTCATTGAGAATATAGTGACTTAGAATAATAGTATTTATTCAAAATAAAAATTATGAATAGATATTTTCATCATTAAGCTCTTGCAAACAATCCATACTGAGTTAATTTTCCATTTCTCTATCGGATGCATTCAGATGTCCATAGGCTCTAGAAATCTTAAATATTTCTTACTGTCCCAATATAGCATCCCACTGGAAGCGCAAGGTCTTGTAATATCTATTCTTCACCATGCTCAAGGTCCTGCCAGGGAAGTTTTTAGCGATCGTATAGAACTTTGGTCCCAACTCCAAGACTTAAAGAAGAATTTGTCTATCTTCTATATAATTGAATGGAATTGGCTGATGCTTTCTATTCTAATCAAAGTTTAATTCAACTTGGTTACAATTTTCTTTGTGGTCGGTCTTCTTCTTCTCTTATCGTGAATGACTTGTCTTCTTCTTCTCTTGCGAGGTTTCTTCAGGGGCAATTTTTGAATCGGATTGTAATACTCATCATGTGCATCATCCCCCTCAAAATTGAACGTTTCAACGCTCTCGACTGAATGATATTCACAATAACTTACTTATTTGGATCTCCTCTTGGACATTTTCAAAAGGAAATTCAGTTAATTATTACTAGGCAAACATACAATGAGTTTATAGAAAGTCTAGGGTTATGATAAACTAGTACTTGGTTAGACTCCAAGAAAGTCGGTAGATTACATGTATTGGAAGAAGAGAGAGTGGAGATTAGGTTTATTTTATTAAATCAATAATCATCTAACCAAAATGATTTAAAAATGCTAAAAAAACGATTTTGATAAATCTTATTAATTATCCAGGAATTTTTTATTACGTGAATACTAAAAGCATTTTACTGCTAAGTACTAAATTTTATAGAATACTTTAGTTGAATTAAATGATAAAACTGAATCAGAATGTTACAACTGAAACCATCAAAAAGAAAAATCAATATTACTTGGATTTTCTTTCAACTCTTCCATAGCATTTTACATGAATATTCGTATGCTGGAATCACCAAAAAAGTCTTTGCATCCATTTTTATTGATTATTCTTTCTTTCTATCCCTATATCAATTTTACTTGTATATTCTTTATTAAGTATTTTAAGTAAATTAAAATAAATTTAAGCATTTTTATAAAACACTGAAATATTTTTCTATACTAATTCAATTTAACATGCAAGAAGAGTATGAATTAAAATGCATTCTACTTTCGTTTTCTAGTTTGATCTTCCTTTTGCAATCATAATGAAGGAAAATTATTTTTTAACCTATCTTTTTCATAAGACAAGTCAACTTAGTTTCATAATAAGACACGCAGATCGAATTTCATTAATGTGTTTGAAGCTAAAAATATATATTTAAGAATTAGATTAGTAGAAAAATTCTAATGCATTATTATTGAAAAAGTCAAAGAACTTAAAATATATATGTACTTTTTAAGGGAATTTTAGAATATTGTAATCACATATACAATATCAAATTTAATTATCATACTTTATTATGCATCTAATCTTATAATAGCAAATCTTGATATAAATGAAAACTCTTAAATGTCATAAAATAAACTTGTTAATTTTAGTGACAATAAAAATCTACTTTAAAATCCAATATGCTTTAGAGTTTGAATAATGTAAAGTAGAATGAAATAGAAACAAAAAATCATAAAATAATAATTAAAGTATTTTTAAGATAGCAACAATTATTAAAGAAAATACTATCATAAATTAAAATTAACATAATTTTCATTTAACAATTAAATTGATGTTGAGAATTAAATTACATTATCTTTATCTTAACTTAGAATAGGTTAGAGTTGATTATTCTACTTGATACACCGTTTAATATTGAGGGATATTTAACCATTTTCATTTGTCAGACCAAAAAATAAAATAGTTTTTAATCTATTTCCTGACAATTCGATTTTCATAATTTATCTCACTTTATTAAGCATTACAATTACACCTTGCCACACTAGAATGTATTCTTTATTCAATTAATCTATTTATAGAGATTTTTCTCATAAAAAAAAATGTTTGGTGTTAATTTAATATCTCCTTTATTTTGATATTTATTCTTATGAGGACAAGAACTAGGTAAGTTGAATTTACGCTTTATAATAGAGTCGATCAAGGTGACCAAAAATGAAGACCATAGTTAGGATTATAAAATTTTAATACTTAATGATATATCTGTGGGTAAGACATCAGTTTTGGACAGATACATCAATTGCAATTTCTCTGAGAAATACTATTAAATAATAGCTATTGATTTGAGACATGGACAGGCATCTTCAAATATAACTGTAAGTTATATTAATTAAATACTTGGAAGTTAAGCTTGTTTGATTTTAGTGGATAATCTAAATTTTCGGAATATCAGATAAGAGTTTTATTAGGATGCCGATATGATGATCTTGGTCTTTGATTTGGCGTATCATAAGACTTTGGACAGTCTGGATGAGTGAATTAAAGAAGCCAATCGTGTTGGAGCTACTAAAATACCAATATTGGTTGTTTACAATAAGCAGGATAGGAGGAACATCTAAGAGAACGAAGGCTAAGATTGGGCAAATCGGAGATCCTATCGATGTATAGAGGTGTCGGTTGTGTAGAACAGTAATATTGATTCGATGTTTAAATTGATCAAGGACATATTGACTTAAAAAAAGTGATAAAAAATTATATTTATATTATAATTCGCATGTAGAACACTAATAAGCAAGTTAGAGAGTCTTGGAAGATGTCATTAATAAATAAATTTGGTTTGGCAGAAGTCATTGAACATAATCTCATTTTTTAGCCTCCTAAACCAAATTATCATATTAAAAATAGCTCAGATTTTAATGGTTTAGAGTTCAGCGTGGAACTGAATAGCCACTGGGTCAACTTGAATAAGTTGTGCAATCTCCAGTACAGGGTTTCCATTTTAAAGGAGGTGGAAAATAATGTAATTGTCTCGTATGTTCCGATAATTCATTATTCTTGCAATTCTGATAGGGTCGTCATCCTATCTCACAGCAATGCAATGGATTTAACCCTCACATCTAGATGGGGCTCTAAGATTTGTGAGTTGTATTAGGTAGATGTGATGTGTTATGATTACTCGGGATATGGAATCACAAAACAAACAATGAAACCATCGGAGTATTTTTTGTTATCTAATAGATTGGGGATATCAAGAGACCTCTGCAATGTAGTGGCTCTGGCTTAACATCAGTACGATCATATATTTTTGTGGGGATTCTCCATTGGTTCTTATCCAACAGTTGATGTAGCAACGCAATTCTAACTTTCTGGAATCATTCTACAAGCTCCATTGGCCTCGTTGGGTAGAATTATAGACAACCGCAATTCTTTTTACTCAGAACATGATAAGTTTTCAAATCAAGCCATCATCAACAAAATCACTGCTCCAGTCTTGATCTTCCATGGAACCAAGGACAACATAATAAAGATCAATCATTCGGAGCAACTATCGAAATGCTGCTAGAATTTATTTGCATTTATCAAAGTGGAAGGAGCAAATCACAATGATATAGGAATTGCAGCTGAAACCCAGGATTCAGAGGTGTATAAATCAATTAAGGAACTGCTTCATAGTAAAGGGAGTGTCCCCATCAAGAGGGTGTTTGAATTATCATTGAAATTTGATAATCTGACTATTCTAGATCATATTGGAGAACAGAAAATGTACTAAAGCAATTTGCCAACCTAAGCCAAGAAGGAAATCAATAGGAAACGCGATGGTTAAGGTTGTTCATTATTTTGTGTAAAATTCTGAACACTGAGTGTATTATAATTAATTTATTAATGTCTTCTAATTCAGAATAGGTTCCTTTGAGTTTTGAGCAAATCCCCGAGAAGGATATCATCAAGATATTGACTTACAATACTTTTCTTAGACCACCCGTTGTAAATAATAATGGAGACGACTACAAAAATGAGAGATGCCAATTAATCATTAAAGAATTGATGAAGTAATTTTCTACATCCAAATAATTAGTTTTGATATAGTGTGTCTGTAAGAAGTGTTTGGGTTCTTAAATTCGAGAAAATCTATTCTAAAACATAAAGCATTCAAGCTTGGCTTCACTTATTAAGCAGTTAGTCCCAGTCCTAGTTTTTTCTCTAGTCAAATGGTTGACGGGGGATTAGTCACTCTGAGCAGGTTAAATCATTTATACTCATCATCTCTAGATATCCAATCCTCTATCACGAATTTAAAGAATTTCCGTATGGGATCTTATCTGATAATCTCTCTAATAAGGGAGTATTGTATACAAAGATTTTGGTTAATGGATAGATGTTGCATCTGTTCAATACGCACTTGCAAGCCAGTTATGTTGGAAAAGAATCTAATGTGGTAATGAATCATAATCTATTGGAAGAGAGCAACGGTGTCCACTAGGATTGATTAATTGTATTGTTTTAAGAAATTTGTGCATTCAACACTTGAGTAGTAATAGGCATAGGAGAATGATTTGATTCTATTGGTGGGGGATTACAATATCGATAGCAGGTATGAGTAAGGATATCCTAATGAAGTGTTGAAATAATTTCCAATTTTACAATAACAATTAGGCAATCCCCAAAGGTATCAAGAGTACGATGCTCTAATAACAATTATGACAAACAATGTTAAGGATAAGTTCATCAATTTGTTGCTTGAGCAAGAAGGTTAGTTTCTTATTACTTATGCCGATTATTTGGAGGAGGAGAATGGTTAGAAGAAACCGTTGGAGATTCAGTTAACAGATAAAGCTGATCTGTTGACTGGACAATGTTTGGATTACATATTCTAATTGATTCCTGAAAATCAAAGTAATCCAAAATAAATCAAAATCAAATAAGTGAATGTTGAGAAATTCTTTGTGGAAGGTCAGAAATTTACTCAATTGTCTGATCATTATGGTGTTTCATGTGATATATTAGTTAAATTGCATTAGTGAGATTCGTAAAATATTATAATTATAATTAATGAATAATTCAACTCAAGGAGACACTCCCATGTCTCGTTTTGATTACTGTACATTCTCATTTAACATTAGTTATTCAATCATTCAAACAATGGATGTTAACTATCATAAATGAGGCTTCAATTGGGCTCTATCAAATTTAATGCCATCTGAAGGATTCGATTCTGCATTTCAGAAGAGTCAAGGAGGATGAGGAAAAGCTGGCGAAGAAACTCTCCATAACTAATACGCAACAACAAAACACTATTGGTGAGTTGAAAGAAATTGGCAACTTGAATAGACAATGGGCTCCTAAAATGCAAAGACTTCTTGATTAATTGTAAAATAATCAAAAAAATTGATAAAATATACAATTACAATTATAATATGAGGCTATCAATGGTGATGATTGTGTTTGTGATCATTTTTATGCTCCTTATTATGATATCCATTGGTTTCTTCGTCCTTCTTCTCTTCTTCATAAGGAACCTTTATATATGAACCCTTCTTCTTCTCAGCTGGGATTCTGGAACTCATTCCCTAACGAATATTGAAATACATCCTTACCATAAATAATTCCCATGCCACTCCCAAGGCAACCAAACTTATGCCAATCCATTGTACCTAATCGACCTCGTGATTGTGAATCATAATGGACAAGAGGACAGTGAAGAACTTCCTTGTTGTTGTTACAACACTTAACACTCGTGGAGAGAAGCAACTTAAATTCTAGTCTCACATTTACCTAATGCAATAAAAGATGAAGACTTGGCCCAACACTGAGTAGATAGTCAAAAACAGTATTTCTGGAATAACTTGTGGGTATTATTGAATGTAACTCAAGAACTGAATGAACTTGCCTTGTATCAGTGTGTAGATAATTGAGCCTATGAAACTCCAGAGACTAATGTGGAATCCCATTTCCCATTGTCCCAATTTCTTTACTTTAAATTTGCTCTACAAAGTTGCTAGACACCCATCGGAGAACAAAGAAGTTATCAATAAAACAATTCCGAAGATCGATGAAGTCTTATTGGATTTACTGCCCTCGCTCACATTAAATGCATAGATTCCCACAGTGATGATCAAACCACAAAGTATTTGCTGCTTTGTGAATTTCTAATTGCCCAAAACCAATCCGACTACCAGTACAGACAGGATTCAATTATAATTATGAGGAATATGTACTTGCAGCTTTTCACCAAGGCTTGAAGAGGAAAACTCACGTACTATAATGCAGTCAATGCACCAATCATCGATGAAAAGTTTAACAATCCTAAATATGCTCCTTCCTTTATTGTGCAAACAAAACTGACTTTATTTTTCAAAATCATCACCAAACACAATAAATTGTATATTAGCATCTGCAAAAAGATTAGTACTGACGAAAACTCAAATTTCGGTGATGGAAAATCCATAGTACCAAAATTGCTCTTGAATCTGGCGAATAATCACATAATTTACAAATCCTCTTGAATAAGACCCACTTTGAAGTAGCAGAAGTAAATTCCTCCCACAGCTATCAACAATTACAATTCTTTTCTAAGCATCTTTGAAACGTGTTAATTTTAATTAAAACCAAATTAAACCTATTAAACAGGATTATAAGAACATTTAAAAACTAAATTTGTACATTTCACAATTAATCTAGATCTTTGCTGAAAATCCAATACTACTAAGAAACAGCCAAATGCTTAAAAATAGAATTTATTATTATACTACTTTTTTTTAATTCCAAAAATACCATACATAAATTATAAATATTTTAAATATAATATCATTCGATATAAAAACAAATAAACAAATAATTATGGCTTTATAATCTATATTTTAACAGCATAAATAGAATGAAGAAAATGTAAATTGCAATTCCATATTAAGTGGTCGCTAATAGTGATGGAATCAAGAAGTAAACCATGTCTTTTGTATAAATATACACAAAGGACATGCAGAATATTGATGGTTTAAGAGTACTCTTATTAGAGTTCGTTTATCTATGGGACTATGAAGTACGACTGAACTATAAATAAGAATAAATGAGTGATTGCTTTATGGCATTTATTTTTATACTCTTACTTCTAGTAGTAATAGAGTATGAATGAAGCCACCAGAAAGATCCCAGCATAGATGTAATTTCGGAAAACATTAAAATCAGATTTATGTAAATGTGAGGGGCACTCCTAAGAGAAAAGTCTTTAACATATTCTATAGTCAATAAAGTTGTTATATAAAGGTGAGGATTTTGGAAGATCATTAAAAGGAATATCAAGAGTTCATTGTAATTATTCCATATAAAACTTCTTTGATGTTGAATGTCTTCCATAAATTGGTATAGCCTAAGCACAAGTTGATAACTTATCAATTTGATTTTTCCATGACTTAATTTTTTATCGAGCAAATAAGCCTTCGTCTTTTTATATATTTTTTGAATAATGAAAAATCTAATACTCATTTGCAATATAGCCCAGAAATATCTCTGGGATTATGATGCCAATATTACTAAAGGGGATTGGAACTCCAATTAATATAGATATAATTGGGGCTATGTCCGCTTATTTGATAGCTCTTATCTACTAATCTTTAGAAGTCATAGTCATCTCTAAACCCTTCAATTTTCTACAAAAAGTCTTTGAAATTTTTATCTACTTCATATATACTCTAGAATTGATTTTCATCTTATTTTGAGAATGGGCAATTTAAACTCATTCGGATAAAGTCCTAGCAAATTGTTATCACTCATAAATAGTGTTTTCTTTCAACTCATTATTGCTTATCGTATGAAACTATTCACCGCAATCTAATTTTATACGCATATTAATTTTGAAATAATAATATTTAACTTTAATTAACTAAATTTCAATGATTAAATGGAAATTAAGTTTTCTGAATCAGTTTTTTTTTGAGAGATAAAATTAAAATGATTGCTCATTGCTAAATCCATTCTTAAGAGTCTATACTATCAGGATTTCAGGATTGGTCTTTTGAATTTTTCTTGGAGCCATTATTTTAATAAAATGACGATGAATGAAGATTCCCCTAAAGAAAAGAATCAAACCCAGAAAGCTATTGTAATGGTAATCAAGATATTTATATATCCTATTATGATATTAAATCACGTAAATTTAATTAAATTAAACCACTCAAAATCAGAAGATCAAAATTGGATATGAAATTTTGGCAAGAAATGATATTCATATATTATAAGTTATTGAATAAGCAATCAAGGGCACCTTATAATCAGGCTTCTTCATTAGGATTGCAAATTTATCATTGTCTTCCAATTTAATTGTTGTATTTTGGAGTCGATTAGCCCAAGTGTCAGGCAAGATCTATTTGCCAAAGTCTGTGATGTTTTCTTTCTTTCGATACAAAAAGACTCCCAAACGACCAGTAATTTTTAAATAGAATTCATACTTGACTTCGTCTATCATATTTTTAGATAATTCCTTTACGTTGTCATCCAAAGAATAAAATACACTAAATTGATCATCATAATTTAATACTCTTATTAATCATTATTTTCATCTACTTTAGTCTCTGGGTACCTTTATTTCCTATCGATCTTTCGACATAAGATCTAAGCATGATCCTATGAAATTGTATTGATTTATTAGATGTCTTCTTTGAGGAGAGAGTAATCTTATCTCGATATCTTGCATACAACAATCTCAGATTCATTGTCTTTGAAATGGATGGCATGCTTGTTTTGCAAATTTACTCCGTGTTTTCTGAATATGGTTTTAGTATGCTCATCAGAAATTACAGACAAGACTATGTACTTTTCAGGTTTCTCATTGATTTGGATGTCATCCACTTAAGTAACAGTGGGTTGAATGGTTAGAGGTGGTTTTGGAATTGATGGAATTTATGAAGTGGATTTTTTAATAACATTAAGTGCTGTTGATAAGGTAATTAATTGCTGTATGGAATTGCACTTCTCTTTGATTTGTTCTACTTTGTTGTTGTAAGGGATCTGAAACTTAACACTATCCAAACTATGATGTTAAATATTTTTTGATTGATTACATGCTCACTTCTTGAGGGAGGTTTTTGAGCCATTCATATGTCTTTTGGATTTCCTATTCAGCTTCCTTTAGGAATTAATTAGGACAATTGGAATCATCAAGTTATTTTAGAGTGTGACAGAACACCTCTAGATTTATGCGCAATTTCTTAATCTCTTCACAATAATTATCCCTCGTTAAGGATATATCAATAGCCAGTTAAACAAGGTTCAATAAATCCATAGGAGAAATAATTGGTTGTCAATATTATTTGAATTGTTTATAATTGTTTATAATATTCGATTGCACAATTACGTTGAGTAAAAAGTAAGTTCAATTGAAAAATATTAGATACAATATTTAATCATATCAACTTAGAGTAGAATTCATCGGTGTTTCCTGCCAGAATCTATAAGATCTCATCATAAATTAATTTGATTGACCGTGTTAATTGTTGGATTTGTGATTTCTAGATAGAGAATGCAAAGTACCTTGGGAAATAGTTTGATATAAAGTCTGAATTTGTAAGCATGTTTTGCTAAATTCTTGGGATACTTGTAATTCTCCATGTAATGACACTCTCTTGATTTTCTTGATCTGATTTCCGATAGCTTGTTACAGAGATTATCGAGTCCAGTCTAAATGAGATTGTTCTACTTGAAGATTTTGACTTTCTTCAATGCGATTTCGTATTTCTGATTAAATTTAGTTTGGGTTGTCTACTAAAATAATCTAGTCAACTCATAATAAGGTTTCAAGAAGAAATGCATCACTATCCAACAAAGCAGGATCCCTGAAATGTTGTAGATAACATAATAAATCAATTGAGCAGTTGCTTGACTTAACAACTCCGATTTCAATTCTTGAGTGTCGTTGTCATTTTCTTACATGAACTTGTAATCTACAAATCTTAAATGTATATTGAAATATCCTTACACTATTTGATAGAATCTGTTGTGGATCCCAAACCCTCGAATGAACAGATCTTATCCAAACATTTTATTATGTCTACAAAAGTTTTTGTATGCAAATTGGCAATTAGATTCTCCATTCTGATACAGAATCTATTTGAGAACTTCGATCCAGTCTTGGTTGTCGAATCCTGTAATGGAAGTGTCATTAAAGAACTTCATCTCCTAGACAAAATTCACTGAGGGATAGACATTCGATATCAGTATCCTACCAGCCAGATCGACCAGATAGATATTCAGTTAATCATAATTGATCTTGGGTTTGATCACTTGAAAATTGCTATCCAAAGCTATGACTCCATCAAATTGTAGTTATGCATCTGTCAATGACACTGTGAGCGTAAATTCGAACTCTTGGGTCTCGTAATTCCTGTATATCTCCGAAACCACCTCTGGTTGATTACTACTGTTCAGACTAGCAATGTGATCCTTGTACCATTGTCGTTCCTTTGGTCGATATTTAGGGTATCTCATTTTTTAAGGAATTATGGCAAAAAATTACCCTTCTCCTTATTAAGTCAAATAGATTGTAGGTTCCAATTCACTATAACTGATTAACAAAAATTGTTGGTTTAACATTTAAATCAAAATTATCAAATGCTAATCAATTTCTGTTTTCGGAATTAAGGCAAAATCTACTTGATTTGCATAATAATAACAAAATTGTGGCAGATAATATTCGAATGGCTGACTCTATCTCACATTGTAATCAACACAACTAAATGGCGTGTTGCTCAGAAGGATATGTTATTACTTAAGCAAATACAAATTTTGATTATTAATTTTATTAAGCAGACTGAAGCCAAAATTAAATGTTAAAAAGGTTTAGTATTCCAAATAAGCTGATTATTTAAATAGAGCCTTTTGATTAATGTTTTATAACAACTAAAATGAAACCTTCTCAATTACAGATTCAATTATTACTCTATTAATCACCAAGGCTATGGTCAAAAAGGCAATAATCACAGTAAATATTAAAAGTTAAATCACTAAAATTTAATTCTTCACTCTATAGTTTCTCAAGCAATATAAAAACTTCGGAGTTCTAATTTAATTAAGTGAGAACATGATTTTTATAATTTGATTAAATATGCTATTTTATTTTCATTCAAATAAATCATTCAATACTCACTTAATCTATAAATACACCAGAAGATGTTATATAGAATTTCAAAAAGTCAATTCCAAGAATAAGATTGAATTAAAAATTTCACTTATTACTCCTGAATTCAATTAATTTATTTTTAGAAATAATTTTATTCCCATTAATTAACACAATGATATATACTAAAAGTTTTGGTATAAATATTTGATTTTCATTTATTGAATAAACTTCTCAATAATAATCTCAAAGGACTGGCCATGTCAAGGTATGTCAAACAAACTGCATAATGGGAGTCTTCTGGTAACAAACTCTAAGATTAAAATTAAATTAATTAATACTCTTGAAGCAACTTGTGTTTCCAATATCACACTCAACATTGAAATAGATCCCAAAATCAAGGTGAAAATCAAGAATCCATTTCCAGTCACGATGCTTAACACCAATACTGTGATATATCCAATCCCTGATCCTACTACAATTGCTAAGTGCTTGCTTATCACACAATGAGTGTCTTATAATTCTTCAATTACTTGATTCTATCTGGCTTCTTAATTAAATAAGTGTCTAATGAGGGCAAGCTTTCTAAGTCTTTCAAATATGGATAATTCTTCAGGTAATTCGTGAGTCTATTTCAATAATTAATCGTTCAATTAATTAAAATAATAAAGTGCATAGATGACTATGATTTCAGAAATTGGAAATGCACTGTTAAGATGTGAGTTTGATAAAGCTAGAATAAAGTTCAAACCCAATGATCCCATTATTGTAAATTTCATTAAAACAGTGTAATAATGAGTTTTTTGGAACTTGACTATAACAATCTAGAGTAAAGAGTGACTAATCAAGATGACCAAAACCAAGATAATCCATATATTCACGGTTTTGTGGCTTCTATTTCCTCTCTGATTTCCAGCAATTCCAATTAAAAGTAAGGCTATCAATACTGTCTGGATATGGTATAATTTGGACTACAGCTAAACCTAATAATTTTAGACAATATAGATTACAATGAATCTGTATTTTCTCAATATTGGGAGTCCTAATACGATGGCAATCAATAGACTCAAAACTACATACCAAGTCCATCTAAATGAACTCCACCAATAACGATGATGAACCACAATTGAGCTAAACCATTCAGTCAATCCGAGTAAGAACAATCCAAGAATTATTGAATGTTGGACGAAAATCTTTTTGTAGTATTCAATCAAAAATGCTTATCTATCTGACTTCACATCATTCACAACTGGCTTCTCAGATACGGCTTGCTACACATCATCCAATTAAATATATTAAGCTGCTGGCACCGCATTACTCAATATTGGGTATTAAACTTGTGAAATCTAACTTGGCGACTAGGGAGTCTATTGGGTATAGATTGGTAACTCTTGTTGTGTAGACATCATCTAAATTAATTATTATTTATATTTTCAGAATTCAAAAGGAGTATAAAAACTTAAATTATGAATTTTCCCTAATCCAAAATTATCAGAATTTATTGCATATTATATTATTTTAAATTATGATGACACTAAATTAAAGTATTAAAATGCAGAAATCCGTCATTTAATTTATGTAGTTTCGATATTTATAAGACTATTCAATTATCATCATCCAAAATTATGAAAGTCAAACTATGGATTAGTTTGCTAGCAATCAACTTCTTAAATTGATAATAAGTAGATGATCTTAAAAAGATGCAAAAATTGAATTGATGTTTCATCTTTTATTAAACCTTTAATTGATGTAAATATTTAAAATTCAAATGTAAATACATCCTGTATCTTATTAATGGAATCTAATTCCGATGAAAGCATCTTTGATCCCAACTTTTTGTGAATAATAATTTTCATTATTACCTGAATTGTTTCGGAAATAATGTCATCTTAAAATGAGATAATCTTAATAATTGAGTTAAACAATATTATTATCTAATGAAAAAAAAAAAATTATACTTTATTCTATTCAAATTTAGAAGGTAGTCATTTATTTCTTTTAATATTTAAATAAGAAGTTTATTAATTAATAAGCAGATGATCACTTTATTAAAACAATAAGAATTGAGATTTAGAATTTAATAGTTGCATTAATAATCCATTGAACAAAAATCTTTCTTTGAAGATATTAATTAATATTATTTATACAATCATATTTTTATTAAATAATTGCACTCAGCATAATGTTATATAAACAGAGTTACTGCTTTTAAAATCTCTAAAAAATGAAACCAAAATCAGAAGGATTAAAAATAGAGAGGAAAACTCCAAAATTTCCCTTTGAAGTAGTAGACTAAAGTAAAATTATTTAGTAGGGAATTAATAAAGGCATAAATGAATTTAAACCAAAACCTCCTAATAAAGATAAAACAAATACATAAGTGAACTAACAATAAGTGGAATATAGAGAACAAAGTTAAAGTAGAACTAGGGCCTTCTCACACTAAAATTAAGCTAATAAATAGAAATTTATTAAACTTGATAATAAACCCAATCTATAAACTTACAAATAAATTCATCAATCAACTAATCCCTAAACTGACCCATAAACTAAAAAATAAATTAACCCGTAAACTCATCCATAAACTAACGAATAAATTAACCCTTAAACTAGCCCATAAACTAATACTAATCCATAAGGTGAGGATAATATTGATGCTGAAGTTTAACACGATTATGATCTCATCGATGTTTCTAATAATAATGAATACCAGAAATTACTAATATATACTCATATTCTATTTTATTATAATAACAAATAATAGAATCTTGAAAAACAATCATAATCTCAATAAAGATGCCTTAAAATAAGTGGGAAATTGTATAATACATTGTTTGATCATGATAAAAATCCTTCCTATATCATTTAGGAGGGAGAATTCTTAGTTGACTTAAATAAAAAGTAATTTAAATTGGATGGGTAAGGAATAGAATATTAAGGAAAATCTAATATGGTGAAAATTTAAGGGGAGTTTAAGTAAGGAGTATAAGCGTAGAAGATATCTTCATCTTAAAATAAATCTCAATATAAATCATTTAGTGTCGAGCCAAGAAGAATTAAAATAATGGAGATTATTGATGGATAACCAATACAAATACATAATAGAATCGAAAAGAAAAGTATTTGGTGTAAATATAATCAATAATTTTGTTAAAGAGATTTAGATATATTTAAAAATAATTAGTGGCTAAATAGTAGTATAATTGATTGCTATGTTTTATATCTTAACAAAAAAAGCGAAGAAGAATATTTTAACTCACCTTAAGATAAAAGACGATAAATAAATCGAATCTACTTTGTTACTAGTAGTTTAACCACAAATATTAGTAAATTAAACAATATCTAACAAGGGAATGATTTATTTCAATAGCACTTTCTTGAATTTTAAGAATTAAAATATACGATTTAAACTATTTATTCCAAAGTTGGGTTCCCTGTTGTTTCAAATAGCCATTGGTTTTTTTTATTATTTGATTTAAAAGAAAACAAAGTAGAAATTTTTGATTCTTTATCAAAAAGTTTAAATTCTAATAAAAGATTAATCACAAGACTGTCAGAGTTATTAATGCTAAAAAATCCAAAATAAAGCATAAATGGAAACTCTGGTTCATAAAATGATAGTTATTCATGTGGATATCATGTTTGTTGTTTTATGAAAATGTGCCATAAAGCTCAATTTTCAAATTCATCTTAATATTAATATGATGAGAAAGAAATGAGGGGAATTTTAAGAGATTTGATTGATTATTAAGATAATAAATCACAGTGAATTTAAAACATTCTATTGAAAAATTTTACTATATTTTTAAAAAGATTATTGCAATATGTAATTCTAAATTAGCTGGCAAAATACTTCGTTATTAAAATTTAGCCCAATATTCTCATATTCAATATATCTATAAATTTCTATTTTTTTTTTCTTGAATTGAATTGTATTTAATAAATGAATAAAAATAGTTTTTCTTTCTTTTCATTTTCTGTTACAAAATTATTATTGGTAAAAATAGTAAATGAAAGAACAAATACATTGCATTTTAATATAAGGTAATAACTAAAAAATAAATATCAATATTATGAAATATCTATCTACTAATTATAATGATTAAGACATTATTTTCTAAATATAAACACCTCTTATTTTCTCTTAACTTCGCTATTGATAGTACAAATCAATTTATTAATTCTGAAATTAATATAAAGAATATCAAGTAGCAAATATTATTGTAATTTATAATGTAATTTAATTAAAATATTATTTTCATTACAGCCTCGCTTAAGGGTTCTTTTAATTAGAAAATAAAAATATATAAAAAAATATTTGAAAGTTTTTATTGTAATTCTTAAAATTATGAAAACAATCATCTTCTAATAATTTGTATAATTTTATATTTTTATAAAATTAAATATATATATGTTTTTTGAAATATTATTTTAAACCAATTTGCTCCTTTTTATTATATTAAAACCCTATTTTCATGAAAACCTATTGCATTGTTTTAAAAAACTTTGTCTTTAAAATTGAAATCACTTCTCAAATTTATTTCTAAATTATTTATTAATGCAACAAAATTAATTGTGATTATTAAGAATTAATTATTTTTGTAGAATGGAATTGTTAATTAAATTCCTTAACTGATAAGTCCGACATTCAATAATCATTTTAAAGCATATCAATTAATGCATGATTCTGTTTTTTCTGTTGAATTTCTGAAAGTGAAATTAAAGTCTTAAAGATTTATTACTTTTTTATTAAACAAAAATAAACTGATGTCACAAATCAAGCAAACTTAAAGAAATTCAAAAAATTTGGACTTGCAACCTCAGCCTTAGCCATAAATTCAAGGAAGCCAAAAACTACCTTAGGGACAACAAGAAAAACAGAACTAATAATAGCTCTAGCCAAGGAAAAGTGGCCCAGATCAGACTACCAAATTGAAGAATCCAAATGATACAAAAACATACGTATTGATGACATTGTATATTCATTAGTCTTTGATTTAACCTGAGACCAATCGATAAGAACAAAGTTAGGAGGTTAAGATTGCTAATTAAGAGTCTCCACCAAAATTTGCTTGTCTTAAACCTCGCCCTGATCCTGTTTTGAATTGGGAAACCCACCAAGAGAAGAAATTATATAGTGAATTCCAGGAGTTTATAGAATCTCGCTACCTAGAAGTTAAGAGATGCTCGAGCATATATAAATATTATGCTAAAATAGGACTTCAAGTATTTATTTACATTTTAAATGTGCTTGAACTAATTTTTACTTTAAGCTACAAATCCTATAATAATATCCCTGATAGTGAAGTATTTTATTTGGGTTGCTATCATATCTCTATTATTGGTTGTGCTTTACTTCACAGTGCGACTTGGATGTACACATATAAATTCAGATAAGTTGCCAAAAAGAGTTTGTTCATAGAAATTTCATATTATATCTTTTACATGTTTATGGGAGGATTAAGCTTTTTTAAAATAGCTCCATTTATCTATTATTACAACAGAGACCAAACAATTACGTAGTTCTCTTTCAGTTAAATTAATAAATACTTGATTTTAGATGGAGAAGATAAATTTAGAAATCCGTGTATGCTTTTCAAACACAGAACAAAACCAGTCAATATCTTTAGAGATTTAATTTTCCATAGGATTGCTCTTCTTTCCATGATGATTACAATGTGTCTTCAAACATTCCCTTAACTTTTTATCTAAGGTTTCTACAATACAGAACATGAATGGGATGGTTTCAATGTTTTTAGTTATTTATTACTAATAAGTAATTTAATCTATTACCTTTTGGAATTGCAATTTATTGTTTTCACAACAACTTATAGATAGATACAAACGGAGCTTCAATTTAAATTGAAGAAAATAAAATTAAAATTCATTTAAGAAACTAAACAATTATTAAAGTCGGATAAAAAATATCTGGGATTTGTTAAATCATTTTACTTTCACATTGATCCAACTACATTTAGTTCTTATCAAAAGAAAAGATGCATGGTTTAAATTATCACGTTCTTAACTAGATATAAGAAATTCTAAAATGTATAATTTCTATATATTGATTAATATGATGAAGTTACCTTATAATATTTAGCAAATTGTTTTAAATTGATTCAAGTAGAAAATATTAGCTTATAATATAAAGACGCAAACAAGTTAAAAATGTTGTAAGATACTTTTAAATCTCCAAAAATAAAGATTGAACTAATGCAAGACTAAAATGTTGATTAACTATGGGATACAGATAAAGTAGATCCCAATGCAGAAGAATAAAAAATTTAAGAAATTCAATTTATTGAAAATCCAAAAATTAATGCTGGTTGGTAGGCAGTGGCATAAAACTAAAAAATAATTAGGGAATATATTGAAATGAGTTATCATTTTATGAAATTGATACCCGATCATTTAAGAAAATCAGTCAGATTAAATTCTAAATCATATGGAACAGGCACAATATAAAGTTAAATTAACATTGCTTAGACTGATAGATAAGAAACTTAAATTGATATTGCTATGGAAGCAAAACATCAATTTCAAAATATATCCAAAAAGGAAATCTTGGAGGAAAGCTTAGGATATTTTAAATGTTTGATGACTTATTATAACTATTTCGAAACCTGGGGCCAAATGAATTAGTATTAGGCTACTATGTAATCTTTACAATCATTTTTGAATGGAGGTTTGCAGATAGTTTCACTTGTTTACATAGGAGATGATCCTGATAAGTTTTAATCTGCTTTAATCGTATTAACTGTTGTCATTCCTGTGATTCAGATGTTATCCTTTATGGTGTTTTAACATAGAGTATTTAAGACTTTAAATATTTAAAAATAAATTTAGAATGTTCTACTTTTTGCTATTTTTAACTTTTTAAAAGTTTGGGATATTGTAATGATTGCTATGTATTTTTTCTCAAAGAAATTTTTTTCTAATTTAGAGAGAAAATTTAGTGCTGAAGGATATATAAAATTTAAAAGCTATGCTTCCAAATTTTAAGGAAGTCTTCCTATTTCAGTGTTTTAGTATGAAACTGTTTAGGTTGATTCTAAGAGCATTTTGGCAATAAAACAATTACCATTTTACTAGGCAGTTATGTGGAGAACTAGTGTCGAAGAAGCTTTAAACAAGATTCCTTAATTCTTTATTTATATTTTAGCTTTATCATCTACTGGTTTAACAGCCGTGTGGGCAATGTCTTTTTTCCAGCAAATAAAAGAAGGTGTTTTAGCAGTCAAAGATATATTAGAAGTTGTAATTAAAGACTTTTTTATACCAGCTCTAATTTTAAGTACGGTTTCTGTCGAATAATTCTTCTAATCCATGTTGTATTTGAGTTCAATATCAAATTAGTTTTTATTAGAATATCCTAAATCCTTTTAAATCATGTCGAAAGTCAATGAAAAATATTTAAAAGAAAAATGTACTTTTAAAATTAACGTGGAACATATGGATTTTTCAAATTATAAAGAGAAAAAAAAAGAGAAGATACTGGCTTAGTTTAGGTATGTGCTTGCTTCTATACAAAATATCTTAGAAATAGATAAAGCATAAAGACTATTTTGCATGGGACCTGAAATAAATGATTTTGTAAGATGTTTAAAAGTTAGTCCAATTTATTAATTGAAGCTCAATTTCAATTTAGATGAGGTAAACCCTCTTGATCTTCCTCATATTAATGCTTTTATTAAATATTGTCCACCATAATTACAATTTCTACAAATCTAAGTTGAAGCAACAGAAGAAATAAAAATGCCCTTTTGTGTTGAAAGAAAAGCTACTCTTAAAGCCTTTTCTTATTCTTATTTCTAGATAATTTAATAGTACAAAGATAGTGCTTAAGTTGTTTAATAAAAAAGTTTAGATGTAAACAAAGATTTTTTAGAATTAGATAGGTATGATTTTGAATAATTCTATTTTGAAATTGCGGGTAACTTAAATTTAGAATAGTGTTCATAATTATTTGGAAATTTCAAAGAGCTGAAGATTTTCTAGTTATCCATTAATAATAATGCCATAATGCAGAGCTTTAACTTTTCTGATAACATAAAAAGCAAATTGGAAGTACTAGATATCACTTTTGAAAATATAAGATTAGATTTTTAATAATTTCCATTTAATACCCTGAAAACTCTTAAAATGAATTTGAAAAGATGTGAATTTAATAAGACAGGATTATATTAAAGCTTAGTAAATCTAAAAAATGGAGAATCTAAAGTAATTTTAATAGATTTGAGTTAATGCACATCAACTTTTACAAAGGCTGAACATTCAAATTTGGTGAAAGCATTAGAATAAAATAAATTTGATGTAACCATTATAATATGATATTAATATAAGATAATAATTATGATTTAATTTATAATTTTGAATCAACTATATTATTTTTTAATATTTATATAAAAAGTGCCATCAGGCTGGAGAAAATTATTATTCAGATCGAAAAGAGTATTGTAAAAGCTAACCAATTTCAACTAAAGATGCTGAATGATGAATAGCATAAATATCTCTTGCATAATTATTAAATAAAATTTTTTAATTTATTTATATAATGCTTTTAATAATTTCTAGTAATAGATGATACAACTCCATCAATTAATAATTTCCTGGTTGCTATGCAACGCTAGCTATGAAAGGTAGATTAAAATATTCATAGATGTAAGCGCCTAAAGAAAAGTTGATAGATATGAGTAGGATATTTTTAACATAAAAGATACATTTAGTTTTATTCGGATAAATTGAATTAAGTAAGCGTTATGATCTTTTCGTGTTAATCCATAAATCAGCACATAAATTCAATTGAATATCTAAGAAAAATAACTGACATAATAATTTAAATAGTATTTGAAGTTGATATTCATTATTATCAATATTATAAGATTGTGTAATAATAATAAAGAATCTTTTAATTATTTACAATTAAATCTCAAATTAGAAAATATGGAATGAACATTGATTAATTATGTTTGAAAAAAATTATTTTTTAATTTTATTTTTTCGTGTAAATAAAATAATTAGATAAATTATTAATTTAAATAATATATTTCATGCATTCTAATCCAATTATTTCACAGAATCGCTCTATTATTTTATAAGACAATCTTATAGTTCTTTCAACTTAACTAGCAAGTTTAACAACAAATCTAATTTGTTTAGTTTAATCAATTATTAGTCTTTATCGGAATCGTTATCGGAATCGTTATCGGAATCTTCAAATTTTACATAATTGAAATATTTATTCAAATAACAATTACTTTAGTTATCTTCTGAAGAAATTTCCTAAAGATCAAGTGTCTTTGGATATTTTTCAATATTTTCAAAGAACTCAAAGGCCCCATCAACATTTACAGCCTCATAAACTTTCTACAACAAATTTGTTATAATTAGATTTGCATTATTTGATTGAATGAGGGGATATTGAATAACACCATCTATTGAACGATTGATATATTTTTTTATATCAAGTCCCAACGAAACTACTTTTATTTGCATTTGCTAAATCATATTTAGTTGTATTTAAAGTTTATGGAATGGATAGTTGTAAAAAGAGTGATTAATAAAAATCAAATATTTTTTATATTGGCTAAATCTTTCAAATTGATCAAGTACTAACTAAAATTTATTGTGATCATCATTTGATGGCACCTCATTACATTAATCAATTAGGCTTTATATTAATAAAGTTTATTCCTAATCAGTCCAGGAAGTAGAAAAATTTTACTTGATAATATTTTAAGTATGATTTAAAATCATTAAATTGCATACAAGTGAACATTGCTTACATATTTCGATAAATTAAAATAAAAATGGTAATAGAATTTATTATAGAGTTTCCTTTTCAATCTAACTTAAATCTAAAACAATCTAAAAAAGATAAAAAGACTTTCCTCCTTTATTTTTCTTCCTCATTATATCCCTAGCAGTTCCATTAGTGCAAAAAAATTTAATGATGCCTTTTATATCTATTGTAGTTCCTTTTGAAGATAAAGAATATTTAGTAAATTTACTTACTTCCAGCAATGCCTTAATATCATTTGCTTCTTTAGAATCAAGTTAAGATTCAAATTCAGAAGTTTGTTTAATTTCTTGTGCCTCATCCAACAATTTTTAGACTATTTTTTCTGTCTTTACTTTTTAATTCTCTACAATATGATTTAACAATTCTATTAAATTTTTTGAATTACTGATTGTTTGACCATTTTGAATGTTGATAATATTATAATTAAATTCGTCCTATATTTGAATAATTGAAGTAAAACCTTCATCTAATAACTCCATTTTACATTTATTTGACATTTCCAATAACTATTTTGTAAATAATAATAGAAAATCATTGTCATGCTTAATTTGTTCATCAACCTCTATAAAATCTTTATTGCATTTGCCATTTACTGCATGCAAAATTGAATCTAGTAGATTTACAGTTAAATAATCATTTTTTTGTTTTAAAAATATCGCTTTGAACTATCCTGATAAAATAATATCATAAGCCATATTAAGAAAAGAGAACTGCAATAACAATAATCCAAAATGTTACAAATACTGCTCCTATAATTATTACTCTGTAATTATAATTCTAAAAGTAAATTTTTTTATCATATTCAAGGTTTCTTGGGAATCCAACCATTCTTAATAAAGTTTTTACTCTGCTTAAATCATTAATTTATTATAATCAGTGAAGTTTTTGTTTGTATTAACCTCTGATTGTTATTTTGATTTTTAAGTTGATTAATTATTATTAATTTTACTATTAGATTTGGTGACTTTGGTTTTTAAATAAATATTTGAATCCAAATAATCCTCAAAAAAATATTTTTTAATACTATTCATATTTAAAGTAATTGGGTTTAATAGTTTTTGGTTTTGTTATAAATTAACATTTGGATTGTAATCTGTTTAATTATACGAACTAGTAGAAGTTGTATATATGTTTATTTATTACTATTCAGTACTAGAAATGGATTGTTGATTTATTAATTATGAAGGATTAATGTTTGTGAATGGTTATGTTTAATAGTCAGTATTAGTAATTTATGATTATAGTAACTCTTGTTTGTGTTGAGTATTTAATTCTATTGATGTCTATTATACAATATGAGTATTAGATAATAATGATATTGTATATTATCCATTATTAGTATTTGATGATGATGATATCTATTATCCATTAATAGTATTTGATGATGATGATATCTATTATCCATTATTAGTATTTGATGATGATGATGTCTATTATCCAATATTAGTATTTGATGATGATGATGACTATTATCCATTATTAGTATTTGATGATGATGATATCTATTATCCATTATTAGTATTGGATGATGATGATGTCTATTATCCATTATTAGTATTTGATGATGATGATGTCTATTATCCATTATTAGTATTTGATGATGATGATGTCTATTATCCATTATTAGTATTTGATGATGATGATGTCTATTATCCATTATTAGTATTTGATGATGATGATGTCTATTATCCATTATTAGTATTTGATGATGATGATGTCTATTATCCATTATTAGTATTTGATGATGATGATGTCTATTATCCATTATTAGTATTTGATGATGATGATGTCTATTATCCATTATTAGTATTTGATGATGATGATGTCTATTATCCATTATTAGTATTTGATGATGATGATGTCTATTATCCATTATTAGTATTTGATGATGATGATGTCTATTATCCATTATTAGTATTTGATGATGATGATGTCTATTATCCATTATTAGTATTTGATGATGATGATGTCTATTATCCATTATTAGTATTTGATGATGATGATGTCTATTATCCATTATTAGTATTTGATGATGATGATGTCTATTATCCATTATTAGTATTTGATGATGATGATGTCTATTATCCATTATTAGTATTTGATGATGATGATGTCTATTATCCATTATTAGTATTTGATGATGATGATGTCTATTATCCATTATTAGTATTTGATGATGATGATGTCTATTATCCATTATTAGTATTTGATGATGATGATGTCTATTATCCATTATTAGTATTTGATGATGATGATGTCTATTATCCATTATTAGTATTTGATGATGATGATGTCTATTATCCATTATTAGTATTTGATGATGATGATGTCTATTATCCATTATTAGTATTTGATGATGATGATGTCTATTATCCATTATTAGTATTTGATGATGATGATGTCTATTATCCATTATTAGTATTTGATGATGATGATGTCTATTATCCATTATTAGTATTTGATGATGATGATGTCTATTATCCATTATTAGTATTTGATGATGATGATGTCTATTATCCATTATTAGTATTTGATGATGATGATGTCTATTATCCATTATTAGTATTTGATGATGATGATGTCTATTATCCATTATTAGTATTTGATGATGATGATGTCTATTATCCATTATTAGTATTTGATGATGATGATGTCTATTATCCATTATTAGTATTTGATGATGATGATGTCTATTATCCATTATTAGTATTTGATGATGATGATGTCTATTATCCATTATTAGTATTTGATGATGATGATGTCTATTATCCATTATTAGTATTTGATGATGATGATGTCTATTATCCATTATTAGTATTTGATGATGATGATGTCTATTATCCATTATTAGTATTTGATGATGATGATGTCTATTATCCATTATTAGTATTTGATGATGATGATGTCTATTATCCATTATTAGTATTTGATGATGATGATGTCTATTATCCATTATTAGTATTTGATGATGATGATGTCTATTATCCATTATTAGTATTTGATGATGATGATGACTATTATCCATTATTAGTATTTGATGATGATGATGTCTATTGTCCATTATTAATAGATGATGAATTTGTATTTTAATCTTTTGTTTTATTCGATTTTTATTGTTCTTATTATTTTTATTAATTGTTATCTTTACTTTTTTCCTACTATTCTGAATTTTTATTTATATCTTATCTACAATCTTATTTGTTATTTTCATTATAATTTCCATTCTTATATACTTTTTCCGATTCCTTCTATTTTCTTTCATTTTCATCTTTTCTTTGGTCTTGATTATATTATTTGGACTTATTTTAATTTTTTTTTATTTAATTATTTTCACTCCCATCCTATTCATATTCTTATTAATTTTTATTTTATTTATGTTACTTTTCGTTTGATTCTTATTTGTCTTCTTTAGATTTCTTATTTTCATCTTTTTAAACTTTTTGGCATTCTCTCTAGTTTAAGATTTTTTATTTCATTTTTTCTATTTCTTTTTCATCTTCTTCTTTTTTTTCTTTTTCATATTTTTCGACTTCATCTTGTATTTTTGCAATATCACCAGAAACGTCAATATCAATTTCTTTCATTAGCTCCTTAATTTCTTTTTATTAGTTGCAAATCACTTTTTTAACTACATAATCATCAAGCTTCAACAAAAATCCGGCATCAAATAATATTTTTTTAAAACCAAAAATAACCATTGCTTTCTCACATATGTTTTCCATAAATTTTACATAAGTCTCTCTTACTAGATTTAATACATTAAAAATTTATTACTCATTCCAAGAAATTGGCTTCCTAACACGATGCTCTCCTTTTTAACAAAATGAAAATGAAATTATACAATGTACAGCTGTTCCATATAAATAATCGCCAATAATTTCAAATCCTACATATTTGAACTGAATCCATTTAAAATTTAAATCGAAAAGGGAACCTATATCTAATTCCAAAGTTCCTTTTATTCTAGGTCTAATTAGTTACAGATCTAAACTTAGATTCAATTAGAATTTTTCCCATTAGATAACATGAAATAAAGAAAAACCTTACCCTAATATCAATGCTGTGCATGTAGTAAAAGAAAACCCAAAGAATTTAGAATATACTTCTGCTGTTGAATCAAAGCAATCATTTTTTACATCAATATTGTAATCTAAACTCATTTCAAATTCAAAACCACTTATGCTAAATTTACCCCAACCTTTTCCAGTATATATATCTCCATTGTTGAAAAATAGAGAACTAGATGTAGCAAAATGTAATTTTTCTTCTAAGTCTTCTACAAATATGAAAACAGGTTTATATTTTTTCCACGATAATGGAGTTTCCTCTAAATCCTATAATTCAATTTTAAAATTGGAAAAATTTAATTTATCAAATTTTTACAAAAGTGTATGAAACTTAGTATCCTTTAACTTGCGCATTATTTCTTCAGGAAACTTTGGATTACTCCGATCTAAATCAATCTCCCCGTAAAAAAAAAATATTCTTTCTGTTTTCATAAAGAATTCAAAAAGAGTTGCTGGAAAACTTTTAGCCATGTCGAATATAGCCATAGAGCTGTATAGATTTGAGTTTGAAATTTCAACAACCCATGCCTTAGGAATAAAATGATAATAATTAAAAAGAATGAGATTTACCTTACTTTCGTCTATTTCCCCAGTTAAATTTCCTAAAAATTCAGTTATCTAATAATTTTTTACTCTAAATTAACATTTTCCCTTTAAACTCAACCTAATTATTCGAAAAGCCTTATTATAAACAAGCTCAAAATGATCTTCTTATGATTCTTACCCAATCTAAATATAACCTTTATATGTTAGGCTTCCAAAATCTTTATAAAATTATGTCAATTCAAGATAAATTTTATAACTTGGAAGAGCTTCTGATTTCACTTGAAGTGAACATTTAATATTTGTATTTTCAAAGGAAAGTACTGGACTTTGAGCCTGAAGAACTTTTAGATTCTAATATTAAATTTATAAATCGAATTCTTATGGTAGAAAAAAAAAATTATTTTTGATCTCTTATTTTACTTGTGCAGTACAATTCGCAAACCAACTTAATTCTTGCTTATTTATTTCTCCCTTTTCAATAAGTTTCAAGTAATTTACATAATTTGTATTTTCCTACAATTCCTTGAAAATAACATTTCCATTTTTATTAGTATATATAAGTAAGCAATCTGCTTTTTTTAATTTAAAAGCATAATCAAATTCACTTAAATATTTAAATATATACTTAAACTTACTATTATTATCAAATGAATATTAGAAAATAGCTGGATAATTATTAACACTTAAATAAAGATTGATATTACGAGATGATTCTGTTAGTTTAACAAATATTTTGTCCTTTTGAATAATTAAGTCAGTTATTATTAGTTGTTCACTCAGAATGTTAAATCTTGCATATCTTTCATATTCCTCACATTCTGTTAAATGAACTCCATCTTTTTTCTAAATGTAAGAAAATATTTCTATTCCTCTTAGCATTATCTTGTCCTACATCTTACAAAATTTGAATTTTTTTTCTCCTTAGTCATATTAAAGAGTAAATGGAATTTCAAAAATATTTACATCAAATTACATGTTTAATTTTGTTGATTTTGAATTGATTTCCAATTTTAGAGTAATTTATTTAAATTATGCGATACCATTTCTGATGGATAAATTTTCCTTACATTCAAGGAGTAAACTCTAAAATTAATATGTCTTGCTAAGTTTTAATGTACATAAAAGATCCAAATATTTTTTTTAAAAATCACTAGAAAATATAGGTAACTTAAAGTCATAATAAGAATTCAAAATTTCTAGAAATTTAAGTAAATTTTGTTCTAAATTAAAATTAAATTCAAATTTTTTTGTTTTCTCTAATAGATCTATTTGGAATTCTGTTCTAAAATCATTATGAGAAAATAAATTCAATTCAAACGACAAATATGAAGTTTTCTCAAGTTTAGTATCATCACTTATCTCAAAAGTTAATTCAATATTATCCAATGTTAAAGCATTTGTCAAAGGATAAGTAGATACTCCATATGAAAGTTTAAATGAGGTATTACGATTCCTCAATATCAGATCAACATTTAAATCATCATAATTTATTTTCCTAGCAAATACAATGTCTATTTCTTTATTAAAAACAGCCAAAAAAAATTATTTCATACTAAAATTAGAAGCTAATTAGAATTTACAATAGAATTCTTTCCAACTTTAACTGAACATGAGGTCAAAGGAACCTAAAAGGAATTAACCTATTCTACATATTCCTGATAAACAAGTTTCTTACCAACTATTTTTCCTATAAACTAGATATCCATTTAATTCTTAGAGGTTTACTAAATTAAAAATTTTACATTAACTATTTGCTATAAATAATTTGATTATATATTCCCACTCTTAATGCTTTTCTAATAATAAAGAAAAAGAAAAATCCTGAACCTCAAACTTTGCATCCTTTTCAATAATATCTATTCCTACACTATTATTTATGAATTAATTCAGACTAAACTTCTCGATTATAAAAGAATGAAAATTTAGCTAATAATTTGGATTTGATTCTTAACTTAGATAGTCTTAAAATTTTAAAAGAAAATCAACTTCCTGCTGAAAAAACAGCAATTTTACTTTTAAATCAGCATAACCTTCATTTCGTTTCTCGGATTATTAAAATGTTAATTGTATTTTTTCAAAAGTTAAGCCAGTGTACTTGTTTATAATATCTTCTTTCACAACATTTAAATCACCTTCAAATTCTTAAGATATAATATTGTAATTAAAGTATGCAATATGATTTACTCTTGGAAATATATCTATTCCTTCAAATTAACGTCCAAGCAAACCAAAACCTAATTTGAAAGGATCGATTGACATTTGTAAAGATTTATCTTCTATTTCTAAATTTAGCGATCCTGTAGGAGTTAACTAAAGTTCAAAGGTATTTAGAGGAAATCCTTTTAATGTTATTAATCCTTTCAAAATAAGCCAAAATCCTTTATCAGATCCAAAAATTGTTAAATAGCAGTCACAAAGAGTTAAAAATTCAGATATTTTCCGTCGACTCAATAGACCTACACTAAATTTCAACCAAACTGAATTATCCCAAATTATCATTGATTCGTAAGTTTGCTCTTAATTCTAATTTTTTTTATCCTTTGCTTCTTACTTTTATTCTAACTCTTAAGCTATTTTTTCATCTTACTTTTATTTTAAATTTTATGCTATTTTTTTATCTAAATCAGTTTAAAATTTTTTTTATTTTGATTTTGCCTCTTCAAAATTATAACCTTGAGATTGCATTTTATGTTCTTGCATTTAAAATAACTATTAAAGTTCTTTTCCTAATTTTTCAAATTAATCCAAATTTAAAAATGATTCAAAATTCTCTTATTCAAATTTTATTGTTTCAATTTCATCAAACCCTTTCACTTATGATAACTTCTTTTCCAAATCACTTGAAAAAGCAGAAATAATATGTTTTAATTTTGGGGAGTTCATCCCTTTTTTTAATTTCATAGTTAGACACTTTCCTAAATCTTTGCAAAACAATCTCAAAAAATCAAACTCTAATTCTACTTCAATTATAAGCGTAAGAATTTCAACAGTGAAACCTATTGTAAATGATGCAATTTTGGAATCAATGTGGGAATATATTTGCATACTTTTTATTTAGAAATTTATTTTCTCAAAAATTTCAATATTCCAAACAAACTCAATAATTATTTAAAAATTCCAATAAATTCCATCAGTGATAATATCAAGTTTCTTTAATGTTGTAGCTTTACTTTTTGATAACTAAGATAGAAAAATATTGTTGTTTTCAAAATAATTCTAGAAAAATTTTTAAATTATTTTATCATAATAAATTTAGTGTTATCCTTGAGGCAATTATTCAGTTAATTAGAATATCATTGAGTTTTTTTGAATTATTCCAAATAAAATACCAATATCTTAATCTAGAAACTGAAATGCAAATTCAATACTTCCATTTAAAGCAATTGGTTATTTTAGTTCGATATTTGTAACTATTTTATTAATTTTAATCCAAAATGGTAACTTATAAATTTAAATTGGTTTTTCACATCTAAGTTGTATTTCTACCCTTCTTTCTTCAAAATCGATATATGGTACAAAATTTTCACAAAAAGTAACATCAATATTAGAAATTAAACTAAAACAACCAGATTCCAAAAAAATATTAACTAAATTTTATTATGGAATACATATTTCTCCTCTATTTGAAATTAAATCATTTATTCTACCAAAATATCCTTGTTTGATAAAATAATAATTTAATTCAAGATGCAGATCACAACTTAGTTAAAATTAAGTAATGATATTTTCCTTATTTGAGGCAAATTTTCCAGATATATCTTTTAATTTCAAATTGATATTAGGAAAGTTGTAGTCATTTAAACTGAAATTTAAAATGATTTCTAAATCTTGATTTAGGAGCAATAAACATTCCATGTCTGATTTTGATAAAAGGTGTTTAAAAGTCTTAAAAAATTATTCTTAAGATGGCCCGATAAGGGATTTAATCAAAGGAACCAAAGATAAATCATTAGATTATTAATATTAAATTTACAATTAACCTCCAGGATTCAATCTTGCTTCAGCTAAAAACGTATATCCCTAAAATTAACATTTTGACTTCATTATAAATTTTAACAATTCTTTGCCTTTAATGTATAAAGACAAGAAAGTAGGTTCAATCTTCAGAGTTTCCTAACATAATTAAATAATTAACTCTCCATTTACTTGAATTTCATAACAACCTAAGTCATATTAGTTTTCTGTTTAAAAATTTACCAGCAATATTTATCTACTGATACCCTCAATAAAACTCTAATAATTTTAAATATCATTATTTGACAATTATTTTTTTAAAAATTAACTTAAGTTTTTTAAATCCAACCATCTTTTAGTTTAGTCGTGGTTAACAATTTAAAAGGAATTAGACACTAATTTATTTAAGATTGTATCATTATATTTTTCAATAATTTAATCAACTTGAAGTTGATGATTGAAATCAAAAATTGGAAAATCAGGATGATTTTTACATTCCTTAAAGTCTGATCCGAAAAGGATCTCCATTGTTTAATCATAATATTTTAATCCGTTTTCTTAAATCATCCTAAAAGCTTTGATAATACTCCTTAGATTAATTAAACACTTAGATTATTCCTAAATAAAGATTATTTAGTTCAATATATTACTTGCCAAAATAACAGTATCTTCTAATTAAAGCTACTATCCCAAACCACTTCTAGTCAAAATTTCAATAACATCTATATAATTATCAGCAATATCAATTGAAAAGTTAATTTTAATACATCGATTATAAAAGGCAGGAGATAATATATGTTAGTCCTCTCTGGAGGGATTTTATATACATATTAAACGAAAATTCTTATGAGGAATGATACAGGAATTCGAGTCTCCAAACTCATTATTAAATAAGCGAGGTGAATCTTCTCCCAAAGAATTCAATCGTTCAACTATTTCAGCTCTTGCTAAATTAATATTGTCTAAAATTAACCAATATCCAAATTTACAACAAACTTTTAATACTCCTTCGATATATTTCATATTCATCCCCTATTTTTATTTTTTATTATTTATAAATTTCTATCTTTATTTCAAAGCAATCCTCTCTAATTCTTATTAAATTTCATCGTAATTAGGGTCAACTAAAGCGAAATTCCCAAGTAAATCATCAGTTTCTAAATCGCAATGGATTGGCAGTAGAATAAATCTTTGGTTTAAAAGATTAGCCAATTTGATAATGCAGGAAGTTTTTCCTGATGAGACATCTCCTTAACATAATATTACTTTCTTTGAATGAATAGCTATAAACAGCTTTTCAAAAATGCCTGAATTTTATAAGTTTATAACTAATGAATTATTGGAAATTTAAGGAGGTACTTAATTTGATAGGATAAAATTGAATAGTGGTTTAAAATCTTTTTCAATTTATCTGCTTATTCTTATAATGTTTGCATTTTGCTCTAAAAAGACTCTTCTATTGATCCATTCTTCTTCACTTAAACCAAACTTATCTAAGATTATTTTTATCACTTATTTACTAAACTCCGTTTTATAAAAGTGCTATACATATATCATATCTAAACAAACAATTATTAATTCTAATTAAAGTTTTTCATCATTTAATTTTTATCTCTACTCCAAAATTTATTAGCTGAAAAGTTACAATAGATTCTCCAAAAATCTAATATTAAAGTCATAATTCGATTGCATTTTTTATTATGCCAATAAAGCAAGCTCTTTGTGTAAATCCAACATCAATTAAAAATTAACTCCATTATTTTATAAATGTTTAATTTCATTTTTATATCTCTATTAAAATATATCTAAAACTTAATCTATGCTGAATGCTTCAATATAAACATCACACAATAAATTCGAAATACATAAAGGTAAGTCTTTTCTCCCTTCATATGAAGTGGGATTCATTGAGCATAAAAATACACATTTATCTTTATTTAATCTACTATCTTTTATTCTAATCTCCTTTTCATCTGTGTTAAATAAAGCCTAAAGTGTACTTAAAACTTCAGGAGATGCTAAATTAACTTCATCGAATAATATTAAGCTCTTCTGTGATAATGCTTAAGCTAGATATCCTTCTTGAAATGTAAATGCTATTTGATCATTGTCAATCTTTGGAGCATAAGACCCAAATAGATCTTCAACGCTTAAAGAATCCGAACAACAAACTCTACAGTGTTCCTTTTTAATTATAGTGGCAAATTCTGAAGCAATTGCAGATTTTCCAACTCCTGGTGGTCCAATAAGGCAAGGTATATAATTTGTAGTAATTGCTGAGTATATTCTTTGTAATATTTTTATTGTGGACGGATTCATGATGATTTTTGGAGAATTGAAAAACTATTTATCTTTTAATTTTTCTTAAATTTTGTTTTAAGCTTGTTTGTAATGTTCCTAGTAATTAGCATCATTAATGACTTCTTCAAAAGTTATTCTATATTTGTCCAGAATAGTAAATTAAAATCCTAATGCTAATTTTTATAAGTGAGTAGCATCTATATCCAAATTCAAAAAACTCATCCATTAATAGAATTTACGATCAGATATATTTTCATAGTACACTCCTTTAAATTCTTTAGTCCTTATTAAAACATCCTAAACAAACTTAATTATTTGATCACTCTCAACCTAATTTTTAATTTTACTTTATATAAATTTCTAATAAGAAATGTCTAGTATTTTTGTAGAATTAATTAGTTATGGAACTGATATTTTGATTTTTGTTAGTCTTGATTACAATGCATCGCTTAATTAACCTCCAAAATTAGTATTTAATAATGCTATTACAAAAAATTCATTATGTAATTTAATCTCTTATCCATTTACAATAAAGTGTGGCTCTATTTCCAATAATGCATTCAATCCCTCTATAACTGATTAATCTGCCATGGATATGTTTTTTAAACAGACAACACCTCCAAATCTAGCATTAAATGTTAATCCTCTTTCAATAAAAGGGAATTAGTTACCAATATTTTTGAAAACTTGATCAAAGAACTAAGGTTATTAATATTTATCATTCAATTATTTAAATCTGCTTTCGATATTTATTTCATTTTAATTTATATTCTATTCATCTTTATCAAGTTTCTTAATTAAATTTTAACAATATTTTTCATAAGATTCTTGGTTATGAGATTCCATACTCCCAATTAAGTCCGTTATCTCAGTTTATTAATTGATGTACATTAATTCAAATGGATAAGGATTCTAAAACTCTACTAGTTAGGCAAATAGTTAGGATAAGTATGTTTTTGATGATGTTTTCCCCACAATTAAAATATTTTCTCTAAAATAACAACTAAATGCTATTTTACATAAGACTAATCTTTAAATAGAGTTTAGATTTTATTCTGCAGATTAATGATTCTGGTAATTTTTGGCAAGTTAAAATGGTATCGATATCTCAGCCTGTTGATTTTTTATTGAAAAAATAATGGTTTATTGTTTATATTCAATTTTACATTCTAAATCTTATTCTTCAGAGGCATTTTTAGGAAAAAGAATTATCTAATGTAATTGTAATTGGTTTTCCCAATTAGGTTATTTAGTGGAAAAATTTGTTTTCTCCAAACGATTTCTAAATCTTATGAATTGTCTTAAAGTAAATTAGGTTCCATTGAAATTTAAGAGATTTTCATTACCGTCTTTTGGATACGGTATTAATTTGGTTAGAAAATATTCCATACCTTTTTTGATGCAATCTTAACTATCTTTCTTTTTACTTAGTTGTGATTCTGTGCAAATTTTAATTACTTCTTCATAAGGATAATTAGGAACTTCAACTACTATAACTTTAGAAGCTAATGTTTTTGGGAGCTCAGTCCTACCATTATAAGAGGGAGGATTCTATGCGAAAAAGATTCGAAAATTTTCATGAACCTTTATAACTTTATTTGAAATAGGATCTTGAAATTCTGAAGGATACTTTGCTACAGATGCTAAAAAGTTAAGTAAACTTGCATCTGAAAGGTTTGCTTCATCTATTAACACTATTCCACCTTACTCCATTCCTAAATACAATGGGCCTTTTTTTAGTATAAACTCCTTCTTATCTTAGTTGCATGATGATACATATTATCCCATTAGATCATTAACATCTGTATTTTAATTCAAATTTATATAATGAAAAGTAGTTGATTCAAATAATTTGCATGTTTATTAAAATGTAGATATTACTTTTGTTTTTCCAACTCCTGCTGTTCCCTATAAAACCAAAGGTATTTTAGCAGCTACAGCTACTGCAATTATATCTGAGACAATTTTCCTTGATGGAGTTACAACAAAATTGTTTTTCTTACTATCTTTTGATTATAATTACTAATAATGAAGAGGTACTTATATTTATTCACTTAAAAGAGACTTATTATCTTGTAAACTCAAAGCAATAAAGAAATCTATACATTCTATGACTTTTTATTACAAATTCATCTTAAATTGAGCTTCAGCGAATTTCTAGATTTCCTTGATTGGCTTTAAGAATCTGATTATTTTGTTCAATTGTATTTATTCAATTTATGTTTCTAAATTTGATGAAGTCTTACCATTATTCCCTGCCATTAATTTGGTAGTAATATCTCTTACAAAGTTTATATCAGATGGTAAATTTACTGATTAAAATAATTAAATTATATCATCTTAAGTTACTTGAAATTCTAAGAAAAAGCTTAAGAATCTGCTTTTTAAGGCTGGAGTGATTTTTTTATCTAATTCATGAAAATCAGATGAAACTGCAATCACAGCAAAATCTTAGTGTCTTTGGTATTTTTCATTCTACACCAATAATTAAAGAAATTTCTTTTCCAAAATTCCATTTAACGATTCTGTTAAGGCACAATCTGGGGCTTCAAAATTAGTGAGGATTAACACCTTCCCTTGATGAAAACATCTGGTAACTGGTCCTATAATGAATTCAAATCCATTCTAAGTAGGTTGATACTTTCCAAATAAATCTTCCGCATTTGTACTAGAGGATAATTCCAGTATTTCATATTTATCTATCTTCTGAAATTTTAACCAAAGAAGAATGCTTGATAATTTTCCACAAAATTATTATCCCACTACTAATGCTGCTCTCTTTGTTTTGTAGCATAAGGTCAACATTGAAAATAATGTTTCATGAAATGAGAGAACCTTTAACTCATTCGTATTGTTCCAATTCATAATTTCAGTATCCCTCTAAGATTTTGTTTAATCAAATGCATCATTTGTATCAGCTATAAATTTGTTTTGATCTATTTGATAATTTATAAGATCACGATTCTTTTTTAAATAAATGAATTATGTTGATATTAATTTCATACAATCTTTTAGAGGCAATAATTCAAATATTTTGTCCCTGTCTTATTCAAATGAAACAAAAATGAAATCAATAATTTAAACTATATCTCTTAAGGTAAAGAGTCCATCATCCATATTTTTCAATTTAATTTCTTCATAAATCATCATAATCAGAAAGGATAATTATTAAATAGATATCTTTTGCTCTGGCTATTACTTCATTTCTTGTAACTTTGAGACTAAAATTTAGTCAACAATGAAATTTAAATCATTCATACTCATGGACTCAAACTTTATTGGAATGAATTGGCTCATCAAAGATGGAGAAAAGATATTTCTAGATGCTGCAAACTTTGAATCAGTTGCTGGATTTTAGGTTAAAAAGAGTTTAAAATTTTAATGTTTCTTTATTATTAAAGTTCCGTCTATTTAATCTACATGAGAATTTATCGAACTGCCATATAAAGTGATATATCCAAGCTCAAGAACATCTTCAATAACTCTTAGTATTGAATCACTCGCTAAATTTGCCTCGTCTAAAAGGATCCATGAACCCTCTTATACAGCTTAGGCGAAAGGGCCTGGTTAGAATTCAAATTTAAATCCTGGTAGAATTTCAACTTTGCCAATAAAATCAGAAATTTACGTAAATGAACTCAAATTCATTATTATTAATGGCTACTTATTTTTATAAGCCAAATATTAAATTATCGACGTCTTACCACATGCAGCACTGCCTTCACATAAGATTGGATTATCTCCATTGATAGCAGTTTCCAATTAAAGTAAATGTTTCTTTACGCTTTGAGTTTCAGCGTAATTCTCCATCTTAGGAACCAGTTCCTTTAATTTTGAATTCGTCTGATAATTAAGGTTTAAAACTCTATAATCTACTAAAGGTAAAAACCTAAACTAGGCATTTAGGTTTACTAAGGTTGTAAATTTTGGATTTAAGTTCTCAAAATCTTACTGATATTACTATATCAAGAGTTCTGTTGATTATGCTTTGTTTACATCAGTTAAAATTCCTTACAAAGCTCTCTTTTTGACTTGAGAAGCTATTGTCAAGGATTATGTTGGATATGGGGGTCTTATTTATATATCAGGAGGCAAATTTTCAAGTAATAATTGGTTTTTATTGTCTAACATCATTAAGTTTTCGTCTAAAAGAGAAACGTTAAATTAAAGTATATTAGGAATGCTTTTGATTTTTTACTGCATTTAGAAGTTTGCGTTAATTGAATAAATATGCAAGGTTTAGGATGAGTCAAGTAAGAGTAGCTCCATTTTCTTTTTTCTAAATCCAACCTTCTTAATGTTTTAAGGAGTATCTAATAGATTTTGCTGAATCTCTTTATCGATTTAAAATCCATCTTCAAATTTTGCTAGAATTATAACCAACTAATTTGATTTGTTTTGGATCAAAAGAAATGAATTTTTGTCTTATTCTTCTATTATTTTGCAGGAGACACAATTATCAAACCTTTAGACTTCTGTTTAATTTTCTACAGCAATTACTAAACAAATGGAGTTAAGATTATTTTATTGAAATTCACAAAGAATTTAATCAAATTTCTTAGATATTGTAAATTGCTGGATTTAATTGAAATCTGATTATATTTTCTTGATGACTTTATTTAAAAAAATATCATATAGCACTAGGTCATTCTTAAAAATGAGTGCACAAATTCTGCTATTGCACCAATCAACCAACCTTAACTGAGTAGTTGGAATTTGTATCTTTGTGACAGGAGTAAAAGATTTTTCTAATTATGCAGAATAAAGATTAGTTAATTTATCCTGTTCTTTTTCTTCAAACATAAGTAGAAATTATAAGTTTGGATCACAGACTACACTTTAAATATTTACATTAGTTAATTAGTACTCCCTAAAAACCAGGCAATCAGAATCAAATATTAATATTTCTGAGTCTGATTTATTCTTCGATAAAATATTCACCTTTGAATTACTTAGCGATATTTGTTAAGCATTCGATGCCTAGAATATCATACTCATATGAATTAATAATAATAATTAAGATAATTGACATTTTCTACAAATTTAAACTCATAGAATTAATGAATTCTTCTAGATCTACTATAAAATATTGATTTTCTAGGCCTAAAAAATAATTGGTATCCTCAAATACTATCTCAAATCATGATGGGCGAACGAGATTTTTACTTCTTATGAAAATTTGGAGTATATAGAATTAATTGTTTTGTTCTAGAAGGTCTAAAGAATTTTCATATATATAACTAGATTAAGAGAAAGTTGTTTATTATCTCAATTGTAAGGAATGCTCAAATTCTATTGAATAATAGCACAGAGATTATATTACAAAAAGGTAACATATGAATGATAATGACTATTAATTTTCTATAATTTAGATCAATTTCATCTCCTGTTTTTCAGAGTGCATTCTCAAAATCAAAGTCGAATTCACTCTATTTTCTTTATTCATATAATTCAGAACAAGCCTTGTGAAATGAAATTTCGGTCTCATCTATTTTATGAAGAATCGAATTATCAGCTTTTATTAATTATAGGCATGAATAACAGGAATCTGATAAATGTATAGAACAATTGTTATAACCTAAAGTTAATAATTAGCTCTCTATCATTCTGCTACAAGACCTACATTTTTTTTACTAAAAGAAAGGTATATCAATTTCTGTTAAATTATTGAAATTCAATTTATTGTTAATAACTTTCTATTCTATTTTATTCTAACAACTTGTATCTATCTCTCCTAAAGCAAATTTGAACAGCTGCTTTTCTTTGTTAGATTTATTTGATTTTTCTTCCTTGAGTTAATATTCACTTTTGAGAATTGAAATCGTTTTAGGCAAATTATAACTATTTAATGAAGATGCCCTTAATAGATCTGAATCAATTTGGACATTCTTTTCTATCATCTATGTAGCAAGAACAACGGCTTTGAATAATTATTCTAATCTCTTAAAAATTGGGTAGTATTTGGATATTTTCTCATAAATTTCACTAATTTTTTCAGCAAATAAAACACCTTAATCATTAGGGTCCTTAATATCTTTTTCAATTATCTATTATTTCAGTAATTCAATTTGCTTTGCTTTACATTTAATTTATATACTTTCTATTAAGAACTAGCCATCTTAATAATTATAAACACATGTTTAAGGATAAAGTATAAACTTGTAAATTAACTAAGATCCCATCATGCTTCCAAAATTCTAGTATGATTTCAATCCACATAATTCTAATTCTCTGGGGTACTTAAAAGGAGTTTTCCCATCTGCTGCAATACCCAAACTTATTTGTTGCAATTAATGACTACTTTCAAATAACACCTTTGCAAATTCAGTATCATTGATTATATTTCTCTTTACAAGTTCATCCGGCCAATAAAGTTTCTCTTATTATGACACTTCTTCTTGCTTCAAAGAAAGAATAGGACTTAAATTGAATTTGATCATCTTTTCTTATTTTGATAGCTTTGGATCACTTAAGACAAATAATGCTGTTGCTAAATCAGTTAAGTGTATATCCTCTTATACATCTATTAGAAATCTCATTGAATTAAAATTAATTCCTCTAATTTTCTTTTCTAATTCTATCTCATCTTTGAATTAACCTAACATGTGCTAGAATTATGGTTTGCTCTCAAATTATTCTAATTATTAATCCTCCAATTGAGGCATTATTCCCTTATCTATTTATTCCTTTAATTGATCCAAATTTGAGATCCAATTTTCATAATTTCTTTTTTTCTAAGGGTTTTTTTTTATTGCTTCTTCCAAAAAAAGAATTCTGGATTAAATTAGGTCATGTTATAGATCCTTTTAATTCATATTATTCAGAGCTGATAGTGCTATCTTATTGAAAATGCCATCCTTTGTTTTTCTGCATGCTTTCTAGAGAAAAAGAGTGGCATTTTTAGTTCCCAAATTCACTAATGTATCAAAGTACAAATAAGCTGTATTTGGATCCACTATTTTTTCAACATGATTTTTGATGTACAATTAATAATAAAAATTAATGATTTCATCCATTGATAATTCTTCAACATCCTTAGCCATTGGTATATCGCCTTCTTTCACTCCTAACTTTAAATACTTTTCTTTATGATATTTCCCATAAATATTTTATGAGATCCCATAATTTATTTTTTCTTATTGAATGTCGTAATGAACTTTTTCTCTTTGATTTTCAAGAATATGTTGAGCTATAATCTCAAATGTATTAATTTTTGACATCACTTCCAATAGAATTAGAAAAATAATATAAATTCTGAATTAAATTACAAATCAACAGCTCTAATAATATTACATAATAGCATAAAAAAGAGAAGTTACAAAGATTATATTACATTCTGCTTTAAGAGATAATAGAGTCTCAATTAAAAATTCAATTCTTTTTTTGGGTTCCTAAAAAATAGATTTTAGCTTAAAGAGGAATTTTTTACAAACTGGAGCAATTAGACTCTTATCTTTGTAAGCTAATGGTTAATTCTAAAGGCTAAGGGAATTCGGAAACTTGAACATAGATTTTTGGAAACACTCCATTAAATATATTTTATATTATAAATTTTAGCAATAAATATAATGTAATGTAATTTGAAAATTAAATTTATTTCAAGCAATGCATAAATTCACTAAATTAATAATTTTGAAATAAGAGAATTTTAGTAGTTTTGTGAAACTTACCTCAAATTTAAGAAATAAATAAGAATTTGCTTATCATATTACTAGATATTAAATAAATCTTAACAATTCTTAAAGATTTCTTATAACGAGTTAACGGATGAAAATATATTCAAATATTTAAGACATAAGGCATCTATTTTTTTCAATTGTTCAAATAAGTCAGAAAATATCAAATACTATTTTAACCAAAGCTAGGGCATTTATTGTTGCTATGATAGATAGATTTTATTGATAAGGATTCTACTATAGAATTCCCTTGTCTTCAATACCATACCAATCATTTTCTTAATATATTAATTGAATTATACATAATTGTTTCAATTATGAAATAAAATACCTTGAATTTAGTTATAAATCCAATAATCATAAAAGTAATAAAATTCAAGGGAGAGGCATCCGAGCATTTTGTTGAATAAATTATTCCATTTAATTTTGCAGATTTACTATTCTAACAATTTGAACCATATGAGACATTATCATAAGGAGAAAAAGTATCTTAAAAATGAACGTTGACTCATATCATTTAATCTATTTCAATCATTAATATTTATTATTAATAATGAGTTCTGCCATTCATCTTCATATTGGAGGAGCTGGAGTAATGATAGGCGATGAACTATGGAAACTTTATTAGAAGGAGCAAGAGAAGACAAATGTTAAGAGTTACATTTACAATGAAAACGATAATAATCATCCATTATCAATGTTTATTGATTTAGATGATAGAATGGTAAACGAAATCAAAAAGAATAAATCAATAAATTATAAATCTAACTCTTTTGTTACCGGCAAGGAGGATGCATCGAACAACTATTGCAGGGCACATTATACAATTGGAAAGGATTTAGTTGAAAAATGTTTAGATAATATTAGAAAGTAAGTAGAAAGTGTGGGTAGAATAGATTCATTCATTATTACATCTGCTCTAAGCGGTGGAACAGGATCAGGTTTTACTTCTTTGCTTTTACATAGATTATATGTTGAATACGGAGAGAAGGTCAATAGAAATGCATTCTTGATTTATCCGTCAAAAGAAATATCGAACAATACAGTGGATATCTATAATGCTGTTCTAGCAACTCGTATGACTATAGAACATTGTGATTCGGTTGTAATGTTCGATAATCAATCGATGTATAATTCCATAGATTCACAGATTGGTTTAGATTATGTTGATTATACTCACCTTAATAATTTAGTATCCTAAATAATTAGTTCGTACACTGGTTTAAGAAGATACAATAATATTGATAATAGCAAATTATTTCCTGGACTATGTCCCTATCCATTAGTTCATTTTGTGATACCCTCATATGGACAATTGGCATCTATAAATGATTAGATTAATAAATAATTAACTGAAAAATAGCTGATATAGTAAATAACAAAGCCAGCTCAAAGATTATTTTATTCAGAAACAAAACCTGAATACATTTGTGCATCCTTTGTTCATCGTTCTCAACACTAGAATAACTTTTTTGGTTAATATGATTTGACGCTTTAAAGAATGAAAACTAAATATCAAGCAAGTCCAAATGTGTTTCAATGTTTATCTGAAAATTATACAGTTATTGCAGAACTTGCATAATTAAAGTAAACTGCTATATTTCTTTCAAATGATGCCTCCTTATTCAATTACTTTGAATTACTTGGTAAGAAGTATGATTAAGTCTATGCCAAAAGAGCATTTGTTCATTGGTTTGTTGGAGAAGGTTGTGAATCTGGGGAGATGTCAGAATGTAGAGAAAATGTTGCTTATCTAAGCAATAACTATGAAGAGCTGACAGATGGAGCGCTCAGAGTTTGCTAAATGTAAGATGATGATGATTGAGGATGAATATAAACTAATTAATTTTGTATTTATGAAATAATCAACAACTACAACAATTTATCTCTGATTATTGATAATTTCCTCTATAAAATTTAAGCTTTAATTTCATACTCATTAAAAACAATAAGAATAATGAAATAATTCATCTCATCTTAATGTAAAAACCAAATCTGTAAATTATATTCAAATCTATTATAAATATAGTTTAAAACTTTCAAATAATATATAAATTAATATTATCAAACTTATTTTTCTGATATTGTTTAAACACTAAATTAAACCAGTTAATCTTTTGATAAATAATTAGTCAATTTGATATTTAATCTAATATTAAAGGAATAACTTACTACTAATTTTAGTTGTATTTTTTCTTAAAAAAAGCCTATCTTAATTTATAAAAATTGTTTTTAACGCTCTCTTCCTTCTATTTTAGGAGTTCTAGATTTTTTGATAAATATTTTGTATATTTAGAATTAGGTTGAGAGGCAAGGAATACTGAAAGCAAGGATGACAATACCTGAGGTTTGAACTTCTTGTAATAAACTTTTAGGATATCTATAACAAATGGGAAGCTCAATACTAAACTGATTAATATGATCATAGTTTAAATGACTCCTGAAACTATTGAGTTGTCTTATTAATCGCAAATATATTTCACCGCTGCTAGAAATATTGCACTAGAGCAAAGTTGCCCAGCCTATATGTCCAAGATATTGAATCTTTGAAGGTGATATGGCTTGAATCGTTAAGATATGAATTAATAGATCAACAAGCACAATCCTAATAATGTAGCCTTCAAAAATATATCAGTTTCAAAATAGATTAGAATAATTATAATAATCGTTTTCTTCCACAGTTTAATCCACTCCCAAAAGTAGGTTTTTCCAGTATACTCATTAAATAGATACCCAATGTGTCTTCTATATTTAATTTTATTAAGCTTATCCTTCTTGAAGTAAAGGTAAGTGTACATAGAAAATGGTAATATTATTACTAGCAACACAGATCCAGGCACTATAAATCCAAATATCCATTTGATATGAGTATCGGTGCCATACAGTAAAGACACATCTCCTTAGATATAGTCGATTTAAGAAATCCTTCTAGCTGCCAATATCGAAAAGAATCTAATGTTAGGAAATTAATTGTTACTAATTGATCACTGATGCGTAATTTTAAATGTACAGATAAAGAATAGTGATAGATAGAATTCTGCTTTGATATTTATAATCTGTTAATAAAGAAAGTATTTAGAATCCTAGATAGATTATTAAAATTTAAGATATTATTAATACTATAGTTAGGATAATTCTGCTGTAAATCAAATCGGTACCATGTATTTCTGACAAAAAGCATTCAAAATAATTAGCCATAAAATAAGATGTATCACTTGATTATTTCAAAAAGCCTAAAGAGAATGAAAATCGAATGTTAAAAGTAAAAATAAGAGAAAATATCCAAATATAATTTAAAAATAACTTAAGTAAAATACTCTCATGATCTAAATATATATATATCATTATTACCTTAATTCAAATTGAATAATATATCTGCAAACTTTTATTTTAATTTAAGTGATGTGAATAATTAGTTTGATTTTTCAATACTTTTGATGGTTAAGAGAGTTGATAAGATAGCCCTAATAATATAATTGATTGATTTTACCAAAATGATATCAATAAGAAAGCTATTAATCTTTTTAAAAGCTCTTAGCATTATTAACATTCCAATTATTATTAGTTCTTGAAGAATTAGCCTTCTCCTCTAAGATTAAATTTATCGCATTCTTCACATAAACCTCCAAGATGTCCCTTATTGCAAGTATTATCACCAATAGCCCAACCTCCCAAACATTTACTTGTACTTTTATAGCAGAGTTCAGTATAATCAGAGATAAAATTAGGTCTCCAATAACCTGGTTTGAGTTAAATTTTATTTGAAGTAATTGCATCGAATTTAGTTTTATCAAAAATAGAGCATTTTGTAGTATTGTAAGTAACAGAGTAAAACCCTTATTCTGATTGGCATGTTTAACAACCACCAGAAACGTAAAATTCGCCTAATTGACAGAAAAAGCTCTTAACCCTCATTTTATAAGACAATACATCTTACTAATATTCGGTTTTGCATTAAATTAGTATCTCATATATTTTATTGTTTTAGGTATATGGGTCAAAATTGAACTTAGATAATCCTAGGTTAAACTTATGAATATTTGAATCGTAGGCAATTTCTTATATATTATTAGTTTCTTAAAGTGAATAGGTGTTGATATCGAATGATTATTAGATTAAATTGCATGAAGAGTTGATAAGGTTTAGCGTCTATTACTCATTCAAGCTATTTTTAAAAATGACAGAAATTTCATTAAAGTAAGCTAAGTATTGCTGAATCTTACGATTATAAAGTTGATAATTAGTTAGAGTTTGTCCACTAGGGATTGTTAAGTAATTTGTTCTTTTAACATGATCTTGGGATATGACTTTATATGGGTTTAGTTATAATATATAAACTGATTCATTGTTGATGGATTACCTCTAAGAATGCATTTCTTGATAATTAATCTACAAGGCTAAATGCGACGGTAATTCGTTGATGTTGCTGGAAGATACATCAGCAGAATTCAATAAAATCATTGATAATTTGAAATTTTCCACATTCAAACTGTTATTACCCTCAAGATAAGCACCCCCTCCTTCCTATGCTTAATTCTAGCAAATTAGGGTTTAATTTAATAAGAATCTTTATGAATTTTAATTAAAATAAATGCCTCCTCCTTTTTCATCAGCAACATTATTAATAATTCTTGTACTTTGTAGAGCAACTCTTAAGTTTTACACTTATACTCCTGTTCCTTTAGTTCCATGGTTTGACATAAAGATCGATTGACCAATTAGTATTTATTTCTCCAAGCTACTATCTGATATTGCTAAAATACATCCATGGGATTTGATGAAGTTCATAATGCAATGGATTTCCTTGAGTTTTATGACTTTAACTTCTGTCAATTCGAAATATATTAAACCATTCCAACAATATTAACAATCGTTATTTAATACTGAGATTTTTCTAAGAAAAAATTAGGTTTGATTTGTGATGCTTTTTAAATGTACTAAGGACCCTTTTTAATTAGAATTGGCCAAGATTTATTCAAAAAATCGATTGATTGATACTTACTCTGAATTAGACTACGTTACATCATTACTTATGAAGGTACATTGATTAATGCTTAATTAAATATTTGAATTTAAGTAATTTAGTTAAGTTTTCTTGGTTGAAAATGAATTTAAATTTAATATTGAAATGTTATTTAAAAGCAAATCTGCTCCAAGAAGATTGTTCTAGGAGAAATCTAATAAATTTAAGGGATAAAAAGTAGAAATATTATAGAATTTTGAATTAACAAAGAAAATCTGATTATAATCCACGATTTTTATGATTCCAGACAATATAATACCTTCTATTTCAAATTCTCTCATCTCTAATTTACATCCGATGATATTAATAATAGCATTGTCTGAGATTATTTTCTAGATTTCTATAGGGTTTAGAGTTCCAATTGATTGTAAGTACTGCAAGAGGGCATTATCAGTTTAACTAATATGTAAGTTCTAAATTGACACTTAATTCTAATCGGCATTCTTAAAATCAAACTCTAAAAGAAGAAGTTGATTCACAAGAGAAAAGCAATTCTGAGCATATATTTTGTTTAATAATATTTGATTCTTAGTAGAGGATGGATAAATTGAAAAAATCGAAGAGGATAGCTTATTTTAGACATCTTTCAAAGTTAGATTTTCAATTTCCATTGCTAATAAGCTTTTTTTAGCATTAATAGTAATTGCTCCATCTACTTAAGACTTTGAAATAGATTAAGTATAAGCATTTTGGATATCACAATTTTTAATAAATACAATTCCGTTACCTTATAAATTGATGTTAAAAATTACGCTACTCGCTGCAATAATATTACTAAATAAACCATTAGCAAAATTCATTTATGAAGATGTAATCGATAGAGCTCCACCTATTGTTCCAATTCCAAATGCATTATTAATAATTTAAGTAATTTAATTTTAGGTATATTGACTTGAAATTTACACTTGATAATATTTATTCCATATTTCAGCGTCGAGGTAGTTATGATTAAAAGTTTAAAAGTTTTCAATGGTAATAGTATTTGAAAAGATGGAAATAAATGAGTTGGATGAGTTAGTCAGAGCATTGGAAGAGCATATCATATTTGTCATCATTATTTTACCTTATACTGAGTTTATAAGAATTAGACTTGCATAATTTTCAGAAGGATCAGTTTGGTATTAATGAAACATATTTTCTTTGAAATTGACATTATCCATAGTTAAGATTTGAGTTTTTTCAGAGTAAATTTAAATTAAGGAAAAAAACAAACCTTATTTTTATTTAATTAGAATATTTCCTTGAAAAGTGACATGATTAATTACGACAGATTATGTTGCCTTAAAGTTAATCAAAGGATTAGATTGAATAGAGATAATAGATTAATCTATGCTGAATTAATTTACAATCTAAATTTATTCTAAAATTAAGTTAGAGAATCCTGATACTAATAGTAATTGTGAGTTTATTTAGTTATTTTACAAACAACCAAACTTAATTGCTACTTATTCTTATTAATACTAATTTTCATACAGCATATTTTCTACTCTTATTAGAGGAGTAGCAAAGATTGAAAAAAATCTAACATTATATGTGCTTTTTAATTAGATATTATTGATCTATAAAGTATAACAAGTAAATTTAAAAAGATATTAAGAATTATCTTCAGGATCTTGAATATTGCTTTCAAACTGGAAATTTTCTAACTTTATATCCACATCATTGTTCTAATATTTTACTTCTGTAACAAAAGCAGAGAAATTAGAAACTTGATTTTCTAAAATGATAAAATTACTTATCCTAATTTCTGAATCCATAAATGTAGTTGCTAATGAAATCAAAAATTAACTATCTTTGAGAATATTCTCTTTCAATAATACATCATCAATATAAAAGCTTTCACTGAAAGACATCATTCTACAACCATTAACTGAACTTTTGGTAAGTGTAAATTTATTAATACTAATAGTTGAATTTCCATTGCTGTTAAGGAAATTTGAGTCTTAAAACAAAGAATCTTTAATCTCTACATTATTTATAAATATATCTGCAAATTCATTGGAGTTTAAAGTGATTGTTAAGATAGATGAGCTATAAAATTAGCAATTAGTGATTATAAGATAATCAATGATGATTATTCTACGTATATTCTAGAAATATAGCAGAGTTGAATTGTTAAAAATGCAATTTGTCAGTTGTAAATTCTTTATAGTAATAATTTCACCTTCATCAAAACTTATGATTGAAAAAATTAGAGAATTACTAATGATCAAATCAAAAATATTAACATTTTTCAAATTAAATTTGAGGAAGTTATCACTCGAAAATGATAACTTTTTAGGATTGGTGTTATCAGAATAAAAGTTTGTATCAATAATATTAAAATCTATGGGTTACCCTCTATTGTGAAATATTAATTCTAACTTACTTCTTATTAGAAAGAGAACTTAAGTAATTGTAACTTAATCAAAATAAAATATCTGTAATTAAAGTACCATGAGGAAGGGTTTTGTTAATTCTCCCTCTATTCTTAATTTCATCACTTAGATAGAGAATACTTTTTCTCTAAAATGATTTAAAAAAATATAATCTTAATGTTCCCACACGCCGCAAATTTCATTGAATAGTAGGATTAATGTCATTTTTTTTAATCCAATTTCATTAAAATACTTATAATTAAATATATTTTCCAAATAGCCATAATAGATTTCTAAATCTAACATATTAAAAGTGTCACAATAAAATGTAATCTAAATTGTAATAAATAATTACTTAATACTCAAAATTGAAATCACAATTGCCATTAAAGCAATACTATGCAATTTGTAAATTTGGATCAATAACAACTGATTCTAAGGGTACCTTTTATTGACATTTGTATGTGTAAATTTCATTCTCTGTAGTTATATTAAAGATTGGGTTGATTTTCTATTAGAATTAATAATTTAATACTTGTATTTCTTCACTTGATCTCTATTCACATGTTTAACATAGTGAAGGACAGTTAATACATTTACCCTTGATTTGTCCTCTATATCGCTTCTTATAATAGTTCAAACCACATTTTTAACAAGAAAAATATTTTTCATAACCTATATTTTAATTGCATATTAAACAACTATCTTCACAATATTCAAAGCAATCATTTAGAATTATATTGTAACCATCTAGGCATTATATTACATAATCTAATGGTACTGTAGATATTAATTCATATGAAAAATTTTTAATTTGCAAGAATTGAATTCTGAAACTTTGAATCATCCATTTCCAAGGTTCCTCATTCCTTGTATTCCATTCAACACATCTTTTGGAATTATCTCTGCTAGTGCACTAAGTACAAATTCCTGAAAATGCAGATGCTGAATATCCATCCTCACAAATTATGCATTTAATAATCAATTCTGGAGTTTTGATACATTGTTTGCATTTGAAAATGTGTTTTTGACAATTTATAATTTCTGGGGCAATACTGAAATCATCTATCGATGATAATGTACAAATTTCTTAACCATCAAATGAAATATATGATCTAAGACAATTTGAGATTGTAGGAATCTAATATATACATTCCTCTTTTTCAAAGTTATAAATGAAACCATCATTACACTATGCACACCCTGTTTTAATTTCTTCACCAACGATAGAGTAAGAAAATCTTTAATTTAGAGTAGTTATTGAGTGATCACCCCCAAAATAATTGAAGCAATATTAACAAAATTTTATCATACAGAGAGTACATTTTTTTTCAAAGTTTAAAAAATAAGGATCCAGGCAATACGAGGACGAACCTAATCCCAAAGATATTTGATTTGCAAAGGTTGATGAAGATTAGTCATCCCCACATTTGTAATAACTTAAAGAGTTCCCATCAAAATGATAACAAGAATCTGAATCCTAGAACTATCGCGATATATTTCCTTCTTGGTCTGAATATAGCGATGTCTTACAATAAAGCATATTAATCCATTCCTTAGGATTCTGTAAACACTCAAGACATGTGACAACATTTTCAGAAATGGTCGATGGACTAATTAGATAAGAATACAAAATTACCATCTATAACATTCATTGTCATATTCAAATTACCCATATTTGCAATTCAAAATAGGAACTTCCTCTGGAATTACGAGGGTTAAATTTAGATCCTCATAAGTAGAACATTGGTCTCCTATATCAATAGTTCCATACTCACAGAGGCACTCCTTAAATTCTGGGTAATATCTTCTATTTGATGATTCAACACAAGATAAACAATCAGATTTTGTCGGACCATCGCATTCCTTGCAAGTTTCATGACATTCATTTTCCAGCTCTATTTTCTCTGGACAATTAAAGAATTTAAAGTCAAAGATCTGTACTTTTAAATAGTATGAATGAGTTTACAATAGATCTCCATATTGTAATTTATATTAAACCAAATTAAACTGTTTAACTTCTTAGTAAAATTCATACTTTTCTTATTAAAAAAAGTTAATTGAAATTTAAATGGAGTTTTCGAATTTCCTAACATTCAAATAATGCCATAGTTTTAAATCGCTGAGAATATCAAAACTTTATCTGATTAAAAATGGATCGTTTGAAAAATCAATATTTATTGATGGAAATGTGTAACTGTATGTAGTTATAATGATCGAATTTCCTGTTGAGGATAACTTATAAGTTAAAGTAAAAGGGGATATATTGTCATTTATTATTGAAGAAACCATAACATTCTCTGACAATTTTAAAAATTTAAAATATACTACTTCATCAAAGATTTGTATATGTTCAAATTTAATCCAACCTGAAAATAAGAATTCTAAACAATTTGTTTATTAAGAAATAAACAGAAATTCTTCTTACTACGATATCACCTAATTATTTATATTTGTATTTTAACTCTATTAACATCGACACTCATCTACTTCGTTGTCCTGAATGTATGAAATTATAAAGTCGCAATATTCATCTTGATATAATTCATATTCTTGGACTATGAGAACTTATCCAGGGAAATATGATAATTTTACATTTTGTGAGTTGTGAAGTTATTAATTCTCATTTACTATCAAATCTCCTCCAAAAATCAAATTTAATTCTTCGTCATAAAATGGGGATTGAACCTGCATCTAGTGTATTTTAATCGATTTCCCTTTTTCATAAAAATAAATATTTAATTGTTTTTGATATGGGTATATCTAAAACCCAACAAAAAACCAAACATACTCATATTCACCCTCTATTGGCATCTCATAAATATGATCATCACCATTATTATCTATAAATTGTAGATATTTAATTATAGAATTGGCTTCGTAATTAAGACATTCATAGTAAATCAAGTTTATCCTTTGTGTTGTTGGTTCTTGGGCATGATGTTAATGAAAACAATTGCTATCTAAAATTCCAATTTATCCTATTTTAACGATGTTGCTTAATGGAACATATCTACTCCACACACCGTATCCACTACAAGCAGTGTACATCCGGCTTCTTAATAATGGATAGACCCGGAATGGATATTATGACAGCAAATAAGTGGTTTATTAGCAATTTGCTAAAGTTATTATTGTTACTAATTAAATCCAAAATCTTTTGAACATTATCTAAGTTTTTTAAATTATCAATAAATAAAAAAAAATACAATCACATCAAAATAAAAAGCCTAAGTTTCTAAGGATTGATTAATTTTGTTCGAATTCTTATTGAGATATTGAAAAACAGCCTAAGTAACTCATATAAAATAAAATGATTAGAAACTTGCATTTTAGAAAAAATATTGTAAATATCCTATTAATTACTATTTATTTTAATTCTCTATAAATTAGTATTAGAAAATAGATATGGGTACTTATGGGAAAAGACTGCTATTTTAATAAATGGAATTCTTTAAACCATAAATATTATTACAAACCATTATTATTTATATGAATTCATACATTTTACTATTTATTTAGAATTAATATAATGATGATTTTCAATCTAGTAAGCAAAATAATGAATAAGAATTATAATTATAATGAATTTTTACATTTATAAAGTTTGTTGATAAGATTAATTTGTAGAAATCACAAATGGACCAATATTTTATTATTAATCAAATAGCCTTAGGTATAACAGATATTATAAATATATCAAAAGACAATATTTTAATTTAAATTATTCCTAGCTTATTAGATAAATTTCACAACATGTTGATAAATAACATTCTAGCATACTGTGAACTCGCAAATACATCAATAATAGAAAATGGATATCATTTTGAAAAAAGTAACTCAAATTACCATTACTACTTAATGAAAAAATTATTAAAGTTACTGTTTGAGAATCTATACAATCATTTAATGTCGTTAACTTTTTTATAAAACTATCATCAATATTTAAAATTTCAATCAACACTAGAAATGCTGCATATATAAAATTTTTTATGTAACTAAATTTTATATATTTTTAAGAAAGCCATAACATCTTCCCATTTTAAATACACTATCTTTGTGATCTTAATTAATATTAATTTTTAATTTAATATTTTTGAGTAAATTTTCAGTAGTTAAGTTTATTCTTTAATAAATTTTATCTTGATATAAATTTTTGTAATTCTTTTTTGAATAAATTTCTTACTAATTATGAATACTTGTTTTATAATTAAATTGGTCAGTTCTTGAAATTTAGGTCAGTTATTTTTAGATTTAGAAAAGAATCAATTACAAGAATGAATTAATTATACCCTACTAATTTTTATAATTGACACATATTATTTTTCTTATTCATTTTCTAATATGAAATTCTTTTTCGTAAATACTAATCCTAATTATAAACTAGATGCTTCAAGTGAAAATCATAAATCTAATTTTAAGCTACACAAGCACACATTACTGTATTTCTGAAAATTTTTAGAAGAATCTTTAACAATGATGGAATTCAGTTGTTGCTAAATCAAAGTTACTCTGTCAAAAATAAGGGTAAGTGATTATACATCATTACATTTTAAAAAAGGAAACAAAATAAATTATTAAAAACAAGTCTTTCAAATAATTAATTTGTTGAAAACTTTAGTAAATATTATTAAATTCAAATTCATATACTTAAAAATCAATCATAAATTTCTAAACGCAGATAAAGTTTAATTTAATCTCATACATTATGTTTAATGAATTTCTCTCATCACAACCTCTTTCCATATTATTTAAATATCTTTAGGCTCAATAGAATTTCTTAACTCTCCTGAGGCCATATTTTCTTTGAAATTATTGACAATTAAAGCTAAAGAATTTGATGTTTTTTCTGCTGAACACCCTATCAAATTAATATTGCTTCTAATTTAGTCTGGCAGTTTAATAAATTGATCAATGATAGATTTAGGATAGGATGCTTCTCCATCAGAATAAAATAATATTTATATTCTAATATTGTTAATTTCCATACTTTGTAAAATTTTGATGTTTATCAATCAGATTTAAAGCAAACTAAAATGGAGGCCCAAAATCAGTATTGCCTCCAGAAAAATGTATTTTTTTATTGATTGCATTTGTATTTGGCTATTCACATTCAACTGCAATTCTGGCATTATCATTAAATATTATTATACTTACTCTTGCATCATGTATCTTTTCCATTAACTTGATGCATTCTAATGCCCCATTCTTTACAGTTTCCCATTTCTCACCCTTTATTTTACTTGTATCATTCAAAATGAGAATATAATGAATTTTAAAAATTGCAGTTATTTAGGAGTATTTGATAATTACCTTCAATTTTTTTTCTAAATAAGAACATATTAATTTTCCCAAACCTTTATTCCAAATATTTGCCCATTTCCTTTTATTTTTTAATCTATTTTCACCATTCTAACTTTTGAACAACCAGGTTGAATGTATTTTTTTGGCTTCTTTCCAAGTTCTATTTAATTTAGCTTCTTATGTATGTATTTACCATTAATCGGGAATTTCTTCACAAGCATATAAGAATAGGCGTTTTTAATACAAAAAGCCATTGATACCTAATTAAATAATAAATTACTTAGAAGTTAATGGCCATTTTAACATTGATGTTTATGATTATCATCATTATCTTAATCGCATTTTCTATTACAAAATGGACAAGCATATTCACAACCATTCATTTTAAATCTTAATTTAATAAATTCTTCATTAAATTAATAGTCATTTTGAGTAATGTTCGACTTACTAATGTTAATTAAAAGTAGATCTATTGACTAGATTAATGTTTAAATGAAAGTCTTTAAATTATGAACTTGTTTCTTTTATTATTATTAAAAAGATAAAGGAATATTGTTTTTAACAGATTTGTATTTACTACTATTGAACAATATCTTATACTTGTCTTAAATTTTACTATTACTCATAAACTTACCATGAAGGCAAGAAAAAACTAAATCAAATAAATAATTTTCATAAATTATTTGATTCTATAAATTTTCATCTTTTATAAAATACACAATTGTCGAAACTTCCTCATTTTGATTATGAAGAGATTAGAAAAAAGTCTAAGCATTTTCTTTAATATCAACAAAATATTACTATAATTCTTTTTGATATTCATTAGAATATTTCTGGATTAAATGATCCTTAAATTATGATAGCATTTCGTTTATGTATTTATTAATATAAGATTTTTAATCAGTCGTATATGAAAATAATTTTTATTAAAATTCTCTATCTTTCATCATATTATCATTGGCATTAATTAGTAATTCATTATCTATTTATTCTATAAGCTCAGCATTTGATATACTTTTGTTGTTAATATCTTCTAGAAATTGTTTTTTATTTCTGATTAAAAAGTTAGATTTTAATTAAGCTTATAGTTTTGTGACTAACTGTCTCGCTTTTATCTAACTTTATTGTCTACTATCTTGATTAATTTCTGCAAAGCATCGACATAATTCATTTTGGTAGTTATTCTTAAGTTAATAATTTTTATTTTTCAAATATGAACAAGAATAACAAATAAATCTCCAGATAATTAACATAGAATAATAATATATGCACCTTTCTCCTACATCAGTTAATCTAATACCAAACAAGGCAAAATAATTGTTATATTTAACTTTAATGTTGTTTTTAATCTTTTGCATGATCTATATGATCAAATTTGGGTTATATTATTAATAATTCTAATCTTCATTATAATTATTTTAATCATTTATATGTTTTTTTAAACTTATCTCTTTTTTAATTAATAAGTAGAGCTCCTAATACAGTTTTTTCCAACCTTCCTTTTCAATCATAATTGTGTTAAATTGTTTTGGGAAATTCTTTCTAAAGTGATCAGGGATATCCCCTTAAGGATTCAATATATATTTGAATGATTCTTAATTAGATGATTTATATTCATAAATGTCAATTTTTGTATTAATTATAATGGAATTTTATTAAAGATTGCTTTTAAATGTTTGAATATCCTACCATGATTTATTTATTACTTCTTTAACCTTTAAATTTTAATAGATTTCTTTAAATTACGATAAAGTCGCTTTGTCTGATAAATCAATATTGTTATTGTTCTCATTAAACTTCAAATTTCGTTAAAATTTCAAGAAGGCTTCGTTCGCAAATTTCGAAATGCTCCAATTACTTGATCGAGCATTACCAGAATATATTTTTTTATTGCCTTGAATTATAATGTCTTCTAACGTTTTCTTACACTATTAGTCATAAAAAATTTGAAAATAATCTAAAAGAACAAAATAATTATTAAATTTTGTTTTTAAATTATTGCATTAATTATTTTTGTTAAAATATTCAAAAAAATCATGTGCTAAACAATTTTTATTGTTGAGATAGAGCTAAATATCTTACTTGGTAACAATATTATATGTAATTTCTTGATAAAAAAACTCTTTCATATTAATTAATTAATCTTTAGATTTTTCTATTCTGTCCCTAATACTTTAATAAAAAATCTCTTAATACGCTAAATTTTATTTATATTATTCTAAAATTAGAAACTAATCAGTTTCATAAAGTTCTTTTTTAAATACTTCAAAAATTTAATCAAATTCTTAACTTAAAATATTATATGGATTTTCTTATAAGATATATTTATGAAAATAGTTAATGTATTCTATTTCATTTTTAGTATTCAATTTGTATTGATTAGAGATACTTTGAATATTAAAAAAGTAAACATCGGCACTTTTTTATTATTATTATTATGATAGTTATTTGCTTTCGTTTCGAAAAGATTCCCAAATTTTCTCAACCCCATCTTAAATTAATTTAGTATTTCCCTAAAATTTTTATTTCTTAGATGTGTCTTCTAAAATATCTTGAATAAATTATTCAATATTTCCACGTCTCTTCTTGATTAATTATTTTTCCTTATAGTGATCAAAGATTTCGTTAATTTTTTATTTACATGTTATTTCCTCGTTATTGATTAATTCTTCCAATTTTTTTTAATATTTAACAAGTATTTTTTTTTTTATATTCATTTCTTCTTATAAAGAGTTTAGTTTCTAAAGAATTTGGTTTTTTTTTTAAAAAAATTCTTATTCTATTTCTCGATAGATCTCTTATAGTGTTTTTTACTTATCATCAACCAAGTTAATATTTTTTAATAACTTTTCCTTAGTAGCTTAAAATAAATTCTAGCTTACTTATTATATATCCACCATCCTGTAAAATTAGTCAAAATGTTGCCTCATTATATTATTTTATTAATGCTCTATTACCTCACTAAATTCTGAGATGTCAGGCAATTTTTCAATACTATCCCAATTTCTTTTAACATTTTAAAGAAAACTATCAAAAGTTTATAAAGAAGCCTTTGAATCTTTAAGTTTTGAAATAAATTGTTCAATTATTATTAATCCTTATTGATGAGCTTCTTTAGAAAAAGTGTGATTATTTACTGTTTAATTCCAATTATCTATGCTCCAATCTTTCTAACGTGAGACAAATCCTAAAACACAAATATTGCCCTTTGTATCTAAAATTTCTTCATAATCAATATCTTCTTCTAAACCATCATTATGATTTTCATCCCATTATAAATTTAAATTAGATGCTATGTCCTTAATTTACTGTCTAAATGGCTCAATATCTTTGCATTTATCATTCTAGTTGAAAATCCAACTTAATTATTTAACCATAGATGATCCCTATTTTAAATGCCCTAAAGTAAAAATACACACTTCAATTAATCTCTTAAATTATTAATTAATTTCTCCTTTTACGGTTATTAATGTTATATCACTAACAGATAACATAAATAATGCCATCTTTTTGTCAAATTGTTCATCAACTTAATTTGGATTTTGTAAGCCTTCAGTATCCAAAATTAAAATTTAGTCAAAATGATTTTGATACTTTTGTTTATTTTATACTTATAATATTTGTAAAAATACTCCTTTGGTAGTTCTCCCTACATTAGCCCAAAGATGGCATCCAAATATTTTGTTTATTAAAGTTGATTTTCCTGAACTTTACGGCCCTAACATACTTAAGACCAATGTTTTATCTTATTTATTTTAAGTGAATTTCTTTGAAATTTCAATTAAAAATTCAAAATCAATTTATTATGTATCTCCATCAAGAAATTCTAAGGGTTCACCTTTTCTAATCAATTAAAAGAGTATTTCTAATAAATTAAATTTTAATTGCTTTTGAAATTTCTATAAACTAATCAATTCTCTCCAAAATAATTCAATACAAATATTTTTATGAGTAATATTCTAATCATTATTCTTTAGTTATTATTTTATTTAAAGCATATTATCTATAATTTCCTGATACTTTGGGTCTTCAATGATTTTCGATAACATAGAATTGTGTTTTCTCTTTAGCTATTTTTTTTCTTATTTTAAACCTGTCTGCAATTAAACTAATTCCTACTCTTTTTTTTATAGGCTTACTAAATTATTTTCATTAAAATTTCTTATTACATCTAAAATCCATAGATAAACAATGTAATAATTGTTTTTCTTAAATACATCACAAAAATGATTTAACAAATCAGTCGGTTGTTATTACTGAATTTATTATTAAAAACCTTTAATTTTCTCAATGTTCATTTCTATTTCCTTTTAATTTTCTGAAAGCTAAATGTGTAATTCATTATTTAGATTCTTCAATCTCAAGATTTCCAAGTTTATCCTTCGAATACCAAATGCCTTTTAACTACAAAACCCATCCTATAAATTTACAATTTCATTCAATTTTTTTTAGAACAGAGAAATCAAATTGTAATGATCTTTCATTTCCAATATTTTAACTGAATATTATTTTTAAAACTACTCTAAAATTGTTAAAAATTCATCCCTAAGATTTTCTTTTTAGTTTAGATGTTTTTGATGATCTAAAATACATTTGAATAAAAATTAAGATACCTTTTCAATTTAATTCTACCTGAATTATTAGTCGATATCTTTGGAGGTAAAATCTTAAAGTTGAAAAATTTGAATTTTTTTTTCTTTTATTTCATATTTATTTAATAATTGTTCATCTATTTTCTTATTATTAGTATTTCTTATTATCAAACATATTTTATTGTTAATATTTTAACCTATTTGCTGTTTAATTATGTTAATTTACTCTAGGTTTTCCTGAAGCTCTTCCTCAGAATCCATCTAGATTATCCACAATTTAAAAAACGGAAGTATTTTTATTAAGATTTCTGTAATTATCCTTCCATGAACATCAGCAATAATATAATTTCTTGAATTATTGAATTCAAAATCAAACATTATATCAATTGTATCCTGATTCATTTTACATGTATCCCTTATTGAGAACTTTTCTTGATGATAAAATATTTCGTTGATAAGTTCTGTTTTACCAATCTATTTTTATTTAAGACTCAACGATAAATTAATAATTGTATAACCTTTTTCAAAATAATAAAATAAATTAGTATTGAGTAAAAATAAATCTGATTTTGATTAGCAGTCTTTCAATTATGGATTTTAATATAAGAAAGGAATTGGATATTCTTTTAAAAAAAATTTCATTAAAACTATTCTTAGTTCATCAGTCGAATTATTATAAAAGATTTAAAATAAAGTTTTTAAATTAAAATAACCAACTTGGTCAGCTGTTCCCTTATTAGATTATAAAATTTAATTAATCAATAATAATAGTTATTTCGAGGGTTCCCCTCTTTTAATTATATTAAACAATAAAGGAATTATCAATTTAAACTTTTTAACATTACTCATATCTTCAATCCAATTAGACAGTATTTATTTTTATTCATCTTCAGTATAAATTGATAATGATATATTGAAGTTTTCCAAAGGAAAATCCATTTATTTTGGATAATATTGCTGGACTTTTTGAATTTTCTAATATTCAATAGATAATTAAAATAGATATGGTTTCGTTAATTTAAACCATTCTTCATATAATTATTCATCTTATTAATATAGTTTTTAACTTAATTGTTAACAGATTATCTAATCTAAAACGAGATAATTATAACTCAAAATCTAATATTAATTTATCTATTAAAGAGGTATTTGTTTTCTTATACACAAAAAAAAGAATGGGAAATTTATTCTTTTAAAAAGGAAATTTCTCTAAATCTCTATTATTCCTAATTCTGTTTTATTAATCTTTTATGTTAAATTAAATATCGCATATAACGTCAATTTGATTGAAGTTTACGAAATAAGTATTTTCTTATTTGCTCGAATTAAATAACTCAAAAGATTTATACTGAAATTATTAGTAAGGATTTTGATAAATTACAACTAATCAGTTAATTATATCTATTTTATTTGAAAAATTGATTTCAAAATTAATAGACATTTATCAATATTATCTTTTGCTTTTGATGAAATGTAATCTAATAACTTAGAAGCCAATAATGGCAGAGGTGAAGGTTAAAATACTTTCTGTATTACGATTAATTTATTTCTATTTTCTGCAAAAAAAATTAATGAATCATGGTCTAACGGTTTATTAATAATGTTATTTACTTTTATAATCATAGATGCTCTAATATAGCTACCATAATTTAGAAGTAAGTTTTAAAGTAATTAATAGTTGCCTTCTTCATGAGGAAATTATGTATATATTATTTTTAGTAAATTCGTTTTGAAAGCAGTATCATAAAATCTATTAATACATGTATCAATAGAACTAATATTTTGCTGTATTAATTATGTAGCTTATACTAATGATTTAGCCTTATTCGACAAAATAATATTCAAAATATTGTAAAAATTATCATGCTGTTTGGTTATCCAAAGAAGACATGTAATTAAATGCAAATTTAAATTATTTTGCTGTAAACTTTATTGTCGACAAAACTGTAATTTATGGATGATATTCCAATATTCAAAAAACCTCTCTTTATCTTAAATTATTTTTAACGGGTTAGCTTATTTAATATTCTAATACTTTGTAAAATTTAAGTCCATTTTTTTTACAAAATTTTGATAGTTCTCTTTGCCTAGAATATCATCTATATTTTCTACAAAGTAAAAAATTCTATGAATAACAAATAAATATATTGTCTCTTATGTATTAGATTTCTATCTATTGAAATATCTTTCAATATATTTCAATCTTCTTTCATTATTAGTAGAACTTAACAAATAATCCTCCTTGCTCTTTAAATCAAATTAAAAATTAAATTTAGTACAGTACTATTTCAGATAAAACAAAACAATGTGTTATTTTAGATGGTTAAGTTCATCATTTATATTTTCTATATTATTTATATGAGATAAAATTTATAAAAATGAACATTTTTCAGCCGGAACCTAAACTAATTCACTAATAAAGAGTTATAAGCTTTGTCTTATGTTTAATATATCTTCATTAAAAATTGTTAATAAATTTTTATATTCTTCATTTGCTTACTAGAACATCTAGAAGTCATTGTTAGAATCATTTACAATTCTCAATTGTTGTTATTATATCCAGAAGACAAAATTCTTAAAATTTGTTGAATCATTCTACTTTAACTTGTCAATGTAATAAGATATTTCAAATACCTAATTTAATAACAAGGAACCAACTAATTGATCAAATGCAATTGATTCAGTATCATTAAATATTAAACTACTATAAAATAGATCTAATAATGTTTTCAAGACTTCAAATTGTGTTAATTCCTTTTTGTCCAATTGATAGTCAAGTAAATCAAAAACTAATAAAGATTACCTTTCCAGTTTGAAAAGCAATTAGCAATTTAATTAAAATTCTTCTGGAATCTGATTGTTATTCCTATATTTTTACTCTTTCAAATTTTATAAAATTGATTCATAGTTATTATTTTTTCTATCTTAAATGTACATTTAGATGTAATCTATTTATTCCTATAATTAATCATCAATAAATTCGATCTTAAAATGTTTAACAAATTCATAGCCTTTAAAATATTTGTTTATGGAATAGCGTACTTTATTGTTATCCGATTCACCTAATTATCCTATTAGTGGAGTTAAATCATCTAAAATGTCATCACTCTCTATTAGATTATTTTCCTCTATTTCCTTAAAAATCACAATTAGCTATTTCTAAATATGCTTATGTTCCAAATTCAGTTCATAACTAGCTTCTTACATATTTATAATTGAAATATTGTAATTCTATTAAAATTTATATTATTATTATTATTAATATATCATTATTATTTTTAATATATCTGTTAATATTCAAATGAATTGTTTTAATAATGAAAGCTTAAGAAATCTTTGCTATTGATTGGGCTTTTTTAATTTTATATTAATTTTAAATATGAAATTTTGGAATTAGACATTTATAAGAATATGAAATTTTTAAATTCTTTAGAAAATGAAATTAGTTTACCTTATAAAATTGGCAAGCAATAAAGACTTTCAAACTCCACTGACATCAATACTTTCATGATAACTAAAAGGGGATCACTAGAGATTTGGGATAATAATGGATAAATAAATAGTATTAGAACAGAAAACTAGAAATACTATTTGGTTTGTCATAAATATTTTCATAAATAAGTAGTATATGGTATAAATGGACTTATAGAGTATATTTTCAGTTAATATTTTCATCTGTATTTAATTATTTTTTTTATTTAAATTATATTTCATAAATTGATAATGAAAAATATATACATAATTCACTATTATAACATTACTTAATTAAATTTGTGGCTAAGAAATGTTTTATTTGCACTATAAGTTGTTGAATCGCTATTTACTTCGATTTAAATTTCAGCTTATCACACTACTGTGATTTATAAGTAATTTGTTTGAATTATCTTTAAAGTGTGATGAATGTTAATTCTAAGAAAATCTTTCAAATTATCCATATCAATTTGAGTATAAAGAAGATCTCTCTAAAATTAGATTTAAGTTTATAATTTAATTTGGATGAATAAAAATAGTTAATTGAAATTAAAAAAGCAATTTAAATATCTTTGGTATTATCAGTAAAGAGAGCTAAAAGAAAATTATCAACATTTAGTATTAGTTATATCTATTTAATTATAGTGTTCAATTTTTATTATTTATGGTAATATAATGTTTGAATAATTTTATATTATCAGAAAATGTTAAGGGTAACAACTTTGAATGAATTAACGATTTCTAAATTAGTATTAAGAGAAACAATAAAGAATGAAGAATTTTAGAGTAATATACATTTAATTATTTCGATTATCGGAAGTAAACATAAAATGATTTGTCGAAAATATGATGGATTCGAAAATTTTTCAATAATAACTAAATTTTAATGAATAGATTTTTTGTAAAATGTTGCATAAATTAGATTAAGGATATTTGTAAATTTCACTTTTTCCATTACAGATGGGGTTGGGTAGATTAATTAATCCAATCGATATTTCAATATTTATGATGATTCTTATCAATAAAAATGATAATTTAACCAAACAGTAATTATTGTTCCCTTTAACAGATTTCAAATATTTTGTGTTAAATTTTCATAATAACACGCCGCAAGATCTGAAAGTAACAACTATCATTTTACTTCTAAATTATAAAGTGTATAAGCACTTCTAGAAGATTGAATATAAATATTTTCATGCTTGTATTTTTGAGTTATAAGATAATTATTTAAAGTGAATTTTATTTATGATTTTGTAAATCAAATTTATTAGTTTACCATTAATCAATATAATTTTGTTATCTTAATTTCTATAACTGAATTTGGTTTCATAACACAAGTCTATTCAAAAACTTACAATATAAATTTAATTTTATGATTATATTCATTGTGATCTCAGTTGTCTAAGCCTTTATAACATACGACTCCAATGTTTTCACTAAATATGCTTATCTTTATCCAGGAGGAGGCAAATGTATTTCTCCTGCGCAGAAATAAGACACCGTCTATTTCTCAGGTACATTTGAAAGACCCCCAAAAATAATACTATCATGTGAAACATTTGACACAGAACATCCAAAAATTAATTACACTATTCTGATTACCGATGTTACAACATAAAGTTAATATTCTCAAAAATTTAGGTTTTGTTTTTAAAATGTAGTGTTATTATTCTAACATATATTAAGTTTTATTTAGATGGTAAGCAATAGATGATGAAAGAATTTAAGTTATAAATGAGTTTAACATGATGACTTTAGAAAACAAAACATATCTTTACGAGAACGTTAATGCCGAGGAAGCATTTATCTCTTTGATCAATCTATCCTATAAGGGTCCAGTTTATTTCGATATCCTTGTATTTATTTAAACTATAAAGTTCAAATAAACAAAAACAGATGTATAAGTTATAATAACTACTCCAAATGATACATTATCAAACTTAACAGTGTTGGGATATTAAGTGATTTTAGGAACTAAAGAAGCCATTTCTATACTTGATAGTCATATTAAAACAACTGCTCTTTATACAAGTCCACAATACAGTATTTAGGCTAACTCTTGGTTTATTACTCCTATATCTGGGTTTGCCTATAATGCAGCTGATAACATTAGAATTAAAAGAGTTTATACCCAAGATTCAAGCAATATATAATTTAGCATTGATGCTTTTCAAAGTACTATTAATTTTCTAATTTTAAGGTGATAAATAATATACTCCATCAACTCATTCAGTAATTTCTATAAAGTATTTACTTACTATTGATTACGTCGCACTGGAATGTAAAACTATAAGGATTACATAAATAAAAGAAAGACTAGCCAATTTCAGAAACTCCTTTGAAGTCGAATTAATGGAAACTAATGAAGTAATAAAAGATTTGGGCACAACCAACTTCATAATTGACAAAAGCCTCTTTTAGATAATAAATTTAAAGGTCTATGCTAGATGTTATCCGTAAAAGAAAATTAAAAGCTATTTTAATAAGTGCAATGGATGCTCACCATCATAATAGCATTATTTTTCTCATAATTGTTATGGGGCTATCAATACAATTAATTTTTCAGTCAAATTTTTTCCAAAAGAGCAGGCTTATCAAGAATTGATAATAATATTATCAAATGTTGACTGTTAAATTTATTAAAAATTATACAATCAAGAGAAGAGTTAAGTTAAACTTATTGAAATCAATCAACTTGATAATTGATTAATATTTTATAAGATATTAATTAATCTAAATTAAAAAATGTAAATTTATTATCATTATCATTTTTTAATTTTATTTAGAAGCTAGTAAACAATTAGAAAGTAGTCATAATTAATTTTAGTTACCAAATTTAATTTTATGAATTTTTTATATGATTTAAAATTATTGCAAAATCCCCAAGATATTTCAGATTATCAAATCAGCTCTTGAAAGCCATAGGTGTAAAATAGGCATTTTAAATTTATTTAATTTGAAAAAATTATTTAGACCGAAAAGTTCTATTAATACGAAGTTAAGTAGAGACTTTATTCTCATTTTTTTTACTCAAATTTAGGAAGAATATTTTAGAATTATTATATCGTTGACTTAGAGATAATATGAAATATCGAAATTCTTCAATCCTGTATTGAATTAAAATTCCTTATGCTTGATTACATTAACAATTTTACTCAATTTGACTTCTGATATTTGATTATTACTTTTTTTAATCTAAATTTAATTAGAATTATTCTTTTTTTTTGAATAATTTGAAGGCATAATTTTGGACCTTTTGATCAAAAGCTAAGTTGAAAATTGGCAAATGCATATCACGATTCAATTATTGAAATTTTATAAACGCCTATTACCTACGACGACATCTATAAGTAGTAGGTTTAGTAGGTTTGGATCAAGTTGAGGATAATAGTTCTTGTTTTGGTTTTTTTTGTAAGTTTGACCTCATTCCTCTTCGAACATTTGTTTATCTTATCAAAATTAATTATGAGACCATAAATAGCAATATCTACTATTTTATGTGTAGACATAAAGAGAAATAATACAAATTGGATCGAATCCTATAACAACCTCAACAGTATAAGACTTATCATGACTTCTTATTATTATTTCTTCTTCTTGTGATAATTATTTTAGAGCTAATTCTTACAAATTATGTGCTTTTGGTTTCACTGTAAGAGACTGGTCTCAACTGGTGGATCTCGAATTAAACTGAAGTGATGGCCTGATATTGGTAGAAAAAATGTTATCCTTTTTCATGGATTTTATTTGCAAAGGGGTGGATGTTCAGACTATTCAAGTTTGATGCTATTTTATATAATATACAATCTTCTAATGGGTCATAAAAATAAAGAAGTATATATTCTTGATGTCATCATTTGCAATGTTTGTATATCTTCTTATTACTTTTATATATATGAATGTACAATTACTAACAATGATTGCAGAAGATCCACATTTCTAAGCAATAACTTAAAACTAGCAGATTTTGTGCATCACTTCATTACCACATAAAGGACCTACTCACATATCTCATGCACCTGAAGATAATGCAGTGCATGCTGCCACTTTCACTATAACTCTTAAGTAAAACAATAGAGAGTTTTATGATGCCTCCATTCTATCACCTGCCTACGGTTTTGGGTTTGGGGTT